TTTTCAGCCTGGCGCAACATCGATCCGGCAATGAACACCGTTGCCCTCTTTGTCGCTTCCGACATGGATCATGACGGCGTGACCTGGACACAATACGAACAGCCTTCTAAGGTCGTGGCTGCTCGCATGTCCACTTTGGCAAAAGCGGCAATGAGCGTGGTCCGAAAGAATAGCAGCGACTTTGATGTGTCCGACCTCTTCCAGACTTCTCTGGCTCCCTACGATTTCATCATCCACCTTCGCCCCAAGGTTCTTGGTGAACGATCCGGTGCTGTGGCTAAATTCAAGAATCTGGCCGACACCAGTTCTGCTCGCGCCGGGAAGATGGCAGCAATCAAGTCTTTTGTTCACGAAGTCCAGTCATGCTACAGCCAGGCTATCCTTCTTTTCCACGGAGACGAGCACTGCAGTGTGGTCGCTGGTCTTTGGAACCCCCAAACCTTGAAGCCCAAGAGTTGGAACCTCAAGACAGCGTACTCGACTGCCCCGGCATCCTCGGCGACGTCTAAGGACCGCGTTACAGTCAACCGACCCGCCATCTTGAACGAGATTGCTAGACTGGGTGACGCTCTCGTGGAAAAGATCGAAATCCACGAGACTAGCGAGGAACAGTAGATTGTTTAAAGTAATAAAAATTTCCATCTTATTCTCGAATGTACAATTAAATTACCTGATCACGCCGCTGCAATGCAAGCCTCCCAAGATAAAGAAAAGAAGAATTGAACACAAAACAATCACCGGCATTATAACGAACCACATGAAAGAGAAGTCATTTTGCACCCTGCGTTCTTCTTTTCAAGAGCCGGCCGGCCGGTCCGCTTTGCCCGACGGCACCTGAGAAGAGAAAGAACAGAACTTGTCCTTGATAGCGACAACTTCGTATGTGCCTTCATCGGATATTTTGATGGTTTTATGATGCTCGTAAGAGATGTCATGCTTGATGTCAAGCACCTCCGACTTCTTCCCCTTCCGGACGTTGGAGCTTCGAATGTACCTGTAGGGGGAAAAATCGCTGTCAGCATCGGCCCAGACAGATAAATAGAGAAGGAACTTACGTGAACTCAAAAGGGGGGTTCCCCAAAACTCGAAATGAAGGTCTGCTTCGCCACCTTCGTGGATGTCCACCACAGAGGTCTGGCCTCTGCTGATGCGCACGCTAGGCATCTCATGGATGACCTTGGTGATGTCCTTGTGGGCCTTGCATTTACCACTGGCACCGTCGCTGACCGCGGTGATGGTGAACTCACCGGGACGCTCGGCAATGCGACGGAAATTGGTGTTCTGCGAGGTTGCCTTCCGCTGGGCGCCGTTGAAGGTATAGAATACATCGAATGGAGCATGTCCTGACAGCGAGAATGAAAGACGTTCACCTACACAGTAGTCGGCTTTGGATTCGAGCGGAATGATGGTCGGCACGTCTGACACAGCCACTCGAACCGAAGAGGCGTCGTACTCGGTGGTTCGTTGACATCCACGCGCATCGCGCACTTTGTGAATGCTGACCACATGTTGGCCCAGATCCAGATGACGCCGAGGAATGAGCAGGTTGTGTCGGTTGGAGTTGACTTTTGGGATGGTGACGATCTCCGGTTTCGCGTTCGAGTGATGCTTGATCATGATCTCCAGTGAAAAGGGTGGGATTCCTTCCAGAGTAACGGGGACAGTTTCTTCACCACTGGCATCCTCCTTGCAGAAACCATAGATGTGACCAGGAGAGTCAAACTTGGCAGATGGGAGCGAGTTCACCTGTTGAGTGACCAGCAGGGGGCTGCGCTTCGGGTCATGATCATAAAGGTTGTCGCCAACCTGGGTAAACTTGTAGGTGTATTGACCGGGCTCCGACGTGTCCATCTCCATCGAAGCCACGTGAAGGGCGGTTCTGAGGTTCCGCGATCTCACAGAAGGGGCCCCACGATCCGCTTTTCGCCGCTGTTCGTACTGAAGACTAAACGGAGGATTTCCGGAGAGTCGGAGTTCAAGAGTATCATCGTCACCTTGGCACACTTCAGGCTTGACAACCGAGCCTGTTTTTCCAACTGAGGATCCATCTACAGCGCTGATATGTGGTCGAGGAATCCACGAAACTTCGAATTCGTTCGCAGATTGGGTCACAGAGCCTGGGCACGAGCCGTCAAACACTTCGACGAGCTCATAAAGACCTTCCCTATCCACACTTAGGGCGCTGTTTTCTTCCCAAAACGTTTTCTCCACGGGCGAGGGGTTGACATCGACGTTTTTGTACTTTACCGTCCATGGCCGTTGGCCACTCAGTCGTAGAGGAATATCAACCTTGGTGCCCTGCAGTGCTGATACACTTCTCTTCTTATCGATCTGACCGAAAGATGCCTGAGGAGGTTTTGAACGGGCATCGATCTTGATGCTGTCCTTCAGGTTCCGTTTGCAACTCGACTTGTCCTTGACACTTGTCAAAGCTAAAGTGTATTCGCCGCCGCTAACTAGCTTGTCGGTGATGATTGTCGCCATCTCCGTTTCAGATTCGAGAGTCTGTTTGGACCTCTTCCCATTGTGAACGAGCTCATATTGCAGTGTCCAGGGAGCTTCTCCCAAAAAAGATACGTCCACAGAGACCGATTCGCCAAAACAAGTCTTGCGCGTTTCTCTCGACCCCATGAAATGGGCCGAAGCTGGTGGTTTCACGTCTTGTTCCAGAATCGGAGTTTGATCCTTCAGAGACCGTGGAGAATAGATGGAATCTTCAATATCCAAGAAACGGTACCGGTAGTAGCCCGCCTCTGATGGTGTGAAGTCGAGTTGAGACCTCAATCCGTCGATCTTTTGGGTTTTGGTCACCACGCCTTTGCTGCTTTCAATACTGTATCGGAGACGAAATGGCGGAGAACCCGTCAAGTCCAGGTCAACGAGCAAACCAACGGCATTATTGGCACATCGGTCGAAAATCTTCTCAGATCGAATAGCTAGTTCCGGCTCTGGAGGATTGTGCAAGTAACACGATGAGGGCTCCAGAACTTCACCTGGGCAGTATTGGCTGGAGACAGACGTCAAGGCATACCAGCCCGGCTCCTTGATGGGAGTTTTCTGATCCAAATGCTTCAATACAAGAGTTCGAGCATCTTTCGGGGCATCGTCATTGCCTCTGAACGAGTAAACGACGGAGAATGGCCCATCTCCAACATAGCCGTTTCCCACCGCGTGGAAGCTGACAGGTAGGTTCACGCTATCTCCCCGAGCAACCTGCAGTGGATGTTGGTCATTGCATCCAGATAGAGACAGTCGTGGGCGTTCATGGACGGAGAACTGGTGCCATTGCGATACTGACTTGGCGGATGGCCGATCTCCGTCATCAAAGAGAGTAGAATAATTGGCGACATTTCCGAGAGCATCATGGACTTCCTCAATAGTGTAAAACCACTCTCCACCCACATTCAATGACTCGTTCAAAGGCAGGTCAATCTTCTGGCTCTGGGCCCACGAAATATCTGGCTGAGTCTCACTGAAAAGAGCGCCACTGGCCCTCTGATTCAGCAATGGAGAGCGCAGATTGTCAGGCTGAATGTTCTGGAAGGAGAACCCGCGGTCGAGGTGGTTAACTTGGCGGCTGTACTTGATTTTCAAGGGTGGTGTTCCCTCAACCTCGAGAACCAGGTTGGACAGTTCCCCCTTGCATTTGTTTGTATGTGAGTTTTTGATCAGCGCTCGCGGGCAAGAGACGACAAGTGCATCAGATGTACGCGTGTGAACATCTAGCTGAGATTCATCCACCACCCGCTGTAGACGATAGATACCTGTCTTCTTCACGGGTAGGAGCAGATCCCGATGGGCGACAGGCTCTCGGTTTGCATGCCGTTTGTCCGCCTGGCGTTTCAGTTGCTTGACTTGTTTTGCCGGGATGGTCAGAGTTTCGTTTTCGCCGGTGTTCAGATCAAGTCGCAATACCTCGATCATGATGGGGTCGGTTTGATTGACGCGAATCGGGAGGTTAACCGTGTTTCTTTGGGAATCAATGCAAAGCGCCTCGCGATCGGGATTCAGAACAGCCGACCTAGCCCCAGTCAGCTTGAAGATCGCACATCCACATCCGGGTTCCCGACTCACCCTTCGGGCAAAATGTGCACAATTTGTTTCCCTAAAATCAAGGACGCATTGTGTATAATATCTCCGGGTTTGACCCTTCGCTCCGAGATGGAGAGTTCGCGATCATATGCGACCTTGACCATTCCTCCAATCCAGGCGCCCATCGGAATCTAATACGAGTTAACTAAAGGTTGAAATTAGGAGGCGGGAAGGGTGCCCACCGGTATGCGAAACATCAAAAAGATGTTGCCCACCGCATGAAGAAGGAATAGCGACAGCGTCGTGGGGAATGCCCACTCCAGCCATGGGATGCGCAACGCCTGTAACCCAAATAAAAAGAAGCCATCCACCGACACCCACTTCAGAAACAACCAGGTCGCATCCAAATCGTCAGACGCTGTCCACGAATCGTACACTCGCCAGGCATTCAGTGCCAGATAGAAAGCGACCACGTAGAGGCGTTGCGACGGAGCGTCGACCACGTCGACGGGGATCAACGGTGTCGCATTTGGGCGTTGTTGGATCGCCTTGGACGGGGATTTCGATGGAGACTTGGCGGGCTTGAGGGAGGGCTTTAGAGGAGACCGTGTATCGCGAGACTGAGAGCGCGTCGGGGTCTCAAAGAGCCTTCTCCGTTGTGGGAGAGTCTGGGGCGTCTGAGGAAACGCAGACGGGAGGCGGGGCGTGCCATTCATGGCAGCAGCATGCTGTGGTTAGAGGATATTTGGCTGGGTGGAGGAAGGCAGACAAGATTATGAGGAGGAAGAGGACGAAGAGAAAAACAGTTGTGGTGGGCAGGATCAAGTAGTCGTTGGGTGTTTGTTGCAGAGTGTGAGAGAAACAAAAAACGCGTCGGGAGGAAAGAAGAAAAGGAAGGGAGCTCGGTCCACCCACCATTCCTGGTATACCTCAACTCCCCAACTTCCAATTCATTCACTCACTTCGCCATGGCCGCTCGCAAACGACGCCGTAGCCCGTCGGCAGACATTTCAGTCTCCGAAATCTGCCAGCGGGCGACATCTCAGGAGCGAGACAGCTGGAATGGCTTCTGTGAGATCGAGTCAGAGCCAGTAAGTGACCAATCATTCCTCGCTTTGGGACCGCATTTTGACCATCTTGCCAGGCCCTTTTCAATGTGATGCTCCGGGAGTTTGGAGTCAAAGGGGTCAAGGTGCAAGAAGTTGTTTCGCTGGACGAAGAGATGATGGCTTTCCTCCAGTATGCCTGATATATGCCCTTTCGCCTGGATACGGAGAGGCCCTTCTAACATATTGTGTACAGTAAGCCGGTCTACGGATTGATCTTTCTCTTCCGCTGGCGCGAAGATGATTTCGGAAAGCAAGAAGCAAGCTGCCCGGAGGGCCTCTGGTTTGCCAATCAGGTCAGTCGTGTGAATGGTCAGGAACCGCTTCTAAGCTGAAGATGGCGACGACAGACCGCCGATAATGCATGCGCGAGTGTCGCATTGCTGAACATCGTCAACAACATCGAAAATATCGACTTGGGAGAGAATCTTCAGCACTTCAAGGATTTCACCATGCCATTCACCCCGGCGCTACGGGGCGATGCCATCAACAATTTCGAGTTTGTCAAAAGAGTCCACAACTCTTTTGCACGGTACCGGACCTCTTCCTTCGATGTTCGTGCACTGGATAATGATTCCCTCTAGAAAAATGGACATGCTCGGTTCAGATTTTCAGCTCAAAACCGAATCCAAGTCTAAAAAATCTAGCAAGGCCAAAAACAGCCATGATGAAACTGACTCGGATGCTTCCTTCCACTTCATCGCTTTCGTACCAGCAATGAGAAAAGTGTGGAAGTTTGATGGCCTCGAACGGCAGCCCCAAATGTTGGGTAAGTGTGTGCGCGCTTCGGCACCGATCCTTTCTCATGATTTTCGGTAGGCGAATGCAGCGAAGAAGACTGGCTGGAGTTGGTCAAGCCGGATATTTTCACGCGTATGGCGGCATATGAAGAGGACCAGATCGAGTTCTCCATCCTGGGTCTCGTGCGAGACCCCCTGCCCGAGCTGCTGGGACAGCTTGCGGTCAACGTGCGGTGTCTAGAGATCCTCAACCAGTGTATCTTGTCCCAGACAGAAGAAGAGCTGGGAACCACACTGAATGCGCTTCAGGAGACGATACTAGGACCTGACTCCTCTCTGCCCTTGACGCGCGAGGATATCAACACGGCCGACGTGTCTGCTCAAGAGCGCGAGTACGAATCATACTCTGCGGCACAATTACAGCAAGCACAGCAGGAGCTCAGCAATGCGCAGCGGGGCTTGCGTGCAAGCATCCAGGAGGAGAAACAGTCACAGTGGGCAGACGCGGACTATGCTGCTGGACGGCGGTTTGACTATGCTCCCGCGGTGCGGACTTGGCTGCGATGCTTGGCCCGCAAGCAGCTGATTCAGGAATTGCATTGGTAGTTAGTTAGCTTGGGTTTGTTCGGTAACTACCTACTTGTTTCCCATAGTTCACCTTCGCGGCCATTATTATTGGTTGCCACACGGGCACCTCATGGTCCCGCATAGGGTTGAGATTGGCCCGCTGATAGTAGATAAGCAGAGGTACTGAGTACTTGGGCACAGCTATGACAGCTCACTACATTCCAGGTACCTGATACTTCTAGCGTCTGGCCCTCGTTTTTGTATTCAAAACGCACGTCACCGCCCAGCGCCAACTTCCCATCCTCTCTTTTCGTTCTTTTGCATTCTCGTTTGTTTCAATCTGGAACATCCTGGTCTACGTGGGATCTGCCTTGCCCTGTCTCTTGTCGAATCCCTCCCTCTTCTCTCCTCCACAACCAGAGGCAGGTCCCCGAGACGCTCCTCGGTTTGCCACCCTTTACCCACACCTACCACCTCGCCTCTTCAACGAAACATTCTTTAAGTTCCCCCCACTCACACATCGCTCCGACAGTTTCAACAACCTCACCCGCCATGTCATCCGTCGACGCAACACCCGAGAAAGCCCCCGATGATTCTTCCAAGCTGAAAACCTTCCTGGGCATCCTGCGCAAGTACGCGCCCCGCTAGACACAACATAGGAACAAAGCGCTGATGCATGTGCGTGGTCTAGGTTCGTGGGTGTGACAGACATCGCCTCGGTGCGCTTCTCGCTGCCAGCGCAGCTGCTCGAGCCCCGGCCGAATCTAGGTAAGTGGAAGCTTGTGATTGTGCGGGGTTCAAAAGAGCTGACTGGATGTTTCCCCAAGAATATTGGCACTACCTGGACCGACCCGAGACTTTTGCGAGGTCAGCACCCTAATTCAGCGCACTAAACTAATGCTGACATCTGCGCTACAGCATTGGCAAGTCCGATGACGAGCTAGGTCGGATGCTGGAAGTGTTGCGGTTCTGGTTCACCAAGGACTTGGTATATATTTGATTGGTCCCGCAGGAAGATGACGTTTGCTGAAAATGCGACAGAAATACATCAAGGGCAAACCGTGCAAGCCATACAATTCGACTCTCGGTGAATTCTTTCGGGTAAGTCCCTTGGTCTGTCCTTCTGGAAGCTCTTGGTCCGCTGAACCTGTCGTCTTTGCTTTCATATAGTGCAGCTGGGACGTGTCAGATGCGGTCCCCGAAGAAGCGAACCTGCCTGGTGTGAGCTCAGGTAGCAGCGGTGCTTCTACCGTTGGTGATAGCACCGGGGAAACGGTCAAGGTATCCTATCTGACCGAGCAGACCTCACACCACCCACCTGTCTCCGCATTCTATATCGACTGTGCGGAACGGGGAGTCACCGCGCGCGGGTTCGACCAAATCAGCGCCAAGTTCACCGGCACCAGCATTCGGGTATCTCCCGGTCAGCACAACTTGGGCATTTTCGTCACACTTGAAAAGAGAGACAACGAGGAGTACCAGTTAACCCATCCGTCCGCACATCTGGGAGGCCTGCTGCGAGGCGCCCTGTCGATTACCGTCTCCGATACATGCTATATCAACTGCCCGAAGACAAAAGTCAAGGCTATTCTGCAGTACCTGGAGGATGGGTGGCTTGGACGGTCTCAATATAGGGTGCAGGGGGTGATATTCCGCTACGATCCCGACAATGACACCATCACAAATATCAAAGATGTGCCAGAGGGGGATGTGCTGGCCCGGATCACCGGCTCATGGCATGGCAAGATTTATTTCACCCCTACAGGGACCAAGGAGCCTTGCTTGCTGATCGATATCACCCCTCTCTGCCCCACGACAAAGACTCTCCCTCCAGACGAAGAGCAGCTGTCCAACGAATCGCTCAAATTCTGGTCGGACGTCACCTCCGCCATTATTGACAAGCGGTTCACCCAGGCCACTAAGCTGAAACAGGAAATCGAGGAACGGCAGCGACAGCGGGCCGCAGAGCGCAAAGAGAAAGACGAGGAGTGGAAGCCGCGCTTTTTCACTGGCGCAGTCACGCCGCTGGGTAAACCAGAACTGACCGAGGAAGGACAGAAAGTCCTAGAAGGCATCCGATCCGGCCACTACGCCTTGGAGGAGAGCGATATGCAGGGCGCATAAACCAACCGTTTTGATCATGTTGATTCGATTATTGTCCGTGGCGTATCTGGCATGCGACCCTGCAAACTCGGCGTCTCTTTGTTGCTTTCCATCTGGTCTGCCCTGCTTCTCTTCACATACTTAGATCTTTCACAGAAGGGACTTGGCGCTCTTCATGTATCTTTTTTCTTGTTCCCTCCCCCATTCCTCCTGGGCACTTCGGTGGATAGTGGATAACAGTGGTCCCTGCGTCCCGAAGTTGAATCAGGCATCCAGAATGAATAATAGAAGTCGAGGCTTAAGTTCATAGTACTATCCTGTGCAATCCCTCGTAGAGATTACAATATACGCTAGAAAAGGATCTTTTTCCGAAGAGAGAGCTGTTGATGAGCTGTAGTAAAAATTCATTATCAAAACTCCACGAGAAACCAACCGCCTTCCAGTTGCACCCATGCTCAATACAAACAATGTACAAATTATAGTGTCAAGACCAACAAGGAGAATCTAGGCCGCCGCACTGGCAACCTTGGTGAAGCCTGCGGTAACGGACTTTGTAATTTCCTCATTTTTATGCGGCAGAAGAGACAAAGCATACGCGACATCATTCCACTGCCGCTCTGTCTCGCACCTTGGTAGCCGAGCAGCCAACTTGTCGGCCAGCTGACGGGCGTGTTTCTCCTGAAGACGTCATTAGCCCAAGCATTGACATGGACGGAGAGAGAAACGCTTACCTTTTCGACGAACCCAATCAAGAACTTGATGATCCGACGCAGCGAAACCTCCTCGAGGTTGCGCTCCGCACTCAGCAGACTGAACATATCGACGAAGTGGTTATACACGGCGTTGTCCTTGGTGGCTAGTTCAGTGAAGAACATGCGCGCCAGATCCGCAATCTTCTTGTCATCATCCTCCAGGCATTTGGCCATCTCACCCAGCTGACCCTTCACTTTGACCTGACCGGCCAAAATTAGGAAGGTGAGAGTCATGAGACATGTGCGCTTCACGGAGGCCTCGTCGTCATTCAAACGGCGGTACAGGAAGTCTGTGTTTTCATCGATGAGATGATTGAAACAGACTGCCATGTCGCCGAGTGCAATTACAGCGTTACTACGCACAATGGGATCCTCGGACCGTTCCATGATGGTGATCAACAGTGGCAGGTTTTTCTCACAGTATTCAGCAGACACACACATCAACTTAGCCATGCACAGTGTCGCCGCGGCCTGCAAGTCGCGGTCTGGGTACGCATTGTTGTTCGCGCAAATCTCAGCCACGAGAGGGCCGAACTTGGCCAGGAGAGAGTTCTCACCGTAGAGAAGCTCGCGTTCCCGAATGTGGGCCATGGCATCCTGGAAATCGTCTTCGGTAGTACCACCGATCAGGTCGAGCTCATCGTCCTCGGCGTTTTCGTCCTGCTGAGGAACAGGGTTTGCAGGCTTGTTTTTCTCCTGCTCGGCTTTGCGGCGTTTGAAGTCCAGTTCGCACAGCTCAAGGTGTACAATCTGCTTGATCGCGATGTGACCCACGACGTAGAGCAATTGCGAGAGAGCAGCAGATGAGGCCTTTGGACTGGATCCTTGGGCGTCACTCGATGCTGTTGCTGGTCGTTGGTCCTCTCCTTCGGCAGAGGTGTGGGAAGAGGAGGGGCGTTGCGCATAGGGTGAGAAAACAAAGACGGTTTTCCGCCGAAGGATGTCGGAGCAAAGAACATCGGGGTGTTTGGATAGAGTGTAGATGGCGCTGATTGCTTGCTCAGCCACGCCATACCACTCTTTGCTATTCGAGACAATTTCCAGCATAGACGCGAGTTTTGTCAAGACCGCATGGTCGTTAGGAAGCTTGGAGATGGCGACATCGCGGGATTTCGCTTGACGCCCGGGAACCATGCGTCGCAATGCAATGCAAGTGTATTTGGCAAGGACAAGGTCCGACCTTCCCAAGCCTCCAAGACCGATTCGCAACATCGCTTCGGTCTCCTTTACCACGACTTCTGGGTCTGCGAGAGCGAGCATGCCGAGCACAATAATTGCCCCGCGGCGTTGGGTTCGCGAGATCTCCTTCTTTTGGACACTGTAGACCTGCCACAGCTTGGCAATCACCGCCTCTGATATATGGCCCGCCTTCATCATGGTAGAAAGTAGCTGCTCGAGGCATGTGAGTTCAGCGGGTGTCGAACCGAATGTCAAACTGATCATATTGCGAGCGATATAGTTTGCAGCATCGTTGGGGCTGAAAGAGTCTGGTGCATCAAAGAAGAGACCCTTATAGGAATCAATCAGATGCGTCTGGACACCCTTTCCTTCATCGCTGTTGCCCTTGGTCCAGATCAGACGGATCATGCGGCGAATACCACTGCGAGCCGTCTCCACCTTGTACGCATCGAGAACGACAAAGAAGTCCATGGCCTCGATGACCTCGCTCTTGTTGCGAGATGAGAGCAGTTGTGAGACGACAGTGGAGGCACTGTGAAGCACTTCAATGAAGCGAATGGCCTCATTATAGTACTTCCTCGTCAATTGCAGCCGAGTCAACAACTCAGACGTCGCTGCTTGTTCCGCGGCCTTTTCTATTTCGGCTTGTTTCTGCTCCTCGGTCATGCGAGGCGCTTTGGAAGGAGAGTCGTCCGGCATCTGAGTGGCCTCGTCTAACAGGTCCGGGTCCACCACCTGAGTGACCCCCTCAAACCCTGGGGTTTCGGGTGGCCGCAGCTCATTCAATTCGGCGTCCACACTGTCAAGTCGGGCCGTCCATTCTTTCTCCGAAAGCTGTCCACCGTGCATAACGCTAAATGGATGGGTGGAAACAAGCTTGGCGAGCAACTTAATGGCGTTTCGACGAACGTTGCTGCTCTTGTCTTCCAAGCTTCGTGCGGCCAACTCAGCGGCTGCCTGTCGTCTCTTGGGGAACTTCTGCTCCAAGTCGCATATTCTCATGAATACTTGGATGGCTCGGCAGCGGCAGTAAGGGTTGATGTCGAGGAATCGCTCTTCCAGGACATCGAAAAAGGCATTTATCTGGGTCTTGTAATTTTCACTGCGCTCTTCCTGTCTACTCAGATCGGAAATGAGGTTCCCGCAGACCTCAACGACTGCACAGCGGAGGGTATATGACTTGAACGGTGTCAGTCTAGACATGGGGTAAACGGGTGGGAGATGTAGATACTTCGCTGTCAAGTTGTTTGGCTAAGAGAGTCATTTGTTTGATGATCAGCCTGGGGGCAAGCTCAGAGAGCTTCACAATAAATGCCGACACGGACTTGGGTCCTCTGGTGTCATTGGAGTTGAATTCTTTATTTCCGAGCTCCCTATACAATGTGAGCGCTGGACCATCAGATACAGAATTGGACACGGTCATACTTTAGGATCTCATCTGAGAGTTGCGGATAGTCATATTGCTCTGCGAGGATGTGAAGGAATTCGGCCATGGGTTCCGACAGATGCTCGAAATACGTCAGGCTCTGCACGATTGAGGTTTGCGCTCCTGCGTATCTGGTTAGAACAATGTACAACACGATATCTTCTATACCTACCGAATGCGTGGCCATGGTGCTTGACCGCGATGCACAGAACCTTGAAAGCGTGCATGCGAATAGCCATGCTCTTGACGCGCTGCTCGCTCTCGAGAATAAGATAGATCGTTCGGGTAAACAAATTAATGAATGTGTCACGATCCGAAGTGGTCAGAAATATGCGCCCCAGTTTAAGTTTCATCACCTTGCACATCGTCTCCATCGATATTTGGATCTGCGGGGTCCAGTCCCAATGGCCATCCTTGGCCGCCTTCTTCGATTTCCCTGCGCCTCGGCGCGCAGGTGCGGCCTCGGTCGATTTTTCTGCGGCTTTGACTTCGACGGCGGAGAGAGCCCACTGAAGGAGAAATCCATACATCTCCAGTAGTTGCTTGTGGTGTTGGATAGCATCCTGCTCGTCGGATTCGAGGTCACTGTGAATCATGTCCGCCTCAACCGACAGTCCCGAGACAATTAAATCCAGGAGTTTGCTGAGTGACTTGGTGGGGAGAAGGGTTGAGTATCTGCAAGAGTTTAAGAGTTCAGAGTCGGTTCCAGATGGGCCATGGGGGAGTTGGGAAGGGACCGGGGCGCACTTTAGAAGAAGTTGCAGGGAGTCAAAGAAAGAGGATCGCGTCAATCCTTCTGGGTTTTCCGCCACTGCGTCTACTATGGGGTTCAGGACATTGTCCACGAGGGCGGCGGACAGCTGCTCAGGATCGGACTCGCAGTCCAGCAGCTCGGGGTCGGCATCGGGAGTAGGGATGGAGGTGGGATCGCTCAAGTAGTACTTGAGCGAATCGTTGATGTCGAACTGTATTCTGTCCTCCATGGCTGGATATGTCTGTGTGGTGGGATGGGAGGAAGACGGATGGATGAGCGCGATCAGTTGCGGCGGGGAGAAACAAACCCGATTAGGTCAGCTGTTTTGTTTTTGCCTGTTTGAGTGCTGGGCGGTAACTATGGGCAATAATGCCCGCGTTCAGTCCTGTCTGTAACTAGGTACTCTAGAGACACAACAAGCCCACCCGTGTTTCTCCCATGCCCTCTGCCCCTCATGTCCGCTCTTCGTGCGGCCCAGTCAGAGGTGTTTGAGCTTCACCGGAGCAGTTCGTTTCAACAGCCACGCTCCATGAAGCACAGGCACGCGTCTGAAGAGGACGATGGGTCTGGCGACAATACCGAAGCTTCCCAGGACCCGGCCGACTTTGAGGAGGAAGAAGAAGTCGACGAGTCAGTTCGGGAGGATATGAAGAAGCTGGAGGACACTTTCCCGGGAATCTCAGATCGGTTTCGCCTGATCAATCGGATCGGAGAAGGTATGGTTACGTTTTGTTTCCCAGCAAGCGGCTGAGTGACTGACAATGTGCCAACGGCAGGCACCTTCTCCACGGTGTATAAAGCAGAAGACCTGCTGTATGATCACTACATGAACGACTGGGATATCTTTGACCAGGCCCAACACGACACCTGGGCCAGCCCTCCCTCCAAACGGCGGCGCGTTGAGGGCGAATCGGTGGGGCGGAAGAAGGCGCGCTTCGTGGCGTTGAAGAAGATCTATGTCACAAGCAGCCCGATCCGCATTCAGAACGAACTCGAGCTGCTCCATGATCTGCGAGGGTGTAAATCGGTGTGCCCTCTCATCACGGCGTTCCGGTATCAGGACCAGGTCGTCGCGGTGCTGCCCTTCTTTCCACATACCGACTTTCGCATTCAGTACCGCACCTTTATGGTTGCGGACATGCGCCATTATCTGCGATCACTGTTGACTGCGCTGCAATCAGTCCACGAGCACAGTATCCTCCACCGGGACATCAAGCCTACGTATGCTTTCTATCTTTCTTGATTTCCTTGCCTGCTGCTGACCATCTTTACAGCAACTTCCTCTATAATCCGGATTTGAAAGAAGGGGTCCTGGTTGATTTTGGCCTGGCAGAAGTGAGACCCCCTCCAGACTCATACTACACACAGGAAGCTAATCCCCCTTGCCTCTACAGCGCCAAGGATCCGAGTATACCAGTCCATGTCTCTGCGCGCACCCAACCTATGTTCGTCGAAGCCGAATCCTTTCCAGCTACTATTCCAAGAACCCCCCGCCCAATGGGTTATCAGCTGGTCACCCCAAAGCCGACTCTAGGCCATCGAGGCGCGCGAACCGTGCCGGCACTCGTGGCTTTCGAGCACCGGAGGTTCTTTTCAAATGTACTTCACAGACCACAAAGATTGACCTGTGGTCTGTCGGCGTCATTCTCCTCACCTTGCTTGGACGCCGGTTCCCCTTCTTCAATTCCGCGGATGACATCGATGCGATGATTGAAATGTCCAGTATCTTCGGAACGCGCCGCATGAAGACAGCGGCGGCCTTGCACGGGCAGATATTCGAGACGAACATCCCGACTATTGGAGAGAAAGGGTACAGCTGGGAGAAATTGGTGAAGTGGTCGAGCTGTGTGGAGGACTTGACTGAAAGCGAGCAACAAGCAACGCGCCTTTTGTCCGGTTTGATGGAGCTGGATCCCTCCAAGCGCCTGAGTGCTGCAGAGGCCCTGCAGCATGAATTCTTCCTTAACCCTATCCTTCATGATGTCGAATGGGGAGGCCACCCCGACGATGAAAGTGCGGATTCTGCCGAAGAGGATGGCGGAGGCGAAGACGAGGAAGTAGACGAGGTCGCCATGGTATGAGACCCAAAATTTGTACGATATATGACACAATTTCAATGCTATCCATGCCAAAACTGCTCGCTCCTACAGTAAATCCTAATAAAAACATCCCAGGGGAAAGACAAACGCCCATAAACAGTATCGCCCCGCGAAATGCGTATACATACTCAAAACAAGAACCCCCAAATGCTACGCGGATTCCCCAAAATCATAATGGCCGGTCTCCGTGGCATGCTGGCTAGCCCCCTTCTCTCCAGTGAAGGTGCCACCACAGGTGTTGCACCGGAGAAGGAAGCCAGAGGTGTCTGTATAGTAATGCTTGCTTTGAAGGATCCGACACATCTCCTTGGCCTTCCCCAGAACGACCGGGTCGGCCGCATCAAAGACCTTGGTGTCATCGGTCGTGAAATGATTGGCACGAGTGTACGGCGGAGCAGATGGGGTGAGTGCGAGGACGTCGTAGTGAATGCCAGAGTAAACCACAATACACCGAGTTGGGGCGCCCTCGTTAAACTGAAACATGTGCAGTGTCTGCACGTCGATTGAACAGATTTCGATGTTGAAATATTCGCTCAAGGCCTTGAGTTCAATCGCCCCGCCCCATGAATCCTCATTCTGGATCCAGCGACAATATTCGTCCGGCCTTTTGCCCAGAATCGCTGCGGTATATTCTGCTGGATTGGTCTGGATGGCCCCTGCCACTATCGAACGCAGCTCGACCATTGTGTCCATGTCGCCCATGACTGCGGCGCCCACCGCGCGGAACAGACACGAGTTGTCGTCGGGCATGACGCGGAGTACAAATGTGCCCCCATGCTCGGGAGAAGCAATCTCGGGCGGATCATCGGCGGACTTCTCGTGCTGTGACTGGAGCGGTTGCTTGGAAGGCTGCGGGGTGGTTGTTGGAGCGGCCTCCTTCGGTGTGCCACCACTCACTGCGGGCGCCGGGGCCGCTCCCTCCTTCTGTGCCACGATCAGTGACTCTCCGTTGAGGTTGACTCCAATGTCTGCCAGCCTCTGATCCGGCTGCCAGCTCTCCAGGTCTAGCGGTCTCAGATCGGGGTAACCGTATTTAACGCTGAAAACACCGAGGCCCGTCTTCTCCGCGATCTGAGTGCGGAGATCTTCGACGGTGGCCGAGTCGTCCAAAGTGACGGTCGACTGACCCGAGGGTCCACGGACACGGAGTCGCATGCTGAGGCCGATGGATAAGAGGAGAGTGTCGGAATGAGAAGACGGAAGAAAGGTGGCGGTTCCTGCGGCCGAGGCCCACTCCTGCTAGTGATATGACGCGACTGGTGTGGGGTAGGTCCCTGGGTCAACTGAGGAAGCTACGAGCTCGCCGGAGAGTAGTGAGAGAATAATCGGAGCACAAGACAGGCTGGTCACTGTCTCTAGGCAAGGGAGCCTGGCCACGAGAGCGTGTCGCAGTGCTCTAACTCATCAGCACATTGGCACTGGCTCGATGGATGACCGGGCACTATCAGACACCTTCCCGACAGGAGCAGCGGTCAGGACTACAGCATGGGGATATCTTTATGATTTAGCTTCACTGTTGGGGATTGCCAGTGCAATGGAAGGGATAGTCGATACCACCATAATACAGGAGGGACGTAATATTACATTTGCTGACTCAGCACTTAGCAAACATTCTCCTACTGTTCTCGCTCTCGCTCTTCGTGACCGATTCTCAAAAGGGATCGAGCCTTCCGATTCCATTCCCCATCGCATCCTAGAATTGTTGCATCTGGCTCAGCGTCTCGCTGTGGGTGCTAGTCAGCATGGCGTCGGAGGAAAGCTCGCAGCCTGACCAGCCCGTCAAGTCGATCGAGGGCGACGCCCTCACCGACGAAAAATGGAAGGGCATGACGGAGGTCCTGACCGCAATCTACGACTACAGAGAGCCAGAGTAAGTCTTTGGGTCTGCGTTGGCGCCTGTGATCTGTCTAACTGGTATGCGCCGTAGTGGTTACGACCCGTCGCGACTGTTCCAACGCAGCGTGAACAAGCGCATCGTCCCCGATTACTACGACATCATCAAGGAGCCGATGGCCTTGAGTATACTGAAACAAAAAATCAACAAACGTGAATACAAGCAATTTGGGGACTTTGTGCGCGACTGTGCTTTGGTATGAGCCTTCCTCTCCTGCGATGAGCAATGCGCCACTAACATGTCTCTGCTGCTTGCTAGATCCCACATAATGCCCAAACATACAATCGTCCCAAGTCTCAAGCATATGAGGATTCAATCATCATCAAAGTACGTGGGAAACCAACTCTCTGAGAGACGCGACGCGACTAACCACCTCTGCACTCAACAGGATGTCTTCGTTGCGGAATTCAAGAAGCTGGTGGACCATGGAGTGATCTCTACGGAGGAGGCTGAGCTGCCCGATCTGGGAGAAATACCAGAGCCGGACCCGCTCCCCGAAGAAGAGGAGGAAGAGGAAGAGGAGGAGGAAGATGACGAGGAGGACTCGGACGAGGAGGGCCGGCGGAGGAAGAAACCCGGGCCGAAACCAGGCTCCAAGCGTGGAGTGAAAGACCCCAACCAGAAATCTGCCCATGAACCCAAGAAACGAGGACGCCCTCCGCGCGTGGATACTCCCATGGAGACCAGGATCAAGACCATCTTGAAGGGCATCCGGAAATTCAAAGGGTCTGGTGGTTACTTGAAAATCGGCCACTTTGAACGCCTCCCCGACAAGGCCGCCTACCCGGACTATTACATCGAGATCAAGGAGCCGATTGCCATCGATATCATCAAGCGCAAGTCGAAGCGCAAGAAGTACCACTCGGTCGATCACTTCATGCGCGATCTGGATCTCATGTTCGAAAATGCCAAGCTGTACAACCAGTCGGACAGCCAGATCTACAAGGATGCGGTCGATCTTCAGAACGAGTCGCGCAAGTTGGCCGAGCAAGAGAAGAAGAAGCCTGACAGCGATTTCCTCATGGAGGATGGTCGCTTCCCACTGCCGGATGGAATTCTATTCCGAGGCGAGTTGTGGAAGGTCGGAGACTGGGTGCACATTCAAAATTCAAACGACGTGACCAAGCCCATTGTCGCGCAGATCTACCGGACCTGGCAAGACTCGGAAGGGGAGAAGTGGATCAATGCTTGCTGGTATTACCGTCCGGAGCAGACGGTGCATCAGTTTGAAAAGCATTTCTATCCGAACGAAGTGGTCAAGACTGGTCAGTACCGCGACCACAGGATCGATGAGATCGTGGACCGTTGCTTCGTCATGTTTTTCACTCGGTACAGCCGGGGTCGCCCCAGGGATCTTGCACCAGACAAGGAGATCTACGTTTGCGAAGCTCGCTACAACGAGGAAAAGCACAAACTGAACAAAATCAAGACCTGGGCCAGCTGTCTTCCCGACGAGGTGCGAGACAAGGACTATGAGATGGATCTGTTTGATATGCCTCGGAAGATCAAGAAGATTCCTAGTCCGATCAAGCACCTGCTTAAGGACGATGCCAAGGAGACCGACGATCTGCCTAAACCGACCTGGGGAGCGGACAACGCACCGCCTGTTGTGGGTGCTGTCCATCGCCGGCCCCGGGATGAAAATGTGAGTGCCCAAACACCGTCAAGTGGTGCAACTTCCAGACTAACCATTCCATTCTTTTGCAGGAGTCTCCGCCACCAGAGCCCACTCCATCACCTCCACCGGTACCCCCGCCCACCATGGCTCCGGCTGCGGCTCGCCAACCCACCATGAGCCAAGGACTTGCACGGGCCAGTATGAGCAGCCCAGGTGGTGCCGCACTCCCTGGGGTCCCTCCACTTCAAGCACGCTCTCCTGCGGCGCCAACCCAGACCTCTCCGGTACCCGGTCCCGCGGGAGCTTATCCGCCGCAGATGTACCAGAACCTCCAGCACCGTCCCAGCAACTTCGCTCAGCAGTCGCCTCACGTGGCCGCCGGTTACCAGGCATCGCCTGCCTACGCGCAGCCATCTGCTTACACCCCCTACCCAGCCAATCGCCTGCAGCCCGCGGTGTACAACCCCAACGCGCCCCGTCCGGTTGAAGTCTTCAACCTCAGCGACGCCGCCAACGCGGCAATCCCTCCCGATATCCGCGCGCAGTTTCACTGTGACGACAAAGGCCGCGTGCTCTTCTTCTCCACTCCTCCCTTGGACATCGTCCCCCCGTCGCAGCAGAAATTGAGCCATTCCCTTAAGTACATGGCTACGAAAGACGCGCGTCAGAAGCGAGTCGAGGAAAGAAAGCGCAAGAGGGCCGAAGAGAAAAAGGAACGAGAGGAAGCCACGAAGCGCTTGCGGGCTGATGAGGAGACGGTCCTCGCCAGCCGCGTGGAAGCCCTTGCGCCCAAAGCAGTGGACGCGATGGTGCAACAGATCGTTGCTGGCACAGACGAGCTGTACAAGTTGCTCTACCTGGACCTGGCGGACAAGGTGCGGGCCGCCGATGGCAAGATCCGCGAGCACGGCATTCTGGCTGATCGCGTTGCGGCGGAGCAAATCTCTCGGATCCAGGCACAGTCCACACACGAAGGTCCTGCGGACCTCCAAGGCAGTGCATTGTACCGGGACGAGATCTAATTCAGAATGAAAGTGGACTGAGTAGTTTGTTTTTCATTGCTCTTCTGGTTTGATGCTGAGGCCGAGCATTTCGGACTGGAGTTTTCTGGGTGGGACAAGGGCATATCTCTCTGCAGGTGTTAGGACGTATGTATGATTAGGTCAATCTAGGAACCGAACCAATCCATATTACCAGATCAAAAATTAAGTGGGAGTAATGTGAGACGATGAATCACGTCTGCTATTTGCACAGTACCGCATTGTCCAATTTGTACATGATTTGAGGCTCTTGGCGGCACACGATCCATGAAAAACGAAAATTAAACAAAAGCACCAAAGAAACACCAACACATAAAAACAAGGTCGTTGACTCATGAACCAAACAGAGCAGGAGAGGCGGATCAAAATGACCTAACACACGGAACCGATAAGAAAAAAAAAAAAAGGTTAAGGTTGAGATCAAGAAGTCCAACCAGAAGTCAGATATCAAACCCCAAGAAACGAGATAAGATGATCAAAAGATCCAGGTCAAAAAAGAAGAGAGAAGTGGGGATAAATACAAGAGGTGACGAATCTGCAGGCGAGAAAAAGCATCCCTTGGCAAACAAGGGACGAGTCTAAATGAAAAAGATGGTTGGGTTGGTCAGTCTATGACGGGTGCAGAGAATGGAATGGAGGGAGAGAGGTCGACGTCTCCGGATGCCTCTTGTGTCTCTTTGTGTTGAACCACGACTCCATGGGATACCAGCCGCGAAAGCCGGTGACTTCCGATGATTTTTTGTGACGCTCCGTATGCTGTTATTGTGCCCCAGTAAACCGATTAAAAACTCCAATGCCTCTCTTTTGGTGGTTGATATGAACAATGTTCGAAGGCGTGAACGTCGCTTGGCCCGTGTCGTCGTGAAAAGGATAAAAACATGATTAAGCGGCGGAATCTTCCTTGGTATCAGAGTTCCAGGATGCACTGTTCCGCTTGTTGCCCTCCTCTTCCTCCATGGAGAAGACCAAGTCGCTCTGCTCCTCTTCGTCGATCTTGCTTGTGGGTAACGGAGAGGCCATGGAACGGTCCAGGCGGCCACTGCTGCTTGGTCCATTGCCGGAAGAGTGCCGGACAGGGCCTGGGTGGAGAGACATGCCGCTGAGCTGCTCGGAAATCATAGACATCGACGATTGGCGGCCAGGGCTGGAGACAAATGGTGAGCCGTCGTGGGATGTACGGCTGCCAATGGGACCCAGGCTAGGACTGCCAATGGGGTTCAAAGACGATTCACGCAGCGGAGAACCAATGTGCGGGTATGAGGAAACGTGGGTATCGTCTTCTTTCTTTTGACGCTGCTTGGCGAACAGCGCACCAAATCGAGACGGGCTGGAAGCCAAGGGTGAGCCGTTCTTCGAGAAACTGGAGCTGGTCATGCCCAGGCCACTCATGTCGCGGTGGCTCGAACTCAAGTCATGGTCTGTCCGCGAGAGTCGACGCAACTTCTCCTGTGGTGTGAGGACATCATCATGCAGGTTAATTGGCAGATAGTCCTCCTCCATGGGGAAATCGCCCTCCGCCCAGTCATCGAGGGCAGCGGGTCGAGGGACGGACGCGGAGAGCATGCGTGGTTTAACGGGGCGGGACGAGTGCAGGAACCGGGGTCCAATGGTGTCATCAGGAGCAGGGGGGATGATCCGATGTTGGACGAATGCTTCCGAAAATCAAACCCTTGTCCAAAATCGCGAAGGTTCCGAAAAGCGTCCGCACCGGGCCGCTGTGCCGGTGGAGACAGCTCGACGCCGAATTTCGAGGGAACGGAGGCCGCTACTGGACCATAGCGGGCGGCATGTGAGATCCCTTGGCTGTCGAATGAGGCTGGGAGTGGTGCATCCAGGGCTGTCAGATGGTGGTGATTCGGCGACATGGGGAATCGAACATCGTCCACCGGTGAGCCATACTTGGAGCCTGGGTCCGAGGCCAACCCGGCATCAATCGTGGGGATCGTATCATAGTTGGGCTGTTGCTGTCCATGCAAGGCTGGAAAGTCCTCCTGCTGGGCATATCGAGGCTCGTGGCCGTTCATACGTTGCTGCGAGAGGACGGAGTTGGTTAAGGCGGAGTCTTGGTTGACGTACGTCTGCGGATTGACTCGGCCACCAAGGTTCAGATGGCTGCCGCCCATGCTCATGCCTCCAGTCGGACGATTGACCCGACGACCATCGGGGAGGATGTGCGCCAGTGCACACTTTGCGCCGAACTTGCAGTTGCCCTACATCGAAAGAAGAAAAAAACATCAGCACCCCGGGAAAGCCGGAGCCAACGGGTTCGAAATTTCTGGCTGAACCCATACCTTTGTAAAGTATTTGCATGGAGCATAGTCCACGGCCGAGTCGGTTGAATGTAAGAAAGGACAGGCGGGGCCGGCCTGACAGGCACCCTGGCGGAAGAATTTGCAGGGAACATGTTTGGTGTCTATGGATGAGTTGAGTTAGCTTGAAGTCCCGAGATGGGCTGGAGAGCCAGCACAATGATGTGGATGAAGGGAGAAGAGGAATCCGACGCACTCTTGTTGCCGGGGTTGGGCGGGCTGCGAGCCATGTCGAGGCCCGAGGGGTTGCGCGAGTGACCATTCTGGACAGGCTGCCCGGAAGGCACAGGAAGCGCGCGACCTCGCATGTCGGGACGATTTGAGCCCGCAGGTTCCTGGCGAGAGGCCGACACCTGCATCGCCGCTGATTTGGGAGGAAGAGAAGAGAGGAAAAGAAAAGAACAGGAAGAAGAAACGCGGGAGAGCGACAGAGAAGATGAGGAGAGCAGAGTGGGGGAAGAGAAGGTCCGGGCGGTCAGAAGTATGTAGTCAGCGGTACACGCATTCTTGCTTGCCTGATCACGACTTAAATATGTATGCTATGCCTAGGCGTCTGACAATATTAATAGTAGTGGCCACTAGATTCCCTGTCAACTGATCGGTGAATCCCTTCTCTATTGAAGCGTCCCTTCCAGCCCCAACGACTCCTAGGCCACGCGACCTGGTCAGTGGCTCGGGCCTGATAATGATAGCACGATGTACTTACCCACAGCTCCGGCGCAGTCATCCCCTCCGGCAGCACCTCCGAGCAGATTCCCCACAGCTCGCGACAAATGCGACGACGCACCGCGGCATGTTGTTGCCAGCGGTTCCATTCCTGATCGAGCGCTTCCCGTTCGGCGAGCGAAACCTGGACCGCATCGGCGCCGTCCAGCTCGGCCAGTCGAGCTTGGATGGCGTCTCGTTCGTTTTCAAGCTGGAGGATGCCGTGACGGATCCCGGTCAACCGGGGTCGTGCCTCGAAGGCTGCCAGCCCCGCGCGGGCCTCTTTCTCGGTCGCTTTGAGAGCGTGAAGCTCCTCTTGAAGCTGATTCTTCTCCTGTTCCAGCGAAGCGAGTGTATCGGCGATGGAAGTATCGGACGTATCCTGCAGAGTATGATAGACAGTTTGCTTGCCTAAACCTGGATTCAGTAATTGCAGGGGAGGCAAGGTATAGATACCCACGGACCGGAAACGCGTCCTTCAATCTGCCCGTCTTGATGCAGTTTCTGGAGGTGCTTGGCAGCTTGCGCTGTACATGATTCGTCAGTAGCAGCGCATCATGGGGTTGATAGACAGCCCTCACCTTTGCTGACTTTATTGTGCAGATTTGCCGAGACCTCAATGGCCTGGAAAGTAGTTGTATCAGTCAATATATGGTAAAGGGCATGGGGAGCCTCAGGCGCACCGAGTAAGGACGACTGCGCCGACTCCAGGTCAGCCAGAATCCAGCGGATCAAGAGTAGACATACGCACTTCTGTCTGCCTGGAAGGGCCAGATCCGTCCTGGTGAGCAGCGGAGGGATACGTATGTATGGCAGGAACACTCACGAAGGTAGTCGAGTACCATGGCAGCATCTGTGCCTAGTCCAGTCAGTGACCTTCCAGTGACTCTGGGGGACGAGAACGCACCATCAGTCCCGCCTGCCGCATCTGCCTTGCTCTTGCGGGGAGCCATGGCGATGACTGGGGAGAGATAAAAATGGAGAGCAGAAGAGGGAGAGAAGGTGTGAAGCACCACGTGAGCAGTCGGTTTTTTAATAGGAAACATGTTGCATGACTGTGCTAGATCTAACTAATTCCCAAAGTCGAATATTATGTATGTTCAGAGAAAGCAAGAGGGGGCAAAATGCAACTATGTGGAAACAGCAGAGGGGAATGGAGACGCCAGATAGAACAGACAACTTTCGCCGCCCGAACGGCGATGACAATTTTGAGCGGGATTACAAAGTACCAGATATGCAAGGTTCAAAAGGATCAAACGCCCAACAGGGAACTCGTAAAACATGGACAAGATGCAAGGGAAAAGATTGCTACTCCACGAGGGTATCAATCACATCACAATCTGCGGAAAAGTCAGTGAGCTGTACAGGCAGGGAGAAGTCTGGGGGGGGGGGGGGGGGGGACGTACGCAATCGCTGTCATTCTTAGCACTGGGCACTCCCATCTCTTCGAAAGTCTTGGGGCCCTTGCCCGGCACAGGACCAGGAGGCTTCGATGGCTTCGATGGCTTTTGGGACGAAGTGGACGACGAGGTGACGGATGGCTGGGGAGTGGAGGAGCCCGAGCCTATAGACGGCCCGCGAGACTCCCCTCGCGATGGGAAAGAAGGCGAGCCTGGCGGACGCGGGGAGGCCGGGGGACGGGGCGAGGGCAGTCCGCCATGAGAACCCACAGGAGTCCTAACGGGTTTGCGATCTGGGGTTGCCGCGTCCAGGCGTGGGGGGCGTCTGCGGTCCATTGGTGCAGAGAACCCGGCATCAACTCGTGGGGCACCTCCTGGAGGACTCATCATTCCCTGTGGACCAGGAGGGGCACTGGCTGGGGTAGCCGGACCAGGCGGGCGATAACCCATGGGCCCTGACCCATAAGACGGAGTCCGAGGGCCAGGAGGCCCGCCATAGCCGGGGGGCGGATTCTGGCGCAGATTCGGGTTCACGCCAAATGCGGAGCTTGGTCGATGATCGGGCATGTTCAGCGGGCGGCGATCAGAATAAGGACCAGATCCATTGCTGTCGTTCAGACTCATCCGGGATGGATCGGGCATCTCAATATTCTCCGGCGTGGCTTCCAAGGACCCCCCTCGTCGCGACTTGATGCGGGCGATGGCCACTTTCTCGTGGTCCTTGCGGGACAGAGTCTTCGACCGCGAGATGCTGTCGATTCGACCGGATGCATCCTTATTGCCACTCGCGGCGGCTTTGGCATACCAGCTTCGGGCTTCTTTGATATCCACCGGCACGAAGATGCCCACCTCGTAGAAGTAGCCGAGCGCGAACTCCGCGGTCGGCAGGCCGCTTTGGGCCGCACGCTGTGCGTAGGTGAAAGCCAATTCGTCATTCTTCTCAAATACGCCCTCGTGACCGCAGAGGAACCATTTACTGATTGCCATCTCGGCTTCCGGCTCGCCTTGACAAGCCGCCAGCGCGTTGTAGTGCAGGGACAAAGCGGGGTTGAAATCACAACCCAGTTGGCATAATTCATATGCAGCGCCCATCTTCACCTGAGCTTTAGCAAATCCGTGGTAGGCAGCCTTCTCGATGTTGATACGGGATGCATTTAGATCGAGCGGCAGATAAGTCTCTGGAACATTGACTTGAGGGAGTTCCCGGGCTAAGAGCATGCCATAGACCTGTTGATATTAGAAACCCATCCTCGACATTGATGCGTGGGACACTCACATAGGCACCTTGCGGTGCGTTCTGGTCGCAGGATTGCGCAGCGAGTCGAATGTAGTCCAGTCCCAGAGAGAAATCCTGGCGTTGACCGTGTTGTCCGAGGAGAATCATCATACCCAAACGCTGGCCGGATGTTAGTGTTAACCCAAGTCATGATTTCACCCCAAACAAAACATACGTAGTAGGAAGCAGAATCGGATGAAGAAACACCCCGCTCATAGTGTTTGATTGCTTTTTCTGGCTCGCCCGAACTCTCAAACTGCATGCCGATGCGGTACTCGGCGCGTGCATATCCCTTCTCCGCGGCGCGCGTATAGCAGCGGAAGGCCTCCTTGCGGTCGACACGGTAGCCAAATTTGCCGAATTCGAGCCACATGCCCTTGATGAATTCTGCCTTGGGGTGGTGCTGCTCGGCCAGGAAGCTGACAATGTTCATCGCATCCACCTTCAGCTGCCGTTCGACCTGCGGTGTGTGCGGGCGCGGCGGCTGAGTCAACGACAAGCGGGCTTCGTTCTGCGCGGACACTTCGACATATGCCAGGGCGTCCTGAGCCCAGGCCAGTTGCATCTCGGGATCCGTGGTCGACAGCACCGCCATGCGGGCGCGCTCCAAGCTCGCTTCTCTCTGTTCATCGGTCGGAGGAACGTTTGGCGGCGGATTGCGCAAGACCGGGAAAGGCGAGAAGTTGGGATGGTCCATACTCTCGTAGGTGGCCGACTGCGCGTACGGGCTGGGGTCGTACGCCTGGCTGTGTTGGGGCTGCTGGCTGTGCACGATGGCGGCGGAGGACGTGCGCTCGGGGTATGCGGCACGAGTGTTATTATTATTGTTGTACTGCGGTGGCTGTGGACCGCGACGGGGATCGGGGGCGTGATGTTCCATCTGGGCGAGGTTGTCCTGCATGTGTTCGGGGACTTCGGGCATGACTCTGGTCGGATGGATGAGCATCCTGACCCGGGGCATAATGATGAAATGATGGGGGAGGGGGGCGAAAGAGTCAGTTCGGGCGACGCACCTTTGGGGGGAGGGGGAGATGACCTCCGGCATGTAGAAGTCATCCTGGCCCCCTGGATACCAGGTCGCTCCCAGCCGTTGCTGACCACGGCCCTGCGGTGGTCTGTTCATGGTGGCCTGCGGGGAGGTGGCGGTGGGGACTGGTAAGGGGAATGAGGAGGTATCAGTGATGGAAACGGGCCGTTGGGGGAGAGCATCCACGACCGAAAGAGAAAATCCACGGAAGGAGGGAAGTAGGCAGTGGTCAGTGGGAGGGTAACTAGAAGAATTCCGCCAAGAGTGGGCTGTCGAGGTACCGTCAGTCGTCCCTGGCGGTGTTCCAGGGTTCTTCACCCCACTATATTTACTGCCTGTCCTCCTTCGCCCGACACGACGACCCGACACGACACGAACGACGGAGACGAAAATAATCCTTCCTGACCCACCATCGCCATTCCGGTTCGGTGCAAATGTCTCGCAGTTGTGCCCTACGGGGTCGCTCCACCTCACGGTAACTAACTAGTCTAATCGTCTCGGTTATTTTTATCCGCGCCAAGGGCTTCCGTGGTTTCCAGAATGTCGGCAGATGAGATGGAGGACTTCCATCACCCATACACCCCTTATGATATCCAGCTTCAGTTTATGCGAGCCCTGTATGCCTGCCTGGAGGATGGCAAGGTCGCAGTATTTGAGTCTCCCACTGGTAAGTAAGCAGGCAAATAAACGGGGGAGCAGACCAACTACTAAACGGCGGTGCAGGTACTGTAAGTGTGTGGTTTCACGACTGGCCTGCATGGCACTGGGGCTAAGACCCCCTGCTTAGGGCAAGTCGCTCAGCCTGATCTGTGGCGCGTTGACTTGGCTCCGGGACCACAAGCGCAAGGCGTTTCAAGAGTCAGTCGATCGCGCAATAGGTAAGACTACTGCCTCACCAAAAAAAAACCCCCCAAAAAAAACTACGAGCACCTCTCTTAACATCTTTGAAGGCGATGATGATGAACCGGAATGGATGCTCGAATTCGCCAAAAAGGAGTCCCGCCGCAAGCTCACGGAGAAGAGAAATGAGTTTGAAGCCCGCTTAGCAAAGATCAAGCAGGAGGAAGAGCGGCTGAAACAGGCGCAGAAGACCGCCGAGCGCCCTCGGAAAAAACAGGTAAGCAGAGCCTCGACTGAGACTTGACCAACTGTTCTCATATCAATACACCGGGATCTAGCGTGTCGATGAGCCAGCCACGCAGCCTGATGCGGACGATGACAGCCAGTTTGCCCTAGATGACTATGACAGCGAGACAGACGATAGAAAGCAGCCGGCAGGCGAGTCCGGCAATTTTGACGGCTTATCTGCCAGCACTTTGGCCCTTCTAGAGCAGTTCAAGGGCAAGGTTTCCTCCCGGAAAGAAGATGAAGACGATGGAGATGCCGAGGTTAAAGTTTTCTACTGCTCTCGCACCCATTCTCAATTGAGTCAGTTTGCGGGTGAATTGCGACGAGTCACTTTCCCATCGAGCATTCCCCGAGACCTCGACCCGGAGACCAAAGATGAGCTTTCCAAACTCGAGGAACGGGTGAAACACCTTTCTCTCGGATCAAGAAAGAATCTCTGTATCAATCCGCAAGTCCGAGCGTTGGAGAACGCCACCGCCATCAATGAACGTTGTCTGGATCTACAGCAGTCTGGCGTAGCCGCTGACAGGAAGTGCTCTTTTCTTCCGTCCAAGGATGACGAGGCGTTGGTTCTCCAGTTCCGGGACCACGCTCTGGCAACTGTCAAGGACATCGAAGACCTGGGCAAAGTCGGTATGCAAATTGGCGTATGTCCCTACTATGCATCTCGCTCGGTCATCAAGCACAGTGAAGTCAGTCTTTCCGCTTCCATAACATTTCTGGGTTGCTTCTTATACTTTCTTTCGTAGATTGTGACACTACCATATCCCCTGTTGCTGCAAAGGTCAGCACGGGATGCGCTCAACCTGTCCGTCAAGGACCACGTCGTGATCATCGATGAAGCCCACAACTTGATGGATGCAATAGCTGGTATCCACTCTGTGACCGTGTCGCTGGGTCAGTTGCAGACTGCAATCTCCCAGTTGACGACGTACGCACGCAAGTTCAAGAACCGGCTGAAAGGCAAAAACCGAACCTATGTCGCTCAAGTGATCCGGCTGGTGAGCTCTATTGCGGATTATCTACGATCCATTTCCCAGAAAAAGGGTTCCTCGGAAGGCTCGGTGCAGTTTTCGGATCTGATGGCCGGGAAGGGAGTAGATCAGATTAACCCGTACAAGCTCTCTCGATATCTGCAGGAGAGCAAGCTCGCCCGGAAAGTGGATGGATATGTTGAATCTTCTGAGAAGCCACAGGCAGGCCGGACCAGAGAGAAAACCAATGTGCCGGTTCTCTTCCATATCCAAAGTTTTCTTCTGCCTCTGATGAACCCATCCGAAGAGGGGCGATTATTCTATCATATTACACCGGAAGATGTGGTGTTGAGATACATGTTGCTTGACCCAACCAACCACTTTCGGGAAATTGTCGAAGAAGCTCGGGCAGTCATCCTTGCCGGTGGGACCATGTCTCCCGTCAGTCTCCTAGTCCCACCTGGTATTTATGCTTTGATTGACATGTTCCACAGATGACCGATTACTTGAACCATTTGTTCTCTTATGTACCAACCGGACGACTCGACACCTTCAGTTATGGTCACGTCATTCCCGAGAAGAACTTGGTTGCACAGTCCCTAACCAGAGGTCTTCTTGGCTCCGAGTTCGATTTTACCTATGAAGCTCGACAATCTGAAAAGATGGTAAACATCTCCCGGCCTCTGCTTTCTCACTTTCTGACTTCGCTTAGATTGTCGATCTTGGAAGGACTATAGCGACTCTCTGTCAGGTCATCCCTGACGGCGTAGTCGCGTTCTTCCCCAGTTACGACTACCTCAGCCATGTGTTGAACGTGTGGAAAAAGCCCGTTCCTAATGGGAATGGCCAAACCACGCTGAATATGATTGAACGCAAAAAGAAGGTTCTGTATGAATCACGCGAGACGGTAACAGCGACGGACACATTGCTTCAAGAATATACCGAGGCCGTCGAGTCCGGATCGGGTGCCTTCCTCCTCTCCGTTGTAGGCGGGAAGTTGTCGGAGGGCATTAATTTCTCTGACAGACTTGGACGCGGTGTGCTGATCATTGGCCTACCATTTCCCAACATCCGCAGCGCTGTCTGGCAGGCCAAGATCCAGTACATTGAGGAAAAGACCTACAAGCAGAGCACTGGATCCGAGTCGGAGCGGAAGGCGACGGCCAAAGCCGCGGGGAGAGATTACTATGAAAATTCGTGTATGCGGGCAGTGAACCAGTGTATAGGACGGGCCATCCGGCACGTCAACGACTATGCGGCGATCGTGATGATCGACCGGCGATATGACTCGTCGCGCATCCAGGGCAAGTTGCCAGGCTGGATCCGGGGGAGTTTGGTGTCAGAATCATCCGCGCAGCCATTCCAAGCGACAGTTCAACGGCTATCGGGATTCTTTGCGGAGAAAGGGTAGTTTGAGGTGCATACAAAATCATAGAAGTCATTTTTACTGAACTCGGGCTGTTCGAAGTATGAACAAATAGCGGCAGAAAAACAATTATGCGTAAGGAGAAGGCGGTCAGTGCCACCGCAAATTAGGGCTTGACCCTATGATCACCTGACCGCTAGCGCACACTTTCCCGGCAGCGATCTGGATTTCCACCATCGAGAAGTCGACGACCCTTTCCCCCTTCATCGCCCAACTTGTCGAACCACTCTCGCCGACAAGATGCCTACCCGCTTCACCAAGACCCGGAAGCAGTGAGTCGACTCCCTCTCCTGAATTTCCTGGCCCTCGAATTTCTATTTTTCATGCCCATGCGCGCGACATCGAAAAACTCGATCGACATGACAGGCCACCTCTTCGTGCCAGCACAATATCGCTAACCTCTCTCTCTCTCCCCAGCCGCGGCCATGTGTCCGCCGGTTACGGTCGTATCGGCAAGCACCGCAAGAGCCCCGGTGGTCGTGGTATGGCCGGTGGTCAGCACCACCACCGTACCAACATTGACAAGTACCACCCCGGTTACTTCGGTAAGGTCGGTATGCGGTACTTCCACAAGACCAAGCAGCAGTTCTGGAAGCCCACGATCAACCTCGACAAGGTACGTTCCATCAAACAATCGAATCCGTGAGAGGATGTGTGTGGAGGCTATGTGGCTTTGTGGGAACAGGCAGCGAGCGGGCTGGCAAAATTTGGAGAAGAAGATGACGACCAGGCATTACGATACAGACAATTGTGACTAACATCTCCCTCTTCACAGCTGTGGTCCCTCGTCCCCGCCGAGCAGCGTGACGCCTACCTGAGCGGCAAGAAGACCGACACCGCCCCCGTCATTGACCTCCTCCCTCTGGGCTACTCCAAGGTCCTCGGCAAGGGCCGCCTTCCCGAGATCCCCGTCGTTGTTCGCGCCCGGTACGTCAGCCGGGACGCCGAGCAGAAGATCAAGGAGGCTGGTGGTGTTGTTGAGCTGGTCGCATAAGCGTTGAAATTCGATGGTGTTTCCGGAGAAGACGGAATGAATTGGGGTCTGCCAGCAATGGGGACGGATACAAAAAGACCGGCTAGGCCGGAAAGAAAAGAAGGGTTTTTGTGTATGCAATATCCGCATAGCATGGCCTCCGAATGCCCTGACGATTTCACATTGTGTTAAGCAAATACCACAAGGAGGTTTTTTCACTACTGTGCTTTGGGATTCTACATGAGAATAAGGGGGGGTTATTGTAGGACTCTTGTAGACATATCTATTCACTCTTATGTATGTTTAGATTTTCGATTCCCGGACCGAACCCTTTCGACCAGCGCCATTGGGACCAGCCGCCAGCGTCTCGCTGATGAAACGAACGGCCTCGTCCACCATCTTGGCCGTTACCTCATGGCCAGCCGACTGGTCGATAATATCCTCAAAAGACACTGCACCATCCGCGAACCACCCGTCAGGCGAGATCGCTTTCTTGAACCACTTCAGAAATTCCTCTCCCCGGTGATATGGCACAAGCTTATCCACCCCACCAGATAGGTTCAGAATCCGTTTGCCGGCCAGGCAACGGGTCAAGAGTGGCCGCAGAGCCTGCTTCTCCTTCTCTGTCGGATCAGGGAGCGGTCCCTCACGCAACGGTCCCTCTCCTGCTCCGCAATCGACCTGACTCAGAAACAGACTAGCGGGGTCATACTGTTTGACAATATCCACAAAGGACGCAGGAAACGCCTCGGAGCCCAGGATTTCCGCGCCGGGTGGATTGCTTTTGGTCCATGAGGGGAGCTTCGACAGTCGGGCGCGGTCTACCATGAGATTGATGTAGTCTGGGCATCCAATGATAACCACACCGGCGGTAATCCGAGGGTCATGCAGCAGACAGCTCCATGCGGCGTGGCCGCCTAGCGAGACCCCCAGCACGAGGTTCTCGATGATGGTATGCTCACCATTGGGGAAGATAAATGAGGCGAGGTAGTCCATCAGTAAAGACGTGTCTCGCGCAGTACCCTCTAAATCTCGCATTAGTTGAAATATGATATACTCATCACCGGAAGAGACTCACGGAAGATGGAGAACATATCCTGCGCATGACGTGGATTACCCTGTCTCCAGGCCTCGTTGGCGAGCGGATCAACCAGTCGTGTGCCATGGTTTCGCTGGTCAAAAGAAACGGCTATCAAGCCCTTGGCCGACGGAGAATCCTTAATTCTGCCATTCCAGTCAGAAATGGCAGATTCAGCAACGCCGGTCATCCGTTCTTGTGTCGCCAATCGCGGGTGCAGCAGCCACAAACATGCCACATCTTTGGCTTGTGGCCGGAGCTCGTCGAGTCCGAAGACGGTCACTTGGATGCCGGCAATGGCATAGGACTTTTGCGACACGCCGGTGGGCTTGGGGCGGCCGGAGGTGTCGAGGGTTTTCATTGGGTCGGTCATGATAATTGTGCCGTGGCTCTACTCTAATCTCTGACTGAACAAGTGGAGGGTGGAAGATGGAATCGTTGGCGGGGGAGTTGAAGTGGCTCCAGCTTGACTCGGGTATATATCAGAAGAGCCGAGGGAGTCCCGGTTGTTTGTTAGGGATAGATATGGCCACTAATGGTGGCCTGTTTAGAAATACCACACGATGGTGTCCACTACCACCTGTCATCCCACTCTTTCACATTCTTCCTTCTTTCATGTATAATAGTTCGTGATCTTATACTCGCACCTTCACCGTCCGAATACATCACGTGATCCCAAACGATGACACGTGATGGCCAAATCAGCTATCTCTGTGGCAGCAACCGGAGAGCTGCTTGATTATTATTCTTCCATCGCCGGTAGTTCAGTTCAGCAGGCCTTGTTGCCCGATCACCGTCCTGCCCTGATCCAAAAACCCCTTTTCTACTTCTGCCCAGGATCAGACCGCCTTCGAGGTCTTGGCTGGCCCAGTCACAGCAACTAGATGGGGCGGAACTCCACCGCGGTTCCAACCAAATCCGACTCCCGCAACGCTCCTTTAATAATTGTCAACACGTTGCGCTGCCCCATTGCTGTTCCGCCCATAATCTAACTAGCATGTCGGTGGGAAGATCACATCATATGCGATAGGATCTGCTTTGATCCACATGTAAGGAGTGGGATGGCCCGATTCATGACCTGCTACTGACAAGTACCTTCCACTAGCACCATGACCGACGCTGTTTCGGCCACTGCTTTCCAGAGGGAGGCAGAGCACAGCCCTGACAAGGCCATGTCAAAGAAGCCAGAGCCCCTCCCAATCGCCAATGCCCAGAAAATGGCCTCCCCGTTCCCCTCCCCCACGGAAGCCAGTCGGCCCGCATCGACAAAACAGCAGACCCGAGTAGCGGAGAGCACGGATGAGAATGGAAGCCCAGACATCAGACCGTTATCCAAGAACGCCGATGGGTTGCGTGGGAACAAGGAGAATCGGCCGCCGTCTTCGGCACATGGCTCAGCGAGAATCAAGCCGGCGTCTCTGAGCAGCCACCCCATGAACAGGTCGGCGGACGATTCGCAGCCACCATCGAGCCGGCACCAGCATCCACCGTCCATTGCTGGAATGTCTCCATCGTCACGTACCCCGAGTGTGCAATTTCGAGATACAGACAATGAAGCTGTCGACTTGCCCCAGTCTCGATCACAGTCCCGGCCAGCGTCATTGATTGAGGAGGCAGGGGACCAAACAAGGGGAAAACTGTCACTGCTCGAGAAGATCAAGTCACTAGCAGTGTCACCCTCATTTGCATCGCACGGACGGACGGCGAGTGGAGCGACGATTCCAGACTTCAGACCACCTCCATCTGATTTGCTTACTCCCGGCTCGGAGAGGGGGGAATTTCACTTCCCAGAACCCCTGGCAGAAGAAGGAAGCGATATTGATGCGGACGCGGAGGAAAGCGGTGGAGAGCAGCGTGATCGTCGGACCAAGAAAAAGAGACAATTCACTCGAAGGAGGCAGCAGACGGATGAAGACATGGGCAACCGTACTGCTCCTACGACGCCGAAAACGACCCGTCGGCCTTCTTTCCACTTTTCTTCTTCGTTCGCGCCTTTTGAGAATTACCGCTCTAATTTTTCCCTCGGAGAGCCAGCACCACAGAATTCAGTCCCCAGCGGCGTGAGGGTGTTTCGGAGGATGAAGGGCGTGACCGGATCAACCGGCGGCTAAGAAGCCCCTGGGGGGCCAACCGTGGCTTCACCTACGCTGGACGACCGCAAGAAGGACAGGAAAACCAGGACGAACCGCGCCCTAGCCATCTTAGGCGTCTGACTGGACTTGCTGGTCCCACAGATAACCAAGAAAGCTTGACAGCCGCCTGGAGACGCCATCGGGCCGAACGGGGCACTAGTATGGGTGCCCAGCGATGGCGGCAAATCAAAGCCGGCTTCAAACTCATTGGCCAACGGCGCAAGACAGACAATACCGCGGATAATGCGAAATCCGCGGAATTGCTAGCTGAACTCGCCTCGGCTGTACCCGCGGCGCTGATTCTGGCCAGCGCGTTCCAACGAGACGAACATGGGAGCAGACGAATCCCAATTCTCCTAGAGCAACTGAAGGTTCGTGTCACAGACAGCAAGATTGATTCGCATTCTGGAGATCGCCACTTGGTGTTTCGAATTGAATTGGAATACGGAAGTGGCATGACACGAATGAAGTGGATTATCCACCGCACCTTGAGAGACTTCGCCAATCTACATCTGAAGTACAAGCTTCATTTCGGTACCCAGAAGTATCTTCGACCTTCCGAGAACGCCGCTACCCTGCCCCGCTTCCCCAGAAGTGCCTTTCCCTACCTACGTGGCGTACGAGGGTTAGAAAGCGAATTTGAAGACGAGGGCGAGGAAGAAGGGTACGAAACTGGCCCCGAGGTAATGAGTGGCACGGAGAGGGCGGGTCGAAAGAAAAAGACTGCTCCCCATCACCAACGTCGTCCCTCTGGTTTTTCCCGAAGAAAATCCAGTGTCGTGGTGCCGGGAGAGGAATCAGCAGTCGAAGGTGCTTCGGGGAGAAAGGAATCCTCTTACCCAGAACGACAGCGGAGGAAGCTTGAGCTCTACCTGCAGAAGATGATCAGTTTCTTGATCTTTCGAGCCGACAGTAACCGGCTGTGTAAGTTTTTGGAGTTGTCTGCTCTTGGTGTGCGTCTTGCTGCAGAAGGGAGCTACCATGGCAAAGAAGGATATTTGATCATCCAGTCTTCGAAAGGTCTCGACTTTCGCAGGGCTTTGACCCCGGCTCTCATCAAGAAGCGGCACTCGCCTAAATGGTTCCTTGTGCGGCACAGTTACGTTGTCTGCGTGGACTCTCCCGAGGAGATGAATATTTATGACGTTTTCCTGGTAGACGCTCATTTTAAGGTCCAGACGCCAAAGATGAGCCTTCGGCATCAAAAGGCAAAGGATTTGGCCAAGTCTGCCAAGGACTCTGCGAGGCATCCTCAACACCATACCCTGCGTCTCGAGAACTCGGAGCGGAAGTTGAAGCTGCTGGCTCGAAACGAACGTCAACTCCAGCAGTTTGAAGATTCGATTCGGTTCATGGCCACCAACACTCCATGGGCGAGACCTAACCGATTTGACAGCTTCGCTCCAGTCCGGAAGAATTGCTTTGCGCAGTGGCTTGTTGATGCACGGGATCATATGTGGGTTGTGTCGCGAGCTATCAACCAGGCCAAGGATGTCATCTACATCCATGATTGGTGGCTCAGCCCGGAGTTGTATATGCGACGCCCGGCTGCCATCAGCCAGAAATGGCGACTGGACCGTCTTCTCCAACAGAAAGCTCGAGAAGGAGTGAAGGTCTTCGTGATCATGTACCGAAACATCAATTCGGCCATACCCATCGACTCGGAATATTCCAAGTTCTCTCTCCTGGACCTTCATCCCAACGTGTTTGTTCAAAGGTCCCCGAACCAATTCCGCCAAAACACCTTCTTCTGGGCCCATCACGAGAAACTGTGTATCGTCGACCACACCTTGGCCTTTGTCGGAGGCATCGATCTTTGCTTTGGACGTTGGGATACTCCTCAACATCAGCTGACGGATGACAAGCCTACGGGGTTCGAAACAACGGACCTGCCGAAGGATTCAGACCACTGTCAGCTCTGGCCCGGAAAGGATTATTCAAACCCTCGGATCCAGGATTTCTATGATCTCGACAAGCCATACGAAGAAATGTACGACCGGAACATTGTGCCACGGATGCCCTGGCATGATATCTCTATGCACGTCGTAGGCCAGCCTGCCCGAGATCTCACTCGACATTTCGTTCAGCGGTGGAACTATATTCTTCGCCAGCGGAAACCAACACGGCCAACCCCGTTCCTCCTGCCCCCGCCAGATTTCAACCCGGGCGATATGGAGGCCTTGGGCCTGGATGGGACATGTGAGGTACAAATCCTGCGCTCGAGCAGCATGTGGTCTACAGGAACGCCTGCTGTCACCGAACATAGTATTATGAATGCCTACGTCAAGCTGATTGAGGAGTCGGAACACTTTGTTTACATCGAGAACCAGTTCTTCATCAGTACCTGTGAAATCGATGGCAAGAAGATTGAGAACCTCATTGGTGACGCATTGGTGGAGCGAATTGTGCGAGCAGCCAAGAACGAAGAAGTATGGCGAGCAGTTATAGTCATTCCATTGATGCCAGGCTTTCAGAACACCGTGGACAGCGAAGGTGGAACGAGCGTGCGGTTAATCATGCAGTGCCAGTACCGCAGTATCTGTCGTGGAGAGACCTCAATCTTCGGACGTCTTCGCGCTTTAGGGATCGAGCCGGAAGATTACATCCAATTCTTCAGCCTGCGCGCTTGGGGCAAAATCGGTCCTCAGAAGCAGCTAGTCACAGAACAACTTTACATCCACGCGAAGTGCATGGTAGTTGACGATCGTGCTGCGATTATCGGCTCAGCCAATATCAACGAACGATCCATGCTCGGGTCGCGAGATTCGGAAGTTGCTTCCATTGTGCGCGATACGGATATGATCATGTCCACTATGAATGGCAAACCATACCTCGTTGGACGGTTCCCACACACACTCCGCATGCGTCTGATGAGGGAGCATCTTGGAATTGACGTTGACGAGCTCATGGAGCACGACTTTGCCACTGAAGAAGAGCTACGGAAGATCGAAGTTGCTGAAGACTCCCGTCCAGCCAATGACAAATTTCGGGAGCGACGAGGCTCAGAATCTTCAAAGCTAGAACGACAGGATGAACGAGAGATGATTGACCGTCGGCATCGCATCCAAGACGAGTTCCTATCTCGCTCCGAGGATATGCACAGTTTCAACCACGATGTCGACTGGGAGCAGGGCAATAATCCTAACCTCAAGTCTAGTCGCAAGCTCACTGCCGACCCGCGTGTCACGGACAAACCCGAGCACAAGAAAGATGTGGATGGCGATGGCGTTGACAACATGAAAGCGGCCTCCCAAGCAGGACTTGGAATTGCTCGCGATTCGAAAATACTGGCTGATAGCAAAGAAGCTTTGGTCTCCCCCATTGCCAGTGAGGGCAAGGGCACCTTGGGGCAACCAAAACAGTCACCACGAAAAGTATCTCGCACGGGTTCCCCGCGAAAAGATGGTAGACAGGGATCTTCTACTGACACACCTCATGACTCCGAGTCCAACTCCAAACTGGATACTCCGCTGCAGGGCCATGTGCCTTCAGGATCGTCCAGTCGCGAGTCTGAGACTGGTAGCAGCGGTCTGATCATGTCCAAGGAGAACCATGACACTTCCAGATACCCACACGTGCCCGCTCCGGATCTCAAGCGGATATTTGTGGATAAAGATTGTATGAGAGATCCCGTTAACGATGCCTTCTATCTGGACACCTGGCAAGCGCTGGCTGAGAAGAACACCAAGATATTCCGGTCTGTGTTCCGCTGTATGCCCGACAGCGAGGTTAAGAATTGGAAGGAGTACAAGGAGTACGCCGCGTATGGAGAGCGGTTCGCCGAGATGCAAAGCCACTCGAGCAGCAAGTCATTCAACCCGCCTCACCAGAAAACTACTGGTCCGCCTGGCGCCACTTCCACCACTCCTGCTACCACTACAACTTCGCCCCTGTCTCCCATCAGTCCGAATACTGAGAAAGCAGAATTGAAAACTCCTCAGACAATCGATGAAAAGGCCGTGCTCGAGGCCTCTGACTCCAACCGAAAGGAGTCCAGACAGCAGCCTGACCTCTCCAAGCAGGAGACAATTTCATCTATTGGTGAGAAGTTTGCCCTGAAGGAGGTGGCATCAGAACAAACGCCGTCGAATCATGCCCAGAATGGACACAGCGACGAGAATGGTACCGGGGGAGATGATCTGGAGAAGCCGCGGACAAACTCAACGCACGTCGATTACTCCGAAGCCATCAACCTGAACTCAACATCTCAAACACAATCCCGGAGACGAAGACGCAGAGCCACAACCATTGGCTCCAGACGAGAATTCCATGGTGTGGATGATGTGATGGACAAGCAACGCGCGGAAGACCTCTTGAACAAGGTGCAGGGCCACCTCATTCTCTGGCCCTATGACTGGTGTGTTCTGAATGTCTTTGTGGCCACTAGCATATAACTGACGTGATTTTCCTGAACAGGCTCGAGAAAGAGGAACAGGGTGGAAACTGGCTCTACGCTTTGGATCAAATTTCCCCGTTGGAAATCTAGTAAGTTGCCTCCTCTTATATCTGCTCGGGCTCCATGCTAACAGAAATACAGCAATTGATCCCTCATCCTCGTTTTGCATTAGCACTGGATGGCGTCCTGGGCCTGCTTGCATTCATCCACCGCATCTCTTTTCCCTGTCCTTCTTTCTGCACCAGCGTTTCTAGAGCGCTGCCTGCCACATGCAATTGATGCATTTTCATTGTCTCTCCAGCGCATTGGTTGAATGTTCCCCCCTCCCTCCCGCCTTTTTTTAGTCCGAGTCATACCCTGTACTGGGATAAATTGGCGTTGTTGGATTCCTTTCGTCGACTCTATGCTTACACCAATAATAAGTGTAATCCTTTTGCTTCATCGCATTCACGTAATCAAAAGAGAAGGGTATTTAGGTTCTATATACAAGTACAACATGGTTGACATTAACGATTCATTCAAGACCGACATCCGTCGAGGATGCGACCCGTTCTCGAAAATTTTCGAGTTCATCAAAGTTGGCCTGCAGCGCAGGCGCCAGGATACTGAACTGACTCTCCCCTCGACGAGAGGGCCAGTCGTTGCACGTACGTTGAAGCGACTCATGAGAAGCCGCGAATACACTTTGCAGCTCGGCGATGCGTGCGCATGACCGGCCCAGATTACGCATGAACTGGGTCGGGTCCTGGATACACAAAAAGCGGATATTCTGTTTTGTGGCCACCGTGGACCTCGCATTCATGATTGATCGCTGGCCGCGATGAAAGGCGGGTTCCTCGCCTTGCTTAGGACGATGCATCTTCTGTGCCCCGAAGAAACCCGGGGGATCTGCAGCAACACCGACAGTTTGGAGGTCGACCTCTGATCCGTAGAAATGTAGAAAGGCGAGCAATTGCTCACCTAGGCGATGAGGACCTACGAACCGGTCGCAGTTCATCTTGAGGAATGCAATGACTAACACAGCAAGCGCGTTGGCTCCAATGCCCGAGTTTGCAGGTCCAAAGAGACCGCGTGCTTCCAGTAAGGTGCGAGTCGCGACATATAGGGGTCGCAGGGAGGGAAACTCGGCTTGAGAGGTTTGTAGATACTCGTCCATGAGACGAGGGAAGTTTTCAAAGGAAAAATGAAGCTGCAGCCCGGTTTTTTGGTGCCGCGCTGAGAGTATGGGTACGGATTTTCGGACAAAATGAACCTGCTCAAATGCGGAGCTGGTCCGTAAAACATGTTCCACGAGCCGTAGGCGTGGATTCAGATGAGCAGTCAGCACAAAAGGCCGTCCAGATCGTTCCTGGTGTTTGACGGGGAAGACAAAATGGGCACCTGAATGCGGCAGCGCCAGCCCTGTGCGGCGAGAATTGGTGATCTGAGGGTTAAGATCGAAGGACTTTCGCATGGACTTGGTAGTGAAAGGAAGTCCTGTCGGTGGATCAGCGGACAAAATATGCCTGTCCAGGAGATCTCCCACTTCCGCAGTCAGTCGCTCGACCACTTTTTGTTCGCGGGGACGAAGGGTCAGGTGTCGGTCTAACGCGCGAATCTCGGCATCCAAGCGTGCCGTAGCTTCGTCGTGAGCAGGGGACTGCTCGACATGCGCCAGCCAGGGACTTTGTCCAGGCTGCACGCCGTGAATTAAGTCTAACGTAGATCGTTGAGAGGACAAGCGCGAGACCAAACTATCCAGGTCGTTCCTCTTGCGGCGTCGCACTTTCCTCTCGGGCTTGACCGCAGTTGGCTCTGGCTCTGGGTTATCTAGGATGGACGAAGCAGCTGCCGTCGGTGGGCTGTAGCCCGCATACACCTCCGGGCGAAGCTGTGGCCTCCAAAGCGCTGGCGACGGCTCACGAGGGTAGACCTTGCGAATGAGGCCCGCCCGGTTGGCATCGCGATGGGCGCCTAGGGTCTTCTCGAGGCTGTTGGTGAAGATCTCCGGCCCTTTGGCTGGGACATGGGGTTTGAATGGGTGGCGGGCATGTTTCGAGAGTGATCGAGCCGGCCGCATGGCAGGGCGATGGGGTGGGTGGTTGGAGAACTTCTTGCTGGTGCAGGGTCTGGCCAGGCCAGATCCATGCTGGTGCCTCAGGCAGCCACTGGCCATGTGACCCGTCCGAGGTGGAAGAGTCCAAATAATGATGCCGACATACTCATAATATGTTCATTTTCCTCTGCTTTCCAGGAGTATGTATGTCGATATGACGTTGCGCATGCCTCTGTCGTGTTGGTCACGATAGGCGGGCCATTGTGAATGGTCCAGCTCACCTACTCACCGCTTGCGTCTTCTGCCCCTCCATCATCATCAGTCACCTTCCCTGTCTTTCCCTTTTCCATTACCCTTCTCCCTTTCATAACACTTCTCAGTCCAATTGCCTCACTTTTGTCATCACACCTTGCCTCATGCCCGCTCCCTGTTGACGGTGGCGTCTCTTCCCTTCTGTGCTCGTCCATGGCTGCTGGGCGCCACCCGTAGGTTTTCGTGCGTGTTGATCGACTGCCCATCGACCCGATCCTGCTCCGAGGTACCTTTGATCCCTTCCTTTTACGTTGACGTCAATCGTCCCCCAGATCGTGGCCATGACATGTGATAATTGCAGCCGGCGTTGACATCCGCTGCAGTTTAATTGCAAACAATCCCGCTAGGTGGAGAAGTGATTGACCGACCGCAGTTTCCATCATGACCGATCAAGGCAGCCCCAAGCAGGTGCCGGAGCACCAGCCAGACCCAGTGCTGGTGGGCCCCGGGCTACAGGCCTTGAAGGAGGAAGCATACACAGATGCTACCAATGCGACTCCTACTGCGGACGCGGATAAGACATACCCAGTCGACACCGATGCGCCCTCGTACTTTGCCAGCATCCCTGGGGCCAATGCTGCGTCATTGGACCAGTCCGAGCTTTCCTCTTCTCCCTCCTCTATGGCGAAGCGAGCGTCGTCGAGCATGGACTTATTGCGACGGTTAAGCTTGACCGCAGAAGCCTCGCCAGGGTCGCCCGAGCTCGACCCACGCACACAACACCCAGGACTACGTCTGAGCGGCCGGTTGATCAGTGCCGCATTCTGCATACCATACAAGCTCTATCATCAGCCAGGATCGGATTGGGTACGTCGAGTCCCGTTGGGTCTGACTGTCCAAAAAGAGAAAACGATAAACTGACCAAAGTTTCTCGTGAGAACAGGTGCTAAAGCCACGATCTGGAACCTCGGCTCTCTTTGATTCATTCGCCCATCTTGCCTCAGATGAGACAAGTTGGTCACACACTCTGGTAGGCTGGACTGGTGAAGTTGAACCGACCTTGGACTCGAAGATACCCTTACAGCCGATCCCCGTCAACGCCGTCGGCAAGTTGCCCACCGTTCCGCACAACCTACCCTCCAATATCCCGTTGAACAAAGCGGCAGCCCCGGTTCCCGTGGATTCCACCCAGAAGCCCCCGATGCATCCACTGTTGGAGGGGATCAATATTGATCGGGAAGATCGAGAGCGGCTCGATCACCAGCTTAGCTCGGGGCGCTATGGTCGGATTTTACCTGTGTGGCTGTCTGACGCATCAGATGAGCCGCAAGATACCATCGTGCTGAAGGACCAAGGAAGATGGCGACGGTATGCGGAGCGAGAATTGTACCCGTTGCTGCACTACAAGCAGCATGGTCCAACGGACGGCCGCTCCGAGCGGAGGTGGTGGGCTGATTACCTCCGATTAAATCAGCTGTTTGCGGACCGTATTGCGGAGGAGTATAGGGAAGGGGATGTCGTGTGGGTTCATGACTACCACCTGTTCCTTGTGCCCAGTCTCCTGCGGCAGCGAATTCCCAACATCTACGTGGGCTTCTTTTTGCACTCCCCATTCCCCAGCAGCGAGTTTGTACGGTGTTTGGCGAAGCGCAAGGAGGTATTAACGGGCGTGCTGGGTGCCAACATGATCGGGTTTCAGACATTTTCCTATTCTCGACACTTTTCTTCCTGTTGTACCCGTGTTTTGGGCTTTGAATCAAACTATGCCGGGGTGGATGCCTACGGAGCGCACGTTGCGGTTGACGTCTTCCCCATTGGGATTGACGCACGCGCCATCCAGAAAGCCGCCTTTGGGGCCGCAGACATCGAGAAGGCCGTGACGGCAATCCGCAGTCTGTATGCCGACAAGAAGATCATCGTGGGTCGTGATCGACTGGATAGTGTCCGGGGCGTGGCGCAGAAACTACAGGCGTTCGAAATATTCCTGGAGCGATATCCCGAGTGGCGCAACAAGGTCGTCCTCATACAAGTGACAAGTCCCACCAGCGTCGAGGAGGAGAAAGAGGATCCTGAAAACAAGATCGCTGGCCAGATCTCCAGCTTGGTTTCCACCATCAATGGCCGGTTTGGGTCCCTGAGCTTTTCACCCGTCCAGTATTACCCGCAATATCTCTCGCAGCAAGAATACTTTGCCCTATTGCGCGTGGCTGACGTTGGATTGATCACCACGGTGCGAGACGGGATGAACACCACAAGTCTGGAATACATTGTTTGCCAACAGACGAACCACAGCCCACTCATCCTATCCGAATTCTCAGGAACTGCGGGTACGCTTCCTAGCGCTATTCACATCAACCCCTGGGACCTAGCTGGCGTCGCGGGTGCCATTGACCGGGCACTGAAGATGCCCCCCGATCAGCGGAAGGAGCAGCATCTGAAGCTGTACAAGCATGTGATCACTAACACAGTCTCAAATTGGTCGAAGCAGTTCCTCCATCGCCTCCTGACCAATCTCTCCTCGTTCGACCAGTCGGTTGCCACGCCAGCACTTGACCGGGCGAAACTCCTGAAGCAGTACCGCAAGGCGCGGCGGCGACTATTCATGTTTGATTATGACGGGACGTTAACACCCATCGTCAAGGATCCACAAGCCGCCATTCCATCGGACCGAGTGTTGCGCACCATTAAAAGCCTCGCGGCGGACCCGCGCAACGCTGTTTGGATCATCAGTGGACGGGACCAGGCTTTCTTGGATGAATGGATGGGCCACATTCCGGAATTGGGGCTGAGCGCCGAACATGGATGTTTTATTCGCAAGCCCGGGAGGGACGACTGGGAGAACCTGGCCGAACGGACGGATATGGCCTGGCAGAAGGAAGTGGTGGAAGTTTTTCAGCACTTCACTGAACGTACCCAGGGCTCCTTCATTGAGCGGAAACGGGTGGCTTTGACCTGGCACTATCGGCGAGCGGACCCGGAGTACGGCGCCTTCCAGGCTCGCGAGTGCCGGAAGACCCTTGAGGATACTGTAGCCAAACGCTGGGACGTGGAGGTCATGGCAGGCAAGGCAAATTTGGAGGTCCGGCCGACATTTGTCAACAAGGGCTATATCGCCACGCGGCTGGTGGACGAGTACGGGGAGAAGCCTCCTGACTTCATTCTGTGTCTGGGGGACGATTTCACCGACGAAGGTATGTGGGAATTTTGTCCATGCTGCTTGCGGCTTGCGACTAGGATGATTACTGACACAGTTCTGCTTCAGATATGTTCCGTGCGCTGCAGAAATTTGACTTGCCCCAGGACCACGTGTATTCAGTCACTGTGGGTGCCAGCTCGAAGCAAACCGACGCCAGCTGGCATCTTTTGGAACCAGCCGATGTTATTGGCGCCCTCCAGATGCTGTACAGCCACGGCCAAGACTACTGAAGTACCTTTTGCTGAGATAACTGTTACGAATTGGCTCGCCTTGATTCAATAAGACTTTGGCTCGGCGTGTCGGATCGTGTTGTGGAGTTGGGAGTGGCTGGCTGAATCCATCCCTCGTTGGGCTTGCTTTCATGAGCCTTTTATTCCGACCATTTTTGTTTCCCTTTTCCGAAACTGAGGGCCTGGTTGACAGGTCCTCTGATATGATTGCAGGCATGGCACAGCCTGTCTTCTATGTGTTGTAATCGTGGCATAGACCCATGAGCGCCGGCGTTGTATGTTTAAATTTGCTAGATGCTTGGAATAGACGGAATGTTTGAGTGACTTGTCAATTTCTGTGAGCAGACCTAAAAATCAATCTCTCTCTGAGGTTTCTGGCTAGGTCAAGCATCTGAGGCGCGCCGATCTTCTTCTCCCCGGCCATCCTTGATCTCTGCGAGGGTCTCGACATTCTCGGACGTTACAACGACTGCGTCTGTCGATGGCCCAGCTGAGCTGCTCTCCTCCATTGTTACTCGTAGAAAGTAGTTTGGGACTTGCGATGTTTCCCTGATTCCAGCGACTGTAAGATCCGCTGTCCTCTTTGCTGAAGTATTCGGTTTGGAACTTGGTTGTGTAGCTACCTAGAAGTTCCTATATGATGAGAGCGATCAGCTTTAAACTGACACCTTCTTCGAGTGTGAGTACTCACCCAATCAGCTTCATCGAGATGGTCGGACTCCAGAATGACACCGCTCACGATACCTGTACGGGAGCCGGTTGCGTGTTGACGGCCAGCTCGCCAAAATGCTGTAGGAATCAGTTTGAATGGTCGGTGCATCATCTTCTTCGGTGATGGTGAACTCTGTCTCGTTGGAACCGGCATTATCAGTTGGCTGAAAAGATATCGTTGCGGTAGAAAGAGAGTGCGATTGTGGACAGTCTTCTTACAAACTATCTGGCAGGGTACGAGACATCAATAAGTTTCTACCAACCAGACTCGGCAGCCAGACTCTCCTATCACAATACTATACTCTCGGAAGAAACTTTCTTCGTGATTCCTAGCTACTGTAGTGCTTAGTTGAGGGCAGATGGCCATTTAGGCTTATCGATAACTTTATTTTGCATGACATATATTACAGTATTGGAAGCGAGAGCTATCATATAGGTTTTCTGAATACTACTACTAAATCCGAACAATGGAGCAAAACTCATTCGACTCGTTCAATGTTAATGATCAGCTCTAAGCGGTGCGGAATGAGCACTCGAGTTACCATGAAGAATCATTGGATGCGATCCGTATCCAGAACCAACTGACTGGCACAATGAGGGAACTCTTGGTGGAGCACCAATGTCATCGAAGGGCGCCCTCGGGCATCGATGCGAGGCTAGCGGGGCGAAGGATCGGTCGGAACCCCGTCATATTCCATTAAATTTTCTTCACACTCGGGGATCTTCATACTTGACTCACTACTACTAGTTACTTAATGATTATTATTATTAATCTCTCCGTGGCTTTTTCTGCTGCAATTTGGCGTTCTTTTTCATTTCCATTTTGGACGTCATCTATGACAACCTAAACGATTCCGCATTGATATCCAATGGCAGAGAAGCCGGCGGCAAGCATGGTCGAGGAAAAAGACCTCGAATGCGGAACCGAGCCAGCAACCATCACCGCCGATGCCGAGCCCCGAAGTGCCTCATCGGATGAAGAATCGACAACCGGCGAGCCAGGCGCCAACAACGAGTATAATGACCTGACTCCGGTCCCCACGAACACCAGCGCCATCGCTCGCACCCTCACTGTCGTGCGCACACGAGATTCTGGCAAAGATCTCGGCCCGCCGCCGGACGGGGGCTTCCAGGCCTGGTCGCAGGTTGCACTGGCGCATCTGATCATCTTCAACACTTGGGGGTACATCAACAGCTTCGGCGTCTTCCAAACATACTATACACAGACATTGGGTCATCCGCCGTCCGACATATCATGGGTGGGCAGCATTCAAATCTTCCTGCTCTTTTTCATCGGGACGTTCTCCGGCCGCGCAACGGATGCGGGCTATTTCAGATTCACCCTCACGGTGGGCGCCCTCCTGGAGACCTTTAGCATCTTCATGACCTCGTTGTGCACCAAATACTGGCAATTGTTTCTAGCACAGGGTGTGGGACAGGGTATTGGTTGTGGACTGATGTTCTGCCCGACATTGGCGCTGATCTCGACATATTTTGCCAAACGGCGCGGCATTGCCCTCGGTCTTGTTGCCTCGGGCTCTGCGACGGGAGGACTGGTCTTCCCTGCGGTGATTATGCGCCTGCTTCCGCGCGTTGGATATGGATGGACGGTGCGAACGCTCGGGTTTATCACGATGGCTACGCTGATCCCCTGTCTGATTTTCCTGAAGCAACGCCTACCGCCGCGCACCACAGGACCAATCGTTGAATGGGCCGCATTCACTGAGCTGCCATACGCGCTGTTTGCACTGGGGATGTTTATGAACTTTTGGGGTCTGTACATCGGGTTCTTCTATATCGGCAGCTTCAGCCGCAACATCATCGGTGTCTCCGACACAACTTCGATCGACTTGCTGATGGTCATGAACGGCGTCGGACTCGCGGGCCGGTTAATCCCCAATCTGGCAGCCGACAAATGGACCGGTCCGTTCAACCTGCTCCTGCCGTTCAGCTTCGCCACCGGCGTGGTGGCCTACTGCTGGGCGGGCGTGTCCAGTCTGTCGGGCCTGTGGGCATTTGCCGTCTTCTACGGCCTTTTCGCTGCGGGCATTCAGTCTCTGTTCCCTGCCACACTCAGCACATTGACCACAGATCTCAAGAAGATCGGCGTGCGCATGGGCATGGTCCTTAGCGTCGTTGCCATCGCGGCGCTCATCGGCTCGCCCATTGCCGGGGCTCTGGTCGAGCGCGATAACGGGCAGTACCTCTTCGCGCAGATGTTTATGGGTAGTGCCATCTTCGGGGGTTTCTTGATGCTGGTCGGGGCCCGAGTGGCCAAGGTGGGCACTGGTCTGGTGCGCGTGTAAATGCGCAGTTGAACATTAGCCCTAATTACCTACAATAGCCATGCCTCCTTGCAGAGATACTTAATTAGCCACCTCGCAGACTTCATACCTGGGTATGAAATAATGTGAATAGTAATGACCACAATATATTTAACCATCCCTATAACCAGCTCTAACCATCTCTTTTCTATGTTGTTACTAACTACTTCGTTGTGATTCAGCGCCCAGACCACCCCCCACTTAGTTCGTTTGCCCCTCCGATGATTCAGTCCCTCTTCTTTTCCTCCGTCAACAGCTACATACTACCTAGGCAACTCCTTTGGCTCGCCAATTCTCGCTTCATACCTCATTCATCCCATTCATCCTCGCCCACCACCATCCACTCTACCATGGCGCCCCGCGGTCGAGGAGGAAAGTTCAGCAAGCCCACTCGAGGAGGTAAGAGTCGCGTGCAATCCCTGCAGACAAAGACCCTCGCACTGATAGTCGTCAAACAGGAGGCAAGCACTTCAGCAGAAACCTGCAGCCGGTAGATAAGGATGGGAATGTCGTTGGAATGTGGCGGGTACGATTTTCCTTCCGCTTCAATGCCCTTCAACCGGCCTCAAGATCAACTAACACGTCCCCGCTCACATCAGGAACCCCAAGACGTCGTGCCCCAGTCCAGTGACGAGGAATCCTCCAGCGAGGAGTCTGAGGAGGAAGAGTCCGGCGAGGGCGAAGGAGGAAGCGAAGATGAAGACGCCGGCCCCAGCTCCGCCGCGGGCGCATCCATGACCCGCGAAGAGCGAAGAGCTGCCGCCAAAGCAAAGAAACAAGAGGCGATTGCCAGACGAAAGCACACCGCCGCGCAGCCGGGCGACCTGCCGCCGAGCGACTCCGAGGCCAGCGAAGACGAAGACCTACCTGCCAATCCCAACCACACGGCCAAGTCCCGCTCGCAGCTGCAGAAGAAGGAGCCCGACGAGAAAGCTGCCCCGGCGCCGAAAAAGGCACCCGCTGATTTATCGCAGCTGTCGCGACGGGAGCGTGAGGCGGTCCAGGCGCAGCAGGCGCGCGAGCGGTATATGAAGCTGCATGCGGAGGGGAAGACGGATGAGGCGCGCGCAGATCTGGCGCGGTTGGCGCTTGTGCGAGAGCAGCGCGAAGCCGAGAGAGCAAGGAAGCAGGCGGAGAAAGAGGAGAAGGACGAGCAGGCACGGGAGCGCGCGGCTGCTGTGAAGGAGCGCGAGGACAGGTTGCGACAGGCGGCGATGGGCAAGCCGAAGAAGGGTGGGAAGAAATGAATAGGATGGTAGTACGCTTCATCATCGTCATATAAACTATTTCCATTCTCCAATTGGTCTATGAAACAACTCAAACCCATAGATGAACCCACAATGTGTACACCGAACGCCTCTTCCCCAGATACATAAAAGAAAATCCACAATTACACTCTTTCAACCATGCATGAGCTAGTCAGAAACAAGATCTACGTGGGATCCGAAGAATCCCCGGTCTGGGCAAGTAGTATATCGAGCGGTGCCACATCACACCCCCCAGAACAAGCCCTCGACACTGTGGCCTTGCGCGACCACCCCCCAGCCAGCAATCAGACTGACGAGCCAAAGCACCGCAAATATCAGGATGGGAGCGAGCAGCAGCTCGGTGTTGTGCAGAAAGGGTAGGGCATTGTACCCCAGGAAGGTGATGTAGGTATAGTAGATGAGCGCGGACAGATATAGTGTGTTTCCGAGGAACGTGGCCAGGAAGTTGCTCGGGCTACGAGTGAGGAGCGGGAGGAGCAAGAACTGCACCACGTAGAGGTGGAGGTAGAGGGGGAAGAAAGCACGGTTGGAGACCTATAAGTAGCCGTGTCAGCGAAGCATACGAGGAAATGCGGGCTGCAACAAAATTCGTCTCACATCAAAACAATATCCAAACTCTAGCTGTTCCTTTTCCCCCGGCTGGGCAAACAGCCCCTGTGCGGCGCCGCGTCGTCGGCCTCGGGAGCCGCGCAAGCCGGCCAAGGACGTGGCAGCGCCGTCCGGGCCGAATAGTCGGCCGATGACGAAGTAGCCGATGGTCGAGACGAGGAGGGAAGATCCAATGAAGTGGATAAAGATGAAGAAGAACATGAGGCGGATAATTGCGCCGAAGGATGGGGTATAAGCTAATCCCCAGGCGAGGGCTGTGAGGAGAAGGAAGAAGGATAGGAGGTAGGTGAAGGATGGGTCTGGCCGATGCCATGTATTCTTGGTTTCTGGTGAAGCGGGAAGGGTTAATAACGTCGAGGTATATCCGCGCAGAGTAGCTTGCAACTTACGTTTCTGTGAAGCACCCAGTTAGCATATTTTTCCTGTCCGGGTCTGCTGGGAGCACTTACATGGTAATAAATCGACTTGAAGACCTTCTTCGGGGCAATTAACAACGAAGTCATCTCCCAAATGGCCATTTCAAAGTCCATCTGCGGGAACTTGAACAGTCTGTTCCGTGGATCAGTCACCATGTCATTCTATCCAGAGCACTCATCCACCAACCTCTTGAAGAATCGCGGCATGCGCACGCTGGACCGGCGACTGGGCGGCGTTGACCCGCCGAGGTTGGCCGGACCGGCATGTTGACGGGGCACGGAGATATGGGGGTTCATGATCGAGGGAAGGGCAGTCCCAGTGAGTCTCAGGCGAGGCAGCTGAGAACCAGAGCGAGTGTCTGGGAATTCAGGACAACAACAACAATGATTTGGGCATGGCGTCGAGGTGCCAAGGTAAAGGTGTTATGTCATCCCCCGGTCACGTGTGGTGACGATCCTGAGGTTGAGCTTGGCCTACTGTAAACAAGCAGAGAGACAGACAGGAGGAGACAACGTATGGTATGCCGAGAGATAAGATACGACCTACAACGGATTTATGAGAAACGGATCGAATTGCATAATTTCGACTGTGTAATGGACAGACGGCCCTAGAATATCCAGATCGGCTGACAAGTGACCTGTCTGCAAGGGATCGGATGAGGCATCACCTCTGCTGTATCACCTGCATCATTAAGCTGTTTGGCATTGCGAGCAGTCAGAAAATTCAAAGAGATCGAGTCTGGGCTTAGGGTTACATACATGGTACATCCAACCGATAGACAGACAACCCCATCTTCAGCCCCTGAATAATAATCATCCGGGATGTCGATCCTCAGTTGATCCGGCAATCCGGAATCAGAATAATAAAATAATAATAATAATTCATCCAGTTCCCCTGATTGTATTTCATGACTATTGTTCCCCTTAGTGTAATCCAAGTGAAAAGTGAATGGGCGTTCTCCCAGAGATCAGATCCACTCAGGAGTTCTCGTTCTCCGTCTCTCCTTTCCCTCCTCCACTTCCTTCCTTCCTACCCCCCAGACTGGGCCGACACGCAAGGCCCGTCTGAGACCCCGGTTACACCCTCCATGCTTCAGACCAGTTGCACTGGTCTACTTTAACATCTTCAATCTCTTCCTCCCTCTCTCCCTCCAGCAGATACCACTACAACTATGTCGCAGCAACGGGAGTATAGCGCCGCTCCCTCTCCTCCGCGCACTCCTCCCACCCAAACTTCCAAATACCGGCCGTCCAAACAAAAATTCCAACGCCCTTCAATCCGCAACGCCTTCCCCGACACGATTGACAATGGCACGAGCACCAGCGAGTCCGGGGATGACCGCGATCCACATGACCTATCCCTCTCCCCCCAGCATGCCGTTCGCACGTCAATCGTCGATAACATGCTTCTCTCCCTGGACCAATTCGACGCCCCCGGATCGTCTCCTCTAGATGATTACCGCATGTTCAATTCCGCCTTGGACTCTGATACCCACACCCGATATTCCAAGGAGTCGACTACCCCTGGCCGGTATCGCGGTCACACCTTCTCCTCGTCCATGTCCTCCGAGGCAGATTACGCCTATGATGACATTCGGTATGCAACGAGGACAACAAAGGGCCGGCGGAGCAACAGCAGTTCCAACCATCAAACAACTCCGAGGAGAATGGGAAGCGCACGCGGTCGAGACTCTATGAGCGCCCGCGGGGTGCCGGCAAACATCCCGCGATCTAGCGATGCCCGCAAGGGTAGCAAGGGAAGCTCAACCTCGACGGTCGAGTACCCGTACAACATTCCTCGAACGCGAGCAGACTCGGGCTTAGACCGGCGCTCGGAAAGTTTTGACTGCGGGCCCAAGCGAACCTACGTCCCATACGCAGAGGCCGATCCCGGTCAGGATTCGCTGTTCTATGATGACAACGACGCCGCGCCGACACCAAGCGTGCCAGGAGGGCCACGAAAATTTCAGGGATATAGTCGGACACCAACCAATTCACGGACGCCGGTGGCGTCGCGACGGAACAGCGCCAAATCGGTAGCGCAGGCTCCTCAAGTCCGCAAGACCCGCACGGACAACATCGGCACGGGGACTCTTCGAGCTCGGGACAATGAGTACGCGCAACCAGATGCGGAGATGGAAATACCTCCGCCCATTCCTGCGTCGCAGGAGCCAGCCCCCAGTCCAACGATCTCATACAACAAACCTTCTCATCCTCCTCCGGAATCGGCTCCCACGAACTCGACCACTACAATCGCCTCCGCCAATACTCCTCCAAAAGAGCGTCATGGGTTTTTCCGGCGCGTGTTCGGCAGCTCATCCAAGACCGCGTCCCCCGGTGTTGGAGAACAAGGAGGTTCCAGCGCGAATGACTTGTCCTACCTCCATGAGAATGAACCCAAAGACGCCAATGGAGTGACGGTCAATTTGAAGGGGTGGCAACAGCAGCAGCTGCCCCCCAAGACTCCTACCGCTGAGGCCTCGCCTTCCACCCGAAAAGGACCGCAGCAAGTAGTGAAACAAAAATCATCGTTCTTCCGCCGGCGCAAGAAGTCTGTGGTCGAAAATGTTCCGCCTCCAATTGTTTTGCCCCAGGAGATTGCCACTCCACAGGCCCTGGAAATGATGAAGCCGGAGCCAAGCCCCGTAAGCAGTTTGCGGAGGGTCATGGATGCGTACCTTGCAGACGCCACTCCGGCACTCCAAGCTTCCAAGGAGCAACGTCGCGAGGGGCCACAGGCTCAAGACTCTTCGTCTTTGCAACCGCAAAGAGAGACCGTGTCAGCTTCTGCTGATGGATCGACAATTAAGATAGTCCCTCAAGATAGTGGGGCAGAAACTGCCACAGAATCGGCCTTACAGGACAACCCTCGGGATGCCACTCCCTCTGCATCTTTGTCGCCTGTGGTGGAGGATTACTCGCTCAATGCCAATTCACCCACCAACCACTCCGCTGATAATCTTCCGAAAGAAATACCAGTGGAACTCAACAAATTGGCAATCCCTGCCACTGGCAAAGATATCAAGGGTCCCGAATCTCCTGGTGCGTCTGTCTCAGAGGCATCGCAATATCAAACCGCGGTAAACACTCCGGTGGTAGAGTCTGAAGAACCCAAAGCGACGGAGGAGCCCAAGGACACAGCCGACGGGCCCGGAGATGCAGTGGAGGATGATCCGACGGCGATTGATCGAGAACAAGCGCAGAGGCTCTTTGATAGCCAGGATCAAGTGGTGGGCAACGAGCCGGCTGCCGCTTGGTTGGGTGACCCTGATCGTGCCAAGGTTCGGGAGGCGTATATGCGATTCTTCAACTGGTCCAATGTCAACATTCTCGCCGCCCTACGAAGTCTCTGTGAGCGTCTGGTGTTAAAGGGAGAGACTCAACAAGTGGATCGCGTCCTAGATGCTTTCTCAAACAGATGGTGTGATTGCAACCCGAGTCATGGTTTCAAAGCCACCGGTAAGTTTATACCCGATAATATATTGTTCTGCGCAATTCTGATCCGTTCGTTTAGATGTTGTGCACACGATTTGCTACTCCCTTCTTCTCTTGAATACCGATCTTCACTTGGCCGACATCGACCAGAAGATGACCAAATCCCAATTTGTACGGAACACTATGCCGACCATTCATCGAGTTGCTATGGACGCGGCTCCAGAGGGATTCGACACCTTGCGTCCCGTTAACCGTACCAAGTCCACACCTCAGAGCCTAGACGCAACTCCCACCTCTGCCCGATCTGCAACGTTCCCTCTTGGCGACGGTAGCCATGGGTCATTGGACGTGGATTCGGTCCGGAGCCCTGTTGATGCCAGTAACGACACTGGCCCGCTGGTCAGTGTGCCATTCACTGGAACCGTGAGAGCCTGGGAACAGCAGGTGGAATCTGTTCTTAAAGAGTTTTATAACTCTATCCAAAGAGAAAGGCTTCCTCTTTATGGTGCTCAGCCCGAGAGAGAAGTGTCTCGGATGAACTCGAATAACTTCCTGGGCCCTTCAATGGGTACGCTACGCAGGAGCCCCAGCACGATCAGCAAGAGTGGCTCGGATATCTATCCACGCGGCCGGTCCGCGGATTCGCGCCATGGAGCTGCACGCTGGTCATCCAAACCTCGTTCTCGAGCAGGGAGGCTGTATCCCCCGTCCTTCATGGGCTCCAGCCGAACAAGTCTTGACGACCAGTCTTCTCTTTGGAGCCCTACTGCGTCAAGCACTTGGAGCAAATACTCTCTGGGCAGATTCACTTCCGCCTCTGTGGACTCATTCGGCTCGGACTACCCGCGCGGCGAGTATCAACAGTCCATCGGCTTTGCAAATGCACTGAGCCAGGCGATAATTCGCGAAGACTCCGCCACCTCCGTTTACAGCTATGAGGACAACGAACGCACGATGCCTCTGCTCGAGGATGAGACTTTGGCCCTTGCTGGCGCACCGTGGGCCAAAGAAGGAAGCTTGAAGCACAAGCACCACTTGGACGCTGTGGACAAACGAGCCAAAGATCGAAACTGGAACGAATGTTTCGCAGTCATCCAACAAGGCTGGATGCGTCTCTTCTCGTTCAACTCCAAGTCGATGCGCCAGAAAGCGAAGCAGCGTGGCGGCGTCGTGGTTGGAGGAGGCAACTGGATGGAAAACGCCGAGGAGCTCTGGAAATTCACGCTGCGCCAGACTATTGCCAGTGCTCTTCCACCGCCCGGATATTCGAAGTCCCGTCCACACGTCTGGGCGTTGAGTCTGCCCACCGGCGCTGTGCATCTCTTCCAAGCTGGTACACCTGATATTGTCCGAGAATTTGTCTCTACGGCCAATTACTGGAGTGCACGATTGTCAAAGGAGCCTCTGGTGGGAGGTATCAGCAATATTGAGTATGGATGGAGCGATAATGTCATCAACACCGCCTTGGTGAACCCCGAAGGTCGGTCCCCGCCGCCTGGTTCTGGGCCCCGGCCAAGCATCCAGAGCTCGATCCGGAGCTCCATTGATCAGCAGAATGTGCGGCCCAAACTCCCTGCCGACAGAGTCCACATCAGCGACTGGAGCCCGCCGCAACAGAGCATGGTCGCCTCCAATCTTACGGAAGAGGACCAACTGAAGGCTCTTCAGACGTACGTGAAGAACATCGAAGACGAGCTCCAGAGACACAATGAGCTTCGATCTGCTATGAATCTCGCCTTCTCCCCACGCCATCCCAACTCCACCAAAGCGATGGCCAACTGGGAGAAGAAATCCTCGTATCTGTTGCGGGAGATCGTTAAGTTCCGCACCTATATGGATTCCCTTCGGAATGCTGTGACGTCGAAGGAAAAGTTCTATGCTGTCTCCAACAACTACTTTAACGGTGCTGGTGTTGACAGTGACACTGTGAGCATCAAGCGGCCCGTGACCGGCGCAGGCCCAGCGTGATTTCATCTTTCTTTTTTTTTCTTTCCCCCTGGATACATGCTCCTGGCTGTATATACCCTCCAGATGGGGTGCCACATCCGGGATGCACTACACTATTTATTTCCTTTCAAAAACGATCTGATGCCCTGTGATGTTTCTCTTCCTTCCATTATCTTTCTCAATCTTTTTTCTTTTCCTGTATATGTCTCTTCTTTTGTTGCGCGGCTCGTGCTGTACAGGTTTTTGCGCTATACTCTTTGCCCCTTCTGAGGCCATTTCGTTCGGGAAATTTTTAATGCTTTGGACAGACACGCAGATGTTACGGATACCATGATTGTCTTGAATGTTATTATTGTGATGAATTCCGAGACTAGCCATACAGTAACTGAGCGTGAATACCGGATCGTAGGATTATAGTGGAATTAGTACTTGTCACAGAATAGTGCGTGGCAATAATACCTGGAGTAGGGTGCCTGGCCGTGGGGATATGCGTACTGCCCACGGTTCACTCTGTTTGTCTACAACCAACACCCAGGTAAATGTGGCAGGAGGAGTGCCTACTACTAACTCCGTATTTTCGTACTTCCTCCTCCCACTCCTGCAATTTCTCCATGCAGTCAGGGCCAACGCTAAGACGGCCCAAGTGGGGACCCAAACACGCCCGGACGCCGTCACCATGTCGACCGGCGCGATCGACACTCCGTACCGCATCCCCTCGAATGAGTCTTTCTTCCACACGCCCTTGTCGCCCGTCGATGCCTCTGGTGATTCCACCGAATTCTTCATGGCAGAGGACGCGCACGGGGATCAGCCCCCGAGTGCGATCGACGACTCGACAGTAACACAGAACCAAGGAGCCGACGACGCGCAAGACACAACAACCACCACCACATCCACCACCGAGACAAACGCAGACCATGCTGCTACAACCACAATAACAGAGCAGCAGCAGCAAGGCACGACGGATGAGCTGAGCCTCCTACCCCCTCTGACGGATCGCGACGACAGCAGCCTCCTGCCACTCAGCGAAAATGGCGACCACGAACGCGGCACCAACCAAACCCTGATCGAGGAGACGGAAATGCGGCGCAAGCTCATGGATATGGAATCCAGTTTCTTGCCAGAGCCCTCGACCATCGATGTCGCTGCGACCGGCCCTGTTGCGGGCGCGGACGATACCTATCTCGTCGGGGTATCTGGCGACCACGCGGCGGACATATCTTTTGAGGGACTGTCGCACACTTACCAAGACTCAGCGCCGGCACAGGACCAGAACAAGGATCTACCAACCGTCCACGCGGCGGAAGCGGCGCAGCAAGGGGACAGCGACTCGGGACTCGACCCCATGAACTCGTCACCGGCCGCTGCTGCTGCGAACCGCCGGAATCCGCTCACTTTGTCAGAGACGAACCCCGACTCCGGCCAATTCTCCCAAGACGACCGATACTATAGATCTCAACTGTCCCAATCAGAGAACGAGTCACAGCTTACACCATCCAAACTTCAAAGGTCCTCTCGCAGCGTGTCGCCGGGTCCGTCAAGGTTATTCAGTGATCAAAGCAGTTGCTCTGGAGACGCAGCCTTGCGTGGTAGCAGCAGGAGAGGAACTCGACCCAAATATCTGAACAGCCGCCAAGGGCCTCATCGTCTCTCGCATTCCTCTGTCACAAGCACCAACACGGAAACGACAAATAGTGATGCCACATTAGGAGGAGACTACGCCCTCCAGTCAGGGGGTGCTGCCTCTGACCAATTTGGGAGCCTCCATGCTGGAACACGTACCAACATGACAAGAACAACCAGTCTTGGTAGTATGGCATCTGGGATCTCTGGATACAGCGAAGAGAATTCTCTAGAGAAACGCAATGTGAACGGCCCCTTCGATGGTGGCTTGCAAACCCTGAATGAAGAGGAAGGCTCACCACGGTCGGCACGGCAGACAGCGAGGTTTGACGAGATCTCAGCACCGGAGACGCCAAGAGCGCGACCGCGAGACAGTACCTTTCCGACTGATACGGCTATTGCAGATCGCGTCAAGGGCATTCAAGTTCCAAGCACTTTTGTACAACGGTTCCGAGAAGACTTCCAGGGCACGTCTCCTGAGAAACGGCTAGGCGGCTCGACTCCTGCGTTTGGGAGAAGCGGCCGCTCAATGACACTCAAAGAACAAAGCAGCACAATTGACCGTCTCTCGAAGGAAAACTTCGACCTGAAAATGCGAATCCATTTCCTGAACGAGGCGCTGAACAAGCGGTCTGAGGAAGGCATCAAGGAAATGATCTCTGAGAACGTCGAGCTGAAATCAGACAAGCTCAAGCTACAAAAGGACAATCAAGGCCTCAAGCGCAAGATCCGTGATTTGGAGAAACAACTGAAGGATCATCAATCGGACAAGGAATCAATGGTCAATCACGATCCGGAGGGCTCAGAAGGAGACCGTGACTCGGCCCAGGATGGAGAAGTTGTCTACCTGCGTGAGCGGGTTGAAACTTACGAGCTCGAAATTGAGCGATTGAGGTCCGAAAGTGTCGCAAGAGAAAGCGAAAAACGCCGTCTGGCCGAAATGGTCAAGTCCTTGAGCGAGAACCGAGCTGGAGGGTCTGATGCAGGTGCTAGAGAGGAGAGAGTATGTCATTGTAAATATCATCCTCTCCGGTCCCCGCTAACCACTTTATGTTCTAGGATATGTGGAAAGATATGCTGGATGCGGAGACTGCTGCGCGAGAGCAAGCCGAAGATGAAAACCGAAGGCTACGAGATGAGACGATCCGTCTGCGGAGCGAGATGTACACTGCTACCGGCGGCACAAAGCCTGGACAGCGTGATCGGGGCGGTTCAACGGTTTCCTACGCGTCAGCTTCCGACAAGGATGGCAGCCGAACTGTCACTTCCAGCAACACGCTCATGGTCGAGATTGAACTTCTGAAGCAGGAGAATGCAGAGCTGAGAAAGGAAGTCAGCGCGCAGACTTCAATGCTGACGTCTCGCAACCGGGAGAAAGAACGCCTCTATCAAGAAATCGAGGAGCTGAAACTTGGCCAACGGCGCGATGGTAGTCGATCAGTTGCGGGAGACAGCATTCTCGACCGCTCAGCATCACGCGCCAACATCAGGCCGTCGTCTTCCGAAGTGAGCGACGGAACACGTACCAGTGATCTAGACCGCGACGAGCTGGAGGCACGTAATGGACAATTACGCGATCAGGTGTCTACCCTCAAGCTTGAGAACCAGGCCATCGGGGCCCAGCTTGACGACTACATCCGTGAACTGGAAGCGATTGATCAAGCGTACCAAGCCGATGTCGACCAAGCCGAAGAGGAGATGCAGAACTTGCAGCAAGAGAGAGACCAGGCTCTGCAGCTGGCTGACGAGCGCGAGGCTGCTTTCCTGGAGCTGCAAGCTGAGGCGCAGGAAGAGCTGGACGCTCTCGGGGAGGAGCTTGATCAGAAGATTGCCGAGTGTCAACGCATGAACGAGGACTTGAACAACCAGGATGAGAGTCTCAAGGTCTTGCAGGCGGAGATGCGCTCGGCGAGCGAAGGTATTATCCGTCTCGAAGAAGATGCTCAAAACAATCTCGAGAGATACCAGACCGTGCAGCAAGAACTGGAGGAGACCAACAGCGAGATGGAGGCACTGGAAAAGAGTCTGTTCGAGGCCAACACCAAAGTACAGCGACTGACGGTGCAGATCGAGTCAAGCCAGAATGAGATTGCGTTCTTGCGAGAAGAGCAAGATGGCGATAAGATCCGCATTGGTGACCTGGAGTCTGAGCTGAAGACCTATGCAATGAGTCTGCACAGTGAAAAGGAGAAGACCAGGGAGCTCGAGCAGCGACTGGCAGGCGAACGACACCAGCGCGAGGTGGTTGGAAGCAAGGAGAAGCAGGAGGTCCAGCGGATCATGAACGAACTGAACCGCGAAGCCTCGGCAGCGAAGGAGGAAGCCCGAAGGCTAAAGAAGAGCTTGTCAGCTCAGGAGATTGAGACTTCTACTTGGCGCGAACGACTCATGGACCTGGAGAACAACCTCCGCGAGACACTGGGTGACTTGAATGGTAGCCGATCCAGCTTGATTTCCAACATCATGAAGTTGCAGAAAGAGCTCGAGTCAACTGCTCTGGAACTGGAGAGTGTCCGCTCCCAACTGGACGAGAAGGATTCGATTCTTCGCAACCGCGATGCTCTCCTAGAGAGCCATGGCTTAGAGTCCCGTAAACTCTCGGAGCTGCTCGAACGTGAGCGGCAGGCCCGACGGGCAGACAAGCAGTCGTTTGAGCAGTCGCTTAAATCTCACCACCAGGCGTCTCGGACTATCACACATAACCACTCTCGCATTACGGAACTAGAAAATGCGCGCAATCAAGATCGCAAGAGGTTCATGACGCTGGAGCAGCAATTCAAAGATCAGCTCAGCGAGCGCAACGCTCTATTCCTGAACATCTGGAAACGGCTGTCTGCGATGTGTGGGCCGGACTGGGCTCACTCTAACAGTTTGATTAATGGCAACCTTCCCAGCCAAGAGGTTATTGGTAATATCTTGTTCTGGCCCGGTTTCAGCCGCAACCTTTCGCTTGCGATCAAAACTGTTGAGAGCGTGATTTCAGGGTTAAAGACCCGGATTAAGACCGTTGACCACGATCTGAACAAACAATATCAAAACCTCGAGAATTCGTTCAACACCAGGGTCCGAAAACTCGAACGGCTTGAGGAAGCTGTCAAGAATCTGCGATCTCAACAGCAAGGTCGTGGCCACTCCAACTCGTCGTCGGAGATATCCAAACTGAAGGGTGAGAACCGGCTCTTGAAGGCAGAACTCAACCTGCTCCAGTCCAATTCGCGCACCCACGGCTCTGTGTCAGCGGCCGCAGCGTCAGTCATGACCTCAGGCCCACGTTCCCCATCTCTTGGAACAGCGGCAAATTCAGAACGAGCGGTATCTCGTCACAATTCTACGACAGGCGCTGAACAGAAGTCTCGCTCTGAAAGAGGGTTGGCACGCAGTTCAACGGGCCTACCGCAGCCTTCTCACTCCTCATCCACCAGCACTCTGACCAATGACACTGGGGCCATAATGCACCGCACGCGCAGTGGGACTAGCGGCTGGGAAGGCGGCGACGATAAATGGATTCATCGACTGCACGAACTGGAGAAGCGACTCAAGTCAGAGCGTGAAGGGCGTCTGCTCGACCGCAGTGGCGCGCGCAAACGGCTTGAGGAGCGCGATGCAGAAAATCAGAGACTACGCGACCAGATTCAACGTGAACGAGTTCGCCGAGGCCCCTCGGGCACCATCACTGATGGCAGCACTACGGGACGCAGTCGCGGGCTGGTCTCAGATGAGGCAGTCAGCTCAAGTGAGGGCGAGGGCATCACAGTGGATATTGAGGTTTAAATTTTAGGGGCGGGGAAGAAGGGGAATGTACAAATAACTTGGAATACCCGGGGCGCATGCGGCATTGGAAGTCGGATGTATGTGATTAACTTATGGGTCATGACAGACATGCTGGCGTTATTGATGTATCATTCAAGCAATGAGAATATGTTACCATGCATCTACAAACTTCTCAATAGAAACTAGTACTGTACAACACACCATATCTACCGCAACGACACCTTCAGTGAGAAATCCACGATCCCCGTCCCCTGGTGAATCGAGCTGGTGGACAAAATATCCACATCGGGACAGGCATATGCGGCCGCATTGTCCTCGGTGAGTCCGCCAGACACCTCAATCAGGAAATCGCGCTGCTTCGCCTTCCACTCCGTCTTCAACTGCGCCGCCGCAGCGCGCACCCTCCGGCGTAAAATTATCCAACATGACCACATCCGCCCCGGCCCCGATAGCCGCATTCGCCTCCTCGACACTGCGGCACTCGACTTCGACCTTGGTCGCGAACCCGCCTGCCGCTTTAGCTGCTGCCACTGCGCGGGGAATGGCCGCTGCAATGGACTGGTCATCCGTTGAAACGGGGGCCTTTCCGCCATCTGCGGCGGCGGTATTGTTTGCACAGGCCCAGACGTGGTTATCCTTTAGCATGGTCATGGACGAAAGATCATGGCGGTGCGGGTCTGCGCCGCCGACGAGGATGCCGTATTTCTCGACAATGCGGAAGCCGGGGGTTGTCTTGCGCGTCCCGGCCAGTGTGCCCGTCCATCCTTGGGCGCGGAGTGCGGAGACGAGGGCGGAGCTCTTGCTTGCGATGCCGGAGCAGCGGGCGAGGATGTTGAGGGCGACGCGCTCGCCCAGCAGGATCTTGCGGATGGGACCGCGGACGGTGGCGCAGTGGGTTATGGGTGTGATCGGCTGACCTTCTTTGACGTGCCATTCAGTTCTGGAGTCGGTGTTTGTGTCAGTGTCAATGGCTCAAAAGATGGTTCAAAAAAAAAAAGAGACCGCGGAATCGAGGGGTGGCATACGAGCAACCGAGTTGAGAGAAGACTTCATCGAAGAAGGGAACGCCCGCTACAATTCCCTATATACCGTCAACACGCTGTCCGGCTCAATACCGAGATCAAAGGCATACCTTGCTCTTCCCCAGTAACCGCGCCTCACCCTCGGACTCCCCCACCACGAACCCGCCATAGTCCAGACTCGGGCAGTCCTCTTCCAGCCAGGCGCTGATGAGGCGCTTGTAGTTAGTTGGGAGGAGGTGACGGGGGTCACCATATGCTGCAGCCATTTTGTTATGTCAACTGTACAAACAAGGATTGAAGATTTATGTAACTATGTAGTAGTATGCAGTTAGAGTCATATCATATCACCCCGCGGGCGGAAAAATGCGGGTTAGGGTTCCGACTCTGGGCGAGGTCACGTGTATCTATGCTGTCAGGAGTGGTCGAATCTCTAGACCATGATGGAAGGATGAGGTTAGTTCTGGAAACGATATAACATTCAGATCGCTTTGCAGCGAATCTGTTCATGCCATCCCTCTGGAAAGCGAAGAATAGTTTATAATACGGAAAGTTACATACAGCGCACCGTTCCAAGTACAGCCGAGAGCCGCGGGTTCTCGCGTGGCCGGTGGGTCGGCGGACTAACTACAAGATCGAAAAGTGACACGACGGAATATTCGTGTGATGATGAATACTATTCAGTCGGCAATACTCCCGATCTCCTGTCCTACGGGCCGAGAGGGGATCCGCTCCTATACTCGGCCTCCCGGTGCTCGCTGGGCCGAGGTTGAGAAAAACACCAAAATGCCTCAATAATGGAGATCAAGGCTCCACTTTCTTTTCATTCGGCTGTATCTTGAGCATGTCTAGGCCTTCCACGCCTTGTACACAGTCTTGCAACCAAAGATGTGCCCCTTCTTGAGGAGCACCATGTTGCGCCACTTGTCTTCGTTGATAGCATTGACATACCGACTTGGCTCCACGCAGAAACCGGCGCCTTCGCCGTGCGGCGGAGCACCGTCAATCTCGGGGATATTGATGTACTTGCCTGTGTAGAACTGGAAGGCGGGTTCCGTGCTGTGCACTTCAAGGTGCAGCTTGGTGCCCGGGTGGCTGAACTGCGCGAGACGGCGCAGTGGCAGGCCACGCGTGTCGAGCGGAATCTTAGACGGATCAGTCTCCATGACAAAGACGTCGTCGATATGCGGGTCGCTGGTGTTCAGCGTGAAGGGGGAAGCCACGTCGCGCGGGAACTTGTCGATGGTGCCGAGAGGGATGCCAGTGGAGTCGAGAGGTAGGTAGTCGGCGGTTGCGAGCTGGGCGGTGGTTCCTGACACCGTCGGGCCGCCGGTTATGTTGAAGTAGCTGTTATGAGGCGTGAGCGAGCATCTATCTTCACCTGGGGATGATTGACATACCTGTGGTTGGTGATGTTGACCACCGTCTCCTCACACTCGTCACCGACAAACTCCACCTCGTACTCGGCCGTCAGCACGCTCTTGGCCGCGCCATCGTTCTCCTTGCTCGCCGTGTACCAGACCCGCACTTCGACGGTACCGGGGTACCCCTCCTCGCCATCCTTGCAGAGATACTTGAAGAGCAGAGCATCGTGGCCATTGCGCTGGACGTTGTGCGGACCATCGAAGACCCGCTTGCCCCAGCCCTTCTCACCGCCGTGCAGTGCATTGGGCCCATTGTTGCGGGCTAGATGAATCTCCTTACCATTCAGGTTGTGGATGACGCCGTCCTTGATACGGTTGGCAACCCGCCCAATTGTGGCGCCGTAGTGTGCGGTGTTGTACTTGACATAGTGGTCCTGCGTGGGGAAGCCCAGCACGATGTTGGTGTCGCCGATGCGGAACTCCTGGATTATGGCACCCAGTGGGATGAAGGTGAATTCGGCTAGTTGGGTCGCGGAAGACATGGTGGATGGGTTGGGAGGTGAGAGAAGTAAGAAAGCAGTGAGAGAAGAGTGATGTGGGGGATTATTGCGGGATCAACCCCCGTCGCTTTAGCCTAAAGGGTTTACCCGTTCCTTCGTGTTCATCCATACTTGTCCTCTGCCATTGATAAACTAACTCTTATTGCCTAAATGTCTCCGTTGACTCCTTTCAGAAGTTTACAATAAGTTCTACGCACTTACCTCTTTTCAGCACAGACAGCGCTCAACGCTAACCGTATGCAGTAATCCCTCTTTCGGGTTAGCGTTGCGCGCCGAAGTATACAACCACCCAACAGCCTCACCATCACTACTCACATCGGCTCGGAGTTTTGGACTCCCTGTTCGGACTTACAAGATGGCCGATCCAAATGTCCGTCCGAAATCAGAATATAAATATGGAGGTTGTGTCGCAGCAAAAACACACATCTATCTTCATCACAACCCACGATCATCACCAGAATTCAGAGTAACTCAAACCATTTCCAATCATTATATTCAACACCATGTCTGCTGCTTGGATCAATGAGCCGAAGGCTCACCCCCTCGAGGTCAAGGCTGCCCCGACGTACACCCCGGGCCCCAACGAGATTCTCGTGCGCAACCACGCCGTGGCGATGAACCCTATCGACAACACGACCCAACTCCGCGGGATCTTCCCCCTCCAGTATCCAGCCATCCTGGGTCAAGATGTCGCCGGCGAGGTTGTGGCCATTGGCCCCAACGTGTCACGCTTTAAGGCCGGTGACCGCGTGGTGGGTCACTCCGTGGTCTACGCGACACAAGAGCAGCGAGACGGGGCTTTCCAGACCTACACCATCGTGCGCACCAATCTGGCCAGTCTCATCCCCGAGGAAGTTTCGTTTGAGTCAGCCTCAGTGCTTCCTTTGGGTCTGTCAACGGCCTCGTGCGCCCTATTCCAAGACGGTGATCTCCACCTGCAACTCCCCACCTCTCCCGCACAAAAGCCCACAGGCAAGACGGTCCTGATCTGGGGCGCTGCATCCAGCGTGGGCTGCAACGCTGTACAGCTGGCTGTGGCCGCGGGATACGAAGTGGTGGCCACCGCTTCGCCACACAACTTCGATCTGGTGAAGAAACTCGGCGCAAGCCAGGTGCTGGACTACCACAGCGCCAACATCGTCGAAGAGCTGGTCCTTGCTCTCCGGGACAGAGAACTTGCCGGCGCGTTTGATTGCATTGGGTTCTCTGCGACAAAGACCACAGCCGCCGTGGTGGCAGCGTCGCAAGGCGCCAAGCGCGTTGTCTCTACCAAGCCTGTGCCGGCTGATCTGAACCCGCCGGAGGGAGTCACTGTCAAGCAATGCCGTGGCGATGCTCTGCGAGATAATCATATCGGAAAAGCAATTTATGAGGACTTCTTGCCTCAGGCGCTCAAGACTCGGTCGTTTGTGCCGGCTCCGGAGCCGCTGGTTGCGGGTAAGGGGTTGGAGAGTGTGCAGGGTGCACTAGAGGTGCTCCAGAAGGGGGTCTCTGCTAAGAAGGTGGTGGTTGTGCTTTAAAGAATGGGTTTATATACTTCAATATGTTTAGGTTATTGGGTATTTTGCTAATCCACTGATAATCAACTCGCTTCATTTGTCTCAAGTCGACTTGTCTCAGGCCAGTAGACCGACTAAAACCAGCATGCTACTACTAGCAAAACAGTTGGGTTCCAAGGTTGAAGACTAATGTAGATTCAGCAGTGTAGCAGAAAGTAAAAATCAGAAGATACTCACGTTGGCAAGGAGAGATGCCAGCCCTATCCCCATATTCTGTTTCATCCACACCAGGCTTTTCTTCAAATAGCTTCGAATCTGAGGATTGATAATCAGGAGATTGGAAACAACGTGCATGGAATGCATTAGCAACAAGCCACCGACCGTTCGGCCTGGGTTGGCAATCGATGAATGGGAATCTGCATCACGCAAAAAGACATGCACGTCTTCCGCCAGATGGTAGGGAATGGACGAAAGCATGTCCTCCAAAACATGCAGCACCACATCTAATTCGGCGTCATGATCCTTGCCATCATCGATAATACCCGATAGTTGCAGAATCAGGTCGATAAGCAATAATCGAGCGGCGCGGTAGGCATTCCACACTCCCGCAACGTAGGGATCAAAGTATGTATCTACTTTGCCGGGCCACGAGCCCACCCCATAATCGAAAAAGACGCCTCGTCCAGGCATGGAGCCAACTGTGCTCGGTTTAAAATCATTAGGTTGCGCTTCTTCCCATTTGGAGAACATGTCGTTCAATTGCATTGCCTCGTCCCGAAGTGCGAGTATCTCGGCAGTTGTATTAATTTTGCCATTGCTTCGTTCCCAAATGGGTCCTAGTATAGATAGCAGGGGATCTAATGCTTGAGCTGGAGAGGTTGCAATTGGAGGTGTAAGCAGGCCAGTATTCTACGCGGTTGTCAGCAAGATCTTTACGGTATTGCGTATTGATAGAGAGCACGCATACGTGTTCTGTTCCACCGAAAGCCCCGAGTGATTGACCACCTTGGATAGCTTGCAGGAGATGCAATGGCGAGTTCCTCACCCTGAGCATAGCAGCGACGCCACTCGCATGGACATTGTGATTACTAGGCCGCAAGTCATCGGCCGCAATGATCTACGCCGGGGAAAGTCAGCCCCACGTCTGACATATAAAGGCAAAAGTTGCGCACCTCATAAAGACCCAAAAGCAAGGCGACCAGCGCTTTGTCCTCCTTGTTAGCCAAGGTAGCAGGAGGATGCTGGATATCATCCGCCAGCGAGGCCACCAAAACCTGGTACAATTTCTCAGCCCGGAGGGTCAGATGCGGGCGATTAAGTGAGATGCCATGTTTAGCAAAGGAGACCAGTCCACAAGCCTTGGCCAGATCAGACTTCCAGCCTAGACGATGCAGACGAGGCTCGAGACGCCCCAAAAAGCCACGCGAGAGGGCCTGATTTGTTGAGCTGACGCAAAAGTCATACACAAAGGCCTGCAGGGCGAACTCATCCACGGCTTTGTCGGGCACTTCTATTGGCGAATTGTCGTTGGCTAGGATATCTGTTCCTGGGAGACGTCCTCGCACCGGGAGTGAGCACTTGCGCCCAATTGACTTGGTGGTGCTGTCAGGCTTATTATCGGGGCGTTCGTATTGCTGGATAACGACTTTCTCGTCATTCTCATAGCCACCACATGTGCGCTTGGCAGTGACACATCTCATACACGACTTCTACAGGTTAGCAAAGCATGCGCTGGCTGACGGGGCCCCAAAAAGCGTACAGGCCGAGCTTCATCGCACTACACACGGGGTTAACTACGATCAGCACCAGTAATTATTATTCTTCATTGATTATTAAACGAAAAAGACAACGAACCTTCTTCCGCCGCCGCTTGCATGTGGCACACCCTCGTGAAGGGCCGAAGTAGACCATTTTTGGAAAACAGCCAGGCACTGACTGCAGCTAGACGGAGTTGTCGGGTTTAGGAGCAACCAGTATCCGGGCGGAGAGTTTCGGGCTCCGGCGCCGAGTGACCCAAACGTAGGATCAAGGGGGATCCGAGATGGTTTTGGTGTTTTTTCCTTGTTTGTTTGCTGGTGCCTTGTACCGTACACAACTGGCCCCCGACCCCTGGGACTTAAAGTTAGACGGGGGGTGTGGGCAATCAAACTCCGCGTCTCAACCTCGTTCTTGTTGGGGTTTGTAGTGAGTTCACGAGAGGGCGGGTATACGGATGTAGGAAAGGGCGGCACCCAACTCTGCGCGGAACATCAGCCCTGAGTAGGAAATGGCGACAATCGGCGTTTCGCGCCCTGCGAGACCGAAACTTTGACAAAGGAGGAAATATTACAACCGTACAATACGGCCCGTTCTGGCGGGTGGATGCTGAAGTGGAGTTGGATTGATCCATTCCGCTGACTCAGGAAGGCTGGGCAGGGCTGAGCTGGCGCAGCACCGTGATCTGTTAGTAGTAGGACAACCAACGCGTTATGTGCTTGGTGAATGTTCTTGAGAATGCATAGAACGATGTAGACTGTAATCAATCATAGATTCTATCTGCCAATGCGAATATGTCACGGTCGGTCAATCTATATCAATTAGTCATCTCGACGGACCGCGAGTGGAGTCGGAACGGGCAAGTCGGGATCACATCGGCACGCTGCTCCGGACTAATAGCCAGTGGGGGGAATCTAGGTGTGGCAGAACTGAAGAACGGGTTCTAGGAGATCACGCGGGCTTGATCGAGTCATGGCTGGCCCCCCTGCTCGAACCGGACTCGGAGACAAGATCTGGACCAGGATGATGAGATCATCGTTTGGGATCGAAATTGATTTCATCGAAATGGTGTAACCGTGACATGACAAAAATCAACCAAACGCCTCAAGATTCTCTTATCTTCTGCGTAGAATTTAAAGAAAAGAATCAAGAATCAAACATAAATAAAACTCCAAGCACCGCAGAACCAAAGCCAAAAAAAGACCGCACCGCCCAGTAGTAGTTTCTCTGTACAGTGATTGATATTAGGACACCCATTTGCACCAGGCAGTGGGGGATAATAGCCCCAGGAAAAGAAAGAAGCCGAACCCAGAACCAGAACCCAAATAAGAAACATGTATAGTATACATGCATCACGTCATACGGCGTTAAAAAAAAAGGCAAAAGTAAATCAGATGGAGGTGATCTCCGTCGGATTTGGATTGAGGAACTGGTTGAAGTCTTCGTAGTCGTTCTTGGAGTCGACAAAGGACCCTGACGACATGCAGTTCATGGGCATGTGGCGGTTGAACATGGGTGAGGCCATTTGGTTGTCATCGAACGACAAGTTGGCATAGTCAGCCGAGTTCATGAGGTCCATCTCATCAAAAGGATTAAAGCTGGGGTTACTGGACCACTGCTGTTGCTGTTGAGGCCCACCCTGCAGAGCGAGCGGGTTGACCACGCCGTGCATGGGCAGATGCGGCGCATAGCTGCCGGACATCTGAGGCTCTGCCTTGATTTGGGGTGCGCGTGCCGTCGGGCTATAGGCCGGCGGCGTGGGAGGCATCTGGCGCTGACTGAAGGTGTCGGACGAAAAGCGAGACCGAGACGTGGGGGACTGCGGGCTATCGGCGCTGCCGTCGGACGACTCCTGGCGCTGCATATGGCCGGCGTTGGAGCGCCACAAGTCCTGCTGCATGGTGTCGGGGTTTTCTTCGAAGTGCTCGCCCTTACTGTGATCGAGGGCGCCCAGGCGGGTGAGCAGGTCGTGTGTGAGCGGGTGGCCGTTGGGCTCGGGCTTCAGTCGGTCGCCGGTCCAGCCTTCCCCGTCGATGGATTGTCGGTAGAGCTCCTGTAGGCCGTGGACCAGCCAGGCTTGTTGCTGTTCCAGCATCTCAACATATCTACGGCGGAAGAACGGTCAGTTTTACATTTCAAGAAACACTGTAGTCAGGTCGCACGCTTACCCCTTCGGATACACTTTATCATGGGCCTTCTTGCGTTCCCCGAAGACGCAGATGGCGTTGTCTGCTCGACAGCGCGAGCACGGGCTTGCTCCATCACACTGAGGAGTGGTTAGTGCAGGCCTATCCGCACGAAGGCCGTCAGAACATACCTTGGATTTCTTCAGCCGACAGCGGTCGCAGGCCTTGCACACCCGCTTACGAACATTGCCGTCCGAATGTGAGTGATCGGACGTGGGTGTCGATTGGCGCGCAGCCATTATGGGCAAGTATGGTTTGGGAGGGGCAGAGGTGAGCCGGAAGGAAGTAGGCAATTAGGGCTGGGAAGGCCAAAAGGACGAGAAGCCCGGGTTTTGGAGTATGGGCGTCAGTAGTAGGACTTCCCGTTCCGGATGGAGTGGGCGACGTCAATCGGGGTCGATGATCTAATGAAGATGTCGGAGAGGAGTCTCCAGGCCCGATGTAATGTCAGGATTAAGTTTGGTCCTCGAACGTTTGCAGAGTAACCAGGGATTATATATCGAGACGGAGAGAGAGGGGGGATTCGAGTATTAGTTATACGAACAGAGCTAGTTATAGATCTCAGTTATGCTCTCGAATCAATCATAAACCGGTGGCTCCACTGGGCTGATCACAGGCCCGGTTTTTTTAATTTTTTTTGTATTACTCGATCTGGAAACTCGGCATTTACACTCTCGCAGACTTTTCTTGTTGCTGACGGAAGAACGGAGCTTGTATCGGACCTCGGAGGTTTCTTGTTATGTCCTGACCAGCATTATTTGTAAGGATTACTGATGGGCCAATTTTTCGTAATTCGTAATCTGTAACCCATTATCTAGGAGCACACTTCCGGCCAACCAACAAGCCACGAACGAGAAATTATTCCGTATTTCCCAGATCATAGTTGCTTGCCTCGTACTGCTGTATGGTGGTAAATGACTTAGGAATGAATAATTAACGAGTTCATCCATGCATACAGTGGTTGCGAATTTATCCCGAGTCTTGGCCGTGCATAAAAAAAAAGCGCACCACATCCGTGACTCGGCAGGGGCAAGCCGAATGAACTACTCGCACAGTAATGACGGAAAGCGACAGCATTATTATGATGGAGGACTAGACCTCCGGCCGGTAATGCGAATACCGCATGGATATTCGGATGTGTTTCTCTCCTGAAAGCTCTTTTTTCCGTCTAAACTTCAACGGTCGTGCCCACCTGACCGCAAGAAACCCCTAGTCGGTGGGAGGGAGGTACATACAATTCTGGTGAATTAGCTAACTATTAGTCATGAGTGGTTCAGAAATTCGTGATTCATGACACCGGGACTCAGCCAATGAAGACGCCGGGCACCCAGCCCCCGGCGAGGTGGTTGAGTAATCGAACCAGCGATGCTTGCGGTCCATGACGTTACCATCTCTCCTCCATCGTGATCACTATTTTTACATATTCTAGACTGGGAAACAAACAAGAGTTTAAGTTGAAAGGATCTGCCGTGGTGGTTCCCGACTTGCTCTCACTCCAGAATTCACATTCATATTTTTTGATCGCGTCATAGTCTCCGGTCTCAAGACACCCCCGGACGACGGTGATTCATGGTTGGATGATCTCATTGCCTGTCGGTAAACAACAATGGAGCTGTTGCTGCTTGCAAGGAGCTGTCATACATGGTTTACACCGTGCCCTTTGCTGCCCCGTGAGCCGTGGGGGAGTACATGTTATTATCACGGAGGCCGATTCCGAGCCCAGCCAGATCTAAGTACCAAGGGAATCATGTAGCTCCATTCCATGTAACATGCATCCATTTACACCTGTAGATCCAAAGAAGAGAGAAACAAAGACGGGGGTGGTATACAACTGAACAGAAAAAGCCAACTACTCATCTTTTTTCAACCAAAGCAGCAGAGCCGGTGCGAGAAGGAGCCTCGTGCCTCTACTTCTTTCTCCTCCGTCGCAACATCGCTCTTGGACTTTTTCAGGTCCTGTTCCGAGCGATTGAAGACAAACATTGAGTTTCGCGTGCGCTTGCCAAACCCCCAAAAGCGACCGCGGGTTCGTACCTCGTGGGATCCCTGTATGCTTGCGTCCGCCGTGGTCGGGGGTAGAGCGGTGGTGTGCGCAGATGGCCCAGTGCGCGAAGCCGGCGGCCGAGTGGGTGCAGCGGTAGCTTGTTGATAATGCAGCCGGCGTGCTTCGACGACTCGGCGGACCAACACTGACACAGATTAGTTCCTCCGTTCTGTGTATCCTCCATGTTTACTCACGAGCAAACGTCTCCTCGATATTGACCATTTCCCGCGCACTCGTCTCCATAAACCCACAACCGTGCTTGCGCGCGTACTCCAGGCCGTCGCGAGAGGTGATGACGCGCCCGTCCTTCAGGTCGCACTTGTTGCCAGCCACAATCTTGACGGGCGGCGGCAGACCGATATCAGTTGCATTGTGGTCCCGGAGATCCTTGCGCAGGCGCTGGGCCTTCTCGGCGCGCCGCTCGGCCTCGAGGTTAATCATGTCCATGAAATAATCGAGCGAGTCCAAGCTCGAGGGATTCGTGATATCATAGGCAAGCAGAAAGGCGTCGGATTGCAGCGTCGCGGCCGTCCACAGCCCGCGATATTCCTCCTGGCCGGCGGTGTCGGTGATGGACAGGAAATAGGGGAGGCCATCCACGGTGCGGGTGACCGAGTATGAGTCCTCTGTTTGTTGATACGTGTCAGGCCAGATCGGTCGCGATCGGGGAGCAGATAGGGGCAGTCGTACCGATGGTTGGGTCATACCTGGGGTAACACGCGAGTCAGTCTGTGAAATAGGGATGAGGGTGGTGATAAACGCACTCGTGTATCCATTGACTACGGACCAGCCGCAGGGTGATGGAAGATTTGCCTGTTTCTCGATCAGTGTCCCGATCTCGATCGCGATCGCAGCGCCCAGGAGAATGGCACCGAATCAGGGCGTGAACCGCGTCCCAGCAATTCAAATAAGCAGTGTGGGAGGACGTACCGCATCCGCCATCCCCGCAGATGGTGATTGAGATCTTGTCTGCCATCGCGGCCTGACTGACGATGCGTGGCACCAGCACGCACAGCCGTGGGAGTGAGGAAGAGGGAGTGTCGAGAGGAATGGAGCGTGCGGGCGAGTGTGTATGTATTTATTTTGTCTGTAGATAAGAACATCCTCTCTCCTTTCTTTTCCTTCTGTTCCTCTCTTCCCCTTACCGTCTACATGTCCATTGAGTAGACATCTGGTGTCTCTTTTCCCTATGGATCTAAATCCAAATACCTTCTGCTGTCTGTGCCCCGTCCCCCTTCGGGCGCTTTGTGATACATCAACTTCTTCACCAGCATCGCTGTTCGTCTTGCCCACCACAGCACCCTCAGGACCAGCGGGAGAACGGCAGGGACCAGTCAATTATGCTGTGCCTAGTTCACCAGCACCAAACATGAAGAATTCGGTGCTCAAGGGGAGACGAACCGCCCTGTCAAGTCGGGTAGTGCGCTCTCATTGGCCCCCCGTATCATCTCGCGGCCCACAATGACATGCGGTTGTACTTTTGGCAGAGACGAAAAGGAGGAGAATGCGAATCAATGGGGCGTTGGATCTTCTCTACCTCCCCATCCTCCCTCCCTCTTTTCCTTCGACACTCTCTTGCTCGGTTGGCGGGGCACTTGAAGCAAGGAAGCACCATTTTGTGAGGATCACAAAATCTGGAAACCTTCTCCACCAGACACCCCGGTTCCCGACACTCTGGAAACTTGTCTGAGCTTCCTGCATTCTGGACCCCACGTAGGCCGTGCTTTTGCACCATGGCTTCCGGCAACAGTTTTGACTATACCAACCGCGATGAGGAGTCTCTGCCGCCACAGGACCAGTCTTACCTGGGCTTCAACGACAACTATGCATTTGGCGGCATCATGCCAGAGCAGGGCCTGCCGCCCGCCGACTTGGAAGGCCGCTTGTCGAATGTCATGCTGACCTACGACTCCATGCCCAGCACTGGCGTGTCGATGCCCATGAGCATGGATGCTGGCAACTCCTTCGCCTACGATTCCTACCCAAACACCACCGCTGGCATGCCACCCCAGCTGGACCAGGCCCAACTTCTTCCCACCTTCACGCCCTTTTCTCAAGGAATCCAACCGCAGACCAGTCAGTATACGTTGCAACCTGGCGCGGCCGGTCCGCCCCAGCGACGCAACGAACCCTACAATGATGGCAACAATTCGTCCGGTAGTAACCTCGAGGACTCGGACTTCTCTCGATCCAGTGATCGGTCCCAGGGCCAGCCGCACGCTTCCTATCGATCCCAGCAGGGCCGCCAGCAACGCACGCTCCAGTCACACTCATCAGCCCCGTATCGCCCATTGCAGCCGGTTGCCATCCAGCCCAAGAAGCCACATGCCATCAAAGGTGAGGAGTATATCAACCCCTATTTGCAGTGGGATGACTGACAAAGACCGTAAAGCTGAGGACCCCTCGCCGGGCCTGGAAAAGCCTGCTTCCAAAAAGACAGAGCACACCGGCATTTATTCCAGCAGCGGCTTTGATGTCCTGGGTGCTTTGGGCCGAGTGGCTATGCGTCCCAACCCCAGAATCAACATTGGTGCCGTCGATCTCTCGTGCGCCTTCGTGATGTGCGACATTCTGCTCGAGGACCATCCGATTGTGTACGTATCTGAAGCATTTGAGCGGCTTACCGGCTACACCAAGGAGGAGATCGTGAACCGGAATTGCCGCTTTTTGCAAGGGCCCGACGGCAAAGTCACTGCCGGTGCGAAACGCTCTTTTACCGATGGCCAGACTGTTTTTCGATTGCGGTCGACTATTGATGAACGCAGCGAGATCCAGGCTAGCATCATCAATTACCGCAAAGGCGGACAGCCATTCATGAATCTCATCACTATGATCCCGATCCAGTGGGATTCAGACGAGTACCGCTTCTACGTTGGGTTCCAAGTCGATCTGGTTGAGAAGCCCGACGCTGTGACGCGGAGGAATCCTGGTATGTTCCTGCCAAACTGGTGAAGCTCCTCACAACTGACATTCTATTAGATGGCACTTATAGCATCAACTATCAACGCGACCAACTGCCCCAATATGTGGTTCCCCCGCCGGATGTATACCGGACTCAGCCAGAACTCGTCGCTAGATTCGGTCACGATGAAGTGACGGCAATCCTCAACGCTGTGGGCGTCGCTGGACCTGAGGTCTCCCGGCAGTACCTGGACTGGATCCTGGTCGAGAACACGGACGACGTGATTCACGTATTGTCTTTCAACGGCGAGTTCCTATATCTGTCACCCTCCTGCAAGCGGATTCTGGAGTATGACCCTGTCGAACTGATTGGCAAGACGCTGTCGACTATCTGCCACCCAAGCGATATTGGACCTGTGAGCCGCGACATGCGTGCCAGCACAACGACCGCGCCTATCAGCGTCGTGTACCGCGTTCGGCAGAAATATCGTGGATACATGTGGTTCGAGAGCCACGGGGCGTGGCACATCGACCCGAACCAGGGACGGAAGTACCTAGTCATGACCGGGCGGCCACGACCCGTCTACTCGCTTGATCAACTTGCCCACCTGGGTTCTTCAGCTGCCCTGGCCGAGAACGACATCTGGGCCAAGGTCTCAGTGTCCGGCTTCATTTTGTTCATCACATCCAAGGTTAAGCCAGTGCTTGGCCGCTCGCCGGATGATCTGATCGGGAAGGGACTGCAAGAGCTCATGGAATCCGAGGATGGGCCTAACGCGATCAAAAATGCGCTGCAGGCAGCAGCGGGAGGGCAAGGTTCCAGTCGAGACTCCGGTAATAATGAACATCCGCCGTCCTTCCACCACCAAATGCGCCACAAAAAGGGACACAACCTATCTGCGCACACGACCTTATACGCAGGCGACACTCCACAAGGCACGAAACCTACGTTCCTCGTCGCACAAATCCGATTCGCCCGCTCTCTACCATCGGCCACCGATGACGAAGACCTAGCCACCCTTACCGGCACAGGCAGAAGCACAACTGTTATCACAGAGAACCCGAACCCACCTTGCCAATACGGTGCACTCGGCCAACGCATGCCCGATCTTTCGACCTTGATCGGCCTCAATGGCCTACCAACAGGTAACCGCAGCATCTCGCCATCCGACGAACCAGCCAGGTTCTTTGCCGAGCTCAACCCGCGGCGCGGATCGAGCTGGCAGATCGAGCTGCGGGAGTTGGAGAAGCAGAATCGCGGACTGGCGGATGAGTTGCAACGTCTGCTGAATCGGCGCAAGAAGCGCAAGCGCAAGCAAACCACTATCAGTGTTGAAAAGGCGTGCGCGATCTGTCGGACGAAAAATACGCCAGAGTGGCGGAGGGGTCCAAGTGGGAATCGGGATTTATGTAATAGTTGTGGGTTGAGATGGGCGAAGCAGAACCGTACTCAGCAGCAGCAACAACAACAACAAGGACAGGCTCCTGCTGCTGCTGCTGGTAGTAGTAGTGAAGGAAGATAGTATTGGCGGAGCCAAGTGAATGTTGTGCCTAACATGATGAGTTTCTTTTGGTCTTGCGCGAGGACCGGGTGTTTGGATTTAGGTATACCCGTTGTTGGTTGAGTGAAAGTCCTTTCTTTGTTTTCTACTTCCGGAATTTTGTTCTTGTCTATTGTCGGTTCTAGTTTTGGCGGTCAATATGCATATTCTACTGTTGTTCTCTATCTCGGTATCTTGTAGCACATTCCTGGTCTCTTGCATTGAAATGTCTATAGGCCGGCTTTACTTGCACATCCCTACCCTTAGCTACACCCCGCCTAGTTTACTTGCACACCCATCCCATATAAATCAGTACTAGCGTAGAATGTAGCGTCTTTTCCAAATGTACCTCTGATCATATTGGGTTGTCCATTTATGTGTAAGTTCTCCCCCCAACTTCCCTGTGAACCTAGTACAAAGTTCGCCGGGGATTATTTGGCACCGCCATCCCCTGAACCCTCTGTAAAACTCTTACGTACGTTGTCCTAGAAGGCTCTTCTGTTGATGGAACTTGTAGCGCACTTCAGAAGTGTAGGTTTGATAGAGAAAATGAGGGTAGAAGTGGGAATAACTTTCTGATGTAGTCGTAAGACTGGTATCACTGCTATACAGAGCGACTGGAGGTACTTAGAGGAATTGCACTATATCTTACGCTAGTAACAATTTGTATACTAGGGGTAGGCTACAAGGGCCTTGGTTTACGGCCTTCGACTACACGGCACACGAGTTTGTGGATAATACAATGAATAGTATATACAATTCTAACCATGCGTCCATCTAATCTAGCTTGGTATATAATATACAAGTTGGAACAGAGACAACCATGTCTATGCCTTCCCATTCCTCAAAGCCAACCATCGCTGTAACCACTCTCTTTCAGCCATTTCCCTCTGTCCATCTTTTCTATACCCGCTCGCCACATCCCCACCCCCGCGCTCCTCAACCGCAACACGCACTTCCTCGGCCACAAGGGCCTTGACACCCCCGCCACCCCGAATCATCGCATCATCAATCGCCAGATAAGAGAGATATCTCTCCAAACGCGGCCGATAAACCCATCTCAGCAGAGCACCCGAAGCAAAGCGAGCATGGCTCTTGACCAATCCGAAGACGGCGCATGCGCGCAGTACACTCTCTGCATCCGCAGTTCGCGCAAAAGCGGGATTTGCGAATTGGGTAGCAAGCAGGCTCAATTCCTCTTTACCACCCACTGGCATTGGCGAAAGGGACCCAGCAGTGGCAGCGGTATGCCCCGCCAAGGCGTTTCTCTTCCTCGCTGCCGCAAGCGTGCGCTCCTTGGAGACTTGCGAAGGAACACGACATGTAAACGGGGTGACGGCATTCCCAAATATGGGGACAACAAGCGGTGTGAACTCGCCGCATACAATAAGGATCAGAGTGAAGGGGATCATGCGGCGGACATCGCGAGCCGAGCGGCGGACGAGTTGAAACTGTGCGCGGCCGAGCAATGATGCTGCATTTTTGTCTCCGGAGAGCCGAGGAGGGGAGATGGGGATGTAGGCTGGGAGGCGCAGTGTCTTTCGGAGGGGCAGCGAGGCGCGGTAGTTGTGGTAGACGTTCTTCAGGCCCGTTTTGTAGAAGGTGAGGTATGCGCGGCCGATGGCGATGTAGCGGGTTAATTTTTCGGAGGTGGATGCTGTCTCTGTAACGGCTTCGGGGAGCACGAGGGGCGCGGGGCGTGTGCTGGGTGGTGGGTTGATTTCGTGTTTCTTCGGGGTTGAGACTGCGACGGGGGTCGGAGGTGATGATGGGGGAGAGGATGACGGGGAGTTGTGGCGGGCGTGGGTCGAGAATCGGAGAGTCTTGGGTTGAAATTGGGGACTGTTATAGCGAAGCCGAGCGTATACGGCACGCTGGGCCTGGAGGGAGGACATGGTTGTTGGTTGTTGTTCAAAGAGAGAGGTGTTGCGGAGTTTGAGATGGAGAGAAACAGCGATAAGATTGACACCTGAGGCATTTAAATATCTATAGGTCCTACAACATCTTCAAGTTTACAGCTCCACCTGCACAGCAACCATACTCTCCGAAATAAATCCCGTCACAAACAACCACGCTCTCTTCTTGCCATCCTCCTTTGGCTCAATGGGCACCAAAACCGCCGCACTCGCCGTACGAAGTCTCGAGCCATCGTCTTCAAACAGCATCTTCTTCTCCCATTTTCCATCACCCGCGGGGCGGGCATACCAGGTCTGACATGGATCCTTCGCCTCGGGATCCTTGGAAGTCTTCGGCAGGTTGAAATGTTGTGAAATGCCTGCGACAACATATCCGCTCGCATCGTCCGAGTCCGTGCGGTAGGGGTCCGCGTAGTAGCTCGGGTTGTCGGTGACAGTGTCAAAGGAGATGGTACTGTGGATGGACAAGGTATTATTGTTGTCGTATTTATTGGCGAGATACAGCTCGCCACCCATGGCACTCGAAATCACCACTTCCTGCTCGGAGTGGCCGTGCCCGAGCCCGTTGTTATTCCACAGACCCGTGTGGGCGACCGTGGCCTGGATACCTGCCGTAGCATCTTTGGACTTGAGATCGTCGATTTGGACGTGGATGATATTCGTCCACTTGGCGGAAGGCCAGAGGTCCTCAATGAGCCGCATGGTTCCCTCGGGGTAGAAGTGGTCATTGGTCACGTAGAGCGAGTGCGGGCTGTCGGCGATGACATCGTTCGGGGTGCGGATAAGCGGATGTCGGATTGAGCGCACATGCTGCACCGTGTTCGACTGTAGGACGTGGCGGAAGAGTTCGATCTGAGAGCGCGCCTTGGGGATATTTTGAGCCTCGGCTGCTTCGGCTTCCTGTTCGTAATACTCCGGGTTGGGAAGGTGGTTGACTGCGACGATGTACACTGCATCCGCCTGCTTGGGGTCTTCGATCACATCAATACCGTGCGTCACAAAGGGACCCTTGAAATTGTCAAAGGCCAGACGCTTCGACTTCATTGTCTGTAAATTGTTTTAGGATCTGCTTTCACACTGGGTGCTTGGCAAACCTTACCTTCGGATCAATGACATGAATAGATCCCGGTGTCGTCGGCAGCTTCGAAAGATGGCCCAGCCCCGGGAACCAGCTAAACCGCGTTGTCTTCGAGTCCTCGCACGCAGTAAAGAGGAGGTTGGCCGGACGGTAGTGGTGTAAATCCTCGCAGTGCATGGTATCCTCAATGTGGATTGGGCCATGTCCTTCTGGAAACACGGTCTGCTGGGGACTCTGGAAGATGCCTCCAATCCTGATGATATGGGCGACGGGCCCGTACAACACGGCCACTAGGACGGCGAACAGTCCCAGGCTAAACGTGCGGAGCATCCCCATGGCGGATGGACCGATACAAGAATGGATGGATGCAATATCCCGGGGTGTTTGGGAGAGATCCTGAGGGTCGGGTTAGGTGGCTGCACAGGACCAAAAGCACCTCTTACGGAGAAGGTGGAGGAAGAAGAGCGAAAAAGCCATGACGGCACGAGAGGCACCTACCTTTTCTTCGGCTTGACCGCAACGATCGCCGTGGTTGAGGGCGGGGAGAAGTGGAGATGCGGGAAACCCTCCGAGGCTACACAGAATAATGGATGAATAATGATACGGAAGTAAAAATGCAAGGAGCTGCGTTTGTGAACTATCATCCTAATCACAGAAGCAAGTGGTTTTTTTGGAGGTTCGTTTTGTTTTTCAAATGTTAGTAGCGCCTTGTACAGCTGCAAAGCAGAAAAGTTACTCGAGGGGTTCCACAAAGCACCGTCCGAAAATCCCGTGCAAATTCCCATGTTCCAAATTCATATCGTAAGCTTAGTTCACCGACTGCTTCGCCTCGAGGTACTCCTGGTCGCTGGCATCGAGGACATCGTACTCTTCGTCAGTCAAGAAACCCGTCTCCGTGTCCGCATCGTCCAGAGACAAACTTTCCATGTCCTCGGACACATCTGGCTCGGAGGGATTCGAGACCGTGGGGGCAGGCTCCACCTCAACGTGGGGGGTAATAGCTTCGTGGGTGCTCGTCTCCGGGGACTCCTTGTCCAGCTTGGGGAAGATCATACCGCTATCGCTAGCCTCCGCGGGAGTTTCGATCTTGACTGGAACCGCCACCGATTCGATCTCCGTAGACTCCTGCACCTGGACATCACACCACAGTCGATGACCAATCGCCATGCCGTTGGGGAGCTTCAGTCGCCAGTACGAGATGACAGTGCCCTCGCGGGAAGGAGTTCGAAGTGTCACAGTAAAATCGGCACTCTCGCCGGCCTCCAGGGGAGCGGACAACTTGTTGCTCTCCATGGCAGACCGAATAGACTCAACACTAGACGGATGAGTCGCATCAACGTTGAACATGGTGTCGCCACCAACAAAGCGGACGTCAGTCCCAACGGGCCATGCGCGAGGGCCGGGGTTATGCAGAGTCCAGGTCTGTTCGAATGTTGTGTCCGGAGGCAGCTTCGTGCCATCGGGGATAGTATCCCGAATAAACTGTCCCTGGAATTCTGCCACAGAATCGGTCCAGACAGCAGACCCACTGTCGGACTCGGTCTTCTCGGCCGGCTTGCTGGCATCCACCTCCACGGGTGCCTTCTCGACTGTTGTTTTCTCATTAAGGGCCTCCGCCGAAATCCGTTCCGGAAGGTAGGTCTGATCACCCAGACTGAAGCCGTCATCACCCATGGTGTTCACCGTCACATGTCGGACCGGAGTTTTAAACTTGATGAGGGGGTGAGTGCGGTTGTGCTGGTGGGTTGGAAGAGCTTCACAGTTGGCACAGAAGTCGGTGTCATCGCAGACGGCACACTTGTAGCGCGCACCCGTGATGTAGCTCTGGGCTGGCTTGTTCTTGCACAAGGGGCCATCGCAAAAGATGCCGTAATGGATCTCGTGGACACGAGGGGGTTCAGCAAGGGCGTCATAAATGGGCACGAACCGATGGTCGGGGTGATTCTGAGAAGCGGACGAGACGCAGTCCTGGCAGTAGTCCCAATCAGGGCATATCATGCACTTGTGGCGGATGCCGATAATGCGCTGGGATGCAAGTCAGTAACTCGAAAACACTTAACTAGCTCTCGATATAACATACCTTCTCACAGCCGTCACAGACGGCAGCGTGCTTGAACAGCCGACCAGGAGCGCAACGGGATGTGATGAGATTCTTCAGGCAGAAGTCACGGTCCGACCCAAGCTTGAAAGCGTGCGCAGGATGATGACCGTGCTTGTTCCGCAGGAGACAGCGGAGACACAGATCATAGTCCTCGCACTGGGCGCATCGAACCATGCTACGGCCATCGTTCTCTGTCCAAATATTAGCCCTTGACCAGGCATTTTTGCAACTATCTAGAAACTCACCACGGCAACATCCATTGCAGATATGCTTGTCTTCCTCTTCGACTTCAGGAGCAGACGTAGCGGCCATTTCAGGGACCGGCTCAGCAGTCGCCTCAACGAGGACCTTCTCCGGCTTGCTCTGCTGCACGGACGCCTCGCGCGGAGCAAGTTTCTCCGTCGTACTGTTGGTCACAATGCCATCACTGACGACTCTCTTGATCAACCAGTGACCATCGCCGCGGCAGGACGCTCCTGCATCAACACACTGCGGGCACAGATCATAGTCCCCATTCTCGCAGATGCTACAGTGGTAGTGTTCGCTGACAATGGAACGACCACAGTTGTTGCAATCAATGCAGAACATGCCGCTAGGGGAGCTGTGAGAGATGACGGGGAAGTTACGATTACCGTCATCCATCTCAAAGCGACGATAGCAAGGAGGATTAAGAGATGACTGATTCGGCTGGTGCGACCCAATAACGCAGGTGGAAGGTGGAACAGATATCGAGGGAAGAATTTCCGGAATAGACGCCGGGATTGGCGAGCTCAAAACCGTGTCGAGATAGCTGTACCTCGGGGCAGGCTGTGGAACGGGTTGATTCTCCTGTGCAGGCTTTGAGGTCTCCTCTTCGGAGGCCGGCAAGGCCGACGACATGGGGTCGACTGTAGTAGCCTTGATCCGGAGCTTTGATTTGGCCTTGGCAGCGCGGTAGAGTGATTTGTAGACGACCACGTTATCGCAATCCAGGCGAATGTAGGAACCGGCACTGTCGGAATAGCGTTCGAAGATGACGTTGACATCAACGGGAACGCCAAGCAACGTGCGGAGCTATCCAGAATCATCCGTTAGCTATCAAGCGATAAAATCCAACACAAGTCAAATGTAATTCAATGGACAAGTAGGAAAAGGACAGGGGTGGTGAGGGGTCCTGTCACGAGGAGCCAAGTTGGTTATCGTGATGATAAGAGATGGGGCCGGAGTTGAGGTCCGGTCGGGGAGCTCGGGTGGAGAACGTTATTACCTTCTGGGGGAAGACCTGCGGCTTCAAGTCCTTGAGGGGCAGCTTGAAGCGCCGATTATTCTCATTGTAGAGCACCTTGACTGTCACCAGGTGGTCTGGGGATAAGGGCTGGGATGGGGTCAGGGGAGAGGCCATGGTGGTGATGAAGAGGTGTGGGTGGGGAGGAGGAGGGTGAGAGACGTAAGAGGAGTGGATGACGGAAGTACACTAAGTACAAGCTAAGGCAGCCGCCGTGATACTAGAGAAGGGGGATAGGGAAGAGTGATATGGAAGAAGGGAGAACACAAAGGGGTTTGATGAACTCGATCAGATCGAGAGAGAGATGACCAAGACCATGAGCGGACGCAGAAAGAAGAGAGAGAAACAGGATGGGGTGCAGGCAGGTAGGCAGACCAAAAAGCGGAGAGCGCAGGAGATGGTCAGCTGATGGGAAGGCGGTGAGAGATAGGTGATTAGGTAATGGTTTAATTATGGCGTCAAGGGCACGGACGATCTATGGAAGGTTGTACGGAGGATTACTTTTGTATTTCGTAGCATCACGCTGGGTAGCATGCAGCAGGGCTAAGCTCAGTCGCGGAATCATCAATCCAAAGACAGTCAGAAAAGAAAGAAAAAAGAAATGGGAGATCATGCACCGTCAAAAAAGAAAGAAAAAAAAAACCACGAAGAATATGGTGTCGGAGAGAGGCAGACCCAAAGGCCTCGACCCGACACAGGCCAAGTGATGATGTGGGGAGGTGCGGGGATATGATGAGGGGGAAAGAACGCTCAAATGCATCGGAATCCAGTTCTAACCGGGGGCCAAGGAGTGCAGAATGGGAAAACCAAAAGATTAAACACAAAGGATCGAATGGAGAAGAATGAATCGTAGCCCGAGGAGGGTGGAACCACAAGACCAAGAAAAAAACATTATTGGGGACCATAGTACACACCTCCCCCACCGGGCGGTTGAGGATAGTAGTACGTCGTACCAGGTGGTGTCATCATGCCGCCCATTCCCACCACACCACCAGGCCCGGAGCTCGGTGCCCCATACTGCGGGCTCGAGTACATCTGGTTGGCGTCGTAAAAGTAGACGGTGCCGCCAGATTCATGAGCGACGGTTCCCGGCTGCGATGGCTGCTCGCCAGTGGAGGGGGGAACCGCATAGGGCATCGGAGGCTGGCCAGGAGGGAAGGATGGCACTGAGGCTCCAGGGCCAACAGGGCCATTATATGCCGGATTATATTCAGATCCCGAAGGCGGGTAGAAGGCCGCACCGGGACCATAGGTCGGGGGATAAAAGCCTTGCTGGTAAGTATAGGGCTGGAACGGTTGAGCATGGATCGCGCGTTCGGGAATCTGCGACAATGGGGTCACGGAAACCTGACTCGGTGGACCACGAGGGACATCAGGGCCCGGACCACGTGCTGCAACAGGAGCTTGATGGTGAAATGGCTGCTCCAACTGAGGATGTGGTGGGTGAAACCCAAAGCTCGCCGGGGTCTCGATATCTGCCACGGAAACGGCCTTCTGTGGACGAGGTTGATGCATCGGGATTGGGCCAGGTCGGCTTTCACGGTAAGCCGGGTGCGGGAATTGCATAGGAGGCATCACCGGCGGCGGACCAGGCGGACCAGGCGGCATTCCAAGTGGTGGCCGTGGAGGCGGCGGTAGGCGGACCACAGGCTTTCCAGCATCGGGAGGAATCATTGCTGGTCGGGAGTAGGCTGAGCCGGCCGGCGAGGGGTAGCCGTCCTGCGATGCGGCCATGCCAAGGGAGGACCGGCGGCTCAGGACGCTCGGCGTGTATACGGTGTTGGCGTAGTAGCTGGGGCGCCGTCCGCCGCCGTAAAACCCACCACGACCTCGGCCACGGTAGCCCTGCTGATTCGGCCGCAGAGCCCGGGGAATGAAGATGAATGAACGCTCGACGGATGGGAAAATGTACCGGGGAGGTTGACCAGGAAGAGAAATCCGCACCGGTTTGTCTCGCCGCAAGGGAGGTCGATGTTGAGGCAGGCGGGTGTGTTGCTTTTTAGGCACTGCGGGGAATGGGACGGGCTGGGTCATGCCCGGTAAGAAGACGACGACAGGAACATTCCCCACGAGGGTCGTGCTGGAAAATGACCGATTCGGAGGATCTGAATTCGGTGCGGTAGGAACAGGCATAGAAGGGTTCACCGCGGCAGACGATGCTGGTGGAATTTTGAGTGCAGGGCGGTCCACCCCGGCCACCGTATCGTGGAGGTCATGAGCCCACTGCCCTTCACTAGCTTCGGACCTCGAATTCCTGAGTGATATTAGCAACGGTCCGTGTTTGCAGAAGGGATATACGCACTTGCGAGTATTTCCATCCACAATCAAGCCAACCGGTCGAGACTTGGGTTTGTTCATGGATCGGAAACCAGCATCTGCTGTCCGCTTGTCATGCAGGAAGAAACTGCCTCGCGTGGGAACGAACGCCGGATTCTGGTCCCGTTCCTTGACATACTTGTCATGCTCTCGACGCTTCCTTGCAGCAAATGTTTCCCGTCGTGGTTCTGTTGGGGGGGCAGAGGGTGTCCTGCCGGTCTGAGGTTCTTCCTTCAGCTGGTCGAACTGGAGCTCGGCCACCTCGCCACTTTGATCAGAGACTTTAAGCCCATTCAACATTGCCTCCGTATCTGAAACCGTTGCCTTGAGCTCTGGCTTGCCCGTCGACGTGGGGATGGATCGAGCCGGTTGGTTCAACCCTCGGCCATTTACCCGACTACCGTTGAGCTTGTCCGAGGCAGGCCCATCATCTTCGCTTGCCTCGCTGCCCTCGCCGTCGGCGTCCTCATCACCAGGGCGGCTGCCCACCGAGCCTTCACTTAAGGAGTCATCGTCCAAGTCCCCAGCCAGCGAGCCCTCATCTTCGCCATCATCGTCCCTTCTCTTGCGGCGACTGGCCCCGATGTGGCGGCGAGCGGGAGCCATGAATATCGGAGACAAGGGGGGCAACTCAGACAGTCGAAGAGGATCACTGGCCCTGGGTTGACTTTGGCAGAGGAAGCCAGTCGATCGGGAAGCGTGGCTCGGGCAGGGAACGGCCAGCGGCGAACCAGCAAGGACTCGGGGCACCGATGATAGATCAGAACGGGTGGGTAGAGAAGGAGAGAAGGGAGATGGAGGGAAAGAACGAAGGGAAAAAGACACCCTGAGGACCAAGGCGGTAGAGAAGAGAAGAGCAAGGGGGTGGGAGAGAAGTTGACAAGCAGACAAAATCAAGTCCAGAAGGGCATGACATCGCGAGCGACGTCAGCCCTGATCGGGCCTAGCGTAGGCGGTGAGGGATGTCCGATCTTGGATCCACGAAGTATACAGCACCGCCGTTGTTTTACGGGGATTTAAAGGGCCATGGATGGGCGTGAGCAGGTGAACAGGAGTGATCAGTGTCGTGCTATCATGATCGGTTCCAAATGCACATGGATACAAACAGAGTATATATTTGGCAGCCATCGCATCTCGTCAGGATGAAATGCTTAGTCGAACGAGATCTTCTTGCCCTGGGCCTCCACAATAGCACCACTGAGTCTCTGAACAGTTTCCTCAGAGTATCGAGACTCTTCAAATGGCTTCTTGGCCTTCTTAATCCGTGGCCGGTCTTCCGAAGCATCTGCACCGTCCTCGGCATCCTTCTTCTTTCCCTCACCATCCTTGCCAAATCGTTTCTTGTACCGCGTGGTGGCATCCTCCGCAAACTCTGCTCTTATGCGGCGTCCCATGAGCTGGTTCACCCACACCCTCCGCTGTCGGGGCTTTTTGGATTTCCGTTTCTTCTGCTTTGCAGCGTCAGAGTCGCTCGAATCCGACTCTTCTTCCTCTTCTTCGTCTTCCTCGGTAACCAAGGCAAACCCCCTCACGGCCGCTTCAGCAGCAGGCAATTCTTCAAACACCACCCAACCATATCCCTTGCACTTGCCGGTATCCTGGAAAGTCGCCATGTGAACATTGGCCACCGTTCCACATTGGGCAAAATGCTCCTCGAGAGCCTCTTTCGTGACGTCGAAAGCCAAATTGCCCACAAAGATTCGTTTCGACGGAGGGTGACCGGACTTAGAACCCGAGCTCGCGGCATCTCCTTGATCCTGGGTTTTCGCGGGCCGACCCTCGAAGCTTTTGGCATTCTTGATCAGTACGGCCCGACCGGTGAGGAGCTGCTCGCTCAGACCCAGTGCCTCCTGCAGTGCCTTCTGTGTGGAAAAATCGACGTAGGCGAATCCTTTATTTTGCGACTTTCCATATTTCTCTTGGCCCTTTGGTAGATGGATTCGGGTGATGGTAGCGTCGGAGAAGGAGCAATTGCTGGTGAAAAACTTGCGGAGATCATCCTTGGTCGTCGAGAATGCCAGATTGCCGATCCAGATCCCATACTCTGAGCGTTGGTCCTTGGCAGCGGTTGCCTGGGGTTCACTGGTTTCACCAGACTCATCTTTCTTGGTCTTGGGTTTGTCTGAGGCGTCGGGCCCGTCGGCGGCCTTTTTCTTCGCTTTGCGCAGAGCCTTCTTGGACGGCGGTTCTGGCGCCGAGACATCGATTTCGAGTTCCGGGCCGTCGTGCAGCTTGCGCTTCTTCGCGCTGCTGTCGGTAATTTCCGCCATCTTGACAGTGGTTAAGTGCAGGGTAGATGGTCGTAAGTATGGGCAAAAGCAAGCCAGTGAGTACTGCCGCGGAATATTTTTTACGGTGGCCCAGGCGGCCCTTAAGCGCAACCCGTGACTAGGCCGATCACGCCTCGCGCAGGGCGACTTGATTCTCTTTCTCCATCGACTGACGCCCTTTACCCTCTTCTCCCTCGGTCACTCAGGCGACACCGATTTCTGTAACTTCATATCCATCATGGCTCAGGAGGCCGGTGATGCTCGGTCCATGGCGGAGAGCCTCCCAGATGCTCCTCCAACTGTTACCCCTGCCAAACAGACGGTTAAGTCTTTCAAGTGCGACCTCACCCTCCGATCTCACCAAGGGGGATTGCTGATGCCTGTATTTAGGAAAAAATATGCAAAGCTCAAGGTCAAGTTTGACGTCGCGACACGCGAGAGTGAGACACTCATCCGCGAGGAGCTGCGCATCGAAGACCTATCAAAGCGTATCCGGGAACAGAACGAGTAAGCCATTCTTCATCTCTATCGTTGTTGGGTTTAAGCTGACTGGAAGATTTTCTTAGTCAATTGCTTGAAGTCTTGCTCGAATTCAATGAAAGCATTCACGTCTCTCCGGCTTTGCGATACGACTTGAACATGCCGAATGACGCACCGTACCTGCCGACACTCGAGCAAGAGATTGCACCCTTGGTCAATGATGCGACTCTTGCCCGAACGGCACTGAAGGAGGCCAAGGCGGGAGTGACCACAGGCACGATCACGGTTAGCGCGTACCGAATGGTCGAAGAAAGCATCAAACGCAACAAGTCGTTCATCCCGGCTTTGCAATACACCACCCTCACTCAAGTCCCCCACACGGTGCCGCCACCAACAGAACTGGGCAAGGGAGCCGACCACACCATCGAGCGCAGACTCGGATATCTTACACCGGAGCATGAAACCGAGTACTACCTGACTCTAGATGCCAAGCTCGGCGACGAGGCAGCAGCCGCGCAGGTCGAACGTCTGCCCGATCCGCCTACTTTTGCAGAGCGTGAGCGAGATGCGAACAATCGAAACCCGGCGTCGGTATACAATTGGCTGCGCCGCAATCAGCCTCAGACATTACAAGATAACGAGGCCGCATCGGAGAAGTCCACATCACGGCCTTCCAACCAGCGGGCTGCCGCCAAACGGGCCACGGCGCAGGCGCGCAAGGACGAGGATATGGACGAAGATGGGACAGATGCACACCCTACCCCGAAAAACAAGCGAAAGCGTGAAGAGGACGCTGGCTATCGGCCCAAGGGTGGCAGCAGTCGTTCGAAGAAGAAGAAAGAAGAGCCCACGTCGACTCCTAAAAGCACTGCTAAAAAGACGTGAGGGGGAGCTTGGGAGTTGTTTCTATCATGTATTACTACCGGCGTTGCTTCCACTGGATTTGCACTGGGATCCTGATATTGGCATTATGCGGAGGCTTTTTGGGGGGGTTTCTTGGATATCTTGAAATTCATGAGATGACCGCACGGATGCACCTAGTGCCTCGATGGAAGGCGGACTGTGACTTTGTAGACACTTGATCTCGATTGCTGCCTATTAGGCCCCTAATAACGAACATCGTCTCACAATAATACTTGTAGAGGTGACCTGTAGAAACCCCCGGTTGGAAAGTGGACTGGTCACGTGATAGACTTTTTTCAATTCCGCGGCATGGATTATTGCTCTCGACTGTCTACTCCGACATTCCCACGACACCATGGCCATTACAATTCTACCCCCAGTGGTCGAGGACCTCGATCCCCGCCCACCCTATCACGCCGAGTCAGACGACTCAATGTCGGTAGACTCGGATGAGGATGTCGACATGACCGGCACTAGCTCGCGACCTCACAAGCGACCACGCCTGGGAGGCAAGATTGGGACGGGGATTGTCACACCGGGCGAAGTCGTCACAGATGATCCACAATGGATGCGGTGGGTGCTCATTTTGTCTCTTCAGCGGGACTGTCAGAAGAACCCCCCAAACATAGCTAATCAACTACTTTGCAGAGGTCACGGCACATATATCAATCCCCTCTCAACATCCATCGTTGCAACAGTAGCAGGCACAGTCCACAAAACCAACAAGCTCCTTTCCGTCCATCCCCTGCGCGCCCGCTACACGCCCGAAATCGGCGATTTGGTCGTGGGACGCATCGTGGAGGTCCAGTCGCGACGGTGGAAAGTGGATGTGGCCGCACCGCTGCTAGCGCAGCTCCCTCTTTCCGCCATCAATTTGCCCGGTGGGATCCTGCGACGTCGAACGAGCGCAGACGAGCTTCAGATCCGGAGTTTTTTCAGCGAGGGCGATCTCGTGGTGGCGGAAGTGCAGAGTGTGCATCAGGACGGGTCGGCCTCGTTACATACCCGATCTCTTAAGTACGGCAAACTCCGGAATGGCGTTTTTCTCGCGGTGGCCGGCACGGGAGGAAGCGGCGCATCCAGCTCCAACGTCAAAGGCGGAGTTGGGTCTGGGTCTTCTGGGGCAGGCGCCAATCCTGGAGGCGCGGGAGGTGTGGTACGGTCACGGCGACAAGTATGGACGGCGGACACGGCCAACGGCGGCGGCGAGGTGGATATCATTCTCGGGGTGAACGGGTACATTTGGATCTCAAAGCATACCGACGGGGCGGCGGCTGCGTCATCGACTACGGAGAATGTCTCGATTACGCGCATGGAGGAGATGGTGTCCAGCTCGATCTACTCCAGCCAAAACGACGAGATTGCACCGCAGACTCGACGGGAAATCGCGCGGTTGGCGCAGTGCATCCAGGTGCTGGTGCAGGGCGGGGTGCGCGTGGACGAGGACACAGTCACGGGCGCCTACGAGGCTAGTCTGCAGGTGGATCTTGAAGTTGGGGATGATGAGGACGAGGATGATCGCCAAGAAGGCCGTGAGTACCTGGAAGGGAGCAAGGCGCGGCGGATTCTCGAACTGGAGATGCAGCGGCGTTAGATGAGCCAATAAGGCATGCCCTGAACGACCTATGTAATCGAATCACTGGACCCCGCAGTAGCGGTCAACATTTCTTATTATTATTCTTCCGCCTAGTCAGTTCGCTCTGACCATGGTGCTCGTTCTCCGATCGGGTCAAGGCGCTCGCTGCGTTGGGTTGGGCGCTCTCCCTTACTAAGATCGGACTGTAGCTCCCCCCAGCTTTTCTTCACTTCTTCATCCTCTTCTCCTTCTTCTTCCACCATCTCTCCTGCTATCATTCACTCCCATGCTGCTCCAGAATCATTATGTTCATTTCGTCCCTCTGGATTCTTCGATTACGCCTCACCATCTTCCCATTCCAATAGGGTAGCCATCTTATCTAGTACTACCTGATCGTCCCACTCCCACCTCTTTCTTCTTATCCGCCCTCTCTCGAGGCAGAGTCTCGGCAAGAGACTTTCTTTTATCTCATTTACCTTTTTACATACCTTTATCCCCCCCTCTCTCTCTCTCCAATATGCCTGACCTCCGCCGTCAAATCTTCGAGAGCGGCAAGACTGTCTCGCGCAAAGCAGCCTCTCGGGAAGCATCGCGCAATAATTCTCGTAACAACTCGAAGCAGACCTCGCGTGATACTTCGCGCAACGCCAGTAGAGCCGCATCTGACGAGGAGGACTCGGGCTTTCTTTCTGACGACACCGCCATGAGGTAAGATTCTTTTCACATTCCCAGCTCTCTTCATCCTCGGTCTCAGTCCCACTTCGTGGCGGGATGATGTCACCGGGGATAAATTTTTGAAACTTGATCACAAGCTGACTCGAAGTGTGTGCGCAGCATCGGCTCCTTGGACGATGAAAACCCCGAGCAGGATAATGAAGACTGGCCCCAGGAGCTGGGCGATCGCATCCAGGAGATCCTCGATCGCAAGCGCAGCAGCGTGCAGGGCCGCGAAGAAGCCCTGACGGCCTTCTGCCGTCTGACCAAGTATCACCATGCGGAAGAAGAAACTCGGGCCTATACCGGAGACTTGCTGAGTGCGTTTGCGAAGAGTGTGCGTTCAGAGACTAGCGCGCGCGAAACGATCCAGGCACTGCGTGCGATCGAACTGCTGGCCATCACGGCGCTGGATGACACCATCTATGAAAATATGGAGCCGCAGCTCACGCGCACCATTCGCGACTCATCTTCCGCCTCCATCAAGGCAGCGGCTATTCATTGCCTGGGTGCGTGCACCGTCTTTGGAGGCGCGGGCGAAGATGGCATCTTGGAGCAGATGACTTTCCTCCTTGACATCGTGGCTTCGGACGGAGAGTCGATCGGTGCTACAGACGACGCCACCAGTGTCACTGCCGCACTCCAGGTATGGGGATTCCTGGTCACTGAAATCGATGACTTTGAGAGCGAGAGCGAGGAGGCGGCTCAGATCTTCATCGATCAGCTCGAAAGCGGCGACTCGGGGGTGCAAATCGCCGCAGGCGAAAATATTGCACTCCTCTACGAAAAGAGCTACACCCCACAAGAAGATGATGAGGACTCCGATACCGAAAACTCAGGTGATGACAGCGACGAACACGGGCTGGTGAGCTCGTCGGGCCCGAAGCTGCTGAAGCGTTACAACGCATACCATAACACCCCCGAACTAGAACGCCAGCTCCAATCCCTCGCAACCATCCACACAAAACGGATCAGCAAACGCGACAAGAAATCCCTGCACAGCAACTTCACCTCGATTCTTACCACGGTTGAAAACCCGCGCCGCGGACCCCGCTACAACATGGCCATCGATCAGGACACAAACCGGCACTACGGCCACACGCTGACGGTCAAGATTGGCCGGCACGGGATCATGAGCATCGACCGCTGGTGGAAATGGGTGCGGCTGTCGACGCTGCGCCGGATCTTGCAGGGCGGCTTCGCCGAGCACTATTTCCAGGGGAACCGGGCCGTGCTGGATAATCTGCCCGTCATGATGCGCATGTCCGAGCAAGGATCGGCTGGATCAACGGATCGGCATGGTGCAAGAAAGGCTGCGAAGATGCGGAACTCGAAGCGGTGGACTGCGCACCACTCGGATGAGGACTAGAACGGTAGGAAAGCGACGGGATACAAAATGCGGAATTGCGAATATGGAATGAACTTCCCTGCACAGAAGGAAAGAAAATATCATCAGGTATACGGCCTGAAACTTGCGTTTATGGTGAACGAACGATATCTTTATGTGTGATGGGTTTACTTTTGTCTTTCTGTCAGTCTCAAAGGTTGATTATTGCTTTGCGTTCTGTCTGGGCGGTTGGTTATCTGTTTCTACTCGCCGGCAAGTACACGAGTCTAGCCATAAATGCAAAAAGATCCCAAATCAAATCAACTTTGGAAACATAGATATCCCTACTGTAGTGATTTTTAAAGTCCTTTCTAGAGTGGAGGATGATTCAACCCGAGTCAACACACTCCCTTTGTCCGTGCCATACCGTCCCACCATATGCAAAACTCTAGCCAGACCCTCACTTCCAACGGAGTCGACACTTTCCCCCAGTTTCTCTCTATACCAGAAGAATGTACATAGACCCGGTATATATATAACCAGCTATATATACTCGAACACAACCAGCACGTATCAAACTTCAAAAACAGGGACAACGCCCGACCAATTGCCCCGGCCACGCTCATCCCAATAGCCCTCCTTCCCGCCTTTCAGACGCCAAACGGTCTCCCCGTCCGACTCATCGCTGACCTGCGTAAACCAGCGCGGGATCCAGTTCTCGCCGGACGCCTCCATCTCGCGACGACGGGCCCGCTGGCCCTCTTCCAGCTGGACCTTGACTTCCTCCGCGCGATCAAGGTCTCCGTCCTCGAGGGCGCGCTGGTCAGGACGCAGACGGGAGTCTGTGGGTGGGAGGCGTTGGTCTTCAATGGAGGTGATTTCGTTCAGGGTGGCCGCGAACGCGGTCAGACCGTAGTGTTTTGGTGCGTTGGGGACGAGGGGTCCCGCGTTCCAGATGGTTTTGCCTGCATTGCCGTCTCTGGTGAGCGAGAGCGAGGCGGGCCAGGTACCGGAGAGGCCCAGGGACAGTGGTTTATTGTAGGAATCGACGGCGCGAGTGGAGACTTCCTCACTGCGGCCGGAGAACATGCCGCCCGATTTGAAGGTGGAGATGGAGCGGTGGCCCGTCGACTCGTTGGCGACAACGAGCTCGCCAACAGGCTCAACGTACTTCTCACCCGCAATGATATTGCGCAGGAACGAGGTGGATGGGGTCCAGCTGAAGCGCTCGCCAGTGGCGTGGAGGGTGACGCGGACGCGGCCCTCGGTGGTGATCTCGGCGGACTTGCCCCAGAATTTCTGGCTGGGCTTGGGAGACTGCGCGAGACTCCACTCGCGGCTGTCGGCTTGGTATGCCAGCTGCACCGGCCGGTGCGAGACCTTCTCGGCAACGAATCGAAAGCCTAGGTCTTCGCGGACGAGCTCGTAGGTTTCGCCGAGCATGGGGTTGAACGGCTTGCGGATGGCTCGCTCGCGAATTCGATTGCTAGACAACGAGGATACCGCGAATGCGGTCACGTAAAGCAACCGCTCCACGGCATCTGTTGCTTGCGAGGCCTTGTCGAGCAGTGTCGAGTATTCCAGGATCTCTGCTGCGCGCTGGAGCAGTGACAACGGTTCGTTTGCCGACACGGGCATCGAGATTGTAGACAGATCCTTGCCGACGTTCTTGCGAAGGAACCCAATCAAGCTGGGCGGCAGGACCGTCGGAGCGGCGATGTTCGTCCGGCGCTGTACGGGGTCCAGAGGCAGCGGGGTCAAAGACTTGGGCTTTGTCGGGAAGAGAGGTGATGCGCTGTTACCATCTGGCTGCGTAGATCCAGGCTCGTCTTCGTCACTGTCCGAAGGTGCATCATCCGACACGTCCTCTGCGGCGGTGGCTGCGCCGTCCTCGTCACTGTCCTGAATCGTCAAGAGTGGAGACGCAGCACCACCGTCCGTCGCATCAAAGAACTCTTGCGAGATGTCAGACTCCATGCTTCGCCTTGGTGCTGCCATCGCCCAGGGCGGGTGCCGTCGCTGCTTGCTCTCAGCGATCAACGAGGAAAACTCGGTCACCGCATTGTCGAGATCCCGTAACACGGCTAGTAGATTGTCGTGGATGTCGTGCACATCTTCGGCATGGCTAGCTATGCTCGCCGGTTTAGCTGTCCCTTCTGTACCGGGCACTACCAGCTGAGAAGAGCTGGAGCTGGTTGGTAGTAGCGGAGGCCTTTTGCTGCTTGAGTTCGATTGCGTGCTTGTCTTGCGTTTCCAAAACGGCCGCTTCTCACGGGTCCCCCCAACATCTTCGGTGGCCCCCTCACTGGGTGCTGGATGAGGGCTGGGAGACCGGTCACGAGAACGGTCATTGGGGGACGGCAGTGGAGATGCAAGATATTTGGGGTCTGTGTTCCTGGCAAGTCGACGCACCGCATCCCGCGATCCGGAGACCTGGCTCACCAGAACCTCCACCCGAGACCATTCTTGCTCCTCTGCCGGGGAGGTTTGGAAGGGTTGAGACGGCGCGCGCAGCCGTAGCTCCGGGACGCCAGAGACAGCAGCTTTGCTGTCCTTGGATGAGGCCCCAGAAGAGGCTTTCTCCAGCGCGCGCTTCCATGCAGCGAAGTCTTGCTCGTTACTGGCGCGCAAGTGCCAGATCTCGGTCCCGGAATCAATGGAAATCTCACGGGACTTGTCGTTAGTCGCAACAGCAGCAAGTGAGAGCGGAATAGCTCCTCGCAACGCGGACGAGTTGCGGTCATGGTAGTACGACAAAGTGCAGGAGGTGAAATCCAATGCAAAAAACCGGCGCGCCCAGCCCTGACCTCTCTTACGACGTCGTTTCTGCAGCTGTCCGGTATAGACGGAGGACGGATTTGACGTGTCCTGTTGTTGGACGCTCGGTATAGACTTGCTGTTACCCCGTCGTCTAGTGCGCGCCTGGTTCAGAGACTCAGTGGAGGGTTTCGTGGTTTGAGAGCGCGCGAGCGAGGGTGGCGCGGAGTTGGTAGGCTGCAGTCCGGTCGGATAGGTGAGGAGGACGAGCGTCACGGTCTTGGAGATCGTTTTGGAGAAGGTGTTGTCGAAGACAAGTGCGTAATTTCCTCCCTCGCTCTCCGGCACGTCGTAAGTGCCCTGGGAGATCTTTTCGGCCTCACACTTGCCGATCCATTTGATCGACTTGAGCCCAATCCCCGTCAACTTCTCAACAACCGTGGATTGATGGTGATTTCGTGATCCGGCGGTGTTCGTTGCAGGCAGGTTCTCGTTGGAATCGGTGCTGTGGGACTCGGAGGAGGGCAGCTGGGAGCTCAGCACGGCGGACTGGCCGGGATGCTTGAAGATGGCAAAGTTGATGGATTTCTTGTGCGGCTGAATGCTCCATGAGATGGTATGATAGTCGGCAACATTGATCCAGCGCACGAAGTAAGACTGTCATCGTTAATCTAGGCCGCAGTGTTGGCCACCTGGCAGCTCACCTTGCTATGGATCTCCAGCTCCTCTATTGCGGCCATTGTTTCGCGCGTTCAGCCTCACCGAGGGACAGCCGTCGTGTTCCGCGTCCGCCGGTTGATTCAAGACAGAACTAAAAGAGGGGGATTGGGAGGGGATTCTTATGATGGCGAGAGAAAGAGGAAGAACGGAAGGCGGAAACACAAATGTCCCGAGGTTGAGGAACGGAAGTTCACATGTACGGGAGACGCCTGGAGCGACGGAAGGAAGGAAGAAATGCTTGGCGAGACGGGTGTTTGTTTGGAGTTACATAACTATGAACTACGCAAATGGACTACTATAAATCAATCTGATCTCCTAGGGAGACTCTGATTGTGAGATCCAGCCGATTGCATTTACGACCGGTTTCTATTTCAGGTTTGCCCAGAACCATACTGTGACTACCGAAGGGGCCGGTGATATATACTAGGCCGAAGCCTGTGACAGCGAAGTGGAGAGGGGTTTGTTTAATAGACTCTACATTAGCACAGAAGAACCAGAAATTGCGATCCATTGCGATTCGGATGGTACATGTATGCCTGTCCCCAACGACCAAAGAACGAAAGAAAGAAAGAAAGAAAGAAAAAGAAAAAGGTATATCAAATTAAAACAAATCGCCGGAGAATCGAAGTCATGCAATGCTCGCCCCCTGCTTTTTGGTTCCTTCTGACATCCCGCGTAGAAATGGATGCTCGCACTATACAATGTCCCCTCTTTACCGCCGGCTGGCCTGCATGTTCGTGAACATCAACTTGAAGCCGTTGCACAGCGCCTGCATGTCGGGGTAAGGGTTCTTCTGCAACTCGTAGCCCTGGGGAATCACCTTCACAGGCCAGTTCTGGAGTCGGGAGTGCTCGCCCGCCTTGAAGCAGAGATAGAAATAACCCGGATACTTGGGGTTGATGCAGAACGAATAGGCCGAGCGACGGGGATTGGCCCGCGTGTAGGTTTCGAGCCACTGGTCTAGCATGATGTTAGTGGGTATAGTCAAAGGATAAAAGAGTAAACATACCGGTCTCAGCCTTGCTACCGTCTTGATATTTTTCGTTATGCACGATCTCGTCGACCTTCTTGGCCATCGCCTTGACGTGGTTGACGATCAAGTCGTCCAAATCGCTGTAGGTGTACCGACCACCAACCTTGAGAACGCGACCAACCGAGAATTCGTTCTCCTTGTCCAGCTCGAGGACATCGATGTGTTGGTACACACCTTGCGCGACCTTCCAAGTAACTGCCAGATGGTCTGGACCCCGAGACGACGGACGGATAACAACATCGCCGGGGCTTTGAGAGCCCAGAAATTCCTCGGCTTGTGTGGCGTTGAACGGTCGGAAAAGCGGATGCTTGATAACACGCATCGCCTGGCCGCCACGCTGCGTCTTCTCCTGTTGGGACTCCCGGTCCTCTCGTTCCTGAACCTCGTCCCAATCGCCAAAGCCATGATCATTGCCACGACGAGCCGGGTGGCTGACCTGGTCCTCACGCAGGGATACATTGCATGTAAAACCCTTTCGATTCAGGAAGAGAATCTTGGCCGGAATTGTCTGGTGGATTGCATAGGCGTTGCGCACTGGAACGTCGTAGGGCAGTCCAAGCTCGGTCTCGGCGACAAGCGCATCGACACCACAGTCCAGTTTGGCATCGATGTGGTCCTCAAACACCCGCTTGATGGATATGGGCACCACCATGCCGGGAGTCAGCGAGTCAGGGGTTTCGCCGGTGAGCATAGTAAAGATGTCATCGGTGCTGAGGAAGACAAACTGCTTGCGCAGCTCCTCGTAGGGTTGTTGTAGTTCTGCACGGATCGTTTCCAGAGTTGCGCGCTTGCGTTGGTTGAGGTTCCTCTCCAGCTGCTCTGCATACTCTTCGAGGATTAGATCGTTGACACGGTCCTGCGCCTCTTCCCGGAACAGTTTCCGCACAATCGCACCGGTGCCATTCTCGTCCGTCTCAGCCTTGATGTCTTCTTCGTCCAGCTCCAATGCGTCAGCAGCCATCTTGCGTGCAATGTCATAGTCTTCAGGATGCACACGGGTGTTGTCCAGAGGATCGGCGTCGGGATCGGCATTCTCAAAATCAATGTAGGCAAAGCTGGCGCAGTTGTTCCACACCTTGACTCCCATGGCTGGGTACTGCGCGTTGACACCCAGCAGTTCCACGCGATTATTCACAACGCCCCCATTCATGTTGACGATCTTGAGCAAGTGCGCCGCCTTCCGGGGACCTAGTCCACAGACGTACGGAAGAAGATTGGCCGTCGCACTGTCGGCTACGGCCTCGTTCAGATCGACGCCCACCAGGTTCACCATATCAACTAGAGCGGTTTCCAGCTGCTTCAGTAGCAAATCCTGTGACACCAGTTGCTGGCCTGGTTTGAACTGAATCGAGACAATATCACGACCAAGGGAAGCGTACTCCTTAAGAGGGCTCTGCAGGTACCGACCAAGAGCAACGCAGTAATGGGTTAGGCTGCCGAAGCCCGGGTTGTCGCGTCTAGCACGAGGGCTGTTGTGATACAGACGGGCCACCTCATCGTTAACGATCACAACCTCCAAGGGGTCGCTGACCTCTTCATCGCGGTCATCTGTGTAAGGCGCTCCACGAAGATCCTTCAGGTCGATGATCTCGGACAGGAGTTTGTACAGCCGGCGAGTCTCCGGTGTCATGCCTGAGACACCAATCACATCTGGACGACGCCGTTCCACCAGATCCACGAATGCAGCCACATGCTCACCGTCGTTAATGCCACGACTTTGATCTCCAAGAGACAAATCTGTGAATTTGCCGTTTTCGAGCACGCGACCATCCTCCTCGGTGTAGGCCCAGTGGATGGGATCGCGGCCGACAACTCCAGATCCGGTAGATAGAGCAAGGACCCGGGGCACAGTACCCAGCACCATGCCCTTGGGTTTGTAAGGGGCCTGATCCAACCGCTGTGAGAACGCCTCACGGCACTCCTTGGCGACATGGTTCTCGCATTCTTGCCGGATGTTCTCCTTGACGCTGCGATTAATCAGCCGCTCCAGCTTGCCGAGTGCCAGATCCAGCACATCCCGGCGCGCACGATTCCAGGCGTCGGCAATCTCACTGTAGTTGTCCGACTCAATGTCGGAGTACAGACGCGAGCGGAACTGGTCGAAGTTCTCGAAGCGCACCCGAACCTCCATCAGACCTTCTTCCTCGGCCTTCAACATCCGCAAGAACATCTCAGGGCGACGGGCAATGTCACTGAGCTGCTGGTTCCGGAGGTATTTGAATTCATAGTAGGGGTGTTGCTCGTCGATCCGGCGTAGACCTTTCTCCGTGCGATGGCAGTCGACGACTCCGTTCATGTAGTAGGCCTGGCGAATCACTTTCCGCATTTTGGGACTCGAGACCAGCTCTTCGGCGAACATGTTCTTTGCAGCTTTCATGACATGCGTGCTGTTGGAGAAATCGTTGTCGACAAACTGGTCCGCCAGCTCGTCCGGCCGATCACTCGGGTCCTCAGTGTATTGCCGACGTCCTTCTTTGGAGGCATTCTGTGCGAAAGCATCGGCGGTAATGCCAAAGGCACGCACCAAACCGTAGGCCTTGGCGTTTCGCACCCGCTCAAAGAAGGTCTTGCCTGTGGCCTTTCGTCGGTGTGGCTCTCCATTCGTGTCTCCATTCACCATGGACATATCGCGCAGCTGAGAGGCATACTGGAAGTGAATGTAGTCTTGCACATCCTGAAGCTCCTCCATGGATGCCGCTGCAATCAACAGATCATCCACAATGGGATCGTTGACAGTGAACAGGTTCTGCAGACTGTCGTAGGTCTTCTGGATCGTGCTGCGCTTATCCACCAGTGCGCGGAACTTGAGATCATGGTCGAAGATATCCCACAGATCCGTCATGTTCAGCAGCTTCTCAGCGCGGATGTTGTACTGGGCGGAATCGTCACCCGGGCCTGCTCCATTGACTGGCTCCTTGACAGCGTGGATCATGTAGTCTTTGCGATGCTGGAAGATGAACGGAACTTCCCAATCATCCGTGACCAGGAATTCCAGCATCTTCGCCACCGAGCGCTGGAAGGGCTCGTGCAGCTCGGGCTCCATGCGCTTCTTGAGCAACAGCAAATTCGAGATCCAAATCGCTTCCTCACGGAACTGGTCCTCTGACAGCGTCACATGCTTGTATGGTTTGCGGGCGACCTGGTGGCGTTCGGGCTCATCTAGGAGACGGATTTCGTTATCCTCCTCCGTCAACATCCTTTCAGCCAACTCGGATGGCTCGAAGACGTCCTTCAAATCCAAGCGCCTCTCTTCTTCTGCCTTGTCTTCATCCTCCTGCTCTTCCATCTGCAAAGCGAACTCGTATTCGGTGCCATCACCAAAGGCTGCGCGCATGTCTTCAAGAGCATTCTCGTCCAAACCGGCCGCTTCCGTGGCACCCAGCCCGGTCACATCCCTTCGCACAGGGGCCGCCACTTCCAGGTCGTCCCGTTCCTGCTGGGCCTCCTCATCGGAGAATGTGTCTGCCTCGATGAAGTCGTCAAACTCGTCGCGCATGCCGCGACGTTGCCCGGGTCGATCATACTGCGGTGCCTCCTCTTCCTCGTCCGAATTGAAGATATCATCGATGCCCTGTGACGGTTGGGGGAGGTCGCGGTCCTTGCCTCGTTTCAGACGCTTGAACTTGGACTGTGAATGAAAAAAAGTCAATACACTGTTCGTCGGACCTCCAGGGTGGTGCTTGAACCTACCTCAGTCGCCGCCTGACGATTCAGACCAGGAACATGTTCGCCAATGAGCTCCAGATCTTCCTCGTCCAGATGCTCCTCCTCGCGAGGTCGCTTGTGCTTCCTGTCCCTTCGGCGCCTCCGGCGTTCCTCGATCTCTTCATCTTCATCGACGATGAAACCTTCGCGAACCTGGTGAGTGAATTAAAGTCAGTGCGCCGTCATTGGGTCTCTCCGCCGAAAGCCAGGCTCACCGCGCGCGCAGCCTCCTCGTCGTCCTCTTCCTCATCATCCTCCTCGCTCGAGTCGTCGTAGTGATTGACGGTTCCGGCACCGTCGCGCACTTCGCCGTCGTAGTCGTCATTCGCTTGCCCCTCGTTCTCCTCGTCATCCAGCATCGCCTCGCCCTCGACCAGGTCGCGGAGACTCATCTTGGCTGGTGGCAGCGATCCCTACCCCCCGTGATGACGTGGAAACCGAGTAGCTGACAGAGCGTCGAAGATGGAGAAACAACCACACAGATCGGGCACCCAGTTTGCCCTGCTGGCTGAGGAAAGGTGAATGAAGGGCAGGTCGGGGGAGGTGAATTGAGAGAGAGACAAGAATCGCCGAAGACGCGGTGGCGCCAGCGGTGATTGGCCGGGCAGATTACTAAGCCTACAGGTGAAGACCACGGTCAGGTGACCGTGCATACTGTATGGAAGTCTGAATAATAACAGAATCACCCAGCATCCATTAAGCAATATTTCTCATGGTTATGGTCCTAGGCAATAGACAATAAATAAGGAAGTATGAATGATCGACGACAAAAACAGAATGGCTGTCAAGCTCACTATGTATTCCACTCTAACGCCCCAATCACTAGTTAGCCCACCAGCCAACGTGGAGGGTTTCTTTCTTTCCTGTGAGCCAACAACAACTCCTGGGCGCCACTCTCCCCATCCTTCCCACCTGTTTTCCCTCTCTCCTAATTTTTTTTCGTGCTCAGTTGACGCCCTCTGTGACGACTGGTTGTCCTGGCGCCCAAAACCAGCCCAATCAGCGCCAAGCCCATCACTATCGGGTTCCCCGCTACGGGGTCTGTTTCTGCTGTCGCCGTCAACACCCTCATTCCTTTGGGATCGCCTGGTCCTCCCTCTCTGTTTCCCCTCCCTCTGTCAGTTCCGGCTAGCATTTCCTTCGCTCGTGCACCATGGCCGACCCGTTCAAGGCGCGGACCTTGAAACGCAAGAATGTCAAGGGTCTGGCCCTCAATGCGACGCCGAAGTCTGCCGCCAATCCCTCCGAAGGCGATGCCCAGGTCCCAGGGGCAATTGGCAATGCCGACGGCAACCGTACAGATACGCTCGAGATCGGGCTGGAGTTCCGACTTGACCTGCGCAGCGAGGACCTGATCACCATGAAGGAGCTGGGTGCTGGCAACGGCGGCACCGTCTCCAAGGTGCGGCATGCGTCGACTAACGTTGTCATGGCGCGAAAGGTGTGTTTCTTTGATGTTGGGCTTCTACCGTTCCTAAATTAACGTCTTCGGTCACTCCCACAGATCATCCGAGTCGACGCCAAAGAGAACGTGAGAAAACAGATCCTCCGAGAACTGCGTGTAGGACACGATTGTAACTCCCCCAACATCGTGACTTTCTACGGCGCCTTCCAGAATGAGGCGAGAGATATTGTTCTGTGTATGGAATACATGGACTGCGGGTAGGGTGACTGGAAACGGGGGATACGGCCGTGTTGCTGACATTTGAACAGATCTCTGGACCGCATCTCGAAAGACTTTGGCCCCGTGCGAGTCGACGTGCTTGGAAAAATCACGGAGTCGGTGTTGGCCGGTCTGGTCTATCTTTATGAGGTCCACCGCATCATGCACCGCGACATAAAACCATCCAACATCCTGGTCAACTCGCGGGGCAACATCAAGCTCTGCGATTTTGGTGTCGCCACCGAGACCGTCAACTCCATTGCTGATACCTTCGTCGGAACCTCGACGTACATGGCCCCGGAGCGAATCCAGGGAGGAGCGTACACTGTGCGTTCGGACGTGTGGAGTGTAGGCCTGTCAGTTATGGAGTTGGCCGTTGGGCGGTTCCCCTTTGACACCTCAGACGTCGCTGCCGGAGACCGTGCCAGCGCAGGGCCAATGGGAATTCTGGATCTCCTTCAACAGATCGTCCACGAATCCGCACCCAAGCTGCCCAAGAGCGATGCCTTTCCACCAATCCTCCACGACTTCGTCGGCAAGTGTCTCCTGAAGAGGCCCGAGGAGCGCCCCACGCCACGAGAGCTTTATGACAAGGATGCATTCTTACAAGCAGCGAAACGCACCCCGGTCGATCTCCAGGAATGGGCCATCAGCATGATGGAACGGCACAACCGCAAGTCGTACTTGGCTCCTCCGGCGCCCAAATCGCTCAAGGAGGGCGCAGCCCAATCGCCATTAACGGCCACAATTTCGACCCCGAAGTCCAGCTCAACCAGCAGGACCTCATCACGCACTCCAAACCCGCAGTATACGACACCCACATCGGGCGAAATCCCCGTCGCCAACGACGTCTCCGGTAGCAGCCGCCATTACAACCACCATCCCTCCCAGCAATCCGCCGTGCCCTCCCTACGATCCGCGAGGTCCCCACCGCCTCTTTCACTGGAACACCTGTCTTTGGAAACGAGGGATGCAGAAGACGCGCGCAGCAGCCGCCGCCCGGGCCGACACCTGGGTGACCCTACCTCCGCCGTTGAAGCAAGTTCTCGCCCATTCATGAGCCCGCGCTCCATCAGCTCGCACAACACCAAGTCCCAGACAAACCTGCACTCCGCCACACTGCCAATTCGCGCCGGACCGCCACCCAGCGGGCCTCCGCCGGCCCCTCCAGTGTCTGCGGGCCTGCGTGGCCGGCAGGGCTCGAACGGGACCACCTCATGAAGAAACAAGAAACAAAAACGATTGGCTGATGTTGTACCCGGAACGGACTTTGCGGTTTATTTGGAATTTGACTTTTTTTCTCTTCACCGATCAGACGTGTTCACATATCACCTTGACGGCCGTCTTATGATTGTTTATGGTGCTCTCTGTCTGTCTACCTGCTCTGTGTTTGTTCTTGGCGCTTTTTTCTTTCTCAGGGAACTGGACATAAAAGAATCAAGGGTAAGGAAGGGGCAGGAAAAGGGTTGACAAGATATACACTGGCCAGCTCGCGCCCCAACCCTCTCTCTCTCTCTTTCTGTCTCTCTCTTTGATTCCCCTTCCACTCATGGCCATCTTTCTCCTTTGTTATCCATTACCTCCGACTCGCCTACTTTCCCTCTCCACTTTTCTTATTTCTCCTGTCCGCTGGATCTCTACTGGGGTATCAAATGATCTTGGTCCCCTTTTCCCCTCCTTGACTTGACTTGACTTGCTTTTATGTCTACCCTGATCTTGATTATGGTTTCTTCGTGCCTGCTGAAATATGTTCCTGCATTACATGGCGTACATAAGTGCAAGTTCCTTGGTGCTATAACAAATTCCAATCCATTTTTCTCCTCTTTAGTTCGAGTGCTTTCGCGATTCATTCCATTCCTCTCGCGTCTTATTGTGTGTGTTACAGCTAGTGCCATCAATTCAAGTATTTGAAAGGCAGAAAAACGGGCAAAACAAAGTAGGCGAGTAAGTAAGTAATTGATTGGCATTTCGGACTCTAATTGAACCTGACCATGGCTCAAACCCGAGACAAGACGAAGCAAGGAAAAACACACGATGCACCCCTAGATAATAAGAAACACAAGACCATATACGTACAGAGGCCATCCATGCAGACGAAAAGAATATGAAGAATAAAGAGAAGAGGGAAATCCTCGATAAATAAAAAAGACAGGAAACAAAAACACACCCTACCCTGAACACAGAAAGCCAGTCGTGGTCACACACACAAGTAGCAATGAAGAGACATTTCAGCCCCGGACCGATTTGGCGCCTTCGAAGTCAAGTCTCAATGAACTCAATTGTGAACGCCGGATAGAATAACAACAAAGGGTGTGTAGGTAAAGATAAGAAACAAGTAACAAACATCTAAGAAGCACACACGGGGTGATAGACCGTCTATTTCATTATCAGCTGCGGGCCAGCTAACGGACTGGGTCCAGGGTGCGCAGGGGCATGTGCAGGGACAGGAGCAGGGGTAGGAGCAGGGGCAGGAGTAGGAGTAGGAGCAGGGGCATGCGCATGCGCAGGGGCAGAGGCAGGGGCAGGGGTAGGACCAGGACTAGGACCAAGAGAGAGGGCGGAGTTGGATGACGGGGTCGGTCCTGGAGCAGGCGCCAGGTCCATCATGGTCATCATTGAGGAGGGCGCAGGCGCTGAATTGTTCGTGGACTTTCCACCACGACCGCTGGCTGTGCTGCCGCCGCGCCCAGAACCACCGGCAGTGCCGCCGGCTCGTCCGCCGCGACCCTCGTGGGATGCTGAGGCAGTGGAACCGTTGCGGTCACCACCCTGCTTGTCCTTGTCTTTGTCCTTCTCCTTCTCCTTGTCCTTGTCATGGTCTGCTTTCTTAGTAGTACGTGGACGGCGCGAGGTACCTCCGCGTGATCCAGGGCCGCGCAGAGGCAGACCTGTATCCTGGGAGATGGGCACAGCAGCCGCAATGGGTACATGTTGGTTAGAAGTGAGAGTGCGAGCTCGCCCTGTTCCTCGTCCACGACCACGACCGCGCTTGATAGTCCCGTCGGCTCTGTGGTTTTGTCAGTATCAATGCTTGCCCCCTCTATGGAAAGAAAACATACCGTTCCACTTGAACCTTTTCTCCTTCCTGCACCAGCGGACCACTGTAGACAAAGAAACCGTCCTTGCTGGCGGCAGCAGTCTCCTGCCAGGCCATCTCACTGTCGTCAACAAATGGGTCATCCCGGTCATATTCTTCGACCTTCTTGCGCCGTCTTTTCTTCGTTCCATCACCTGCCTCCGAAGGAGCGCCGTTCGTTCCAGTTCCTGTGCCACCCATAGAAACATCGCCATCTAGGTCACTGTCACGATCGACACTCAAATCCTCATCTGCACTCTCTCCTGCTGAAATTCCCTTGGCGCCCTTCTCATTCTTCTCCAATGCGGCCCCAGCAGCCGCTATGCGGGCCAATCGCTGTTTATGAGCAGCCAAGCGAGGGTGCAGGGCTGCAAAACCGTATCGTTCTTCGGCTAGTCGCGCAAAGTTGACGATCTGGTTCCCCTTGTGCAGCGGAATGTGCACAATGATGTTTGGCGTTGTGCGTGAATCAGACGAGTTCGACGAATCGTCTCCACCAAATAGCGCGTTGGTAATTAGACCAGATCCTTGTGGAAGGGGTGGTGCTTCCTTAGCTGCCTTGGCCGCTTTCGGGGATGGCGCGTTGGACGACGGAGCGGTGGTGCTTCCTTTTTCTTTCTTGCCCGACGGCTTGTTAACTGCAGCAATCCCTTCTTTCGAGTCCACCTCCATTGCATCGGACGGCTGTGGTGGTCGTGATGGGGTAGCATTGGCTGGCTGTTGCGGCTGGGACTGGGTCTGCGGTTGAGGCGGTGGAACCACTGGCGGCGACAGCTGGAGCTGAGGAGGTTGTGATTGCAGCGGGCGCTGCTCAGAGGGAGCGTATGGGGAAAAGTGGTTCGATGGCGGTGGTTGTTGGGGCGTGTGCGCGGCCCCATAGGGAGGAGATGAGGCCAGGAGAGGTGAAGGGGCTAATGAAGGGTGCGTCGGAGTATGTGCCACCGGGTGCGGCGCCGGTGAAGAGACAGCGGACACATGGCCGGAGGAGGAGCGCGGGAGTTGTGGATATAGCGGTTGCGCGTTTTGGGTAGGCGGGTCAATGATGCTAGATATGGCTGGCGATGCACTTGCGCGGTAGGCATTACGCGGCGAGACGATGCGAGGAGGACTATAGACCGGTGCAGGCGACGTATTGCCAAACGCTGACCGGATGGGATCGAAGTTTTGTCCACTGGTCCGTTGCGGGTTCGGCGGGGGAGGTTGGGACTGAGGACGCGGCGGTGGAAGCGATTGATTCAAGGGAGGATAGGTAGCCACAGGGGTTGCCGAGGGAGGACGCGAAGTCTGTGTATACGGCGAGGGAGCTGGTTGGGGAGCCGTCGGTCCTGTTGGAGGGTCGGCTGGTGCTGCCGGTGCTGCCGGTGCAGCGGCCCCCGAGGTGTCGTCACCCTCCAGCTTGGGCTTCTTGCGCGACGCAGCAGTGGTGGTAGATTTTTCCCGAGGTCGACGAGGAGCCCGGGCCGGTTTTTCTTTCGTGTCCTTGTCTTTTTCTTTTTCCTTCTTGGGGGCAGGTTTGGCCGAATCGGGATCGTCGTCCTTCTTGCGACGCGACCGACGAGAGGTGGTAGATGCACGTCGGGCTGGCTCTTTGGTGCCCGGGTCGATGGTCATGCCCACGCCCTCTTGGGCGGGCATAGCCGCCGCAGGCGGATCCGTGGACATGACTTCAGTGGCGGGCGAAAAAAGGAAGAGGGCGTGGTTTGGGTGGGTGGGCCTTTTACAGCATTCGACAGGGGATGCGGTCGCAGACACCGGAGCTGGAGTCAATGGGGAAGGCAAACAGAGAAAAGGAACACGAAAAGGTCCCCGCTATAGTCGAGACAAGTGAGAGGCGGAGATGGAGAACACGAAAAAGACGAATATCGAAGATGGGATGAGAGGTTGTGGATGGGATGGATGGAAGAGGGACGAAAAGAAGGGATTGGAGGGAACCGGAAACAAGGCAAAGAAAAGAGGGAAAAAAGGGCAGAAAGGGGAGAGCGAACAAGGGCGTTTTGGCACTTGGGACTGGCTCGGCGGGAAGTACAACGTTTGCAATACTAACGAAGGTATGGAATACATGTATGAACACCTATTATTGATCGGACTATCATCGGCCGAGGGAATAATAAGATTTCAGTAATAATAATAATGATAACAATAACAAGATCAATAGAGCTCTTCATGTTTGATTCTTTGCTGCCTTCCCTCGACTCGGATTGAAAGTTGTGTCCCCGATATGGGCCCGGCTGTGAAGGATGGATACCCTATCGTGCCCTGACCTCATCCGATCTATCACACCACAACACCGCACTTTTCGATCTACCAACCTCGATGAGAGATGCCATCCTCTTTTTCTGGATCGATGTCATTGTCATCCAGCTAGGGAAATATCCAAATAGCGTCAATGGTGTAGTGCTCCGACAACACTGACGGTCTACTCGGTCGGAGTCGATTTAAACAAAAAGATACAAAAGTAATAATGTTCGTCCGACTCTCGCAATCACTGCAAACCGACATTGTCTCCTGGTTCAATGACCAGACTGACAGAAAACAGATGAAGAGTATGACTTCCCGATTCGGTCTAGGGCACCCGCGACCACACACGACTAACCCATGGCGGCTAGCGCGTCTGCAGCGTTAGTCTTTTGAGCCGCATCTTCCCCCACCACCAACCCAACCAACACTTTTCATCACCATGGCATTTCGAGGCGAGCGCTTTGTGCTCGACCTGGACGAGAACTCCAGTCCTCCACCGGAAGCGGCTGTGCCTGTGCCTTCCCCGTTCTCCCTCATCGGCGAAATCCAGGAGCGCACTCCCGCCGCTGGCCCGTCCGCTCCAACCCCACCGGCGCCGTCGCTGTCCTCGACCGGCTTCCCGCCTCATCGCCAGCGCAACAAGACGTCAGCGTTTAAGCAGCGACGGGCAAAACAGCAAGATGCGCCTAAACCCACGGCACAGCCGACAACACCGGATGACAAGCAGTCGATTGACGAGGAGAACCGTCGCCAGCTGGCGTCCATGTCGGACACGCAGATCCAGCAGGAGCGTGACGAGCTGATGGCCTCCATGGATCCGGGCCTGCTGCAGCGCTTTCTGCGCCGTGCTAAGATAGACGAGGATGACAAAACGGGAGAGCCAGCCCCGACATCAGAAGATCCGTCGACATCTACCAAGCCGAAAAAGTCGGTTTCCTTCAATATACCGCCACCCGCATCGGCCGCGCCACAACCAAAATTCCAACCTACTTCAAAAACACCTGCAAATGATGACCTGCCCCCGACAAACCTTCCATTCGACCTGCACCCGGCATCCGAACGGCCATCCCTCGACCCGGCCCTGCTTGAAACCTTCCACTTCCCGCAACCAAAGCAACCAATGCCAACTCTCGACCCATCCTCCCCCTCCTTCTTATCTGATCTCCAATCCCACTACTTCCCCGAGATGTCACACGACCCGTCCGCGCTCTCCTGGCTCCAACCACCCTCCACCGACGCAGAAGACCCAGACAGCAGCTCAGCATACCACCCCGCCAGCAGCGCAATCTCGCTCGCACCGTCATCAATCCGCTTCTCGCTGCGAGGCACAATCCTCGCGCCCTCGACATCACTCTCCCTCCCCACAACACTGGGTTTACACCATCACGGGGACGATCCGCAGGCGGCAGGGTATACGATTCCCGAGCTGGCGATTCTGTCGCGGTCTTCGTTTCCCGCGCAGCGGTGTGTCGCATGGCAGGTTCTAGGACGGATTCTGTTTCGGCTTGGGCGGGCGGAATTCGGGGACCGTGGCGGGCAGTTGTCGGAGGGGCTGTGGCATGTTATTGAGAAGGAGGGTGCGGTCGCCGGCATGCTTGCTGAAGCGGATGGGGCTGCTGGGCCGGGGTTGCCGACGAGGAAGACTCAAAAGCAAGGCGGTGGGGAGCAGAAAAGGAAGGATGAGAATGATCATGTTGGTGGTGATGCACCTGCTGCTTCGGGCATCGGACGCCATGCTAGTGCCGCTGCATGGGCGATGGAGGGTGTATGGTTGTGGCAGAAGGGCGGCGGTGGCGATCGTGGTCTATTGAAAGAGGGCCAAATTCGATCACAGTAAGAGAGAGGATGGGCGAGAAAGCTTGCATCTATTGGACTTGGATGGTCAACGAATGATGATACATTTTATTTAGGTGCAAGACGAGATCTACATATTTATCCTCAGACAAAACTCCGCGCGGAACAGTTCATGCATTGTCGTCATATTATAGCCAAGTATCATACAGAAATAACCCAGTCCAAACCGATGCAATGCATAAAAAAGAGTCAGAATACACTGAGCGAAACAACTCATGTAAGAGTTGACACCGGCCCATCCGAATCCCCAACCTGCACCCCCCAAATCAACCACCTCGCCTCCTCAACGAAGTCCCTTCTTAGCCAAAGACCAGGCGGCTGTGCTGCAGAGGATGACGACGAGAGCGAATCTGCACCGTTCTCAGCAGCAGGCGAAGATCGATCGAGCCAGTCAAATAGAAGCCGTAACTGCCAGATGCGATCACGGACTTGGTCCGGATCAGCACCACGGCCGCGCGCGGATTGCATAATGTTGCGCACTATCTGAGACAGAGCAAGTCTGGCATCGATAGCCGAGGTACGGAGCCAGGGCGGCGCGGAGCTCGGGTCTGTTGCAATGCGCGGCGCGCGAGTGGGGAAGGAAGATGGGAGGACTAGCGAGCGTTCGCGGATATCTAGACCCGAGAGGGAAGGGAGCTGGAAGATCCAGTCCCAGGGGGACTGGGAGGGTGTGGTTGTAGCAGCAGAGCTGGATTCAGAACCGGAAAGTAAAGCAGTGCGGTTCGGCCAAGCGGACGGCGGAGCGCCCTTGAATTTAGCCGAGGCACCAGCAGTGGAGGGGAGGATATCCTGAGCTTCGCTGAGACCTGTAAGGGTAGAGGAGAAAATGGAGGAGGAACCCGAGGCGCTGTGAATAGCTTTGCGACGGAGGTAGATGGAGGGATCGCCATGCCGGAATTTTTCTCGCAGGGCGTCGTTCTGACTGAATTCAAGGACCAATGGCCAGTGGTCTGGACCGCAGACTTCGATGTGACTGATGCTCGTAGGGTCTGGGAGGAGGCAAGGTGCGGTAAGGGTGCGGATGGCGCCGTCGTGCGAAGTGATGGTGATGGGGATAGAGATCGGACGCCGGGTGTCGAGGTCACGCGGGACCAGGCAACGTGGTTCTGCGGCGAGGACCCAGAGATGCCGGAAGGCTTGGAGATGGCACTTGTTGTCGAGCACGGTGGTTGGGAAGATCGGATAGAAAGCGCAGAGGAGCGAGGCTACGGCCAGGTCGGATGTTCCAAGCGTGTAGCTGCCTCCGCCCAGGAAGAGCATCCCGATTGCCATGTGTGCCGCCATGTGGCTGCCATAGGATGTATCGGCATCAATGCGACCGTGAAGCGAGCGCAGACGCCGGAAAAGGGCCAAGTCGCCTGTGCCGGCCATGACCGTGGAGGTGGCCAAGGCAACAATGTCCTGACAGTTCCGAACAGAGTTGCGCGCGAGCTTGCTATCGTAATTCAGGGCTGGTAAACGCGAGATGCGGAGGAACTGGTCGAGGTAGAACAGCAACAGATCCCGTGCTGGCCCATGGCCAGAGCCAGAGTAGCGGAGACCCAGGGTGAAGCAGAGTCCCGCAATGATGTTGAAGAAAGGCATGTCTTCGCTACGCAGCTGGCGAACACCTGAAAGGCGCGATCGTCGCCGGTACACCTTTGGCAGACTCTGGCTGATCCAGTCGGTGGTAGGTCGAATGCTATCCCACATAATGAGGTGCCGCGCCAAGGTCCTCAGAAGGAAAAGGTCTGGCCGCACATAGTCAAAACGTACCGTGGTGTCAGGGATGTCGATTTTCTGGGCTAGCACCGAGTCGTTGGTCTTCATGAAGATGATAGTGAGTGCAATCGTGGCACCGGCCGTGGCACGGTCGAGAACATGAGACAAATCAACGTTCTTGGTACCAACTGCAACGGCCAACAGTCGCTCGACAATGTGCATGTCACGCATTCCGCGTAAATCGTTACCCTTGCCCAGGTTTATAAGCCCCAGTGCAAATCCTGCGGCGAGGCGATATCCTTCATCACGGAGATCCTCTTGAGAGGTGGACTGTTCATCTTGTTCAATGTTCTCAATCTCTGACAACATGACTTCGCTCATCCGTCGATGCTGAGAGCCGCAGAAAAGCAGTCCGATCCCCATAATCCCGGCAGTTTGCGTTAAAGGAGACAAGTTGAGTTCTGCTGCACCGATTGGCAACATTCTTGTAACGTGCACAGACAACAGGCGTGTGATTAGTGTGTCCATCGTGCCCAGATATGAAGCAGATAGACCCAAAAGAAGACCGATGGATGTCATGGTGTGCTTTGGCGTAAGGTACTTGAATGCAACCCACTTGGCCAGAGACTTGAGATGACCGTTCAGACCCAGGGCAAGCAGGAAACCCGCATGGCGGTTGGTGAGATCCTGAGGCTTGTTGAAGAGGATCCACGAGGTATCGATCCCCTTGGACGCTTTGGAGATAGCCAGGCCAGTGGATACTCCGTTGTGAAAGAAGGCCCAGCACACTTTTTCTTCCGTGAATGCGGACCTTTCGGCGCTGATGGTCACGTTGGACGGCTTCATAACACATTGCAGGGAGAAGGACGGGATTGGCAGCTTCTCAGTCAACAGAGGCAGTCGACCACTAAAGGAAAGCATAGCACGGCCCGCGGGAGTTGACAATGTCCTAAAGGTCACCAACTGCACAAGCTCTTTCTGCGCATCTAACAGGTCCGCGTCGGACCAATCTGCCTCGGGAACACACTCAGCCACGGGAGCTTTGGATTGGTTTAGCAGGCGGGCAGCTTCGATGAAGCGCTTGTCCTCCCGGAAAATCAATCTTGTGACTGAAAACCGATCAGCTTCCGCGGAGGCTTCAAAGGCGCTGATGGTGTCGATGTCCAGGGCCGACGTGCTAATGAGATGGAAGTCTCGCACGGCATCATGGGAAAGGGATGGTTGTTGCGAAGTTGCTAGCGAATGGGTATTGGCAGAGTTCATCGACATGTAGAGGTCCTCCCGGTCGATCAGTTCCAGAAGTGTTGCATTCCAGGAGGTTGAAGCGTCCATCTGGCACCGCATGACAGCTTCATATAGTGGTGCGCTAACACCTTCAGGGAACGTATCGATAATGCTCTTGGTGAGACCCCATCGGTGTAATAGTCTAACCTTTTCCAACGGCGTCGACGCATTCGGTATCTCGGAGAAGAAGCATTTCAACGCCAAGGTTTTTGGGGTGAGGTTGAAGCACTCTCGCCACATTCGTCCTTTCCTAGGAGCTCGATCCGGTGCATTTATGAGGTCGAGAAGGGTGATGAAATTCGAGGAAGATTGGTCCGCGGCATCGATGAGAAATGTGAATATTGATGGGGGGTAAAAGGTTCGTGGGGGACATCGAGCGAGGAAATCTGGGTGTCTTCAAATTGCCAACGCTCCATGCTGGCCATTTCGGTACCGAAGTAAGCATCCTCGGTCCATTTCCATGACCGCCAGCCCAGCCAGCCGCCAATTTGTGCAAGGACAGGGGCTAGAAGACCCAATGGTCGCTGTGCCCCCTCAGAGTCACCGATGGAGAGCTTCTGTTCTTCACGGAGAAGGTGCAAGCCAACCAGCAATGTACAAAGCGATGTGCGTCTCGTGTTCTCAGAGAAAGCTCCGGAGATGGGTAAATATCCTTCACGATCGGTGGCTTTGGAGCCCCTCGGACTCTGGAGGAATTCACGACACAGCGATATGCATCGGAGCAAGTAAGAATTGTGACGATAGGTTGACCGGCTTGCATTGGGCTGTTCTGCCTTCGGTGTCCGGGACGCATCGCGTGCAGCCAGGTCCTCAATCGCGTCTTGTTCAACGATCCACCCCCAAGAACTTTCCATCATCCATGGTGCCACAACACCAGATGATCCGGATTCCAGGTCAAGCATCGCTTCCCAGCTTTCCAGATCAACGTAACTGCCACTGCTCGACCGGAGCAGACCTTTCTTCCTGCGCATCCGCTTGGCTGGCGTCTGGGGCTGGGCGTGGCTGATGAATGGAATGGCCAATGAAAATAACACGACCACCATGGCAGTCCATTCTAGATTGTCTATGATCTCTTCTCTGCCCTGAAGCCACTTGTATACTTCCCACCAGGCCACTAGCATGCCATCGCCAGCCTTCTCCGAGTCACGCAGGACGAATTTGCAGACTCGCAGGATCTTCTTCACCAGATCGTTGCGAGGCTCCATTTGGATCTGGAGCCGGTGCCGTTGCTTGTCACTGTCCACCAAATCGACCTTGCCCCTCGAGCAATCGTGGTCAAGCTCGATGAAAACAAGGCCGGGGTCTGCCAGGACTCTGTTGACGCCACTCTCCCTCGGACGATTTACAATCTTAGTTGCCGAGATTCCATGTGGCTCATAAATCTGCAGTGGCAAAGGAATATCGATTTTCGTTGGACTTCCCCAAGGGGTCTGTAGGGACAATTCACGCTGGCCATTGTCGGACACACTCAGAGTTAGGATTCTGGAGATGTCTCCATCAAAGACCTTGCGGGCATCCAATACGCTGGGAACATGTTGGATGCCTGCTGAGTGCACCAGAAGTGGCCGCTGCCGCTTTTTTCGCTGTTTCGATGCAGCCACACGGTCTGCTCGCAAATTCACGACAGTCATGTTTCGGGAGGATTGGTCCACTATGCAGACCGCCACAAACGCAGCGTTTCCGTTTTGCGCATTTCCATAGTCCATAGAAGATAGTGTCGAGACCTTCAAGCGGCGCGAGGACGTTTGCTGAGTGGAGGAATGAAAGTTCGCGGAGAATCTGGACGAGAAGCTGTCCACTTTGGACAACAACAGTTCCTCTGGTAGGCCGGACGTTGATTCTCGAAGGGCAATGTTCTCAAGCCCCTCCGATAGAACGTCATTGTTGAGCTCCTCAAGTAGTCTATCAACGGGGGCATCTGCGAAGCTACCCACAGTACTATAGACAGAGCCAGTTGCAGGGGGTAACGAGCCTCGAGGATTGAAACCAAAGCTTGCACGGGTGCTCGCGCCTCCCATGGACTGTCTGGGGCCACCATGGGGCATAGTGCTTGACTGGCTTCCAGTGGCAAGGTCTGAAAATGTAATCCGATCCTGGCTGGTCGCTAGATCGGTGCGTGCAAGCAATGAGCTGACCCGTCTTGATGTCTTGAGGGGCAGCCCGACATCGCCAAAGTCCTGTGCTACCCGTGAAGCCAGATCATCTTCGTCAAGTTTCGTCTCAGTTTGGTGGGACGCATTACGGGACTCTGGCCAGGCCCCAAAGCTCTCCCGTGGTCCTCGAGCGGCGGGTGTGGTTGCGCCGGTAGCCATTCCGAAATGCGAGCTTCGCCTCTTCGATCGAGTACCTCCCGTCTCTCGCCTGGACTTTTCTTTTAATGAGGCTTCGAAGTCATCGTCTCTATATCGGGCAGTCCATATCGTATAGAGCCCTGTAGTTGTGTTCAAGGTGACCACTAGAATCAAAGGAACGCTCGTTGAGAATTGAGCAGAATTTGGGAGTTCGTCTTTTTGGGAGATGTAGACAATTTCATCTGATGAATCTAGCACAGATGGCCCTGACGGTCTTCGACCCGTACTGCTGACACTGCTTTGCAGCCAACTAGACGACGCCTGCGAAGTCACCACGAGGCCCATTTCCGAATGAGGGTTGATCAGAGAAAACACCCGGGGGAGGTCAGCGCTTGAACTGGGCTTTGGCACCCACGCGGGCCCTTGAACAGACGAGATTTTCAAAGATGGACGCTTGCTTTTGGTGGTAGAAGATTGAGAAGCACGGGGATCGAATAGAGAGGCGGACATGAAGGAATTGGGAGGCGCGGTTGGGTGCTGGCGTGCCTCATGGTCTTCCGGGACCTTTCTCTGGAATATAAGTCCCCGAGGAGTTGCAAAAACAGTATCGACCTCAAATGGAAGAGGAACGGTGTGGCTGTTGCCCGCAACGAAAAAGATATGGGCTTGCGACTTAAGGACCACCACTAACGCCCGGGAGAGCTTGTCGTTGGCTTTTTGGGGTGCAACAACCGCGACTCGCGTATCTCCATGCAAATCCAACGTCGAGCCCGAGCTTGCCAATTGCTGATTCCGAGATCGCTGGGCCTGCCCACCTCCCCGCGCGCCCGACACTTGGTTGATGACGTCTCGACCAGAGCGCTTGATTCTTCCCGCCGCGAAGTAGGTAAACAAAGCATGCCGAATCTCCTCTTTCTCGGGGTCGAGCCGGAAGACTCTCTTCACTATCCCTGCGCGGGACCATACCACACAATGCTTCGTCCACACCAGCTCATCGTCCACGGGGCCAGTCAGCCCGCTATCATCCACACTTGTCGACCATTTGTATTGGTCATCTGATGGATCCGGAGGAAGAATGCCCTCTGTGACCAGGTAAGGGACGGCTGAGGGTTCGTGGAGGCCCAGAGATCGCGCGGACGCCATGGCGTGTTTAGCGGGAGTAGCTGTAGCGTGCGTATTGCGTCGTCACGACAAACACTGAGCTGGGTCGGTCAGATTGGAGCAATTCCATCGTTCAGGAGACCAGGTCAATTGAGGGGACGGGCCACAGAGGCGTTGTGTTATGTTGATTCTTGGTCAAGTTCGGGTATTGGAGACGCGCAGGAACGCGGAGAGAGAAAGAGAGTGAGTTTGGTTCCTTCCTTCCTCTGCTTCTGCCGGACCACAACAACTTCTCTTCTTCACCTTCCCTTCCCCCCAACTCTTTCTCCCCCTTGGACACTTCCCACTTACACTGCTGCTGCTTGTTATCTCACCCGCTTATTCCTTGGATCGAGCTTGTTCACCATCCCGCGTTCGGGCTTCGAGCAAGCAGCTCCAGCAGCTGTCCAGTGCATCGCCACCATTGCAATGCCTTCGTTTCCCACCACACCCTTGGTTCGCCCAAGAGAAGATGGCGTGCAAATAAGGTAGGAGTCTGTTTCTTTCGCGCGGATTATTGCTTACTCGACGTTTCCAATCCTCAGCTATCGGCTCCCCCATCGTGTTCACGCAGCCAAGTCCTACCCAATCCGAGCACCAAACGGCTCTTCGATCATCATATACGGCTACGAGAATGGGCTGAAAGTTATCTGGAGAGGCGGGAAGCAATTCTCAGTTTTAAAAGAGTCGGCACCCCAGGAAAAGAGCAAGAGCTCTGGGAAGGACAAAGACGACGATGCGGTGATGATCATTGACTCCGACGAAGAGGACGCGCCGGAGCCGGTAGCAGCACAAGAAGAAGCCAACTACGACTTTAGCCCGGAGGAGACCGAGGTCGATCCCGCTTCTCCGTTTGAAGAGATTCTGCGACAGATCGATATTCCCTTGGGGAGCCGAGTCCTCGACCTCGCGGTGCCCCGTGTGCTCCCCGAGGGTGCGCGCTCTCCTCTCGACCCGTTTCCGCCTGTTTTGAAGAACATGATTGTCGTATCGGCTGTATGTTCTGACTTTTCGACTCGAGTCGTCACCGTACCGCTTGTTCCTCCTCACCCTACGCAAACAGATCCAAAAAGTTGGCGCATCCAAACCTTGACAATCAGCGGCGGTATAACCCACCAGGACATTCCGCGCGGCGTCTCTCTCACATTCACCTGTCAAGAAGCAGAAGAAGATGCAGATCGGCGAAAGTCGCGGAGCCGGGCTGGCAGCTCCGGGCGATGGGATCTGCTGGTGGCGACGCACTCTGCCGAAGGATCAGGCATGCTGCTGCTGCACCGAATTCCAGTTTTGGAGGATCGTTTGTCGGAAGAGGAGATCACCTCTCAACGACGGCTCCTGCCAGCCCCAGCCCAGACGATTGCCTTCAATCCATCTTCATACCCATCGGTTCGCCACTCCACATTGCTAGTGGCTTTCCACAGTGGGTTTGTCAAGATTTATTCATGTTTCACGGTGAAAAAGGTTACAAAGCCTGCTCGGCGGTCTTCTATGCCGCAAGAAGATTACGAAGCTGCCGACACCGATGGCCGATGGCTGATCAGTTTGTACCCCGGCTTTGAGTTAGGTCCGACTGGGCTGCCTCGACGCAAGACGATTATCGATGCTGACTGGGTGCTGGGAGGGCGGGCGATTATGGTTCTTTTGGTGGACGGCGAGTGGGGGGTGTGGGATATTGAAGGAGCCGGCCCTGGAAACACCAAGGGACCCTTGCACCGGCAGTCGAGCGTGCAGGGAGTGACTGGCGGTTCATTGACTGCATACGCCGTCAGCGGACGAATCATCACCCCGCCAACTAACAGTCAGTCCGAAGCAGAGCAGCGGCCGCGCTTTGCGCCTATGACCCCTTCCACGAAACGGGTCCGGGAAGATACGCTGCTGAAGGGATCGATGAACCCGGCCAGCCCATCCCTTTGCGGGGAGATTTCCGTGTTTCAGACCAATTCATCGCAGGAAGCGCTTCCTGACGAGTCAATCCTGCTTCGACACGGCCGCCAGAGCGCCGCCATCCCTAGTCTTCTATCTCTCTGGCGCAACGCAGTCCGAGCCACGGGCACATTTGATGCCTCGAACCGATGCCGCGTGACTCCATTCCAGGACGTGCATCTGATGGGTGAGAACTTCCAGGCAATCGGTCATTTACTTGCTCCTGTGCGGCGTTCGCGCGCGGCAGACCGCCAGCCTTTTGACGTTCTCGTGGCCGCAGAGCACCAGATCATGATCCTCGCTCCACGATTGATTGAATCCGACGGGAAGGTGGTCGTGAAAGCAGTGGAAAAGGAAGCAACCGCGGAGACCGATCAGCTCATGCTCCGCCGAGGCGAGCTCGATGTGGAGGGAATGGGACGACTTCTGAACGGCATGGCGAATGGCACAGGTTCTGTGCGCATTGGCAGCCCCATTAAACGGGCCCGCGTGTTCACTTGAGGGAGCCATAGCAAGATACCCCCGATCATATCTAATCCAGTGGTTTTTGATTCTGCTCACTGCTTCCCATATTTTTGACTAGGAAATTCGCGCTGTCAGGTGGAGCGCAAGGCGAGAACCATGCCTTGAAATTCCTTCTCCGGAAGTGAATAAGCTCTGTATCGGCTGCGATATATCGATGACCATCCCCGATGCTCTTCTATGAGGTGCAGCTCTTGCTCGAGCTGTCTCAGACAGGCGCCTGTATCCTGCTCTGGTCTTTCTGTCTTTCTGTCTTGTCTGTTCGGCTGCTGACCTGCCTTTCGGGGCGTCTTCTACATCGGGAGCCGTGACGGATTGGATGGGGGATAGACAGGGTTTGATGCGGTGCGAAGCAGGGCATGATGATGGGACATTCCCTTGTAGTTGAATCTATTTGTTTGTATGCTACCATGTACCTACTTGCCTGTAAACCGGGGTTTTCTCTGCAAGGCCGCAGTCAGCTGAACAATACATCCGCCTAGTGAGGAAACCTACTTCCTGGACAACCCAAATCTCCGTACTCTTCGTCCTCGGCGGGCCCGGATCAGGAAAAGGGAACATAATGCAAAGTGTATACAAGCACGGGTTCTCGCACCTCAGCGTTGGCGGGATGCTATGTGCCGAGAGCGCCAGGGCAGACGGAAGATGTGCATCGAGTTTCAGAGGTGGTGTGGGAGCGACGAGTTTTAACTCATGAGGCATCCATACTCGGAATCGGCCCTTCGGCACGATAACGGAGGGGTCTGGAGTGACCTGATTGATAAGAATCAAACTTTCCCTTCCTCCTCCTTTAACCCCAGCCGATCGATCTATCATGACCCAATTGGAGACTCCTCCCAGCCCAAACGGGGTGTGTCCCTCTCCAATCCCATCCCTAAAACACCCAACTAACCCGGAACCCAAGTCTGGGCCTCCCTGATCACCAACCTTAGCTACCTCCCGGGCCTTCTAACACTGTACCACTCGCTCTACCACCCTAGCCCCTCCAGCTCACCCCCAGCAACATCCACCACGGACACGCCCCCAGACTCGGGATCGCGCTACCCTTTCGTCGCACTATACACCGACAAATTCCCCGCCGAAGGCCTCCAAGCACTGGCGGCGCGGGGGATCCCCGCCAAAAAGGTCCCCAGCGTCGCGCCGCGCAGCACAAAGGACTATGCGCAGGACCCGCGGTTTGCGGAGACGTGGACGAAGGTGGTTGCCTTTTCGCTGACGGAGTATGAGCGCGTGGTCTTGCTGGATGGGGATATTTTGGTGCGTCGGAATATGGACGAATTGATGGAGCTAGAGCTGGACGATAGAGACACGTTAGAGAGCGGCGCTGGAAAGAAGGCGTTTGCTGCGGCGCATGCTTGTGCTTGCAATCCTCTGCGGAAGGCGCATTACCCTGCTCATTGGTAGGTATTTTCCTTCTCTTCTCTGCTGGTGATGGTATGACCGTACGATATATATACTCACGATGATGGTGATGGGTGATGACAGGATCCCCCAGAACTGCGCCTACACAACCCAACACTCGACCCCCAGCATCGCGCAAACCAGCGCACCACCACCCTCCTCCGGAGTAGGCATGCTAAACAGTGGCGTGTTGGTGATAACGCCCTCCGCGCATATCTACGCAGAGATCACAACCGCACTCCAAGACATCCCGCGGATCTCGCGCTATGATTTCCCAGACCAGGAGCTACTCTCCGATGTCCTGAAAGACCGCTGGGTGGCATTGCCGTACGTCTACAATGCGCTGAAGACGCTGCGGCCGGAGTCCGTGCATGGAGCCATTTGGCGGGATGAGGAAGTGAAGGCTGTACATTATATTTTTGCAGTTAAACCTTGGCACGAGGGGGTTACGCAGCAGGACGAGGAACAAGGGATTGGGAAATGGAAGGAGTTGGATGAGACGAATAGGTGGTGGTGGAGGGCGAATTTGGAGCGGATGAGAAGGGAGAGGGAGAGGGGCGTGGTGGATGCTTTTTCTTCTTGATCGGGGTCTTTGCACGTCTATAGAGCTGTTCTCGTTGGACTGTCCATAGAATACATACATACAGACACGAGCGATGTTTACAAATGTCAAGCCAGTCTATAGTCTCAGTTTTTTCTTGTATTGTGCTTGTTTTTGCTTCACGGCCTATTTCTTTGCTTCCTGTCCGCTAATCCGATACAACAGCTCTACATGGACGTTGTAATCACCCCAGTCAACCACTATATCCTAAGCCGTCCAACTCCTTGCGCACCGAATCCTCCGTGTGGATCTTCTTCATCTGCGTATCCTCCAGCTTCTCCCCACCGGCCAGCCGCATCTTCAGCTCGTCAATCGCGCGGATCTTCTTCAGAAGGCCGCGGATTTTCTTCTCCTGAGCCGAGGGAGTAGGCTCTTCGGCAGGGACAGGAGCAGGGGCAGGGGCCGGAGCAGCAGCAGCAGCAGCAGGAGACGCGGACTTAGCAGCGTTCCCGTTCACGGGGTTGCCGCTGCGGTCACTCTTGTTGTTTCTGGCGCGGGCGCGGTCCGGGCTGGGGCCCGTAGGCGCGTTGGCGGGCGGGGCGCTATCCTCCTCGTCCTTGGCCTTCTTCGCGGCCTCACGCTTCTTCTTGTTCTTCGCGGCGGACTTGGACATCCGCTCGGGCTGGTCCGCGCCTGGGGGCAGGGCCACACCGCCACCGGGAGCTGCGCCGGGAGGCAGATACTCCTCCACGGGTTCGGCGCCGGGGATCTCGCGGCGGCGGGGCTTGCCGAAGCCGTTCATGCCGGCACCGGGGACGCCGTCACGGACAAAGGCAGCACCGCCTTGATCCTCGCGCTTGAAGGCTAGCGGCGTGAGCTGGCCGCGCGCCCCGGGAGGACGGTAGGCACCCGCGGGTTTGGCGGGGGCTTTGCGGGTGCCTAGGTATGCGGCAGCAGATGGATGAGGCACCGGCAGTTTGGTGAGGGGGTCACCCAGTGGAGGCTGGGTCGTGCTCTGGGGTCTCCAGGTGACATCGTACAACTCGGTCATGTCCTCGTTGTACATGAGGCCGCCGCCGACGTGCCAGATGCGTACGCCGTTGTCGACGCGCAGACGCGGGCTGGTCGTGGCAGTCAGGATGAACTGGCCATCGGGCGACCAGGCGCACACGCTGGCGTTGGATGCCTCGACGGTGGTGATCTTGTGGTAGTTCTTGTCCAGGTCGTAGATGTCCATTTGGCCAGCCAAATTGCCAAAGCCGGCAACCAGGACGAATCGTCCGTGCGGCGAGAACAGGATCGTGTTCCGCGGGCTGAGAGGGAAGGTGTGCTTGGGCACGCCACGCATGTTGAAGATGGTCGTCTTCGCGGGCATGTAGCCGTAAACGACACCAAACTCCTTCGAGTTGGGGTTCCAGCTAACATCGTGAATGGGACCTTCTTTGTCTGCAGGGAGTTAGCCAGGAACGTGGCAGGCATATACACAAGTCAGTACATACCCAAATCCACACGCGAGTCGAATGCACCGCTAGCGCTGAGCAGATACAGCGTAGTCTCGCCATAATAACTTTTCCCCGTACGGTCGACCTCCGTCTGCGCGAGGACAATCACAGTCGTCCCGGAGGCATTCCACTTGAGCTGGACCTTATCCCCCTTGAAGAAACTCTTCTGAGAGACGGGCGCCCCAAACTGAGGAACAGCAAAGACCTTAACCTGAGCCGGCTGACCCTTGCGCTCAGGAACAAACACCGCAAGCGAATGGGTCTGATGTCCCGGGCTGAGCGCAAAATCCGACACCCCCTCCACACGCAGTTTATTCCAGACGGTCTGCAGATTGTCCGACTGGAAGAACTGGACCTCATTGGTGACGACGCGTGCGCACAGCTTCTCGTCCGGCGTGTACTGCAGGTTCCAGCCCGTCTGGCTCTTCTGCACGAAGCTGCCCACGACCGTGTGTTCGTTCTCAATGGCCCGCCACACTTTCAGGTTCTTAGTTGCGTCACCGTTCTCGTCCTTGGTCGACCGTTGCCAAGTGATCACGTACGTGCCGAGTGGGGAGAAGCCGAGCTCGAAGACGTTGTCGGCGGCGATGGTTGAGACGACGTAGCCCACGGAGGCGTCGACGATGGTTACCCTATTTCAGCCAAATTAGATCCGAGCCATGACGGGGGAGGGGGGAAATGAACATACTTCTCAGGCGATGCCCATGCATAGTACCGACCGTCCGGCGAATATGCGCTGCAGCGGAGGTTCCCTTCAGGTCTGCAAACGATACAATCAGCCTCCAACTCATACCAACACCACAGGGTATCTTACCTCACAAACCCCGGTAGAGACTCATAAACGGGATCCACATCCATGATACCAATCCCCTTGAGCGTGCGGACTATCCACAGATTAACAACCATGCTGCAAAAGAAAAAAGGAAAGAAAAAAAACCCACAAGCAAGCTGCGCCGGAGCCGCCATCTTGAAAATTCGCGCGGGATGAAAAGGCTGAATTTAACAAATGACCAGACCCAAAATAAATGAAGAAGATGTCTATAATCTTCTTTGTCGTATGTACCCAAAAAGAGAGTCGATTCGACGGACCGAAGGAGGAAGGCCAAAAGGGTTCTTCCCACAGGTAAAGTAAAGCAAAGACGAATCGAAATCGTAGAATCTCTGAACTGGATATATCCACCACTTGGAGACTTGGGATTTGTGGTGGTTGGAGCGATGAACTCAATTGGCTCGTGGGTGGCGCGACGAACGACGACGAAACAACACTTCTCACAGTCGGACTTCTGGTGCTAGACAAGTCAATGCCAGCAGATTGCGAAGGGAGCAGAGAGCCGCGACGGTTCGGGGGCGGAGCGTGGGTGGGCGAGGTGGGAGTGGTAGGTGAAAAGAGAGAGAGAGGAGTGAGTAGTGGGAAGAGGAGGATGAACGGTGTGGAAGAAAGAAAATTCGGGTGAGTGTTTCGGAGGCGGGCATGCCGTCATTATCGGTCGACCATCTACCTAAGTAGACTGGGTACTAACCTACATAAACTACTGACTATTACTGGGACCATAGTAGACCATCTAGCATGAGGAAGAAAAAGGAATAAAAAGGGATTGTCGCTAAAGTATCCGTTGATTTGGTTTCATACACATCATCGTTGCCATCCATTTCTTCCATTCTTCCCTTCCCGTCCCTTCTCCATCCATAATAGGATTACAGAAAATGAAAAGATAATAAAAAAACGCCCTTCCCAACTCCTTTCTGTATCATCCGACTTAGTTACTCTCGATTCGGCGTGTTGAGTTCACTCGACGGGGTCACCAGGCGCGGCGTCCGGGCCGTGGTATCCACAACATCCTCGTCGAAAGTCATACCATCGACCATGCGGGCATCCTCCGTCGTCGGCTCGGGGGTATTCGAGCCCGCGGGAGAGAAATTGCCACTGCCCATGTCATGGTCATACTGATGCTGATACTGGTGCTGCTGCTGTGACTGCAAATACGACGCGAGCGGGTTCAGCCGCGGCGGCACATTGCTTCCAATAGAAGTCGGTCTCGCACCGGAGGACATACGATTCAGGCCCGGGGGCCGCTGCGAGGTCGGCCCACTGATGGTGCTGTTAGCACCTTCGCCGAACCCCACGAGACTGGCGTTGCCTTCGTCGCTGATGTTACTGATGTTGGACACCGCGTCGTCGGGATCTGGGCCCTCGCTCATCTTGTCGCCATCGTAGTAGGCGTCACTGCCAGACGCCCAAGTCGTCCCGGTGCGAGCGCCAACACTGCCTGTCGCGCTGGCGCTGCCGACGGTGCTGCGCTCTTTCAGGGTGGCCGGGCTCTCGAAGTAGCCCGGGCCATGGGAGACGGACATGGGCGCGCCCGAGGTGTGGCCGCCGCCACCCGCGCGGGCGGTCGTGACCCGTTCTAGGCCCGCGAGGCGGGAGATGCGATCGGCGCGCTCGGCGTCTAGGGTGGTGGTGGAGGAGGTAGAGGCGGAGGAGGATTGGTGGGCGTGTCGGCCGTGGGCCAATGGTTGACCCTGGTGGCCGTCTTTGATGGCCGTCGTGGACAGCGCGGACAGTGAGGTGGTACCGGAGTTGGGAGTGCCTCTGATGGTGATATCATCATGCCAGTTCCCAGGTCAGTCAACCGATCAATCATTCAAGCTGACGACAACGGAGCGCAGGGGGAGGTCTTACGGGCCCATCTCTGAGGGAGTGACGGGGTCCGAGGGGGGAGGGGGGAGATTGATCAGGGTTGGAGTGGTCATGGTGAGGATGACAGTATTCAGTCAGAGGTTAGTGGTAATGAGAGCGAAGAGGTAGTCAATATGTGAAGGGGGTCAATGGTAGTGAGAATGAAGAAGAAGAGGAAGAAGGTAAAAGAGGGAGAGCAGTTGAATGTTCCCCGCGACGTCACACCCCGCTGAACCAATCATGGCAGGCCGATCGGATAACTATGGACGGACGAACTAGCAAACCATTTCATTCACTCATTACATGTCACTAACGAAATATAAAAAAAGACACTAGGAAAGGACACAGCCTGCTGGGCCCTCATCACTCGCTGACTCTCCGGCTACTACTTTCATAATGCCCCCGGAGATCATCCACCTCTTTCTGCAATCGAGATAGATCAGCCAGGATATCTTGCGCATTGGATGGTTGAGGTAGAGGCTCCTCAACCGTCGATGCCCGGTTTTCACTGCTGCGAAGAGTCGAATCGCGGGCTCGTCGCGGTGGCGGAGGAGGCGGAGCAGACGACGGAGAACCAGCGGGCAGAGTGCCATACGACGAAGCTCGTCGGCCTTGTTGGAAGGCTGTCGCTGTTGTGGATGATGATGATGATGTGGTTGGTGGTGGTGGTCTAGATTGAGAGAAAACTCCTTCTGTAGACGTATAGTCACCCAATGCCGGCGGGGGCATGCTAATTCGCTTGCGGTCCTGCGGCGACGAGGAAGAGGTGAGAGACCGGCTCGGGGGACCGGGGCTGGGCGGTAGAGAACTGTTGCTCTCGGAGTCCGCGGATGATAGATTGAGCCGTCCCGTGCTGGATTTCGACTGGGTCGACTTGGACCGTCGCATCTGGCTCTGCCGCCGGCTGAGCGGTGGGGTGGGCGGGCGCTTCTGTGCGGAGCGGCTGCGCTGGAGAGTCTCGGATGCTTCGCCAGCGAAGTAATCGGACGTGTTGGGATGGGACGAGCCTGACGCCCGCGAGGACGGCAGGGCCTCGGGGGAAGAGGCATGGAAGGAGAGCCGATTCGAAGCTGCCCGGGAATGGTCTCCCGTCGTGATGCGCTTCCCATGCACGCTCCTCGGCGGCGGCGGTGGTTTTTTGTCTTTGGTTGTTGTCCGACTGCGGTCTGCGGATGTGAAGGGCGCCATTGACGATGGCGTGGAAGATCCATCGGGGCCGGATGGAGCTGGGGGTGGAGCAGAACCAAAGGATTGTCGCGGTCGATCATGATTGTCGTCTCCGTGGCTCGTATCTTCGTCGTCGTCGCTGGATGTGTAGTCGGGGTGGAAGGGATTGGCTTGTTCGCCGGATGAGGTCGAGTCATCAGCCTCGATCTCCAGCGATCGGGCGGTTATGGGCACTCCGTTGGGTTTGCTCGAGGACGGCATCGGGAGTGGTGACGAGGCATCCGGGTTGTTGGCTGGATGGGGTCATCATGGTCAGCAACCACGACCGCTCAGGCAGTGGCCGGGGGTTAGCCCGGGGAACTCACGCGGTGGATGATTGTCATTTTTGGGACGGAAGGGATTGCGGCCAGACATCTCGCGGGGTCTCGAAGGGGGATGAAGAAGACAGAAAGGGTGGAGGGGCTAGATGTAGATAGACGCATGTCCTAGTCCGGCCAGTCCGAACCAACCCTCCCTTGTTGACTATTATTCATACTAGATTACATACACCGATTCCCATCACTCATTATACACATGCCACGTCGGTTCCGCTTCAAAGAACTTGTGTGCCAGCCGCTTGCCACTGGCCGTGGGCTGACTGAACGCCAGCTCGCCCTTGGAGATCTCCATCCCATAGATAAAATTGCTCACCACGCAGTCCAGCAGATCCAGCGCAATGCCTTTCCGCCGCGACGCCCCCGACGTCCAGATGCGCGAGACCCCGACAATGGCCGGGTGTGTCTCCTCGCCCACCGTGACGGACGAGTTCGTGTCGTCAGACCCGGACTCCGCCGCGACCGGGCGCGATTCCCAGATGCGTTCCGTCAGACACACCCCAACGCACCGGCTGTCCTTCATGTGCAAGAAGACGCGGTATCGATCCACCTTCTCCGTCCCCTCCGTCCCCTGTAGATGTTGCGGGGCTTCGATCTGACTCCAGAGCACCTCATCCTCGATCTCGGGCGAGGACAACTCCTTGTTGACCACCTCGAGCACCTTCTTCGCCTGGTTCTTGGCCGAGGGGGTCGCCTTGCGATCCACAATCACCACGTAGCCCTCATCAAAGCGCGTCGCCTCGTAGACCCAGCGCGACGCGTTGGCCTTGACAAACGCCTTGCCCAGATCGACACCCGTCGCGTTCATCTCATGGAATTTCTTATGCAGCGCCGCGTCCTCCGGGTTGGACGGAATGTACTCCATGCCGCACGTCGCACAGGTCTTGCGCACCTCATTCCCCAGGTCGATCTGCATCTGGCGCATCACGGGGGGCTTTGGAGCCTTGGGTGGGTCGGTCACCGAGCGCACGCTGTTGGAGTTGACCTCTGATAGCGGCGTGGCATCTTTGATGTGCTTGCGCTTGAGAAAGGCAAAGGTTGGTTTGCGCGTGTTGGCAGGGGGGACTCGGGCGCGGCGGTGGCGAGGACGGGGGGTGGTCAGGTCGTCGAGGTCGTCGATGTGGTCGGTGGCCTCGGACAGGACGGAGTTCCGGCGCGAGGGGCTGGACAAGACGGCGGCGGAGGATTCCCGGATGGCCGACTGCAGGTTGGCCTCCGCCTCGTCGGACTCGTGGTGGACGCGTCGTTTCTTGGTGGCTCGCTCGTCGTCATAGACGCGCCATGTCGGTCTGCCGTATGTTTTCATGAGGCCTCTAGAGGAGGGTCAGTACGCACTCGCCTCCGCACGAAGGAGATCCCTACCGCTTGAAAGAATTGGTGACAGTCCACGGCATCTCCCTGGTCGGTCAAGAGGTGGCACAGAAGAATGATTGTTTTTCCGGGGTGGGCGAGTGCTATAAATGCGCGTGTTCGGGCGACCGCGCTAACTGTAATGGGCCAGGAACCAGTAGGAATCACAGTGCGCTGCTTTATCCCTTGCTGGACACGCACTCGTCTTTCTCCACGAGTCGCCACCCACGATGATTATATGATGATAAAATAATCGTCTCCGCCCCTGTCCGTCGTCATCGCCAGGCACCCCCCGGGCGCATCAGGAGATTAGGAGGATCGCGGTCTGGCGCTGTTGGGCTGACCCCGGCCAATCATCATTGTCGGCAGGCAACTAGTGCTAACTTACATCGGACGCGGATGATTTATTGGTGTGCGTACGAGACAGGCAGATCGTGGAGAGCTGGACGCAGTCTGACAGGCTGGCCGTGGACAGCGCCGGTGGGTAGTTCAGTCTGACAAGGCCTCCAGTCTCCGAGAGTCGGAACGATCTGGAGTCTGAGCGTAGCGCGCTTACGAGAATAATGGAATAAGGGAATCTACGTACGGTCATCCTAAGAGCATGGTAGTCACTGCGTGTCCCCATCGTGCATAGTCTGCGAGTCTTCCCGAAACAGTAGGACGGAGACCGAGGGCGGAGTGGGCCTTAGGCGGTCCCTCTTGTTCTGTTCTGTCCTTCTTCTTCTTCTTCTTCTTTTTTCTTCACTCGTTCACTTCTCCTTCATTTCCCTCGTTGGACCCTTTTCAATTGGTTTGGATTCGATTTGATTCTTTTACCCCTCCGGTCCCCTCGACTATCCTGGTGTTCGATTTACATTCTCGAAAACTCTGCTCCACCCACTCCGCACCATGTCGGACGCCGCACAGATAGCAGGAAAGAGAAAGCGCGCGAGTAGGTCCCCATCGATCCCCGTTCTTCATGTTCATTCCTGTCATGGTGGTGGTTGTCTTGATTGAATCCCTGTTCTGTCCTTGGTCTGGATGTGCCCCTCCACATCTGTGGTTCTGAAGAAAAAAAATTCCCTTCTCAACTCCCCCCGTCCAGCCCGCCCATCACCGCGGCTGTGGTGCAACCTTCCCTGGCCCTCCCCCCACCAGCCCTCAGCTGCGTACACGCCCATCGTCAGGCCCCGTCCACCCATGGCTAACACCACCCCAGGGACCCAGTCCTGCCCGCCGCCCGAGCTCCCTCAGCTCGTCGCCGAGCAGCATGTGCCCATCCCACCCCACGACAAAGACACCCAACGCCTGATCGTCATCCTCTCCAATGCCAGTCTGGAAACGTACCGGGCATCCCACGGCGGCCGTGGCGGCCCCAAGGATGAGAAATACTCCCCTGCTGAACAGCGACGAGCACATCGGGATCATGCGCAAAATGAACCGGGATATCAGCGAGGCCCGCCCGGATATTACGCACCAGGTTCGTTCATGGCATACGTCTGTCTCTCATCATTGGCTGACCTCTCCCGCCACAGTGTCTCCTCACCCTCCTGGATTCCCCGGTCAACAAGGCTGGGCGGCTGCAGATTTACATCCACACGGCCAAGGGCGTTCTGATTGAAGTCAACCCCTCTGTCCGTATTCCCCGCACCTTCAAGCGCTTTGCCGGTTTGATGGTCCAACTGCTGCACCGGCTCTCGATCCGTTCGACGAATTCCCAAGAGAAACTGCTCAAGGTCATCAAGAATCCGATCACGGACCACCTGCCGCCCAACTGCCGCAAGGTGACCATGAGTTTCGAAGCGCCCGTGGTGCGCACCAAGGATTACATCGAGTCGCTGGGCCCGAAGGAGAGCATTGCGATTTTCGTCGGCGCCATGGCCAAGGGCCACGATGACTTTGCCGACTCCTTCAAGGATGACACCATCAGTATCAGCAACTACAGCCTCAGCGCCAGTGTGGCCTGTAGCAAGTTCTGTCACGCCGCCGAGGAAGTGTGGGATATTCTGTGAAGAACCGAGGGCTGGACCAGCATGCAATCATCGACCTGCGTGCGCCCTCTCACGCCTCGATTCAACATACAACCACGAGGCCACGAATTTCCTTGCAACGACGTGTTCACGCGCAGTGTGATGACCGATGAAGAAATCCCCCGGGTTCGGGGGAGGACAGGTACACTTACTTCTCGTTTTGTGTTTTCTGGGAAATCGACTTTTTGTCTGTGCCGGGGGCTTGCGATGTACTCCCCCTAAGTGTCAAGCGTTGCGGACGAGAGGAGTATGCATGTGGACACTGTGTGCGGGAGTCGCGAACATCATCATCGACGCCCTCAACCGGACGTCGGGCTGGATGGCATTTGGTTCCTTTTCGCCGCCAGACCCTTCTCTTCCATCCACAGTCCCTGGGATGAGGAGACTCCGAAAAAGTGAACAGCACATAGCAGATCCTGTTGCTCTAATAGGGTCCCGATATAGCTTTTACGATTCAATACATATTTATGTTGGTATAACCCTATGGACATGACGACAGCACGTAACATCTTTGGTGGTCGCCCCAACGGAACGAAATGAAAGCCATGGACGACCTCGTATACTCGAGACCAAGGGTGTTTGGACTACGAAAGAGAGTAGCATTGTACTTCATCCTGCAGATGACACGGTGGATGGGATGCCATTGTTGCCTGCTATTCCCAGATAGGGGCGAAGGTTTTTATTATGGTATCTCTTTCTGCTCTCAGGTACTTTGTTTTATCTGCTCTATTGTCCTTGTTCGTACAGCAGGGTCTCGACCGTGTCAACCATGTATGACTTGTTTCGAAACACCAAAGAGCTGTAGGGTCTTCGTTATAGGACAATATTTGTGTGAGCTACATGCAGGTTTCGCAACTCCTTGTAGAGGTGATTAAAGCCACCGCGACATGACAGACACATTATTGATGCCTGAGGCAGCACATTCCTCATCTACGATGATAGTATAAGATGCAAGACGCTAACTCACCGAAAAACCAAGGACTCAACGGGGAACCATAAATATTGGGCGAGTTGAATGATACACCCTTAGTGAATCAATATAGGGAGGCCTCAATCTTCAATATGTCCACGAGCTATTATATTATGGCATCTCATGTACCTGACGCCGAAGACTGGCCGCTTCTGTAAAGATAAAATCCAAGAGCATGCTGAGCCCTGCATAAAAAAGGGCTCTAAAGATATGCTAGAGATGTTACTACTGCGATAAAACTTTCTCCAAAATCACTTTTCTCAAATAAGTGGAAGATGTCGCTGGGGCCGAGGACGCGATCATGCCTCTTCGATATGTCTACCTGGCATAGGCTCCGCGAGTGCTACCCGCCACGCAGGTGCACTAAATTTATCAGTGAAGTACTGTGTCTCGTGTACCACCAGCTCGCGAGCAAATTGCATGATAGAGACTGAGTATGTTGGCACTCCGTCGTAGGTGATGATGCACTCGCTCACCCATAGATGGCCGTCGCCTGAGATCCGTTGTACCGTGAAATGCCGGTTAGCAGGATGTCCGCCACGCTGCGCAGCAATTGCCACACGGCCTTTGAAACGTTCCCCTGATTGTGGGTAGTCCAGGATAGCGTCTCCGGCGTAGATAGCGTATTCGGCTTCAGCATCATTGTCATCTGATGCCCGCCAATGTTCCTCGATCGCTTTTCTGGTTGAATTCATCGCTGATCGTCACGACAAGCAAGACTGTGTTTTGAGCTGCCGGGAAGGGGTCGCTAAATTGTCAACTGCACCAGAGCTATGAGACAAAGGCCGTATCAGTCGTAGCTCGGCGGACTCGCTTACTGACTAATAAGGCCAATGACATCAGGACTTTGAAGTACTGTACAAAGATATTATTGACGAAGTGTCTAGCTTCATCTTGCTTCGCCTATTCAACTCCTACAAAGGTCTTCAAAGATAGACCTAGCCCAAACATTATGAGTTGTTTGCATAAGAATAGCGGGAATTGACCATATTACCACGTTCGAGAAGCATTCTCACACCATCATAGAAATCAGCCTGCACAGTAAGGCTAAGAGCTATTCGACCGTCTTTGACCTGTATCATTTTTATTGCAATAGCTACCTTCCATTTGCGGTCTCTTCTCCTCTAGGTATGACAGCAGGATATGGCTGTGCTTGGCGAAAATTTGCCCTAAGTAGGTTAGTTCGCGGGTCGTAGCCAATCATATAGGACAGAAGTATATGAAGGGTGACGAAAAAATTAACAATGCCCATTAGTTGTAGAATAGTGCCGCAGGCCAGAAAGTTTCGGGTGGGAATGTTTGTTCTGGCCTCAAAAACGGTCATTTTTCGACGCCAATTTCACATTCTATAGTTATGTAAAACTGGCGGTCAGTTTCATCCCCTTTCCGTCCCACTCGCCTCACTTTAGCACGCTCTCCGCCTCGCCGGTCCCACTTGGGTGACCTGGCACATCTCTAGTGAGTCCACAGCGGGTATTATTATTGACCGTGTCTGGACGCTTGCAGCTTGGGCAGAGACGTACTTTTGTAACCAGGTATTTATACCTGAATGGTATATGTAGCTTCACCTACTAACTACCCTGACTTCTTGGTCCATAGTAATTTGACAGTCATGCCAGTCTCTCACCTTACCCTCACCGTCTCCCACCTCCCGACCTCTACATCTTTCTTCCTCTCCTGCCTCCAGCCACTGGGCTACCAGTTCATCGGTCGACACGAGGCCTACATTGGGTTCGGACAGAAACAAGGCAAACCCGCGGACTTTTGGATCACGGAACAGAAACCAGGGTGTGTATGCTCTTTCCTTCAGACTAAGCAGAATTTGGTTGACGTCTGTTGTGGCTTGCATAGTTTCCCCGCCAGTGCCATCCATGTCGCCTTTCCCGCGCCGTCCAAGGACGCGGTGAGCGCGTTCTTCGTCTGTGCTCTCAAGGCCGGCGGGAAGATCCACGGCGAGCCAAAGGTCCGCGATGCGCAGTCCGGGTATTATAGTGCTGCCGTTATTGATTTTGATGGAAATAGCGTTGAGGCCGTTTATCACCCTGAGGGAGAGAACAGATCTATAGCCCCCAAGACTAGCAGCAACAGCGAAACCAGCACGGCAAGGGCGGCGTCCGAGGCACCTACCACTGTCATACCTGCTTCGTCGTATATCGTGCAAAACACCACCTCAGACGATGGTAGCAAAGCGGCTAAGACGATTGTTGGCACGATCATTGGCGCTGCCGCGGGTGCGGCAATTGCATATGCCATGATGAGAGGGGACTCGCAGTCTTCTAAAGAAAGCAAGAATCCTCCTCCACAGGGTAGGGAGTACCCTGCAATCATGCCACCTCCTTCTTCAACACAATACGAGGAACGGCCACATCCATATGACATGCAACCGATGTTTCGGGCCCTGGAAGCACCTCCGTCCCGGAGCATCTACTCATCACCCCGTACACACTCATCCCACGCCCACAGCGCCTCTTCGAAGAACCCACGCGCAAGCACAATCTACGACGTCACAGAGCATTTCCATCGCACAGATGATCACCGTCGCGCCTCCGAGGGAAGCATCTTTTCCATTCCCGAAGACCTACCTCTCCGCGCAATCGAGTACCCACCCTGTCAGACCTCGCCGCACCGCCGGAGTTCACATCCATGCAATTCAAGCACTATTATCACGAGCTATGCTACTGATAAGCCGCGCCGAGAGGACGATGGCAGGACCTCGCATTCTGCGTCCACGATCAAAGCGTCTAGTCGCCACGGACGAAGTCATACCTCTTCCCGCGCTGGGTCTTCGACTTCTGCGAAGACGGCGCGCAATATTCCCCTTCCGGAGTCGTCGTGTTCTGCGTGTTCCAGCGCACCTAAATCATATGTCTCTGCACGTGCGGTACCGCTTCCCGAAAGTGTGCTAGAGCTTGATCTGGACTCGATTGTTAAGCCAGAGGACTCGATTAGCCAGGTTGGGGGCAGTGGGCGCAGACCTTCGCGTTCAAATTCGCATGCACACTCCCGTTCGCATTCGGGGTCACGACATTCAACGCATTCCAAGGAATCGCGTGCTTCGAAACGGAGTGTTAAGGGCAGCTCTCGAGAAGGAGGGAGTAAGGCTGCATCTAGGACGAGTAGCCGGCGTGGCAGCCGGGCTATTTAGCACATAATACTCTTTGCTTTCATCACATTCATATAATATATCAAAGTTCACATAAACACACATATACCAAACTAAGCCGCGGCAGCGTTAGTCTGCAGAGCCAACTGCTGATCCAGAACATCCTGCACAATGGTCTCCATACTTCTCCACTGAATACCCAAGCTCTTCTCAGCAATATCATTATTAATAGTCCATTTCCCCGGAAACGGCGGCTCCAGATTCACCGGCAGATCGGGATACTTGCTCCTAACGAACGAAGCAACATCCTCCCAAGCAATCACAGGACGACAGAGGATAATCTCCGTCCCGGTCTGCAGATCCGTCTGCAAAATCTTGACATGCGCGTCGGCAACATCGAGAACGTGCACCCACCCCGTACCCAGAAGAGGCTGCTTGCTCGCAAGAGATATCAAGAAGTAGGCGTTCATGCCGCTGATCTGCTCAGCTGTTTCCTGAATCAGGCTCTCGCCCATCACGAAGCTTGGGTGCAGGGTGATCAGGTTGTAATGGGGGTTCTCATTTTTGAGAAAGTCGCGCGTCGCCTGGTGAGCCATGATTTTGGAGGTGGAATATTTCTTGGCGCCTCCGAACAAGTCATCTGGGTAAACGACCGAGGTGTCCACGGGAATAACCTCGCGGCTATTCTCTGCATAGGGCTTTAGCTTTTTGTTCGTTTTCTCCAAAATACGTCTAGGGTTATACGTACCGTTCCACGTAATATCCTTGTAGACGAACATATCCAGCACGGGCGTTATCCCCAAAACCGACGACATAACCACCACCTTCTTGATCTGCGGATATGCACTCGCAGCACGGAGAACTGCCAGCGTACCGTTCACAGCGGGATCAATGTAATCTTTTTTCAAGTCGCCGCTGGGGGCGGGCAGCGGAGAAGCAAGATGGAAGACATGGTCGACATCCTTGAGGGCCGTATCGAAATACTCTTGCTTGGACAAGTCCGGAATCAAGCTGATCTCAACGGACCCGTCGAAATCATTGTAGCGCGCTCGCAGGACAGCTTCTTGCTTTGGATCGCGGATACTGAGACGCACGCGGTATCCTGCATTCAGGAGGGCTAGGGCTACATGTGAGCCGATGAATCCTGTGCCACCGGTGATAAATATGAGCGGTTTGGACATGAGGATCAATGATGGAGTGGAATGTGAAGTCGGTCCATAGCGAGGATGATGGATGATTTTATAGATCTCGCTCATCTGTGGGGTGACAATGGAACGCCTTACGTCCCGCCCGTGTTCAATGGCCTCGAGGCTTTCCGAGGCTTTCAATTATGAGTCATCCGTTTCATTATACCCAGCCGAAGCCCTAACTAGCTACGTAGCTAACTACTCGGGGTCTAGACGTTGTGACTAAAGGCAGAGTCGGGCTGATTATCTAGTTCCCGAGGGTGTAAGCAGATGCCATGTTTCACGAGTTGAGGATTAGTATTCACTCCGACAAACAACAGTAGTCGAGGCAAATTATAAGAAGCATGAAGAACCAAATATATTGTAATTCTCATTCTTTCTAAGCCCCAAAAAACCCCCCAACTGACAGCAGACAATCCTCCACCATGCCGCTGTGGCAGATCTACCACCCGCCCAACATCTTCACCGATGACGCTACGAAACAATCCTTCGCAAAGGACATTACAAAGATCTACACGGGGTTCGGCCTACCCGCCTTCTACGTGGTGGTCCAGTTCATCTCCATAGAGAATGAAAACGTGTTCGTTGGCGGGAGAACCAGAACGTCTCATTTGGACACGGACAAGCCCTTTGTCCGTGTCGTCATCACCCACATCGCGGTCCACGTCCCCGAAGCCGACGACGCGTACACACGGGTCACGTCGCGGTTGGACGAGGTTATGAAACCCCATCTATTGGATCGCGGGTACGACGTTGAGTACCATGTTGACGAGACGGAGCGTCGGCTGTGGAAGATCAATGGCTTGGTTCCGCCGCCGCATAAAAGTGCCGAGGAGCAGATCTGGGTTCAGGAGAATCGGGCTATGCCGTATCCTTTGGCTGTTCCGACTACGTCTATTTCGGACTGATGGACTGCTTACTTACAGCAGATTGATTTTCCCATTGATAGTAATTCCTCCGTTGTCCAGTCACAAAAGGACGGATTGTTAAGCAGGAGTGGCGATTCTTCAAGTCCTCGGTCTGATGAATAATCTGTCTATTCCCTCCATTTAATAATAGTTATCGCGTGCTACACCTCACTAAATCAACGTAGACAGAAGAAAATATCCATAGAATCAATAACAATGGGCCAGTCCAAGCAAAAGAACTCTTCCAAGAGCGCAGAGAAGCACCCCGCGACGGAGGTGAGTTTCGTACTGTTCAGCAAGATCCAGAGCTGACAACTAAACAACCCAGAAACGACGACGCCAGCTCCGTCTCGCGCAGCAAGCGTTCCGAAAACGCAAAGACACTGCCATAGCTGATCTACAGAAGCAGGTGGATGAACTGCAGAGCGGAATCGATGGTCTGAGCAGCTCCTTTCTCTCCTTTAGTGAGCTCCTCTTGAAGGACGAGCAGCTCGGGCACTCCGCCCCCGTCGCGCAATCGCTTTGGAGCTTGTCGCAACAGTTTGTAGCGCTGGCTAAAAGGGCCAGAGATGAAGACAAGGAAGACAATGATGTACATGTCGGCATCTCCGCACAAAATCCCGAGAAAAAAGATCAGTCGGCAAAGTTATCTGCATTATCTCGAGCGATTCCTCCAGCCACATTATATTTCCCACTCCCTTTCCCCAGTCCCATCTCCACCGTTGGATCTGGATGCCCACCTAAACCCAACCTGGTCCTTCGCACAACACCTCGTGCTAGCATGCTTCCAAAACGCACAGAACCTCCTCCTGCGATCTCCAAGAACCAGCCTCAAAGTCCAAGAAGTCTTCGGCACGGTGTTCTCCGCCTCGGAAAGAAATCGAACCATCACCTTGTTCCAGGAGATTCTAGCCGATATCACGGGCCATGCTGCCGCACTGCGCACGAACATACTTACTCTCTTGCAGCAGGAAAGCAGTCCCGATCACCCTGTTTTATTTGAGGGATCGCCTTCCATGGCGCGATTGCATAGTCCAGAATATCTGCAAGAAAAATGGGTGGATGCCTATGGAGTACAACGGATTCTGTTGAAGAGTGGGTTATTGTTGGCCGGGATTGATCATGGTCCTTTTATTCAGCGTAGGTTGTTGCAATGCCATTCTGTTGGTGGTGCTGACGATTCCAAGGTCTTTCAATGACGGGCATCTGTGCCGGGCCGGGGCCCGTTTTTCGCCGAGAAAGTGTGGACAGGATTCTCGTTGACCTACGAGGATAAAACAGAGTAAAAAAGACACAGAGACGGGCCTGCCTGGATTGTGCTATCTGAGACTGAGACAAAAGACGAATCTGCCCACCATACACACAGCCATCCCGATCTCCCTCCACACGCTTCCCAACACACCCTAAGCACCGAGCAAAGCAGGATCCTCCGTCCGAGAACAACAAAATGCCATGAATGCATGAGAGGTCATAAATGATCGTTGGAATGAGGTTTAACAAACAACAAGGGGAGAGAAAAAGAGCAAAAAAAAGGCAAAGTTCTACGACCACGGTACGCCAGGCTTCGGGATCTGATCTAAGAGCGAAAGAAGATGCAGAGGGAGGTTGAGGAAGACATGTAGTGTGGTCGCGAAAGGGAGGGAATGAGTGGCCGGGCAGGTTGAATTGCCAAATCGAAATCAAATAGCGTACTTGCGTGTCCATTCCCGGGCTGTCGCCTCGTACCGCGGTCGGTCCGTCTTGTAGACGTGCGCGATCTCCGGCACCAGAGGGTCGTCTGGGTTAGGGTCTGTGAGCATCGAGCAGATCGAGAGCAACACTGTAATCCTAAAGTCAGTCATATTCTCTCCGCTGGGATCCGAAACGGTAAAGAAACACCCACCTTTAGAGATGGTCAGAGCCGGGCTCCATTGGTCTCGCAGAATGTCCAGACAGATGCTGCCGTTTGAGTTGATGTTGGGGTGGTAGATGCGCGTAGTGAAGTTGACCTTGGGCGGCTTGAAGGGGTAGTCGGTAGGGAAGTGGATCGAGAGGAAGAAAACGCCGCCGGAGTATGGCGAGTCACCAGGACCCATGATCGTTGCTTGCCAGTGGAACTGTCAGATAGTCAGATGAAGTCATTTTTCACGGTCGACCGTCAGAGACGCAGAGAGGCAATTTTCTGCCCCACTAGACACGACACCTGATCGGGCTGGCGACCGGGGGAATTCACAGCAAGGAATCGGGAGAGCATACCAGATCATCACCAACCGGACCAGCCGAGCACGAGGAGGGGGGATCCCTGCGTAAAAGAAACAACCAGGTCAGTTTGCAAGGCCCGCAACGGTGATGGCGACGGGCAGGATGAGGACGGACCACATCTCCCAGAGCGCCAGCGACGAAAAAAAGGAAGAGGAAGAGGAGGGGTGTGATATCTTACCGGCCAAGATCAGTGAGCTCCTTGTTAATTCTCTTCAGAGCCATGTCGAAGATGTGACGCGAGGACGAACCGGACGGGAGGTGGGATGGAGAGGGAGGGGCGAAAAAAGAGAGATGTTTTCTGGAGAGAGTCTCAGTGGGACAGACAGGGAAGAGAGAGGGAGAAGAGATCCAGGAGCGACCGAAGGATGATGATGGATAGAGATGGACGGGGTACAACAAGACAACACTTACAGCTTCGGGTCTTTGTGCGGGAAGCGGAAAAGAAGGAAGAGAATGAGAGAAAAGAGAGAGGGGCAAAAGTCAGGTCGATTGGGGCGGCTGGTATTACCAATACAGCCACCGCCACGATCCATGACACATCCACTGTAAAAGATGTAATGCCGGCGGGATTCCCGAGTAAAACCCTGGTACGAATAGGATATCGGTAATCATTCTTCAATCCGACTCAAATCCAACCATCGTCAAACGGCAACCGAGACCGTTTCAGGCTGCCTTCGCCTTGTCTGAGAATTGTACGCGATCACGTGTGTGGAGTCGACTTGGGCTGAAGATCCGAACTATAGCCGGGTGCCCAAAGCTGGGGATACAGTCCTGAATTGCTAGTGGGCGATGCGGCCTGGAACGCAACCTGAGTCAGTTTGATGGGCATGAGTTCACAGACCCTTGTCCTAAGAATAGTACTCCCGATTGGCATGTATTCAAATCTCCCGAAAACCCGGGGCTGGTAAGGCATTTGAGCGATTATAAGATGGCGCTGGTCAGTGTATGGGAATGTCATGTCTTCCGGATTTAGATAGACCATGGAAACTCTGCCAGGGAAGGACAAGCTGAGGTGCTTGGAGAACTAGAGAGACGATCCAAATGTATGAGCCGTTGATGGGTTCTTAGAATTGGTCATCTTGCACGTCACTTACTCTAAATCTAGGGGGAAACAACCCATTTAGAGAATCCCGATATTTCGGGCTGGCAGATCCATACTATATCACCTCGGACAGGCCGGTGGGATTGTGAGGGAAGTCGCTTCGCTAAAACATTTCCAGAAGACCTTCAACTCTTGACGGCTTGTCTTTACTGTACTTGAATTTATACCTCGCACAAAAGTCGTCGAAGCCGCGATAGTAGTCATGGCATATAGACGAGAGCTTTCTGTAGATGTGCAATTATAAGTCAGTCTTCAGCCTCCAAGTCTGAGTGTACACAAAGGGAAACGATTCATGGACTCCAAATCAGAATATGGAGCAATTAACAAAACTCTACCTCCTACATGGTAAATGGGAAATATCCCATCCACATTGAATCAAAAGGAAGTCAATATATTAGAATATATTTCGACGTTTTGTTGCGGACATACACAAGACATTATCCATTGCTTCGTCCACCTTAACAGAACATAATGATGTGATGGGTTAAATAATCAATGGCATATACTCTTGGCCTCCCCTATCTGAAAACTACTGCTTCTCAGTAAGAACAGCACTGTCGGGAATAACTTCGAAGTTGTTGGAGCGGAACGGGGTGACCTCGAACTCAGAGAACTTCCTAGCCGAAATCTTCTTCTCAAACAAGATATCGAGTTCACTTGCAGTGCGCCCCTTGGGTTCCGGTAGGCGGAAGAATGACCAAACGAAGCAAATAAGGCAAAGAGGTGCCCAGATGAAACCTCCCTTGCCCTTCAAATTCCACGCAGTGGGGTTGAGAATGGGGGGATTAAGGAAGTTGGCAATGATGCTAGCGATGTTGTAGCAGTTACGGGCGAGAACTGCGCTCTTGATTCGAAGACGAGTCGACGGGATCTCAGAGATGAGACAGTAGGTGACGGGACCGACAGTGAGGTCGTAGGTGAAGACGAAGACGAGGAGAAGAGCAGCAGACGAATAGCTCAGACCGGGAGAAACCTTGCTCGGAATACCCAGAAAACCCACCAGCATCAGCACCGTGAACATGATACCCAGGCCAGTAACAAACAGCTTTCGGCGGCCCACTCTTTGCATCACAAACCAAGAGCAGACGGTACCACACCAACCAATGGCGTTGACGCCGAGACCAAAATCGAAAGCTTGGGTGTTACTGAAGCTAATTTGCTGGAGAAAGTAGACAATGTTGCCGCCGTACCAGATACCACAAAAGACCTGACACATCCAAACGCAGCAGACGATCTCAGTGCGGCGAAGATTGACTCCTTTGAGACAGTCCCAGTAGGTAACTCCCTCTCGGGTCAGCCTCTCGTGAGTGTTGGTGATGATCATTAGCGCGACGGCATCATCCGGTTCATATTCCGAATCACCAGGACTAGCCAATCGGTTGAGTGACCGCTTTGCTTCTTCAGTCCTTCCGTGACGTACCAACCACCAAGGAGATTCGGGGGCAAAGAGAACGCCGATAATAATTGGGATAGGCCAGACCCATTGAATAGCATAGGGAATGCGCCAGCCCCATTCGTCGGTGCGACCCAATAGACCTCGCAAGACTCCAGTCGAGATGAATTGACCAGTAACCCAACAAAGGTTCACATAAGTGGTCAGGTACGGACGAAGGATGATGGGGCTAACCTCGGCAGCATAGGTAGTTGTCAAGGTCTGGAAGGCACCCCAGGGAATACCACAAAGAACCTCGCCGGCAAATAGCATTCCAATATTGGCGGCGAAGAACATGATGAAAATGAAGCCGACCAGGGCAACTAAAGCGCCGAGCATAGTCTTCTTGTAGCCCCAACGATCCGCGATGAGACCGGCAATAAGAAGGCCCAAGATCTGGCCGACATTGGTTCCATTCTGCAAGCCGGTTTGCCAGTTTGATGTGACTTGATATCCACCCTCCTTCGAGGGAATACCAAACCGCTTCTGGAATGTCGGGTAGGCGTAGAAAGAGCCGAGGAGAGCAGTGTCATATCCTTCCATGATAATGGCAAGGGACAAGATGAAAGAGAAAGCAACCGCTTTCGGAAAGAGTTTGAATGCATCCCAGTTGGTTAAGTGATGTTCAAAATTGGAAGCTCGACGGGCTTTCTCGACCAGATTAGCGAAGTCCGGGATTTGCTCGGACATTTGCAGAAGGACTTCATCGTCAATTCCGATGGTATTCTCGCCCAGCGACTGCGCTGGCACCGCGAGGTGATGCTCAAGGTGGGTAGCCGCTTTCAGGTCCTCCATGACTCTAGATTGGCTTGGACTTCTCCCAGGCTTCTGGAGGGGGAAATATAGAGTAAAGGCAACTTCAGATCGGTGTGAGCTATTAATAAGGCACGAGCTTGAGATGGAGTGACTGTAGAGGGAGGACCATCGAGTTTATATCAACAATCCCCTTCAGTGCAGGAATTCCATCATCTTGTTCTACACCCGAGTATGCAAACAAGCGCTTCTGATGGGCCACATAGTCGCTCTAATTTTGCGGGGAGATTGTGGAGAAATACGGTTGACATACAAAGTTCCTTCACTTGTGTCCGAAAATGGCGAGTTCACCGGCAGCGTAAGACTAGGCTCGATTGAACCGCCCTTTTTTTCGCTGCATTTTTCGGTGTAACCGAGCGACGACGCTAGGGGGCTTGTGCGAGAATCACACTAAACCAAGTAAATTGGCAAGTTGCTTCAAATGAACCTCATGGGTTACCACTGAGTTTAGCGACGGCCTTTCCAAATAGAGAGTAGCGTGTTGTAAGCGAAGCAGCTATGTTTATTGGCAGTAGTAAAGAGGTCACAAGGAGAGCGCAAGGGAAAGTGGTTAGTGGCGGCGAGCCAGTCTAGATTCCGCTAATTCAGCCACATCGCACACCGGAACAACGCGGGGAATGCCATGGAAAGGTTTATTATTCGGTGCATTTTTCGCCAGAACTTGGATTGAATAAATGTGAAGATCTGATTTCTGAGTGTTGCAGCGAGTCGAACAACAAAACGAGGTCGCTATGTATATCGCTCCTTTTTTCGGCATTTTAATCAAGACGCAGTTAGAGAAAACCATGGCTGTAAGAATCAATTTTGGAAGATTTGAAACATGCAATGACACCTGGTCAGGGCTTATGTTTAGCTTTGCTCGCTCTTCTAAATTGCCTGCAACATTGTCTCCACCTGTTTCTGCAGGGATGCCCTGACATTCGGCACTAATCCATGCGGGAAGAAAGCCTGTGTCCCAACACTCTTTATTGTTTCGCCACCTAGACAGACGAAGTAGATGCTTGTAGCTCTTCAGGTGGGATTCCACTACTTGGTCGTATTCCTCTGTCTTGCCCCACCGATCTGACACTTTTTATATAGACTCAGCTTGTGCTGGGGCGGGGCCTTAGAGGGCTCTCCAAGAAGTGCCGATTCAAGCTAGTCTCTATCCTCTTTGGTGTTTACCGGTCCAGAGTGAAAATGTGGTAGGCTTTGCGTTGCCTCGGTCCAAGCTGGTATTGCAACTACTGCGCAAGTTGTTTGTCGGTCAAGGCCATGAGGCGCCCGAAATGCTGGAACTGAAATACATCTTAGATGTCTACTGGGACAGAAACTGCGGTCACGACTACGGCTCTCGCTACCACTACGACAACAAAATCCACTACGACCACCGCAACACAGTCCACCAGCACCAAGGCTTTCTTTGGACACTAAATGGTACTTTACAACCCCTATAATCCATATTTTGATCCATCTAATAGTGATCTTATAAACTTAAGTTATATTGATCCTATGCAATGCAATCACTCAGCTCCTCCAGATCCGGGGATTCCAGCATCAGAGGTATAGTGTTTGAAGAAGGGATCTGAGCTAGTCGCTGATGCAGTATGCAAAGCCTCTCTGACTTAATACCCCCGACCTGTGACAGCAACTGCTCAATCGCAATAACGGCATCTACCGGCCCGAAACGACACGTCTGATAGCTAAGAAGGTCTGGCATACACAGCACAGTGTCGAGGACAGAGTTCGCGACTTGAAGAAGCTTGATCTCCTGCTCAAATAAAATCACAATTAGCACCACAGCCCTTTCGATCTATGAATAGATGCAAAGGACAATCTCTTACCATCCCATAACCATGACTGCGCATAGATTCAATAGACACGTGAGAAAGACACTCCAAATAATCCTTGGCAATTGATAGCGGGTAGTCAAATGAGAGAGGCTCAATTGACGTGGATGAAGAGAGCATGAAGCGAGAAGCAGAGTACTGCCATAACAAAGAGCGGACCCAGGCGGAAGTGGTCAGAATATCCACATATTGTAATTCGGATGTAAGCTCTATTCTTGGTATTCTGACTGGAATCCGTCGTTGTATATCTAATATGCTGTCTTTTGAGTACACATCTGGCGCCTCGATAGCTCTTCTACCTGTAGCGGGTAGAACTAAGGGCCGTTGAACGTGCAGGAAGAGTTGTACAAGCGTACAAAATCCCGTATAAAGATTACCATGTGAAGTATTCCGTTCAATCACTGGAAGGCTTGGTGTTCTGTGGAGTGTAATTGGAAGGTCATGTTGGATACAAAAGGTCCTGGTTAAGAAAGTAAGAAAGTGTACAAAAAATTTAGGTCCTTGCCGAATTTCAACAAAGGGTGTACTAACCTTTCGGTGACGAAGAGAATCCAATAGCATCGTAGTTCCAATTGCCATTGTTTTGATTGCGCTGCATTGGATGGAGGAGTATGACACAGATGCATCAAATCTGCGTATGTGATTGCCTCACGAAGGGAGATGGTAGCGGGTGTAATCTGGCCTCGATTGGCATAGTACATATGAAGGAATATGGATGTAACGAGCGCCTGCAGTGATGGTTCCTGATGATAGCTATGCTCCAATCGAATACGAAGACACTCTTTCGCAAAGTCTTCTGCTGTCACCGAGATGTCCTCGTGGCATGGATTTGGTGTAAGCCAGAGGCGTATTTGTGCCAATGTCGCAGCACACAAGGCCGCTGCCAACGCATGGGGAGTGTGATCGTTGATTCGGTCCCTCAGTTGAGATTTCAGATCCTCAACATCGATGATCGGCCAGATATCATAGAGACGTCTTTGAAACACATCGAGAACAGTGCAATAGGTAGTAACAGAAATCCGAGAGTTTGGGACGCACGGAGTTAGACCGTCGAGTGTTGGGGTTGCCATCTCAGGCTCTGGTGTCGCTGCTCGCCGTATCTCTTCAATCTTGTGCTTAGTGCCTGATCGAAGTCCCTTCGGACCTGGCCTTTTGCGGACCCGCAGATAAGTACATGTTTGAGATCTGGTTAAGCAGGTCTGACATGGACGCTGCCGATCACACCTGACCCGCCGAACAAAACAACCGTCACAGGGGCTGTCCATGATGCTCTGTGATACTCGGTGGATCTCAACAGAGCCGGGAATTAGAGCGAGAATTAAATCATTTGAGACTTATTCACCGCAGCTCCCCGCCCTCGCCACCTATTTTTGGTGGCGTCTATGCGGGGAGGTGCCTCGGAAGGGAAAGAAGCTAGCGGGACAAATGAAGATGACAAGCAAATAATCCGAGCGACGGAGCCTGGCCAGCCCTGGTGACACCAGTCCCAGCGAAAATTACGGCGAATTCTGCGGAAGTTGTTCACATACCAATAGAAATGAAATGGTGAATAAAACTGATTGCTATATATCTTCACCCACACCCGCACTGACAATAGACTGGAGAGGTCAATAATCCTACATTTGACGTCCTCAGACCCCATCATGCATCGCTATTCCTTCCCGCACACGCCCGTCGCTAACCCCGAAGCGATCATCGGCGCTGGCAAATACCGATTCACCGTGCTCACCGACGGCCTCCTTCGCTACGAATGGGCCGAGGACCACCAATTTGAGGATCGCGCCTCAGTCCTTGCCATCAACCGTCATTTGCCCGTGCCAGAATTTCGAGTCAAAGAGGATGGGCACAGCCTTCAGATCATCACCGCTCGATTCCACCTTACATACGACAAACAAGAATTTTCTCCAAACGGTCTCAGTGCCGTAATTAAGGGCCACTACGGGCCTCATGTTAGTGTCTGGCGGTATGGAATTCAGGCTTCCAATCTCGGCGGTACAACCCGCACTCTCGACGAGATTGATGGCCGGGTCTCCCTAGAACCAGGCGTGATTTCCAGACAAGGCTTCGCGACTGTGGATGACTCCACGTCGATGCTTTTCGATGATCGAAAATGGGTAACAACAAGATTGCCCGGAAAGCGTGTGGACGGTTATCTTTTTGCCTACGGACACGATTACAGACGCGCCATCCAGGCATTCTATCTTCTATCAGGACCTCAGCCACTTCTTCCCCGATGGGCGCTAGGAAACTGGTGGAGTCGATACCATGCTTACACTGCGGATGAATACCTGTCATTGATGAGTCGATTCCGCAAGCAGCGGATTCCACTTTCAGTGGCAGTGTTGGACATGGATTGGCATATCGTCCATGATGACTGTGTCAAGGAGGCCGGGGTAACAGGATGGACCGGATACACCTGGAACAAAGAACTTTTTCCCGACCCAAAAGCATTCCTTGCCGAACTCCACAATCAGGGTCTATACATTGCTTTGAATGATCATCCTGCCGACGGAGTTCAAAGCTATGAAGATCCTTATAAAGAGATGGCTATCACACTGAATCATGACACCTCAATGGGCGATCCCATTCCTTTTGACATCACCAACCAAAACTTCGTAGATGCTTTCTTTGACGTGCTGCACCGACGATTTGAGAAGGAAGGACTTGATCTGTGGTGGGTGGACTGGCAGCAAGGGACACATTCTCGCATCCCGGGCATTGATCCGCTTTGGATCCTGAATCATTACCATTTCTGGGACAGCTCCCTCGGCAATAAGAGGCCCCTAACATTTTCCCGATATGCAGGGCCAGGAAGCCACAGGTATCCCATTGGGTTCTCAGGAGATACTGTGGTTTCATGGGATTCTCTTCAATTTCAGCCAGAATTCACGGCGACAGCCTCAAATATTGGTTTTGGCTGGTGGAGCCATGATATCGGCGGCCATTTTCATGGTGAAAAGAACGACGAAATGCTCATTCGTTGGGTGCAATTTGGCACATTCTCCCCAGTCTTACGTCTGCACTCGTCGAATAACATTTTCAGCATCAAGGAACCGTGGAATCTTGACGTTCCATATGAACAGGTCATGACAGAATACCTGCAATATCGCCATCGACTGCTTCCTTATTTGTATACTATGAATGTTCGTGCTTCTGTGGAGGGACTACCTCTTATCCAGCCGATGTATTGGGGTTATCCTGAAGATGAAGAGGCCTACAACGTTCCGAATCAATACATGTTCGGCTCAGAGCTTATTGTGGTACCAATTACTGCTCCCCAAGATCCGAAATCTCGGAGAGCTCAGGTGCTCGCCTGGCTTCCTCCTGGCAGACATGTGGATATCTTCACCGGCGTGGTCTATGATGGAGACCGTCGAGTCTGGATTAATCGGCGCTTGGAAGAATATCCAGTATTTGCTCCAGAGGGGGCAATTATTCCCCTCGATTCTGCGTCGGTACTTGAGAATGGCTGTGGGGTGTCCACCATGCTCGAACTCCTGGTCGTTGTCGGTGCGGACGGCACCTTTGAGCTTGTGGAAGATGATGGGAAGGGCCAACATACAGATCAGATCAATTTCCGTCGCACGTGCATTTCCTTTCATCAACAGACCGGTGAATTACACATTGAGCCGACGAGTGGTGGAAGTATCTCTCCTCAAACTCGCGACTGGAGTGTACGCTTCCTCGGATATTCATCGTTAGAAACGATACAAGTATATGCCGGCAACGAAAGAAATATCATAGACGGCGAGAAGCTTAACAATAGTCTTCACGTGAAATTGGGAACTTATCCAGACAATGTCCGAATTGTGGTCAAGTTGGAGAGGCATCCTACATTGAATGTGAATCAGCCTGCACATCAAATTGTTGAATTCCTGCGCGGCGCCCAGGTTGAATTGGATTTGAAAGACCACATTCGAGCGATTGCAGAGAGCTCTAAACCCAGGCTGCTGCAAATCGGGGACATTCATGCTCTTGGATTAGACAGTGCTATATTGAATCCCATCCTCGAATTCCTCTTGGCTGACTCTCGCGTCTCTTCGACCAGAGACAACCAAGAGATAGGATTCGTAGTGGTGGATCCGTAAATCACAGTGTTGTCTAGATTTAAAAGTGGGCTTTAACCATTGACAAATACATTATAGGAGTTTATCTTAGTACTTCATTGATATGTAATGCCCCTGCTCTTCCCGATATCTCGTCAAGTGTTTGACCCCTGCGCCTGATCCAACAGACTATTTGTACCTGTGGGCTTTGTTATTCATTTCCCGCGAGAATATGACAACATAACCTAGGCGATAGAAACCTGATGGAAATACCATTTTATCCTGCATACTGGATCATCAATTTGCAAGTGCAATTGTATTATCACTCTGTTATTGCGCACTCACTCTTCTCACCCAGGTGGCACCCAGCGGGACTCCATTGATGAACATCTTGAATGAAGACTAGCACATACGACCATAGGGTGCGAAGAACCCCTAGGGCTTCCTGTCCGCTCAGCCGTACTTAAGCCACATACTCTGCTCGGTCAATTCTCAATACGCCCTGAACTTTCAAAACAGCGATGCATGCTTCGTTGGGTGAGTACCTGTGATTTGGGTGAGAAGTTCAGAGACTGGGAGGACTGAGGTAGGCACAGGATGAGAATTATCACCCAAGGTGGGTAAGGGGCTAACTCACGATAATCATGTAATTTTCACCAGTAGAGAGAAAATGAATAGGTGGCAAAAGGACTGATGGCCGCTTAAACTAGAATACCATATTTCTCAGACAATATGGATGGACGGAGAAAAAGCTCCAACAACTCCTCGAGGCACGTAACAAGCTTGCGGCATCACATGATTATGTCGAGCTCTGCGCCTATGGTCTGATCTATCATCCCACCAGGCTTCGTGCAAGCTGCCATATCCATCACATATGTATTAAAAGTTCATTTGACAGTCTTAGTGGGTACTGCGTTGGGCTCACAGACTATAGAAACGAGAAAACGTTCAGGTCAACATTAGGTAACGTAGATTGGATGTGGATTGTCAACCAGCTACCAGAACAAGATTAATATGCCTGCCCCAAGAAGAATTACAAGAAATTCGGCCAGATTCAGATACAATTTCAAACATCGTGTGATCGGATGCGTCTTAGAGACATAAAGCCCCTGACCCGTGGATGCTGCTGGGACAGAGTCTTTGCCGCCGATCGGGATTGATTTGGAAATTTTCGATTGATCATTCCAAGGCGTCTCAGATATAATGATTCTTTGCCCCCAGGAAAGCACAGAGATTTCCGATTTTCTTATTTTGTCACCGGTGCGAATGACCATGTCAAAAGAATGAAACATTAGGACCTGTTTTGGACGTTTTTGTTCAATCACTGCTTCCGCTTGACAGTAACTTGACAGATCATACCCTGATTCATTTACCATTTGTAACCATTCTGAAATTATTGTTGAAACAGACGACGATGACAGTTTCCTAGAAGCAAGAGCATATCCAACAACCGTCAATGGTGTAAAGTGGGTTGACTTGCTTATAGCGTGGATGTTGGCCTTCATTAAAACTTTGCGGAGAAACAGTTCACATTGTACCGCGGTATGGTTATCTTCATTTATCTTTGCCGCCGTCCAACAATGTGCGGCACAGTGAAGGGCAGTGTATCCTTCATAAATCGGATCTCCTTCGATGCTGCTGGACAAATCGTGATTTGTATTTAAAAGCATCTGGACCCGTTCGAATGAAGCACCGTAGTACATTCTGTGGAAAAGTTGGTGCTGTAAGATAGTTCTACCACATTTGTTTCTCTGCTGGGAACTGATCATGAAATGGTCTTGATGAATGAGGTATTGTAAAGCATCTGGGGAGCCTTGGTAGGAATGTAATATACCCCAAGGTGAGCCGGCACACATAGGGTCGATCTGAGCGTGTTCAATATAGAGGCGCGCTAACTCAAGGTGTTTTTCCTCGTGGGGGCAACTCATGGCATAGTCAAAAGCGCTTCTAATCAATACATTCGATTAGCTAAGGGATGGCTCGCCCGAAGAAAATAAGTCAATATGTTACTTACATGCCTTTGTCATTTTCGGCGCGTGGGTCTACCCCTATATGCAAAAGGAATCGAACCAAGCTAGGATTCCCTGACCAAGATGCATACTTTTCATAGAGATAATCAATATAGCTCTTTATATAGCAGAATTTGCTTTATGCTTCCTTGTGAAGGATCAAAACTCACATGCAGCGCGGTATTTCCATTAGCCGACACATCAAACGGCGAGGCCAACTTTTTATCGAATAACCGCAAGACATTCTTCAAATCCCCTTCTTTGCAGAACTCAAAGAGAAGAGAATCTTCACTGATTTTATGCAGAGGGTATAAAGTATATGACCAATGGCCCATTTGATAGATAGCATGTAGCTGTATTCGGTACAAACAGAGCCATTCTACCAACTGCACGTCAAAAATGATCCTCTTGGTATGGCTGTGAGCATCGCTTTTCGTGTCAATCGGTCGATCTGGCCTTGCCCAAAAGGTCGAGTACTTTCGAATTCCTAGTTTACCGAGCCAAGAATTATATGTATGCAACGACCTGATGGACGTTGTTGGTCCCGGAGCCCTCACCACTGCTTCCTTGTTATATATGTAATCAGTATCAAAATCCCCGGGATCCCCAATAATTTTCTGTGATATGCTGTAATGCAGAGGCTTTGAAGCATGGGGCTGCCTAGTAGAAGTAGATTGTGGCGCATCGTGAAGGATATGTCTTTCCTTTTCATTTTGAAGTCCGAAATGGCTGGACGGGATAATTCTCCTGTTATGGTTTAGATTGAAAAGTTATTCGCTAGGGGGCTCGCATTTGGGGAAAGAGGGGGGTGGGGCAGCTTCTTACAGGGCATACTGTTGATAGGCAAGTATTAAGGTCAACTTCGCACTATCGAAATCTTTCACATAGTTCGCAATGCTCTGTCTCCTGAAGGCTAGGTTGATGGAAGATTTCAGCCCGCGACTTCCTTTCCGCGAAGCTGTCCGAGGAATAATCGAGAACGCGAGTCTCCGGATACGGGAGTGACACAATTTGAGCGATGCGTTGAGATGTTTGGTGTCAATAAACTCGGAGAAGTTCGAATAATCCTCACGTATTGACTGTATGATAGTTTCGAATAATAGCAACTCGGTTCTGAGGCTCTGTACATCACACTCTGCATGGCTGACCGAATCAAGGAAGGCATAAAGTTTCTGGATACAATTGCAGATCTGGCCTGCAAGGGACAAGACCCCTACAACTGAACCTGCAACACCAAGAGCGGCTTCGGCCATGGCTGCTTGAACTCGGAAGTTGAAGACATATGTTTCCGGATTTCAACGTAGGGTTATCGGATTGCGTAGACTGCATATAAAGACGACCAGAGTAATTGCAAGGTCAGCCTTGCCTACTGAACGTACGAATCCCACACGACTAGAGTAGTTCTGGGCTGCCAAGGCTGGTTCCACCTCATCCATTTGCTGACGGGTCTCACTGCAGCCTGAAATAGCGCGCGGAGACATCGATACCAATCATATGATGCTTTGGATGCACCAGTGGGCGGCTGTGTACACATGTCACGGGACCGAGCGTTTCAGCCTGAACGAGACCGTCCATTGATTTCGTACAGCAGCTCAACTGAGAAGGTCGATACGCCGGTCGCGCGACTAAGGGTGACTTTTGCTCGGCTTCTCACTCTGTCTATTGCGCACTCACCTTTCGCTCTGATTTCCGAGGCGGTACTTGCTACGTACTTAATTCATTCCAAAGACGAAATCAGCACATGCGACCACAGGGTGTGGAGAACAGGGCTTCCCGTCCGCTCAGCCGTACTTAAGCCACACGCCGGTCAGTTAGTAGTTGGGTGGGTGACCACCAGCGAATCCTGACTGTTGCATGTATACTCTTCTTTTTTTGGATAGAAAATTTTCTATGTACGAGAGTGAGTGAGCCCTTAGCATCCTCGCAACTTTAAAACGGCGAAGCGAGTTTCCTTTGGGTGTGGGTGAGAAATCTAGAGTGTGCAAGACAGTTGGAAATGGTGTCAGAATTATCTATCGAACATGAAAACAACTATACTAGCTAGTCGAGAGCACATGGTGCATTTTCGTCTAGCTATATAGCAGTCCTAGTGCTTTTTCGCTTTTGCATAGTTTCACTGATCCTACAAACACGGTTATTAGTGAAGTGAATATTCAACAAGCCTTTGAAGCGCGTATTACGCACCCCGCATCACGTAGGTTCACCGAGAGTACTAGAAGGGGCGAGAGGAATATCGTCTATCACTGGGACCTTGCTCCTACGACGCTTGAGAAATAGTAAATTGTAGCTTCCCACCGCCAAGCTCTTAGCGCAGATCATCTATTGAGGGGGCCGCATTGAATTGAGGGATATCGCAAAATTGCACCTTATACGTACAGTAAGTATTTGTAACATTACAGGATACATACGAAAAGTCTTTGGAATTCTATGGAATAGCATAGTGAATCTTTGCAAATCGGACTTGGCCAGTGCCATGCCACCCAATGTCTTGTTACCAGGAGGTCTGCCTCGTAGCACCAGCTTATCACTGTAGGGAGGGTACTGTAAGGCACTACTTTACAGTATACGAACCGCGAACGGAGAAAGGGTGGTGGATGGATTTTTGTACAGTATTTTAGCCTTATTATTTAAAGCAAGAAATACCATCGCTTATGTCTGCATCTCTTGGTCAACATAGTGCTTGGTTTCTGTCGAATATGGTCCAATGGCTATCTAATAATGAGAGGCAGTCGCTTAGATTACACTCTAACGGCACCAACGAAATCTTCATCCGAGGCTGGGAAAATGTGGCCAAGTTCCGCCATGATTTGAGCGATTTCATCCGACAATTGGTGGCTCACAACAACTACCATCTGTCAGTAACCCGGAATGTATTACGCATGCACAGAAAATGTCTCTGTCAGGGATCTTACCATAGGAGTAGAGTAGCACATAGTCTTCGTCATTCGTCGCGGGAGATGCCCTTTGGTCTTGACGATATTGAGAAATCTGCGCCAAAAGTCGGTATCGCGAGTCCTCTACGTTTGTTGGGAAATCGCTCAAGGTATGCTCAAGTTGTACTGATGATGCGATGACTGTAGTAGTGTATCAGCAGGGAATTGCCTCTATGTTCCACTCAATGATAAGACTTACCAGCTAGTAGATTGCTGATGCACTCAGATAGCTGCTGTCTAGCAGCGACAGTATATCGCAGAAGGGATATTTGCCCTTCTGAAAGTGCAGGGATGTCGAATAAGACTAGATCCATCGAATAAAAGTTGTCCACAATGTCTCTTGTCCGGCGAATGGCGTTACTGTACGCAGCATCTGGAAATGGATCTCCCAATTCAGCCTCGGAGCGTGCAGACGTCTGAAGAGGTTCGAGCTGTGAGAGGAGGTGCTCGATCTCGATCTTGTCACGGGGGTTCATATAAAGAACAGGTGCGCTTGCGTCAGCACTGAATATTGTGTTCAACGGCTCAGAATCCCAAATTAGGACTAGTCGGAGCCACAACGATTGTAGAGTTTCGTTCAGCTTCGTCCGTGCGCGAATGGGCCAGATGCCTCGCGTAATGATGATGCCCCATATGCAACCTGATATGACCGAAATGACTCGGTGGAGGACAATCTCGGTGATATTGAGGTGCTCACTCCCATTATCTGGGTCACCGATATCAGCTTGCGAGTGAGAGAAGGCATAAAGCACGGACAAATTGTAGGTTAATAAGATGAATCGGCCCATAGGGGCCTGCCCTTTAGCAATAATCATGTAGAAAGGGCCGAGGGCCATGATGAAACCCACCATTGCGAGCTTGAAAGCATCTCCTCCCGCAATGTACCAAGCACCTATCGAGCAGAGGCCCCCAAGACATGTACCGAGTAATCGAGCAAATCCTGTAGTGTTTGATGCGCCGATGGTCATGGAGCATACCAACATATATGAGACAAGGCCCCATTCTCCCCTCCAATATAGATAAAAGGGTCTTGTCACGGGTATGAAGGAAGGCAAGGCATAAAGCGCTGCTCCAATTCCTACTTTGAGAGCGAACTTGATCTCATCCTTGCGAATAATATCAAATGGCCCCCAAGCATCACCATTAGCTCTTTGATATCGTGTCCATCCTCGGAGTTGGCGTTCAGGTTGGTCGATAGCAATTGGCGTTCGTACTGAGCTTCTAGTATTGACTTCGGCGCGGTAATGTCTTGATGAAGACGCTGATGACGGGCGGTTTAGTGAGATGGTTCTTGTATACCCATCGACTTGAAGTTACTTACCTGCATCTAAATGATGTCTTACATGTTCTTGATCAGTTCGCCACCACGAAGGACGCAGCCAGTCCCAGGACTTCCCGTAGGGTCTTTCATCAACCTCAGCCTGCAGCTTCTCTAAAACCGATAACAGCTCTTTCAGCTGCATGCTTAGTTCGAGGAGGGAGACGGAAAAATACTCGCAAATGGCGAACATTTCCTCACGACCAGCCTTATTCACCTCAGTGACAGATATCATCTCCCATTCACGACAGATTGAAGAAAAGACAGCATTTCGAGCTTCTCGGTATACACTAACTGCTTCACTGATACGTGTGTACGCTCCATCGTTGATGAAAATATTATGATCGGGAGCGGGTCCAAAAGTGACTTCAGTGAAAATCTCTTTTAGGGTAGAAGCATGTGATATCTATCAAGCATTAGTGAACGCTAGCTTTGGATATCGCTTACAATTATAATTGTACTCACGATGGGCACTTCTAGTCGAGATGTAAGTATCTCGAATATCTCAGCTAGAGAGTGAGTTGAAGAGGTGTCTGGTTCAGTCTCAGGCGTCAACCCTGATGGTTCATTATCACAGCCTTGCGCGTCTGCCTGTGAGACAATTTGCGACTGGTTGATTAGCCTCGGCCTTTCTGTAGTGGTAGGAATGGAAAGGTCGATTCCTGTGTATGAAGGCTGTGCCCCTCTAATGTATTTGATCGGTGCAAGTAATTTGGCCTGTAAGGCTACTGCACTTCGTAGACCCCCTAGGCTATGGGTGATATCTTGCATGAAACACACGAGGTATTTCTCAAGATAATGCTCTCGCTCCGTTCCAGCCACATAGTGCTCAAGCCTCGTCTCTTCCAGGAGTTTCTTTAACTGACCGAAGACTTTGTCGTGGCGTGCAGATAAGTTGGTAAACTCGGCTGTCTGGAGTTCGTGATCCGACCCGCGGAGAAAGCTCTCAGTAATACTCATAAGCATCAGAGTCACTGTACCCGTTAAAGTGGAAAGGTCTCCTCGGAATTTCTTCCGGGCAGAAATAGGTAGTATCGATAACGACACGGCTGTTGAAACCCCTACGCCCAAAAGAACCATCCTCAGTACCTGGAAGATTTTCGTGAAAGAAAGGTCGCCTGTTTGCACAGCACCTTCTTTGGTAATGACAAGAATAGATGCCAAAGAAGCCAAAGAGCACGCGACATTGACGAGCGGATCGCCTAGTCTCTGTTTGATCCATCCGATGAATCCAAACCCACCCATGACGAAGACTATTAGTACCACAGCATGACCTAATTCGATCAAGTCGTGCTTCTTATGAAAGATGATGGTAACCCACATACTCGACAACGAGAGAAACGTCGCAAAGAAAAAAGCGACAAAAGCACATATCAGTGCCTTGTACATGCTGCCTTGCGATCTCGCTGGGTGGAAGTACACTGTAATGGTCGCCACCAGATGCTTTCCATTCTGGTGGCCCAAAACGCTTCCAATGATTGGTATAAAAACTGTCAGAGATGCAAGTAGGTACGCAAGGCTGCACTTGAATATTCCAACGGCGTGTTCTGAAGTGATCAACTCTCGCGCCTCGCTCCATGGGCGTAAAATCTTCCGGATGAATCGCATCATAAACTGTTCTTCTTCGACAGGTTCATTATCTAATAGAAAGGGCTCGCGTTCCTCTTGTTGAACGCTAGCGCTAGGGTGCATTTCAACGTCTTCCGGGCGATGGGGTCTCGATATCGGAAGGGTCTGCCGCGACTGCCGAGATCAAAGAATAGCGATCAGCATAATCCGGTATCATGTGAGAATCTTGCTTACTCCAAAGGAGAAGAAGCCCCTGGACGCCATAACAGCGTGAACTCACAACCACCAAGCCTGGGTTGGTTTTTCATTGAAATTGCGTTGCAAGCTTTCTGGTCAGAACTCCAACTTGAATATCCGTTCTCCCGGGGAATTCCTGCCCACCTTTCTGCCACCGTCTTTGGTTGGAGCGCATATTACGTAATGGATCTGACAGTCTTCTGATACCCGTCCCTAGTAGTAGTCGGGCCCTCACCCATAGACTGGTGAGGACCCAGGTACTCCAAAAAATGAGGCAAAAACAATCCGAGGAGTCCAGCATATTTGGCTTGCATCCATCCTCTCCAGTCGCGCGGCTCTAATCTTCTCACTCACGTGGCACTCAGCAGACTACATACATGAACAACTTGAGTGAAGAATCCAGCACATACGACCACAGGGTGTGGAGAACAGGGCTTCCCGTCCGCTCAGCCGTACTTAAGCCACACGCCGGCCAGTTAGTAGTTGGGTGGGTGACCACCAGCGAATCCTGGCTGTTGTATGTTTTTTCCCCCTTTTTTTTGCCCACTAGCTTTTTCAATTTCAGTGGCTGACTGATGCTAAGTTTAGTTTGTCTGCTTAACCGGGTTACCATTGGAGTATCTCACACCCGAAAGAATTCGACAAACCTCATTTTTCGGTCGCCCGCAAGAGACCTACCGCTTAACATCTTTCTCTAGCAAAAGCTGGAACACTGCCGTGTGACCAGACCTTGCAGCCCATTACAAAGAAGCTCTACCATATGTATCCCTGCAGTCGAGACCATGATGGGGCTTTCCTCCATTTCCGCCCTAATATATGGGAGCCAGTTTGCAAATAACTTATAATTCAACGTTTACTCATCTGAAGTGACTGCTCATGTTGAGATGCCATTGAAACATTTAATTCTCCCATTGTTCTTCAGCGCATTTGCACAACAGGAAATCGAGGGTGATTTATTGAAATGACCGTTAAATTTACTATAATAAGGGGAAGTGAATCGCTACCTGGGTCGATAGAGTAAAATGCTCCACATCTACTAGAATGACTCGAAACCTAGTAAGAGAAGAAAGGAGTAGGGCGTAATTAATTTTAGTTCCTATACGAGGAATCAAAAGGATGGTACTAAAGGCCGTCATGGGAATCGGTTAATCTAGATATCGGCACAATATCTATTGTCATTAGTGTACGGGCCTTCTAAATATCTGTCTCAGATAGACCTACCTTCCATCGCTCGGTATTAGTTTTCTCAAGAATGCTCATCAGACGGAGAAAGAGTGTTTTTAATCACCCTCAACTTTTGTCTTTGGATCTCTTGAACATACTGCCATGTAGTGGTTAGCATAAAATCTATCAATTCAAACTCATTTTTCGGAAACAATGCTCTTACATTTTCTATTGACTTGTTGACAATGTACCTCACAACTTCAACCTCGCTTGGTTGCCCAAATCGATGAACCCGGTCTATTGCCTGAGCCTCTGCCATAGGGTTTCAATGAGGTTCCATAAAATGGACTGAGTTCGCAACAGTGAGATCTATTCTGATTGTGGGGTTAGAATATGTGTGAATTGGAGCCAGTATGTTACTAGAGCCAGCAACATACCCTTATCTAGCAGCACCGATGCTCGCAAGCATTACGTTACACTCTAGATCACTTCCAAAAGATTCCAAAGCGGCTTTGCGCTGGTGAAGTGATAACGGCCCATCGATACGCTGAAATTTCAGACCGTTCGCTATGAAGGCATCCCCTACAAGATCGAGCATTTTTGTCCACTGACTGAAGATAACGCTGATTTGTACTCGACCCGCGCAGCAGGATGTTTCTAGATAGTCGAAGTCAGCCAACATTTTAGGCTTGATCGCAATAGCTCTCGTAGTTAGCTTTAGAATCACTTCTACCCTTGTATCATAGGTTCATTCAGAGCGAGACCAAGGCAACAGAGGTAGCACTGGCACGCTCGATGTCAGACCTGCTCCACTTTATTTAAACATTAAGGAGAGCAATACAATAGCTTCCCGCTTCACAGGGTAAACACTAAACAGATGATGCTCGAGAGGCAAGATAGATACCAACCAAACCTGGCCGATCCCGTGGACGGAGCACCTGACTTGCTCCCTGGAGTAATTTTGTTCGTTGACATGCAAAACAATCGAGCATCTGACCAAGGTCTGCCTCCAGGATTTAATGACGCATTATTCCAGGCTACGACCATAACGGGAGTAACGCTATCGAGTTATTTGAGATACGTGGACAACTTGCGGCCAGCCTCGAATCCTGAAATCGAGAACAGCTCTCCAGTCGGGCAGCTGGTGGACGAGTTGCTAAAGAAGCCGGCGGATCGCCAATATGCATTTGTGGTAAAAATCGCTAGAGAAAAAGAGAAAGAAAAAGGACATTAGTGTCTAGTCTCGGGTCTCTCGTCGGATGTGTATTAACCTGTAGAGAAGGCTCCGCCGGCATTTGCACATTTTGGAGGTGTAAATTGACCGCAGGAAAAGCCATCTGCTGGCCGATTCTGCTGAGAAAATCCACTCGCAATTTTGCTAGCATCTGAAATGGTCTCAGATATACAGTCTGATGAGAATGCAGACTGACAGCTGGCTTGGTCGGGCTCATTGATATGACCCTGTGTGGCTGGCCAAACGAATCACTAAACACCGTGAGACAGCCCTCATAGTTGAGATGCTCGTGATTAACGGCATATCCACTGGCATTTACAGCTCTGAAGGATTGGTTTAATCCGAGCGGCCCGATGGGGAAGGATAGCTGTGTAGACAGCGTGTAATTCCCAGAAGGATCTGATGGTGGCAAGGCTGGCGGCTGGGGAAAAGGCAGATTGACGCTGCCAGAAGCATTGTAATGTCCGGGCCACATGTTGTTGCTGCACTGACCAAGGTAGACAATGCTACAAGGAATAAACTCAGTAAAGATTGTAAATCCAAGGGAGCCATAGGAGGACACAGAACACTGTTACGAGACCGCGGGCTAAGTTGAAGAGGAAAAGGTGAGATAAAAGCCTGCCAGAAACGTTTTCTTATTGTGTATTTAAAGGAAATGAGTAGACCTAAGTCATGTAAAGAAGTAAAAGCTAGGAGGTAATGGAACGGTGGAGCAACAATAGATCAAGCGGGATCAAACAAACTGAACCTTGGGAATGCCAAAAGAGCGAAATGTAGCATTTCTATATGCAACCAAATGCCTTCCCCCGCTAACAATGAAGCGCTTCGACACTTACAGGGTTCTTGATACGAAGCCCAACTCAGCCTTGTTGCCTCCGCCGATGAGCCTGAGCAGCAGAGAAGGAGGGGACGAGGAGGTAATGTGTATATGGAGGTTTCGTGTAATGAGATTTCACCATCGTCATTGATGTAAAATACAATGTCCATTATGAGTATTGGAGAATCGACAGCTACACTACATAATTGAAAGCAGTATGTAATCTACGTAAAGAACAATACACTTCAAAAGGACAAGGGTACTCCGGAAAATCTCCCAATATAGACAAGTGTATTTTGGCGTTGGGGCTGGGGAATCAATCGAAGAATGTACGTGGGCGCATCAGTTTCGGGACATACTGTATCTCAATTATTAATGTCGCCTCTCGATCGTAGAAGCGGATGCACGCGTGGAAAAAGAGACCGATGTAACCGTTTTACATAATAATAGGCAACGCTAGTGCTTCGCCTCAAATTTGTCTTACATTTGGGGTTGGCAGTATGCCTAGTTTGAATACGAGGACTGAGGCGGAGACTCAATTCTTTTCACAAGGCTGTGTGAGGCTCACAAGGCATGAGGTATCTATCTGGCCCCCACTCTAAAAGGTACATAGTGATGAGGTTAGTAACCTCCAAAGGCCGTCAGGTCAAATTCTAGGTTCATGCTCTCTCACAAGCCCAGGATTTTACTGGAAGATTCCCAAAAGTTCGGATCATAGTGAGTACTAGAGAGGTTTATAGTAGAAAAGGTTGCTACTCAAAGAAGGGGAAGATTTCTATTTGATGTGCTGGCTGGCTATGCAGTTAGCGGCAATTAAGATCGGCAGCGATCGGCAGCGTTTCCAAGGTGTTGTCCGCCGAGCCCCTCGTCTGAGTCTAATTTTGGCTACCATGAATTGGTCGCAACTTCGCTAGATGTCAGCTCATGTTTAGTTGCCAATGACGTATAAGAGAACCATACCTACTTAGTTTGAGCACTGAATTCAAAGTATGGATCGACTTTCTCGGCTCTTTCTCGACTCTTTGCCTCTCTCTCCAAATTATTTACAATGCACGTGCTTTTTTCTCTATGGGTGCTTGGCTTCACTGCTCTCACCGCTGTCGCAAGTACCCCAGACTCCTTTGGCGCCTGGGTACAAACATTCCCGCCATGTCTCCAGCCATGTATCAATACAGCATTTGATAAGGACATTGCAACTCAATGCGGTGAAAGCGCAAAAATCAGCACCAATAGCAAGGCTTGGAATTGCATCTGCAATGCGAAGAACTATTCCCAGCTCATAATGGACATCCAAGGAGCCCAAAAAACCTCTTGCATTAATAGCAAATGTGCGGAGTCTCTTACGAAGAACGGGACCAACTCTAGTCGCCTTATTCAGAATTTAAACGCTCTCGATATCAATATATGTGAGCCATACTACGGAAGTAATTATTCCCTTCATAATTAACCGAACATGCTTGACGAAGATTGTTAGATGCTGCCTCTGTCTCGTTCCGGAACACGCCTATGTTAATTGGCATGGTGGGTTTACTGGGGTTTCTCATAGTGACATAGCTTATGCATTCATTTTAGTCCACTCAACTACGTATATGTAAAAAGGCTGAGGCACTAGTATCAGAAAGAGATCTTGTATATTATGTGCACTGTAAGATCTATAATGACGTATTTACCAGAAAAGCCTAAACGGCATGATCCGTCTATTCAAGATTTGGTTCGGCCTCTCTAGTCTGCTTCTACTGATTCGATCTTCCTGCTTGGTCGCTGCGACATTTTCCTACTAGTGTGTAGCCTTATCATCATCATTCAGCTGCTGTAATACTGGCCACCATGCTCGGTGATAGGCGAATTGGCATTGAATCATTGTGCCCTTCAGCGCGAGGACATTATAAGTTCAGTCCAATAGAACGTTCAGGAACATGAGATGACCATAGCGTCCCGCAATAACATATGAAAGCCCCGCCGGCTGCAAACCTACGGTTGGACCCTTTGCCAAGAAATGGAAGTGGCTGAGCCAATTGATCAACCCGATCTCGATTATTTACGGCATAAGTGGCTGACACCGCATGCCCTATAAGGAGTCACTACACAATTATGCCACCACATGCCAAGCCGAAGAGAAACACCCCGAACCTGGACTTCAAACTCTTCAACCCCACGTTATCGGATCTTCCTGGGCCCAATTCTTTTCTATTATACCATTTGGATACTTGGCTAGGCTCTAAATTACCCTTTCAAAGCGATCTTGTTCCAGGTAATGCCCCTGACAACATGACATCCGCCATCTCATACCCCCCGGAAACCAGGGGCGGCACTGTAACCTCTTGGATCCCAATGGACACTAGCTGGACCATGCCAACAGGCTGTTCATCCATGTACAGATATAATTTCTATCCACTCGACGGGCCTGAACTTATCGCGTTTGATCCATCATGGGGTCAGCTGATTAATTCGAGCTACAGCTGTCAACCGCCAGCTGCATCGAGTTGGTTTCTATCTTCGGCAAATGATGTGAAGACGGTCACGACTATTATGCCGTTGACTTGTCCGGATGGCTGGGCTACGGCGAGGACGGATGCCGTAAATTCAGACTGGTTATCCGTTCAGTGTTGTCCATCGTGAGCTTCACCTCCTGTTTTCTGAAATTTCGGGATCAAGGATTGAAATCCGATTTCGCCATTGATTGTTCGTCGTCTAAATTGTGGATTCCTACAGCGGTTATAAGATATATCAGGACAATCAAGCTGAAGGAATCGATTGCACATCGGGCATAAACGATCAAGCACTTCTAACGTACGAATCATACCTGACAGTATCCGCCGGTTCCAATTCCGGGCAACCAATTTCAACCGAGTGGACGATGGTGACGACACAAATTGAAGTGACAAGTGCCGTTGGGGCGATTGCGATCAATGGGTACGCTATGGCGACTTCGACGACTTTATCGGGGGCGGAAAGCTCAAGAAATTCGTCCGTTGGGTTATCGTCTGAAGCAAAGAGTGCCATTGGGGCTGGCATTGGTGTGGGAACAGTTGCAGTGATTGCGATTGCTGCTGCGACATGCTTCTTCATTCGAGGACGGAAGGCAAAAGCGAAGACGAAGCAATCTGCAGAGCTTGACACATCGGAGGGCCCCTCAGAATTGTATTCACGTAATATGGCTACTGAGTTGGGGGATAAGTTGACAGCGCCTGAGTTGGACGGGAGAGAAAATGCGAAGTCACCGGCTGAGTTGCCAGATAATAGGGCGCCGGTTGAGATGGAATGATGTTCTTTACCTCTGTTTTCTTATTTTCTTGTATACTCATGTGGTTAGATATACGTGTGCATCGACAATTCGTCTGATAGAAATATCCTGTGCAAGTACTTTGATGTTGACAAATGCCGCGTATTTATTTGGATACGTAGTCTCACTGAGTGCCTTCGTCTCAAGCTCCTCTCAATAGACTATCAAAGAAAGCCATGTCGACACCCTGGAAGGCCCAGTCATCAGCTCCAGCAGTCAATATATGGTGTTCATTCTGTTCCAGAAGGGTTTCGCATATCACACCGGGGGGCTGTAGTACAGTCTGTGGAGCAGCACAATAGCCGCCATTCGTAGATAAATCGACTGTGGCTTCCATTCGGGGAGCATGTTCTTCTACCGGGAGCTCCTCATGAAAAGTGCCTCGATTAGGGCCCTCTACATTCGACTGTGGGTGAGCCACCTTGGATATGACACCCTCACGTGTGATATTGATGGTGCCATAGTAGGGGATTTGGACATGGACAGAATTGCTGCCATCGTCACTAAGCCCCTTGACTGGCATCTGCGCACTTAAGTCCTTGGCACAGGGCGAGATCCCGTTGGCTGCCTCAGTCTCGATAGCCATCAGCCGCCGCAATAGGTCAGCGCTCTGCGTGCTTAAAGAGTCACCAAGTAATCGACTTTTTTCGTCCATGTTCTCCTGAATCTGCTCTACAAGCGCGCGGTCACCGGGGCGTTGGTGCGCTAGCAGATTCTCAGTCATTGAAGTCTTTTGTTGCCCTTGAGATGACACGAGAGAAGCTAAGCACCGATGTCCATCGAGATACGCTAGTAGCAATGTCATAGCCGCCATGAAACAGAAAAAGTCGATGGTCTTGCAGGTAAAAGCAAAACGATTGAATTTCTGAAACGTGAGGAAACGCGAGAGCACCTCACGAGAGGCGTTGACGCAAGTGATCCGCGAGTAATCGTATTGATGTCCATCGGAGGAGGAGCGGATCATGTAAGGCAGGTGGAGCTGGTTCAGCAGATTGTAGTGGAAAAGCTGATGAAATAGCCGTCGCATATCCCAAAAAAGCGCGTCTGGATCATCTTTGCCTTCGGCAGCTATATTTGCGGTGAGCCACCATTTGTAGGGCAGACACGCGGCTGCTCTTTGCAATTCCCCATCTATCTCCTGCGTGAGGGAGTAGGTGTGGAGGCTCGTATCGGAATTATTGCGTTCTAGAATGCGAGAGGCGACAACGCAATGTATTCGCTCAAGACGACCCATGGGTGTATCACCTTCGAGCAACGTCCCGGAAACCATGCTGTGGTCTTGTGTTGCCTGCGGAAGGCCTAACATTAGGCACAAATGTCGTTCGAGAAATATAATTCGAAACCAAATAAATTGCGGATGAGCTTCCGTCCCCGAATCAAGGATCTTGCACTGCGCCTGGCTTTCACATCGATGGAAGCCCATCAACTGTGCGATTGTCATAGCTCTCCGGACAGCGATCAAGCCCTTCCTTAAGTTTCCGCCATTCACCCAATACCAGCTCTCTATCATCACGCACTCTAATCCCTCGATGTAACCGACAAGATCATCATTGATGGTAACGAGGCTGATAGCAGTGTCGGCTAGTCGCTTCATCATATCGTGCGGTGGCTCTGAGAGTCCATCCAGCACTTTGTGAGAGTCGGGGGGCAGATTTTGTAAGAAAGTCGCGACGTGGAGCATGTATCTCGCTAGAAGAACGGGATGAATGTTTGGCCGAGGCTTTTCGAACAGACGCCCTAGAGGTCTGGGGTCACCACGGCTGAGGTCATTGTAGGGAACTGTCTGCATTCGGTAAAATAAGGTGGACATGTTACCGCATGCTTTGATTATCCTTCGAGTGTCTTCTTGTGAGGGTAAAGATTGATACAGACTCCGAGACAACCTCTCATATCTGCTAGATGGACTGTGTGCGCGTCTAACGCTTTGAAATTCAGAATCGCAATGGAATATCTCGAATCCGGCCAAGTCCTGTTCCTAATCGAGCAGCAGGCAGTTAGCACTCTTCAATGGCTTCTTAACCATCGTTCTGAACGTCATTCTTCAAGCTTCTCTAAGGATTCCACCTCAGTTTGTGATATCGGGTACATACCGCCGAAGGTTCCATGAAGGTCGATATAGGAGTAGGAATGTCATGGGTAAGTTTTCCGGTCTCCTTCCCAGGTATACATCCACCAAGTGGATCAGGGTTATCGGATCCTTTCTCGAGCAACTGCTCAACTAATGCTTCGACTCTCCCAACACGATCCCCCATCTGGAGACTCCTATCCAGAGAAGTTGATATCTCCTCAGGAAACTCTTGACCGACACATTTGATGCCACGACGAGTACAGCGGATACAGATGGTGTCTTTTGATGAGCTGAAGATACACTTCATCTTCCGTCGCCTGCACTCCCAGCAGCTACGTGTCCCCTTCCGGACCTTTCTCCGCTTTGTCTCGAGTCTAGCATCGTTTTCGTGAGCTATGCCAGACATCATATAGATGGCACAGAATGCAGAGTAGGTATTGTATATGGATTAGCGCGTTTGGTCCGATGTGGCTAAGGGTAGTTCGACGGTCGGAGACGGGTCACATACCCGCAGCAGCCGAATCTCACAGTCAAATGTCATATGAAAGCGAGAAAATACGTAATGCGAGTGCAGTGGACGAAATTTGGAAATATTTCAGGTCAAAAGACTTGATCTGTGGATGTGTAACTGTCAAGAATTGGAATTTCTACACATAATATGAGTTCGACCGTAAGCTCGGCGGACGGAAAGTTTAGGTTCGGAAGAGCGTCATGAGGGGTTGAACTTTTCGTCCGATTTGTAGGGGCGCTCTTTATTTTCTAATAAAATGTGTCCGCGTGAGCGGTGAGGGCCCGACATTTGGAGGCGGGTACTTGATCCGGGGACCAATAACAACCCTATCCTTAAACTCGGTGGACGAAAGGGTGTTTTTACGCAAGAGAATGTATTTTCGGTCCTTCGTAAAGCCCTTAGAAACCCTTATATAAAGCTGGTGGCTTGAGGGAAATCTTACAGAATACCAGTGTTCCCCTTCTCTCTTCTCTTGAATATCATATTTCTAATTGACAGCCACAATGCTGAGTAGTTTCAACACTCCTCCCAAGAACGTCTCCGGCACACTCGAGGCTTTCACCCTACACGTACCTGAGGAAGACTTGTCTAAATTCCAAGAGCTTTTGAAATTGTCTGAAATCGGACCAGCAACATGGTGGAATACACAACAAGATTCCCAATTCGGAGTGTCCCGCGAGTGGCTAAGCCAGGCTAAAAATACATGGCTCAATAAATTCACCTGGCGCGATCATGAACACTCTATCAACAAGTTCCCCAATTTCAAGATCGCTATCAGCGATGAGGAAGCTGGGCAGGTGGATATCCACTTTGCGGCACTCTTCTCTAAAAGGAAGGATGCTATCCCTGTCATCTTTCTTCACGGATTTCCGGCTTCGTTTATGGAATTCCTACCGATGATGCAGCTACTTGCCGACAGGTATACACCGGAGACACTACCGTATCATATCATTGTTCCCTCTTTACCCGACTATGGACTTTCCGGTAGCCCTACTACGGATGTCGAGATGACTCTGACCCAAGCTGCGCGTATCATGAACCAGTTGATGCTTGATCTTGGGTTCGTCGACGGTTATGCCGCGCAGGGAGGTGACCTTGGCAGTATGCTTGCGCGGATTATGTCTGTTCAATACGAGGAATGCAAAGCTTTTCACGGTATGAATCCTTTCGAAGTACAATATAAAATCAATGGTGACATCTAATCGCTATAGTTAACATGCTCGTGTTGGATCCGGGAGAGTCGGCCCCTTCTCGCGACAGCTTAACTCCCAAAGAACTGGATATCTTGCAACGGACCGAAACTTGGCGCCAGACGGGCTTAGCTTATGCCCTCGTGCATGGAACCCGTCCAGCTACCGTCGGGCTGGCAATGTCTTCCAGTCCACTTGCCTTGCTGGCATGGTAATCCAACACTCTTCGACAATCAACCCATATTAAACATTAGCTAACAAAGACTAGGATTGGTGAGAAGCTCCTTGAATGGGTTGATCAGCGAGAACCGCTTCCGCTCGACACAATTCTAGCTTGGGTCAGCTTCTACTGGTTCACGAAAACATTCCCTCGCAGTTTGTACCATGCCGAACTCGTCAAAAACTTGCTCAGAGGGGATAAACATCCAATTTCAAAGGAGAAGCCGCTTGGGTATTCGATGTTTGCCCATGATCTTGCGATATTACCACAAGCCTGGGCGAAGGAAATATATCCAAATCTGATATTCTATCGGGCCCATGAAACTGTGAGTGATGTTTTCCTTTGAAAAGTACTTGCTTTAAGCCTCATCACTGATCTGTACGTACAGGGTGGGCATTTTGCCAGCGTAGAGCAACCAAAAGCATTTTTGGAGGATGTTGAGGACTTCTTGGCAAAGATCCGTGGATTGCTCTGACCCAGAGAGAATTGGTGTCAGTATTAGCAGAAGCAAAAAATCGGCATCACGCTCGAAGTTTGGCCTAGAGTCGGAAATTGTTATATGTTATGTACATCACCGGGCACCCGCTCTTTATTTTAAGAGCCCGGGCTAACAACTATCTATCTATGCGCTATATATTGGTTCTGTGTATTATGCGACTAAGACGAGAGAGCTTCATCGTAATGCTCTTTTTGGCACATTGGGTAGCATGGGCGTACTCCTCCCGCATCAAGCTAGAAGATCCGGGCTGGCTCGGTGAATGAACTAAAAAACATTATGAAAGTAATGCTTAAGTTCTAGAAACGCTGGGGTGGTAACTGGTATGTCAACGAATATACAAGTAGCATGAAGCAGACATGATTGAATAAACCGAAACTTTCATCATTCGTAAGGTCGCGTAGAAGTCCATTTAAATCAATACTGGCCCACCGGCTTTCTAGGAATACTCCCCATTCTCACGTGTGTTCCAGGGCTATCGTATGCTGCAGGAGGCCCGTACTGCCCATCCTGCCCATCCTGCTCGTATACTTCTGTTTTGCGTTCGACAAGAGTGTACCGTTTGCGCTTACGGATATAGAAGCTGGAAGAAATATGGTTAGCAAGCTACAATGAGAGGTAGATGGATGGGGGACATGTTCTAACCAGAATCCTATGAAAACGACCGCGAGGAACGGAACTCCTAGACCAATGCATAGCCCAATGATAAGCTTGTTGCTTGTCCCGTCGGTTGTTCCGTCTAAGATTCTGCTCCCTCCGGTGGCGAAGGGAACATATGATGTAGGCGCTCCTGACGTGGCTGCCAACTTATGAACATTTGTTCCGAATGGGATAGCACTCGTGATGGTGTTCACTGCGGCTGTCGAGGACCCAGATTGGACACTGACGACGGACGTCGCAGTGCTGGTTGTTTGGAGATTGACGGGACAGTTTACCACCCCTTGGGAGAGACAGTTGACGATAGTATATGTACTTGTGGTTGTCGTCGGCGACCCGAAGAGATCATCTAAATCATCTCTCCGATTTAGCGCTGCACGAGGAGTGATCTGGGAAGAAGCAACTGGCGTTGCTTTTGTTTCCGCACATATACTAGCCAAAGTCGTATACCAAACCGGAACGGTCGTACTGATAGCCGGTCCCCAGGTGTGGGAGTCAACCGCGACTGTTGCCCCGGCTGCCGCGCCTAGAGCAAAAGTGTACTCCAATTCAGCGGCTAGGTCGCAGTTGATGCTGTCACCAGCATCGTGACCGGCGTCGACTTCCACTCCAAAATCAGCAACGTAGGCAAAGACATTAGTCTCGACACCGGAACTAAATTCTGACGGGAAATCTGAGTCTCCTATCTCGACTCCAAGGCCCACTGATAGGCTCAATGCTGCATGGAGGGCTCCTTTGCCCGTTATTGTGACAGGCAGAAACTCGAAGGAGCCGCCGGGACTGTTGATAAAACAGCGTTTGTTAGAAGAAGACTTGGGTGTCGTCACAGAAGGGCTTACATTGTAACATCCGACACATTAGAGCTAAACATCGCCAGATCAAAGGCAACTCCGTCATCAAGCTTGATATGGATGCCAGTACCAATATCAACCTCCTCGTCTGCGATTAGGACCAAGTCAACACCGAACACGACTCCGACCTCGAGGCCCACAACAGAGATTCCCTCTGGACTTTCGGTCCTGAAGAGAGGGTATGTGTAGGTAGATTGCTCAGACAACTGAATATCAAGATCTAGATATAGCTCTAAGTCATCGAACTCGAGATGCACCTGCGCGTCTGGGAGAGCATTGACGGTATCTAGATTAAGGCTCAAGTTAAGTGTCGGTAAGGCAGGGAGGTGTTCAAAATCTAGACTCTCGACATAATTCTCTATTTGGTGAATGGCTGATTTGGCGACATTTGCGACATTGCTCTCAGCACTGTCAATCGTCTTCTTCAAATCTAAGTCACCCGTGAGGGTCAGGTCGCCCGTGGCCGAGCCTTGAACGTAACAAGTAGAGCATATGATTCCAATAGGGCCCACGGAACTGCAAGTCTGTGAGTGAAATGTTTTCAAGGATCAATGTGAGCTCGTACGGGAACAAAGTAGCATCTTTCCAACTTTTGGCAAAAGTCGTCTTATTCATTCGATAAATATTATCGCGAGATTGGAGTCCTGCCACATGCAGGGCTCGTTTCACTGCGTTGACCGTATCTGCGTCGGTCATCCCAGGACCGTTTCTAGTCTTTAGCGCCACATTTCCTGAATCAAGGGCCGCAGTGGTGCCCAAAATAGGGAACCAAGACAAAAATATTGTCAATAGAACAACCAACATTATGGATAATGGATACTGCCTGCAAATTTCAAAATATGTAGAAAAGCAAACGTTGTGCACTACCTTCGCTCTAAAAGCTGAAAGAATACAATAATCTCTTATAATTAAACAAACAGCCCTATATTGGGCTGCTGCGGCTCCGTACTTGCTATCTTTAGATTATTTGGCGTGTCGCACGGCACTACAGGAGCAGGATAAGCCCTAAGACGAACCGGTCCAGCCACTTGCTAGGATGAGAATCCCTTGCCAAGCAACACGGCCCGTGCTAGCTACAAAGAACCTGAGCCGCGACAGGAACGCGAACAATTATCCACGAAGATATTCATTATTGCCTAGCTGTCCCATAATACACAAACACAAACTGGCAGTTTTTGATTATATCTAAGTTTTAGTGTTCCATATACTATTGGGCAAGCTTAGTTTACCAGACAAAAGGCATTTGTGGAGAGAGCAGATGGGGTAGCCGAGATTGAGGCTATGTATGCAGCTAAGGCACGTCCCGTCCCTCTAGGGCGTTGGTGCGTTGTCCGTGCGTGAGAGTATAGCCCCTCCAGAATGGGGGCCGGAAGAGACGCATTTGTTGAGTGTGGCACTCCTATTTCTTTTGCATGGCATTGCCGAAGACTAGTCCAGATAAAGATACTTTGTGGTTGGCAGAAAGCGAAGCCCTAAAGTTGGAAAGGGGGCTTAGTACATGGTCAGAGCTGCATGTAGCATCCCGCTCCTCGGGGTTTGTTGCTTTGCTGCTCGTCCTATTACACTTTCCCCAGTCTACAGCGAGCTACCGTCGGCCAATTACATATTCCCAGATCGAAGTAAATTTGGTGCTGCCGTATACTAACTATTCCCCGGTCTCGACTTGCGCCACGATTCGTATACTACCTATATCTTTACCCCTATCCTTGATATATTTTCGGAATTTGGGTTAGGGTCACCTCTTATATTCGTACAATCGTGCATAGTCGTTAGGGACTTTTGTGTATTTAAAGTATAGTTTTCCATGATCGTCCCTTCGAATACCTGACCGTAACCCCGAGCGGGGATGTGTCCGAATCGGGGATGAGTAGACTCTTTCTGCCACTGTTTATTAACCGCCATTTATCTACTTTCTGCCCTAATTCGTAGATTTCTTTAAAGTAGCATGAAGGCGGTAGATAGGAGTAGGCCCCCCTAGAACACTTCAAGTTTCTAATATGCTTTTTGAAAAACTTTCTGATCTTCTTCAATAACCCATTTGAATAGTGTTTGGAATCTCGTGTGAACCGTTTGGTATTACAGTGTCGCCTGTCTAGGTCATTTTACAAAATGTGATGACATGTCTTGTTCCCGTTTGCAGGCTTACGAGGTATTGGTACTATCTCAATTTGCCATTTCGCTATAATCTCTTTGCGACAGGCTTTCTGCTTAAGTGACATGACTAAAATGGTAGACGAGAGATATTCAACAGTGGTTGAATAAGGTGATCCTTAATCAATTGCGATCCTCCACTAATGGCTGATGTCCGCACCTTTGCTGCAAGAGCGGAAGTTACGTTTTCTCATCTTCACCGCCACTTCTACGATACATTCGATTCACAGTTTAAGCGCTAGCAACCGAATCCCTATCTTAAGGGTGGCAAGACACCATCCACTTGGGGTAGTCGTCGATGAAGTTCCTGTGGGAACCTTGTGAAAATTCAGAATAACTCAAAGGTGGTTCAGCAAGTTGCCCTTTCTCCGGATTCAGACCCAGAAAATCACTAAATGCGAACTAGGGTATTTCTGTTGCGAAATAATGGGGTTGAAACTCATCGTGGTGCTGATACTGCCCGATAGCAGCGGTTCTAGTGGCGTGTAAGGTACAGTTCGAAAGTGATCTGACAATTAAGATGACGGATTGGTGGATAACAGAGACTGTGCAGCCTTTAGGCAGCACGCCCAGGCCCTAAAATTGTATTAATTTACTCGTGGAAGGGTACTAGGCATTGCCAGGCATGCTTGTGACTTCAGATGCTGAATGATCATGTCGAGAGCCCGAAATTTTTGAATTCAGGCCAATTTGTGCCACGATTTGAAGCCATCCGATTCATCATCTTGATACCGCTAGTTATGTAATTTATTTTCGACCTATTGTCCATATCTTCTGCCTTGTTTCTTTCTGGATTCTATTTTTATATTACAGATGTAATGTGGTTTGTGTTTCTATGGGAAGAGAAATGGAATTCACCAAAAAGTCTGGTATTCCTTGTTCTCAGTTTGGTGGCTTTCATTGACGGATTATTGGCTCTAGTGGGCGGAAAATACTGGAGCAACATCGTAAGTTGAGGGCCGGTCGACTCAGGGGAGGTCGTCGGACGTCACAGCAGAGACCTGGGGAGAGATCATGGAAAGGAAACGAAACGGGTAGTGAAGTTGTATTGATCATGATCTCCCAGAAGGGAAATCCTATCTATCTACGGCGGTGGGCGCTGACACCTCAGGCACCCACCCATCATAAGTACTCACATTTCAAGCTCCCGTTGCAAAATCTCAATTCTGAACACGATTATTGACGCAAGTTCATAGATCATTAACTATGGTGGTGGAAAGGGACGTGGGGTCTTCTGTCCCAAACCCGAATAGTTTATCAGAGTTTGGGTTGAAGTTGAGGTGGGGCAGGTGATCGAGTTCCGCCTTTTGATTAGTTACCAAACCCTATGATGACACCGGCCTAAGCCAGGTTGGGATCGCTTCTCTCGGATTGTCTCGGCGTGGCGGCATTTTGGCTTTCTGACAAAAAGGTCTTTGGAATCATTAATGGAAAGGTCGAGAAATAACCATGACGTATGGCCTTGAGTCTGTAGATTCTTAATAAAGATATAGAAACCGTATCTCGTTCAGATGGGTCAGGTTCCTTCACTCTTCCTACCCTGGCAGTTTATCTCTTTGCCGTGGATTGCTCACAATGCCTGCTTCAAGGAGATCCGTCGCGCTTTCTCAGCAGATGCCGTGGCACAGCGGGGAGAAAAAAATGCATGATCTGATGAATGTTCCCGATCAATTCAATCCCACTTCTCAATTTCTTTCTCCGGGTGCTGGTCACTTCGTGTATCATGCGCCATTGCTTGCTATCGGCATCGTCGACAACCGGGGAATGCCGTGGACTACCGTTTTGGGGGGAGAGTCAGGAGTTGCCCGCCCGGTTGGTGATTCCATGATCTTGGTAGACACGCCTGCCCCAAACAAGCACGACCCAGTCCTACAATTTTTACTGGGGAGCACTCCAGACAACCAAACTGCGCAGTTTCACGAAGAGAAGCCCATTATAGGCGGTTTGGCTATCGATCTGGAAAGCAGAATGAGAGTGAAGCTTCACGGGAGGCTGCGAGCCGGGCAAGTCTCCTACGATGGCCAAACACGTCGGGCACAGCTACTTTTTGAAATTGATGCAAGCCTCCCCAACTGCCCGAAATATCTCAACGAGAAATTTATTATACCCAATTTATCCGACCCCAAAACGTTGCCAGACTCTCCCAATCTACCACCGCAAGCAATTGACCTGCTTAAAAAGGCTGATTTATTCTTCATTTCATCGTCAAATGCTGGTGAAGATATGGACACCAATCACCGTGGTGGTCCCCCAGGCTTTGTGAGAGTACTTTCCAATAGCCCGAATGGCGCAGTCCTTATATATCCGGAGTACTCCGGGAATCGTCTTTACCAGACTCTTGGGAACATTCAGATGACTCCTTTTGCTGGCTTGACGGTACCAGATTTCGACACAGGCGACGTCCTGTATCTCACGGGAGAGGCTCAGGTCCTCAGTGGAGAGAGCGCCGCTGATATTTTACCTCACTCAAAACTTGCCGTCAAGATCACAGTCCTTTCCTCCAGGTTTGTTCTTCAAGGTCTTTCCTTTTTAGGGAAACCTGGAGCCTTTTCCCCTTATAACCCTCCTATCAGATATGCCAGCGGGGAAAAAGAACTAGACAAGCCTTTGGGCACGACTAGGGCAGACGCTTTAAATCGTGCTGTCCTCATTGACTTCCAGCGTCTCACTCCCACAATTGCCAGATTTCGTTTTCGCATAGAAGGAAAGGTGATCTCAAAAGCATGGAACCCTGGACAATACGCTACACTCTCTTTTGCGGATGATCTTGATCAAGGCTGGAGTCACATGCGGGACGAAGATCCACGGTCCTTGAATGATGATTACATTCGAACCTTCACTATTTCCAGTTCCCCAGAATCGTCAGCCGGTGGGTCGCTAGAATTCGAGTTGACAATTCGCAATGTTGGGCGTGCAACAAACTACTTGTTTCATCAAGAAGTGAATAGCGCCTTTAGTCTACCATTGCTTGGCTTCGGCGGGAATTTTCATTTTGAGGACAAGCGCAGCCCTATTGTGTTTATTGCCTCTGGGATCGGGATAACACCACTCCTTGGGCAAGTATCGTCGTTGAAAAAGACCCAACTCAATAACTTACAGGTATTGTGGTCTGTACGGGTCGATGACGTGGAATTAGCATTGGACACCCTCCTGAAACACCCAGAACTAATCCCCTCAACCAAGCTCTTCCTAACTGGAAACGAGTCATACTTGGGAAATCAGGACAGGAAAAAGGCTTTAATCAATAAGCTTACTAATGCCGACGTGTCTATTACAAGAAGGCGGCTTCAAGAGCGAGACATCGTTGAGCTTCGCAAGGAGGCTGAGACCGGTTGGTATATGTGTGTGGGCTCGGAGCTGAAAGCTCTCATTTTACAGTGGCTAGCAGGAAGAAAGGTTGAGTACGAAGACTTTGGTTATTGAGAATTACAAGTAAATGCGAGGTTCACCTTTTTTTTTGGAAATTATCAAAGGATGGATACGATACTGTTCGGTAGCTCAAATGTCTCACAATATAGCACGACTGGATCTACGAATTTAGAGACGGATGCAAAATAATTTCAGATATGGTTTCCTCAATCACTGCCGCGAAACTTCTCACCCAGGCGGGCACTAACAGGGCTACACTCATCAATATCTTGAATGAAGAATCTAGCACATGCGACCACAGGGTGTGGAGAACAGGGCTTCCCGTCCGCTCAGCCGTACTTAAGCCACACGCCGGTCAGTTAGTAGTTGGGTGGGTGACCACCAGCGAATCCTGACTGTTGCATGTATATCTTTCTTTTCTTTTTTTTTTTTTTGGTCATTCACTCACTCATGGTTCTCGTTTACTGTCAACTTTTTATCTAACTAATAACTTCATCACCCAGCGTCTCCGCGAAATCACCGACCCAACCACCTCCCCCTCCGCCACCACAAAGACAACCCCTACCACCACCTCCGAATCACCGTCACCAGCGGCGGCTGCCACGGCTTCCAGTACATGATGTCCCTGGAGTCCGCGAACAAGATCGACGCAGAAGAAGGCACCATCATCAAGGGCGAGGAAGATGTAGCCACGACGGATGCAGCGGGCGGGGAGGCGAAGGTTGTGATGGATGAGCCCTCGTTGGAGTTTTCGCATGGTAGCACAGTCGACTATACGACTGGGTTGATTGGAAGCCAGTTTAAGATTGTGCTAGCTGGGGATTTGGATGATGAGAGTGGCATGTTTTTTAAGTATTTTAAGTATCTTGATAGTGGTATAGGCTGATTACGCCTTAATATGTCTAATATTAATCTTTAAATAGATACTACTAATATTTCTCTGCTTCCGTTCTGGAAGGACAATTAAAATCGATCTAACGATTGCAACCCTCGCTCGAGATGTGCTTTAAATTCCTGGTACTAGAGCTGGCTCAGAGTTGCATGATCAGCGTGGGAGGTTAACTCGTAAATATGTACTGATTATTGCCAATATCATTTCAAATTAATTTTCATCATCTTTTACAAAAGGCGCCTATACACGAAGAACTTAATATTATAAAAGAGGCTCAAATGCCCCAATGCTCAATATGTGCTCCTATATGGGCTATACATGCACGCGCACGTCTGTGTCTCTTTGCTTGGTGAACTAAACATCTCCATGGGGTTCGCCTTTGTCTTCTAGATCCCGATGGAACTCGGCGTTCGCAACGGCGCTTTGAAGTGCGCTGGTCAGATCAATGTGGAAGAACGGCCGGTTGATACCGTGCACTGCTGCCATGCGAAGGCGCGGCTGCTCTAATTGAGAAACATTGTAAGTCGGTGTGATGTGCTGCTTGGACTCGCCCGTGATGGCGGAGGTGGGGGCGCCACCAGACTCCACAATCTCGTCATCTTTCGTATTATCATCGAACTCAATGGCTTTTGCGGCGACAGTGGCAGGGTTGGCCCCTCCGATATCTGCCACGCTGTAGATGGACTTCCACTGCTGAGCCAGCCGGCTGCCAGGCGTCGGATGGCCGAAGCCGACACTAACAAGGGCACGCTTGGTCCAACGGTTGTTGATGTGGGCGAAGTGCCAGTGCACCTTGTTAGGGTATGTATGGCGGTCTAGCTGGTTGCGCACATCGATCAGTGCTTGCATCGAAGTGATATCAATATTGTTCACGGCGCTGAAGTCGAGGATGATGGCCTGAAGCGTGGGACGATTGTCCTCCGTATCAACTGATTTGCCCCTACGCGGGCCGGGGTCGTTCCATGGGCGATCCTATGCATGTTAAAAACAGAATTCCGTTAAGAGCTCCGAAAATGAGGTTGAAAACTTACTCCAGGTCGGGGATATTGATTCGGGCTAGTAAGACGTGTAGCCATCAGAATATGGGCCGTCAAGTCGTCGAGATACCTGTTCGCATTCGGAAAACTGAATCCCTCAGAGAACCTGTAGATGAAAATACCCGGGTACGGGGTCTGCAACTCAATCTCCGGGTTGGATCCATCGTTGTGGTCGAGCGGAAGGAAGACGTTGCGACCGATCCCAGTGTCGCTGTTCGCTCCTTTATAGAGATTTGTAGTTTCAGCGCTGGCTGAAGTATCACCGATGATCTGGTCATCAATGATAGAGTGCACCTTAACCCTCCCAAGAAAGTGACCCTTGGATTTGACAACTCTGAAGAGAAGCAACGCTGCCGAAATACAGATAGAGGTGTATATCCCGTCCTCGATGGTGGAAAACACAATGACGATAACGCCAATGAAGAAGATTACCACCTCGAAGGGTGACACACGCCAGAACTGGTAGACAGTATTCGGTGGCGTGATCAAGTCACCCACAGCATGGATGATGACAGCCGAGAGAGTAGCGCTCGGGATATAAAAGAAGACAGCGGGAAGGGCATAGATGGCGAGCAAGACAATGACTGCAGTGATAACACCGGCGAAAGGGGTCCGCACACCGGCCTTGGACTTGATGGCAGTGCGAGAAAATGAACCCGTAGCAGGGTAAGCCCCGAGGAAAGGACCGATGATGTTCGCGAAGCCAATGGCAATCAACTCCTGGGAGGGGTTGATCGTATAGTTGTTGACCCGACCGAACGACTTTGAGATGGAAATGTGCTCGATGACCAGAACGATGACTGTTGCGGGCAGGTTGCTAGCGAAAGCTTTAATGATGGTAGTGTCGATATGCGGAACCGCGGCATTTTGGAATCCTAGCGTCAAGTCAGCAATACGCACTCACACCACCATGCTGAGTTGACGAGCTACTCACCGCGTGGCACCGTTCCGAGAATCTTGAACTTGGGGTTTGTCCGGTGGTGCCTGTTCACCAACCAACTGATCATAGTGTAGAGGAGGATGACGAAGACGACCCGGAGAGTTGATAGGAAGAAGAAGAGCTTCTGTCGACTGGGAAGCCTGTGGCTGCAGATATTCATAGCATATCTGATACCGTAGAGGAGGACCAAAGCGGTCAGACCCATGGCCGCATCGAGCGTCGAACGGCCGAGGTGCTGAAGGATATGGATGAACACGAGATACGTCGCGTCCCGAGTGGAGAAGCCTGTGATGCCCATCAGGGTTGGGACCTGGCCGACTATAATGTTCAGTGATGAGCCCGTCATGTAGACGCAAATAGACGTTAACGAGATGAAATCGACTATCCAGCCACAGCGAATGAAACCGATAAAGAAGATGATGCAGCCGGAGATGAGCGCGAGCGCCGACGCAATGACGTGGCCGGGAATATCTGGATGCGTCTTAGCCATCTCGATGAGGATGTTTCCCGTGATCTGCGACATGACGGCCACCGGCTACACCAATCAGTATGGTCTTTCTAGATTGGCTTAATCAAACGTACCCCAATAGTGATGTCTTTCGATGTAGCAAAGAACCAGTAGAGCAAGACACCCATGAAAGAAGAGTAAAGGCCGAATTGGGGCGGGAGATCCGCCAGGATGGCATATGCCATGCCCTGCGGCACTACAACGGCACCCACGGTAATACCTAATCCCACGTCAGCCCTGATACTATTCATCATTACACCATGTCCCCAGTGGTGTCTTACCGGCGATAAGGTCACCGTACAGCCATTTCAGGTTATACCGGTCAATCCACTGTGTGAAGGGAAAAAGCTGACGCGGATAGCCTAATAGCTCTTCGCGTGACGGCATAAGGCTGCCGAACCACTCTCTCAGGGTCGGTTCCTCCTCGACGAAGAGCGTGTCAGTGGACAAGATGGACTCGCCGTGGGTTGTTGGGTCCAGCACGGCATTGTTGGACTTCGCAGTTTTGATCCTCAGGACGTCCTTGGCCAGCTCCTGCACTTGGGCGCGGGACGGCATGCCTGAGCTTCTAATGCAGGCGAGACAAGAAGAAAGAAGCAAGGATAGCCAGATATGAATAAGGTAATGGAGATTCAACACACCGCCATCGGGCTGAGCTGCGGTGGGCTACGACCTTGGATATATACTACTGTTAGCTAAACAGCAGCAGACGTGCTGCCCTAAGCTTTCGGGTTTAAAAGCTTAACTCAGATATAGTGGGTACGCTAATGTTAGGATTCGTAAGCGTCAGACTGCGAATTCTCTGGTCACAGACGGGGCCAGGAAGGCGCTTTCCCACTTCGAGACCGATTTCTTGATGGCGCCATCGCTGTCGTGCATGATGAAATCAACTGAACGTCGTCAACTCATTCAGCCGTTAACTCCCGTGACTGGTCCAGGGGGAGGAAATTACAATTTCTACCTAATCAAGCAGCACGAGGGTGACGAAGAAAATTGCGAACAGCCGCTAAGAAGTGATGCTTCCAGAAAGCGAGGAAAGAAACAAGATCAAAGGCTGGACCATCTTAGATCTATTCTTCCAAAAATTTTCTGCCGAATTATCAACTCATTGGAAAATCTATTGGATGAGGTTAAAGTATTACCAAGATGCGGGATAACTCCAACTAGCTGTTCACCAATCAACAATTACAACAGCCTTATAAGGTGTAATATTAATTGGCAGTTCATCCGAAGATATCGGGTTAAGAAGATTTTGCGGATGTAAGTCTGAACGAAGGTGCTTTGGTGGTCCTCCAGTCAGAGGAAAAATGTCAGCGAATAAAATCAGAAATTCACCTGTATGTCAAGTAACAGTGTCCGTGCAGTTCTGATGTTTAAATCTTGTCAGATGTAGTTTATCCTTGCAAGCTGATGATAGCATTTTCTTAATAGACCCATCAGGTCGGACCAGGCTCCAAGAGACCTTCTGGCGAATCAAAAAGTTCGCCAGGCACGTGCATAGTGCGGATCACACACCTCCGACAGACTCGCACAGTACCAGGACGGCAGACCAATCAGCAACGCCTCCCGCAGTCTCACTGTGGCTGAACGCAATTACACCACGGCCGAGAGAGAGCTAGTGCCTATCGTGCAAGCAGCCAAGATATGGCGGCACTTCAAATCAGCAACTTAGCCAATCAGAGTGATGACCGACCTCAAAGCAATCACGCATAGGTCGCAACTAAGGCAGACGATAGTGGCCTTTGATCAAAACGTTTTATTGCCGGCAAAATAAATATTATATAATCGCAATCGAAAATAGAAGTTATACAAGGTCTCTCATTGTTTCAAAAGGTCGAGGCAACTCCTTTTTCCCATTATGGGGGTTCAATCTATGACCCACTCCCGCGCCGTCTCCTAGCGAGGTGATAAACGGGCTCGCGACTATCTAGCTTTTGATGAGGTCAGAGCAAAACAAATCATAGTTTAGCCAACGAGCTAAATCCTTCACAATTGGAATTTACCACAATAGCTTCATCCTCATACCCGAGGCCAAATGTTCTACGACGAGAAACCCCGGGCACATCACTTAACATTGCGACTCAATCAGTTGCGCAGCACCATTCTGCCATAGGTTTCTTCAAGAAGAAGAATGAACGCCTACGAACCCCATCTCATGCTTATTACGATTAACCAGCAATGTTGGATACGGCCAGGTCCGTGAACTTGAGTGTGGCCCCCGAATGTTTAAGAGCTTCAGCGTCGCATGATTACTATAACAGCTGCGTTGCGTGTGACCAGGTGCATTCTTTGCCTCCTTCCTAGTTGAAGAATGAGTGATCTCGCATACCAAAGGGACTGCGGGTCCTGGAGGCGGCTCACGAACAATAAATGGTCCCCTATGCCTCCGTCTTACAAAATGCAACTCCTGATCAGGAATTTACTGCTTTTGGTCTTGCTATCTTCATAATAACAATTGACCCACAATGTTGTTCGCCAAAATCATCGTCTTTCTCGGGTTGACTGCAACCTCCGTCCTCGCCGCTATTAACAGCAAGACTGTTAATGATATCAATACCGTCCGTAACAGCGTCATCAAAGCCCGGAAGGCAATGGAAGCCTGGGACGGGGGTGTCTTGTCGGGTATCCCTCTCGTACACACCATCTACAAGGCCCACACGACTGCTGAAACTGCCAGAAAGGGCATCGAAGGATCCGATCCCTTTGATGGTGAAGACAGGGATGCCGTGCTCGACGCCTACCACCAGTTACAGCCCGAGCTCGTGCGCACTATGGGGGTGGCACAGAAGAGGGTCAGCCCCCAGAGAACATTATTGTTCGTGAAACTATTTCTAAAGCTCTTATATAGGCCCCCGATTTCAAAAAAGCTGGTGCTGGCTACATTGCTCGCAGCTTAATGAGCAACATCCGTACCGAGAGGGATGATTTCGAGAAGGCCATGCGCACCAAGATGTCTCCTGAGCATCATAAAATGGTCGAGCCATCCATCGACGATGTCAATGCCGCTTTCGACGCTACTGCAAAGGCTATGAAGGAGTAGGGCGCAGTTTTGTGAAGCCGTTGAAGTTCGGATCCCAATCAATAGAATTGAAAGGTTACAGTATGAATTGGAAACGAATTAGCTCGAATGTTAGCGGTCTTCAGGATATCTGCCTATCGAGGATATCTGCCTATCAAGACTATGTAGACCGACTTACCCATTATCAGCCCAATCAACTGGCTACGAAACCGATCAGGAATTGGCTGTAGTAAATTCCGGGCGCATTCATGAAGCTTTCAACAGCAAGGCCATGGTACCCGTTGTGATTGGTGAGAAGGGTTAGTTACTCTGATCCCCAGTTGCGAAGTGAGAACATTCTCAGTTTATGTGAATGACGTGATGACGACTTCTATCCTGCTTATACGTGTAAGATGGGAATGCGGAAAGACCCGACGGTGGTGCTTGATAGCGAGGCGAGGCGAGGCGAGGCGAGGGTTTCCGGGACACAAGTTCACGCCGATGATGCGAGTATATTTCCGATCCTTTCAAATATTAAGAAAGCCGATCCGTCTCTCGCCTTGATACTATCTTCAACGTTTGTAAGTTGTAGACACGCTTGCTGAGAAAATTCCTAAGACCATCAAAGGTCGGCATCGATGATCCCGCGGCCCGGTGGGGGGGCCGCGCTCTAATCGAACCGAAAGAAAATTAACAGATGTATTCAAATGATCAATGCCCACGATATTTAAGCACAGTCTGAAGCACTCAGTGGCTTGGTAGCGCTTCGGTATGCGATGTACAAAGAAATGACATAAATGAATTATGAAAAGCATGATAAAATGGAAGTATTGACTGATGGTCATACTGTATCCTGGGGAGCGACGGAGACAAATTAGAAAACGTTCAATTCGTTGGTTGAAGCAAATACACCGACAATCTATGAGAACACGTCATCTGGTTATTTACCCTAGGATTACAATAATATTTCAATAAGTTTGCAAGATTCTCTAAAATGATAACGATCTGCGAGCTTGACAACTAATGGAAAATGTCATATTTTCCTCTTCGCCGGGTGCAGTAGGCCTCCGGGTGAAGGCGGCTGGTAGAAGTAAAAATCTCTCCTTTGGGCAACGTTATGCAGTTCGGATGGCGTGATGAGGAGCGGAGGATGGAGGTCGATCTTGAAAAAAAAAAAGAACACTTCAGTATACATACAGTACGATGGATGATCAAAATACGACGAGGAAGACCCCCGGAGGCGGGAGCTCGCGTTGTCCAAAGTGGATCAAATGCAAGGAGAAAGCCCTTGCGTTAATACTCACTCTCTTCCCCTAAAATCGGAACGAATTCTAGCATTTCACTTCACGACTAGAGACCGCATTGTTTTCTGCAAATCATTGAGAATGTCTCTTCCACCGGATCCTGCCGAATGGTTTCGAGACCAAGTGGTCTTTCTGACTGGGGGTACAGGAAACCTCGGGGGATGCTTGTTGTACAAGCTTGCAATCCAGCTCCCCACAGCAAAGATCTATGTTCTTTGTCGGGGTTCGATGCGTCAAGCAGTGGCGAAATGGGAAGAGTCCATGCCAGAACAAATTGATGATATTCTCGATACGGGTAAAATCCACTGTCTTACGGGCGACATCACTCAGCCAAATCTAGCCCTAGGCACGAGCGAGCTTGAAATGCTGCAGAACGAAGTGACGCTGGTGATTCATTCAGCGGCGAATTTCTCGGTCTTTCAAGCCCTCCCTGAATCTATTCGGGACAACAGTCTGCCGGTCATGGAGCTGGGTCGCATGTTGCTCTCTTTCTGCAAGATCAGGATCCTCCTTCACATATCGTCAATTTCCAGCAAGAGCTTTCTTCCTGGGGGCGTGGTACAGGAAAATGCAGATCGGCTATCTTCCAAAGAAGACGCCCCCGAGAAGCAGCTGGCAGAAATACTGGCTACGGGCAAGTCTCCGTATACCAAACAATTTATCGCGCCTTACGCGCAATCCAAATATCTGGCTGAACAGTTTCTCTTCGAATTAAACGCCCCGTTCCCAATCCTCATCGTGCGCCCCTCGAATATCGGTCCGGCTATTCAAGACCCTTTTCCACTATATGGTCCTGAAGGCGCAATTCCCATTCACACCTTTTTTCAACTACTTTTCGAAGCAAGCGAGCATCGCACGTTCGAACACCTTGATTCCGCACTTCCTCAACACATCATTCTCGAAGAAATACCAGTAGACCTTGTGGCCAACACCTGTCTTCTGCATCTGGCCTCAGGCTCAAATGATATCGTGCATGCCGGTTCGCAATTATACAGACCTATCACCTTTGGCGAATACGTAAAGCAACTTCGCCGCTATGCACCACGGCCACTGGTGGAGAAAATGAGCCGAGTCAGGGTGAAAATGAACGCCCATTTTGCTGAAAAATCAAATGATATGCTTGAGCACATATGTCGGGACTGGAGGGTTGATTGTACACGCTCAAAGCCTTTAAAGTCGACAGGGGGACCGATTGGACTGGATATCTCTAGTCACAACTTTGATTCCTTTTTTGAAAAGAGGATTTCTCGACGGGCGAACAATTTGATGTCTTGGATAGACAGCCTCGAGTCCACTGCTGGGTAATGCGGTTCCATCAAGCCAGGCAATTACAAGTTACCAAAATTAAAAACCAAAAAAGGTGGTTCTCAGTACATTTTTGACCAACCTCCTCCCTTCCCCCGGGGGGAATCTCAATCATTTCACACAATACTTCGTACGCAGATGCTCCATCACCACACTTCCAAGATTTCCAACGGTACCAGCCTTCGTTATCTCCGCCAAGCTGATTTCAAGCCCGAGATTGCGCCGTGCCCAGCCTCTAATCTCAATTGACATAAGGGAATCGATGGCTATCTTAGCCTTTTCCTCCTCATCCAACCCGGCGGCGTTCGGCATGTGTTGTGTAATCAAATTTGCCAGTTCCTCACGGATAATCTTTTCAGTTTCAGGCTCATCCAGGAGTGCAGGATTCTCTTCTACCCTTCCTAGAAGACTTTTGAGGTGATCACTCGACACTAGTACCTGCCTGCCCTCTTTTGACTCTATATTGTAATATAGAGCGTATCGCATGTCGCTGATCCAGAGAGGATGTACCCCTGGCTCTGAGGAGTGCTTTGTGTTATTCAACCCGACAATTATAGGGCTCGGATTCCCTGCTGTCGACTGATTGATTGCAGCCTCTAGCCCCGCGATCAATTCGCCCTCGCTTAGAAGATGAAGTGAACCCGATCGTCTAGACCGCACAAGCCTGGAGTCGCGACTGAAAAAGCCAACATCTTCTACCGGTCCAAGGGCCAGTGATGAACATGGAAGACCTTTCTGCCGTCGGTATTGGGTGAAGCTGTCAACAAATGTGTTTGCAGCCGCGTAGTTTGCTTGGCCTATGTTCCCACACGTTCCACCAATTGAACTGAAGACAACGAAGAAATCAAGGTTCATCTGGTCAACGGCCTGGTGGATGTTCAAGGTACCGGTCACTTTAGGTGAAAGGGCAGAGCCCCATTCATCAAAGCTCATTTTAGCAAATAGTTGATCCTAATAAATAGCATCCCGCGTTAGCTTCATTTGATTAAGATGTTAGATTATGATTCCCTTACCCAAATACCCAATGACATTTGCAACACGCCGGCAAGGGGCTTCACACACTTTGCCACCGCATTTTGGACTTTGGAGAGCTCTGATACACTCCCTGGCACGCATATTGGGTAGCAACCTTGCGCTTTCAGCTGTTCGATGAAGTTTTGATCGGCCTCTGACTGCCCAGCAGAACGAGACAGATATACGAGATGTCGTGCGCCATTTTCAACCATCCATGTAGAGATAGACCGACCCAGACCACCGAGACCACCTACTAGCAGGTAAGCTTTCTCCGAAGAGAAAGAGGTTCGTGACACGGTTCTAGACTCCGATATCTCAGTGAGGTTATTCGGCATCTCAATCAGAATTTTACCCATATGGATGCCTTGTTGCATGTACCTGAAGGCATCTCTGATTTCAGCTGCACCGAACTTGTTCACTGGCTGTATAGGTTTGATCTTGCCAAGCTCAGCCCAGGAGATTAGTCGGGAGAAGAGTTCACGGGGGATTTCCGGATCCTGCTCGAATAATCCAAATAGGTCGACACCAAAGAAAGCGCAATTCTTGGCAAAAGGCATCATACCCAGTGTCCCGTTGGCATAAATATCCCGCTTTCCGAGCTCGATCATCCTCCCGCAACTTGCGACACATTCCCATGATGCATGTAGCAATTCCCCAGCTAGGGAATTGAGAACGATATCAACACCGCGCCCGTTAGTTTCAAGCATAATGGCTGGCAAAAACTCGGCATTGCGGGAGTTAAAAATGCGGTTTCGAGGAATGCCAAATTGGTCCATCAAATACTGAACCTTCTCATCGCTTCCTACGGTCGCGAAAATCTGATAGAATTTAGCTTCGTTGACACACTCAAACGGGCGGATTTGGTGAGGAAGACGAAATACCTCGGCACCAATGATCTGACAGATTTGGATAGATGCAAGGCCAACTCCTCCACACGCGGAATGAATGAGGACTGTCTGTTCGCGTGCTTTAGCCTTATTCAATCGCGATCGTTTCAAATTTTCTCATACCTGATCCTTCTTTAAAGAACCCACTTCTATCAAAGAGTAAATGGCAGTAGCAAAGACTGTCGGCATAGTTGCAGCCTGCTCAAGAGATAGACCACTTGGGGTCTTCAAGCAATGGTTTGCATCCACAATGACCCGTGATTGTAAGTTGCCACGACCAAGGAGAATCACCTCGTCGCCGAGCAAGAAGTCAGTAACATCGGAGCCGACGTGACGAACAACACCACTGGCCTCCAACCCAAATTCTCGCTTATCGCCTACCAGACCGAGAGCAACGAGAACATCCTGAAGGAGCGTCAGCGTCGCTAGATATCGACTGATTCACAGACTTACTCTGAAATTAAGGCCGATATACTTGATTTCAATTTCAACTTGCCCACTGCCCAGGTGCTCCGCGGGAGCTTCTGTCCAATGCAGGCAGTCCAAAAGGCCATAATTGCTGATATCAAGTTTTGTGATCATCTTGTCTGCCGGTTCTGAAATTGAGCTGTTCCTCAAAGAGCCCCAGTGGCATCGACCAACATAGGTGGCGCCGCTCCTATAGGAAAATTCGTATTCTGGGTCCACATCTTGAGTCTCCCTGGATCTTTTGATCTTTTCGTAGACCCGACCTAAGGATTCTGCCGCGGTAGCATCAAAAGAATCGCTTTCAAAAATCGAGAAATCCAGAGTCATCTCCTTCCTGAGCGACCGGGCGAAGCCAAAGACGAGTCCGTAGCTCGGGTCTTCGCAGCTCATCTGGGAAGATGGCGTCACCCAAACAATCTGGTTTTTGACAGTTGAGATATAGCTTTGAAGGCACACAAATTTGGTTTCAGACATCTGTTGCAGGTATGCATTATCCAAATCCAACAGAAAGAAAACATCTTGATCGACAGACGGTTCGTCATCCAGCGTGCCTAGCTCCACGGGGTGGCCTTTGTCCCGGAGATGGGATGCAAATTCGAGAGCCCAGTGATGTGGTGTTTTGTTTGTGACGAGAAGTATCTTGTTTTGGAGTGGCTCTTTAAAGATCTTCGAAAACATGAGAAAATTAGACTGGAAAGGCCGGACACCGTCAAAACCGTACGCTTCATTTCCAGTGAAGCCAGCGGCTCGAAGCTCACGGTCCCATCTTTCGGGCGACACAAAGGGTCTATCAGATCTGCCATCCTTTTCTCCTAGCCACCAGCCGGGAAGTGTACCCATTATAAGACATATTGTCAATGTCTCTGCGCGTATATTAGTAGTTAGATTTGCATTATTAGGGAAGGGCTGAGATACCTGGATGAAGTTCATGCAACAGGAGCTTTCCATTCGGCGACAAGAGCTTATGTATGTTCTGAAGGGTCTCTTTCAGGTGTGGAGTAGCATGAATGACCTGGTTCCCAATCAGTCACATCAGAATATTAATGGTGGTAATGAATATCTCACGTTCGATGCAATCACCAAGTCAAACGAGTGAGGCTCAAAGTCCTGCTCTTCAGGGTCGCGAGAGATGTCGAGCACTTTGAATTTTAGGTTTGGGTGCTCTGCCAATTTTTCCTGGGCCGCAATAGTAAAACCCGAGGAAATGTCGCTGAAGACGTAGCTGGAATAGAGGCGGTGTCCTTCTTTAGACTTGAGATTGCTCAAAACTCTTCTCGTTGTAGCCGCAGTTCCTGCACCAATTTCCAGAATACGCAATCTCGGATTGGCATGTCCGAGAAGTTGAAGTGGATAGTCCCAAATAAAGGCCTGGTCCACACAAACATAGAATTTCTCAAGTTTATCGTCTTCCATGAGAACGTCGAGAGCGGATTTTGATCCAGTCGCGAGGTCAAGAATATTCTCCCATATGGCTTGTAGGCATGCAGCCACATCAGTGAACATTGTTTTATCCTCCCATTTGCTGGAAATATCCTTGATGGTCTGATGTCTCTCTTTTGAGCTCATGGAGATCCATTCCACAGATTCAGTAAACATATTGTTCTCCCCTGATCGTAATTTGAGAGCCTCAGCATTTACCCAACTCTTGAATTTCGCGATGGTGGTGTCACTTGGCTCACATTGAGCCATCAGTTCAGCTGTCTCTAAAACATATAAACAACTGGTTTTTGCAAGGTCCCTCACGATGTCGATATATTGACCAGAACTATATGGTTGAGGCATCCACATCTCGGATGGAGTCAAATCGAGGTCTGGCATCCATCTGATTTCAGAGGTGAGAGGTATACTGGACCCATTTAGTGCAGGATCTTGAATGCTGAAAAATGCCGCTTCAGTAAGTGACAATAGGGGCTTCCCATCACCCATCAAGATCGCATTTCCAGCAAAGGGACCAATCCTATGCCGAGTGAGGTTCACCCCTAAGCTCATGTCAGATGCCTCGCCTCCAATGTAGAGATGGCCCATAGTAGCAGGGATAGCAAGTCGGTCGATGCGGCGTGATAGTCCGTTGGTCATAGCTACACTCATTAATTGAAGGCACTGGTCGATGACAGTGGGATGAAGTGTGTATCTGCTCGGACAGCTATCGCTTCGGTTAGTCACAACTGCGTGGGCCTCGAATGCAACTGGATCTGCGGAGATATCACTCAAGCCTCTGAAGCTTGGTCCATAGCTCAGGCCGTGATTTTTCAATGCTTGGTACCACTGGTCTGAGTTGACCGCACGAAGCTTGCGCTCGAGTTGTTTGATTGATGGTGGATGGTCGAAATGGGATCGCACTTGTCCGTGGCAGTGAGTAGTCCAATCTGTGCCGTCATATGCCATTATGTTAAACGAATACCATTCCGAGTCGGCATAATCATTAAACTTCACCGTCCTTAACGAAGTGACCAGTTCAACCACTTGTTCATCTCTTAGCAAAAGAGGCGACTTGAATGACATATTCTTAATTGAGTAGTCCCGGGTGCCAGGATGGAGCTGGCACATGGCTTCGCCTGCCATTGCAACATATCCAGCTGCAGGAAAGATAACATTTCCTTGCAAAATGTGGTCCCATATCCACGGGACATCTTCTAAATGGAGAAGATTCCTCCACGAGGGCTCTAGATCAGACGATTCGACAATTCGAGCACCAAGAATCTCATGATGAGGGTATTCTTGGCATCTCCACCGGTTAGCCATACGGCTCTCATGCCAATGCCGGGTAGTATGCTGCCATGGATATGAAGGTAGATTCACGAGCACCTTTCCAGTGCCATTTGCTGCCGCAAAGTCTACACTGAAGCCGCTCAAATGCACACATCCAAGTGTATGAAGGATCTGGGAATGCGCGTCCTCGGAGTTCCGTGTTAGAGTTGGGGTGTAGACGGGGTCTTTCTTTAACGTCATTGACTTGAAAATCTGACGGAGAGGACCTGCGAGGGCAGAATGCGGCCCTACTTCTAAGAAATTCTGCGTATTCTCTGTGTCCGAGAGAATACCCTGTACAGCATCAAGAAATAGGACTTGCGACTCTAGGTTTTGTCGCCAATATGCAGCGTTGAGGTCTGCAGGGGTCTCGATTTTCTTCGAATTCACACTCGAGAACAGGGGAACCATCATTTCATTGAACTCGATGCAAGTCGAAAGGCATGTCTCATAGGCTTTTCCAGGCTCAACCATATGATCTAGAAAGGATAGTCAGTTCTTGATACTTTTCCAGAAATGAGACTGAAATGAGCGCGATCATAGACTCACGCGAGTGGTATGCTATCTTGACCTTCAATGGCCTGCACAGAGCGTCCGGAAAATCTTCCTTGATCCTTGCCTTTACGCGGTGAATTGCGTCAATGTCTCCAGAAAGAGTAACGCTTGACGGGCTGTTTTCGCAAGCAAGAATGACCCCATCTTCCAAGTAGAGAGAAACTTCATTGCGACCGAGACCAATGGCCACCATTTCTCCCTTTCTCTCTTGAGATCTTGTTGCCTGTCCCCGAAAATACGCAATGATAATCGCTGATTTGGCAGAAATTGCCCCTGATGCATACGCTGCCGCAATTTCTCCACTCGAATGTCCAACAACAGACGATGGTCGGACTCCCATACGGCCGAGAAGATTTACCAGACCAATCTGAAGCGCGGTGCATAGAGGTTGGGAAATTTCAGCAGTGCTCACACGACTATCGCTGCCTGTCTTGGAAAGCTCATCTGGATTATGTATAAGTATGTGATGCAATGAAAGTGGCTTGAACACATACCTAGCAATGACCATGAAGGAGGGTCTTCAAGCCCTTGAAGTACACTGTCCAGAACTTGCATATCCATTTTGAAGGTTTCAAAAGTTTCCAGCAAGCTTTTCCCCATCCCTGCCCATTGGGCACCTTGACCAGTGAAAACGAAGGTCAGTGTTGCCGGTTTGATCTGTCCTTTTTGAAACGATGAGCCTTCAAGTGGCTTATCTAGCTGAGCAACAGCAAAGGCGCGATGTGGAAGGTGCTCGCGCCGAGAACCCAAAGTATAAGCCAGATCATAGAGGGCAGTTGCATTGTTGTTCACGTACTGAGTGATCCCTTGGATTCGTTGCTGTAAAGCTTCCGAGCTTCTCGCTGAGACCACGAGAAGTCGCGAACTATTGCATGGAGAAGATTCGATCACTTGCGAGGAATAAAGTCTTCCACAATACAACTCAGTTGAGTCCATCACCACATGTGCATTTGATCCGCCGATTCCGAAACAATTGATACTAACCCTCTCTAGGCGATCTTTTGGCCAAGGTGTGACATCTGTCGGTACTTGCAACTTGGCTTCCTTGAAAGGTATTTTGGAGTTTGGAGTTTCGTAGAAAATATTTGGCGGAATTGCGGCATGTTCTAGACATAGAGCTGCTTTGATCATGCTGGTTATCCCCGATGCCCCTTCCGAATGGCCGACGTTGGGTTTGACCTACAACAGTTAGAATCTAATTGGATTTGATGAAAGGGCCCGGGATATCAAGTAACTGACAGATCCGAGGATTACTCCTTTGTCCTGAAATAATTTGGCCGCTACGGAAGCCTCTGCGGTGTCACCAATGGTTGTGCCAGTGCCATGGCACTCAAAAAATCCTGTTTGAGTGATGTCTTTGATCCCTGCCTTCTTGTACGCCTTTCTAGCGAGACGTTCTTGAGTTAGAGAGCCTGGGGTCGTGATACTCGGCGTTCTTCCATCGCAGTTGGTTGATGTCGCTCGGATGATGGCTCTCACGGGGTCATTGTTTCGTACAGCGTCGCTGAGGCGTTTGATATAAATTGCATTGATTGCTTCTCCTCTGCCGTATCCATCGGCTTTCTCGTCAAACGTTCTACAAACTCCAGTTGGAGAAAGGACCATATTTTCAGACATCGTCTTCGTCATTGTTGGGGTAAAAATCAGATTTGTTCCGCCTACAATGGCTGAGTGACACTCTCCGGAATAGATAGCCTGACAAGCTTCATGGAGGCCAATCATCGAAGAAGAACATCCTGTGAGAAGTGTCATGCTGTATTTCAGACTATCAGCATGTACTAGATCCGGATTATTTGATAGTTTAGGTCTCACCTCGGTCCTTGAAAATCATATTCATAAGACACCCGATTTGACAACGCAAACTGCCCTGTCCCTAGAACATGATATCGATCGATTCCTTGAGAGTCTTTGCTAGTCAGTTCCAACCAGTCCTCTCCGTAGACACCGATAAAGCACCCAATCTCTTTTCCGCGCCAATTTGTTTCACCGGCAGTCTCGAGGCACTCCCAGACAACTTCTAACAGCTGTCGCTGCTGCGGATCCATGCGAGCAGCTTCTGGGGACGTAATTGAGAAGAAATCCGCGTCGAAGCAAGTAGGATCATCTTGGAGAAAATATCCTTTGTTTGTTCTCACGGAATGAGGTTTGGATTCGCTGTAGAAAGATTCCACCTTGTAGCGACTTTCGGGTACTTCGCATAGTCCATCTTTTTTTCCACCAAAAACTTCCAAAAGTCATCAGAGCACTTGATACCTCCTGGAAGTCGTAGACCCATACCAACAATAGCTATTGGAGGACAGGTGCTGGTTTCCGAACCGATGTCTACCCCAATCGACGCTGGCACGTCTTGATCGTGTTGAGCATCTCTGCAGAGTGAGGCATAGCCAGTCGTATCGCTTGCTGTTGTACTTCGAAGGTCTATCGATATTTGACCAGTTCTCTCCATTATCTGATCCAGTGAACTGGCTTCAGAAAGTGGGTGCAGAGGAATTGATGCCATGTTTCAGACGTATTGGAGGCAGAACTCAATGTCCCTACAACGATTTGCAAGAAAAGCTTTCCTTTTTTGAAAGGTCTTTTGGGGGGGGGGGGGGGGAAGGATATGAGCCTGATGAAGAATGACATGCTCTGAAAAAACTTGAGCGGACAAACGGGAGCGTGGTAAGTGTTCTATTTGGTATGCAAGGTGCCATTAGGTGAAGTGTCCTTAGGGAAGCAAGGGCCTTCCTTTTTTCATAGTATTCAGTATGCAGCTAAGTAAGTAAACAATTCGTACTTTACTGACCTCAATGCTTTCCAAAATTGTCCCCAAACGAGTATATCTGCATTGTAAAGAGATTTGGGTTTCTGCATGGTCTGATGGGCCCTGAAAGCATGTAAACCAACTTCGTAAAAGGAGTCTCTTACAATACAAGACAACATGTGAACGTGTTGTAATCTTACAGAAAAGCCTGGGCAGACTACTGGGTGAAACAAGTTTTAATGGTCTAGTTACATTTGTGCGCTGGTTCTGCAATGTATTTGACATTCCACTCAGGTAATCGTTTTACCTCGATCTCCTACAAAAATGTTAGTAGCCCTGTTCTTCGTGGCAATGATGAACAAAACGGTATCCAGCTATCTCCGTCTCCATCTTCAGATTATACTAAGCCATGATCAGATCTCCAGCTTAGACGACTCAGGAAACCATTTCTGATGCAGTGGCTTTGCTCCTCATCCGCGTCAGCCTCATATGATAACAGCTATTTCAGTAAGAGACTAGTAGTAGACATGAAATAAGACATCGTGTCTGATTAGTTTGACATTTAACTAGGTTGAGTTACTAAGAGCAAGAATGGACAGCGTCCAAGAAGGACACCATATTCGCAGAATCGACTTTCTGCAAGGGGCTGGCCCGCCCCCCCCCCCCCCTCCACATCAAGTTATGTTAGATCATGTCAGAATACTGTGATTCCTAGAAATTTCAAAGGGTATTATAAGCTCTGGCATGAAAGCAGCCTATAAAAGAGATAGCGTTTCCTGTTACTGTCCGCCCCACAGCAGCAGAGAGACTGTCCCATTCACCATGACGGACTTGGCAGTGAAGAAGACCACAGTTGATGGCTTGAGAAGTTATACTTGGGCTTCAGAGTTCCAATGGTACTATAAACACTTTCATTTAGGTCATTTTACTTACCTTGTTGCTTCTTTTGCCCCTCTCTATCTAGCCGTTCAAAATGTCCACCTGACTTTCAATACGTTCATAATGAGCCTGATCCTTCACATCGTGGCGGGCATGAGTATCACAGCTGGTATACCCAACGCACCCATTTGGAGCTGTATTGGTGTTAATATTGATCAGGGTATCATCGACTTTGGGCACACAGGTCGTATCGTGCATGCACTGGGCTCAAATATTTCCTCGCCATCTTTGGAGCCGGTCAAGCCCAGTGGTCGATTTTATGGTGGGTCCGCCACCATCGTGCCCACCACCAGTACACAGACACAGATAAGGATCCCTATAATGCCAAAAGAGGGTTCCTATTTAGTCATATTGGTTGGCTTATCGGCTGCAATCCTTCCGCATGGGGCGAAGTTGATTTATCAGACTTGGAAAAAGATCCGATCGTTGTCTGGCAGCAAAAATACTACGTTTTTCTGGCCCTACTGATCAGCCCCGGGCTCCCCATGGCTATCGCTCATTATGGATGGGATGACTGGAAGGGTGGCTTTGTATACGGCTCCTCTGTTCGACTTTTTTTCACCATGCATTGCACATTCTTCGTCAACTCACTGGCGCATGCCTCGTGGGCAGGTACTCAGCCATATTCCGATAAAAGCACGGCACGGAATGTTCCTCTTGTTGCTCTGTTGACCGGGGGGAGGGCAACCACAATTTCCATCATACTTTCCCTTCAGATTATCGGAGTGGCATGAAGTGGTTCGAGCCTGATTGGTCAACCCACTTTATCTTGATGTGCCAGAGACTCGGACTAGCCTCGGATCTTATAACAACCAGCCATTCTGAGGTTGAGCAGGCCCGCCGAATCCAGATGCAGCGAGGCCATCATCCTGAGAAACTTGAAGATCTACCTGCTTTGTCACAGTTTCCAGCGATGGAGTGGAACGAATTCACTGCTCAAGCCGCTCGTGGTCGCTGTTTAGTTTGCATTAACGACATTGTCCACGACATTACTGATTTTATATATGATCACCCTGGAGGCCGCACGGTCTTACAGAACGCAATCGGCAAGGACGTTACGAATATATTTTACAATGGCAATCATCCGCATTCACCATATGCCAAGAGAATCCTGGAAACCAGGCGTATCGCTATCATTCAGGGTCGTGGCCAGGATTTCCCTAGCCTCAGACAGAAATAGCTGGCGGCAGGGATCAAATGTTACGGTAGAAATCATCTTTTGGGCGAGGGATGGCTTGGAAAGCAGAAAAGACGAGAGTAGATCGCAAAGAATTTGTGAGTCGAAAAATGTAATGCATCGATATTAACCGAGGACTGTCCCGATGATACTCGGGTGTGAAGTAGAGCCACCGCTACATCCACTACGGCATAGGGGACACGAAAAGGGTCCTCACCCAGCTATCAGACTTTATTGATGAACATCTTGACTGATTTAGTACATGCGACCACAGGGTGTGGAGAACAGGGCTTCCCGTCCGCTCAGCCGTACTTAAGCCACACGCCGGTCAGTTAGTAGTTGGGTGGGTGACCACCAGCGAATCCTGACTGTTGCATGTACATTCTTCTTTTTTTTTTTTAGACAGAAAATTATCTATGTGCGAATGAGCCCTTGGCATCCTCGCAAATTTAAAATGGCGACGCGAGTTTCCCTGGGTGAGAAGGGGTGACAAGGGCCTCCCCGCCCTAAAATGTTGACGTTTTGCAGCCATAATAGATATATGTATGGCCCTCTTTCCGCACTGTTGTAATTCTAAATTCTCTTTTTTTTTTAACGCAAGATGTTGCCTGACAAAAAACTCTAGAAAGTCCTCGAAGAGCGCACTGTAGGTGCCATATCACGTGAGTTCGCAGGTGAATATCAGGATGAGGTGAATGCCCCAAAGAGATAGTTGGCTCGCATTACATTTAGAATAGTACCTCCTAAATATCCTCGATTGATGGAAGCGTTGATATCCTCTTCGTTGCAATATAACTTTGTAAGCTTAGCTTAGCGACACGGTTTCAAGATCCGTTGCGTATTCATAGAATTAGAGGAGGCGTAGCAAACCAATTGCAGTGTCCTTGCATTTCCTGGAGAATTGAAGTAATCAAAGAATCTAAGCTAAGGTGTCCAAAGCTACTCGAATTTAGGCGCTTGTTTATTTGAACATTAATACCTACCTTAAGGGCTGTCTTTTCTTATACGGCAACGTGAAAGTGAAAGAGAAGAGACTATTGTGACCACACTTGATGGGATCTTAACGGGACTGCGCATGACGAGACGGCGCTCGACGGGTCTGCGCTTGACGGGACCGCGTTTGGCATCACTGCGATTGAAGACTGCGTTTGAAGACTGCGTTTGAAGACTGCGTTTGAAGACTGCGTTTGACAGGTGACACAGGACATAGACTGTTGTAGATAAGTAGAGACTCTTCTTCGGTCTCTTCTGCCCTTTCTCGACTTGGATCTTCCGTCGACTTTATCTGACATACGGTCACAAGAGACTATGTCTTATTATGGGTGGGCCTTTTGGGCTGTGCACACAACTTCTTAGAAGAAGGGGTACTTCGAGATGAATATCTAGCCTAGGGAATACTCAAGACTTGGATCCATGAAGCTACTTTGAATTTCCATTTTGATTTCTATAAAGGAGAGAATAAAACTTAGCAGAATTACTGATACCGAGGCGTATTTGGGACTTCACGGATAAGTATTAGTTGACACGGGTGAGCGGGCCGCCAAGAAACGGCTCCTGTTGCACCGCTTAACTGTCGCCCCCGACCGCCTGCCGGCCTCCACCTCCCTGGAATACTGCGAACGCATAGTTAGCAGGCGACTTGGATTAAGTATCTTCAGAAAATATATCACCAAAACATCATTCACACACTTTGTACCCTCCACTGATCTCTACAACTGTATAAATATTATCAAACCGTAAGGTATCCATTGAACAATCCGGATTCCCACGTCTCACACAGTAAACCTAGTAAATAAGTACAATGACATGGCTACCTCCAAACAACGGCGATAGCACAAGCAACAACAAGAGCCCCCCTGGGCTTCACGGAATAGCCTAAGTTCCCTGTGGGTGAAGGCGTCAGAGCTTGTGTGGTGGTCGTTGTGGTTGGCTTTGGAGCTGGGAAGAACTCTGCCTTGTACGAGAGCTCGACGTCTTGTTCTTCTGTAATCCCGGTAAGACTCACAGCCGCCCAGTCCTCATCAAGCGTGAATCTGATGCTTCCATTGGACAGGACGGTAGCCTCAAGGGTGTCACCGACATAATCCACCACGTTGTAGCTGAGATTTCCCTTGGTGACGTTGAGGTCGACAATATACCTATAGAAGATTGTTAACAAAAGCATATCCGAGGATTTCATGATAACCACTCACGTTCCCGCCACAAGATCCCCTAGGGGCATTGTCATAAGGTTTAATGCAGAATTACGAAGGTCAAATCCGTGATACATTTCGCCTACCAACGCTGTATAAGCATGGGGAAAGAGTAGGGCCAGACACAAATAGGATAGGATTGGGACTTACCTCCATATCGCGGTACAGGCTCGTCAAATGCATCCCGCTTTGCCAGTCTGTTCAGGATGGGCATCAGGCTCTCAGACATTTCCACTGTAGCATCATGGTCATCCCTCCGCCGGCGCATGGGCTCTTGCTTGTCACAATTCCACCCCACAATCTTAATCACATAGTCCTCACCAGCCACAATATCCTTGCGGCTGAAGTAGCCAGATAATGATTGACCTTGGAAACTGTTGTCGTCTGATGGAATACACATAGCAGTTCCGCTGACCGCATCGCCCCCCTGGAGGGAATTGGCAAAGGGGAACTCGTCACACTCCATGTCACCGGCGGCCTCAATAGCTGCTTTTGCCCAGTTGGGTATCCCGTCAGGGTAGAATTGATTTACGTATTCGTCGACGGCCTTGGCGCAGAAGCCCTGAGGACACATGATCCTTCGGTTCCTGATCTTCCAACAATTTCTCTTGCCCGGCCCGGCGTAGGTCAATTGGTATTCCTGGGTGCCCTTGCCGCCATTCAGCTTTTTCATGCCCTCACACATATTCATCAAGACCGCACGATTTGAAATCTCAAAAATCTCGTCACTGGTCGGATCTGCTGACTCCTGTAGCCTGCGTCTAGGGTCGTACACGAATGGGACGGTCACCATGGGCGAGGGTGCCACTCTTGTAGGCGTTGGTGTCTTGCATTGTTTGGTCTTGGATGACCGTGTAGTCGTGGGCTTCTTATAACACTTGTTATTCTTATTGCACCCGTATCCCTTCGGACAACATTTCCCGCCACAGCAAGCTGCATCTATGTCACAGGGGCCGTTGGGATCTGCGCAACATCTCTGCGTTTTGCTGTCGAAACAACCCTCAGAGGCGACGCAGCATTGGAAACCATCCTTGCACGCCCAGTTCTTGCTCCCTACAGCATCCTGGCAGCACATGGATGTCTTCGGATCATAACACTTGTCTTTGCCGCATTTGATCATGCCCGTCGGGCAACAATCACCCCCTTTCATACAATCGTAGCCCATTTCACAGGTGTGCCCTTCTTCGTCGTTGCAGCATACCTCCGTCTCGGGATCATAACACCTCTTCGTACCACACAGCTTTTGACCTTCGGGACAGCATTGGTTCCCATCAACACACGTCATCCCTTTCGCACAGACGGTGTCGAGAGCACAGGTGCCAGTGTCAATCTGTCTCCCGCAGAGACCAGAGCCGCCAGGGCAGCACACGGATGTCTCGGGATCATAACACTTGTCATTGCCGCAGCTGATCATGCCCGTCGGGCAACATCCACCCTCTTTCATACAATCGTAACCCATCTCACAGGTGTGCCCTTCTTCGTCGTTGCAACAGACTTCCGTCTCGGGATCGTAGCAACCTGTGCCACATTGTTTGGTTCCGGTCGGGCAGCACCCGGTTTCGGTGCAGAAGTAGCCCTCAGGACACTTTTTCCCGGTGCCACCGCAGCAAGATTCTCCTTCTTCGGGGTTGTAGCAACCCTCGGAGCCACACTCTTCGCCTCCCGCCGGACAGCAGCCGTCGGTGACGCATGTTTCGCCAATGGGGCAGCATTTGCCGTTCTCGCACATAGCTGGAATTCTAGTGTTAGATCGGGTTCTGAATAGCTAATTGGGGGCATTGGGGTAGAAAAGGTGGGGGGAAACACACAGGTGCCTTCTGGACATGTCATTTCTTGTCTCTCTAAGATGTCTCGATCATCTTTGTCGCTATTCCCCCATAGGTCTACTTTGTGCTCGAGGCTACTGACGAAGAGGTGGGAAACCGCTGGTGAGTGATCTGAAACCTCGATACCAGTCTGTGCCCCCCGTTGTGCTTCATATTTAACATGATAATGTGCCGACGTTGCGAGGTTCAACGCAGGTGAAGAGTTCAAAAGCGCACTCTCAAGGTCAAAAGCAAGACCCAGGCAGAGCCACGAACTCAATACAATAAAATTTCGCTTTCTCATCTTCGCGTGCAGATTGCAGCTTGAAAGATGTCCGAAGAGCCGTTTGACCGAGTGGGAATCAAGAAATTTATAAGAATGCTGGCATCATTGCCTGGGGCAAACAAGTTTATCCACCCCGAACCCTCCACTAAACAAAAACACGAGTTCTTGCATACCTTCACCAGTCCTTCCAATCACATTAGCCATCATTAGATGGGATACGAGTTTACTCTGCACGGGGCGACGCCAGTGGCTATAGGAACGAGACAATACGAGGCTCCCTCCAATCATCGAGTATCATCTCAAGCACACGAGTGATGCTAAAGAAACTCAGCCCCCACAAAGTGCATTGAACCTTGACATTCCAGTTCCCTTTTCACAAGCTTAACGGAGGAGAGCCTCCCCTCCGCCAGGAGGATAGGATAATGGCCACCCAGCGGCATGGTGCTGGGTTTTATCCTTGCGGGATTGCTAAGACTTTCCCTGCACTAGAATGGGCAAATGCACCTGTTCAACTACGAGGTTCAGCCTTCAGGCAGTCTTGGGTGAAGAGTATTCAGGGTCCTGAATTGCCGCCTGAAGCCGCCTGAAGAGCGGCGGGATCGCCCATACCCGATAGGGCGACCCTGGGTGACCACCACCATACATGTGCTGCTGCATGTAAACTCTTCTCTTTTTTTTTTTTTTTGGACAGAAAGTTCTCTATATTATAATTTATGATATAAATGTGCTAAAGTTAGGTAGGACATAGTCAGACTGTGGATACTTGACACTACACCTTGCCCTTCGCCTCATTATTCCAGCATCAGTGAAAGCGTAGATTGGGTGCTCAGTTCCCAACTGAACCCTAACTAAGATGTTATGACAAGGCTTTTGAAGCTCATGTTGTTGTATGGTATATTTTATTGCGCGTAAATGGTTATCTGTATATGTACAATATCTCAAACAAAGGCCTGCACGCCAGTAATGGCACGGCCCAGTATCAAAGCTGGAATGGTGTCAGTTAGTGTTTTCTCGAGAATAAATAAAAGGAATGACATACCGTGGATGTCGCTCTGGCCCTCGTATGTCTGCACCACAAACAAGTTGGACACATGGCGGCCGATGTGGTATTCGTCGCTGGCCGCATTGCCGCCGAAGATTTCTTGGAGACTAGGAAGGGCATGTCAGTAGGAAATTGACAACAAAAAATCGAGGATATAACATACATTCGCGAGTTGGCCAACGCGCGGTCACAGTTCTGGCGCTTGATCATGGAGATCATCTCGGGTGTGGCCTTGCCCGCATCCTTCAGCCGGGCCACCTGCGTCGCCGCAAGGGTGCCATACGCGGCATCTGTCGCTGCGTCTGCCAGCTTCTTCTGGATGAGTTGATATTTGGCCAGCGGGTTGCCCTTGAACTGCTTGCGCTCGAGACTGTACTCGCGCGCCCGCGCAATGCAGTCCTCCAGGGCGCCCATGCTGCCAAAGGCAATTCCCAACCGCGCGCTGTTCAGACAGGTGAAGGGACCCGTGAGGCCCTCGACATCCGGGAACATGTTCTCCGCAGGAACAGGGCAGCTATCCATATGGATCATGCCGGTGACGGACGCGCGCAGCCCATTCTTATTCTTGAGCGCAGGCGTCTCAAACGTACCGGGCGGACAGCGCTCGCGCTCAATGACGAATCCCTTGATCTTCCCCGTAGACTCGAGCTTCGCCCAGACGAGGGCCAGATCACAGATCGGCGAGTTGGTAATCCAGGTCTTGCTCCCGGACAGGAGATACATGCCCTTCTGGGTCGGGTGCTCACGCGCGACAGTCTCCATGGACCCCGGGTCCGAGCCGTGATTCGGCTCCGTCAATCCAAAGCAGCCAGAAAGCTTCCCCTTGGCCAGATTAGGCAGCCAGCGCTGCTTCTGCTCCTCTGTGCCGAACTCGTAGATGCCCGTCATGGCCAATGAGCTCTGCACCGACATGCCCGAGCGGTATCCGGAGTCGACGCGCTCGACTTCCTTATTGATCAGTCCTGAGGCCACGGTGCTGACGCCTGCGCAGCCATATCCCTCGATCGAGGCGCCCAGTAGGCCCAGCTCGCCCATTTCTTCGAGGATCCGGCGGTCGTAGTCTTCGTTGCGGTAGGCCTCTACAGAAAAGAGATTAGACAAGCCAATGAGACACTCTGTAAGGTAAAAAATGCGTACCCAGCACCCGTGGCATCAGCCGGTCCTGGCAGTATTGCCGTGCTGTGTCCTGGATCGCTAACTCCTCCTCGGTGTACAGCTCGGCGGCGGCCAGCGGATCCTCCCAGTTGAACACGCCGGACGAGGCATACCGCCGGGCGGCGGTAGAGGGGCGAGCGAGCGAGCGCGTGGCTGCGCGGAGAAGTGAACGATTCATGTTATAGGAGAGTGTGTAATTGATGGGGTAGAAAAAGGGAAAGGAGGGAGGATGAAAGAGAGTAGTGTAGGTGGTTGTGGGGGTAGCTCCGATCAAATATATTCAGTCGCCTCGGCAATTGTATCAGAGGGTCAGGACCACCGAGCTCGGCGTGGGAAGCAGATAACTAGAATGACCGGCTGGGTGCAAATCATTCGACGGAACCTCCGAAACGCTTACTGTAATTATGAACAAATTCCAGGACCGGCGGTTGGAGTCTCGGACATTTTCGGTGTGGCAGTTTGGCGGTGCAGATCATGGGCCGAGCGAAGCCGAACAAAGAGAGAGAAATCAATTGAGCCGGTCTATGTAACGATCCGCCTATATACCTAATTTACCTGCAAGAATTATGTACATCTATCTAACAAACCAAGAAACAGTTCATGCCGGCATCTGGCTTTGCAAAAAGTCAAACACCCCCGTGGGGAAGTAGTCCTCGTCAAACCCCCATAGATCTGCCATCATCGGATCCATCGAGCCCTCCGACAGACCGGACTGCGGCTTGCCCTGTACCGTGGCCGATTCAAAGCCATTGCTCCCGCCACGCTCGGCGGAGAGCGGAGCCACGCCGAGTAGTGGTGGTGGGTGGTTCAGAATGGTGTCGCGCTCACCGAGGATCTGGGCGCCGGGGATAACGACGGGCTTGAAGAGCGAGGGTGATGCGTGTGTATGGGCAGGTTGTGCGCCGGTATTGCGCTTCTCCCACTCCTCCAGCCCCGTGAGCATCTTGCGCAGTCCGCGCGCGATGTGATGGCTCATATGCCGCTCGCTCGCCCGCTGGCTGACGGAGACCATCATCTCGACGGTGCGTCCCACGAGGGCTCGGACATAGCCCACGTCGATCCGCAGCCCGGCCGACGCGATGGAATTCTGTTGACCCTGGCTCCCGGGGATGTTCCCGTTCGAGCACACCTTGGCGGCGATTTTTAGGAGGAAGACTGCGGCAAAGGTGATCATGCTGTGTAAATACAGGGGCACCCCAACCAGCGCACGCTGGATGTCCCGCTCATCCAGGACGACCTGGAGCGTGGCGATGGCCGATTCCACGGCGACATTGGCGCGCTTTCTGCGATCCGTAGACATGATTCGTGAAGAGGTGGATGAGTGGTACGTTCGCAGAGCAACCGAGTACAGCTGTAGTCGAGAGAAATGGTAGTGCATGTAAATAGCTTTGTAGGGGTATGCTCCGACGTGTCGACTCCCGGCTATGAGTTCGGAATTAGCAGGTGCCTAAGGCTTTGGGGGGTAGTACGCACCAAGTCGAGGAAGCCACGCCGATTGCCAATCCCCCAGATCAGCGTCGAGGTCATCAATCTTGGGGAAATCGGACTCGGGAACTTCCAAATCGACGTCGGGACCAAACGCAAAGTATATCCGAGTGAGAATTATGAACAGGTCTACTTGGCTATGTAGTCGGAGGTCGCCCTGCGACACCGACGGCGATTGTGTGAAGGTGTGGTGTTGGGTAATGCTCGGTTCCTCGTGGATGATCGGTGGTCGCCCGTACGCGATAGAGAAGTGGTGCTCCAGAGTCTGTAGCGAGGTGAGCGACCCAAATAGAATTGAAACGAGAGAAAACCTACGTAAAGAATATACCATAGCCTGGCTTGCTCCTTATGCTCTGGAGACCCTTGTGCCGCTTTGCGATAGCACTGGTGTAGGTTGCGTTCAGTAGCAATACGTACCGCGTATCCAGACAGCTTCCAGCTGACATCCGCCAGCCAAAATGCCCCGATACATAACGCGCGTATGTCGTCCATAGTATGGTGGTGGCCGAGCATTGATTCGGATGCAAGTTTTGCAAACTCGGTGTAGCATGTGTCGAACGTGCGCTCTTTGGTCGGCATATGAAGGGCGGTCACCGCCAGAATGGCTGCCGAGAGCATGGATGAGGATCGCCGGACAGACGTGAGATCTTTATGCGGTAGTAATGCTCCATCCCACAAGTACCGATTGAGCACCTGGTCGAAGTGGTAGAACAGTTCCTCCGCTTCTGGCAGATCCACCACTCCGCGCGATATGAAATCCGTCACAATGGCTTGATCTGGCGCATATTGCTCCCCAGGCGAGCTCTCCCGATTCTCGCTCAGCTGCGTCACCTCATACAGACTCCCCATCGGGGCCGTGACCAGCGATGTCGCCCCCGCTTCTTCGCGATCCAGAGAGTATTGCGACTGCTGTTGCGAAAACGCATGATCTGAATGCCGCAATTCGGCTGCTTTGGCGGAATCCGCAGACTCGGTCTTGGTGTAGGCCAGACCCGCGTCGTCGGTCGACACCGTTGACTCTTTGCGGCCCCGTTTCTTCGGCGTCTCGGTCAATCCACCGCCGGCTTGATAGTACGATAGTTCCGGCATGTGAGCCTTCCTCAGCAGGTCCGTCATTGCCAGCTCAATCATGGTCTTCCACCTGCACGGCACTGTGAGTCAGCATGGTCTTTTTGACGGCATCCGGAATCACCTACTCCGCTTCATCCTCCAGCAGGGTCTGGAGACTCTTGTTGACGACACATTCTAGCTTCATTCGTCGACACCGCGAGCACGTAGACTCACCTGCCTTCATGTCGCACCGGACCTTATGTCGCTTGCACTCGGTGCAGGCCCGGATCCTCCGCGAAATCTTCGGGACATGCTGGGCGGACTGGCGGTCGTCGGACGGGGTGAAGGCGGTGTTGGGCGGAGAAACAGACGAGGCATCACCATTGGCCTCTAACTGGATGCGATTCCGCTTCATCGTCATGGGTTGCAGCGCATTCTGATCAAGAGTCTGGGGAACTCCAAAGGCGGGGTTGTTGGTCCAACCCGATATTGATGCCTCAGGCACACCGTCTAGAATCACCTGGTCACGCTAGTCCCCTTTAGGCTTAATGTTGGTCGCGGTTGAGCGCGTCTCTCTTTCTCTTTCTCGTGTTGCCGAGACGATTGTCTGCCAGTACGTTCCACCACCACTGTCATCACCATGGGTATCAAGAGTGAGTGCATTCCATCCCTCTCCTAAGCTTCGCTTCTGACGGCCTGCCAGACCTGTACCAGGTGATCTCGGAGAACGCCCCCGATGCCATCAAGGCGGGCGAGATCAAGAACCACTTCGGCCGCAAGGTCGCAATTGTACGTCTGACACATTGACATACGCAGAACAAGAGCTAACGGTTTACTTTCTACCCACAGGATGCGTACGTCATTGTTCATTGCATCTTCACCGCTGGCTTGGACTAACTCGCCCCCAGATCCATGAGCATCTACAGCTTCCTCATCGCCGTCCGCTCCGAGGGCCAGCAACTGATGAGCGAGACGGGCGAAACAACCTCCCACCTGATGGGCCTGTTCTACCGCACGCTACGGATGGTGGACAACGGCATCAAGCCCCTCTACGTCTTCGACGGCGCCCCGCCCAAGCTGAAGTCCGGTGAGCTGGCCAAGCGCGGTGCACGCAAGGCGGAAGCCAGTGAGGCGCATGAGGAGGCAAAAGAGACCGGTACGGCGGAAGATGTCGAGAAGTTCTCGCGGCGGACGGTGCGCGTCACGCGCGAGCATAACGAGGAGTGCAGGAAGCTCCTGAAACTGATGGGGATTCCTTACATTATTGCGCCGACGGAGGCGGAGGCTCAGTGTGCCGTTCTGGCGCGTGCGGGTAAGGTGTACGCTGCTGCGTCGGAGGATATGGATACCCTGTGTTTTGAGTCGCCGATCTTGCTGCGGCATTTAACCTTCAGTGAGCAGAGGAAGGAGCCTATTCTGGAGATTCACCTCAGCCGGGCACTGGAGGGACTCAACATGGACCGCAATCAGGTAGAATATACCCCTTCCCAGGGTTGCGGCCCAAGACTAATCGCCTACAGTTCATCGACCTCTGCATTCTCCTGGGCTGCGACTATCTCGAACCTATTCCCAAAGTCGGACCGCAAACCGCACTGAACCTGATCCGCGAGCACAAGACCCTCGAGAAGGTGGTGGAGCACATGCAAAACGACCCGAAGAAGAAATACGTGATCCCAGAGGACTGGCCGTACCAGGACGCGCGCGAGCTGTTCCTCACGCCGGACGTCCGCTCCGCCGACGATCCCGAGTGCGATTTCAAGTGGGAGGCTCCTGACATTGAAGGACTAGTCGGGTTCCTGGTCACGGACAAGGGCTTCAACGAAGACCGCGTGCGCAACGGCGCGGCGCGCTTGCAGAAGCACCTCAAGACAGCGCAGCAGTCTCGTCTGGAAGGATTCTTTAAGCCTGTTGCGCGGTCAGAGGAGGAGAAAGCTAGTCTGAAACGCAAGCACGACGAGAAAATCCAGGAGCAGAAGAAGCGAAAGAAGGAGGAGGCCAAGGCGAAGAAGGAAGCGAAATCTAAGCCGCGCGGCGCCGTTTGAGTTCTCTTTCTTCTCTTTTCTTGTCTTTGTGATGATTATGGACTTCTCTCCGGCGTAGGCGTTACACATTATGGGATATTTTAAATCTTGCTCTTTGTTTTTCTGTTGGGGAGGGGACGACCAGGGGGTTCTCCCTCAGTCCCCGGATGGATGGATTGGGGCATGGGGACGAGAGAGCATAGAGTCCAGCGTGTACCATAAAATCGCGAAATGAATGAATCTAGAGACAAATCCAGAGACTTCTTGTCCTATTCTTTGCATTCCACTCTGCATGAATGAGCTGATGGGCTCGTGGGTCTCAAGATCAGGACATAACCCTCCGGACCAGGGACCCGGATGTCGGTGGATGTCGATGTTTCGGCTGATCCTCGCCGAACCAGCGGACCGGCGGGGTCTAAATGGATATTGTTTGACTTTTGTGAAGACAAGCAATGTTTTTAATTCCTATCAACCGTCCTACACTTGGTGTGGGCGGCCGAGTTGATGGGACTAAGTCCCCGCGTTACTCGTGATGATCCCGGGCTAAGCGAGATGTTCTCCGCGTGGCAGCGTTGGGACTGATCTTGGGTGGTAGGGAGAATATCACCTTTTCTCGGATCGGAAATCAGAGTCAGTCGAGGTCTACTATTGTTATTCTAATTTAATAATACAGAAAAGGAGCGCGTGTGGTGGGATCAGGATGATGTTGTTGTTCAGGGTTGATCTGGTGGTGGGGTGGAGGGACGGGGCAGATATATATCTCACCAATGCCCTTGGATTACCACACCCTTCCGATATTGGATTGTTCATGTTTACATATATCCATCGGAACCGCTGATTCGATCTATATACAAGATAAGACTCTCCTAGGCTAGAATTTTCGTAGACAAGAATCACACTACACTGAGCACACGCGATGCGCCCACTGATGTGTTCGGTGGACCCCTTGATGGTATAGATTGTCTGTGCGCGATCAGCCGTCGAAAACGGCTGACTAGTACTATGATCTTGGTCGAGCTAGTTCTTCATCCATCGATCGTCCTAGGTACATCGGTAGCTACTAGAAAGTCACGACATCATGGATCTACCATGTACAGTGGCTCCGGCGGTGCAGCGCCACGGAACGGCTTGCGCGTGACCACGAGGCGGCTGCAAGGCACAACACCGAGATAGACGAAAAAGGGATAGAATTCCATCACGGGACGATCTCTCCAGACTGCGCGTGGAATGTCCAGCAGAGCTACAACATAGAGTACGGAGTGGAATGCGGGAGCCAAGCATGGGATCTTCGACGACCAGGCCCAAATTGCCGCATTCAGCAGCACCGCGACCGATGGGTTCGGAAAGAAGAACGGAGAGAGAAAGGAAAAGAGCGAAACAGCAAGAGAACAGCAAGACAAATAGGCAGAAGAAGAAATCATCATAAGACAAAAATGGGGGAAGTCCCCCAAAGAGAGTGTGTGCCCTAGTGATCTGGTGTCAACAGCCGCCAACGGTATAAAGCACGGATGCCCCCGCCGCTCTTCTCTCCTCTTCCCTTTTTGTTTCCTTCCCTTCCACTTCCCACCCATCTCGCCCTCTGGTCTGAATAATTTATTCGTCCTTCCCATCTCTCATCTCTTCTCATCTTCCATCGTCAACCCTCTTCCCACCCATCACCATGCCTCCCAAGAAAGCAACCGGCGCGTCCAAGAAGGCCGCCCCAACGGCTCACTCTTCCTATCGTGGTATGTATTCCCTGATCTTGGGCCACCCACCCATCGCGTAAACGCGAAAATAGTATCTCCTGAGTCGCGAACGTCTGCTGATTCCATCCATATAGATATGATCAAGGACGCCATCGTCAACGTGAGTAGATCACTCTTGTTGTGATTCGGGTCGCGCGACCGTGACACGCCCTGTCCAGGCGCCCGGTCGCCCCAACCACCACCCGATATTTGCAAAGTATTTTCATGAGACTAACTGATCCTTTCTGTCTTTAGCTCAAGGAGCGCAACGGTAGCAGGTACGTTTTTTTATTTTTTCTTCTTGCTGTCACCGCCGACATCTGGTCGCGTCATTTGTTGTGACTACCCGAATCATGCTGACTCGCGCTTCTTGCCCCACAGCCGCCAGGCCATCAAGAAGTATGTGACCGCGAACAACAAGCTCAACGTCGCGTCGCAGGCCACTTTCGATGCCCAGTTCAACAAGGCCATCAAGGCCGGTGTTGAGAAGGGCGAATTCACCCAGCCCAAGGGTAAGTCCAGTCTCCTGTCTGTTCCGCGCGCATGTATCCGCACACAGTTGCAATGTGTGTTTGTGACTTGCACTGTACTCGTGCCGGACCATGTCGCCGTCGTATGACTGGACATCAGCTGACGCGTCTCCAGGTCCCTCTGGTCCCGTGAAGCTGGCGAAGAAGGACACCGCCGCCAAGCCGGCCGCGAAGCCCGCTGCAAAGGCCACTGCCAAGTCGACCACCAAGACTACTGCCAAGGTATGTATTGGACGCGATCTATTTTTTTATTTATTTTTTATTTTCATGTATACTCACTGTCGCAACAGAAGCCTGCTGCCAAGGCCACCGCCACCAAGAAGGCTGCTCCCAAGAAGACCGCGGCTAAGGCCGGCACCAAGAAGACGACCACCAAGAAGACCACCGCCAGCAAGGCCAAGGCCAACACTGGCAAGGCGCGCAAGACCTCGACTGCCGCTCCCGCCGTCGTCGAGCAGCCCAAGGTTCTCGGCAAGACCAAGTCCGGCCGCGTGACCAAGACCACGGCTCCGGCGCCCTCGCGCGCGCGGGCCGCGCCCAAGAAGCGGACCACCAAGAAATAGAGAGATTTCCGCCAGTCTCTCTGCCCGGATCTCTCTGTCACCCCCTTTTCTGTTTTTCACGTGCGCGTCTCGGGGGGTTGAAGAAGGGAACCTGGGATGATCTTCGTCTTTTCTCTTCCGTTGTAATTTCTTTGAGACCCGCGGATCTTGTGTGGTTTTGATGGTATGGCTTTTATTCCTGTGCGTTTCGTTGCTATTCTGGGATATCTTGGTTACGAATGGGCTTTGCTTCCTTTACAAAGTCGGGATGGCGTCTTGCGGTGGGGTTCTTTTCGTGCTGGGGAAATTGAGTCTTTTCTTCTTAAGCAGTAACACAATGAGGAATCAAACCTGAATGTCTGTTGTTATTTGGTTCGCGTGGTGTCGAGGTCGCGACGTAGTAGTGATCTTCCCTTCCCGTCTTATGGGTCTGTTTACTCTTCTGGGGGTGGGCGTCGCGTCAACCTTGTAGGCTTCAGTTGGCAATTGAGGAAGTGTTTTTGATAGACAGGCTATATCCTGCCCGTGGACTCTACAACCGAGGTCTACAGTCAGTCACTACTAGTTAGTTAGCACATCTATTCTTATCTTCTTCTCTCTCACCATAACTGGTCCTTCAACTCGACCCACCTGGACAACACATCTCCACCATGAAACATACATCTGATTAATTACCATCGCGGTAATGTAAGTATCGGAGGATTGCCAGATCGACATTTAGTATTATTGCTCTAACGTCACCGCCGCCACAGTAAGTGGCGGCTTATTGGGGGACCCCTGATTGATAGGGGGTTTGGGGAGGTTTGCCCGCTTAATGATAGAGGTATTTTCGCTCCTAAGTAACTGCTAGTCAGTGACCTAAGCGATTACATACACAAAACGAGTGAACCCGGTCCGAATAATATGCCGACACAGCGGGTTGATCGGACCCTAGACCCTGTGCATAAAAAACACGTATTCACCTGCCCCGTCTTCCAGCTGCGATGCATTAGTGGTTATGCACCTATTTCAGAATTGTCACCTAACACTGCGATTATTATTCTGAACAGATTCAGAGCACCATGGGAGAGTATTTAGCTAGTCCATGTACATGCTTGTGTTTGTGTACCCTCGTTCTGCTGGTTCAGGCACGAGCTCGGGCTGGGCGACTCCGATATATTGGGCCATCCCGAGGTGTGGCGGAGTAAACCTTCGGTAGAAATTGTGCCGGCAGCTGTTGCTCTCCTTGCGTCCCTGATGAGGGAGGGGGAGGAATGATGGGGTCTTATCACCTCATGTACAGGGATTGGACAGATAGAACAAACACAGGGATCCGTACGTACATGGCAAGAGTGGTGGTGATGATGGGAGTGCAGAGACAGGGCTGAGTGGGCCGTACAGTAATAATCAATTCCTTACGACACGCACCGTCTTTTCTCTCCCGGACAACCATCCTCACTCCCTCTCCCCATCCACCATTTTCATCTTCACCCGTCTCGCCCCCCCTTTCGTTTCTTCTGCTTTCGCTCTCTCCCTCTCTCGGTCATTTGTTTGACCATCACCAATCCACCATCAGCCCCCACACCCCTGCCACAGGCCCGACGATGCCTATCGGTCGCTGAAACATCCTGCCACACGTCCCTCCCTGGCAGGTCTCGACGGAGATCAAGAATAATTCCCTTCGCTCATTTCCGCTGGAACTCGATCCGATTCAGAAGCCTGCTGGCCCTCCGCCAATAAGGGCTCCCAGCCGCCCAGCTCGGGTTGCCGGTCCACGCAGAGCTCACGTCACTTGGCCCCAGTAACCATGCCATCCTTCAACGACGTCTCCTACCAGACCACAACCACCGCGACTGCCACCCATCCTCGCTCGTTTGAGTCGCCCCGCAAGTCCCACGACAAAGCCTCCGTCGGAAACACCTTCCTGTGGACCAACTGGCCCAACGGTGACGCGACCCACGACCACCAGCAGCAGAATGACCGGCACTATCTGACCAACCTGAAGAACGGCAGTACATACTCCCTGAATGGCCCCCGGTCAAGCGTCAGTTCCTACACGCGCGATCTGCCACACTCCAAGGACGGCAGCATGCACTCGCTAGGCAATCTGTCCACCCGCGATCTTCGTGACCCTGGCAGCCGGCCCTCTGCCATGCTGGACCGGAAATCCTCCGACACTGGCCCTGGAGCGGGCTCCGCGTCAGCGTCGGTTTCCAGCCAGCAGGTCAATGGCACGGCCTTCGGTACCCGCCAACCGCCGGCGAAAGCCATGGTCAATGGTGACTCCAATCGCCCGTCCGCCGACGAACCCTCCCTCTCCGACCGCGCCGTCAGCCCATCGAATTCGTGGTTACAGATCCCGCGGCAGGACGATGCCGGTCGTCTCACCCCAGACCTCGACCCCAAGCCCCTTGGCCACCATCGCTACTCGTCTCCACCGGCCCCCTCCGCGTTCGAAGCCAATCAGATGCAAGATGCCCAACCCTCGAGCGCCCGACAGCGACATTCGCTGCAAGTCCCCAGAACAGGTAGCGTTCGGCGGAATAGCCGGGATCAAGGCGAGGATACCGCGTTTAGCAGTGGCCGGCTGTCACCGACCACTGCGGGAATGCGGCGTACCTCGTTTAGTCTCACAAGACGAGCCACCAGGACGTCGGACGTGCATTTGGACGAAGCACAACCAGACGAAGATGCGGCTCGCTGGGCGGAAGCCATCAAACAGAAACGTGCTTCGCGACGGCGCCGGCGTGAGGATGATGATGACGACCGGGTCATCGTTGGGACCAAGGTGGACCAGAACCATGTGAATTATGTGACAGCTTATAATATGTTGACGGGGATTCGCTTTACGGTATCGAGGATCAACGCAAAGATGGACCGGGAACTCACCCCGGCGGACTTCGAGGCCAAGCACAAATTTTCCTTTGATATGTATGTTTTACCTTTCCCTTTTTCAAAGAGACACATCAACTGATCACAACCAGAACCGGAAATGAATTGACTCCCTCTGCCAAATACGACTTCAAATTCAAGGATTACGCACCGTGGGTGTTCCGACACCTTCGCTCCAAGTTTCGACTGGACCCCGCCGACTACCTGATATCTCTTACGAGCAAGTACATCCTGTCCGAACTGGGCTCGCCCGGCAAGAGCGGGAGTTTCTTCTATTTCTCGCGGGATTACAAGTACATCATCAAAACTATCCACCACTCCGAGCACAAGCTTCTCCGGAAGATTCTTCCGGAATACTATCGCCACGTGGAGACAAACCCGAATACTCTGATCTCGCAGTTCTACGGGTTACACCGCGTGAAGATGGCATATGGCCGCAAGATCCACTTTGTTGTGATGAACAACTTGTTCCCACCCCACCGGGATATCCACCAGACGTTCGACTTGAAGGGCTCGACCATTGGCCGTGACTTGCAGGAAGCCGATCTGGAACGAAACCCAAGGGCGACCATGAAGGACCTGAACTGGGTTCGGCGGAGTCGTCACTTGCAATGTGGGCCATCGAAACGAGAATTTTTCATCGAACAGCTGAAGCGCGATGTCGAGTTGCTCAAGAGGCTCAAGATAATGGATTATTCCCTTCTGGTAGGGATTCACGACGTGGAACGGGGCAACGAAGAAAATCTGCGCGACAAGACACTTCAAGTCTTCCAACCTGGCGGCGACCGCGAGGAAGATGCGAGCCCGAACATGCTGATACGGACTCCATCCAAGTTGGAGAACGAACGCAAGGCCCGGGAGCTTCGGATGCTGATCAAGCGCGAGCGCCCTGTACCCCTCGACAAAGCAGCAGCGAAGATGCCGGAAGAGATACTCGATGAGCGCCAGTACCACGTCTTCTACGCCGACGACGGTGGGTTCCGGGCCACGCACGAGAGTGGCCAACCGGGAGAAGAGATCTACTACCTCGGCATCATCGACTGTCTGACACATTACGGAATGTTCAAGAAGATCGAAAACTTCTTCAAGGGCCTCTCGCATGACCGGGCACAGATCTCTCCCATTCCGCCGGAAAGCTACGGCGATCGATTCATCGCCTTCATCAAGGGCATCACCATGTCGAAAGAGGAGGCCGAGCGACGACGAGAATCCAAGGCTTCTGGCCGTCCCTCCGGTGAGAGGAGAGGATCTCGATCTTCGTCTGTCGAGCGGACCATGCAAAACGCCGAGAAGGAGGCCGCCAAGGACGTCTCCGTCACACATCCTCGCACATTAACCACAGTCTGGGATCCAGCAGATGCCAACGGCCCCGGTCCAACCTCGACGCTGCCGATTGTCGACGAAGCGGGTGAGGCTAGCAGTGTGGGAGGCCACAGCCAACACAGCCGACAGGGCCAACCCGCGGCAGACAAGGACCTTCCTCCCATTCCTCACGACTCGCCGCCCCAGCCACCTAGCAAAGGCAAGGAGACCTACCTGGCGCCTTCCAGCCAGCAGTAACTTTGTTCGTTGGCGGTTCCTTTATTTTTCTTTACACTCTTAATTGTGTTTCCTCGCAAGATATCCCCTTGTTGCTTTTGATAGACATTTTTTCGCCCTTTCCTCTCAGCATGGATACCGCGCGAGGCACCTGATTTACTTTTTCCCTTTGATTGCGAGAATTTGTTCGTTGTTCACGAGTGACGCATGTATCATTTTGGGTTTTCTGATTTTGTTGTTCAGCGAACTCACTTTCGTCTGTCTCTCCCTTTTGTTGTCCATGAAAGCCCTTTCTTTTGGATGACTGGTACCCACTACCACTGTCGCTGGGGGGTTCTTCCCCAATCTCTTTTCCTTTTCTTTTTCTGTCTGATCCACACTCCCACTCGCTATATCTATCCGATTCTGGCAGATATTACGAGATGGGTTGGTTGGGGGTTGCCTCGAACTACCCAACTCCTCCATCAATCACTCACTCACTCATAGCATTCTCTATATCTCATTTCCTTCTTCTTTTTTTCCTGTTTCAGATACCAAGCAAAATCCGCTTGCCTTTCTGTCCTGTCATACGTTCCCCACTATTTCGATGACCAGTCTCTACTATCCTGTCCTGATACCCGGACCCTCTATTTCCTTATTGTTTCGTCAACTCGTGAACGTGAACTCGTTTCCTTGCGCCTGTCATACCCTGTACCAATCAATCAATCACTATACCTCTTTGGCAGATCATCATCATCGTCATCATCGTTGTTATTGTCCGTTTCTTGTCTTTCTGTCTTGTTCCGTTCAGCCTTGTCGTTTTTGCCCTGCTCTGTTCTTAGGGTCGATATTATTGTGTTTTTTATATCGAGAGAAAGTTAGAAGACCCGCGCGCGGGAAGTTCGTTTTTCTTCTTGTTCTTGGTATCTTTTCCTACCTATTCTCTTTCCATTAGAAGAAGAAGAGGATGAAGTATGCATGCCTCTTAAGTAGGCTTGTGTTTGGACCACTAGCAGAGTAGCGAGTTAGCAAAACGAGATGTAGGGAGACCGCTGTGCATCTTACTGAGGTTGCTATGCTTGAATGAAACTTCAGCTTTGATTGAAGCTGAGGTGGAGTGTTTTTGCAAGTAAGATTTGGACGTTTGAATAAAGGACTGGGATGCTGCAGTGCAATATATACACGTAGAAAATGATCACTATATGAACTCGACGTTTAGTTAACCCTATCGCATCTCAACCCGCAGTAACAGAGGAGACACAGATACAGAAATGGATACGGATATAAACGCAGGTACAAAAGCCCAGAGACTAGCGAAATAGCAGAGATACCTGGGGTATGTGACAGCATACTATTTCCATTGAATGAATCCATTCCTGAGTTGTACTTCTTCCCATCTCATCATAGCTCCCGTTTTGCACCCAGCCAGTGTGGGAATCATGAAAAACAAACGCCCCCGTCGCCCAAGCACCCATCACCAAATAAATCAAAGCAGAGGGGGAAAGAAAAGAGCAAGGATCCCGCCTATCCATCCTATCCATCCAGAAAACGAAGAAAAAGAAGAAGAAGTCAAGACGCCAAATTCCCTCCCTCCATGAACAAGAGCACGCCCAGGTAACGAACCTAGAAAGAGACTGGAAAGAAGACGGTCTACTCAGTCTTCCCCTGCGTCACCTTCGCAGCCTGGATAGCAGACATCTTCTGCGTCCAGCCCTGGGTGGGCTGCGGCTTCTTAACGGTGCGGAGGTCATCGCTCGAGAAGCCCGAGATGCGCATGTTGTAGTTGCGCTCCAGGACGAGCTGGATGTCGCGCAGCTCGAGGGTGGACGAGGGGCGCAGCTTGGCGAGGCGGCAGGCTTGGGTGATTACGTCGTCGACGAAGTCATCGGCCATTTGGAGGATGAACTGATTATATGTGTTAATGACAGCTCTGGGAAATATGATATAGAGAGAAAGGAAAGAAAAACGAAAGGATGGAGAGAAAAGAGAGGGAAAGGCTCACATCTTCCGCGTCAGGAGTCAACATCTCGCCTTCGCCGCCGCCGGTAACCTGGCGAACGAGGATATCCAGCATCTTCTTGCTGAGCACGCGCTGGCCCTCGCCCTCGAGGACGTAGCCGGGGTGTTTCTGGATCGCAGGCTGGCCCATCATGCCCATGGCGCCGTGGCTGGGGCCGCCGGACAGAGAAGGGCGCGAGGAAGACATGGCGACCGGCTCTGGGGTGGACACGTTCAGAGACTTGGGGATCACCATGTTGATGTTACGCGCCGAGGCCTCCGTCGAGCGGTTGGTCAGGTAGCCCTGCGGCTGGGCGGAGCCTTGATTGGACATTGCCTGGGGGTTATGTTGTTAGGATTTTGATATTACTGCTATGACAGAAGAAAGCTGGGGGAGATTGGGAGAGACCGGGAGACTCACTTGAGAAGCGGGAGTTCCTTGCTGAGAAGAAGCTTGTGGGCGCTGGCCTGGTTGCTGGACTGGTTGTGTGGTGGAAGTGGGAGTGGCGCCAGCAGTTGCAGAAGGAGCCTGTCCCGATTGGGAAGCCGAGGGAGACATGGCTGTTTGGTGCCCCGCCTGGTTGCGCGCCGCATTCACAGCCGAGTTGATCGTGTGCGCCGCCGGCGTCGGAGCCTGCATGCCACCACCCGTAGTGCCTTGGTTACTAGCCACTGCTTGAGTCGCAGCCGGCGCGGCAGCCGACGCAGGAACAGCTTGCTGTTGCGACTGCTGAGTCGATGAGACGGAGGGCATGACGCCCTGTCCACCTCCGGGCTGGTTCATCCCCTGCTGGTTCTGTTGCTGCATCTTGAAGCTCTCCTGCTGCTCCATAAATTTCTCAAGGAATTCGCTGCCCTCACGCAATAACTTCTCCGCCGCCAGCTGCCGATTCTTAAATGCCTGCATATCCTCCTGGGTCATACTGCCCTGCGACTGTCGCTGATTGAACTGCTGGCGCAGATCCGCCAACCGCGCGCGCCCGACCTCTTGTTTCTGCAGCGCAATCCCATACCGGAGTCGAGCCTCGGGGATCCAATTCTGCAGCTGCTCGGGCGTCGTGTTCGGAGGCAAGAAGAAGTTGAGCTGGTTGACCTTGGCCTGAATCGCTGGCAACAACTGACCGAGGCTCTGAGGATTATTCGGCTGCGTCCGCTGCACGGGCTGTCCCTGCACCGCCTGTGCCTGCTGTTGCTGCGCCTGTTGCTGTTGCTGTTGCTGCTGCTGCAGCGCTTGCTGCCGGCTTTGCTGGAAGAGGCGCATCCCCTTCATCAGATTCTGGGACAGCTGCGTGAGCTTCATATGCGCCGTCTGGTACTCGTGGCTCGTCGGGTCGCGCGTGTTGAGCAGCTCCCAGAGGCCACGCACCAGCTGGGTGTGCTGGGCCTTTTGCTGGTCATTGAGGTGTGGCAGCTTCTGCACCTGGTCGGTCCGAATGAGGTTGGAGTGCTGCTGCTGCTGCGCCGTCACCATGGGCTGACCCGCCTGGCCCTGCGACCCATCCATTGTGCTGAATGATGCGTGGAAGGATAGACTGAGCGGATGTCGATGCCAGGAGGTTGTCGATGAGAGGCGGATGAACGGCGAATCGGACTGGGGGAGGCTTTTCACGTGAATGGAGTCAGACTTCAACGAGGACCGGGGTCCCAAGCCAGTTCCCGTGCTCGGAGTGAGCGGAAAGGATACAGCACAAAGGACTGCACAAGAGAATGAGCGGAATAAGGTGTGGATGAGGTGGTGAAGCGATGATCGCAAAGGCTGAGTCGGCAGGAGGTTAAGTTGGACCCGCGTGCGGCTTGGGCTTGGCGCGGCTCGACTGGCGCTCGGCGAACTATACGACGGCGCATGTTTCGACTTACTATGGGCACAATTAGCGAGAACAGATACTAATTACGGAGGATAGATGATGGATGGAAAATTTTCAAAGAATAAGTAAATAAAGCACAAGTAAATTGCTTCCTACAACGGGATTAACTGTAAGCACACTCATCGCACGCACTAGAAATAGTCATCCTAAGGAGAAACCCGTCTAAACAATTTGGAGATGTGGCCAAGTGCTGTTTTATATGATGATACATTCATTATGGGCATTCGTTATGGGTATTCACTATGGGGCTTGAATATTGACTGGAAATTTACTATGTACAATGTCGAACACTTCAACCGGCCTTGGACATGCTTCCAGTCCTGGATCTGAGCCACAGCGTAGACTAGGAGCTGCACTGTCAAAGCGCCTCGAGGCTGCTGGAAAGTATTCTCAGCATTGAGGTGAGGGGTCCACCCTGCCACTCCCTGGAGCAATTTTATCCGACCCTGTTTCGGTTGATCAGACACGGCGCAGACAAATACGCATGATCGCATCTGCTCCCACCAGGAACTATGCCTTGTAGACAACCAGGTAGTGGTCATTCCCCGTCAGGCCCGAGAGCCTCAGGGATCGGGGATAACAACGTTCAGCCGACGAATGCATAACCCAGGGACTAGTGTCCTTTTGCGAGGCGAGAGGCGCTTGTTCAAGCCCGAGAGGACTAACTCAAGAGGGGTCCCTCAGATCAGCCCATCAGCCCACCGAGATCTCGTTCCATGCCGGTCACTCGTTCCTCCAATGCCCGTTTCTTGAGCTCGAGCTCCTGAATCTCAGCTAGCTCTTGCTGGATCTCTTCATCCGTCACATCCGGGGCCTCCGGCTGCGACACAGGAACATCATAATCATCATCGTCGTCGCCGTACCCATGGCTCATTCGCGCCAACTCGGCGGTGTTGGTCGCGACCCGATCCTCCAGTCGAGCAATGGACTCGGTGATCATTCCGTGGCGATATCGAAGGCTGGCAATCTTCTCTGGTGCCTCATCCACGGGACTGTCACTTGGTTAGCACCAATCAACACACAGAAGGAGGGGGCAGGCACGCACTAAACATTGCAGAGCATCTCTGCACCTTGAAGAAGGACTTCAATGTTGACCTCCCCGCGCGGGCCGCGGGTTGACGTGCCGGCCGAGCGCTTGATCTCTTCCATCATGTCCGACCCCAACACCCGGGCCACGGCGGAGTGGTTGCGATTGTTGCGTGTCGAGTAGATGCGACTGGCCATGGACTCGGACTCGAGCTCGGGGAGAAGGTCGTGCCCCGGCGTGTGGCACGTCTTTGGGATGTCTTGGCGGATGGGTCCAGCTGGAACAGAGCACGTTCATGGGCCTCGGTGTCGCGAATTAGAGCTGTGATGTCGTGGGAGCCCAGCAGCGCGTTGGTGAAGATGCGGGGCGGAGGGAAGCTGGAGGCCGTGGTAAGTGACTGATCATAGATAGGAGGGGGAGAAGACTCACGGGAGGTCGGCAATGGCATTTGAGGACAGAGCGATCTGCTCCAGGTGGGAATCGAGGAGCGGCATGGCGATGATGAGACTGGTACAAGTGATGGTTGGTATTGTTTAGTTATGCGCGCGCCAAGGGCAGCTGCGTGTTCGATGCCTCAGGCGCCCAGGCAGTTGCCAGCAACGCAATCAACATCGATCACGCGAAGAATAATAACCATGATAGGAAGTCATCTGCTCGGCGCATTAACTATCCGAGAAGACTGACATACTTCTACACTCTCTTGTCTATCCACATTCTGCAGTCCCTGCACACACACACGCACACGCACTCCGGTGGCCACCAGTAAGCTCCCCTGACTAAGCCCGGTCTGTGTCTTGCGCCCGTCCATCCCATCTCTTGACATCACTCTCTCTTCTTCCATTTCCATCCATCCCCCTTCACCCCCCGGCCATCGTCTCTTTACATTGGCTGCCTATTCGTCTCAGATTAGTTGCTACTTCGTGTCATTGCCCTGTGCTCCGTGCTCCGTGCTCATCCCCATCCCCCTACTTCTCCCCGTTGTTAGCTTGGTGGCTGCTCAGCTGAGCTCGAACAGCTTGGGACAAGATGCCGGAGAGGCGCTCGCTGCGATCCAACAACAAGCCGGACGCTAATGGTGAGAAGGCCCGGTCCAACTCCCAGAAAGACACGGCCGCACCCACCACTCGTGCCGCTGCCGCCAAACAAGCCAAGTCGGCTCCGGCTAAGAAAGGCGCCTCGGCCAAGGGCGCGTCGAACAAAGACATGGGCGAGAACGATCACCTCAATGGGAATCCGGTCGAGAACGGTGTGAATGGCTCCGAGGATGTGGAGATGGGTGAGGATACGGCAGGTGCGGCTCCATCCTCACAGAGCAACACCAGCAAGGATCGGAAAGGTAACGAGAAGATGACTGTTGTAGTGCCCCCGACCAAGGGTTCCAGATCATCCGGCAAGGCTGCCCAGGATAAGGAGGAGGATGTGACGATGGAAGGTGCTGAGGATGAGGACGCTGAGAAGACCGAGCCCGAGATCGACCCGACGGCCAAGGCGATTCAAGGTACAGTTGGTGTCCGGAAGGACCTGACGAGCCAAGAACTAACTGGTTGCAGACATCAAGAACAACTTCACTTTGCTCGAGCGAGCCGTCACCCACTTTGATCCCAGATTCACCCTCCGTGTCCTGCGGTCGATCTCCTCGATGCGGAAATACATCACCCCCGAGGTCCTTTCCGAAGTCGTCGTCGACACGTATCCTGCCTCCAGCCCCACGGCATCATTCTTGCTCGATGCGATCGACCAGAGTGGAGCCTTTGAAAGTGCGCTGGCCAGCTCGAAGATGGACGTGGATACGGACAAGAACAAGGCTGCTCCCAAGGAGATCCTCCCCGAGGTGGACGCGTACCTGTCCATCCTGGTTCAGATCTACCTGTTCGACGAGCGGGAGATCCAGAAGGGAGCGCAGTTCTCGATAGATCTGATCGAGCGTCTGCGCACTCTCAACCGCCGTACGCTGGATTCTCTGGCAGCCCGTGTGTACTTTTATTACTCTCTGTTCTATGAGCAAATTGCTCCGCTCCCTCCATCTCCCTCGGCCGCTGTGACGACGATCCGTCAACCGCTGCTGGCGGCCCTTCGCACTGCCGTCCTCCGCAAGGATGTCGACACGCAGGCCACCGTGATGACGCTGCTGCTGCGCAACTACCTCTCCACCTCGCACATCACCCAAGCCGACCTGCTGATCTCGCACAACCGCTTCCCCGCTGCTGCCTCCAACAACCAGATTGCCCGCTATCTCTTCTACCTCGGTCGAATCCGCGCCATCCAGCTGCAATACACCGAGGCCCATAGCCATCTCATCGGGGCCACCCGCAAGTCTCCCGCTAGCCACAGTGCGCGCGGGTTCTATCAAGCCTCTCACAAGTTGCTGGTGGTGGTCGAACTGTTGATGGGTGATATCCCGGACCGCTCGATTTTCCGCCAGCCGACTCTGGAGCGGGCGATGCACCCATACCTCTTGCTTACCCAGGCCGTCAGCGTTGGTGACCTGGACGGATTCTTGAACATCGTCAACACGCACAGCGCAGCTTTCCGGAAGGATGGCACATACACTCTCATCCTGCGTCTGCGGCAGAATGTTATCAAGACCGGAATCCGGATGATGTCGCTGTCCTACTCCCGCATCTCTCTGCGGGATATCTGTCTCCGTCTGGGACTGGACAGCGAGGAGTCGGCCGAGTATATTGTGGCCAAGGCCATCCGGGACGGTGTGATCGAGGCGACATTGGACCACGAACACGGGTTCATGAAGAGCAAGGAGGTTGGCGACATCTATGCCACCCGGGAGCCCGGCGAGGCGTTCCACGAGCGCATCCGTGCTTGTCTGGCTCTGCATGACGAGAGTGTCAAGGTAAGTTTTTTTTCCCCCTTTAATGTTCATTCTCTAATGGGATTCTCGCCAGGCCATGCGGTTCCCCATGAACCAGCACCGTTTGGAGTTGAAGAGTGCCCAAGAGGCCCGGGAGCGAGAGCGGGAGCTGGCCAAGGAGATCCAGGAAGGAGACATGGACGACGAGGATGCTGGAGGTGATTTCGACGCCATCTAAGTAAGGTCCTCGGGGGGAGGATGCGTGTTTCATAATCCATTTTTCTCTTCTTTTTCTTCCTGGTCCCCTGCATGGGTCTCTATGCGATAGCGGCCTTCTTCCACCTGTGTTAGTTAATTCGTGCGTCGCTTTCTCTTTTCCTCTCGTTGTGTGCTGGGATGTGTACAAGAGGGAATTCTGTGTCTCTTCTACTGGTTTGCATACGATTATCCTCGATCTATTCTTCGTAATTATGTACCTGTAGTTGATCTCTCTTCGACCACTAGGAGCTGTGAGGTGGTCCGTGCGGTTGCCGAGCTTCGTCGAAAACTTCCCGCAACCCATGATAGCCTAGTCGACTGTTTTTCTCCATTCATCCTTCACGTCCCCCCAACCATACGGCCCCTTTTGCTCCTCTCCTTCACTCTTCCTCTCTCTCAATTGACTGATTGATGGGTGTCTTCTGGACTATATAATTGAGCCATCCCATCACCAACCCGGCCCTGCAGCATCGAGCATGCCTCGTACCGTCACGGCCACCGGGCTGATCCTCTCATCACGAGCGCTCTCAACGCCTCCTGTATGCGCCCAATGCCTCCGTGATGACCTCCGGGCAACCTACACAGCCATCCAATCCCGACGATACCGACCCACGCGGCGGAAAGACGTCTCCCCGTTCGGTGCCGCCGTGTCCGCCGCCCAGACCATCTTCAAGGGCCTACCCAAGGCACCGCCGGGCATCTCCGTCGACCCGCTGCGAATGGTGGGCAAGGAGCTCAAGTTTCTGACCAAGAACATCCGCCAATTGCTGGGCTCGGGTCACCCGGCCCTGGACAAGGTCGCCAAGTACTACACCCGCAGCGAAGGCAAACACATGCGGCCCATGCTGGTTCTGCTCATGTCCCAGGCCACAGCCATGGACCCGCGGAAACACCACACACACCCGGGCACAACCCCCGTCGACGACCCGTTTAGCGCGTCCTCGATCCTAGACGACGCTAATCCCGACGCCAACCCGCTGGTGGCCCGTTCCGCCGAGGCCCAGTATGATTTTGCGGGCGACGACAACATTCTGCCCTCGCAGCGGCGGCTGGCGGAGATCACGGAGCTGATTCACACGGCCTCCCTGCTGCACGACGATGTCATCGACAACGCCGTGACGCGCCGCGCGAGCAGCTCCGCCAACCTGGCATTCGGGAACAAGATGGCCGTGCTGGCGGGCGATTTCTTGCTGGGCCGGGCCTCCGTGGCCCTTGCCCGCCTGCGGGACCCAGAGGTGACAGAGCTGATGGCCACCGTGATTGCCAATCTGGTGGAGGGCGAGTTCATGCAGCTGAAGAACACGGCGCAGGACGAGTCCAACCCCGTGTACACCGACGAGACCCTCTCCTATTACCTGCAGAAGACGTACCTGAAGACAGCCAGTCTGATCAGCAAGTCCTGTCGCTCGTCGGCCGTGTTGGGCCGCAGTGCCCCCGAGGTTATCGAGGCGTCCTATCAATATGGCCGGAACCTGGGCCTGGCGTTCCAGCTCGTCGATGATCTGCTGGACTACACTGTCACCGAGGTGGAGCTGGGCAAGGCCGCCGGTGCGGACCTGGAGCTCGGCCTGGCCACCGCGCCGCTGTTGTTTGCATGGAAGAGTAACCCCGAACTCGGCCCACTGGTGGGCCGGAAGTTCCGTGAAGAAGGCGATGTGCAGAAGGTGAGTTTTCCCCCTTCACAGTCTTTTATGAAAATTGTTGAGACTAACGATGACTCTCTAGGCCCGTGAGATGGTCTACCGCAGCGATGGCGTCGAGCAGACCCGCGCCCTGGCCCAGGAATACGCCGACAAGGCCGTCGCGGCGATCAGTGACTTCCCCGACAGCGAGGCCAAGGCGGGCTTGGTTGAGATGGCGGAGAAGACTATGCGCCGCCGGAAGTAGGGGATTGCATCATGGGATCCGTCTGTAAAGATATAGTTGTTTCTTCTCTCCTTCTTTTTGACTTGGAGCACATGTATACCTAGATTTTAGAGGCTTGAACTGATACATATGAAATGTTCTCTCTGCTTGCAACCTATCCCGGAATGACGTATTTCTCCATATCACCGTAGAGTTTCTCTCCACTCTATACTTGGTCCCTGAACAATTAGTTCCTGACAGCTGTACATTCCAGCGGGGTAAGTAATGTTTGTAAAAGCGGAGACTGTAGGAATACATTTATTACACACTAGGATAGCCGTTACATACGCCGAATACCCATACCGCACCCCTGTCCGCTTATCTGTGTCATCGATCTGCAGCTCCGCCTCTTCCTGCCGTCTCTCGCTACAAGCTACATCCCATCATTCATCGCTCGTTCGTGTCTGTGTTCTGTCCTGCGGAGCCGGTCTCTTTGTTAGTTTCTGCCTTTACTCTGAGAAGTTCGTTCTATACCACTCTCTCCAACTCGACCTCCAAATGATGGAGCTTTCGGCTGTCCCGCTCTGATCGACTGGTTCCCGATGGGTTCGCTCGGCAGCTTCCTGATCGTCTACGTGCTCGGCGGAATCACCTTCCTCCCACTCGTGCTGGCATTACTCTTTCTCCATGCCATCCTAACCCTCCCGCCTGCTCCTCGCCGCACCCCGCAACAATGCAATTCCGCCGCTGCCGCCCAATCCCTGCTCAGCCGACCCACCGACGACGAGTATAGCCTCAAGTCCGGAACGGACCAGCTGGCCGACCACTTCCACCGCACGCACGTATCCGATGTAGCCGCGGGATATTTTGCCGTCTGTCGCGAGTATGTCCCCGGCGGCGTGAATGGGAAGCCTCCTGAGCGGACCACCCCGGCGGGTGAGGTCGTGGCCGCCGAGAGTCCCAGCGTTTATCAGACCATGTACCGGAGCTTGTTTGATCGAAAGCAGGCGCCGAGTATCGAGCCAACCAAGTCGAATGGGAAGAGCACGAAGCGCGCGCGTAATGTGTTTTATATTGTGTTGAGACATGGCCATCTCATGCTCTATGACGATGCGAACCAGGTCGAGGTGCGATACGTCATTTCGCTCGCTCATCACGACGTGAGCATCTACAGTGGTGGCGAGGAGGATATCCCCGAGGGTGAACTGTGGCTGAAGAGAAATGCCATCTGTCTGTCGCGGCGACTGGATTCGCTGGGCGATCTGGGTGGTCCCACGCCGCCGTTCTATTTATTCTCTGAGAATCTGTCGGAGAAGGAGGATTTCTATCATGCCATGCTGCATAACCAGTCACGCATATGGGACTCGGCGGATCGCCCGCCTAAGTATCAGGAGTTTGACGTGAAGCATATCGTCACCCTGGTGCAGCGCCTGCATTCGTCGGAAGAGCAGTTGCAGACGCGCTGGATTAATGCGATTCTGGGCCGTTTGTTTCTGGCGCTGTATCGGACGCCGGAATGGGAGGAGTTCATTCGGGGCAAGATCACGAAGAAAATCTCGCGCGTGAATAAGCCCAATTTCATCAGTCGCATTGGCTTGCAGAAGATTGACCTCGGTGAAGGCGCGCCTTTAATCACCAATCCGCGACTCAAGGATTTGACCGTTGACGGCAACTGCTGTGTCGAGGCTGATATGCAATACACGGGGAACTTCCGGGTTGAGATCCAGGCCACAGTGCGAATTGATCTGGGTCAACGGTTCAAGGCACGGGAGGTGGATATTGTGTTGGCTGTCGTGCTGAAGAAGCTGGAAGGCCACCTCTTGGTGCGGGCCAAACCTCCGCCCAGCAACCGATTCTGGATGTCCTTTGAGACCATGCCCCGCATGGAGATGGACATCCAGCCGATTGTCAGCTCCAAGCAGATCACGTACGGCCTTATTCTGCGCACGATTGAGAGCAAGATCCGCGAGGTCGTGGCTGAGAGTATCGTCCTGCCGTTCTGGGATGATGTCCCCTTCCTGGATACCCTTGGCCAAGCTTTCCGCGGTGGCGTCTGGCAGCGCGATGTCCCTGAGCCAGGCATTCCCCCGGAAATTCCGGATGAGTCTGAAAGCGCGGTGCCGGGGACTCCCAAGAGTGTTCAAGCAGACGGAGGAGGAGCGGAGGTGCTCAAGGCCAAAGACGAGAAGACGATGAGCATGCCCGTTCTTTCAGATCCCAGCACGACCAAACTCAAGTCACGCAAAGGGCTCAAATCGCCCAAGTCGCCCATCTCGGAACGGTCCACTCATTCGCCTTCCGCTTCTTCTACCGGGATCGAGCGGTCGGATATCATGCAGTTGCCTCGAGCCATTCGAACTTCGCAGACCCTCTCCCTCGCGGCTGACCCGGTGGTGACGGCGGATAACGCCAAGGTCGACCCGGTGGTCTCAGAGAACAAGGGCGAGGATAAGACCAACGCGACCAGCTCCATGATCGAAATTCGAAACCGGCCCCCGCCTGCATCGCCGGCTCACACCCCGAGCAGCTCGCCGCCAACGACTGGACCTATGATGCCGGAATATGCATCGAATAGCGGCGAGTCGTCCATCGCCGAATCGATCGACAGCGTCAGCTTTTTCAATGACAACGCCATTGAACGTCCTTCTCCTGCCCGACTCGAGAGCAACTCTTTTTCCAGCTTGAGAAGCTCCCGCGGAAGTTCATCCACATCGATTGCAAGCGATAAACCCAAACGGCGAAGCACGATCGAGACAATCACCAGATCGATCACGTCCGCCAACTCATCAGACGACAAGCCCATGACCATTGGAGCCGCTACAGCGGCCGCAAAGAAATGGGGCTGGAACGTCTTCGGCAAAGGCGATCACAATGATCATTCATCCGAGCAGCGTCACGCAGGAACCCCCGACCAACCGATCGGACGCGGCCACCCCCATCCAGCGCCCGGAGCGCCCCTCCCACGCCCCGAGAAATACTCTCTGAAAAAAACGCAGGTGTCTCTCCCGAAACGCAAGCCCGTTCCCCCGCCGTTCTTGCCCGAACGTCCCGGCACTGCAGGTGAGCAGCGTCGCCCCGTGCCGCCTCCGCCGCTGCCGCGCAGGAAACCGGCGCCGCCTGCCGTGCGCACGGATGGTGGTAGTGCGGATGAGTTACTTGTGGTCGAGGCGCCGCGGGACTCGGAGCCGAATAGCCCGGCGCTGGGTGAGTTGGAGGAGGATGGACGCTTGCCAGAGCAGGGCCAGGCACAGGAGCAAAGTGTTGTTTCTGAAATATCGGCGCCGGTTGAGCAGACTACAGCCGACGACGCGACTGCTGATTCCGTGGAGAGTGAACCACCAGTCCCAGTTGAGAAGATGGCTGTTTCCTCGTTTGAGGAGAGCGATACACCCGCCCCGGCTGATCTGACTACTACCACCATTACTGTTGATGATGATGAAGATGAAGATGGATGGGAGGAGGAAGCCGGACAGGAGATTCCATCTCTGGGCTCTGTGGATCAGACGTCCTCCTCGATGGAGAATAGCGGGGTTGAAGAAGCATTGCCGCCGACCGAACATGCAGCGCCGGCGCAGTCTCTGGAGACGGAGCTCACTCTTGTGTGATTATGAAAGTCAGGCGTTTGGGATTTATGTATGGTTGGTTCTTGATATCCGCTTAGCGCGTATAATCTATTGAATCACTTTTTCTTCTCTATTATTCTAATCTCAATAAATATCTGCCTGTTCCATGACGCGTCGGGCAGCAAGGAGTAACCGTAGAAGTATACACTTCAGTACTGGGTGATGCCAAGACCCGTGCAGGCGCCAACTTTCCGTTCCGTGGGCCAACGTCATATAACGCTCCAGGTCCACGTGTGTCTCCTTCTTCTTCATCCTACACTTCTTCCCTTGCGGTGACCAGCGCAAACAATTCTTTGCGCTGTCTGGGTCTGGGTTGATTTCTTCCGGCGATTACCTCGTTGACTACCATTGCCCCTGAACATCTCCCATCTCGCCCCCCGACTGAGAACCCCACGTCCAAGATGAGTCGGTACGCTGAACCCGATCGCCCGGTGATACGTTACCTGCGCGATAGCTAGCTAATTGACGACACAACAGGACGGAGGCCGATCTGGCGATCAATATTCGCAAGGCTACGAGTATCGGTGAGTGGTGGTGCCAACGCCCCGGGGGTGTCCTGTCGACTTCCATGAAGCGACTCACCGCTAGGAGGAAGGTTCTGAACTAACAATTCTTTCACTCGACAGAGGAAACTGCTCCGAAACGTATGTGCTGATTCCCGCGTCGAATCCTCTCGCTCGCGCCGCTCTTATCCTTATCCCTTCCTGTCGAGACCGCCGACTAACGCGCCCGGGTCACTAGGGAAACATGTGCGGAGCTGTATCGTTTATACCTGGGACCACAAGTCGTCGGCTGCCTTCTGGGCGGGCATGAAAGTGTACGTTGATAATTGATTGATTGTGGTGCCGTGATTGGGAGAAGTGGTTGACCGGGGCTGACATCGGCCGCTACAGACAGCCTGTCCTTGCCGATGAGGTTCAGACGTTCAAGGCTCTCATCACGATACACAAGGTTCTGCAGGAGGGCCATCCCATTGTTGTCCGCGAGGCACAGCAACATGCCAATTGGATTGATAGCTTGATGCGAGGCGTTGGAGGAGAAGGCATGCGAGGTATGCGAGGACAATTTTATTGCTGGGGAGGCATAGCGGACGTTGACCATTGCTAGGATATGGCCCTCTCATTCGGGAGTATGTCTTCTACCTGGAGTCGAAGTTAACCTTCCATCGCAACCACCCGGAGTTCAACGGTATGTCAAAGAAGGGCGTTTGAAGGACACTCTTGATTAACAGTTGTAGGTCTGTTCGAGTACGAGGAATACATCAGCTTGAAGTCTATCAATGATCCAAATGAAGGGTTTGTGCGGAAACACTCGACCAGAGGAAACTGGGCGCTGACTGCTCGGTAGATACGAGACCATCACAGATCTGATGACTCTCCAAGACCAGATCGATGCTTTCCAGAAGCTGATCTTCTCGCACTTCCAGTCGGGCACGAACAATGAGTGCCGGATCTCGGCGCTAGTCCCTCTTGTTCAAGAGAGCTATGGCATCTACAAGTTCATCACGAGCATGTTGAGAGCAATGCACACAACCACCGGAGACGACGGGGCTCTCGAGCCACTCCGTGGCCGTTATGATGCCCAGCACCACCGTCTTGTTCGCTTCTACTACGAGTGTTCCAATCTGCGCTATCTGACCAGTCTCATTACCATCCCGAAACTCCCACAGGACCCGCCGGGCTTGTTAGGCGAGGACGACGATCGCGGCCCGGCTCTGCCCAAACGGCCTGCTAAAGAAGTTGAGCCCGAGCCTACTCCGCCACCAAAGGAACCAGAGCCGATCAGCGACTTCTGGACTACCGAAGCTCGCCGTCAACAGGAGGAGTATGAGACCGAACAGGCCCGTCTGCAGCAGCAGTGGGAGGATCAGCAGCGACAACAGATGCTAGCTCAACAGCAGGCCCAGCACGATTTCGAGGAGCAGCAGCGCCAACAGGCCGAGCAGCAACGGCTGGCTCAAGAACAGCTGCTGCGCGACCAGTACTCGACTCAGACACAGGGCCGACTAGCCGAGCTGGAGCGGGAGAACCTGAACGCGCGTGCCCAGTATGAGCGCGACCAGCTGATGCTGCAGCAGTACGACCGTCGCGTCAAGGACCTTGAGGAACAGATGAACCAGATCCAAACCAACCTCAACCAGCAGAATGCCTCCAAGGACGAGCAGATCCACTCCCTGCAGGAGCAGGTGAACACCTGGCGGGCCAAGTACGAGGCCCTGGCCAAGCTCTACTCGCAGCTCCGACAGGAGCACCTAGATCTCCTGCAGACCACCAAGAGCCTCAAGCTGAAGGCTGCCTCGGCACAGGAGGCGATCGAGCGCCGTGAGAAGCTGGAGCGCGAGCTAAAGACCAAGAACTTGGAGTTGGCTGATATGATCCGCGAGCGAGATCGTGCTATGCATGACCGTGATCGTCTGACTGGTTCCAACAAGGACGAGCTGGAGAAGGTCAAGCGGGAGCTCCGCATAGCGATCGAGCGCGCGGAGAATGCCGAGCGGCAAAAGGGCACGGAGATCTCGTCTATGCTGTCCAAGTATAATCGCGAGATGGCCGATTTGGAGGAGGCTCTTCGGGTGAGTTCCAAGGTTGTTGTCGCTGTGCTGTTTCTATGTGCTGACCTCCTGCTCTAGACCAAAACCCGAGCCCTCGAGGAATACTCCAGAGGCAATAACGAGCGGCAAGGTGACCATGATCTGGCACTCCGCGAGAAAGATGAGGAGATCGAGGTGTACAAGTCCGGTATGGAACAGGCTTTGATGGAGCTTGAGGAACTTAAGCTGGTAAGTGGCGTGTGTTTCTCGGTTGGTGTTATTGACGTACTAACCAGTTCTTGCCATGCAGCACCAAGGCGATGCCGACAATGCGCTGGACAGCCAGATCGACGACGTGCTGCACGGCACCGTCGCCAAGATCAACGATATCATTGATTCGGTGCTGCAGACCGGTGTCCAACGCGTGGACGACGCCTTGTATGAACTGGATTCGACCATGCAGGCCGGTAACCAGAACGCATCTCCGCCGTATGTGCTGTCGCAGATCGAGAAGGCGTCGGCGTCCGCTACGGAGTTCTCGACGGCCTTCAACAATTTCATTGCGGATGGCCCGAACAGCACGCATGCCGAGATCATTCGCACCGTCTCCATCTTCTCTGGATCCATTGCCGACGTGCTGAGCAACACCAAGGGTCTGACGCGCTTTGCAAACGACGACAAGAGCTCCGACACGCTGATAACCGCGGTGCGCAAGTCCGCCCAAGCCACGGTCCGCTTCTTCCGCGGGCTGCAGTCGTTCCGACTCGAGGGCCTGGAGCCGCTGCAAAAGACCGACGTCGTCATCAACAATAACCTGGAAGTGCAGCGAGATTTGCAGGCGTTGTCCAAGCTGGTGGACTCGTTCGCGCCCAAGGGCAGCAAGATCAGCACGACCGGCGACCTGGGCGACCTGGTTGACCAGGAGCTGACCAAGGCCGCGAATGCCATTGACGCCGCCGCGCAGCGTCTGGCCAAATTGCAGAGCAAGCCGCGCGAGGGCTACTCGACTTACGAACTGCGCATCAACGACGTGATCCTAGCCGCGGCTATTGCGGTGACCAACGCCATCGCAGAGCTGATCAAGGCCGCCACGGCATCCCAGCAGGAGATCGTGCGCGAGGGTCGCGGCAGTTCGTCCAAGACAGCCTTCTACAAGAAGAACAACCGCTGGACGGAGGGGTTGATTTCTGCTGCCAAAGCCGTGGCCGCATCCACCAATACATTGATCGAGACCGCCGACGGCGTGATCTCCGGCCGCAACTCGCCCGAGCAGCTCATCGTCGCGTCCAACGACGTTGCCGCCAGCACTGCCCAGCTGGTGGCTGCCAGCCGCGTCAAGGCAACCTTCATGAGCAAGTCGCAGGATCGCCTGGAGACGGCCAGCAAGGCTGTTGGCGCGGCGTGCCGCAAGCTTGTGCGCCAGGTGCAGGATATTATTGCAGAGAAGAACCGCGACGAGGGCGAGGCCGAGGATTACACGCAGCTCAGCTCGCATGAGTTCAAGGTCCGCGAGATGGAGCAGCAGGTATTTATTTCCCTTCCTTTCTATCTACGGGTTGCGCAGTATCAATTGACTGATGTTTTACTTCCCTTCTAGGTCGAGATCCTCCAGCTCGAGAACAACCTCGCCCGCGCGCGCACTCGCCTGGGCGAGATGCGCAAGATCTCCTACCAGGAAGACTAAATACGCCTGGTGATTGCATTTGCCCCTGGCTGTTTTTTTTTTTCGCATCTTGCTTGTGTGTTTGTTCCATCTCACCACTGGAGAAGACGGTAGTGGTCATGTATATCTCGAAGATGAAATTATTCCGATTGTTTCATTTGCTCTCCCATAAGCCTAGTCCTTTTTTGTTCAGCATCCGTCCACCCAACACACCCCCTGTCTCATCTGCCCCCTGAAGTCGGTCCCTTGTCGTTTCAGCAATTAGTCGAGTCGCGTTCAATACCAACGCCTTCAATTTCAATTCCAATTTCAATTTCAATTTCAATTTCAGTTTCAGTTTTAGTTTCAATTTCAGTTTCAATTTCAATTTCAGTTTCAATTTCAATTTCAGTTTCAATTTCAATTTCAGTTTCAATTTCAGTTTCAATTTCAGTTTCAATTTCCACTTCAATTTCCAAGCCAATCCGTCCGTTCGGAGTTCCCCCTCGTATTAATTTACTCTTGTCTCGCCCTTTTTTCTTTGATGCATCTCATCATCGTCGTCATCCATCCGCCACCCTGATCAGTTAATGGATCCCCCACCTGTCAGCACCGCTCTAGTCCTAGTTAACCAAGATATCTGGCGGGTAGTTAACTAGTTAGTTAGCTATACTGGTCAGTACAGACAGTAAGCACAGAACAAAGTTCCCTAGACGGCCCCACCGATTCCCCTCAATCCATGGACCCGGCCATTTCTTGGCGCAGCAGCGAACAAAGAATATCCCAACGTCACCTCGTCACCTTCGGCAGCCTTGCAGGACATCAAAGAAAGTCGTTGACGCTGCAACGCCAATTTGGTGATAGTGGCTGGCATGTGGAGGCGGGCGCAGAGTTAATTTCAAATTGCTGGGTTTTTTGCTTTTTTCTTTCTTTCTTTGTTTGAGCTGGCTGGGCGGGGGGGTGCATGATTGATTGGACGGGTGTTAGTTTACTGGGACTCGATGGGAAGAAGGACTGAACGGGACCTGGATTTGGGGAGTGCAGGGTCGTTCTGGAGAGTATACTGCACATTACAAGGAGATGGTTTACAGCTTGGAAAGGAAGCATATTTGGGCGTTTTTTTGTAGTGTTTTTGTAAGTAACATGAAACCTAAACTGGGCATCGGGGAATAAGCAAAAAAAGACATGGGAAGTCTGCAGGAAAACCCCAGTAGGGAAAAAACCCGCACAACGATCCTCCACCAACACAACACCCGTGGATAACTTCTCAACCCAAAAAACAAAAGCAGATTGACAATTTGGAACAACCATGCAACATAACACGCCAGAACCATGACGCCAAGACACCGTGAGCCGAGACACCACAAAATGAGGCATAAGGCGCGAGACAACAGACGCCAGAACACCAGAAAACTTCTGAATGCTTGTGATAAGACAGGAGGTTGAAGTTAACATGGGAAAGATGAGGGACAACATGAGAAGGCGCCGACGAACCAGGCACTGAGACACCAGAAAACTCCTGAAGGCTTGTGACAAGACAGGAGGTTGAAAGATCTTTTTTTTTCGAGTGATCAGTTTCAACTTTTTTTTGGGATTTGCTTTCCGCCTCTCCCCCGAGGAGAGGACGCAAAAGCAGACATGTTTCGGAGTTTTCTGGTATGCCTCAAAGAAAAAAGAAGAAAATAAAACAGAAGATCAAGAAAATAAGAAAGATAAAGCAAAGAAAATGGAGAGAACATGCCATCGCTGAAAATTCAAATCGTGAAAGACGTAGATAAAGATCGAAAAAGGAAACGTAAGGAAGATACCGAAAAGATTGCAAACGCCTGTCGGGCCACGGCCTCATCCAACCCCCGAGGGGATCAGATCATCCGACTCGCCAAACTAGCATCAAAGCAACTATTTGGGGCAAAACAAAAGAGCTGGTAAAATCAAAATCAAGTGTGAAATGGTGTTGTACATGTGTCAATCGAAAATCATTTCATTCATCCCCAGCCGTAACAGATTAGATAGTGTGGTGATGTCTCAGTCCAGACCAAAGGAGTTCGTTCAAACAACATTCGCATTCGAAAACTCCTCGTTCAGGAACTCTGGGAAATCGAAGTCAAACTCCATATTGAAGTTCGAGTCGAGAAAGTCTGGGTCGAAGTTGGGTTGAATGTCGGTGTCGATCACAGGGTGGATATATGGGTAAATCTCTTCAACATCCCACTCGTCCATGACAACCCGAGAAAAGTTGATCGGCTCATTGATGACCACGGTTCCATTGTGGATCGTAACCTGGGTGTGGTTCAAAGCCAGGGCAGATTGAACAGCCGTCGGAGCCGTGCGCTCCTTAGGCACACAGTAGTCCACGCTCTCGCAGAACTCGATAACGTCCTCAATGTTGATAGGAGGCGCCGCCACAAGCTCTTCCTTGACGCGCGAAGGACCAGTCTTCATCAAATCGTACCCCTCAGCAGACTTGACGATTTTCCATCCGCTCATCTGGAGATACTCCGCGGGCTCCGGGACTCCAATCAAAGGCGCAGTGAGTTCAATGAAATCAGGAAGCGATGGAGTGTCCACCTCGTAGTCATCGCGAATAGTGGTGTAAGCTTTTGCAAGGATTGCCCACTTCGGCTTCAAGGTCTCCTTGGCCCACAGGTTGCTGATGGCGGAGGACTTGAACTTCTGGGGCATGCCAGGGAACAGAGCGGCATAGTAGCCTATCAGCATGTTAATTTTGATGTGATGAGAAAAGGACATTGGAGGAATACTTACTTCGGAACACCATGAACGAGTTTAAAGGACGCAGACGCCGGGTGGTCCTAGCCTCGCGAGCTGGGGCAGGAACCGGGGCATGTGCCGAGGCAAGAGCAGGCTGCACTTGCTCGTCATACTCAGCGTCATCTTCAGCGTCAAGTTCAGCCTCAAATTCAGCCTCATGATCGTAATTTTGAAGCTGGGCCATGTACTCTTGCGGGCGGCGAGGGGGCATGAGACTGAAAATCCCGTTGGCATACATGTAGTACGGGCCAGGCGAGGTGGGAAGAGGATGCTCGAAAAGCTCTGGTGGGAGAGACTCGATCACAGTAGCAGCATAGTCCTCCATAGAAGTTGCGCTCACATTCCATCCTGAGAGGATTATCTGAGCGTCAGTGGCATGGAGGCTCGACAAGTAGTCAAAGAACTGCAACTGCGTGGGCGATTCAGCGGCCACCATCTTGATGAAGGCTTCTTGAATACACAAGAGTGTTAATACAGGCCGTAAGACAGCTCCCCGGGACGATTTCAAACGTGAAAATGACCAGGCACCGAGGGCACAAGACTCGAGCGGGATGCAGAACAGCTGAAGCAGGTGCAGTGGAGCAGAGAAGTGTTGAAGAGTGAGACAGGTGGAATTGAAGGGTGGGATGGGAAGAGGGACGAAGAGGATTGGGAAGGAAAGGAAGAAAGGTAGAAAAAAAGAGAAGAGAGAAGAGAAGATCAACAAAGAGAGCGGATGGTGGAGGGAACGGGGGTTAGGTGCTTTCTTTGTTAGAGGCCCGCCAGCCAAACACCGTGTCTCGGGGCCGCGCCTGCCTATGCTGTCGACGAGTTTCTTTGTTTGCCTGGCGACGGTCCTGGCAATGGGGGCTGGGGATGCCACTCGAGGTACCTTTTGAACATCTACTGGAGACGCTGGATGGTCCTTCCACACTTGTTATCTGGAGGGGGGTTTTTATGACATGCTAGCCCTAACATTGTGACTCTCATCCATCCCAGGAAGACCACCTTGGACAGTTGTATATAATGGTATATAGTGGTTCACCCGACCCCACTGCATCTATCTGCTATATCAAACACACAGACACACATACTGATAAAGTAAACGTGGTGTCACTGCATACACGTGGTAGGGCGGAGATCCCGAGCATGCAGGGTTCCCGTTCAGCCCTACGACGTGACATGGCATGGCATACATTAATTTAATGATCTACCCGCAAAACTATAAGAACGTAGTATACAATAAAAACAAAATTGTTTTGCGTAGATAACTATCTGCAACGAAGCTCATGTGCTGGGTCCTGGGGTACCGGGGTGCCTCGGCGACATCCGTAGATGGGATATATGGGGTGCCATTCGAGGGGAACACTCCGTGTTCGCAAGGTACTTCCCTCGTAGTACTTACGCTTGCCTAGCAACGACCTTGGCAACCAGTGAACGAACACCAGTGCCTTCCATTTCGGGAGGTACGGGGCACACGCTTGAGGAAGTAAACAGGGCAAACACCGGTTGCTGGACACAACACACAGTGTATAGGTGTGCTGATACGGGTGAGGGGATATTCGGGGCATGGTTATATATTCGTTTCATGTAAAGTCTACCCATATAGATATATACCTTCTCCAGTCGAGACTCAGGCGTGGAGTCTTCTTTCCATGTCCCGGCTCCAAGGACAGACACACTACAGCACATCCGCACACGACAGAGAGATAGAAAAGTCCATTGCAACAGAAATAATCGAAACACCCATCGCAGAAACACCAGCCCACAAACCCCAAGATATTACCATCTCATTGCGCCTGCGCCGACGAGTTCCAATCGCTCGCCCAGATAAACGTCGGACAGCGCCACTGCGTGCCCTTCTCCTTATTCCCGCTGGGTCCGAGCGGCCGCGCACAAATCCAGAACGCCCGGCCGCAGTTGATGCCGGGCTTCTTGGTCTTCATGCTGATGCACGGCTCCTGGTGGCCCTCGCATCGGGGCAGGGGTTTGCGGGTGAAGAGCTTGCCCCAATCTTCCTTGCTGACGATCGGGTCGATTACCGTGTCGCTGTCTGGCTGTTTGCCCGGTGTAATTGGGGGTTCATCTTGCTCCGTAGGGTTGGTTGTGTGCGGTCGTGGCGGTGGCTGCTTGGATGCACTTAGAGCACTGGTCGTCAAGGGAGAGTCGAGTGACGCCTCGTTGGGTTGTACTGCAGCTGCGCCTGAGATCTTTGGAGGAGACTGGGAAGACTCGCCGCCTTCGACGCTCTTCGGCTTGAAGAAGCCCTTAAGTGTTTTTTGTCCTGCGGCAGAGGAAGAGAGTGTTGTTGCGGATCTGGAGCGTTTGGCGGATGGAATGGGGGCGGGTTGTGAGCGCTTGCGAGGAATAGATTTCGTAGTTGGGCTCTCTGCCACAAGGGGAGCGCTGTCTGTCTCGGAGGGTGTGGATAACGGTGCAGCATGGAGTTCTGTTTCGTTATGGGAAGGAACCTTTTGCAGGGTGGTTGTAGATCTCGCTAGAGTGCTCTCAGGCTTACGGGCGAACATATCTTTGATGCTCCTCCGTTTATCAACGTCAAACTCTGGGAGCAGACGGCCAGACGCCGGGAGCATGAACTTGGCCGAGTATTCTTGCTGACGTTCGCCGCCTTTGAAGACGCCTGGCGGGTTCATTAAGTCACGGATATGAACAGGCTCGCCATCATGAGACACGGTGTCCTTGAGAACGGCATAGACGGGACAGTGGTCAGATCCCTGCGTATCAATTAGTAAATGTGCAGGAGACAGGCAGGCGTCAAGACATACCATGAGGCCTTCCTGAATATTCGAATCCGCGAACCACTCCTGCATCCCCACGCTGCAAAGAACATAGTCAATTCGAGACCCGTAGTTCCCAGGCCGCGCATTGATTCTCTGTTCCCAGCAGGTATACATTCCCGCACGATCGGGGTGAAACTTTCTGCAGAGATCATGCAACACTGGCCGTTCTCTGCCTTGCTCTCGTTGGCCGATAACCTCCCCGTCAGACAGTAACTGGTTGAATAGACGCCGCGGTGGAGTAGATACAAAGTCTGCCTCAGACATCTGGTTCTTTCGAATGGCTTCCAGCGCATGCGCTGCGTCAATCGGCCCCCGGGATATATTGATGTCACCTGTCACGACCACCCGTTTCCCCTGCGCAACAAGATTCCGAATGCGAGCATCCAGGGCATTGAGAAAGCTAATGCGGAAGCAGTCGCGGCTTTCATCCCGGTTTGCTGGACAATACACTCCGATTAGAACAAAGGCCGGAAACTCGAGGATGACACAGCGCCCTTCCGAGTCGAGGGTGGCGGCATCAACCTCAGTATCGGCTGTGGGTTCTTCAATGTCCTGCTGCTCGTCTGGATCCGAGTCTTCGGACAGAATGATCGGTCGTGCGAGCTGCTCAGCAGTTGGATATCCTCCAATCTGCTGCTCGGCAGGAAGATCCCGGAACGACACCGAGGAGTTGGGCGGACAGAGCACGCCAGTGATACCCTCCTCGGCGCGAATGGGACTGCATGTCGCGTTGCGCGTGTATATAACTACACCCGAGTACCCTGGGCCCGCTGTTAAACCACAGACTTGTAGAAAGGAGTGGTAGTATGCAGGCGGCTCTCACCCTTCTTGACTCGGGGGAGACTGAAATAGCAGTCCCACCCCGGCACTAGGACCATGTCATCTTTGAGGTCTTTTCTCTGGATCTTGGTTTCTTGAAAGACGACCAGGTCTGCCTCTAGGATGTCGAACATGGACTGGACTCGCGATCAGTTGGAGAACGGTCAGAACAGAAGATGGAACGGCTCACCGCAAATGTACGCGTTCCTCGCCATGGCTCGTACGAGAATGGGTTCCTGGTCAATCACTCAGCACAGAGTACACTCTCATCTCCGGTTCATGTACACACCGGATCCCATTTACTGTAATCCAATGTCAGTGTCGATGCCAGATAGCTCCGATGCAAACGTACCGTTCCAGGTGGTGATGCGAAACCCCATGGCTACTGCTAGCGCGTTCAACGCAGCATATCCACCGTCTAGTTAAACATGTCACTGCTTCCTTTCCCCGTGATATATCCCATCTCCTCACGTGACCAATCGCATATGACATAATGACGCTGACATAATACGGACCAAGACGGGAGAGAAGCACACTGCAACCCGAACCACCTCAACCTCTCAATTCATTGAACTCACACCACTCCCCACTCCACCCACACCCACCATGTTCCCTCAGCGCCCCATCGCCCGCCTGTCCCAGCGTGCCGCGCAGCAGCTGCGCTCAGCTCCCGTTCGATCGACCGTGCAGCGCCGCTTCAACTCGTCCAATGTGCCTTCGTGGGCTGCCGACAATGCGTTCAACCGTGAGCGCGAGGCTGTGAAGCACCATGCTGCCCAGACCAGCGGTGCGTATTTCTCTACTGTGATACAATTGTGTTTCTGGGTTCGGGGTTTACTGACGAATTGGCTATGCAGGCTTGTGGCTTAAGCTGTCTATCTTGTGCGTCGATCTCTCTCTCTCTCTCTCTCCCTGGACTGAGCGGGGACTGGGCCTGGAATTGGAACTAATTGGGCCTACAGTGCTGTTATCCCCTGCCTGATTGGCGGTAGCATCAACGCTTACAACCTCTGGAATGAGCACTGGGAGCACTGGGAGCACATGCCCCCGCTTGAGGAGCGCACCGAGTACCCCTACCAGAACATCCGCGTCAAGAACTTCCCCTTCGGCGACGGTGACAAGGTGAGTCTTTCCTTCTCTCTTTCCCATTGACTATTCCTTACTAACCACTGTCTTTGCAGACCATCTTGTAAGTTTCAATTCCGCGCCACTCGGGACCGACATGTCCATCTCCGGCGTCCATCACATTGATTCACCCGGATCTCCCCACCTGACTGTCCCCATTCTGCTTTAACTACATACTGACAACGGTTACAGCTGGAACTCCGAGGTCAACTACCACAACAAGGACAAGACTGTCTAAGCACCTCCTTTCCGCGACAGAGCTCGACTCAGCGAGAGTCCCTGCATGTGTCCGGGAGTGGGTTTTTTGGATGCAAAGAATCATGTATATCTATCGCGCTGTTGTTCCTTGGAGTGGAGGAATCCTCTGAGGTTATAACTTGCAGTCGACACCTTTGAAAATTAGCTGACAATACTACTGCTATTTCCTTTGTTGCCATTGAGCCTTTTGCAACGTAGGCGTACCCTTACGGCTCCTTAACACCGCAAGGCAGTCAGCTGTAGCGATGCCATTTGAAAACTATACCATAGCGAGACAGACCTTTCCAGATCCACGACAGAAGGTACGACAAGAATTGATCATTGCATTCATCCTCGTCCGATATCTATGGCATTCATCATTTATGACCCCCCATCAACAATCACGCCCCAACACCCATCTGCTTTCGCAGATCCAGGTACTTGGACGCATAGTCATTCGCTAGCACAGGATCCCCAGTAAGATGCATAACCGTCGCCTTCTTGGCCATCATCTCCGTCTGGCCCTTGATATCCTCGATCTCCTCGTACTGATCATACGCGCAGTCGATATACCCAAGCGCGCGATTCACATATTCCTTTCTCGCAGGCGTGCCCCCCCTCCCCTGCAGTCTCCACAACTCCCCCGCCATCCCCATATTCGCATCCACGAGCAGCGAGTACGCGCGCGCAATGAGCGCGCAGTCCTCGCTCTCCAGGATCTGGGGCATGATGCTCTCAACCAGCTCGCTGGTTGCATCGAATTCCCGCAGGCTCAGGAGGACGGCGGAAAGCGTGCAGATGGCTTCCCACAGGTCGAAAAGAATCTTAGAGTGGTGGGCAATGCTGGCGGCTCGCATTGCGAGAGAGAAGCCGCGTTGCGGCTGGCCGGATTGCGAGAGGACACGCGCTTTCAGGCAGAGGATTTTCACCTGCGAGTGCACGTCGAAATTCTCAGGGTGCATGGATTGGGCGGCTTGTTCGATCATGCGCAAGGCGCGGCCGTAGTCGCCTTGTCGGATTGTAAATTCGATGGAGTAGAATGCGAGGAGGAGGCGCATGTCGAAGTCGAGGAGTTGGATGGCTTGTAATTGGGAGAGGATGTGTTCCACAGCGACTTTGTCGTCTCTGGAGAGGGTTAGATAGCGGATAAAAGGCATGGGCGAGCAATACTCACCGGCAAATCTGGCGTCGTAGCTGCAATAAGCCTGAGTAATATGTCCAGGCATTGTTATATTGGAAGGCCCGCAGTCTTTCTGGCTCGATTTTGTTCATGCGAGCAAATGCTTCCTTGTAGCTGCCCTTTTGTGCCAGCTGTTCTTCCGATCAGCATATGTAGCATCAGATGGAGAAGACTGGACTTACAATTTGGCAATTCCGAAAGGTGATCTTGATAAAGTCGTCATACGGATGATCTTCCTTGTAGCACTCGCGGAAGACCTCAGTGCCCAGCCAGGAGAGGTGAGTGGCCCCTGTCATATCGTCAGTTTTGGACCCAATCTCGCTCATGGGGAAACCGACCTAAGCGGGCATACAGGGCGCTTTGGAGCAACATGTACCCGCCCGTTGGATTTGTAAGACCCTTGGTGACGTTGATGTGGGAGGCGCGCGCAAAGGACTCGGCAATAGACGCAAGACTCTCTCCCTGCTGCATCTCCAACTTGGCCTCGCTCAACACCGTGGTACTCATGAGCGACCACATCTCCGTCTCCTTCGACTTGGCTTTGAGGAAGGCAAGACCCTCCTTCTCGTTACCCAGCATACCACTATTCTGGACTTCGCGCATCTGCTCCGGAAAGGCTTTGCCGAAATGGTACAGCCAACTCAGGCAAAAGTTCAGACAGTTCATATCGTGGGACTCGCGGGCAATCGCTACGGCCTCCTGTACAGCTGAGATCGCTTCGCTGAAACATTCAAAGTCCGCTTGGAGGATGGCGAGATTCAGGAGCGCAAATTGGTATGCACTGCGGTCAAAGTTGTTGTGCATGGTGTAGTCGAAGTATCGGTGGAGATTGTCAAAGGCGGACGTGTAGTCGCCAGCTTTCCAAGCGTCCAGATACCTGGATCACATCAGCGATTGTCATCTTTTGTCACAAGGCAGGCACTTACTCCATGTAGTAGGTCAGCACTGGTACAGAGGACTCCGAGGTTATGACACGCCTCAGTCGAGCTCGCATCTCGTCCGGGACTCTGCCTCCCATTTCTGAGGCTATCAGTTATATGATCCTGGTCTTGTATAGGATAACATACTTTGCAGTTCCCCGATTTGAAACTCCACCAACCGCTCCGCGTCCTTGGTGCTAATCATGCCCTCATCATCCTCGTCGTCTTCAATATTGCCATAAACCACCCGGGAGAGGTGGCTGTTCATAGCCACGCCAGCACCAAGCAGATTCGTATCCACCGGAGCTTGAGAATTGGACGGATTCCTCCTCGCCCACATATGATAGGTCGGCAGCCGGTATCTCACAAAAGCAGTCCACAGCTTCACTGCATCGCAAAACTGCAATCGCGTATACTCCAGATAGGCGCGGCGCACAAACGCGCCCAAAGGCGAGCTGCGCGAAAGACGCATGCGTTCCGTCTCAGGAGCAAGTCCATCATCCCTCTCCTGAAGCAATTGCTCCCGCGTCTTGGTCAGCAGCGCGGGAAGCGCATCGCAGAAGAAGGTCTCCAGCGCATCGCACGAATTGATCGACCAGATCTTCTTCAGAAACAGATCCCACAGCGTGCGGCCTGGCACGGAGGATTCATGGCCTGACAGGAACTCCTCGATCTCGGCGATGGTCGGGAGGTAGTGCTTTGTCCACTGCTTATCGGCTGCATCGAGCGGGAAGATGCCCGCGGTCAGGAACGAGAGGACATGGATGGCGGAGGTGTTGGGTACGTCGCCGTCGGTGTAGACTGTTATCAGGCACAGCAGAGAGACCCTCCACGGAGTGAGATAACGCGTCATGTTGACATTTTGTTTGTTGGAGTGTCGGAGTATCAATGAGTGTGTCAATAATGAGAGTGTCAAGGGCGCGTGGAGGCATAACCGATAGCTGCCTCAGGCATACACGCGGCGGGACTGGGAAAAAAGTTGGCCGATGACGATGATTCACTTTCAACTCTACACTTCATAATGGCAGACGCTCTCACCACCACCGACCTCCAAGGCGCCCTGCCTCTTGTTGCTAGGGGCAAGGTGCGCGACCTATACAAGGTCGACGACAAGACCCTGCTCTTCGTCGCAACAGATCGCATCTCCGCATACGATGTGATCATGGAGAATGTACGCACGCATTGATAACTAGCTCCCTATTCTTCCCACACATCCAATGCTAATTGAGCTTCAGGGCATCCCGAACAAGGGCGTTCTCCTCACCCTCTGCACCCGAACCTGGTTCCAGGTCCTGACGGAAGCAATTCCCTCGCTGCGCACACACTTCCTCACCCTCGACCTCCCGCCCCAGATCCCCGCGCCGCTCCGTCCCGTGCTGCAGAACCGGAGCATGCAGGTGCGCAAATTGCGCATTCTGCCCATTGAAGCCATTGTCCGTGGTTACATTACTGGTTCGGCGTGGAAGGAATACCAGAAGTCAGGCACCGTGCATGGCATCAAGGTTCCTGCTGGGTTGAAGGAGAGCGAGGCCTTTCCCGATGGCCCGATCTATACGCCGAGCACGAAGGCAGAGCTGGGGGAGCACGATGAGAATATCCATCCGGATCAGGGTATGTGTTTTACTGGATCATAATTTCGTGGAGATCGTCTAACATTTATAAACAGCGGCTGCGATTGTCGGAGAACAATACGCGTCGACCATTGCGTCGCTGGCAGTGACGCTGTACAAGGCCGCACACACCTACGCCCTCGAGCGCGGGGTGATCATCGCCGACACCAAGTTCGAGTTCGGCGTCGACGAAGAGACCAACGAGGTCGTGCTGGCCGACGAGGTCCTGACCCCGGACTCATCCCGGTTCTGGCCGAAAGACTCCTATGAGGTTGGGCGTGGACAGCAGAGCTTCGATAAGCAGTTCTTGCGCGACTGGCTGGTGCAGGAGGGATTGAAGGGGAAGGAGGGTGTGCGAATGACCGAGGAGATTGCACAGAAGACGGCAGACAAGTATAGGGAGGCGTGGGAGAAGATCACTGGGGGTAATTAGGGTTGTGAGGCTGTATATTCTTTTTCATGCTTTACGAGATAAACTAAATGACATGCCCAATGTTGTTACATTCTGAAAAGATAGATAATACACCTCAGCTCCAAGGAAATATCACTAATCCCACTCCGACTTTAGTCCCTTCAGTCCCTTCGCCTTTCCACCAGTCTCTTTTTGCTGCTCATGGGGCTCAGCAGACTTCTCGCCAGACCCCGTCCAGCCCGTCCGGACACCTTCATCCACGGGTAAAGCATGGGCGCCACAGATGCGGCGCTCCTCGTCCGCCTCCGCCTCGCTCATCCCATTCGTCGCCCAGATCTTGTGGATGCGCAGATCATACGGCCCCTCGATCCGGTCCGTCAACCCAATCCCAATACTCTTCACCCTCTGCCGCAGAAGGGAAGTCTGCGGCTCAACCACGTAGCCATGGTTTGTCCGCACAAACGAGTGGAAGGGCAGCAGAACAGTCTCCCAGCCCGTTGAGCCAGCGGTGGTCGCGCTGGACGATGAAGAAACCACAGTTGATTCGGGGGGCACGTCAGACAGAGCAGAGGGGATCCCGCGCGGGTATAACTCCTGATTCAGCTCGGGCGAGTCTGACGCTTGGGTGTAGGTAGCCTGTTGGCGCACAGGCGATGCGCCCTGCACGCGGTGATGCCGGGTGTAGAGTCTGTGTTGGTGGATGTCGGTCTGGATGACGGAGTCCGTTTGCACGTTCACGGTGTATCGCCGACCGTCGGACTTGATGCGCAAGGCGAGGTAGGTGTATGGGTCGACGTCCCAGAAGAGACGGCCGAAAAGCCAGAAGCCGCGGTCTTTGTTGCGGAAAGCGGCATATCCTGTGTGGCCCGCGCCGATCAGTATCTGTCAATGCATGCCATAAAAATCACATACCGGTCCGTTCGACTGTCCAGTTTGCGGGGAGTTTTGTGGAGATGGTGCCGTGGAAGCGCGCATGGGAAGGTGAGGTGGGTGAGGAGGGATCGGCCGGCTCGTAATCGAGACTGGCGGTGCTGAAGCCTCCTACGGCGCGATCGGCCATTGTCTTGCAGCCGCGTATGGTCTCTTCATCTTCAAAATCGAGCAGGACGTATGGCTTGGTCGGTATGTGGAGGGTCTCGGTGTTCCAAGCTGGACGGGGGAGAGTCTGTTAGCAGCAGGCGCAGGATGAGGAGATGGGAGAAAGGACGGTACCTATTCTCCCCAGACGACTCAGTTCTTCTGCGCTTCGTTTAAAGAAGCCCTGTCCGGCCGACAGGCACCGTGCTGTTGGAATCATGGTTGGGATGGTGATGGGAAAGGAAGGAAAGGAAGATAGATGTTCGGATTGAGTGGCGCGAGATAAGGCGATCAGATCAGATAAGCAAAATGTTTACTCAAGGTGCAAGTATAAAAGTGAAAATCTTATTGTGGCCTACATCTACGTACAAGAATTCTCATTCTCTCTGAATACATGATCCTATCTCTGATGACTGATTTCAGAGCCTTCATCTATCTTCTGCCTGAACACTCTACCAAGTGTGTTGCGTACATCCAACGTCATGTCGGCCACTGTCTGGATCGTGGTTGACTCACCTCCGCGTCCCTTTTAGGGAAAACAGGAACCATATCCGCTTCTACCTCCTGTACATGGAACCGAGGCCACTGCTCCAGCGAGTCTGGGCTGCGCCTCTCCCAGCCGTCGCCCAACGTGGTGCCCCGACCAGCACCCGCTGGACTCGACTTTCTTGGCCATGCTTTTAAACTCGTCTGGATCCTCGGGACTGTTATCAAGCACTACGCATTGAGCCAACGGCCCTTCAGCCGACAGGGCCATGGTTGACCGCGAGACTCCCACCCCTTGGGGCCTAGGAGCCCACCAAAAGGATTAGCTCTGGCAAGGCGGAGGCTACTAGTATCCCCGCGGATGATGTCCCCGTCACTATGCCCTTTTCTTGGGCTGGGGCTATATATGCCATATATGCCAGCTTGGCAGCTTCATCGTTTCTGCACACTGAATCCTCTCGCTTGTCTATATACTTGCTGTATACTTCATCCCCGTCGCTCTTTTTCTTGAATATTACTCACTTATATCTCGCTCGAGTGCTTAGAGATGTCCTCCCAGACAGTATTCCCCAGTTCTGAGCCCTGGTACTCCCGGCGGGGAGATCGGGTGAACGAGGAGCCCTCAGCGAAGAACGCCCAGGGCTTGTTCCCTCCTGATGCCTGCATTTTTGTTGGCAAGTGAGTCTTACTCCCCAGTTGTTGTGTCCCTACAGACTGACTTCAATAGCCTTTCAACCAAGTTGAGCGCTGAGGAACAGAGCGACTACTTGTCGCGCGCGTTCATGAAAATCGGCCCTTGCTATGTCAAGATCAAGCAAGACAGGAAGAAAGGGCTTCCTGGGGCCTTTGTGCAGTTTGAGGTAAATTCTTGTTTTCTGTCTCTCTAAGTTACCTAGCTACTGACTCGGCTCCTGGAACAGTATGTGGAACATGCCACGACGGCACTGCAATGGGATGAGTTGCTTAAACTCGATGGCCGCTGGCTACGGATTGAGAGGGCAAAAGGAAGGCGTTAGTATTACTGCATATTCAAGACTGTTGTACTGACATAAGATTTTCCAGGAACAGCATGTCTTGGATTCCGCTCCGGGGAGTCCATCTCTAACGCTGAGGTTGACCACGCACTAAATGGACGCGGCCCTGTGGAAGTCTACACTCTTGAACACTATCAGTCAGGACCTTACAACTGGTGCACAGTCTGCAGAGTTACATTCGCCTACGTTGATGATTGCAGAGACGCTATTAGGGTATGTCTCTTTGACCCAATCCCCCCAGGCCATATCAACTAACATAAAATGTATAGCATTTCCAAAAGGACGAAATATACTACATGGTTCTGCTCGACATCGACGGCAACCCAGGCGCGAAGCCTTCAAACAAAACTGCCCCGGATCAGAGGAAAAAGAACTGGGCCCCCCCCTTCCTTTCCTGCCGGTCTTTCTGGCAACAAACCACCCCGATTCAACAACAACCGACCCTACCGCAATGGGCCCAACAACCAAAGAGGAGGCTACAATGGCCCTCCGCCACCAACCTACAATGAAAACATGCCCCCGGGAGGCCCATACCCTCCTTGCGGTCTTTCTTATCCATCGCCACATCCTCAGATGTACTCCGGGATGCTGATGTATCCCCCCAACGGGCTTCCCCCGATGCATCCCCCAGTGTCCTACCCGGAAGCCTATCCTCAGATCAGTGCCTGTGGTCCCGCTTCTCCATACTATTACTACCCTTCACCAGGGCCCATGTACAAACCCGGTCCGCGAATCTCATCGTCACAGCCGGATATGAACAGCGGTGCTATGATTGTCAACAGCCAGCCTATGCCCAACAACATGCTGCCGCCTCCCTATTGTGAGCTCTTTGCTCCTGAGATGGGATATCCGCCATACACTCCTCCATATACGATGCCTGGGCTAGCGGATGGATACTACATACTTTCCATGGGCCCTGAGGCCTATGGCCCTAGCATGCAGTGCCCTCTTCCACCGTCCAGCAATAACGACACAAGCTCGGAGAAGACCAATGGAGGAGCTCCACCTGCAGCACCGGAGCAGGATACCGAGAAGGACAAGACCGATGAACCAGAGGCTGATATACACAATCTCCCACCAGAGAAAGCGCCTCACCTCATTAGAACGCACGACTTGAACTGGGACTCGGACGAAGAGGAAGAGGAAGAGGAAGAGAAAGAAGACCGACCCTCCCGGCGCGAAAAGCGGCCCAAGAAGTTTACCGTCCTCGACCCTGTCCTCGAAGAAACTGAAGTCCTCCCCTCCTCCTCCGGATCAGAAGCCTCCCAGTCCCCCTCATTCTCCTTCTCGCCCTCGCCCCCCCCAAAACGAATCCCGCAACCAATCCAGCGAGCCTACCTCCTCGCCAGACCCCACAAAATTCCATCTGCAGCACAAGGCCCTGGCGAGCAAGTACCGGCCTGCGAGCGGGATCACGGTTGAGGAGTACGTGCGCAACGAGGCGAAGACGAAGGCTGTCTGGGCGGAGCTGAGTGAGGAGCTTATCGCGCAGGTTATTGGGGAGTTGGAGGAGGAGAGGATCGATAAGAAGGCTGTGCAGTCGCTTATTACTGCTTCTGCGGGTACTTCGAGGAGTTGTTCGTTGACGAGGAGTGCTTCGTCCAAGTCGATATAGTTTCTTTTGTCTTTCTTTTCGGTTTGGTTTATTTAATGTTGAGGCTGTACTCTACTTCTTTATTTCCTTTGTTTTGTATGGGCCAAAAAGTTTGTTTGATGTTTTATTTCTATATGGAACTTGGTGGAGTTGAGTTGGCGCCCTTGGAATGTGTTTCTTTTCTTCTGTTTCCTTTACAGTGTGATCTGGTCTGTTGTCTCTTGTACCACAAACTAAAATGAATCAAACGTGTTTCTTTTTCCAAGTTTGCTTCTCAAAAATTATTACCTATGCTATAACTACTGTACGTTAAGTGGACAATCCTATAGTTACCAGAACTTTGTCCAAAACGAATCACCACCGCCCAATAAGCTCAACACAACCCAATCCGATTGAAATAAACGCCTGGCTATAAATAGACGTAATGAATGAGTAGACGGGTAGTATAATACCCAAAATATATATGTACAGGGGGATGCGCTTGTTGATGCTGAATGCCGTCCGTGAAACCAAACCAAAACCAAAACCCAATAGCCAGTGTACCAATTTGAGGAAAGACGCCGAAGAGGAAATGAAGTAGCAGCGGAAATCAAAGAAAAACAAGAAAAGCAGAATGAAGAAAGAGATTTATATCGATGCGAGGGTGTGATGATGTATCCTTCACTCCATGCAAGGTTGTCATAATCGAATGTAGCTGAGTGATAAGAGTGTGATCCAGGTGGTACGTATATGGGAGGAGATAGAGTTGGATCGGGGAGGGTGAATGTAAGCTGGTGGTAGTGAGAGGAGGAGGATGTATAGAGGAGGTAATGATACGTCCTCAATCATAAGGATACGCAGGATCAAGCCCTAACGCGCCTTGCATCAAAGTAGCTCAGGTTGACAGCAGTGTCATTCGCACCCACGAAAGGAGCCGCATCCTCCAATAGTTCCCAGGGACGTATGGGATACGGCCCAACAATTCGACCACGGTGTTGGAGACGGAGTCGATTTGCGACGCAGTTGTTGCTCTCGGGCAGCCCATTGGGGAATATTGCCGTAGCGCCAGCAGCAGGTTGTTGCTGGGCCGCGGAAGATCCAATGGCGGGCGATGGAGTTGGAGTAGACGCCGAGGCTGCAGGGGATGGCATCGAAGCAGGCTGCTGTTGCTGCGAAGATGACCAAGACTCGCCCATTGGGCCGAGCAGATACAGGAAGCGGGAATCGGTTTGGAATTGGACGAAAGGGGGACACTTTTCCTTCAGGAACCGGGCACATTGATGGCGCACTTCATTGGGAAACACGTCAATTAGGGAGGCGGCAACGTCCAGGGCGTGAGTTTGGAGCAGGATCCCTAGGCGCGGATGATATTCCTCAGAGGAATTCGGGCGGTGAAAATAATCGGCCGTGGGGTAGAGACGAAGCACATCACCTGGAAGACGCGACAGCGCGATGCAGATGATTGAAATTAACAGTCGGGTCTGCTCAAGCGAAGCACCAGTCTTCACTGCCAGAGAGGACTGAATGAATGAGGCGCGGTGAATGACAACCATCCTGAGCAAAGCAGAGAACCAGAAGGCGAGCGCTTGCTCAAACTTTGAGCGCGAATGACCAGCCGCCACATCGGTCTTCCTCTCCGTGTTCTGCATGGTAATGATCTTATGCAAAAGCGAGTCCATCCTCTCCACAAGCACAGAAGCCACCGACGGCGTACCCGACTCAGGGATGCTGCCTGAAAGCTCCTCGATGATGGTGAGGTACAGCTTTGCCGTCTCCAATGATCCAGCAGGAGGATCGTGCATCGACTCTTCTGATAGCGGAATGGCGAAAAATTCTTTCTCGGCGCGTTCGCGAATCTGACGCACGGCATCTGTGCTCATCAGCGCAACGAGATTCACCCAGTGAAGCCTCTGCGCCCTCGAGTCTGCCACGGCAGTTTTGAACATCGCGTCCACGATGCTGTCGCGATCCTCATTTCTGGAGTCGGTGTGGAAAAGGATCTGCAGCTTCAGCTGACAGAATGGAAGCGAGAAATCATCGGCCATGGCGGTCAGCTTTTCGACCTCTGCAGTGACAAGGCCCGGTTGCGAAGGGAGGCCAAGAAGAAGATCTAGCGCCGTTTGAGTAATACCCATGGCTGCCGGGTACTGATGGATGAGCTTCTGCATGCAGTTTTGAGCTATAGAGTCGGAATTCCGCACTAGACAGTCGCGTAGTAACGTCACCATAGCGTTCTTCAAGTCGCTTTTCTTTGGGTCACTGCCATCGAGTGATGCTGCGGCATCAGAGACGATCCCAAGAGCTTCCTCGGCATTCTTCGAAAGGAATTCTTGCTGCGCCAATTGAAACCGGTATGAAACCATATCCATATACCTTTCACCGCCGTCAGAGACCACGAGAAGAAACTGTACAAGATCCGCGGGCAAATCAGCTACATTAGGAATTGACGCTGCCGCCGATTCGGATTGCATGAGCCGTTTCACAAGAAGCAAAAATGCACGGAAGGTGACACAACCCACACCGATGAGTGATGGAAGAATGCGAAGTAGCGTGAGTCGGTCAGGGGACTTCAGATGTTCACAGACCCAGCGAGCCAGGATAAAATCAAAGTGCTTTGGATGGAACGACCTCAATTGTGCTAGATATCGGCAAGTGTCATTCGCCGACAGCTTTGCATGTTCGACAACAGACTCGAGATGTTTTGTGAGAGTGCTGAAAACCGTGTCCAGGGTGGGCTCGTCCATGAAGTTCCCAGACATCAGGAGCTGATCCAACTTCTCGCGCAACAAGGGGTCCGCATCACCGAATGTGTCGGCGATGTGGTCTGAGACTGGGGAGGATGCAGCTATGCCCGACTTATTCTCTATGCGCGAAAGGTCTTGGCGGAGAATCGCGACAGTGTTGAGCTCACTGGGTATTCGGAGCCCAAGCTCGATTAGCGAGAACACTAGATCAAGACTCGGCATGCTGAACCTCTTCATAGCGGCGTAGGCGTCAACTAGTTTTCGATATAGATCCGTGGTGGCGCCTATCACGCTGAGTGAATCGAAGTGATAATGTGTCGTGTCTGCGACTGATGCAAGCACGGTGCTGTCGTCACAAGTTGAGGCACATTTCAGCACATCTGCGAGCATGGAAAGATCCCCAAACAGCTCAAGGATATTGCGTACGCCGTAGAACTCGTCAGGAGTCAAGGCAGAGACCGTTGCCTTCAGGCCGCCAGGAAATGCGGATTGAGTGATTGTTTCACTAGCATCACGGGTGTGCTCAGCGACGCCGCGTCGTAGCCACTGGCCAACTTCGGCTTTGACTGCCCAACTTAAATTCGTTGGGAGCGGACATGGTGACATGTCTGTTTGCATGTGGGTATCGTCAAAGATGCCCGGAAGACGTTGACTGATGTTCTCTTTGACTTTTTCAATAGTGGCAGCCTCCTCCGAGATAGAATGCCCTGTCCGCGCCAAAAGCGTACTGCGTAAATTCCCAACGTGCTCTGGAAGACGGCTGACTGGAAGCTGTGATATGAGACCGATGTCACCAGGTAAGTTTTGCTTTTCCGTGGAGGCTTTGGTAACACCCTTGGCCATTAACCACTGCAGGTATCGACCAACCGAGAAGGTCTGGGACCTGACCAGCTCCGAGATGGCATGGTAGATGTTGTCCAGATTCAGCTTCTTGTCATTCCGGACGTGTGTGAGGAACGAAAGCACATGCCCGTCCACGTCGACCCCGGCCGCTTTCCATTTTCGTAGTAGGCGAACACCGATATAAACTCGGCAAATACCGTTACGAAAGGGAGTGGCGAGCCACTCCAGTAGCTTGGAAACCAAAACGGCCTTATCGTCAACGGAGTCAAGACAGGCAGAAGAGATGGAGGAAAGGTCCTGTGCGGTGCGTATAGAGTCAAGGAGACGGATGACTGATTGATGAGGCGAGCGCTGTGAGGTCTGGCAAGACTGCCGAGGACGCTGCACCCGGGTATTTCGTTCGGCAAGACATTGGAAAAGGGCGCGATTCGGTTTTTGGGAGAAGTCGAGGCACGATGAGACATGATGTTTGTACACGTCCCACGAATTTGGGAGTATGACTGATGAAGGATGTTCGTGAACAAGCTTCTTGACGAAGCGAGAGAGTCGGTCGATGAGAGGTTGTAATGTTTCCAGCTTTGCTTCCGTAGCTTGGCGGAGTTTTTCGAGCAACATCTCGGCTAACCGGCGTCCCCGTCGGCGATATCGCATGAGGCTCTCCCAGTAAATGCCAAGCATCAAGAGCCAGATAGGAATGGTGTTGAGCGATGCAGATTCAAAGGACGACAAAAACCACTCAAGGAAATGATCATGGTCGAGTAAGTTCTCAAAAAATAGACGGGCAGTCAAGCCGACCCTGTCACTGCGTCAGCTTTTTTTCATTTGATGAAATCATGGACAGGAACGTACGCATAGGTCATCCTGGCCTTCCAGTCCGAAGTTTTCTCACCGCTGAGCACACCTTCGACGAACTGCTGTACGTTCGTGGTCCAGTCGCGCACCCATTTCGCCTCTAATCCGACTGCCAAGGCACCGCTCGTGCCTTTTCGTTTGAAGGCCCGGATTTCATTGGCACCAACGCACTTTGCCAGCCACACCGCTCGAGCCGCTGGAATCCACTTCCCCAGGCATTGATCAAGCAGAACCTTGCCTCGGATACCGTGGGGAATGGTTCGGCTCAGTCTGCGCAGGGGCACAGAGGGGTTAGCTAGATCACGGAGCCAGGTCTCCCGCTTATTGTCTGTGAGTGTGACTCGAGGTGGCGGCTTGAATGTTGATGGCGCATGGACGGCGTTGTGATTCTGTCGTCTTTCAAGAGCAGCGGTGAACACTGATGAAAGGACATGAAGTCCAGCGCGATGCTTCAATTGCGAAAAGAGTGCCGGGCGGGCGGTATTGGATTCATTTTGCGAGACCTGTGTACGGTCATAATAGCCTTGTTTTGCAGTTTGTTCGTTCAGCAGGTCTTCCGGGTGGTTTCCGGTCCATGGCACGAAATCGGCGACTTCTAGGACGAGGATCAGCAATCAAGTGCCTCAGTTACCACAGACAAAAATACTTACTCTCTCCTTTCAGAACCGGGGCTACCGAAGGCACCTCAATGTGGTACGGGGTTGTTTGTACATCCTTGACGGGCGAGCTCTCCCGAGACCTGGAAGCGTGGTCCGCGGAGCGTTCCGCCAGGGCGGTTTTCCACGGCTGAACAGGCAATGGAGGCGGCGATGCCGCACCATTGCCACGATTCTCGCCTCCAGGCAATTCCGCGATGACTGCCTGGAACGACCACAGCGGCCGGCCGCGCCACGAAAGTGGAGGTGGTCGCGAACCGCCACTGCCCGGGGTATTCCTCGCCTCAGCTCCTGCAGCGGCTCCATCCACGACACCCGTGTTTCCCGGCATATCCAATCTGGGACGTTTGGCGGCCGGTTCTCCTTGCGACTCGAGACCATCGGCTAAGTCGACGACTGCCGAGGACCGGCCCGACATCTGCGAGGGTTGCGACTTGTCCGGGGAGTCATATTGCCCTTGGCCCTGGCCTAGGTCTCCGCGCCCGGAGCCTCCCTGATTGAAGGCCCGGAGCGGATGGCCCCATGCCTGGCCGGTGGAGGAGTGAGGGATCATGTTAGGGACATGGTTGTTAACGGCGAGGGATTCATTTGGTTTGGTAAGGGAGGGTGGATTGGGCGGTAGGGTCTCAAGGAGGAGGAGGAGGAGTGGCCATAGGCGTGACTGTGAGACTGGGTATCGAGAGAACTGTCGGGTGTGCAGACACACACCTACAGTGGGAAAGTGAGTTGGTTGCACAAGTAGTAATCTGGGGGCAAGGTGTTTATCGGTCAGTGATAACGTAAGGCGCTCCGAGCTGCTCCGTGTGATCCACGGCAGTTGGGAATGTGGAGGAAGGGGGAGTTATCACATACTAGTTTACAACTATATCGAATCACACCTTAATAGTAGCCTGCGTTCTTTACTATCCGTAGGTAGTATGGCCTGACAGTATAGGAGCGGTCTTGATGTTTTGCCACATCGAGTATCTCGACCCGAGGGCTGTGCTTACTTCTCGGCTATCCCTAGGATGACCGGATTCGAGAGTAATCCTGGAGTTAGTCCGAGAATCCGAGAAGAGCAGTACCGTAAGACTAAAATTGTTTGCCCATAATCAGAGACCTAGTCTTACATAGCGTGTAGTGTGGTCTCTAGCGTGGTTCTCCAGTTCCGCCGGCAACTCCGTTATCTCGCACTCCACACCTTCCACTCCCGTCACTTCCTCACCCTCCCCGGAACACTATCACCATGTCGTCGAAGAAGGACATGCGCAGGGCCGATCTCGGTGTGTATTGCATCTAGGTTCACTGCCATTGGTTTCGGGCTAACCCACTCTCCCCATTCCAGCGATCCCCTATGTCGAGCCCCCCAAGAGCGACAGCGATGGCGACCTGGGCGGTACATCCTCCCTCCCGTGAATCTTGCCGTCAATGGAAAACTGATCAGGAGCTCCAACAGGAACCATGTCGAGCACCATGCCCATGGCCGCGGTAAGTGCTTGGTCGTGCGTGTCTGGGACCCCGTCGCATGCTAACCCTCTCGCCCCCAGATGTTCATGAGGAACCGGTGAGTCGGCCTCGCTTCTCTCGATGGAACACTGTAGTTAACAGCAGTCACCTTCACAGAATGGTTGGATGGTAAGTGGGCAGTGGCGCATGCCGTTACCCATTGGCTCTTCCTCGGTGTTCTAACCACCTCTCCAGGGTCGCATTCGTCTTTTCTTTCCAGACCTGGTTGGCAGAAACCCCGGCGCAGAAGAAGAAGGCTTCTACGCCGGCATACATGTCGGTCCTGATGTCCTGTTCGTGTCCTGTCCTCCTCCCTGATCGACCAAGATTGCTGACCTGCGGTGTTCCATAGTGATGGCATTGGTCGTGGTATGTCCTGAGCGCCGCAGGCCCTTCTCCCGCTTTCTGACCGCTACTCCCAGACCTATTTGCCGCTCTTCCTGCCTCCGCCCGCCGCGCGGGCTGCCCCTGCGCCGGCTCCTGCCCCTGGAGCATAATTCGCCCGTGTTGCTCCGCCGCAACCATTACTTGACAAAGAAGAAGCAATGTGCACGGGAAGGAGGATTATTTTCTACGTGTGTGTTATATAATATTATTGTACCAATATTATACCATTGCCATCCACGGCGCATAGATGCAGCCGTAATCCATGCTACGCGAGTCGAGTCACGTGCCCGGCGGGACAAAAGGCTCTTGCCCACTTCTTCTTTCCTCCTCGTCAACCCACTCAGCCTCCAACCCAAACTCCTCGCGCTCTCACCCACCGCTCGATCGCTTCGTCTTTTCTAGAGACTCACTTCCCAGACTCCACTCTCTTTACAAATACTGCTTTTAAGGGCCGTTTCCTGCAAAAGTCCGAGTTTATGTCCATCGAAAACCTCAAGACCTTCGGTGAGTTCGGTCGCCACCTCCCCCCCCCCCCCTCCCCCCCCACTCCCTTTCTGCAACTCTACACAACAACGTGGTTTTTCTTCTTCCGTATATTAGGAGACAACACTATCCTGGTCTACCTAAGAGCTCTACCGGTTGGTGTTGGTGTTGAGCAACGAACCTTTCCTGTCGCCCGACCAATTCCCGTGCATCGCTGCGGCGGGGTAGAAGTCTAGTCCTGGACGGAGCTGACACACTTGCCTCTCTCGCAGACCCCTTCGCCGAAGCTGACGAAGACACCGGCGAGACTAAACAGTCTCAAAACTACATCCACATACGGATTCAGCGTACGTCTTCCCCGTCACACGGTCGCGATTTGTCGGCGCCTATACTTAGGGGGGGGTGTGTTGCTAACCGCCATGTTTCATACAGAGCGCAATGGTCGAAAGACTCTGACCACCGTGCAGGGTCTTCCTAAGAAGTTTGATCAGAAGAAGATCTTGAAGGTGATCAAGAAGAAGTTCGGTAGGGTTCTTGTTCTCCTTGCGTCATGTCGCGTGCTAACCTCCCCCTTTCAGCTTGCAATGGCACCATCGTCAGTGACGTGGAGATGGGCGAGGTGATTCAGCTGCAGGGCGACCAGAGAAAAGATGTTCAGGAGTTCTTGACCGACAAGAAGGAGGGCCTCGAGCTGGATGCCAAGACCATCAAGGTATGTCGCCGTCGACACTCCCACTTTGACTTCAATTCTAATCCGTGCCGTGTCTAGGTCCATGGGTTCTAATCCCAACACCATGCCTTGTTCCCGTCCCTTCTTCCCGGTCTATGTTGCCCTGGGAGCGGTGGGATAGGAAGCGCGCTTTGTATCCCTCACCCGGCTGGCCATGCACATGTGGCCTTCGCGCAACGATCAAATGCTCTGCTTCCTGTTTCCCCATCACTCTGAGCCTGGCATATTAGACCTGGGCCACTCGTCGACCTGAACCCCGCTATCCATCTTGTGTTTCTCCCCCCGCCCACGTGGTACGGGGAAGAGCGCGGGTGCTCGTCGGCTCGAGATCGCTATTCTTCGGATGGGATTATGACGGAACGAGGCGTTGGTAGATACCCATATCTGCACAGACAGACGATGCTTTCCATTCATGACTCGCAAGTTCCTTTTTTGTGTTTGTTTTCGTTCTCATTCATTTGCTTTGCAGGGGAGATGTTGGGACCAGTGCTCGCAAATTTATCTCCTTCCCACCAGGGAGAGTATTTTTGTGTTTCTGTTCCCCCGAGGAGATGCAGATTGAATGAGAGGCGTGTTTTGCTGAACCGTGCTGTCGGTCCTTACCGTCTTTCTTGATTTGTGTTCTTTCGAGTTTCACTCCTTCTGTTAATCAACAATGTTCCTAGTCACTTGTACTTTGTAACAAGGAATGTGACTCCGCTGAAGAAGTCTCTGTAGACGGGTCCGTAGCTTTACATGCACATGCAACTCCGAGAAAGATGGTATATTAGATCTATCAAAGATCGCTCTGTATGAGAAATGGACAATCCCGAGAAGCAAAAGTGATATCAAAAGAGCCAAGTATCGAAACCGAAAGAATAATGCGAATCTGTACAACTTCAGGGAACGTATTACTAAAATGAAAACAAATAGCAGCCGGTTCCTCCTAAAGCAAAGCAAAGCGGGAAAAAAAACTACAATTCTGCGCGGGTATCAGCGACTCGCATGCGCAGGAAAATGGCCACGGCCCAGTCCCATAGTTTGCGAGTAATGACAAAAACAGGAACCTCGGGCTCGTTTTCGCGAGTCAGATGCAATTGTAGGAGGAGTGAAGACATGCTGACGAAACTGGCGACGGACACAACAAGGAGCGAGGCTGCGGTTTCGCGTTTGATGGTGGCGTGGTTTTGGGTGGCGTGGTAGACGAAGGTTAAGGACTAGATATTGGATTAGTATTTGGGGGTTTTGTAGGACACACAAAGAGAGAGAGAGAGAGGAAGCGATCGGGGCAGGACGAACGGTTGTGATGGAGATCCAGGCTGGGAGGAGAAGTCGAGGGTCGGAAGATGCGCCGGAGAGGTAGAGCACCCAGGACGTTATATACGCAATTAGCCCGTTTGTGGTCAGGAGACGGATCACAACAGCTGGCGGGGTGTAGTTCAGAAGCCTGGCGATTTGTATCAGCACATGACAAACCCAGACACTGGTTCGAGGAAACACTCACCAGCGAGACATCATGCAGTCCGCGAAGAAATAGGAAAGATATGCGGATGCACAGCACTATGGCGAAAAACGCGTCAGCGACATAACCAAAGGATTCACGGTGGGAAGAATGGCGGTCATGCAGCATGGCTTTCCTACATACCCACATAATAGCCAAAGCCACCTCGGTCACCCTAAACCTCCGCTCAACATCCCATTCCTGTCCTACACTCCCAACAATTGCCGCCGCCCATCCCTCCCGTCCCATCCCCGGTCGAATATGCAGCAGCTCCGCCAGGAAGGTGAACGCGCACCGCAAACCCCACCAAGCAGCCGGCAGGGTACTCAGCGCGCGGCAGACTAGCAGGGGAATGTACCACCTGCGGTCCACGCCCAGAATGACCGCCACACGGGGGTGTAGGGCTGACACCTTTCCGTGGCTGGCATCGCTGCTGATAGGGGTCTGGGAGGTGGAGGAGGTCGGGGACGGCGGAGACGGCGGCACGGTGGTTGATGCTGGAGAGGACGCCACGGTTTTGGATTGGCGAGGCGGTACGGTTGTGGAGAAAGAAGAGTAGAGAAACTCGGCTGGTGTTGACACGAGTCGCGGGATAGTTAGGTCTGGCCGGCGAGGTGGGAGAGCGGGAGGTGGAGGTGGTGGAGGTGAGTAGGGCGGAGGAGACGCATTACGTCGAGGAGGAGCCAGCCTTTGGTTTTGTTCACGGCATGTGTGGCCGCCTCACAAGTCCAGATGTAGGGAGTGGAGAGAGTGCTGGAGGTCCTGTCGAAGGAGCGAGGGTCTAGACGTGTCGTCACGCTGTTGACAGCTTGGGGGGGACGGACCCCTAACGGGCGGTATGGGATTTTCAGTCCTGAGTCGCGGCGCTGCCTGTATGCTGGACTTGACCTCTAGCTGTAAAACTGCAAAGCAAATCAACTGAAACCAGCAATTGCTTGCAAGCAACAAAGATGAGGACCGAGTCTCGTGCTTTGGTCCTTCGATAATCGCGACCGGCACGTGATCTCTGCGGATTTTCCAGTGGTCCGCGCCAGACCAAAAAGATTCCCTTCTCTTCTTCCAGCACACTTGCTCGCCATGGCCTCTTCACTCCGGCTGCTGCCAGGCAGCTTCCTGCTGTCCGCACAACCCAGCAGTGCCACTTTCATTCACTTTCGCGTCGCGGCCTCCTACCAATGCCGGTCCTTCTCCCATGCACCGCAACGCTGGGCAATGAGGCCGAACAAGAACATGGCGATCAAGACCCCGAGCCAGCCCTCGATGAAGACACGAACCAGACAAATGGAGCAGACCGAATTGCCCAACGATATTGGTTTTATGCCGGGCACCTTTGTCCGGCCGTTGTGGAGGCATATGCCTTCGATCTTCGAAAAGCCCCGGGAGAGGCTACAGATGGAATGGACATGGTTGAAGTCTAAATTCCAAGATCTTGCTTCGTGAGTTTTTGGGTTTCGAACTGCGGGAGATGCAATCGATTTTCTATGGCCGGAGGGCTAATTGTCGCGCAGAGTGATCCTATACTGCAAAAGTAAGGGCAATAACCTTCCACTTCAATTCCGCAACCGACGCAAGATTGCGCGCGCTCTGCAAAAGGATATGTACACCGCATTTGCACAGTAAGTGCATTCCAAAACCCTTGTTCACACTGAGAGAAAGAAAGTATATGGTGCTAATTTGCTGGGTGAAAAAATAGAGGCGATACCAAACAAATCCGTCGTATCTGCTGCCAAAATCTCGCCAATAACCTGGCCGGACAAATCGAGACCCGTCCCAAAGGCGAGGAAATGACCTGGTCTCTGCTCAAGTACCTCCGCACTCCAGGCACATATTTCACAGGACTGCGCATCATGTCAGATCGAGCGTCGGAATTGCCCGACCTCCCCAACTCGGGTATCCGCCAGATCGTCCTACGCATCACGAGTCGACAGGCCACTAGCAAAAAGTCCACTCGCCCGGGCGACAAGGACGTAGCCCCCGCTTATAAGGAGCAGGATTGCACCGAGTATGTGGTCATCCAGTCGATCCGTTGGCAAAACAACGACTCTGGGTGGCAGGTCTGGGGCCATGTCAGCCCGACGACCTTGCACACTCTTCTAACCGATCCCTATTTCAAGCCCGGGTTGACCTTGACCGAGCGTCTTTCGGCTATTCGGGAGGGTTCGGGAATGAAATAAAGTCTTGGAATTGACACACACACACACACACACAACATTCTGAGCCAGAAAAGGCCAGAATGGGACTTGGATTTCCTGTATCATTCACGCCAAAACACCAGATCAGGTAAAAAAAAAAACAGAGCAAATCTATTCCACAAGGGAGTTGATCATGACTATGTTTCTTTATTCCTGGGATCAATCAGAGGGATTGGCCTCTAATTTCCACAACCCACCAATCTTCCTTTCCATACCGATTGTGTTATTTCCACCATTCCCCATCTTAACCGCCTCGATCGGAGTTTCCGCTACACTTTTGTTCCATTGAAGCGATTCCGTTTCCCTGTTTGTACACTCCAAAGAAGCACTTTATATAGAAGAGATCTATCAACTCATGTACCATAGCAATATATGTTCTCCCTCAATCTTCAACTTTCTCCGTCAAATTTGGTGTACAACTACTGTACGTATCTCCTGGCGGAGCCTAGGCCGACCCTTTCTTTGTACGCCACCATAGAAAAGAGCATGTTTGCTTTCTCGCTCATCGATTTGCATTAGTTGCATTAGCAAAGACAAGTAGGACAGGACAGGATAGGACAGGAGAGGCTATTACGAGTGGAACAGGGGCATAATGCGTATATACAATGCGTCTCTAGGGAGGGTGAAAAGGCACGAACAGTAACAAAATAAGAAAAGGTGGGTGGGGTTGCAGACTAGGTAGGCAGGGAAACACTGGGGGAGCAATTGAAACATGATATCACACATAAGAAAATCCTGGAGAGGACCAAAAAGGCCGATACTCCCGCTAGACGACAGAAGAGAGTGGGGACGTCACATCTAGTCGTCGTCGAAGATCTGGAACGTATTTACGAGGATGGTCTCGATCACGCGGACTTGCCAGCCTGCGTCGGCGATGTTGCCTCCGGAATTGGCGCCCATGAGGGTTGGTCTGCATGAGATAGGATGTTAGTGATTATACACAGTCTGGATTGTTGGCGGAGACATACCCGAAACAAATGGCGATGTTCCCTGCGTTCATGCGGTTCTGAGAGGAATGTTCTTGGACTTTGTTGAGGTGCTGTGGCGGGGTGAGTTAGTGTCAGTGTATCAATATTATAGAAAGTAAGACGAACCAGAATGATGGCGCGGAGTGTAGCATAATGCGCATCGGGGAGACTGTTGATCAAAGCGTGCAGCGAGTCTCGGCGCTGGATATCATCATCGATGCGAGCAGCATTGACGAAATCAGCGTAGTACTGCGATGTGAACAGAGGGTCAGGCAGCTCCCGGAAGAACTGCTTCAAGAGCCCTGCCACGCTGTTGACGTCGTGGTAGAAGTTCTCCGGGTTGGTGAAGTCGACTTGCGACGAGTCTATTCGACGATTAACGCTGCTGAACACTGACTGACATCCTAAACTCACCATTGTCAAAAACAGCCTTCATGTGGCTGATATGGTTGGCGCTACCCGACAGTCGATATATACCCTCCACGTCCAATCCAAATAGCTCGATAGCCTGGAAACATTGGTACACAATCATCGGCACGGCGGTTCCATCACGGGTGTACAAGTCGTAAAGCGATACGCCAAAAACTGGTTTCAACGGAGGCAGGTTGCTCTTGGGCGGGGGCATCATCATTGGTACATGGCCCGGCATTTGGCCCAGTGGTGGAGGCCCATCAGAAGGCGGCGGTCCTGAAACAGGATAAGGAGGTTGACCTGGTGGAGGACCAGATGGCGGTGCCGCTTCTGTTGGATACGGTGCTTGCTTCGCTCCAGCGCTTGGCGAGGGTTGGGCGACGGGTGACGCAATGTTTTGCTGGGAGAACGACTGGGGTAGGGTCGACTGGGGGAGGGTCGACTGGGGGAGGGTCGACTGGGGCAGAGTCGACTGGGGTTTGGGCTGGGTGCTTGGTTGCGACGGTGCCGCAGTACTTGTTGATCCACCGAGTGTTGGATGACGCACATATTTGATTTCATCCGAGGCGACTGCGCCTGCGTTTCCTTCGTGGCTCAAAATGTACTCGTGGAGGTCCTTCTCGTTGTCCACCTGGCGTACCACCTCGGACAGACTCTTTGGCGCCAGCGCCCCGTTGGTTTCGCTGGTCCTCAGCGGGCTGACACACAGACCCTGTCCCAGTAGCAGCTTCTCACTAAAAACGGCTGTGCAGAGTTAGTTGATAGCCCCGAAAGCAGCGCTTAGACGAATACATACCAAACTTTTGCTGCTGCAGAGTCAGGCCCGAATCGCATTCTTCAATCAGTTGCAGGATAGCGCGCGCGGCCTGCGGTCGACCCGTAGCCACCAGTTCCCGACGGGCTTCTTGAGCAGCCTGGACCTTGGACGAATAGTCGCTGTCCGCATTCTGGACCTTGCGCAGCAAATCCTCCTCGTGTTGAGCGGCAGACTTGTGCCCTTTGAGTCCGAATTTGCCTCCTTGCCTGTCTCCCGTGCGGACACGGTCGTACTGCTCCGCGAACGAATCGTACTTGGCCTTAGCCTTCTCCGCATGCGCTTCGGCATCGACGACTTTTTCTCTGCTGCAAGCCCGGTCTGTTTCCACTGCTTGCGACCGCGTTCGACGTTGGTGGCGAGCTCGGCCATGTCGTCGGCCATCTTGGCCAGGGACACTGCGAATTGCTGGCCATGATCGGCCATTCGGTCATTCAGTCGGTGGATGTCCTTGTAGCTGGAGCTGTATGTGCCCTGGCGGTTCTCGCTGCGTGAGGCCGCATCGCCGATTGCGCGGGACAGCTTCCTCAGCCCCTGAGCATGTTCGTCCTCCAGCGCGCCTCTTTTCTTCAAAAAGGTCGAGAAATCCTGTGATTGTCCATGTTAGTGCATGCGGTTTTATGGGGGTCCATTTTAGGGTAGCGACGCACTCTGGCGGAGGCTACGCTTTGCTTCAATCGAGTCAGGAGGGTGAAGACGCCGATCTGCGTAGAGACACGTTCTGTCAGTAACTATCCCTGTCATAGCTGCGCGCATGGAGTGCAGCGGGGCGCAAGTGCTCACTTCTGAGTAGATCACTTTGTCCAGGCGAGCTCTGATCTCTTCGGGGATGGCCGTCGTCTCCTGTGGCGGCGGGTCGGGCCCGGAGGCCCCAACCGACGAGCGACCAGCGCTGGATGGGGGCGCATCTGGGTCTAGCGCAGACAGAGTAGGCAGCGCAGTGCCTTCAGGGGGGGCCGTGTCGGACATGAGGCGGGTGGGGGCGGGGAGGAGGTGAAGAGTTGAAGATGGGAGGGAGAGAGAGGAAGGGAAAGAAGGAGAAGTGTTGTCGCCCAAGCTATAATTATCGATGACACGGTGGGGCGACTTTGGGGCCGACGATCAATAAAGAAATTCGAAAATAGTAGTCGTGTTAAACGCTGGAGCCTGTTGGGTCCAGGCTGGGATAATTTGGATTTCGCAGTCTAGAAATATGATTGTTGCAGCCAGGAACAAACAATGAAACAAACTATTCACTCGTGCCTGGCCGTTTGACTGCTTTCGGCTGCTCAGCCACTGTCGTCGTTGTGGCTTTGACACAACGCCGAGACATGTGACCAAGGGCTTTGTTAAATAAATCATAATAAAGGATCGCATCATGGACACCTACTAGATGACCGTCCTGCTATGAATATGTACACTCTAAGCTAATAATAACTGACAGTTTATCGGCGGCTGAAATCAATGTGCATGTACTTGGCCACACCATTGGACAATGACCTTAGTCAGCATTACGTCATGTGACGTGCATGGTCAGCATGTCCAAGAAGCCCTAAGTCGAGTCGTCTTCCTTCATAGATCCCTCCCTCTGACGGTATACACTGTCTATCACAACGAGATGTAAATTCCACTTGGGTATCTATGTAGGTTGATATAGCTCTAAGTGTCCGATCAACGGCTCTGTTCGAGCCACTTGATATCCTACTTGACCGGAATCGTCAATATCCGCTTTCCTAGGGACATGGACATCATAATCTCACCATTTGTGCTATAAACGCTCTCAGGAAAAAGTACAATTCCGAGGAGATCTGACTTGGGGGCGAGTATATCCGATTTCGAGTATTGCTGTTCTTTCACTCTCTCTCTCCCATTAGAAGAATTCCTTCGTCACCGACCTCTCCCCGACATGGACATTCGTGAGCCCCGTACCGGGCCTCGTCAAGTACCCGGGTCCATTGGGATCTATCATGCTCCACCGCGGGCTTTCCATCGTCTCCACGAGCCCCAACTCTACGTCCTCCCGTAGCGTCGACGACATGGGCGCCAGGGGGGGGCAGTGTGGGAAGGGGCGGCAGGGGACCCCACGACATGCGCCACGTCGAGGACTGCTCCGTCGGCGCGATGTCGCCTTCATGGGTAGAGGTGTTGCCAGGGAGGTCAGAAGGGGCGGAGCCGGAGGCATCTGGGGAGCTTCCTGAGGCAGCGCCAGGCTTCTTGCGGGGCGCGACGCGGTGCCAGCCGAGGCCGAAGCTGAGGAAGAAGGAGATGATGGCGGCGGCGGTCGGCAGCCACTATCCCTCACGGTTAGTACGGAACATTTCACGCGTTTGACAACAGCGACGAATGGGGGCTACGAGGCATAGAGAATGCCAGGCATGAGAACAAGAAACATACCATTGTCAGCATGAGCGACTTGCTGTACGCGAAGAGCGTTCCCGACAGCTCCGCAGGCGTGACCACGTTCCGGATGCCCGTTGAGCCGGCGTTGACTACAGCCTCCGGGTTCACGCTGGGTGCGTACGTCGCCAGCTCGCTCGGCAGCTCGTTTTCGAAGACTGACTTGGCGATTGACAACATGATGGTGCCGCCGAAGTACTGCGCGAACATGGTGGACGCGGTGCCGATGGAGATCTGGTCGCCGGGCAGTACGCCCTGCAGCGCGATGACGGGCTATTATTTGCTGGGTCAGCAAAGCTGTGTTTCTTGATACTTTTTCCCTTCTCCATGTTCATGGGAAAATGTTGGGGTAGGAGGTCGGGTTGTGACGACTCACCATCTGGAGCACGAAACCGCGACCAACGCCGACGAGGATTTGGTATCCTATCCATTTGCTTTCAGACGTCGACGGAGTCCAGGCGGTCATGAAGCCGGATCCGATGGATGAGAGCGCGTTTCCCACGAAGGCCCAAGGGGGCACGTATCGCAGCTTGCTCACTAATTCGATCAGCACCGTTCGGCGGAATTCGCATCTCTACACCGATCACCTGAAGCTGAAAAAGACTTACCAAGCGCACCGCAAACGGAGGAAGCGATGATCTGCGCGACCATCGTTGGCAGCAGCATCAAGCCGCTGGTCGTGGGGCTGGCCTGCTTCACCGACTGGAACCACAGCGGCAGATAGTACCCCATCATGAGAAACGCACCGCCTTGCATGAAGGACAGGCAGCAGCCGAATGCGACGACCGGGTTCGACACTATCGACGGCGGGATCAGCGCCTCATCCTGCCGGTACCACACCCATACGACGAAGAGAGCGGCCACCCCGGCGCCACCACACAGCAGGCCGATGATGACAGCGTCGTCCCAGGCATAGCGCTGCCCGCCCCAGCTGAAGGCGAGCAGCACCATCACACAGGCCGGTGCAAAGAGCGCGAAGCCAATGAGGTCCAGGTAGCGTGTTAGATTTCGCAGGATCTCCTTCAGGGGCGGTTTGGCTGTCTGCTCGGGGATGCGGACGAACATGAAGATCAGAGCGGCGATGCCCCCCGGCGGCAGGAAAATCCACATGCCTGTCCTGAATCAGCTTCTCGATCGCGGTCATCTGGAATATATATCAGGAAATGTGATCACAACTTACACCACCGCCAGCCAATGTTCTGGGTGATGGCGCCGCCAATGACCGGCCCGACGACGCCTCCAATTGCCGTCATCGCGACCCCGAGCCCCATCAACGTCGGACGGATGCGTGGATGCGCTGCCGCCGTGATCATGACCATGCTGCCGCTGAAAAGGCCCGCGGCACCCATGCCGGCGACGGCCCGTCCGATGACGAAGCTCGTGCTCGTGGGCGCAAGGGCGCAGACCAGGTTGCCCAGCTCGAACGTCGCCAGATAAGTGAGGAAGCTCCGCTTGAGCTCGAAGAGCGTGTAAACCTTACCGGCGACGGGCTGCATGGCGCAGAGCGGGAGCAGGTACGCGACGCTGTACCAGTCGAGATCGGCGATGGTTCCGTAGTCAGCGGTGATGGAGGGAATCGCGGTCGCAATGATGGAGACGTAGAGCGTGATAATCGAGGATGTCAGGCAGATGCCTCCGAACAAGATCCAGAGAGGCGGGCCGGTGATCCATTTCTTTTCGGGTGAAGCGCCGTCGCCAGCGCCTGGAGGTGCTTGTTTGACTGGAGGGGAGATTGGTGATGAGGCTTGACGTTGAGCCGGCTTTTTGAAGCGACTGAACATGTCGGTGTATCTGGGGATAAAGCTTGAGTCGTTGAAAGTGCTTCTCGCCAAGATTTAGCGCCCGACATTGATGGAGAAATGCCGTTGAGGGGAGCAAAAGACAGGACATGGCTTGGCCAAGGGTACATACACCGTCTTTCAGACATAGGCGGAGGGGCGGAATCCCGAAAACACCCATGTACGTAGTTGCAAGACGATCCCAGAACGGGGTTCGGATGCAGATGCGGCGAGTTTGTAAATGTCGCCGCCGGGGTTAGCGAAATCCGATGTGAAACCGACCCCAGATTTCATGGACTATGAATTAGCACACGAAGAACGCCTTGCAACGTGTCTATAATTATATACTTGTAAAATATCACCACGAGGCGTTCCGATCAATTGCAAGAACCGACTTGAACAAAGATGACACTCGCCATCCCCACCATCGACATCTCACCATTTCGAAAAGACCCATCTTCGGCCGAGGCCCAAAAGGTCATCGAAGGAGTGCGCGCTGCTTGCACCACGTACGGATTCTTTCAGATAGTCGGCCATGGCGTGTCTCGCCAAGCGCAAGAAGACGTGCTCCGCGGTGCCGCCTCTTTCTTCGAGCTCCCGCTGGAGACAAAGCAGACAGTCGACCGGTCGCAGCCCGGATCGTGTGGTCGAGGATATGAGTTGATGCACTCTCAAGAGCAGACAAGAGGCGAGGGGGGAGACTTCAAGGAGGTATGTACATCAGGACTGTCCATCTACAAGTCCACAGATTCACGAACCCGCTTCTAGGGATATTACATTGGTCTCGTCGACGTGCCGAAAGACGACGATATGACGAAGGCCCATCCTCACTTCGTCGGCCCCAATCGTTGGTTGCCGCCATCTATCCAGCCCTTCTCCGTCTTCCGCGAGCCGGTCGACCGCTACCTTGCTGAGCTCCGCCCAGTGGTCGATGTCATGTTCGCCATCGTCGCCGCGGGCATGCCATACGGGCCGCATGTCTTCGACCACTTTCTGACCGGAACTCCCATAGCCCTGCTCAGTCCCAAGCATTACCCGCCCGTCAACTCTGGGCCGGGCCTGGGCTCGGGCGCGCACACGGATTTTGGCGCGCTGACACTGCTGCTGCAGGACGAGCACAGCGGGCTGCAGGTCCAGCACGGCAACTCCTGGATCGATGTGCAGCCAAACCCGGACGCCTACGTCGTCAACATCGGGGACATGCTACAGCGGTGGACGCGGGGCGAGTACAAGAGCACCGTCCACCGCGTCGTAGCGCCCACGGGCGACACCCACCGCTACAGTCTGCCCTTCTTCTTCAACGGCAATGTCGACGCGAAGCTGGCACCTCTTGACGGAGAGGTCAGGAACGGGGAGAAGGTCCTCACCGTGGAGGAGCATATGCTGGAGAGGTTCATGGCGACGTACTTGAAGGAGGATCATTGATCGATAGTATTGCAGCCTAGAATTAATTCATTTATCCATCATCACTGTTACAGCCATTGGTGCGGATGTAGTCGATGCCCACCACAGCTTGCAGGCTGACTGCATTCTACGAGACGTTGGCGTATCCCAAAAGTCGCCGCGCCATGCCGATCCTGGCCCCATCTTATTCTATTTACAGTTAAAGTCGCCGTCTCCGCCACGTGCGTAAGCCTCCCGCAGGATCCACTATGCGGGCCCCAGGGAGGATTGCTAAGTATACCAGCGGGGGCCGTTGTGAGGCTACCCTGGGAGCGTAGGACAGTTCGGACGAGAAACAGCAAAAGTGGTCTGGCTCGTCGATGTCTTTTCTCTGAACCACCACAACACTTCTGTAAGGCTCGATGTTTGGCGGTACACTCCTCAAGAAGGTCTTCCTCTCGCTCCTCGGTGGCGATGGTATCAACCCATTCTCCATAATGGGCGCGTTGCTCCCCGCAGACGCGTCTGGCAAATATGTCATCGAGTCCGAAGGCATCCGACTTGCCTTCGTGCGTAAGGGCGGCGCGGTTGCGAACCTCTGGATCAACGACACCAACTGCCGGGAGCTGGACGTGGTGCTGGGCTTCGACAACTCATCGCTGTACGAAACGTACCCGGGCCCGCACACGCTGAACGGCGCGATCGGAAGGTACGCCGGCGTCATCAGCAATGGCGAGTTCGAGCTCAACGGACAAAAACACTACACCTCCAAGAATCATCGCGATGGTAAGTCCACGCTGCACGGCGGCAACAAAGGTTGGGGACAGATGACGCTGTATCCGGCTGCGAAAACGAAGAGCAGTATCACGTTTGTCGTGTTTGACCGCGGCAACAACGGCTTTCCTGGGCGGGCAGCGGCAAGGTAAGCCGATTTATTTTCACGAATTGGGTATATCTAACGGATCACACTGTTTAGCCTCACACATACCTTGACTCCCTACGAATGGCGCATCTCGTATGGCGTCACGCCCTTAGTGGCCGATTTCCCGATCAGCTTAAGCCAACAAGTCTTCTGGAACCTCGGCGGCTTTCTCAATCCCTCCTCATCCTCCGACTCAACTGAGGAGTCCTCGAGCCAGCTCGGCGACCATTCGCTGCACCTGCCCTTTTCGGGGATGCGGCTCGATGCGGATGAGCACGGCATCCCTACCGGCGACATCAGGGGAAACCGACCAAATTCAACCTTTGACTACTGGTCGCGGCCGCGCGTGCCCTCTGAGCCCCTTGACGACACCTTCCTGGTCAACCGTCGCCAGCCGTGGGACATGCACGCGGCGCCTGTTGCGACACTGGCCAACAACCGCTCTGGCATTAAACTCGATCTGTACACGAATCAAGAGGCGCTGCACACTGTGACCTGGGAGGAGCCCGAAGGTGAGTCTCTCGTGAATTATGAAAGTAGTGAAAGTGAAAGGCTGATGCACTCTGGGTTGAGGTATAGGCGCGCTTAAGCGGAAACGCACGCAGGGCGAAGGCGATATCCCGTCTCACGCGGCCATCTCGCTGCAGATGCAGGACTGGACGGACGCAATCAGCCACCCAGAATGGCAACGCGAGGCGGAAACGATCTGGGGTGCGGACCGGCTGTACACCATGTACACGTCGTACAAGTTCTCAGTGAGGCGGGACGGGGGATCATGTGTTTGAGCAGCAGTGAAAACTAGGTTGTTTTCGATTGCTCGTTCCTTGCTTGCATTCAAATCTTGCTATTTGAGGTTAGAGTATACGTTGATGTTTTATGTTACTGCTATATTCGAAAACAGATCCCCTCGTAGACACTCACAGATTATTTCCCACGCCCTATCTTGAAACACATCAACCAAATCTATCTATTCTCCCTAAAATGTCTGTCATTTTGTTATTGTCTTTCATGAACGGTAATGAATGAGTCATAATTTTACATAAAGGGCTAATACCCATAATCAGCCATAAAAAGAACTTGCATCGCTATTTCTGCCATGCTGGCAGTATTCAAAATCGGGGGTGATGGGTTCATCTGACGCAGCATGATTGGACCCGGATACATAGATGTTGATATCGGAATCCACGACAAACCACGATAAGCCAAGTGGTAGAAAAGGAAGAATTTAGAACAAGGATCATAAGTCGGTTATATTTCCCAGGATGAAGAACACCACTTTTCGTCAGATGCGCTGAGTGCGGAAGTCGCGGATATCGAAATCCCCGACGGTTCTGCTTGAAAGTCTGACATGCCTGGTTGTCACACTGACCGCGCACACATTTGCCGCCACATGCTTCGACCAACGGATCTCAATTGCACCCCCCACCGGCACAGTAAGCGTTCATGTCTACACACTGAAGAACACGTTAGTGGGATAACCTTGACAACAGAGAATATAGGGTGAAGTTTACCGAATATCCACAGGCACCACAGTTGGAACTGTCATCCTCCAAGTTTGTACACCCATCAGAACAAGGTGTCTTTGAAGGATCGGAGCACACGCAGGTGCCAGCTTCGCATGACGAGCCAGATGGACACTCAAAGATTCCAATATTAGCATATAGATCATTAACACATGTTGAAAAGAGCTACCTGGTTCCCACAGCTACCGCAGTTGCTACCGTCGGTCTGTAAATTTACACAGCCAACGACGGGACATGGTGTCAATGAAGGATCGGAGCACACACAGGTGCCAGCTTCGCATGACGAGCCAGGTGGGCACTTAAAGATTCCAATATTAGCATAGAGATCATTAAAACATGGTGACAAGAACTACCTGATTCCCACAGCTACCACAGTTGCTACCGTCGGTCTGTAAATCTGTACAGCCAACGACGGGACATGGTGACTCTGAGGTAGGGCACTGACAAGTGCCGGCTGTGCATGCCATGCCAGACAGGCACTGGATAACTCTCAGGTTAGTAACAGATACCAATATGATTGTTTTTGGGAGAGTGACCTTAGTTTCACAACTACCACAGTTGTTATTGTCCGACTGCAGATCCGTACAGGCATTACTGCATATTGTTCCTCCATTGGGGCACTGACAAGTGCCGAGGTTGCATAATGCGGTAGGCGGGCACTGTACAATAAGTATGTATTTATATTAGAAGTAGGGGAATGAAGACTTCGTACCGTCTTTCCGCAGCCACCGCAGTTATTGATGTCCATCAGGCAGGCACCGCCACACAGAGACGCTCCACCGGCGCACTCACAAGTACCCGCCGAGCATGATGAGCCAGCCGGACACTACCATCGAAGTAAGTATGGCTCGGTGTTCGTAAAATAGGAGTACACGTAGCGTATAGAACTCACGACTTGATTGCACTGCCCGCAGTTCTTTGAATCAGTGCTCGTGTCTGCACAAACCTTATTACACACTTGCTCCGAGGAAGACGTTTTATAGGGACCGCAAATATAGCAAGGTCCCTGTCCACGAAGAGCTGGGAATAGACAGGTTATAGCTGGATTCTGATAATTTTTAGTGCACCATTGAGTGCATTGAGCGAGCTTGATGACAGCACTTTGAGACCAAACAGGAGAAACTAGATAGCGATGTTAACTATAACAGTTTACAGGACTAGCACACGAATTCGGCCGGGGTCTTACCTAGTGCAAGAAGGATTATAGTTGTTATTCCAGCCATTGTCGAACACTCCTTGTCGATGTGGAATTATGCTCTGTTGCGTTCAACTGTCGTGCAGTTATCATTTCCCAGTTCATACACCTGTGTAGGACCTACAGTTCCATATATTCTTAATATATCTTATTATCTTCTATGACGCATACCTCCATCTATGATTCATATCAACTATCTACTTTCGGATGTACTTTGCGTTGCAGACTTAGGTTGTCATGACACTTGAAGCTCGTTTAAGCTCTGTCAGGCAGTCTTGAGTTCTTCTGGCCAGGTCTGGGAAACATTGTACCACGGTACGAATGATGGAAAAGAAGTGAATTAGAGCTAACACTGACAGAATTCGGAAACCCTCCAACCATTTCACTTGTGGCGGTACGGAATTGGACAATAGTCTTGGCAGGTATTCTAGGCCCCTCGTAATTTAAAGTGCTTTGTAGGTCACACTGTCGTCATGTAAAGAATCTCTGTATTATTGGCAAAAAGGAAGATCCACAGCCAAGATTAATTGGGATTAGCGTGTCTCAAATTAAGGTTCGGGGAACCATTCGTGAGAGAGTGTGTGGGGGAATCTGTTTTCGAATACGACAATACAATCACATATCGTTGGGGTCACGTGAGATTTTACATGACTTCGTAGGCGTTGGATACAATGACTATAACTATGGTCTAGACCAGACTGTGTTATATACGCTCCGCGATGTTAATCAGCACCTGCTGTTCTTCCTTCGGCAGGTACACTCCATCAAGCACCATGATTTCACGGTTGCTGTGGTCTACAGTCAAATCCCAGGCAGACTCCCCCCGCCTGTCTTTTTTGACATCCCCTACGTATGCGTCGCAGCCTTCGTATTAACCTCATCAGCGCATATCTCATTCCATGGGGCCAAAACTATCGGAGCAGAACTAAAACCGCGCACTAACCCCTCTTTTTGCTGAAGCAACGCACAAAAACACTTGTTCCTCACCTGAGGAACCTTGTGGCGTTTCCAGCAAAATTATTTCTCCAACTTGAGTCTCGCACACCTTCATAATCCATTATTTGTGCCTAGAGGTGGCAAGATGTCTAACGTCCCTCGAATTACCAAAATGTCTCTCCATTTACCAACAGAGATAACACTTTTCATAGTGACATTCTTAGAGGCACAAAGAGATATTAACTCGTTATCTCAACCTAACAAACAATTCTATAACGTCCTAAATCTATGCTTATATCGAAAAAATTCTCAAAATTCTAAATCTTTAGCACTGTTATAGGCTACTCGACATAGGAAAACTGCTATAGCTCGAAAGTGTCTCTAGGTAGGAGCAAACGTGATGGCGAAAGATGTGCCTTTGCGGATAGGATCGCGCAGAGGTGAATCTAGGGCGATAGGATTATCCCGTGCCGTAGAGTTTGGGCATGAGGCGATGGTGAAGCTATCAGTTGAAATCAGGTAAGTTGATCTGGACTCAAAAGACGAGCTAAGTTACACGACCCTCACCTACCTGCAAAGTAGTGGGCATGAGGCGGTCGTGAGACTGTTACTCGAAACTGGGCTGGTGGATCTGAATGCAAGCAACCACTACGGGCTCACGCCATTGACTATGGCTGCAAAGAATGGACATGAGGCAGTGATGAAGCTCTTACTTGAGATGGGGCAGGTGAATATGAACAAATCGAACTTCGAGCCTGGGACACCATTATACTGTGCCAAACAGTTTAGGCATGAGAAGGCAGTGAAGCTTTTACTTGAAACTAGGCAGGTTGATCAAGACTCGTAAGACCATAAAGGTCGAACAACATTAACCTATGCCGGAGAGTCAAGGTATGAGGCGATAGTGAAGCTGATAGATACTTGGAGCCAGGCAGGTGGAGGTGGATGAGTGCAAGACCCCTGATAGCACCCAAGGCACATTTTAGATGGATCCTATGGTGGGCTATGTGAACATGCTGGATACTCTAACCTTTGTAGACGAAAAGAAAGAGATGTACTATCAGTAAGGCAAAGAGACGGTTGAGCAAACGAAGTGAAGCTTCATAGAACCAACTCAAAGACTTCTTCCAAGCCATCTTCTTCATCCATCTCTTCTCCAACCTTCTGAAACCCATAACTCGTAACAATCCTTCTCGAGATCCAGTTAGTTGGGCTGATAGACGCCCTTACAACATTGACTCGAGGGTCATCCCGGCATACTCCGAGCAAAGTCCTAAGAGTCGCTGTCCCATATCCACGGCAACGAAGCACAGGATCAACTGCGTATCCAAATTCTACCATACCTCTCTGGTCGGGTCTGGCATGGAATCCAGCCCGCCCAACGATAGCTCGTGTTTGCTGGTCGCGGATAATTCGAGTGGTCCAAATGCGATCATCGGGATTCGTGAGGTGCTGGTCTCGTCGTCTTCTCCAAGTCCGTCGACTTGAGTCGCTTACTAGGAATGGCAGGACGCCGTTATCGATCTGTTTGCGTGCTGTTTCGAGATCACCTTCACAGAGTAGATTCAGCGCTTGCGGAGAGAGACATTCTAGTTCGCAGGAAATTGGTCCATCTTGGGTTGATCTCCAAGGAGCTTCTGTGACTGTCATGATGACAGTTTGGGGAATGTAGATGTTTTTTTCCCTCTTATTTTGTTGTTGTTTGTGGAGAATCTTGTTGCTAAGATTTTTGCTTTGGGGTTGGAAGAGAGAGGGAGCGGGCGAGCGGGTTTTATTTCATGACTCATTCCTTAGGGCTTCGTATTCATCTCTGAGCTACTGGGTTTGGCATTCGGGGAGGAAGGAGATAAATTCGAAGATGCACTTGGATTCTTGGACTAATTATATTGAATGATTGATGAAGCTGAGTATGAGAAGTCGTAACGCAGCCAGTGTCGAGTAATGAATGCTTTCAACTCAGAGAAAAGGTCCTCCATAGGATTCCAATCGAGCGAGTAAGGTGGCAGACACACTAGCTTCATTCCTGCTTCCGCACACATTCCCTCAATCCGATCAGAACGATGCATCGAAGTCGAGAAGTTGTGTGGATTCAGTATCAAGGCTTGAGAAAAACTTTGGGCAGTATGTCATAATTTTCGTTCACTGGCTGCCAAAAGAATTTTCCACGCCCACAAATGTCATCAGCCCAGAAGTCAACGATACAGTCGCCGAGTAGTTCTTCCCATGGAAGTTCCATTCCGAGTGCCTTGGCCATCATATCACAGTTGACTAGCACTCGCCAGCAATAGGTGAGATATCGACCCAGTTCCTCATGGTTTGATGGGTGGAAGGGATCATGTGGCTCGCTCAATCTCCCCAAAGGCTCATAACCAGCGAGCTCCATGACGTACAACACCAACTCCGGCGGAAGACCTATTCGATACAAGTAGTCCTGAACAAGTGCGACGTCAGCTCGACCTGGCCGGTGACCATCCAGATTTACATTCTCCAAAACGAGAAATTCGTTGATGGGCACCCTCCCATAATGATTAGCCCGACGACTGCTATAATCTGGGGCATCGTGATGTTTGATATCTGCCCAACAGAGCCAATGACTCTTTCTAATGCGAGGCGCAAGGTACTCGCCCCTAAATTGGTCGTCGTATATCCCAAAGAATTGCCGATGAGGATATGTGCTCACATCTGATGTTTGGCCCGTGCCTGTGCATGTTCTCAGTGTAAACTGGTAGAACTTGCTGTTTCGGTAATCGGTTTCCTGGGTTCTCCCGGAAGCGTCGTCCCATATCTCTGGTTTGCAGTAAATCGTGTTCAGACATATATAGGCCCTAAGGGCCTTAATACATACTTGGTCCCATCCGAGATCAGGGTCCTGTGCTGGTCAGTACATAGGATCAACAGCGCTTAAAAATGTAAACAAGATGGAAGTACGCCGAATATTTGTGAAAAAACGTATCGGGACCGAACATGAGCGAAGGATCTTTGCTATGTAGACTCACCAAGCACTGACATTGAGAGTCACGCCACCATTGCTCCAGACACACTCCAGGGAGAGCACACGCGCGCAGAATAGCGTCCATCTCCCCGTGTAACAGCAGAGTTTTCATCACTTCGACATTAAAGAACGCCTTCGAGTTCTCAATGAAGAATTGGTAGCATTGTCTAGAATAACCAGAATGTCGGATGAACGCAGACACCCGTTTCTCTTCATCCGGAATAGGAACGCATTGACACTCTTCTTTGTACTGAGCTACTAGGCAGATGCCACTAGGACATCTGCCTTCGAAGCCATAACTACGCCATCTGCGCACAGTAGGGGTGATTTTCTGAACAGTGACTGCGTCCAGAATAACATCTGCTGGATCTGCCGGATCATATGTAGAAGGATATTTGTTGCGCTCGCATACCGAATGCTCGTCGATGGTTCGTGTGAACGCTTTGATGAAATAAGTGAGCTCTTTGCCTTGGTTAGGTTTCATCCTCGGACGGAGGTTCGTGAAGCTATAGGCACCACGAGAATGAGTGTTCCAGTAAAGATTCGAGGTTAGAAGGCTCCACGGGATATTGTGGGCTTGGTGCGCCATCTTGTAGTGGGGATGTTGCCGCAATCAATCCAAGCGGATGGCCTTTCCTACGGGGATTCTTATCGTGATTCAAATGTCACGTCACCTGATGTCAGATGCGCTAGTACCAACATGTCGATTATGGCTCTCGCTTGGACCTCGAGCTTCCAAGCCGAACAGTTGATTGCTACTAAGAACGCTATTTGACTTTGTATTATCTCAAAGCTTTAGTGAGTGGTTGACTAGGCATACTGAGCGACTCAAATGACGATGTCCCCGAACATGTACTCTTCCACGGAGCCTGAGAACCATGTCACTCAGCTGAGACTGGCAAACTGGGCACCACCTTCAACGCCATCGCACAGGTAGATCCCCCAATAGGCTTATGACGCTTCTCTCAATCAGCATGGTGATTTGGGCAACCACTGCGCTCGTAAATTCACCCTCAATGTTGCGCGACCGGTAAGTGCTGCGCGATGAAAGTTGACTGTCTAAGAGCGCTGCTATATTTCCTTGTGTAGACATAGCACGCGGAAGCCTGATGACGAGCTCATCAGCCGATTTCAACGTACATTTGCAGATGTCGTAACCCGACGAGGGAGCAATGGGCATGAAACAGTGCCTCTTAACAAGAGAGTAGGCGATCCGATGAAACCTGCAAGGTAACGCATTCTTAAGCTGCTCTAGTTCCGCCGCTGACGTGCTTCGATTCGTATATAGAACAGTAGAGGATAGAGAATGGAAATTTCTCAACCAACGCACACCGCGTAATCTTCCACAACCAAGCTGGCGATTTACACATACCGACGCTGGGCTGGATAAATTTATGCCTATATTTCCGCCGATTCCCCTTGCAGACGTGCAGCCTAATGCCCAGGGCATTATGGGACAGCACAGCCAACACTTTCTTGCCCAACAAATGCCGGGCATGAAAATGGATGTGCAGGCTCAGCCACAGTCCTTTGCGCCGAGCGCATTCATGCATCGCGGCGACTCTGGTTATGATGCGATGGATGAATCCAGTAGTGAGAGTGAAATGCAAATGGTTTCGGCATCGAACACTACTACCTCTTCCGGAAGGACAAGCTAGATGGACGTATCGTATGTGGACCCATCGGGTGAAAAGTGAGTTTGAGCATGCCCTCAAATAGTCATGCCCTTGCTGACCCTAGTCTTAGGTTCCGTTATAATGTCCGTCTGCGCACTCCAACGGCCATGGTCAAGCACGCGAAAGAAATCCCCATTACATATCTCAATAAAGGCCAAACATATAACCTCTCAATAGTCGATTCTGACACGGGAATATTGATATTCCGGGACTATTCGTAGTATAGACTAGTGTATATTGGCAGTGGAGCTGGAGAATAAATTGAAGAGTGTAGGGGGTCGCACCAGTTTCGAGACGTACTGTACTTGATTCTCCTCTTCTGCTTGATTCTCCTCTTCTGTCCTATCAAGCATCTTTGTAGGGCTATGTATGTCACGTGACGACCAACTCATAAGCAATGTGTCATGTTCCGTCCCCATATTTAGCTTCCATCCTTCGAACTGTCTGGAGATTATAATCTACGAACAAGGTCCTACAGGATCAATATTATCCACCACCAGTGTCCTGCACTACCAATCCGATCATTGTCGTTCTCAAGTCTCTCGTGTGAGTCTGTTGACTGGTAGAATTACACTCCGTCAGATGGGAATTGGAAAGAAAAAAGAACAAAGTGTACTAGTCCAAGTGGACGCTAGTGGTTCATTCAAGCACATATTTGGGGAGCCTAACGTAATCGGATCGACATGTAAACCGGTGGCCCCCAAGGCGATATCGCCCCAACATCTCAACTTCCTCATTTACGGGCGACGAACCATCCACCGCCCCTTCCGATTCTCTGACCGAATCCCCAAAATTCTACGTAGCGCGGCGTGGATGGTCTAATATGTAGATCGGTTGGTTGGATGGGCCACTCACCTGCTGGTTACCTACGTTAGTACGCTTACTTACATATGTACTTGACTCAGCTGCAGTTTCAGCTAACGAGAGTACGTTCAGCCTAGTCGCTTGGCGTCTCTTGTGGGGAAGCCACAAGCATTGATTGGTGTGAGTCTCAAAGTATATCAGATCTCCCATTATCGGGTGGCATCTACGGGCCGCACGCCTTCCCAGCCCCAAAAACAAATCATCCAGTCAGCAATGCACCTGGCAGCCTTGGCTCTGGCCGATTCCTGATGGATTGCGCCTCCCACTCACGGCGAAGAAGGCTAGGGCGCCCCCGGTCCCATGTCTCCCGAGCTGGCCTTCTTGCTTGGCGGAGCCAGGACGACTTCTGGCTTCACACTCTACAGTCTGTCCTACCATGGTATCAACCGATGCTCAGAAGACGCCGACCCGGTCGACGTGTGACAAATGCCGCAATCTCAAGCAGGCCTGCCAGCGCGATCTTGGGTCAATCGATTGCAAGCGGTGTCTCCGCCTGCAGATCCAGTGCACATACAGTGCGCCGCTCCGGATGGGTCGACCCAAGAAGGATGAGTCTGGGCGAGCTCACTCCGCTGCTCTCATTGCTTCTTCCTCGCACGCCACGCATCGAGTTCGAAGAGGAGCCAAACCGGACCGATATGGGACAAATTATGAACGGCCGTCGGCTGTTTTCGAGGATAGACAAGGAGCAATGGACATATCGAGGCCGTCAATACACCCGGCCTTTCAGGACGGCTCAATGATGGCCTTCTCATCACCGTCAGAGCAGACTCTACTCGCAGGCACCTCGATCTCCAGCGGGTCGGCGTACTACGATTTAAAGACCCCAGGTCTAGCGTTTGGTCATCATTCCACAAACTCACAGGGTACGTCTCCTTCCCTTCACTTCCCATATACGCCGTGTGCGGGTGCGAGCCTTGAGCGCAGTTGGGCTAATACAGCAATCCTAGGCCTGAATATCAATCCCGCGGAGCCTTTCCTTAGCTTAGCAGCATCTAACTTCGCCAACGACAACATGGATATGTTTCATATTCCGTCACATAAGGGCAGCACCCCTCCGGACCCCGCCTTCTCAGGCCTCGAAACCATGATGGCCGAGCCACCCGATCCGGCCTCTGTCGACACGGCTTCATCATCCAACTTGTGCATGACCGATGCCACCGACAATGACATCAACGAGGTCCCTCCTCCTACCTGGGCCCTTCCCGAAGAGCGCCACGAACAGATCTTGCACAGGCTCACCGTCCTTCAGCTCGACCTGTACCAGTTCCTCACGAAGCTGCGTAACCCCCGTCCTGACGCTGCCCCCGCCACGGCCGGCCAACCTCAGTCCCCTTCGCTTCCGCACCAAACCCGGGCAAAGGGTGCCGTGACCCGCTACGACGAGGTCTTCGGCGCGACGCACACCCTCGTCGACCTGCTGTGCTGCCTCGCGCCCTCGCTGTCGCCAGCCGGCGCGCCCCTGGACGTCGCAACCGCGCTGCAGGTCCTAAGCTGCTACCTGCGTCTGCTAGACGTATACGCCGGGCTGTTGAGCGCCAGCCAGCGGCTGCTGCTTCATGCGAGGAGTGACAGGTCCTATAGCAGCGGGATCGGCAGCGGCGCACATGGTGGTGATCGTGCGAGAAGCAATGCCTCCGCGGATTCAAGTTGCTCCGGCTCCTCGCCTTTCAGCTCTTCTTCAGCCTCCGTGTCCCCGGCCTTTACTCCCGCTTCCACTGCCACTGGCAGCAGCACCGCTTCTGCCTCACGGCGTACGAGTTCCTGGGCCCCTTCGCTTGCCGCCCCGACCGCTACCAATGGAGAGTATCAATGCCACCCCCAGCCTGGACCGGTGCTCCTTATACGCAGCAGCAGCACCAGAATGATAATAGATCACAGCCACAAGCACACCAGCACCGAGAGCAGGAACAAGAAAAAGAAGTACCTTTCCCGACGTTCTCGATTGGATCCTTCTGCGTGCCGGGCCCGAATGACCTGAACACGGCGGTGCAGCTATACGTCGTGACGCAGATGCTGCGGCGGGTGCGGCGGGCGGTGCGGCGGTGCGTTACGGGGTACGATATGGAGGAAGAAGAAGACAGAAGAGAAGGAACGGAGCAGAAATGGGGGAAGATGGCAACGGCGGTGGAGGCGACATTGGGGGCGGCGGGAGAGAAAGAGGAAAGGTTGGGGGCGTTGTTAGAGCGGATGGGAAGAGGCGTAGGGGAGTAAATCTTTTGTGACGATACATCAAATCTCCCAGGCGTTTGGTTGTTATTAATTGATATTACCAGGTCCATAGATCCTTGACTAATGTGCACCTATATTAGTGGATTCTAGAACAATTTCATTTCTCACTTAATTATAAAACCTAAGGACGACTACCTCCCGCATCTCTCACACCTTCCGGATCCTAACCTGGACTCCCCCCTTCGGCGCTACGGTGACCGAGTTGTCGTACTCCAGTGGCTGGTCCGGATCCACCAGCTCCACGACAAAGCGACCCACAAACACTGCAGCCAAGCACGCGAGCTCGCTCCTCGTGAAATTCGCGCCAATGCAGCTGCGCGGCCCGTGGATGAACGTCATCATGGCATAGTTGCTGCGGGCACCGCCGGAGTTGGCCTGCCCCGGTGCCATCCAGCGATCCGGGTTGAATGCTGCGGCGTCCGGCCCCCAGAGCATCGGGTCGTGGTTGGTGGCCTCGGAGGGGACGACCAGAGTCGTGCCGCGCGGGACAAAGGTATCGCCGACGCGGCCATCCGACATGGCCTCGCGCGTGGTCATGGGCGTGGGCGGGTGATGTCGCAGGACCTCATTGCAGACGGCCTTGAGGTAGGGGAGGGCATCCACGGCGGCGGCGTCTGGGCCAGAAGCGGAAGCAGAGGAGAAGAACGGACCTAGTTCACGGCGAAGCTCTTCACTCAGGCGCGTCTGCACGTCCGGGTGCTTGCACAGGACCCAAATGAGCCACTGGAAGGCCGTGGCAGTGGTCTCATGGCCCGCGGCCAGGAAGGTCATCATATGGCTAATGAGGTCCTCATCATCAAAGGCACCGCTACGCAGAGCAACGCCCACGATATCCACGTCACCGCCATCTCTCCCCTCCGCCAGTGCCGCCCGCTTCCGCGCGATGATGTCGCGCGTCACGCCGCGGAGGTAGGCCGCGCCCTCGGCGATCATGCGGTTGCGCGGCAGCGGCAGCCGCTGCAGCAGCGCTGGGTTAACGAAATTGCCCAGCTGCGCGAAGTAGCGGAACTTGGGCGGCGGCGGCGCTAGCATTCGCTTGTACACCGAGACGAGCGCATTGTCCGGGTCATGCAGCGAGCCGAAGTCGAGGGCCATCCCCGTTTCGCCCATAATGTCCAGCGTCACGCGGCTGGCCCACTCGCGGATTGTAACCGGTGCACCCGATGCCGCGAATGGGGTTAGCCGGTCTGCCATCTCCTGGCCCTTCCGCCAGAAGGCCGGGTACAGGTCCTTGATATGGCGGTACGAAAAGGCAGGCATGAGGTTCTTGCGCTGGCGGCGGTGCAAGTCGCCCTCGGTATATCCAAGACCCTCGCCCGTGACGCGCGAGATGGCGTACTTCAGTAGGAACGACTTGGGGTACTCGTAGCCCTTCTGCACCAGCACCTCGCTGAAGTACTGCGGCGTGGTCAGCATGATGCGCTCCTGGCTCAGAAAGCCGTAATAGCGGAGTAGGCCATCGTTGGGCGTGCTCTCAGCGATGCGGCGAGCGGCCATGCCTGCGGGTTCCGCAAAATGAGGCTTCAGGTTGCCCCATAGCCATGATCGGGGTCCCTACATGATCAGCAAGAGAGCTTCAAATCTCTTCAGAGGTCACCTACCTTGGGCGTAGGGAGGTGTCTGAAGGGCGTCAAGTATGTTGGATATAGAATGAACGTGTACATGCAACGCCAGATGAGATACATGAAAAGGCCAAGGGCGAGAACCAGGAGCCTAGAGCCATAGACGGTATTCACGAAGACGTATTTAGTAATGAGCGATGGAATTAGCACATTCTGGAAAGCCCAAATCCCCCGTTGCAAGAGGAGGCGCGCGCCGCCAGCAGCATATCTCTGCCAGTGTATGGATTTCATCGTCCCGACAGTTTCGACGACGTCACATAGAGACCAGAACGAGATTCTGACCGTGTTATAATTCACAACAACAAGCAAAATAACCAAAAAATGGAGTAAATAGCTTAATAATACCATCATATGCTCAAAATGCAGATCCCCCAGTGGTTGGCTTACCCACCACTCAGCAAGCCGGCGACTTTCCTATATATAACAGGGGCGGCAACTTGTAGATCCCGTAGGGCCCATGTTGGGGCGAAATCCGCCTCACCGAGGGATGCAAATAACCCATCTAATAATACGAACTCCTTCCGACGGCAATTTTCTTCAATCTTCCTCTCCTAGAAGAAGCCGGTGCATATATTCAAGACATAGACACCGTTAACACGGCAGAAACACCAACGGAAATCCCTCCATAGAATCAGCGAAAGCCCCTCTATACCCTGGAATATCATTGCACTAAAAGAGAAAAAATATGCGATGGATGCCTTCCCCCCCATGCAGACGGCCATCGTAGGGCTCCCCAACGGCGACCTCGGCGTCCGCTCTGACGTCCCGCTCCCCTCTGAGCTGGCCGACGATATGATTCTGGTGCAGAATCACGTCGTGGGGCTGAACCCCGTCGACACCAAGATGACGGGCTCGCTGGGTACGCCGGGCGCGATCGCGGGAATGGACTTCGCGGGCACCGTACGGGCGATTGGTCGTGGGGTCGTGACACCGGCCGGGTCGCTGGCCGTGGGAGACCGCGTGTGCGGCGCGGTGCAGGGGATGCACTCGCTGACACCGCGCGTGGGGGCCTTCGCACAGTATGTCGGCGCGACGGATCACGTCACGCTCAGGCTGCCACCGACGATGAGCTTTGCCGAAGGGGCGGCGCTGGGGAGTGGCATCTCGACCGTCGGCCTCGCCCTCTTCCACATCATGCGCGTACCGGGATACCCTGATGAGCCGGCGCAGACGCCTCGATTCGTGCTTGTGTACGGAGGCAGCACAGCGACTGGCACCTTGGCCATCCAATTGCTGAAGCTGTGGGTCTCCCCTCACCTAGAAACGAGTCAGGCAGATCAGATTGTATGCGAGTGCTGACCGCATCTCTTCAGGTCTGGATTGCGCCCCATTGCGACATGTTCGCCTCGCAACTTTGAGCTTGTGCGGTCATTCGGCGCGGAGGAGGTCTTTGACTACCGCTCGTCGACGGCCGCCGCCGATATCCGCAAGCACACGCGGAACTCACTGAAGTACGTCCTGGACTGCATCTCAGAGCCGGAGACAATGCAGTTCTGCTACGAGTGCATTGGGCGACTCGGTGGCCGGTACACTGCGCTAGAGCCCTATCCATCCTGGCTGCATACACGTTCCAACGTGGAGCCTGCGTGGGTACTGGGCCCTACACTGTTGGGCAAGGACATTGGGTGGAGAGAGCCATTTGGCAGGCCCAGAGACCCTGAAACCAAGGCGTTTGGGGTGAGACTGTTCCAGATGGCACAGAGATTGTTGGACGAGGGCAAGATTAGGACCCATCCTTTGCATCCTATGCCGGGAGGTCTGCAGGGAGTGCTCGATGGCATGGAGCTGCTACGCCAGAAACAGATCTCGGGCAAGAAACTAGTCTATAGCCTAGATCCTTGAGTTAGACATTCTGGCATTCGTATACTTTTGAAATATGGCTTTCAGAATATCATTCGTGTTGGTAATTCTTGCGCCCAGTTGCCTCTGTTTCGAAGGCTTGGATGCTCTGGTTGATCCAACGAAGCCTCGCCAGGACCGGTGACTTTGGAAAAACGTGTCAAATGGGGGCTGTGGGCAAACCGGCGACATTTGGGCCTCATCCTGGCTGTTTCGTTAACACTGCTGTAGTAAGCCTCGGGCACGAACTAGGCAACCGTGAGCTCGGAGATATGACAGTGATGGGTGCGAACCATGCTTATGTTTCAGAAATTCATTCAAAATGTTGGGATACAACAGCAGCGGTAGGTGGCTACGTAAGTAGGTTGGTTGTCTTCGTTTACCTGATCCGGAACCCGCTAATCTATCTATGGGTTAGCCGTAGATCCTCCGCTTCCGAAAATTGACGTTCGCGAGCCATATGATAATTTATTTTACGAAACCTGCTATATATAGATTTTGTTCTTACTATGTATTTGTTAGAGTAGGTAGTTACATCAGGGTGATACTAGTAGATCCAACCCGTCGAATCCCGTGAGTACCAAGAGGCAGCTGAGGCTTAACCCTCTGCTACGGCGGCCCCAATGCTTATGTGCACGTCCTCGTACCTTGAAAACGGCGACTTTATTAGTTGTGCCAAGAGTGCGCGGCCCCGGGGCCAAATACTCTTCGGATATCGCTGATATTCATTAATAGCAATAACTTCATCCTTACTGCCAAGCCACTGGGGATTCTATAGGCCCTTACTGTTTCATGACAACCCCATTTTTACTCTCCGCTGATAAATGCGGGCGAACCGGGGCTGCAAATTTAGATCGTGTTCCAGTTAGGGCACAGAAATAGTTCGGGAGGCCGTATGTGGCAATCTGAGGTCGGAGATCGCTGTACACGGATATATAACTACACCTACCTACCTAGATTGTCATCGGAGCAGGGTAAATGAAGATTATCCACCTACCTTCCTTCCTGCTGAATCTTTCTTGTTGCAACATATCTTCATCATATTACCTTTACTGTTCTCACTTGTATTCCCACCTTAACTAGACATGTCTGCCTACCTAAACGAACCAATCGCCATCGTTGGTGCCGGATGCCGATTCTCTGGGGAATCGAATCGGCCGTCCAAGCTGTGGGAGCTTCTGCGCAGCCCGCGCCCCGTGGCGACCCCAATTCCCAAGGATCGCTTCAACCTCGAGGCTTTCTATCACCCCGAGGGAGCACATCATGGCAGCACCAACGTGCTGGAGTCCTACTTTCTCTCCGACCAAAACATCAAGCACTTCGACGCACCCTTCTTCAACACAAATCCGACCGAGGCGGATCCGATGGATCCGCAGCATCGCCAGCTGCTAGAGGTGGTGTACGAGGGGATCGAGGACGCGGGCCTCACGATAGAGGAGCTGCAAGGCTCTGACACGGCCGTGTACGTTGGCTCCATGTGCAACGACTACTCGGCCATATCCAGCAGGGATTTCGACTACATCCCGACCTACGGCGCGACGGGCGTGGCTGCCAGCAACGCCTCGAGCCGCGTGTCATACTTCTTTGACTGGCACGGCGCGTGCATGACCATTGACACAGCCTGCTCGTCCAGCCTAATCGCTATGCACCAGGCGGTCCAGGTGCTTCGGTTGGGCCACTCCAAGGTCGCCATCGCGGCCGGCACCAGCCTGATCCTGGACCCGCTGCCCTATGTATCAGAGAGCAACCTGAATATGCTGTCGCCCACGGGGCGGTCACGCATGTGGGACGCCGACGCCGACGGCTACGCGCGCGGCGACGGCGTCGCGGCCGTTGTGCTGAAGACGCTAAGCCAAGCCCTGGCTGATGGCGACCACGTCGAGTGTATCATCCGCGAGACGGGTGCTAACCAGGACGGGCGCACCAAGGGTATCACGATGCCGAGTGGCGTTGCGCAGACGGCTATGATCCGGGACACGTACGCCCGCGCCGGCCTCGACCCCCTGAATCCGTTGGAGCGCTGCCAGTACTTCGAGGCGCACGGCACGGGCACGCCGGCCGGCGATCCTCAAGAGGCGTCGGCGCTCGACACGTCTTTCTTCGACTCGACCGACCGGAGCGACACACTGTATGTCGGCTCGGTAAAGACGGTCATCGGCCACACCGAGGGCACCGCGGGCCTGGCCGGAGTCCTGAAAGCGTACCTGGCCATTAAGAACAAGACGCTGCCGCCCAACCTGCTTTTTAACAATCTCAGCGATGCTGTCCGGCCCTTTTATCGGCACTTGCAAATCCTGAACAAGGCCCAGCCCTGGCCGGAGCTGCCGGAGGGCGTCCCCCGCCGTGCCTCAGTGAATAGCTTTGGCTTCGGCGGGAGCAATGCCCACGCTATCCTCGAGAGCTACGAGCCTAGCAAACCGTCCTCCGGCCAACCCAAGAAGAGCGGAGACTCGTTGTCCCTCGTTCCGTTCGTCTTCTCCGCTAACTCAGAGAGCTCCCTCAAAGCGCGCCTAGGTTCGATGGTGGACTTTCTTAAGTCAAACCATATGCTCGCTCTCGACGACTTGCGATACACCCTCACGCAAAGACGATCGGCCCTTGCCTCCAAGGCGTTCTTCTCCGCCTCAAGCGTCGGATCGCTGATCTCGGGCATCGAATCCGCGCTCAAGGAGGCCGGCGAGAAGAACGTATCTGTCGGCGTGCAGTCTGCCACTACCCCGGCCACTATTCTCGGCGTCTTCACCGGCCAGGGTGCCCAGTGGCCCCAGATGGGCCTCAAGCTTATTGAAGCCTACGCCTCTGCACGACAGACGCTCAATGCTCTTGACGCGTCGCTCGCGTCGCTGCCGCCAGCCGACCGGCCTGCCTGGACGCTCCTGGATGAGCTGTCGGCAGCCGGGACCGCGAGCCGGCTGGGTGAGGCGGCGATCTCGCAGCCGCTTTGCACGGCGGTGCAGATCGTGCTAGTGGACCTGCTGCGGGCCGCGGGCGTGTCGTTCCGGGCCGTGGTGGGTCACTCGTCGGGCGAGATTGCAGCGGCGTACACAGCAGGATTCCTAAGCGCCAGTGACGCCATCCGCGTGGCGTACTACCGCGGCATACACGCGCGTGCGGCGTCTGGTGTGGGTGGGAAGAAGGGCGCGATGATGGCAGTCGGGACGTCGCTAGAGGACGCGCGCGAGCTGGTCGACCTCGAGGACTTCGAGAATCGGCTTGCGGTCGCGGCCAGCAACTCATCGTCGAGCGTGACGCTGTCGGGCGACGCTGACGCCATCGACGAGGCCCAGGCCGCGCTTGACAGCGAGAACAAGTTCGCCCGGAAGCTCAAGGTCGACACCGCCTATCACTCGCATCACATGCGGCCCTGCGCTGAGCCGTACCTCACCTCACTACGTGCTTGCAACATCCAGGTGCTCCAGCCTGCCGAAAATGACCCAGTCTGGTTCTCCAGCGTGCGGGACGGCGCGCGCATTGTGGCCGACGATGTGTCTCTCCGGGACAGCTACTGGGTCGAGAACATGGCCAACACGGTGCTTTTCTCACAGGCGCTGACGCAAGCCACCGAGACCTTTGGCTCTTTCGCCCTCGGCCTCGAGGTAGGCCCCCATCCCGCCCTCAAGGGCCCCGCGACCCAGACGTACCAGGAGACGACCAACAAAGAGGTGCCGTACGTGGGCGTGCTATCCCGCGGCAAGGACGACGTCGATGCCGTCGCGTCCGCCCTCGGTGCCATCTGGCGACACCTTGGCGTCACAGGCATCAACTGGAAGGCGTTGCAGCAGACGTACTGCGGCACGACGCCCGCATCTCTCGCGATGATCAAAGACCTGCCCCTCTACGACTGGGACCACACACGCACGTACTGGTCTGAGTCGCGGTACGGGCGCCAGTTCCGCACCGGCGACGCCAACGTGCATTCGCTGCTAGGGAAGCGCCTCCCCGACGGCACCGCCGAGGAGATGCGCTGGAAGAATATTCTTAAGCCGCGCGAGATCCCCTGGCTGGCGGGTCACGCGCTCCAGGGGCAGGTCGTATTCCCGGGCACGGGGTACATCGCGCTAGCCATGGAGGCGGCCATGGAGCTCGCGGCCGGTCGTGCCGTGCAGTCGATCGAGCTATGCGATCTCGTCATCTCCAAGGCCATCGCCATCGATGAATCGGTCGGCACCGAGGTCGTGGTTAGCATGACGCAGGTGGTCGACGACGGCGAGGGGGCCGATCTCATCACCGCCAACTTCACTTCCTTTTCCCTCGTCAGCCGCGAGTCATCGGATCTCGCTGTCAATGCGTCGGGCCAGGTGCGCGTGAATCTGGGTCCCGAGAATCCTGCTGTGCTCGCCACGCGCGACGCGTACATGGGTGACATGGCCACCGTCGACATCGACCACTTCTACGGCGCCATGAGCGAGCTGGGCTACGGCTACACCGGCCCCTTCAAGGGCCTCTCATCGCTGCGGCGTCACCTAGGCTACGCCTCGGGCACCATCGCTCGCCCAGCCGACGACGATGCGGCTCGCCCTCTGCTCTTCCACCCGGGCATGCTCGATACGTCGCTGCAGACGCTCTTCGCCGCCTTCAGCGCCCCCGGCGACGCCCGCCTCTGGGCCATGCACGTCCCGACTGGCATCCATCGCGTTACCCTTGTGCCGTCGCTGTGCGGCGCCAACCTCTCCGAGGAGGTCGTCTTCGATAGCATGATCACGGCATCGCGCCCAAACCATATCACAGGCGACGTGGACCTGATCGGCGCCGACGGAGTGCACAAGTGCATCGAGATAGACGGCCTCGGTTTCGTGCCATTCACCCCCGCGACCGCGGCCGATGACCGCGGCCTTTTCAGCCGCGTGACCTGGGGCTTCGACCGCCCTGATGGCGTGCGCGCCGCCGAGGGCCGCCGAGCCACGGCCTGGGAGAAGCAGAAGGCCGCTGATTGTGAGCGCGCCGCCTTCTTCTGGCTGAGGAGCCTGAACTGCGAGATCGGGGTGGCGGAACGGCCTGCGCTGCCCGTCCACCACCGCGCACTGCTCGACTTCGCCGAGCATATGGAGGAGGTGGTGCGGGCGGGCAAGCATCCACATGGGACGCTGGAGTGGTTCGACGACACGCGCGAGCGGATCTTGCCCATCGTGGAGTCGTACGGGCACGACGCGGACCTAAACATCATGCGTGCAGTGGGCGAGAACATTGTAAGCGTCATGCGCGGTGAAATCACTATTCTCGAGGTCATGACCAAGGATGGCTACCTCGACGACTACTACGAGAATGCCATGGGCCTGCACACGGCAAACCGCAACATCTCCAACCTGATGGCCCAGATCGCGTACCGTCACCCACACTGCGACATCCTCGAAATTGGCGCTGGCACCGGCGGCGCCACTCGTAACATCTTCGACAAACTTGGCCGCGCGTTTCGGAGCTACACTTACACTGACATCTCCACGGGCTTCTTCGGCAAGGCGCGCGAGGAGTTCCGTGCCTACGCCGACCGCATGGTGTTCAGCACGCTAGACATCACCAAGGACCCAACAACCCAGGGCTACAAAGAGGCATCATACGACGTGGTAGTCGCGTCTAACGTGCTTCACGCGACGGCGCCACTGGTCGAGACGCTCAAGAACGCGCGCCGCCTCCTCAAGCCGGGCGGCTACCTCGTAGTGCTGGAGATCGTCATGCAGGATGCCATGGCCGAGGGACTGACGATGGGCGGCCTGCCCGGCTGGTGGGTCGGCGTCGACGACGGCCGTCGCTTCGCCCCGACCATCCCACTGAAGCAGTGGAACACAGTGCTCAAGAAAGCCGGCTTCGCTGGGATCGAGACGCACACCCCGCTGCTCGACCCGGGAACCTTCATCGTGTCCATCTTCGCGGCGCAGGCCGTCGACGAGGATGTCCAGCTGCTGCGCCGGCCCCTAATTAGCCGTCCCGATCAGATTCCCATCAAGGACCTCATCCTGCTCGGGGGCGAGACGATCGAGACATCGAACCTGATGGAGGACCTAGAAAGCCTGCTCGAGCCGCGCACTGAGAACTTGACCCTGGTGTCAACTATCGACGAGCTGGAAACGACGCCCATCCCAACCGGCGCCACCATTGTCAGTCTGGCCGATGTCGACTCGCCCATCTTCAAGGATATCACCGAGACGCGCTGGAACTTATTCAAAAACCTGCTCTCCGACTCCCGCTGCGTGCTGTGGGTGACTAGCGGTGCGGAAAGGGAGCAGCCCTACGCGGCGGCCATGGTCGGCCTGCACCGCTCGATCCCAATCGAGCTCATGCAAATGCGCCTCCAGATGCTTGAGGTGCCCGTTCTGAAGGACCTGTCCGCGTCCATGATAGCGGAGGCGGTCCTGCGCTTACAGTTGTTCACCATATGGCAGAATTCACCCGTGCCTAAGGACCTGCTCTGGACATCGGAACCGGAGCTCAAGTTCGAGCACGGAGAGATGAAGATTCAACGCCTCCTGCCCGACCAGGAGGCCAACAGCCGGTATAACTCGGCCAAACGGATGCTCACCAACAACGTCGATCCCACGGTATCCGTGGTTCAGCTAGAGTGGATTGACATCGAGTCACGATACTCCCTCCACGATGCCGGAAAGCCTATTGCCGCCTCTGAAGACAGCGTGACAGTCAACGTGGGCCATTCCCTCCTCCCAGTGATCCGAACGAGTGCCGAGTTGGTCAACGTCGCTCTGGGAACGAACGCAAAGTCGGGCGAGAAAGTTCTCGTGCTCAGCGGCGAGAACTCTTCGATCCTCACCGTGCCGAGATCCTGCACCATTGCGGCGGACCTGGGACCCTACACCGAAGGGCAATACATGACCATCGTGGCAGCGTACCTCTATAGCTCGCAGATCTGGGCCCGCATGCACTCCGGCAGCACCCTCCTCTTGCATGAGCCCTCGCCCATAATCGCCCGCTTGCTCCAGCTCCTATGCGAAGGCACCAAGTCCCGTGCCTTTTTCTCCACTACCGACGAGTCCCGGCGGGAAGAGGGCGGTTGGATCTACCTCCACCCGCGCATCGCTCGTCGTGCGCTGGAGCGATCGCTGCCGAAAGACGTGGATCTCTTCTTAGACTTGTCGGATGCGCAGGGCACGAGCGCGCTCGGCCATCGCATCGCCGAGACCAAGTCCCAACGCTGCGAATGCGGCGACAAGACCGACCTGCTATCCAAGGAGTCGCTTCCCTTGAGAGAGGACAGCCTCGAAAAGGTCGCCCAGCTGCTCCAGAAGGTGCAGGACTTCGTCCCAACGAAAGCTGCTGAGACCCTGGGGACTGTGTCCATAGAGCCACACGCGCTGAGCAGCGTAGTCGCCGCTGGTGACAAGTGTGACCTCTTCACCGTCATCGACTGGCACCAGGAGGCGATCGCTGCGTGCGTGATCGAGCCCATTGACTCACGCCGCAACATCTTCCAGGACGGCAAGACGTACTGGATGGTGGGTTTGGCCGGTGATCTGGGACAGTCTCTTGTCGATTGGATGATCGACCACGGTGCAAGACACGTAGTGCTGACCAGCCGCGCGCCAAAGGTGTCCCCAGACTGGATCGCAACGTGCGCGGCCAAAGGCGCGACAGTCGGCTGCGTCGCTGGCGACGTGACCGATTTCGACTCGATTTGCGCGTGTCGCGACGAGATCGTGGCTAACTACCCCCCATTGCGGGCGTGGCCAATGGAGCCCTCGTCCTGCGCGACAAGCTGTTCGTCAACTCCGAATTCGCGGACCTCCAAGCTGTGTTCGGGCCCAAAGTCACCGGAATTACGCACCTAGACCGGCTGTTCCCGGACGACACGCTGGATTGGTTCATTGGCTTTAGCTCTATCGTGGCGACGTCGGGCAACTCAGGCCAGAGCATATACTCGGCGGCCAATGTCTTCATGAAGGCCATAGTTGAGCAGCGGCGGGCGCGCGGCCTGGCTGGCTCTACCATCGATATCTCCCGCGTTCACGGCGCTGGCTACGTCGAACGCGAGATGCAGAAGTCCGGGTCGCTCAGCGAAAAAGACATCAACAAGATCTTCCGTGTCTCGCTTGCCATGTCTGAGTCCGACCTACACCAGCTGGTGGCTGAGGCGATCATGGCCGGCCGTCCGAATTCGGGACGTGCGTCGGAGCTCATCACTGGCCTCCGCGTCCTGCCGTCGGACGAGACGAGCGACGTGTTCTGGGCCAACAACATCAAATTCTCGCACTACATTCGCGACGCCGCAGAGACGGGTGACGAGAAGCAAGGCAAGGCTGCGCGTGTCGCCGTCAAGTCGCAGCTACAATCCGCCAAGACCGTCGAAGATGTCACCACTATCGTCAAGGGTAAGTCCGCAGCGCGACTTGTCATGTCGACCCAGAATGCTAACTTTTATCCAGCCGCCTTCATCTCCAAGTTGACGTTCGCTTTGGAGCACTCCGAGGACGAGGCCTTGTCCGACAGCACGCCCCTCATCGACTTTGGCATGGACTCTCTCGTCGCCGTTGAGATTCGCAGCTGGTTTCTCCAAGAACTCGGCGTCGACATGCCGGTGCTCAAGATCTTGGGCGGCGCGTCAGTGGCTGAGCTTGTGGACGATGCCGTAGAGAAGCTGCCAGAGGAGTTCATGTCGAAATTCGAATCCACGCCCAAAGATGTCACCAAGGACTCCGCGGAGAGCCCGCAGACGCTTTCCAGCAAATCGTCTTCGAATCTCTCGATGACGGATTCGACCTCGCCAAGTGTCGCCCCCGAAACTCCGCCAACTGCAATGGATGATAAGGAAGAATTTATTGAGATCGAGAAGTGAGTTATTGTCCATGCATCGTGGCGGTGAAATCAGAGCTGCGAATATAATATAAACGTTTGTTGGGGGAGCAGAGCAGCTCTCCAACGAGTGTATGTGGTTGACGGCCAGATCTCTGCATGGCCTAAGAAGCCGCAACAAAGGCTGAGGTCTTGTAGTGAGATATGTAAGGTCCATCATGCAACCTGTGGCAGAGAAAACTCAGCCGAGATGTATATATCAAGATCCTTCTTGGCGTTAATGGAGTTAGAAGTTTTCGTATTCGCAGCTCTGGTCCCGTCTCATCTTTGTACTCATATCTCGCTTTCATTGTTTTGAATCATGACAGGACTGACACGAGAAACTCGCAGACTTGAGGAGATCAAGCCTAAGTTCGTCCCGGAAGTCGTCCGTAAGGAGCCCATGTCGTACGGCCAAGCGCGCTTCTGGTTCCTCCGCCAGTACTCTGACGACCCGACTACCTCCAACATCACCTTTTTCTTTCGCATGAACGGGCGTTTCGACCCGGAGCGCCTCAGTAAGACTCTTTCTCTCATCACCAACCGGCACGAGTCACTTCGGTCCTGCTTCTTCGCAGAGAATGAAATCGCCTACCAGGGCATCATGGCCAAGTCCGCTTTCGAGATGAACCACCTCCCCGCCACCGGGGAAGAAAGTGCGAGAGCCGTGTACGAGGGCATGCAGAACCATGTCTACGACATTGAGAACGGAGACGTGTTCCGTGCCACGCTCTGCCAGGTCTCGGAAGATGCATTCTACTTCGTCATCGGATACCATCACATCGCTCTCGACGGTGTCAGCTGGGAGATCATCTTCGGCGAGCTGCAACGTGGATACCAGTCGGCTTTGCCACCAGTGCCACAACAATACCCAGCGTGGGCCGCGAAGCAGCGAAAGGAGGTGGAATCGGGCAAGATGAGCAGTGAGCGCAGGTTCTGGAAGACTCAGCTCGCAGACGTGCCTGTGCTGCCACTGTTGCCTACTGCGCGTGTTACGTCCCGTCAGCCGCTGAAAACGTACAGCATGTGTCGCGTGCAGCAGAAGCTCGATCAACAGTTGACTTCGCTGACAAAGGACTTGTGCAAAAAAGAGAAAGTGTCGCCATTCCATTTCCATATGGCGGTGTACAAGACCCTCTTGAGCCGCTGGACCGGTGCGAACGACATCTGCATCGGCATGGCGGATGCCAATCGCATGGACCCCGGAGACGCGGGTGTCGTGGGCTTCCTGCTCAATCTTTTGCCTCTGCGTTTCAAGTCCGACGGCCAGCAAACTTTCAGCGCGATGATGAAGGAAGCCCGCACCAAAGTCTTTGGCGGCCTTGCCCATTCCAAGGTGCCTTTCAACGTCATTCTCGAGGATGTCAATGTGCCGCGAACATCGACTCACAACCCGCTCTTTCAAGCCTTTATCGAGTATCGTGCTACCAACAAACTGACCTCGGAAGCGTTTAAACACGACCAACCTGCCAACAGCACATCGTACAGCAAGACGCCGTATGATATCACGATGAATGTGCTGGAAGACCACCTTGGCGATGTTATTGTGAGTTTTGGCGTTCAAGGAGCGCTTTACTCGGAAGAGACTGCAGCGTTGTTGCTCCGAAGCTATATCACGTTGTCGAAAACGCTGGCCGCGAATGCTGGAATGGTCACGTCAAAAGCACAGATTTTCTCAGACGAAGAGGTTTCCAGAGCTGTGGCTCTCGGAAAGGGTCCGTCATTGGAGCAAAGCTGGCCAAAGACCTTGCTCCATCGAGTCGACGAGATGATCCAGACTTATGAAAACGACACTGCTGTCTGTGATACTCGCGGCAATTCGTTGACGTACAAGCAGTTGGCCAACAAGATCAACGCCATCGAATGTACGCTGAAGGATAATAATGTGCTACCAGGAGCGTCGGTAGCAGTTTTCCAGACCCCCGCTGTCGACTGGATTTGTTCCGCGCTGGCAATTATGCGCAGCGGTGCGGTATATGTCCCTCTTGACCCCAAGCAAGGAACTCAGCGCTTGGCGAAGGTTGTTGAAACCTGCAAGCCCGCTGCCGTCTTGGTTGATTCCTCGACTATGCCCGAAGCAGCTACCTGGGCCTGTAAATACATAGATGTGAGCGACCTGCAAACCAATAAGTCGAACTTGGGTCCAATCAGTGCAGAGGCCGACAAAGCCGCCATCATCCTCTTCACGAGCGGGACCACCGGGATCCCGAAAGGCATTGTACTTCATCATAATGGCCTTCGCAACGGCATTGAAGGTCTGATCCGCCATTTCAAGTTGCAGCGTGAAGTTGTGCTGCAGCAGACGGCCATGAGTTTTGACATGTCGTTGGATGAGATCTTCGTGGCGCTTTGCAATGGAGGAGCCCTTGTTGTTGTTGACAGTAACTTGCGAGGAGACTCTGCTTCGATCATGAAGCTGATTTCCAAAGAAAATATTACCTACACGCGAGCTACACCGCCCGAATATTCCTCATGGATCAGACACGGCGCTTCATCTGTGCAGGGCAACGATTCCTGGAAGTGGGCCTTTGCCGGTGGAGATCGTATGACCGACACTTTGAGGAAAGAATTTCGCAGCCTTTGTCTTCCTCAGCTCCGACTCTTCAATTCGTACGGACCGACAGAAATCTCGATGTCGGCTGTCAAGATTGAAACGCCGTATAAGGACAACAGTGTGTTGACTAACGATCAAATTCCGATTGGTCGACCGATGCCAAACTACGGCATCTACGTGGTCAACAACAATATGGATCTTGTGGCGCCGGGCATCCCTGGACAGATCTTGGTAGGAGGCCCTGGTGTCTCATTGGGCTACCTTGGCGACAGTAAGCTGACCGACGAAAAATTCATAAACAACCTGTGGGCATCTGAAGAGCAGAAACGTTACGGGTGGACGAAGCTTTACCATACTGGCGACTGCGGCCACTTGACCGAGGACGGGGCCGTTGTTTTCCATGGACGCATTGCTGGTGACACCCAGATCAAGCTCCGTGGCCTTCGGATCGAGCTGGGTGACATCGAGAGCAACATCTTGACCGAGTCGCAAGGCAATCTGTCTCACGTAGTTTGCACCGTTAGTGGAGATGCCGAGTTTCTGATTGCCCATGTGGTCTTCTCGCCTTCATTCAGCAAAAACACATCGGATCAGACGACTTACCTTCAGAAATTGATCGCATCTTTGCCGCTGCCCAAGTACATGAAGCCGGCTGTCTCGGTGCCTCTTGAAAATCTGCCATTGACGGTGCATCAAAAGGTCGATCGATCTGCCATCGCGACATTGCCTTTACCTTCTATTGGCAGCCGAACTGACGAGAAGGCCGGTAAACTCAATGAAATGGAAACCAAGCTAAGGGATATCTGGCTCCAAGTGTTGCCCAAAGAGATTCAAGCAGCGTGGTCCCCTTCCACCAACTTTTTCGACCTCGGTGGAAACTCCTTGCATCTCGTTGAGGTTCTCGCAGCGATTCAAAAAGCATTTCACGTCTCGGTCCCGCTCGTTGATCTTTTGGGCGCAAGTACCCTTCGCGAAATGACCGAAAAAATATCGGACGCCGTCTCTGCTGGGGCGATCAACTGGGATGCAGAGACTACGCCCCCGGAGATTGAAATATCTACTCAAAGCTCTGTCTCGAATACCAAGAAAGATCTCGAAGTCCTTGTGACTGGAGCGACTGGTCACTTTGGCCGCCATCTGCTGCCGCTCCTTGAAGCATCGTCCAAATTTGCAAAGATTCACTGCATTGCCGTCCGCAACCCCCAAGGGCTGTCTCGTACTTTCAAGAAAGTGATTGTTCATTCAGGTGACATCACACAGCCTCGGATGGGTCTTTCTCAGGTCGAGTTCCAGCAGCTCAGTTTGGACGTGGACGTCATCATCCACTGCGCGGCAGCTCGCGCCTTCTGGGAACCGTACTCGGTCCTCAGCAAGACCAACACGCATTCCGCACGAGAGTTGATCAAGCTTGCCGGACCTCGTCGGATCCCGATCCATTTTATGTCAAGTGGCGGTGTCTTCGGTGGCTCTTCTGACGTGCCTGCCTCATCAGCCAAGACCCAGTTGCCTGCGAGCAACGGCGAGAACGGATACATCGCAAGCAAGTGGGCCAGCGAAAGAATCTTTGAGCGCTCGGCAGAAGCCTATGGCGTGCCAATTGCCATCTACCGCACCATGCCCAAGGGCAGCAGAACAAACAACAGTGTACCCAAGAAGCTTATTGACGATTTCGCGAGCGCAGTTACGGCTTCGGGTACGATCCTCGATCCTGATGGTTTCTGGAAGGGTTCTTTCGACCTGATCCCGGCAGAAGCTGTCGCGACGCACATAGTATCTTCGATTTCGGCTGCTTCCGCCGAGACCATCCAGTTTTCGCACTTGCCGGCAGTGGTGAGGTTGGAGAAACAAGAGCAATTGCAGCAATTGCTGGATCGGCCGGAGATCAAATCTCAGGTGGACAAGCTGCGGAAGGTACCGGGCGCCCAGTGGCTCGGACACATCAAGCGGGCCGGCTTCGGGTGGATGGTTGCTGCACAGGATGCCCTGGTCGATGACCATCTTACAAACCGCCGATAGATGGATGGGATTGCCGTTCACGAGTCGAGTTGCTATGTGTTCAGGAGTTGGGGTTCTTTGGAGGGTTGGATTCTGGCGTTTGGTAATTTGCTCGGTTCTTTGGGTGCAATACTGGCTTGATTTAACATGCAAAAACTGTCTAGAGAGCTTTTACACCTTTTTTTTTCATTTTTCTTGTTCTGGATTGCGATCTACGCCTTTAAACAGCACGGATACATTTTACCAAGAATTTGTAAATAAATAATAACAAATTATCGAATCATGGGCATCCATTAGATATTGATGCCAATACCACTATAATTATAGGCACTAGGCTAAAAATAGCTGGCAGTTTATCGGCTGCCGAAATCAATGTGCATGTACTTTTGGCGCTATGGAGGATTCCAGTTGCATGAACATCCTAGTTCGAGATTTGTTAAATAGTTACATGACGACTAAGTCTGGTCCCTCCGGGCTCGTTGACACCCCTGCATCGAGGAAGATATGATGGAATTATATGGCAATGATTATTAGCCTGTATGCGCATAGGGGTCCAGGCTTGAACCGTAAATTGGCTGTAAATTGGATTGCACAAGTATCAAGAACCAAGCCAGAAACAATAAATGGGCCGGTCAGGCATATGTACAGAGGGAATGTAAATGAACTTGACTAGATGAAGTTCGACGATCAACCCGGATGAGTTCACCCATCTAACGGCATTCAAAATACCCCGTCCAATCAAAACCAAGGTTGTCACAATGAGATAACCTATGATTAAGAGTCTCTTGAGTACATATGAACCCGATTAGAGCCTTCTTAATGCAGCTTTTTGCTCAGGTGCAGCTTGCGACTCGAGGCACCAACGTAAACAGTCTTTGGTTCTTCCGTAACGACCCAGTTTTGGCTCACAATATCCCAATTGCTCAAATCGCGACGGTTTAGCGTACCGCGGAAAGTGGCAGTTTCGCCAGGCTGGAGGTGAATACGCTGAAAGTCGCGAAGCTGTCGTGGGGGGTTATCGCCTCCGAGTTCCACGTAGAGTTGCGGAACTTCGTCACCTGCAACATGGCCGGTGTTGGTGATTTTGGCAGTGATTTCGTACATCTCATCATAAAGCATCTCATTGCCCCCGCTGGCTGTTGCGTCACCTGCCGGGTTCAGTTTCTGCGGCGAACTATCAAGCGCGTGCCGGGGGATAAAATCCGTTCGGCCATATTCGGGATCCTGGGATGCGGCTTTGAGGGACGAGGTAGTGTTGAGGTAAGGATAGATATAAGCCAAGATGTAACGATACGTCTCCGGGAACTTGTACTTCGACAGATCGTGGCTATTCGTGCCAAAAGAAGGCGCTTTCTGGGTAGTGCCGACCGCGGGCTTGTAGGTGCGCACAGGTTTTTTGGTTACCTGGAGGTCGGAGTACTTGAATGTGGTATAAGACAAACCGTGCCCGAATTCAAAAATGGGCTCAATGCCTTCTTTGTCGAAATGGCGGTAGTCGATATAAACTCCTTCGGTGAAGGTCTGCTGTGGGGGACCGTGGCCATTGTTGGGGGTGTATAGGATGTCCGTGCCGTAATCCTGGCGCTTCTTGGCCCAGGTAAATGGGGAACGGCCAGCCGGGTTGACCTTGCCCCATAGAATATCGACAAGCGAGTTTCCAGATTCCTGGCCGGGAAGACCGGCCCACACGATTGCCGTGATATTGGGGTGGTCATACCAGTCGCCCACTAGAAGAGGACCGCCGCTGTGCAGGACAACAATCGTGTTATTGCAAAGAGAGCTGACTTGCTTAATCAAGCCCTCACCGTTCTGCCACAGAGTCAGATTGTTACGATCTCCCCAATTGCCATCCACGGTAATGTAGCCTTCACCAGAGTCCGAGTTAGCAAAAACCAGGCAGGTGGCATCAGGCTGTGACACCAGTGACGAGATGGCATCAGAGTCCCAGCTGTCTAGGACGCTTTCATAACGGCCGCCGTACTCCACGACCTGGGCCTGAATAGCAGAATCAGGAGTGATCAAGTAGGGGAACTGCGATGTTCCAGATCCCCAGCCCATAGCCAAGGTGCCATTATCACAGCCCCTATCTGCGCAACCATTGGGACCCTGGAGACTAGGCCCAGCATCCTCCCCAATTGCAGCAACGAAGCTCGGTTCCTTGAGCGGCAGCGCGCCACGGTTCTTCAGTAGCACTGTGCCTTTGGCAGCGATCTCGCGGATAAGCTTTGAGTGATTACCCTGCACGTTGACATGCCAATTCACTTGCTCGTAGTCCTCCTTTCCGTATGCATATTTGAAGCCATCGGTGTCAGAAGTCCAGGAATTGAAATTGACGTCCGGCTGATCTTCGATGGTGTTGCCAACTTTGAAATAAGCAGCCATGATCCGCATGGCCATGTCGTCGATCCGCCACTCGGGAACAGTGCCATTGAGAACGGCGACCGTCAAATTAGATCCCCAATAGCTGAGACCCGTGTCGAAAGAGGTGTCACCGGGCATGGACATATCCATTCCAGCCAAGGCAGAGGATACGCCAGATTGATGGCCTGCCCAGTCACTGACAACAAATCCTTGAAAGCCGAGTTCGCCCTTGAGGATCTTGTTCAGAGTCTGGCTGTTTTGGCAGCCGTAGGAGTTGTTAATCTGCGTATAGGAACAGAGAATCGAACCCACACCGGCGCGAACAGCGTCGGCAAAAGGCCATAGATACAGCTCATGCATGGTACGATCGTCGATGTTCGAAGACAAGGTCGAAGAAATTTCGTAGCCATGCGAGGCAGCCTCGCTGACCTGACGGAAATGTTCCTGCTCGTTCCCGATATAGTGTTTAGCCGACGCAATAATGCCAGTATCCTGCATGCCCTTGATTGTCTCTGCCATGGCGATCCCGGTCAAAACTGGATCAGCGGCAAAGCCCTCCCACATGCGGCCACCCTCGGGCATCCGGCCTAGAGGACCGGCAACAGGGCCAAGTTGCATGGTTATGCCTTTGCCCTTGTGCTCCTGGGCCATAGCAACACCTCTTTGGTACAGAAGAGAACGGTCGAAAGTCGCAGCAGTCAATTGACCAGATGTGAAAGCGGAAACATAATCGGCAAATCGAATCCCTTGGGGGGAGTCCTGGTTACAGAAACCTTTGAATCCAAGTCGAGGAATGGTGCCGGTGTTGCCTACGCAGGGTCCGTTCTCCCAGCTGCGAAACGCGTCAACGACTGATGGGGTATCGACATAACAAATAGACCAATCGAAGGAAAACTTACCCGACACCAGTGGTCAGATTGACCTTCTCTAGCAAGGTCAGCTGCGAGACGAAACTTTTGGCTTTCCCGTAGGCAGTCTCCCATCCATCAGCGTGAGGATTCATCCATGGCGATGGGTAGAAAGGGTCCGAAAACCACTCATCCGCCTCCGCGCGAGACTGCAGCTTCAAATCAGCCAGAAAAGTCAGCAGATAATCCAAGCATTGATAAAGCCCTGAATAAACACGTACCTGGTGCCTTTCGTAGGGCTCTGGTGCACCAGTGACATAGCCAACGCAGGAAGTCAGCGCAAGGAGAAGAGTGCACGCCTGCATACTTCAGGTCCTAGCAAGTACTTTGTATAGTATTTCGAGCCGGGCTCTTGTACTATATGTCACTGTAAAAACACAGGCACCTCACGCCTGGCTTTATATAGTCACGGCAGTCACCACCATCCTCTGATCAACAAGGGTGAAGTGGAGGGATTTCTCCGCTAGGATCAAACAATCGGATGCGCGGGTTACAGGAGAGCTCGGACCCTGGTTTGCTAGTGTGGGTTTTGACGATTCCTTCCACAAAGAGGTATGAAGGGACAAGGAAATCTCCACGCCTTGTCTCAACTACTCTTGCCTTTCGCCGCACAGACCGGTATATCGACGTATAACCGAATATCTAGTTACTCGATGGGGAAGTTGTTCCAGCGAGTGAGCCATAAATTTTATGTTCTCGTGCCTATCCCTTCCCAGCTGGGTGGTGATCGCTTTATGTCATTCTTGGCAGCGCGGAGTATCGGCTGAAAAGAAGCCCTTCGAAAATCACCGCATACATGCTCGAAAGTATCATTCTCCTCATCAGGATTCTTGGCTTTCATTATGTGATTCCATGCCCGCACGCCCATCTACTGCGGCCGCGCGTGATATACCTGTCCAGATCGAGAAAACACCAGAAACATATCCAATTGCGGAACGATCTAGGTAGGATTTCGTCTGCAATATATTCAAGCTTCGACCGTTAGATACCACAGTAATGTACCTCGCCACCAAGTTTCGTTTGATTCATACTTTCAATACAGAAATTAGGGCAGAGTAGCTCTTGATAATAGTAACTATCGCGTACAGCAGTCAGTGCAGATGCCGGATTACATGTTGGATTGACATGACAAGAGTCTCTGTAGCTCATAGTTTGCAAGGCGTTCACAAAAGCAGAACCATCCTTGTCAAGAGTGCAGATGTAGTGTATTACCTGTTAAGGATCACGGAGTATTGTCGGTCACAGAAGCCAATAATGGTCATCTACTTTCGAGACGATTCGGAGAATAATAGTCTTGGAGAATGGTGGATTATGTACTATAGACTGTGGAGACTTTCTCAAGGCGAGGAATGATCTGACTCTTCGCGATCCTTACTTGCCAAGCCTCTCTGGCTCCCCAAATTTGATCGCCCTTGCTCCATAAAATATGTCCTTCCTGCCGGCTAAACTTCGGGAGTATCTTCACAATCGGACTTTCGGCCCGCCTACCCGCGGGGATAGCCTCTCAGTCAGTTTATTTTCTGCCGTATTATCAAGGAATCAAGTCAGCTACGGAATGGAAGAAATCCTCAAAAAGTTTGCATGTTACAGAGGAACATTGATAAGTGGTAGCATGCAGGTAGAATCTGAGAGACCCGGCATTTTAGCCCTTTTGGCCATATGTAGAGCCTGCCATGCTAGGTGCATGACACCGCATCCCTATAGAGTCTTGCCTGAGCATTTTCCAATAGATTTCCACTTGACAAACTCAATATACATTCATGAACGTCAAGAGATTCTTTGTTAACTACCTTTTTAGGATTTAAAGAGTGTCCCAAGTGGTAGATAAACAGGTATGCATCCGTCGCCCAGAAACAGCTAATGGGGATGTCGGGCATGTTAGGTCTGGTGTTGCGGCAAAGATAATCTTTCGAGCAGCGAAGCTGGCATCTAGCCAGATCCTGTTAATGCGGTAGCAAAGCATTAGACCACTTTTAAAGTATGACGTATTTTTGGCGACGATGCTTTGAGGCGTGATTCGAATCATCAGATCAAGCTTGTCCACTATATGCTCAACGTACCAAGCATGCCAAGAGTCTGTATCAGGGCCGAGATATCGATGTAGCCGCCTATGCAGCCGAGCTCGGTCCATCTCTCGAACTTCAGCAAATCTCCGGATGCCGACATGGCACAGTATGCCGCGCTCGATTTGATAATCCACAATACCGACTGCACAGCACGGTTCCGCTTAAAGGCGTTTTGAGGAGCTATCTTGTAAATTGCCAATGAGCCAAATGGCCTCTTCCTCCCACAAAAACAAAACAGGAGTCCTATGGCCCATCCGGCGAGTCTTTTGCTAAACGAGCCATGGTAGGCTTGCGGAGCATATTGCTCACATCGAAATCACGCTGCAGTACCTGTGTGGAGACCATGCCCGATACGGAGCTTTTTCCTGGTGGGGTCTAGTGGATTAGTCGGAGAAACCCAGTTTTTGGCATGAAAAAGGGTATTTTATGCCAAAAAGCGGGTATTACCGAATAAAGTTAGCTTTTCCTAAGGATCGATTTTAATATGCAACATACCCCGGATTGAAATTGTGATACTCTCCGTAGTTGATATTACCGCAGAGACATCTCTAGCGATGTTTTCTTCAGCAACTGTACTGATTCTCGTCTCACCATACGCATGATCGACGAGACCTATACTCTTCCCAGGCCATAATTATATTACTGTTTCCCGTATGAAGAACACTATTGCGGGTACCGGACCCCCAGTCTCGCTATTGTGGGGCATCCCCGTCATAGTGGATTTTGATCGTACGTAATAATATTCCGGGATAGTAAAGGTTTGGGGGCGGAAAAATACCTAGGATAGATACTAAAAGGCCGCTTTGCCACGGCTTGGCATCTAATCTTCTTGGAGAGGTATGTATGGTAGTTCCTATGTAGTAAGGGCACTAGCTATGCTTAGAATAAGTTCACCCTATTGACATACAAACCGTGCAACATCTCCCCATAAATGAGGCTGACCTGTGCTTACTGTGAGTCATCTACAGACTATGTCCTTATCGGGGCTCTTAACCCCGCCTTCCGATTCAACGTGGTGCTATCTTCTTTTTCAGCTCTGATCTTCCGTGTATCCTGGGTTTCCTGCGGCTAGAACTGCCCTACCGGTCTAGATGCATCTATCAATTTTATCTTGATGCCTCCAGTATATCACCACTTATCTCTGTTGCCTGGTAAACGATGACGCCTTGTGGGAGATCATAAACTCATCTGGACCCTTCGTCTTCTCAACCACCACTTGATTGTTTCAATTTCTCATTTTGCAGTCCTTTGCCCCTTGACGACGTTTCTAATTTCCCAAAACGATTCATGTCGGTGCTCGTGCTTCGTGAGAGTATCTTGAGTAATGCCTCGTCGGGCCTCAATCATGACAACCTGAAATCCTTTGGCCCGGTAACTGCCGCCGGCTTCGACTTTACACCACTATTTGAAGACACAATCCTCTCGCTGCTGCCGTCGGCACTGCTCTTACTATGCCTGCCATATCGCATCATCAGTCTGCATGGTCAGAGGCCAAAGGTCTCCCCTGGGGGATTCTTGCGCGAGAGTAAACTAGTCTTCCTTGCAGTTTTTGCTGTGATTCATCTGGCCTTATTAATTTTACACATTCTGAGCCCGTCCCTCCGCACAGCTTCCACAATTGCTGCGTCGGCATTGGCATTCATTGCTAGCTTAGGTCTATGTCTACTCTCGCATCTTGAGCATTCTCGGTCTATTCGCCCGTCCCCGATCATCAATGGCTACATTCTCCTCACGTTGGTCTTTGATATCGCTCGTGTGCGAACACTTTTCCTCGATTCAAACGGCAGATCTATCCCTGGTTTTTTTGCTGGCATGATTAGTGTCAAAGTAATGGTTCTGCTTGCTGAGGCAATTGAAAAGCGCAGCATTCTACTGGCACCATATCGTGACTTATCGCCAGAAGAAACCAGTGGCATTTACAGTAAATCGTTCTTCTTTTGGCTGAACGAACTTATGACCTCCGGCTTTGGCCGTGTTCTTCACAACCATGACTTGTATCCAATCGATCGCGGCATGTCTTCAGAGGTGCTTCAGCAGCGTATGAGGCATACTTGGAGCATCGCATCTCAAGGCACTCGCAGGGCTCTCTTCTGGGCGGTCTTACGGGCGAACCTCAAACCATTGTTCTATTGCGTGGTCCCGCGTCTGTTCCAGATTGGGTTTCGATACGCCCAGCCTTTTCTGCTCACAAGGACTATCTCCTTCGCAAGTGATGAGTCTCAGCCAGACAGCATTGGCTGGGGCCTCACGGGAGCTTTCTTCGTGGTGCTCCTTGGCGTGGCCATTTCAAATGGTATTTATTACCATATGACCTATCGTTTTGTGACGAGCGTCCGGGGCAACCTGATCAGCCTCATCTATGCCAAAACAGTCGATCTCAGCATCACCGCCCTCGATGAGTCGGTCGCGGTGACGCTGATGTCCAGCGATGTTCAATCCATCTGTAATGGCTTTGAGAATATCAATAGTTTCTGGGCGATGCCTATTGAGCTGACCATCGCGCTTTATCTTTTGGCTCGCCAGCTTGGAATTGCGGCTGTGGCACCCGCTGCCCTCGCGCTCTTTTCCACTGCCGCTATCATGTCCATTGCGAAGTTCATGGGGCTTGCCCAGAAAGTGTGGATGGAGAGCATTCAGACACGAGTCGATGTCACTGCCACCATGCTGGGTTCGATGAAATCTGTTAAGATGCTCGGTTTCACTGACTGGCTCGCGGGCCTTGTCCAGGGACTCAGAGTAAAGGAGCTCAAGGAGGCAGAGCTCTTTCGCAAACTACTTACTGTGCGCGTTTTCCTTGCAAACATCCTCGTTACATTGGGCCCCCTTGTAACGTTCGCTATCTATGCACTTCACCCACAAGGCGACCATGTCTTGAATGCGGAGACCGCTTACACGGTCTTGACGCTGTTGGCGCTCCTTGCTTCGCCCGTCAACGAATTCATTCGGTCTATTCCTTCTATGAATGCCGCTTTAGCGTCTCTCAACCGCATTCAGGAATTTCTTCAGTCCGAGACTCGACGTGACCATCGTATCTTCGTAGAAGAATCTTCCAACTCTAGTCAGCGTGGTCAGTCCAGCTCGGATGGGATAGAACTTACAAAGCTCAACCACTCTCTACAAACGCCGTCAACGGAAATAGTTATTGCGCGAGATGTGAGTGTCTCATGGAAGGTGGATGCGGACTTTTCTGTCCACGATGTCAACCTGAGTATTGCGAGAGGTCAAATTCATATGATCATTGGCCCTACAGGCTGCGGCAAAAGCACTCTCATGAAAGGGATTCTGGGAGAAACACCTTCAACCAAGGGCTTTCTTTACACTAGCTGTCGAGAGACGGCATTCGTGGATCAGACACCTTGGATCCGCAACACTTCTTTGAAGGATAATATCCTGGGTGTCTCGGTGTACAATGAGGCATGGTACAACGAAGTAGTTAGGGCGTGCGTTTTGGATCATGATGTTGCCCAGTTGCCAAACGGCCATCGTGAGCTTATGTTTCGTAGACGATTAGTTGCAGTGTTACTTACTATCTCTAGTGACGAAAGTCGGTTCTTCAGGCATTTCCCTGTCCGGTGGGCAAAAGCAACGTTTGGCTCTTGCTCGTGCTGTATACGCACGCAAAGACTTGGTCATGCTGGATGATGTTTTCTCTGGGCTCGATGCTGATACAGAGGAGCGCATCTTCACGAGGCTATTTTCGAGACAAGGATTGTTTCGCCGACTGGGAACAACTGTGCTACTAGTCACCCATGCCGTGCACAGGCTTTCCTATGCTGACCATATTATCGCCATGGACAGCGATGGTTCTATTGCAGAACAGGGCAGACTAGAGGAGCTTGAGGCAAGTGGCGGCTACGTAGCGCTGCTCAAAGCACGATATCGGAGCGACACCAGTGATGACGAAACGAATACTCAACAAAATCAAGCAGCTGCAGTAATCTTAGCTGGCTCAGAGAATGCCAGTGGTACTAACACTATAGAGGAGGAGTTAACCAGACAGAATGGCGACTTTTCTCTCTATCTATATTACTTCGGTTCAGTACATTGGGCATCAACTGTTGTTTGGATGTCCTGCTTTGTACTTCAAGGAGTGGCGGCCAAGCTGAGTGAGTTCTTGGTAAACTTTTGGACAAGCTCTTTGGAGAAAAGTGGCAGCAGTGTCAACGGGTTCTACCTAGGCCTCTACGGCATGTTAACCATGATTACTACTGTTGGCCTTGTGGGTGGAGTTTATCATTATGTCTTGTTCTTTGCGCCAAGGAGCGCCCAAAGTCTCCATGAGCGGCTCCTGAGATCGGTGATGAATGCACCGCTCTCATTTTTCACTTCGGTCGATATTGGCACCACGACTAACAGGTGAGTATACAGCCTCGGCTCCTCAAGAATTCCGTCTACTATCTGAACTTTGCGAGCTCATCCTAACCACGATTCATGAGCAGATTCAGCCAAGATATGACGCTGATTGATCACGACTTACCTTACTCGGTGACCGATTTTGTAGTATCGTCATCGAACGGGCTGATGTCTGCTATTCTGATGTGCGTCTCCGCTCGTTACTTCGCCGCCGTGATGCCGGCAGTCTTTCTTTTCATGTGGATGCTGCAAAAGTTCTACTTGCGCACGTCTCGCCAGATGCGACTTCTCGATTTGGAGGCGAAATCACCACTATTCTCCCAATTCCTCGAGAGCTTGTCAGGCCTGGTGACAATCCGCGCCTTTGGCTGGGCCTCTGACTTTGAAAACCAGAACCTGGCATTGCTGGATGCGTCACAAAAACCTTTCTACTTGCTCTTCTGTATCCAAAGATGGCTGGAGCTCGCACTGGACTTGTCCGTATCAGTTCTTGGTGCTATCCTTATGGTCCTAGTGGTCAAATTGCGGAGCGATGTTGGTGCTGGATATGTCGGTCTGGCCATTCTCAACGTCATCACCTTCAGTCAATCACTGTCGGAGATTCTTCGCATGTGGGCTAACCTTGAGACCTCTATCGGCGCGATTGCTCGTATCCGAGATTTTGTCGCCAACACTGCCAATGAAAACCAAACGGGGGAGAAAGAGCGGCCTGCAACCATAGATAACGACTTGAAATCCTGGCCGTCTAAGGGAAAAATCGAATTTCGCAACGTCTATGCGTCTTACGAAACGAGCGAAGACCAGAGGTTTGTACTCCGGGGTTTGAACCTGTCTATCGAAGCCGGCCAAAAGATTGGAATCTGTGGACGCAGCGGTAGTGGGAAAAGCTCGCTTCTGGCAAGTTTGTTCCGAATGCTGGAAGTTGATCCCAAGAGTCAGATCCTCATCGACGGCGTGGATATCACTCGCATCTCGCGACAGACTACACGTACTGCTCTGAATGCTATTCCACAGGAACCGTTTTTCACTCATGGCACTGTGCGTGCCAATATGGACCCGTGGAACACCAACACTCCTGAGCAGATCGAAGTGGCTCTACGCCGCGTTGAATTGTGGGAAATTGTTGAGACGAAAGGCGGATTGAACACGGCGCTCGATGCCAATTTCTTTTCTCACGGGCAGAGACAACTGTTTTGTCTAGCGCGAGCTCTGTTGCGCGGGAGCAAGGTCGTCGTTCTCGATGAGGTGACAAGTAACGTGGATGTTGTTTCCGATGCGTTGATGCAACGTATAATTCGTGAACAATTTGCGGACTGTACGATCCTAGCTGTTGCTCATCGACTTGAGACTATACTGGATTTTGATCGGATCGCAGTGATGCGGGACGGGGAGCTGATCGAATTTGATACTCCGAAGGCACTTCTTGAGATAGAAAGTGCATTCAAGGAGCTCTACGAGTCATGATTTGAAGACTGGATAGAGTCAGTGGTTCAAAAGATGCTACATTGTAGAATGATAAGCATAAATTTCACGGATCTCGGGGCGATGTTTTTGTGTATGATGTATTGTATATGTATCTCAGCTGTAAATGCCGAGGTTGGCATTTTCCTCAAGCAGAGAAGATGCGATGCTGAATTTTCCGCCGGTAGAACGAGCAATTGAGAATATTGAAGAGAAAAAGTTGAATTTTGGCTGCTTTATACTTATCGGTGCAATATCGGTTTAATATCGGCGACCACAATCATGTGGATTTTCGACGTTTCATCACCCCAAAGCCTTGTGAAATCAAGATGACTTGGAGCGTTCATCGGCTGGTCTGGGATTCCCGATTCCAACCCTGTCTATTGAACGGGCAAAAGGTTCTAGAATTAACCGTTCTCCTTCTGGCCAAGCGTGAAATGCGATGTGACAAGCTACAAGGTCTGTAGAACATTACGCAGAGGTCTCGAACAATGCCCCAAACCTTAACCCGCTCTCTACGCGTTGGACTTAAAACCCTAGTTCTTATTGAGGAACTAAGTCACAGTTTTCTAAACCTCTTAGAGGTGTGTCTTGTGGGGAGTAGAGGAACAGAAAGAGCAAGAGATATTCACCTTCAACTTCTAACTGACTGGTACTTCACATGCAAAGTCTAGCACAGTGGCTGAATATAAGCAGTGACCCTGCAGATGCTCGGATCCTGGGGTAGTATCCAGGGGTGGGAGGGGTTCTAGCGCCATTCTAAACACGCGAAACGCTGAAGGATTGACCACAGCACTTCTGAGTTAAACACGGAGGGGGCCCCGGAGACACAGTTTGCAGCCAAACTGATCCTTTTATGTATCTAAATTTTTCAAAACCTGCGTTTACAAAGCTCTATTAGCCCATGATGCCACCTTTGAGCCAAGTTGACACTCAAACATATCCTGCCTCATGATGAATTCGGTTAGTATTTCAGCGGACGTTGCTCCGTGGGAAGAGCAGAAAATTATTGGCCGATCGGGATTTCTCATTGTAGATGGTGGATATAAATTGATTCATGAAGCCTCTTGAAGGAATTGATAATTTACTTCGAACCATTACCGGAGAAGCACTATCTTGACTTGCAACATGGAATTGATCTTTACTTTTATGACACTTTTCTCCGTCGCTGCGGCCCAGTCGCAAACACTGTGTTCGCAATATGCGGCTGCCACGAGCGGTGCATACTCCGTCAACAATAACCTTTGGGGAGAAAGCGCGGGCTCGGGTTCACAATGCACCTACGTGGACTCGATTTCGAGCTCTGGTGTCTCTTGGTCCACGACATGGACATGGTCCGGGGGCGATAGCTCAGTGAAGAGCTATGCGAATTCGGATTTTGCGCTTAACAAGATGCTTGTCAGTCAGATCAGCAGTATTCCAACATCTGTACAGTGGAGCTATGACAACACGAATATCAACGCCGATGTCTCCTATGATCTTTTTACGGCGGCTGATATCAACCACGATACGTACAGTGGAGACTATGAGCTCATGATCTGGTATACTCCGGCTATTTAAATCATTGATCAATTTATGAGACTGACGCCAATATTATAGGCTGGGACGATATGGGAGCATCCAGCCCATTGGCTCACAGATCGCCACCGCTACGGTGGACGGAAACAGCTGGGAGCTCTGGTATGGGGAGAATGGCTCGCAACAGACATACAGCTTTGTTGCGTCGAGCCCAATGACCTCGTTCAGCACGGATATCTTGGACTTTTTCGACTACTTGACCCAGAACGAGGGATTTCCGGCTAGTTCGCAATATCTGATTGGTATGATACCCCGAGATTGGTGAGTCAGCGCCGCTTTAGCTGATGACACTTTGTTACAATAGATTTACAATTTGGTACGGAGCCGTTCACGGGTGGACCTGCAACCCTGAGCGTCTCTAGCTGGTCTGCGAATGTCGAGTAGAAGAAATACTCCGATGGTGCGAGGGGGCACTAGTCCGGTTAGACAGAAAATGTAAATAGCAGATTAGTTGGCTAGTTCAATGGAAGCTCAGGCACCTAATAAATGCCACAATGAATTGAATATTGTTGTAGTTCGTCACTACATACACAGTATGCGGCACGAAACATCTCTCTGCCTCAGGCACTAGATGATGAGTCATGCGCCGATATCGTCCCATCCGCCCACTCGCACTGATTGGCCTGTGTAGTCGTGTTCCTCTCACTCCCAGCTCTCATTGGCAATTACCAAGCAAGACCCACCGCCCGGCCCAGCAGACTTGACTTGGTGCCGATTTCCGGCACAAGCCTCTTGACTCGTTCATGTTGCACGGCGGTTTTTATAGGTAGGGTGAACACTGATGGATCTGGGGTATCGGAATCACCTGCTGCCTGCCAATGGGTCCGCCCACGGCACTACTGTGATCACGCCGAGCGACCTTCGGACCAGACTGCCTCGGCCACCTCCGCCCGTCACGGAACAGTTCGACATGGACAAGACCCCAGTCCCGGCCAAACGCCGCGGGGGCAGCCGGAAGGCTTGCAACGAGTGTAAACAGCAGAAGGTATGCCACGCGCCACAAAAGTGCGTTCTGTGTATATGCACCACTCACATGGTCAACAGCTGCGGTGTGATATCGTTCAGACGCCTGCAGCGGTGTGCTCCCGCTGCCGTAGGCTAGGCATTGACTGTAAGGTTGAACAGTCATTCAAGCGCATTTCCAAAAGAAGGTTAATCTGAACCCATGTCTTTCTTTTGTATCCGCGGGATTTACTAATTAGCTTTATAGACGCAATGCTGAAATGGAAAAAGAGATTGCTGATCTCCGCCGCCGGTTGACGGATCCCTCTCACGAGCAGCAGGCAGCCGACGCCCATGCGAGCGAGACTCTATCGCCATGCTCGGCAGATGCCTTCAGCAGCCGTGACTCGGTGGCCGGTGTCGATCGACCCCGGCCCGTCTCGGTGCCGCTGGAACCGCAGCCGTCAATGGGGACTCCCTTGACCATGCAGCGGGACGGGTCTATTGTGTCGCAAGAAGAGAATGCATGGAGACTGGAAGATATTTCTCTCTCGCGTACACGAGTAGTCCGGCTTTACGAACAGTCAGATTATCTTACGCTTTCGTTATGCTCATCGCTGACTAGCCATTTTCAGATACTTCACATATTACCACCCTTTCTTGCCACTCTTGAACCCTCCTAAGCCGCCAGAGGTGTATCTGAACCGATGTCCTCTATTGGCGTGGACTATCATCTGCGTTGCGAGTCGACGGTCTCCATCTGACCCCGGTCTCTTGACCGCGCTGTCAGGTCCATTCAGCCGGCTGCTATGGTCAACCATCACCGGCGTCCCGCAGGACTACCGGGTCGTCAAGGCTCTGTGTGTCTTGTGCACATGGCCATTGCCCACGACGAGCCAACGCACAGATGCAACATTCATGCTCAGCGGACTCATGATGCAGATTGCTATGCAGGTGGGCTTGCATCGTCCCGTCCAGGCGGAGGAATTCACCACATTCCGAGTGGAGGTTCAAGGCGAGGCACTCAAAGATCGCCTGCACACCTGGGTGATCTGTAACATTGTAGCACAGAAGTGAGTACTCCGTCCAGTCCTCGCGACTAATTGACTGATGGGTGTCTGTAGCGTGGCGACTGGGTATGGCCAGCCACCCAGCACGATTTACGATTGGGCTCTTGAGCCTGCCTCCCTAAACGATGCCGACTATCGGCTTCCCGACGACCTTCGGATCCGGTTACGCATCGAGAAATTCTGTGACCGCGTCACCAAGTCCTTGTACAGTAGCAAGCCAGAACCTGCAGAGTTCATAAGTGCTGAGAAGCTGGTGATCGTTCAGATCCTGGAAAGCGAACTGCGAGAAATGGAGGTTGAGTTTGGTCGAGATATCTCGCGTAAGTCTGCCCCATTTGATGTTACTTCTTCTTCTCACATGATTGCCAGCCATCAATATGATCCACCTGCGTGCTGCGGAGCTACATTTCCGGTACTTCGTCTTTTTAGGATCAAGTGCACGCAGCGACGACCTAACCAAGCTCTTCGTCGCTACGACATCATTCCTGGGCCGGGTGCTCGATCTAGAAACCTCACCCGGCGAACTCATCGGGCATTCGACCAACTACATCCTGCAGATGATCGTTTCGGCAGCCTTTGCCCTCATGAAACTACTCAAGAGCAGTTTCAGTCGCCACATTGACTTCAACCACGGCAAGCTGCTCTTCAACGGTGCCATCTCCGCGATTCGCCGCATCAGCGTCATGGACCATGATCGCCCCGTCCGGCTGGCCGATATCCTCGCGCAGATGTGGAATTCCACGGGGCCCGAGCTGCCCGCGGAGGGAGACGGCCTTCAGCTCCAAGTCCGCTGCCGCATGAGCATGAGCCATGTGTACGACACCGTCTGGCGCTGGCGACAGCGGTTCCGACCGGTCAAGAGCATCGAGGAACTGCAAGCCGCAGCGGCGAACCAGGACATGTCAGCTACGGCAGGACCCTTGGCGAGACAGCAGGATAGCAGCTCGCTCGAGGATCCGACCTTGATGCTCCCCACGCAGTTTGATGAGAGTGGTGCGTTCTTCAGCGAGGCCGGGTTTTCGGAGGTGTTTGATTCGCTCAACTGGGTGTTTGAGGGGATACCGGACTCGTTTGTGGCTCCGCCGGTTTTGTAGGTTTGTTGGGTAGTTTATATCTTCGGGCGTTTCCAGCGATGATACCAGGCCAATTCATTGAATAAAAGTGTTTTCTTCTCTATTGTTGCTTCTTTCCCCGCAGTCAATCCTTCAAAATGGAGCAAGCGAGGTCCGACAGTTGATTGATTGATGCCATTGACCCACATGCGAGGGGTCCCGAGGTCCTATTATCCGGACCAGCCGCCTTCTATAACTATCATAAGAATTCCTGCGACCGTATCTCTAGACCGTCAACCGTGCCGTCATTTCCATCGCCATGTCCGAAATCAATGTCACCGCCGTCCTCCACCCCAAGGCCGACAAGGTCGGCGAGGTCAGCAACCAAGTCGCTTCTGTCCCTTAACCCGAATGTTTCATTCTGACAGATATGATAGGTCATCGCCCTAGTCACCGAAGTGACCCGGCAAGTGCAAGGAAACGAACCCGACACGCTCCTCTACTACGCCTTTCGGGTCCAAGACAAGAACGAAATCGTGGTGGTGGAAAGGTAAGGGCCTCGGCTGATTTACACGGTTCTTGCTGACCGTCAGCACAGATACAAGAATCAGGCCGCTGTCAAGACCCACGTCCAAGCACCCTACTTTAAGGAATTCGCTGCCAAGCTGCGTGGTCTAATCGACAAACCGATGGAGCTGCGAAGTGGCAAGATGCTGGGAGAAACAGGGGTGTCGCGGCTATAATAGATGTCAGCTCGCTAGTTAATCCACTACTCATCGATGTGACGGGGGCGACGGTGACCAGAAAGGTGATTCGTTCTAGGGAAAAATTATTTATAGCTAGTTCGTTGCAAGTTCAAGATCGAATTAATGCAGTAATCGTGTTTTCCCACTTTCTCTCTTCTTCCCCCACTACTCGATTAGTTGCATCGCTTCACGGTTGCTCGTCGAGCTACGAAGCCACTAAGTGTTCTCCACTACTACACTACACTACCATTTCTCCCCTCCTTTCTTCTTCTTCGCCTCACGTCACCTTACGGAGAACAGCTGCTGCTCGTCCCTCTTCTCTCGCCCCTGAAAATACTGAGCCGATCCAGGAACCAACACTCCCACCGATCCCCCTATTCGTCCTTTGCGATCTTATCTCTCGCTCCGTCTGGTTGCCATTCGGTCCGCCCTTATCGCGAAATCCGACCCCCTCCCCCGTATTTTGCCTGGCGCATCACACACACAGAGAGAACTCGCCATGTCGGGTCCGGCTACTCAATCGCTGAAGGTGAGCGCTCGAATGGACGCAGGAGCTTCACGGACACGCGGGCTAATATCAGACAGTGCGTGGTGACCGGTGACGGTGCAGTGGGCAAGGTGGGTTTTCCGCTCGGTTTCCCCTGTCTTCAGGAACGCCGCAGCTAATTCAACAGACATGTCTTCTGATCTCGTACACGACAAATGCCTTCCCCGGAGAATACATCCCCACTGTGTTCGTAACCCAATCCTGTCCCCCTTCCCTCCCCCACACAAACAAACACACCGCGCAGACAGCTAATAATGGAGATTCCAGCTTCGACAACTACACGGCCTCCGTGATGGTAGACGGCCGGCCGATCAGTCTGGGCTTGTGGGATACAGCCGGCCAAGAAGACTACGATCGCCTGCGCCCGCTGTCGTACCCGCAAACCGACGTGTTCCTGATCTGTTTCTCGATTGTCAGCCCGCCGTCTTTTGATAACGTGCAAGCGAAGGTGCGCCCCCTATCCCCTATTCCCTATCCGCTATCCCCTTGTTCGAGTTGCGTGCATACTAAACGACCGCAGTGGTTCCCCGAAATCGAGCACCACGCCCCCAACGTCCCCATCATCCTCGTCGGTACCAAGCTCGACCTGCGCGACGACCGCGCCACCACCGAAGCCCTGCGCTCGCGCAAGATGGAGGCCGTCTCGTACGAGCAAGCTCTCGCCGTCGCCAAGGATATCCGCGCGCACAAGTACCTCGAATGCTCTGCGCTGACGCAGCGGAATCTCAAGAGTGTCTTTGATGAAGCTATCCGGTTCGTCCGTCCCATGCCCTTGGAAAATCAGCAATTGCTTCTCTTACTGACGGTGTGTTTGTTTGGTGTACACAGGGCCGTCCTCAACCCACGCCCGCCCACGAAATCCGGCCGCAGCCGCCATTGCCTGATCTTGTAGATTTCGTTCTTGATGAAGCGTGCTATGATTCCTCCTCTTTCAAATTCCCCTTTCTCTCTCTCTCTTCTTTCTCGTATGCTATAATGAACAAATATATAGTTAATACGGCGTCTGGGTAGTTAGAGGCTTGGCCGCTAGGCCTCTATGCTTTCTCTCTCTGTGTCTCTCTGTGTCACTGTCTCTGTTTCGCATCCAACGACCTGACCTTGCCTTTTTCCTCTTGCAAGGGTGTTTGTTACCTACTTCCCGCCTGGGTTTTGTCTATTCTGTCGTTCATCCATTGTTGAGCGACTGCTGCTTCTTGTCATTTTCTATTCTGGTTACATGGTAGCCATAGCTTCGGGATATGCAATATACGGATTCGATTCCTCTTCTGCACATCTGGATGTTATATTACGGCGGAGGTCAATTAGGGTCTGTAGTTGCTCTGTACTCTGTTAGGTAAACACTCCAGACACTAGTCCTCACAAGACTTCTGTTGTATTTGACGCTACGTTCAAGGACCAACAACTCCAGAGAGCGGTAGGTATTATTCATTGCCTGGATATCCACAAGAAAACAAATATGCAAATGAAAATGGTATCCTCTATCAAACACATCAGAGAACAGGACATACTTTTTAGCGCCCACTCCTAATACCAGAAGGACATACAAAAACAACAGATTGCAGAGTTGAAGTTTACTGCCAGGCTGAAATTTAATGCATGCGCGGTCTCCGACTCGGATGCACATTCGCATACATATCCTCGCCTTGACCATCACCAACCGCATTGGCGCCGGTGCCACCGTTACCCTGCTGCGCAGGCGTGATGTGCTTCTTCTTGTCCTTCTGGATCTTTTTCGCGTCGCGCTGGCGCTCGTCATTCAGCTTCTCGTTCTTGGCCTTGATCTTCGCTTGGCGGTGGTCGGATTTGCCGCCTCCACCGGCACTGGATGAACCGCCTCGTTAGTTTTGTCTGCACAGCACGTAGAAGTAGTGTCTTTCCGGGGGAAATCACTCACGTCAACTCGACATTAATGCGCCGCGCCGGATACTTGCCGTCATCGAACATGGAGTGGTGGTACAACTTGAGACAGGTTTTCATGCGGTCGAAGTTGTCGAACTCAATGAACGCAAAGCCGCGGCACTTGCGGCTGTCTTCCTTTTTCGTGGCGACGCGTATTGCCGCTGGCGGGTTCTTCTCGAAGTGTTTGGTCAGGGATTCCAAGTTGGCTGAGTATGGGAGATTTCCTGTATGACCCAAATAGTTAGTTTCGCGGATCGAGTCGCAGAACAATGAAAGGAAATTCGTCCACGCACCAACGAATGCAATGAACCGATTGCCTTTCTGGCTGGCTGCACCCTCCGCTTCCGCGGCTGGCTCAGTCACGCCATTGCTGGTCTCGGCGTTGGTGTCTGTTTGTGTCGTGATGATGTCGCCTTTCTCTTTGCTGTGCTTTTTATTCTCCTTCTTCTCCTTCTTTTCTTTCTTCTCCTTCTTTTCTTTCTTTTCCTTCTTCTCCTTCTTCTCTCCATCCACGTCCATCTCTTCAGCTGGAGCAGACTCAGCATCCTCATTGTGCTTCCGCTTCTCCTTCTTGTCCTTCTTGTCCTTCTTGGAGCTCTTCTCCTTGACCTTCACATCATCCTGAGCAGGAGCAACATCCTCGACAGAAGGAACATTGTCGACATCCTCAACGGCCTTGCGCTTCGATTTCTTGTCCTTCTTGTCCTTCTTCGCCTTCTTGACTTCAGGCTCAACAGGCTCCGCGTCGTTCGAGACAAGCTTGCGCTTCTTGTCACTGCTGCTCCCCATTTTGAAATCCAAACGAAAAACAATGCACGTAACCGGCGATAAGGAATATATGGGAGACAGAAACTAGTTGACGTCGGAGGTTGCAACAGAAAAAAATCAGGCGGAGAATCGGCGCTTTTTCCTTTCTGCCGGCTGCTTCAAGGCGGTGAGGATCGTCCGATCGTCCCCCACTGGGTAGATGAAGTATACACTTCTTCTTTCTTGCACGGCCTTTCGCTATATATTTCATCAAATATGGCATATATATGAGGCATTGAGCATGCCCATTTTCAAAACCGAAATGGGCGCTACAGCAAGAATTAACAACAAGGGCAAAAGGGAATGATACGCAATCGGTATACGATAAAAATTTTACCAACGACCTCTGGAATGGACAGACTATCAAAAAATGGTGAACTCTTCCTTTCACACGGTACACACAAGAATGGGATCGCTTCGGAGTATCGAGATACTGGGGAAGGAAGAGTCCGGATTCAGATAGAGTCCACTCCCGTTTTGTATTCCTCGAGGCCGATGACAGCGGCATGATCTTTTCTGCGATGAGATTATGTGATGTCCAACAGAGCGTGATTTCCCTCGTCTTGTACGACCGCCTAAAGACGGTATCCTGCCACGGCGATGGAGTATGAACTGTCCAAGACGACTTGACATGACCGAAACCGGACTCGAAAGAGCGTCTAAGCTCATGCCGCTCCTTGGATGAGTTGGTCTTGTGAAAGAGACCATGGTCGCCTTCCTAGACAACCTCCCAGATGGCGAGGAAAAATACGCCTTTGCAAGAGGATCCTGCAAACGCCGACGAAGTCCAAACTTCGACGAAATTCACTACCGCTTTGCACTCCCTATAGCCGAGGGAAACCATCCGGAATTCGACCGAAGGATGTGAAGAGATCGCCTACAGGACATCGAAGAACACATCTCTATCCAACAACAAGCTGGAACATGAAATGTCAAAAGAAGTGACGTGGTCCCATTTGGCCTTGAATGCTATCACTTCTGGGAACCAGTGAGGGTATGAAAGTCTTTTTGATTCCTGACACAATTACATATAGCTGACTGATGTTCCAGACTCCTACCGTTCCTGCCATCCTCCTCCTCGAGGATCAAAAGACCACAATCTGCAACTTCGTTTTCCCGTAGCGTTCCCGGAGCTCTGAACGGGTTAGAAGCCGCAAAAGGGGCAGGTGAGTGTCCTTCATGTCAAAAATTCCTCTCTGTTTCTGATCAATGTAGGATCCGTCAATGACGATGCGCTGCAGCTCATTCACTTTGAGAGTACCTGCATAAACGAGGGAGTTAGAACGCGATTGTCTTTCCGGCCATCGTGTATCATTATGCAGTGGCGAATGCGTGGGTCGACTTACCAGACTCGATCAAATCAGACACTCTGGTGGGCGTACCAACACCAATTCCCATTCTAGTTTGCGTGTTAGTATATATTTGTATCCCGGGTTGTAGATAGACACACTGAGCTCGCTGAAGGAACTGCTTGGCTTCTTCCAGCTTGATATGCTTGGCAAAGAGCTTGCCCACTATAGACTCCTTGTTCTGGAAAGATCGCAGTGCTCTGAATACCCAATGATCAGCACGTAGTCAAGCTCCAGTTCACCAATGCCACTCACCGCACCATATCGGCGGCTCTCAGGCCAGCCGCAGTTACCACAAGTGTATGAGGCGTGCCAGGCTCCTTGGCAGACTTGGACAGATCGACACCCTTCGGGCTGAATGACTTGAGAAATGTAGGAAGCTGATCCAGGCTTCGAGACGAGGAAAACGAGGACGCATCAAGAAAAGCAGAGTCTGCAGCGCATTAGCACTCCAATTATCCTGAAGTATAAGAAAAACTTGCCAGGAACAGAAAGATCACTCAATTCCACCGCCGACAGCTCTTTATCCAGCTTCTTTGCTTTCTGCGCAAAGTGATCTGCCAGCAATCGGCCGTCCATCTTGCCAATGGACTCATCAACACCATCCTTGCGGTTCACGTCCTGCTCCGACTGTTCCTTCTTGTTTTTCTTTGCCTTCTTCTTCTTCTTGTTGGGTGCATCGGCTGGCGGCGGAGCTGCGTCGGACTTGTCTTGCTTGGAGACAGCGGACTCATCAGCCTGTCTCTTGCGCTTCTTGTCAATCTTTTGTGAGAGCCCACGAGGGGCGCCTTCGTCGGGCATGGTGAACAGTGCCCGTGTCTCTGAAGAATAGCTCCCTCAAGGTCAGTCGCAAAAAAAGTAAAAATGCCTGCTTATCGATAAGAATCTTGGAGTCATCACATGACCGCCCGCTGTTGATCAAGACGCGGTTGCAACAAACAACAACATTGCTTATCCATTAACCGTACTGTGCCATTATTCCCTGACACTTTCCCTGACTGGACCCGTTTCTTCTTCATGTTGTAGTCGCGATCAAAGAACCACATCCCGGGCCAATGTCTACCCCCAACCCGCATGGCCGCAAGTCATTGCGCAACTCGGGTGTCGGAGCAAGCACTCCGTCCGGCGACACCACATTGACTGCGGTAAGTACCACATAGCCTGTCATATTTCTGTCAGGTATTGACACTTCCTACAGCTCCAGCGCCTACCGAGTCATACACGATACCCTCTCACGCCAAGTCGTCTCATCACCACTGCCACTCCGTTGACCCAGCGGTCGGCTTCTCGCTACACACCCTCTCGATACACACCACGATCCAGAGGTGCAGGAGCGCCGTCCACGCCGCATGGCCTTCGTGCGCGGCAGCAACGCGCTGCGAATACCCCTGGGCGGGATCGCAGGCGAAGTGGACGGATGCAGCGGGAGACTACGTTTGATATTCTGCGGAATCTTGGTAAAGGTAGGGAAATGCATTGAATAATATCGCCAGGGTCATCAGGCTGACTATCCTGATTGTATCAGCGCTTGCACCTATTTCTCAGCCAATTCGCTCGTCGCCTGAAGAGGAGACGACACCCGAGCCCGTGAAAGAAGTAATCGATGAAATTGACGAGCTCGACAATGAACCGGAGATCCCGCGACCGAGGTTGTCTTTACCTATGGACGTTGGGGACGAAGGCAGCGAGACTAGCCCCGATCTGCGCCCTCCTCGACTATCGCTGGCTTTCGAGGAAGATGATATCACCTACCAGTCTGTCGAATACCCGCGTCGGGATCTCAGCATTCGAGACCGGGAACGCCTATCAATGATGAGTCGTGCCGGCAGAATCAGTGGGGACTTCGAGGAGACCCAGTTAGAAGGCGACTTCGACGCTGGGAACGAAACCGGGATTGTGGGCGATTACGATGAACCCGAAGAAACGATGGTTAGTGGTGGTGACTTTGATCGAGGGTAAGTCTTGGATTTCGTGGTCTATGGTACATATTCTGACAATAAATAACAACAGGGGAGAAACAGAGGATCTGGGCCGATTTCACTTTGATCTGGACTTCCCATCCCCGAACGCCGCCGCGGTTGAGGCCCCGCTTGATGAGCCTGAGAATGATATGGAGGATTTCCAATTATCTACAGCGGATGTTGAACCAATGGCTGGCTTGGTCCCGTCCGACAATGAAGACGATGCTGGAGAGGCCGACATGGGGTTCGGAATGAACTTCCCACTTGCCGCGTCTCCAAGTACGAGCCCGGGAATTGTTGGGGGAGGTTTGCGAGGCGAGGACTATCCCACGAAGGGCCCAAAGGAAAAGAAAATTTCCCGACATGGGATTCCCGTGCCGAATCTGCCTGCAGGCGTGGTCAAGAAGCTGGCCACTCGCTTTGCGCGTACAGGATCAAAGACCAAAATCAACAAGGCCACACTGGCAGCAATCGAGCAGGCCTCCTCATGGTACTTTGAGCAAGTGAGCCAGGACTTGTCTGTGTACTCTAAGCATGCCGGACGAAAGACCATTGACGAGAGCGACGTCACCGCATTGATGAGAAGGTGAGTTTTTTGCTGCAACATTGAAGAACTTTGCTAATGGGACCCAGACAACGCCATATCAACAGTTCAACCACGGTGTTTTCTCTTGCCCAGAAGCATTTGCCCAAGGAATTGCAGCAGGACATGAGACTGGCCATGCCGCCATGAACATTTTCCGAACCGATATATGTACATCCGACCCAAACGCCTCCCAGCACCGATGCAGTATGCTATATCATCACCAATTCCGGTTCTGTCGAACTCGGCGCATGGCCTCATTAGGCTTCTTTCGCACCAGCATCCAGAGCATGATGGACGTCGCCAGTGATAAACCGAACCTGCAGGCCATCAGCACAGCATTTTCAACTTTTGGAGTATACTTACCATGTGAAGATGTACTGGGAGTGATTGTTCCTCAAGTTGACTTCCGCTGCGCGTCCAATGGGAATTCCTTTGGCCTGTCGATCATACGAATCGAGGAGGTCCGGCACTGAGAGAGTGTATGTCAGTATCAACACAACAAGCAATTGTCCCAGTTATTCTTACCCATCGTCGCCTCAATCCAAATCGGCTGGCTGCCACTGAATTCCGCCATCTGAAGCACATCCGGGAAGTAAAACTTCCCTTCCTGGGGCTTATTATCCGGCGTAAACATATTCTTCTTCCATGGCTCCCGTAGCAATCCCTCGACGGTAACCTCACCCTCGGGTAAACCAAGCGGCCGGTTCTTCTGGTCCTGCAGCTTCCTCGGAATCCAACCCCGGTTCACGAGAACGGTGCTTTGTCCGTCTCCGCGCTCGAGCGGTGTCACGACTAGGAACCCGTCTTCGCCATCCTGTATGCGCGGCCCAACCAGCATTTCCTTGTCGTGGCGCAGATGGCCTGTGGCGTACACGCGGCGGTAGTCGAAGTCGGCGATTGCGTCCGGATCGACGCGTGGTGGGAGCGGTAGGGGAGGCCTGACGAGGCGGTCTTCGAATTTGGCAATGAGTTTCGTTTTCCAATCTAGTCGCTGCACTTGCCAGCAGCCCAGGGCGAAGGCTGTGATTGGGATCAAAGCTGCAGGTCCAACCGCGGGTTAGTATTTGATCGTCTCTTCAGATGTAAAATCTCGAAAGCATACCGAGTAGAATGAGCCCGGGTCCATGCTGGTTCCCCGTCCGTACCAGCGTTGGCGGATTATCAACCGAGAGGCCATCACTCCAGCGGCGCGAGTGTGAGAATGGACGCCGTTGTTGCTGGCGGCATCTGGCACAGATCGAATCCAGCTTCCGCGCCACGCGAGGAGTGCGAATTGCCGCGCTGGGTGGAGACCAGATGGGGGCAGTCCTTCGCAGGACTGAAACGACTGACCGCATGGTGGAGTGTGTGAAATGTACAGTAGTAGTGGTGGCTCAATTGAGCAGAAAATCGGAAGAGAAAGAAAGTAAGCGGAGGGCGGTCACGCTTGTCCTCGGCTTTGCCCCGACTTAAGCTTGGTTACTTGCCAACCAACAACAACCAGGTCGAGTCATCATCACTACGGTCGGGATGCGATAAGATGACGTTATTTTATCAGGGGACTCTTCAGGATGGCATCTCCCTCGCGATGAGGGAGACCAAAGCTGTCCTTTGCTTTGTTCGAGGTGGGTTCGCTCTCCCCCGCATCGCATGCGATGGAGTACTGATACCATGCAGATGACACCGACCTGAGCGCGACGTGGGAAGAGGAATATTTCGCAGGAGAAGAGGTATTGACATTTTATATAAGTTCATTATCAGGCGCTCACTAGTCTGAACAGATCTCGCAATTATTGAGCGCCAAAGCGGTCTCGTTGCGCCTGTCAGCTGGCAGCCAGGAAGCTGGGTTCTTGACCTCCTTCTGTCCGATTCAGAAGTTTCCGACTGTGGTTATCATCCAGTACGTTCGCGATTCGGGTGGTTGGATATCGTGTTGACCAATTGGGCGCAGGAATGGCACGCTCCAGGAATACCTCGGGCCGGATATCTCGAAGGAGGACTTTCGCAGTCGGTTGACCGCCGCATTGGAGAGTCAGACGACGCCGGAGTCTGCGCCACAGTCGCAAAGTAGTAGACCTGCTCAGAGCAACAACGCCGCTGCTGCCCCGGTTACTGCAACGCCCGTGGCTCCAGCTCAACCTCCAACATCTCATACCTCCAGCCCTCGCACACAGTCTACACAAGCGCCGTCCAATAATAAACCACGACCTGAAGCAGGCGCTTCAAATAAAGAGCCATCCAAAAAGGTGTCGACGCCATCGACTGCCTCGAAGTCCGCCACACCGAAGCGTCCACCGCAGGAACAGAAACAGAAGGCCACTTCCAAACCAGAGAAGAAAGAGGAACAGCCACAAAAACCTATGAAACCCACTGCTAGCAAGACAGCGGAGCAACCAGAACCTCAACCCCGGGCACCACGCCCACCACCAAGCCAGTACCGACTACAAGTCCGACTCTTCGACGGCAGCTCCGTGAGATCCAGCTTCAAACCCTCCCAAACAATCCGCAACGACGTGCGACCATGGCTCGACCCGCAGATGGCAGATGACAACCGGCCCTACAATCTGAAACACATCCTCACACCTCTGCCCAGCAGAACGATTTCTGTCAGCGAGGAATCGCAGACTCTTGAGGAGCTGGGTATTGGCCCAACAGCAAACCTGGTCATGGTCCCCGTGTCAACATACACCGATGCCTACGCGGCAGCGGGATCTAGCCTTCCTGTACGCGGTGCCTCTGCCGTCTACAATGTATTCTCTTCTGCAGCGGGCATCGCCACCGGGCTTGTAGGTTCGTTTTTCGGGTATGCTGCCACTGCCCCTGAGAATAACGAAGCGGAGTCGTCTGGTCCTTCTTCTACACCATCATCATCTTCCCAGACCTCTCAGCGACCACGACCAACAGGGCCGACGATTCGGACTTTGAGAGACCAGCAAGACGAGCGTGGAAACAACCAGTTCTACAATGGGAACCAGGTACGTGTGTGTTCATGAATGTCGTGATATATTTCCTGATTTCTGTGCAGTTGAATTTCGAGCCACGCAAGAATCAAGATGGGAAAGATAAGTGAGATAGAGATGGAGTTTCTGCCATGTCATACCTGTTGGCGTTACGAGATGAGCACTTTCTTGCTGGGTTTTGGTGATTGTGTACAGGAGAACAACATTCCTATTTTACTACCTCCCTTGATTTTCTAAGAAACAGAAGGCCGTGTTTAGGCGCTATAGTCCAATACCAGTATCAATACCCGTCTACTCGAATACACAAATCCAGGATTTCTTTGATGGAGGAGGGGAATATGGTCTATTCATTTCTGATCTCTAATCCAACAACCGCCCATTTATCTGGGGACGAACAGTGATTTTCCTCCTTTAGTTAGATAGGCAGAAAGACATTGGCGTAAAGTACAAGCAGGAGAGGAAATGTCCTATTAAAACCCTAATCAGGTATATGTAGTTCCAAGAACACACTTAGTACGGCTTAGCGGCAGCCTGGCAAGCTTTCTGCAATGGGGAGGTATATGTTAGCGACAGATCTTCTCTCTCTCTCCCCGTCAACTGCAAATGAGGAAAGCAAAAAACATACCAGCTGATCCAGATACCACCCACAGATCCCCATATTACCCTGGTTCTCATCCATGCAACGACGGAAGTTGCGCACGTCCGTCTCGCAGGCGGGATTCTCCCATGACTGGTTAGTCGCGGCACTCTGGTACAGACCGTTATCCATGGCCTGGGTATCCGCGGGAAGAGCCTGCTGCGTCTCAGCAGGGGCGCTGGAGCCCCCGCCGAAGAAGCCGCCGATGGCGTGGCCGATTGAGGAGCCGACGGCGACACCACTATTTTGTCGCAAAACACAAACGTTAGAATCTAGGATTTCTTTTTCTTTTCAAGGGTTGCATTGCATTGCAAACTGCCTCGGCATGTTTTGATGCTTGATATATAAGGGGGTCGGAACACTTACGCGGCGGTGGAAGCCATCTGTCCGAACAGACCGGGTCCTTGGCTCTGCTGAGCGGGAGGAGCCTGGGCCTGCTGTGGCGGGTGGGCAGCGGTCGAGTGAGGCTGCGACTGCTGGCGGGACTGCGGAGGAGCCGGCCGGGCAGGGGCGGCGGTAGGGCGGGTGGGCGCGCTGCGCGCGGGGGTAGCGGCACCACGGCGTTGACGAGGCATTTTGGATGGTATGGGAGGTGTGTAGAAGTGGTGTGGAAAGGAAGCAGTGTATCAAAAACAGAGTCAGTCAGTGGAGTGGCAGAAACACCTCGAAAGAACAAGCATGAGTCAGCTGGACAGTGATTGGTTAGACTGTGTCATGTGATGCGGAGGCAACGGGAATAGATTGGCGGTAGCAAACGGCAGAATGGATTCTATAGACAGACGTAAACATGAGGAATACAATAATAATAATGAATTAAGATGTATACATTGGTCGTGATTGACTGTGAGTGAATGCCAGTGACTATAGACTCATCTGCAGCCCTAACTGAGGTAAACCAACTATTTCTTTCATAAGGGTATCTAAATTCATGGAGACATCGAAGCCTCGTGTACAGTACATAGAGCTCCGGGGTGAAGCCTAGACATAGCGAAGAAGTCGGCCATACAGCAGCCCATCTTGGTCCGGCTGTCGCTCATTTGGCCTTTCGAGCCTTTCGCACTTCCTCCTTCTTCTGCCTCCTCTCCTTCTTCGACTCTTTCCGATCAGCCTTGCTAAGCTTCCTCTGCTTCTTGGCTTCTTTACTTCGGGCTTTGGCTTTCTCTTCTGTTTCCTCCGTCATCTTTCTCTTCCGTTCCAAATCAAACTCGGTAGGTTGAGGGAAATCAACTTGTTTATTCCCCTCGTCATCAGAATCCTCGCTGGCGTCCGATTGTCCTGTGGACGGCGCATCTTCAGTGCCAGCCGGTGAGTCGGCTGGAGTAGCGGCGCTCTTCCGTGCCAGCAAGGTTGCTTTTAAGTGAGCACGCGCACGCTCCTTTGCTTCTTTTTCTGCCCGCTCCAGGTCATACTTGTCATTCCCAGCCTGTTCGAATTAGCGATCTGTGAATCCCTCCAGCGATATCGGTGGCAACCTACAAGACCGTGCTTGATGAACCGCCCGGCAGCCTCCTTGTCGAGTGTCATTGTCCGCTGCTCGGGTTCCGTCTCTAGCGCCTTGATCTTTTCGAAGTATTGCTTCACGCGCGTCAATTCTCGGAAGACGGGGTGTTGTTTTGCGTCGACTCCGTGGAGTCGCAGGTATGCTAATCAGAAAGTTAGAAATTTGCTGCAGATGTCATCAAGTGCATTGACATACAGAAAATTAAGGATTCCAGGGTGTATGTGACCAGAACGTGAAGTTTTGCCTTGTCCATGACCGGCAACTTCTTGGAGGCTTTGGACAGGGAATGACCTAGAATCGGCTCAAGAACCTCTTCGAGATCATCCATATTGTCGTCTAGTTGCTCCAGGAGCGGTAATAGATCTGGTGCTTCCATGGTGAGGGTGTGAATGTGGTACAGATGAAGAGAGAAAATGAGATGCGAAAAAAGACCCTCCGGTCCACAGCGGTGACGGGGGCGGTGGGGGGCCCGTTATCTGCAACACTCAAGCTCCGCGAGCTCCGATCGAACACCTTGGAACGAGTCAGGGGGTTGTAGCTCGCTTTAAATCTTGCTTTGGTTTCCTGATCGAAGCTCTCCCCGACCGATAGCCACCCCCCTCTCTGTTCCGACTCCGGGGAAGACCTCCCCTAACACACCGTCAAAGTGTGGCACCTATTAGGACGCCGTCCGCTATGGCGGAGCGGTGTTGGTGAGGTCAGTCTTCAGTACCAGTTCAGCCACAAGCCAACGGCCCGACTCGCCTCAACATGGATGCAAGATGTGGATGAGATAGCCCGGGAGACAAGTACGCGCCGCCTGTCCGGACGCGTCCACATTCTGGGCCTGGGAAATGTCGGGTGTTTTGTTGCCCATTCTCTAGCTTGGAGACAGTCCCCGCCGCCCATCACCCTGATGCTGCACACCCCCGAATTCTATGAGGACTTTCTCCGCAAGAAGAGCTGCATCTCCATCAACACAAATGGTCTGGACGATATCAAGACCGGGTTTGACGTTAATGTCTTTCACAACGACTCATGGCGATCGATCGCCTACGGCAGCGATGCGGATAGGAAACCAAAGGAGGCACTAGATATACTTGCCTCGTCGGAGGAAGACGAAGGGCATATCGAGTGTCTGGTCGCGACGGTCAAAGCGAACCACACAGTCAACGCATTGAAGACTGTCAGCCACCGCTTGACGGCGGACTCGACCGTCTGCATTCTCCAGAACGGCATGGGCACGATGGAGTTGCTGAACCGGGAAGTCTTCCCGGACCCCTCGACACGGCCAAACTACCTGATGGGCATCGTCAGTCATGGCCTGATGCGAGGGGAGAAATTCCTGATTAGACATATGGGAGTTGGAACGACGATTCTCGCTCCTGTGGCTCGTAGTAGCAACGTCCCTGCCAAACCCGCCGAGTCCGATACCAGCTGGGCACCCACCACCAAGTATCTTTTGCGCCTGCTCACACTCACGCCGCAGCTCGTCGCTGTCGCTGAACGACCCACGGAGCTAATTCAATACCAGCTCGAGAAGCTGGCAGTAAACTGTGTGGTCAACCCATTGACCGCGCTAATGGATTGCAAAAACGGCGAGCTCCTCGGTCATCTCAGTCTAACGCGCGTGATGCGACTCCTTCTTTTTGAAATCTCAAGCGTGATCTGTGCTCTGCCCGAGCTGCAGGGCGTCCCCGGTCTGGAAGAGCGATTCAGTCCTGAACGCCTCCGCCAAATGGCTGTGAAGATCATGTACAAAACCAGAGAAAACAGCAGCTCGATGCTGCAGGATGTCCAGAACGCGCGGGTGACGGAAATCGAGTTTCTGAATGGCTACATCGTTCGTCGGGGCGAGGAGCTGGGTATCAAACCCGTGCTGAATTATACAATGATGAACTTGGTCAAGGGCAAGTCGTTCCTGGCAGAAGCCAGAAACGATTCTGCAATCCCTGTCGATCTTATGGAAGACGACGATTTCCGGACTGATCGCGACGGTTAATCCGTGGTCCTTAGCTCGCTCTGGATATTTTTAATGACACAAACGTCTATATTGCTACAGCTTTCAACGCGCGGTCACAGAGATCCCAGATCTGCACCCACCGCCTCAGCAGCATCTCCAACTTCTGGCGATGTTCACGCAGTTCAGGACTGCCGTCTATAACCGTGCGCAGCGCGGCCATGCTCGTGTCTGCTTCGTTGCGATACGCCCGAATCCAGATCTTGATGGTATCCTCGGACGTGGCCTCATCCAGGCCCTGGGACGAGCCTTCTAGAACATGATTTTGCCAGTCCTCCTCATTCATGTATGTCAGGCATGCAGCGACCTCGGTGCGGTAGCAGACTCCTTGGCGGGTGACATGGTAGTTACTGGTGTTTTGGTTAGGGCTGGATGGAGTTTTGAACGAGCAGAGATTACTGAATACTTACCCGTAATACTGGTTCATCCACAACTGCTCCCGTTTCTCGTGATTCTTGATGTCTTGGAAGACGATGTCGTCGAGGTAGATTGCATCTGAGCTGTTCTCGTCGAGGAAGAATCCATCTGCAGTGATTACTTCGTCAGTTGGATGCTGTACGAACCAGAAACAATGTTCTCACATTCAGCTAACAAGAAATCATTCGGGTGAGAACCATAGCTTATGAAGACTTCCTCTCCCGCCTTATAAGCCTCCGAAGCCAGGAAGACATATCCCTCCTTGCTGAAGCTCACATGGCACTGTATCGTATATCCATCATCAGTTTCTGACCGGGACAGAGAAAGAAGTTCAACACATACCGCGGTGTCAGAATGGTTGAAATAATCCGCGAATGGCAGCAACGCCATAGCATCATTTCGGTCCTCGGGAGGCTCTTCCCCGACGCCGACCCAGTAGAAGCTGCGCGTATTGATGATAAGCCAGTGGTAGGAGAAGGTTTTCCAGTCGGTTTCGGGGAAGACGCATAGCACGTCTCTCCATGCTTTGCGCAGTCTGGCCTCTTGTTGGGAGAGGAGGTTCTGGTGCTCTGTCTTGTATTGTTTTTGGTTTTGTTTCTCGGGGATCGTATTCCAGTGGCCCGAGATAGCAGGCGGGAGGAAGTCGGTTGTTTCTGTGTCTTCTTCACTGTCTGGCCACTGTGGCCCACCCAATGCCCCCGGCCAGAGAATAGGCATACTCTCTTCAAAAACTTGTCTGCTCGGCCATGCTTTTTTCCACAGGTCAAATCTGGACAGCAGCTCCGGTGGTCCGTGAATAAGAAATGCTGATAGGAGAGCTTGCACTGCGGTATCCTCGGGGAATTTCTGTTTGAAGTATCTAGGGATATCGGATACCGTAAGCATCACTGACGTGGGCACTTCCAGCAGTACCTCGCCTTTCTGGTCGTTGGTTAGTTGATATGGGGTATGTGTTGAACGGAAATGGAGATTCCCTCACCCTGATCTCTCGTGTCGCTATCATGCCCAGTCCCCGGCCGGGGAATCGTGCTGGGGTGACCCCATTGGCGACGACGCCGTGGGAGAGAGCCCAGTCGGTGAGGGCGGCATGCTGTTCGCCGGGCCACCAGTCTGGGTTTGTCATGGTGAGAGTAATCTGAGTGTCATTAGAATAATAGGTTCGAAGGAAGATAGATATAAACATACCCTGCTAATAAAATATCACATCAACAGCATCAAGATCGACATCCATCTTATCGATAGAAACAACATGATCAACTCCGGCGCGGCACACGGACCATCTGCGCCATCTGGGGATCAATGTCCCGAACTCTGCTGTCTGTTCGTCTTGTTCACAACACACAACTCACCATGTCGGCCCTTGGGAGATGTGGCGCCCGTGAGCTGCGAGCCCTAACATTTCCAAATCCCTCGATCGCAGCAGCATCAGCGGCGCGGTCATTCTCCGTGCTCAATCGCCCACCACCAAATTACCCGGGCCATGTCCCATTGACGACGATCGAACGTGGAGCTCTGGCCATAGGCGCAGCGGTGGGATCATTGATCAACCCTCGACGAGCAGGTCCGTCCTTGTCCCCATTTTCTTTTCTTGTCTGTGTCACGACTAACACCAATGCAATGGCTGCAGACCTCATCGCCGCCCTCGGCGAAGCAACCGCAACACCATACTTCATCTACCGCCTCCGCGACGCCATGCTCTCCGATCCCACTGGCCGCCGGATCCTGCGCGACCGACCACGCATCACATCCGACACCCTGAACATGTCCTACCTCCGAACCCTTCCCCCAAACTCCGTCGGCCGCACCTACGCCCAATGGCTCGACCGCGAGGGCGTCTCGCCAGACACGCGCGATAACGTGCAGTACATCGACGACGCAGAGTGCGCGTATGTCATGCAGCGATATCGCGAGTGCCACGATTTCTACCACGCCGTCACGGGGCTTCCGATTTTCGTGGAAGGGGAGCTAGCCCTCAAGGCGCTGGAGTTCTTGAATACGCTTTTGCCCATGACAGGGTTGAGTCTGTTTGCGTTTGTGAGGATGAAACCGGCTGAGAAGGAGCGGTTCCTCTCGCTGCACCTTCCGTGGGCGGTGCGTAGTGGGCTTGCGAGTAAGGAGTTGATTAATGTTTATTGGGAGGAGGTGCTGGAGATGGATGTCGACGAGTTACGGGCCGAGTTGCATATTGAACAACCGCCCGATCTCCGGGATATTCGAAAGATGGTCAGGATGCAGCAGAAGCGGGAGAAGGAGAAACTGCAGCAGAGCTAGGTGAAAGCAAGGTGCTTGCTACATGTACTTTTATACCATAGAGAAATACCCTTTCCCCATAGATAAAAAGGGTTCCATCACGAACGCCTGGAATAGACTTGAAGAATATAATTCACAAATCCAGCAGATCATCGTCATCATCATCCCAGCCGCCCTTGCGCCGAGTAATCACAATCTTCTGCTCCTCCTCCTCCTTGCGCTGGTTCTCAGCAACGGCATTCAACAGCTCCTTCAGCTGTTCTTCTGTGACCTTCTGCCGGATCTGGCCCGTCTGCGCCAGCATGATCAAGCGGTTCTCGATATCGGCCGCGCGCTGTTCCTTGACGAGGCGAATGCGGCCGAGTCGGTCTTGTGCGGCGGGGTCGAGAATTTGGGCTATTATTGCGGCGCGGCGGTCGGCTGGCGGAGAAAGCGAGAGAGGGTGTTAGGATATACTTGAGTATGTGGTGCAATGCATGCAAGGCCGACTGGGCTTCCCAGCCCAAGCGGGGAGAGATGGAGGGCGGGAGGGGTGTGAAGAGATACGTACATTCAGCTTGTCTGGTAAATCAATCGCGGTTAGTTCTTGGGATTCAGATCGTGGACTAGTAAGTAAGGCAGGACTCACTTCCTCTGTTCTTCCTGGCCGCCCTCTTGGCCGGAGGGTCCCGCGCCCTGGGCGCCGCCTTGTTGCTGGAGCTGCGCCAGACGCGCTCGTCTGATCTGTGTCCATTGTGAATGAGTGATTTGAGTGATCGTGGCAGTACTGACCTCCTCCAGCTCTGCGTCGGCCATGTCGATTGTTATCTGGGTTGTTGTGTTGAGAAAAAGAAGAAAAGAACGAGAAGAGACCAACCCCACTTGGTCCGCCCGAGCTACGCGGGGATGAATAAGGACGAATAACGGATGGATATATACTGTAACTAGATGGGTGTGTCTAAGGGAGATACATAGCAAGACTGTCAAGGTTCTATTGCTATTTTCTAGATATGACATGAGAATTAATCCCATCCTGGTTCCATCGCCTATTTCTCACAATCATCATCACCGCTCGCAGTATTTCCACCGAGGAGTAGATAACCACCAACTTAAGCTTCCTCCTGGCGCTTTGTCCTCCTGAAGTCGATAGTTTCATCAGGATGAACTTTCACCAGGACAAGTCTTGATTAATCGAGCAAATGTTCGTGTGGTACCTTTTCGACTCGACCAAGATCAATAAGGGCGTTGATCAGAACGATACGCTACGAAATTTGTCTTCCATGGTAATATCCTATAAAGGCAGTTGCATTAATTTTACTAACCGAGAGGACTCTTGGAGGCATACAAGATTATCACGGGGTTAGGAATATATATTGAGGCGCAGAGGGGTAGGGACATGGTACGTAGTACTATACTTGACACAAGACGGCATTCAGGAGGGACGCTATTTTGGATCCTGCGAATCAACACCAAGAATCATACCTCGGTAGATAATAAAGTACTGTCTGCTAAACCCGTTCTGCACCCATTCAGTCCGTTGCGGAAATCCGGAGCACCAAATAGCCGATCACGTAGTCGTTCACCGCGTACTAGTCCGAACGGACCATCTCAGCACTAGTACGAAATCGCCCGCGCTTAAGCAACTCGATCACCCGATTCGGACATGACTAAGCCGCTTCGCCTCCCCCCGAATTCCTCTGCACTCGATTCTCTCGATCGTCCCTTTCCTGCTCCCGTGAGTGCCTTGGAGGAAGTTGCATTGACTGATCTCTGTTCTGTCTGTCGCCTTCACCACCAACTTGGTCCCTGTCGTTCCTTTCCTCTTCCTCTCTCGCTCCCTCCGTTCTCACCATCCAACGACGAGCCACTCAAGAGCCCGATCACCTGCGGGGACGTTGCATTCGAATCCTTGTGACTGAGAGTGAATGGATTCTGCGACCCTCGGCTGACCAGAGCTCCTCTGGCTGTGATATTGCTGGTCGTGATACCCTCACCACACCCCGTCTCTGGACATCAACGCTCCCTCAAACGCCTTTTACGTCACCCACCATGGCCGAGTATGTCGTCTCAGAAAAGGAGAATTCCTAGCCCCCCCCCTCCGGATTGGCGCTGACACTCAGGGACTTAGTTTAATCGCCTTCCAAACTCATCATCATAGTTTCTTTTCACCATCCACAATGATTCCGCGACACGCTCACAAGCGTTCGATCTCGTCCGGCCACCGGTCACTCTCCCCCGACCGCACCGTCCCCAAAGCCAAGTCGACCACCAACCTGGCCGAAATCGCCAACCAAGAGGCATCCTTCGAAGGAATCAACTTCAACACCTTGCGAGATCCTCGATTGGCTATCGGTCAGGAGGTGTCGGAGTCGACATCGTCTCAATCTCATCACCCTGACTTGAGCAACGAAGTCGCGGCACTGAGCGTCAAGCTTATCCAAGCGATCAACAACCAAACTCAGCTGGATGACAGCCTCGCGGCTGCCCATCAAGAACTCGAACAGGCCCAGGGCAAAGTCCAAGCTCTGGAGTTTCAGAATGAGAAGTATAAGCGAGATATCAACGAGCAGGTCTACATCCGAAAATCTGACGCCGACCGTGAAATCCTGCAATTGAGAACCGCGTTCGCCGAGGAGCGAGCGCAGCGCACCATTGCTGAAAAAGCAAAGAAGAATATTGAAACAGAATTGGAGACATTGACTGCAGCCCTCTTCGAAGAAGCTAACAAGGTCAGTTCGGCCCTATCACCCAAAACAGAACATCAACTAATATCGCTGTAGATGGTCGCTGCGGCTAAGATCGAACGTGAGGCAGTCGAGAAGAAGAACGAACAATTGCGGTCGCAGATCAAAGACACGGAGCTGCTTCTAGCATCCCACCAAGATCAACTGGCCGAGCTTAAATCCGTCATGCAAGGGATGAATCTCTCACGAGATGACGTCGATGCCCCAACTGCTCCTCCATCCCCGGCTGGTCCCGCCCAGCTGCAGGGATCGGCCAAGGGAGACTCCGAGATCGAACACGTCCCTGTGGCATCATGTATCGTGGAGGAATTGACACCCGGACCGTGCGCCAGTTTCCCTCAGATGATCCGAATGGTGTGCCGCACGGATCTGCAAGCCTTCGAGGATTTCCGTGAGTTGTTGACCATCTCCCGTTCTTCCAAACCGCCCAGCCGGGCAGCCAGCGGACATTATGCTGGCCTGAATGTCATGAGTCTTGCCAACTTTACTGGCTCCGGGTCAGTGACATCTTCGCCTACCACCAAGGGTGCCCTCCACTCTCCCAATGGAAGCATGTCCTCGCAGACCGGGCCTAGCGTCCCTCTCAAGGAAACACGCTTCTACAAGCGCGTGCTCATGGAGGATATCGAGCCCACCCTGCGACTGGATGCTGCCCCTGGCATTTCTTGGCTGACTCGGCGTGCCGTCCTGAGCGGAATCTGCGAAGGCAGCCTGCTCGTGGAGCCAATGCCTTTGGCTTCCAAGAAATACGAGTTCCCCTGTTCCGTCTGTGGCGAGCGCAGACCCGGCCCGCACAACGAACGAACTCATCGCTTCCGCACCTCGGATAGCGAGACCGCCCAGCGGTACTCTCTGTGTCGTTTCTGTCTAGAACGCGTCCGTTCCGCTTGCGAGTTCACTGGTTATTTGCGTCTCATCCTTGACGGACATATCCGTGCGGGCGACAGCGAAGAGGAAAAGGAAGTTTGGGAAGAGACCATTCGACTGAGAGAGCGCATGTTCTGGTCTCGTGTTGGGGCTGGCATCGTACCGCTGTTCACCCAGCCGGAGGCTGATACCACAGAATCAAATTCCGCAGTTACTCGAGACAACCAGGAGGGCCACGGAATTGGCCCACACCTCAAGGTCCTGCGTGCGTCTGGGTCTCTGCCTGTTGTTCCTGTCTTGGGCGAGACCGATGTCCCATCACCTCGAAACCTTGATCTTGAGAGAAAGGAACCCTCGCTCGGTACGAAAGAGAGAAGACCCTCTGTCGACTCAGAAGACAGTATCTACGAGGAAGCCAACGCCGATGTGGCGATCGAAACTGCGAAATCTGCAGCTGAGGCTGTCAAGCCTGCTGAGGCTACAGTCGGCACTGCGGAACCTCTCGTCCCTCAGTCTCCATCTGGCCCGGATCACGATACAACCAACATCCTGACTCGGAGCGATTCTTAAATCCCCATTATTGTGCCTGATCACTACGCGAGACGATAACATGGGCTAGTCCCTTATGATTCCTGACGTTTTCCTCTCCGAACCCCCCTACTTCGTCTCGACCTTCACTTGAATCCTCGGCATCACCGGAGTTAATGACTTACCCACCGAACTTGCTTTGGACAATGCAACCTGTCCCCTTTTAATTACCTTTTTTTTGGTTGCTTCAGCGTGCTCTCACGCATCTTGATTTCTTTCTTCTCTTCTGATATCCCCAACTTTCGATGAACATTGCCTTTTCATTACCCATTACGCCTGTACTACTACTATTATTATTGACGTCCCCTTTCTCCCGTTTCTTACCTGTCATTCTGATCATGTATACATAATAACCGAGTTGCCCTGTTAATAATTCTTGGGTTTGTTTTCCACCGGAGTTTTGGAAGGCTGTGTTTATTCGTTTCCGTTTGTCTGTCCATGAGATAGACGCATGATATTTAAATGGCTTTGGACGTAACCATCAATTTGTCTCTAAAGTAGCATGTATACAGTATCAGTTTAGAAGGATTGGAAGAATGTCCGGCCACGAAAGAAAGAAGTACGTATGATGAGTTTAGTAGGCGTCAGAACTAATATACACAGTATAGCAAGAACGGCGACCGACATGAAAGAAGACTCCTCCCAACGCCCGAGATGTGTATGAATTCATGAAGCAAAGCCCGACTGATCAACTCGACCCATCCGGCTTGTACCGCTGATGCAGGTGCCTGATCTGCTCCTCGATATTCATATTTTGTGGATTGGGCGACCCCGCCGGACCAACCGTCGGAGCCGGAGGAGCACCGCCCTCTGCCGCAGGGGCACCACCGGTAGCCATGCGCTTGCGACGAGCCTCTTCCTCAGGGTCTCCTCCGCCACCGGCAGCCAGCGAGGAGTCGAAGACGTCGCTGCGCTGGCTGGCCAGGCGCTTGAGGTTGTTGACCACGTCGGCGGTGGACAGGTTGGTGGTTGCGCTGCGGGACTCGGCCTTGGCGCGCTGCTCTTTCCAGCGCGGATCCAGCAGCTCGATACGCATGTGCTGCTCCATCTCTGCGATGGGGATTGACTGGTGGCAGTTGGGACAGATTGCTGTTGCCCCCGCGCCTTGTTGCCGGCGTGCTTGTGCGCGCGGCACGTAGTCGGACCGGATACGCATCGGTTGGCCTTGCCCTGGTGCTGCTTGGGCCGCAGCTTGCGCGGCAGCTGCTGCGTCGCGGGCTTCAGCGCGCTCACGGATCCGTTGCTCCTCTTCTTGGTACTGCGTGCTGTAGTCCATGCCGCCGGGAGGCGGGTAGGGAGCTTGTGGTTGGGCTGGGTATGGCGAGATGGACGGTTGTGGGGCTGGCATTGGCTCAGAGGTGTTGTAGTAGGTGGGTGCGTCGAGATCGGTGGGCATTGCCTCCTCAATGCGCAGCGGGTTGAGAGACATGGCTGCTTTTTGTTCGAGGGAGGCCGACTGCAGGTCCGAGAGCGAGGTGGGCGGCGGCAGGTCGGTCTGGTCATCGCTCTCCGTGAAGAGAACCGTCTCGACCACGACGAAGTCATGCCAGTCGATCTGGGCGTATTCAATGCGCTCCTGTTCTTGCTCCTCTTCCTTCTTCAGCTTCTGCTGCTCCTGGAATTTCACCCATTCGGCGCGCTGCTTGGCCCCGTCGAGGACGTGGTATTTGTTCCGAACATTGTGCTCCAACTCGGCAATCCGTTTCTTCTCGCTCGTTGCGTCGTCGATGCCCTCTGGCCGTAACAGAATGGTGTACTGGTCGACCAATCGCGTGAAGAACCCGTAGAGACTGTGCTGAGGCCGCAGGAATTCGAACTGGAAGTTTCGGGCCTCCCGTTGCGACAGCGCCGTCATGAAAGACTTTCCGCGCTTGGCGACAAAAAGAGCCGTGAGCTTCACCACCTCCAAGTCCTGCGCATTGATTATGGGGATGCGCGCCGAGAAATGGAACGCGGGCGGCTCGGGGGGTCCCTTGGGCTTTTCGGGCTCCGGGACCGGAACCGCTTCGCCTGGCCGTCCTGCTGCCACGGCACTCCCTCGGCCCTCCTTGATTTCCGTCAGGCGCCACTGGTAGAACGGCGCGTAGGCATCGGTCGAGGTCAGGAAGGAGAACTTGGGGTTATTCTTTTCCTTGTCGCGTACACGTTCTAGGCACCCATCAGCTGCTGCGCATACATTATGGAATATCGGGACGTACCTTCAAAGACAAACCCATTTCGAGCGACATAGCCTGCGGTCTTCTCGACGATGGCTGGATGGCACTGTTAGCGGGATTCACGCGAGGGGACAAACAGGGGAGGTACCTTTGATGTCCTTCGGAGGCAGCACCATGCCCTCCGGAGGCTTGTTCATGTCCTCCGGCAGCGGGGTGTTTCCGTTGGACTCCATGGCTGCTGGACGGGGAAGATGCAGAAGCACCAGGTCTTTCTTTTTGACGCCGCGAGAATGATGACTACGCGCACCGCCACAGCAGGAACTAACTACATAGCCACCTGTGGCGGTGCGCCCCTTGCTGTGTCCATCTGGCGTATTACAGTGAAGTAATTGTTTTTTCGCGGTATAATAGATGATCTATGATTTAGATGATTATTCTCAACCAATTCTGTTTCCTATAGTCCATGTGTCGTAGGACTCAGCTGCCCACCGGCTAAGGGGCTGCGCAAAGGGGCCGTTTTGGGCTCGTGTTGTTGCCCGCCGATCTGGCCTCAAGCGGGCCTTTGCACGCTTTCGTCCACCTTGCACTTCTTTCTGCCTCTTCGCCTTCGCACCTTTCTCTTCTCTTTCGTTTGTCGCCCTGTCATGGGGCTTTTTTCTTTGATTCCTCACCCTCATTAGTTTGCCTTCTTCTCTCCTCTCTCCCTCTGCCCCTGAAGGAACGGCGGCTGAGAGCTCCGAGCTGAAATAGAGGCCTGGGACAACTTGTGCTCCCTCCGCCACTTTCACATTCCATTCCTGCGATCGAATCGCTCCTCATCGCTCTTCAGCACCAGATTTTTATCTTCTTGATCTGATTTTTTTCTCCTATCCTCCTATCCTTCCCCGGATCTCCGACCCGTGTCGATCCCCGTTCCGTCCATCGTCCCCATTCTGCATCGAACAATTGAAGGACAATGGGTCAAAAAGCAAAAGACACTCTGGCGGTGCGCCCTCAGAGTCGGTCGGGGCGTTCGAAGAGTCGCTCTCCCCGGCCCAAGGACCGCAAGAAGCAGGAGGCAGTCAAGGTCGAGAGCTATGCCTCGGACGGTGTGAAAGAACATGACATCTTTAACCTCCCCGGCTCCGATTATAAGCTGCTTGCACTAGTGACGCTCATTGCTGCGGCTGTTCGTCTGTTCCGAATCTACCAGCCCACGAGTGTGGTCTTCGATGAAGTCCAGTAAGATGTTCTTGACCTGAATTTATGTGACCCGTGGCTAACGACCCTGGTACCTGCACAGTTTCGGCGGCTTTGCGTCCAAATACATCAAAGGAAAGTTCTTTATGGATGTTCACCCCCCACTCGCCAAGCTTCTGATTACACTGGCCGGCTGGCTGGCGGGATTCGACGGAGAGTTTGACTTCAAGGACATTGGCAAGGACTACCTGGAGCCCGGTGTGCCCTATGTCGCCATGCGCATGCTTCCGGCCATCCTCGGTGTTCTCACTGTCGGCTTAATGTTCCTCACCCTGAAGGTCACCGGCTGCCGTACGTCGACTGCGGTGATGGGCGCTGGCGTTGTTATCTTCGGTAAGCCACTCTTCAGATCCCGGAGTTCATCTTACTAACTGCCAGGTAGATAATGCATTGACCGCTCAATCCCGCTTGATCCTTCTGGACTCTCCGCTGGTTTTCTTCACCGCACTTACGGCATTGACATTCAGCTGTTTCACCAACCAACAAGAACTGGGACCGTCTCATGCCTTCCGTGGACCATGGTGGTTTTGGCTGGTCGCCAGTGGTCTCTCTCTTGGAGCTACCCTCAGCGTTAAATGGGTTGGACTGTTTACCATGGCCTGGGTTGGATCTCTCACGATCCTCCAGCTGTGGGTGCTGGTGGGCGATTCGAAGAATGTTACACCGGTAAGTTTTCACAGGTTCCTGATCAAATCACTCACAAGGCTAATATTGGATCATTAGCGGCTGTGGTTCAAGCACTTCTTCGCCCGTGTCTTCTGCCTTATTGTCATTCCCATGGCCTTCTACATGGCCATGTTTGCCATCCATTTCGCTTGCTTGAGCAATCCTGGAGAGGGTGACGGCTTCATGTCGTCGGAATTCCAGGCAACTCTAAACGAAAAGGGAATGAATGATGTCCCGGCGGATGTCTCCTTTGGAGCGAGGATCAGCATGCGTCATCACAACACGCAGGGTGGTTATCTGCACTCTCACCCCCATATGTACCCAACGGGAAGTCAGCAGCAGCAAGTCACCCTCTATCCCCACAAGGACGACAACAACGTCTTTATCATGGAGAACCAGACGCAGCCTCTGGGAGAATATGGCGAGATCGAGGGTCCTTACGCATGGGACAACTTGACCACGGAATACATTACGGATGGTTCGGTTATCAAACTCTACCATGAGATCACGCACAGGCGCATCCACTCGCACGATGAGCGCCCTCCTGTGACCGAGGCTGATTGGCAGTTTGAGGTCTCCGCCTATGGATATGAGGGTTTCCCGGGTGATGCGAATGACCTGTTCCGAGTCGAAATTATCAAGTCCCTGTCCGAGGGCGAGGAAGCTAAGAAGCGACTCCGGACTATTCAGACCAAGTTCAAGCTGGTGCACGTCATGACCGGCTGCGTTCTGTTCTCTCACAAGGTCAAGCTTCCGGATTGGGGATGGGAGCAACAGGAGGTCACCTGCGCTCGCAGTGGTTCTCTGCCCAACAGTGTCTGGTACATTGAGTCCAACAGCCACCCCATGATGCCTGCGGATGCAGAGCGAGTGAACTACCGCAATCCAGGCTTCCTCGGCAAGTTCTGGGAGCTGCAGAAGGTGATGTGGACCACGAACGCGGGTTTGGTCGAGTCTCACGCCTGGGACTCCCGCCCCCCGTCCTGGCCGATCCTCTCTCGTGGCATCAACTTCTGGGGCCGAGATCACCGCCAGATCTACCTCCTGGGCAACCCGCTTATCTGGTGGTCGTCCACTGCTGCCTTGGGTATCTATGCTGTCTTCAAAGCCTTCTCTATACTTCGATGGCAGCGAAGCTGTGGGGACTACAACCATGTCTCCTTCAAGCGCTTCGACTATGAGGTGGGAACTAGCGTTCTGGGTTGGATGTTCCACTACCTCCCCTTCTACCTGATGGCTCGCCAGCTCTTCCTGCACCACTACCTTCCGGCTCTCTACTTCGCCATCATGGTACTCTGCCAAGAGTTTGACTTTGTGCTCAATCGATTCAAGCGCCTCGGTCTCTCTTCGAAACCTGCGATCGGCAAGACGTTGATGACAGTATTCTTGGGTCTGTGCATTGCCGCCTTCGCGCTCTACTCCCCCTCTTGTCTACGGTAACCCCTGGACGCAGGATGCTTGCAACCGAGTGAAGCTCCTGGGCTCTTGGGACTTTGACTGCAATACCTTCCACACCGACGTAAGTGTTACCCCGCCGGCGTGGCAGCCCCCCGGCGAGGCTACTGAAACAACTCGACGACCCATGGCTGATACACACCAAATAGCTGAGCCAGTATGTGACTCCATACGGTGTCGTGAACGAGGCTGTTCCGACGACTCCGGTTGCCCAGGTCCCTCCTCACGGGCAGCCAGTCCATGAAGCTGTCCAGGAGCCGAGCGCAGCTGCCGTCACCGACCACCCCGCGCCGCTGATCCCAGGCGACAAGGCCCGCGTCGAGTACCGCGACCAGAACGGCAACCTCCTCCCCGAGGAAGTGGTCAATTCGCTTCGTGCAGAGGGCAAGGTCAAGTTCGAGACCCGCTACGAAGCCAACACCAGATTGGAGCACGGCCACGAGGTTGATGTGGTCGATGGCAAGATCGTCCACCCGCCGCATCCAGACGTTGAGGGCCAGAACCCTGAAACTGGCGGGAAGCCAGATGCTCCCGAGAGCCCTGCCTCGGTGCAGGGCAATGCGCCGTCGGCGGAGCGGCAAGGTTCTCAGGAGGCTAAGCCCGCCAGTGAGGGGAATGAGGCCACTCAGCAGTGAATTTGATTAGGGAGATGATAGATTTTGGGGGGAGCGAGCGTTTCGAGTCCAAACTATGTATAATGAGACTTCAAAGGTAGTTTATTATTGTATTCTTTATCGCTGTCCAGGTGTTGTTAGTTAATAGCATAGCACATGTTAGAAGACTGCTCCGCCGCCTAATGTTGTCGATAGAGACGTGGGCTACGTATTTAGGCATGTATAGAAGAAGACAAGCGACAAAGGAAACCGATTCCCGATTGAATCTCATCTAAACACACAAGGACTATGCACAAAATCTCTAGGCAATCCCCATCACCGGGCCAGGTTTGCACCACTTCATCACCATCCCTCTTCACTAGTGTAGTATACAGCAAACAGCTAGCTGCCGAAGCGCTTCCGCTCAATATTTTTCCTTTCCCCAAAGACTACTCCAATGTGATCCAGTTAGTAGTCCCACTCCTCCTTGCCGTACTTGTTAAAGCGCTCGTGCAGGTCCTCGGGCAGAGCCACATTGGGCACGACGACCGTGTTCATAGCGCTGGGAGCAGCACGGAGGGGCTGGCTCTTGTCGCCGTGCGGGTGGTACTGGTACTTGTAGACCTTGCCATCCTGGGTGGCGTGTTCCCAGGGCATGGCGCTCTCGCCGATGCGGACGTTGCTCTCTGAGTTCACGGAGGTGGGCTTGCTGCCGAAGTACCTATACAAGATGGAATGTCAATGGGCTGTTCACTACATAAATGAATGATATCTGTGTAGCGCTCTGGATGTAATCGTGTGCCAACTCTCGGTTTATTGAAGGGTGCGTCACAATGGCGCAGGGAGGCGCCGGAATTGGGCATGGGGGCGAGGGGGGTTTGATTCTCACCAGCCGGCAATCAGGAAAGCACCAGACATGACGCCCAGGAGAACCTGTAGGAGGCTGTGTTAGTGTCGCGGTACAATGGCTTTAGCTTGAGGTGCGTACGTAGAGCTCCGGGTCACGCTTGGGGGCCTTGTCGAGGCTGGCCTCCTCGAACTTGGAGGAAGCGAAGCGACGCGGAGGGGCGCGGAAGAGGGGCTGACGGGTCAGAGCCCGACGAGCAGCCAGGGAAGCAATAGAGGACATGGTGTAGTAACTGTGCGAGCAGTCGTGGATGGACAATTCGTGGGCGCAGGGAACGTTTGACGTTAGTGGGAGAGAGTGACGAGGTGAATTGCTCGGTCGGTCACCTGACTCTTAGTCACCGGGTCCTCCCGCGTTTTTCGGATCTTTGGAATAGTGTATGCCCTCCGCCTGTCTGGACTTTATTGCTTTACCAAGTTGCTCGGGCCTGACGCTGAAGGCTCTCACTTGGGGCTGCTTGTCTGCGATGCCATTGGCTCCCAGTGGTTCTTAGGCCGTTTGATTTCAGTTGACGCACCAGGTATGTGGCCGCCGTTCTGGATCAGGGGGCTGCAATATTGACCAGGCACTAATGAATCTCCCAGCGTGTGTTCGGTCTCTCTTTCGATATTTCTCACGTCTTGCCTTGTCGCTCCTTTTTAGCAGCCCCCCGTCATTCTTTGGTTCTTGGGTCAATTCGATTTTCGCCGGCTTTCTTTGCCCACCTCACCCTTTGAAAACAAATATGATAGCGCGCATTGCTCTCTAGCCACCCAAAAAACAGTTGACCCCCTTGAACCATGGCGAACTCGGATCGTCCAGACACCCGCGATACCAACCACTCGCCGACGACACCGACTTACCCCAATGTGTTGGGGATCCCTCGCCCCCCCTCTGTGGGAGGGATCTCGTCCCGAATGACGGATGTTGCCTCAGACGATGGCGAACGCACCCCGAATTCTCCAACGTTTGCGTCACCCCCGCCTTCGCTCCATACGCGTCCCTCATTCTCTAGGCGCGGCCCGCCACCGACAAGACACCCCTCTACTGCTGCGAGCCAGGTGACAAGTCGACCTGGCAGTTCCAGCAGCCGATTCAGCAGATCCCATGTCTCGTCCATGACGGCCCAGGCATTCTTCCGTCCTATGAGCTCGCAACGACTCCAAGCACACCGCGGAACCCGGCCGGTGACCAAAGGAACGGTGGCGTCGACGGATGACTGGACGCCAGACCAGGGAAATCCAAATCGGAGAAGTTTGGTTTCCAACAGCACCCTTCCACAGGGTTCTCTTCCTCCCGGTGACATGGAAGTTCCACCATCTCGAGGCACCGAGTTCACAGACCCGATTATCCCTGATCGAAACACTTCCAACGCGAGTCCTACGGCCGAAACAACCATCCGAAGCCTGGGTGAGAGTGTCCGGCTCCTTCGCGATCGTGAACAACAGGGGAATAATAGACCGCGGCCTGCTCATCTGAATCTGAGTGCGAACTTCAATGGTCGCAGCATGCAAGACGCTCCCATAACGCCCAAGTCGCCACTAGCTTTTCTGAATAAGACACCAGCCCGTGAGAGTCACGATGCCCGGGGCCACGAGCGATTGTCCTCGGCTGGCTCGTCGCCAGGACCTAGCCCTCTCGATATGAAAAGGGAACGTTTGCCCAAAACCAACTTGGGTAAAAATTATGAGTATTTCACTGGCAATACTCTCTTCTTTGGTGGTGGACGCTTGCAGAACTCGAGAGATAAGCCCATCAATATCGCCACTGGATTCCTGATAGTTATACCAGCTGCTTTGTTCTTCGCCTTCTCAGCCCCTTGGTTGTGGCATAACATCTCCCCTGCTATTCCCATTTGTTTTGCATATGTATTCTACCTATGCTTTTCGTCTTTTGTGCACGCATCTGTCGTCGACCCGGGCATCATGCCCCGAAATTTGCACGCCCAGCCTCCCCAAGATGCCTCCGATGACCCCTTAGCCCTTGGGCCCCCCACCAATGACTGGGTTATGGTTAAGCTCGCTACGTCCGAGGTGGCTGCGATGGATGTGCCTGTCAAATACTGCAAGACCTGCAATATCTGGCGTCCTCCTCGCTGCTACCATTGCCGAGTTTGCGACAACTGTGTCGAGACCCTTGATCACCACTGCGTCTGGCTCAACAATTGTGTCGGCCGTCGGAACTACCGGTACTTCTTCGCATTTGTCAGCTCAGCAACCATCCTGGCACTGTTTTTGATCGGTGCCAGCCTCGCCCATATTTTGGTCTATATGTCGCGTGAGAACATCTCTTTTGGCGCCGCGATCTCCAAATGGAGAGTCCCTTTCGCCATGGTCATCTACGGCGCGCTCGCTTTCCCATACCCTACATCCCTGTGGCTGTATCATTTGTACCTGGTCGGACGCGGCGAGACTACTCGAGAGTACCTCAACTCCCACAAGTTCAACAAAGCGGATCGCCACCGGCCGTTCACCCAGGGGAATATCATCAGGAATTGGATGGCTGTTTTTGGGCGTCCCCGACCTCCCACCTACATGCAGTTCAAGCGGCTCTATGAGGAAGGCGACCAGCGCTTTGGCATGCAGAAGCGCAAGCATCGCGTCCCCGACGTCGAGGCTCAAGCAGGTATTGAAATGCAAGCCGTTGGGCCTGCTCGTCCGACTTGACCAACACGACTGGTTTTCCTTTCTATGACCCGTAAAGATGACTGCCATGACTTTCTGGTTTCATATTCCAGTCACGCCGGAATCTTCCTTATCTATTGTCTTTTTCTAATTCTTTGATTCTCATACCCTTCCTTCCCTTGTCACTTTCTACTTTTTGGACACATCTCTCACATACCGTTACTTCCGGTTTCATTTTTCCTCTTGTCTGTTTATTATGATTGCTTGGACACCGGGCAGCATTGGAGTCGGGATAGGCTCACCGACTCGTCCATACCTTTTTTTTTCTTTGGCTCTATTTCATCCTATATCTTCCTCATCTAGCTTCTGTGGAATATTCCGGGCATAGCTCTATTTGCGTATCCTAGTTCTAGCTGTATGATACTTGATATCCCAATGTATCACAGACAATAATCCCTCTCATACATAATGAATTCTTCTCCGTGATGTGCGGGGCGCCAATTATGTATGGCGTTGCGGCATTCCGTGAAATAATGGAAAGTAATTGTATGTAATAACGCTTTGGACCTTTTTCCCTTTTCCCATTCCCCCTTGTTTCTTACTTCTTCTACACACTTCACATATTCCCTTCAGCAGCACTTTTCATCTGGTGTCCCCCAGTGCACGCGTGGATTCCTCCGTCGCCCGAAATCGATAAGAAGCGCGCGGCTGACCATAATCTGACACTTGCACCCCTGATATCTCCTTGAACACAATCCCAACACGCGCTGGTCGGTGTCAAACATCCAGACACAAGACAATTCCGCGTGTACAATGCTTGTTTGAATTCTGTGCCACCCAGCAAGATGCCCGTTCGAACCTCCAGCCGATCCGGCGCGTCCGCCGCGATCCTCCCTGACGCCCACCCAAACGACCCCATCGACGACACAATGAACCTCGATGTCCCCGAACAGCTCCTGACGCCCGAGCACAGCCGCTCCGAGACATCCAGCAACAATGAGAACGCGTTACCCGACGAGAAACCCGCTCGGCGGACCTCAACGCGGATGAAACGCGTTTCGCTGCGAGCGGCTGAGGCTCTCATCAACACGCCCGCCCCAAGCGATCAGTCTATCCCCACGCCGAGTGAGGCTTACGTCGAGAGCCTCGCGAAAGCTAAGCGGTCGAAATCCTCTCTGCGGCATAGTATTGCCGTGATGGAGTCGTCCCTGTGGAAGGTGGCCCCGGATGAGGATGATACCCTACCGGATGACACCGCAATGGCCCCCGCGACCCCGATTTCGAGTTCCTCTCAGGAAACCCAACCAGATGAAGGGGCCTCGTCGCTCCAGCAGCGGACATTGCGGAAACGCGTGGAGAAGGCTCTGGCCAAGGAAGACGGACCGACCAGGACTAAGGCTCCTTCGAAACGCGATTCCGTGCGACGATCGTCTCGCCTCAGTGTGCTGGCATCCGATCTGGTTGGCAGAGCCAGCAGCGTTCTGGGGAAACGTTCGAGAGAAATGGGGGAATTAGGAAAGGACCTTGGCCGACGTGCCAGTCTTCGGCCGCGAAATGCCGCGCCGCCGAAGGAGGAGCCTGCACCTGAGCCATCCGTGAAGAAACGACGCGTCTCCGAGAGTGATCTGTCGAAGCTGCAATCCAAGGACGCGTCGCCGTCTGAAGAGCCTACCGCACCCACCGTGCTCCGTTACAAACCCAAGCGGTGGTTGTCTTATGGGCTGTACACCGGCCAGGAACCGAGCGATTCGCCGCCGAAACAACGGCGGAGCAAGAATTCCAAGAAAACCGGCACTGGTCCTATGCAGCGAAAGGTTCTCCCCATGCCCATGTTTGCTGGCTCTCGGCTGCTGAAGACCGGGAGGGATTTCCAGCTTCCCTTTGATGTCTTCTCTCCACTTCCTCCCGGCCAACCCAAGCCGGATGAATGGCGGAAGACCAACAAGAGTGAGCTTCCACCCGATATCTTACATATAATCCCGGAACTGACCAATTAAATAGATGTCTTTGTGGGAGATGCTGCGAGCTTTTGGAAGGTGAACAAGAATCTGGAACTGTCGAAGTGTATGTGCGACGAAGATACCGGATGTGATGAAAACTGTCAAAATCGCTACATGTTTTATGAGTGCGACAATGGGAACTGCCGGCTGGGCCCTGAGTGCGGTAATCGAAGCTTCGCGGAGCTCAAGAAGCGAACCAAGGCCGGTGGCAAGTACAATGTCGGGGTGGAGGTTATCAAGACCTCAGATCGAGGATATGGTGTCCGCAGCAACCGCTCCTTCGAGCCCAATCAGATTATTGTGGAGTACACGGGAGAAATCATCACGCAGTTTGAATGCGAGCGGAGGATGAGAAATGTTTACAAAAACAATGAGGTCAGTAGGCCCCTCACTGAGCGTGGGCTGGTTGCTGATGCAAGCTTGCAGTGCTATTATCTCATGTATTTCGATCAAAACATGATCATCGACGCTACACGCGGTTCTATCGCACGCTTTGTCAATCACTCCTGCGAGCCTAATTGCCGCATGGAGAAATGGACCGTTGCTGGCAAGCCACGCATGGCACTCTTTGCAGGGGATCATGGGATCATGACAGGAGAGGAGTTGAGCTACGACTACAACTTTGAGTGAGTTTTGCTATTGCCATCCCCCAAAACGCATACTAATAGTAGATTAGCCCGTACTCCAACAAGAATGTCCAACAGTGTCGCTGCGGAGCGTCAAATTGTCGAGGTATTCTGGGCCCGCGACCCAAAGACAAGGACCGTGTCAAGGAACTCGCGGACAAGCCTCCAAAAAAGGGAAATGCAAAGAAGGTCGCCGGTACCAAACGAAAGCTTGCAGATGCGGTTGATAGCGCGTCGTCGCGTGGAGGCAAGAGGCGCAAGCTTCTGACTGGTGTTAAGAAAGCCATCAACAAGACCAGACGCGGAAAAGCAGCCAAAAAGACTACTGCTACTTCCAAGACCACTGCCCGTGGTCGAGCTGCAGCCAAAAACGTGAAATTGCCCACTGTCAAAGCCGCTGCCCGGGTTAAGGCGACAGTTCGTGGGCCCCGCAAGAACACAGCGGCGGCAGCTAAAGCAACACCGGCTTCCCCGACCAAACTCAAGCGACCTTCTCCCGAGACCAAGAAGAAGATCATTGCTGCTGCTTCCCGGGGCTCCAAGGGTGGGAGACCCAAGAAGACTGGGGTGACCTCTCCTCGCAAGCCTGCTGCAAAGTCTCCAGCCAAGAGTCCGGTCAACAACAAAGTGACTAAAACCACTGCTGCGAAGGCTTCGAGCCCCGTTAAGGGGAAGGGCTGGCGCCAAGGTGTGAAGACTGCTGCTCGGAGCGTTGTACGGTCTGTCAAGGGAGCGAGGAAGTAGGGGGTTTTCCTGCTCGAAAGCGCTTGTTCAACGTGTACATCCTCTGATGTGAAATCACAGCCAATCAAACCTCATTACTTTTCCTTTGGGAGCTTGACCACGTCTCTCTTCGGCCATCAATCTCACTTTCCGCCTTTTTCCTCTCGCCATTACAACAGGCACATTATTCAACCCTCTTTGTGTCCCGCATCTACATGTTTCAACTGAAGCTGGGCCTTTCTAATCTTCTTCTTGAACTTCCTTCTTCCTTTCATTTTCCATTTTAGCTCGCTGGCTCTTCGATTCCAGGCACTATACCTATGCTCCCTTACATCCCTTTCGTGTTCTATTTCCTAATCAGCTCTCTCTTTCACGACCCCCTTTTATATCTTCTTAGCTCTTGCGATGGCGTTTTGACTAGTGTTGTTATTTGTTCGCCTTGTTTCCTTTATTAGGCTCTTCTTTCTTCTCGTCTGTTCATGTGTGACAGCTACGAGAGTGAGATTGCTCTGGGTGGGTGTTGGAAGAATGGATGTGAGATTCATGCCTGTGTTTTTGGTTCAACTGCTTTGACGATGGCTCTGTGTCGCTGTGGAAGATAGCTCCTGAAATTTAACCTTTTCGTAGCACGTGCTATACAGTCAAATGTAATCTAAACTGGGATTTAGGACCGAGTAAGTTGAGTTAGCATGATCTTTGAGCCTTTCTTCCTTGACGAGTTCACCCCGCTCTGCCAGTGGCTAATGGCGGTTACTGACCCATCCGTCTTCCCTGGCGATGGCATGGACTACAATATCAACTGGGACCAGGCGATTTTCTCTATGCATCGGAGAGATCCCACTAGAAGAAACATCTCAATATTCAAATGGATCACACCAGATACACCATAGACATCCATCTCCAGTAATGAGTGCAAAAACCCGAGTAAATGATATGTAACAAAAAAAAAGGTCGAAAACCAAAGATGCGCATTCATTGTACACCATAAAATTGACAAAATAGAAAGTCAAACTCAAGATTTCGTGAGAAATGCTTCCGGAGTACACCCCCGCCGAGATATATCAATCTATGCCGAGTCTATCGGCGCGGGCTGCGACTCGGATGCAGGCTTCTGTTCCTCTTCAGTCTCCACAGCCTCCTTGACATCTGCTTCAGAAGCAGTTGTTGTTGCTTCTTCGCCTTTGTCGTTTCCAGTGGACGTCTCACCTTCGATGGCGGGTGCCGGCTCATCAACGACAGCGGAATCTGCAGGCATAGGCTCACCTAAGCTGGGCTGAGGCTCACTCTCTGTCGCTGCAACTGGCGCTAACGATGGTGACCGCGGCTGGACCGGAGCGAGAATTTCTGCCGGTTCTGGTCGCTGCTCAGCTTCTGTTGGCACATCATTCATATCCACATCCTCTTTGACGACTGGCGTTTCATCGACTGCAGCGTGTTTGTCCAGACTGCTCTCAAGCGTGTCCAGGAGAGCTGCTCCTTTGCTCTCAGAGGCATCTTCAGAAGGTTGTTCTTGTGGTGCATCAGGTTGGGGCACAGGCGGGGTAGAGATCCCTTCAGATTCATGGCCCCCTGAGGTTTGCTCTGGCGATTTATCAACCGTCTCAGTTGGCATGGGCTCATCGACAGCTGGTGTCTCTGTCAAAGACTCCGCAGGAGTTTCTTCGACGGGTCTCTCGGGGCTGGCTGATCGTGCGTTCTCAGCTTCCTTTGGCGTGAGATCAGGCGCTCCTTCAATGACAGCTTCAGTGGTCCCATCGGCCTCCGGGGCAATGGATTGTGGTGCTGCTTCATCGCCATCTCCAGGAACTACCTTCTCAGCTGGCTCTTCTGCGGTTGTAGTCGGCTCTGGAGAGGGGGTAGGCTTGTTGGGAAAAATGGGCTCAGTCTCGCTAGCCACAGGAACAGCAGAATCCAAGGCCTTCGCTTCTTCTGTAGGAACTGTGGGAGCTTCGATACTGGGTTGCGATATCTCTTCAATGGCTTGCGAGACGGCAGTCTCTTCTGGTTGCTGTTCAGCTGGTCCCGGCGCAGGAGGCTGTGCTGTCGGCGTTGCATCCATCATATCGATGTCTGAAGTTGCTGGAGGCTGCTCGGTCCCAGCCTCAGTAGCAGATTGATCCGCAGACTCCGGACCAGGCGGTGGCTGAGGGGTCTCGGGAGTCTTTGCATCAACCATGGACTCATCGCCCTCATCGCTCTCCTCGCCTTCTTCACCCTCTTCGTCGCCATCTGTCCCTTCTTTGCCACCATCCGCGGCACCAGACTCAGCACCGTGGACCAAGGCGGCGTCGGCTCCTTCACCCGGCGCAAACATAACCTTCTTCTTTCTTCCCTTTCCGATACCCTTGCCCTTGCGTTTGGGGGGAGGCGGCCGTCGTTTATGTGTCGACAGAGCCGCTGAACTGGCATCTGCGACAACAACGCCTTCGGAGTTGACCACTCCGACGCCATCGACAACAGTCCCAGGCGCAGGTGCTTCCGAACTGACAGGAGCGTCGCTTTGTTCGGCTACCACCTTAGCATCTCCGGTAATCTCGCCTTCAATGGTATGGCCTTCAGGCACCCAGGCCTCGTAAATCGAGATCTTGCCGGTTTCCGAGTCCACTTTCTTGAACTTGGTGCGCCGCATCGGGACCGACGCATTAGCGCCCTCCGTAAGCGCAGCACCGCCGTACAGCGAAGGCAGACCCTGTCGTCTCTTAGCCAAGAATTCCGGCTCGGCAGGCTCCATGTGTTTGGGCAGGGTCATCCATTTGCGCGTAGTGAAGCTGCGATCCGCCATGTGTACAGCAGAAGTCGCTCCCTGGTCATCGGCATCATTTTTCTCGTCGTCGGCGGGCCTGCCACTTGAATGGATGTAAATGCATCCGGCACGCGCTGCCCTTAGGAGACCGTGGCTGATAGCCGGTAGGAGTTGGCTGTCTCTTGGCATGGGTAGTTCTGGTAGACCGGTCGTTCCGCCCGGTCCTTTGACGCCAATCTCCGATTCGGCGGGCTTAGGAGCTTGAGAGAAGGTGTGTGGCTGTCGCGACCAGCGACGGACAGGTAAGCCTTCGAAGACATCGTGGTCGATTTGGCCGTTTCGGGTGCGGTTGGGGTTGTCGAGATGTCGCCCAGAACGCGAGGACCTGAACTATAAGAAGGGTTAGTCGCAAAATCTCATCAATTGCAGCTACTCCGAGCATCGAGTTCCAATAAGACATCCTGGGCTCATTGGTACCCCGATAAGTTCGGCTGTAGCCATGGGCGCATCGAGCAACGTACGGTGGATGGCATGGTGACCAGCTGGTCCGGCAGGTTCTGACCCGTAATTCAATCCTCAAAAACGAGCGCGCAAGACACAGAAGCGGTCTTGGCTATGTCTCGACACAGCAGACACGGGTGTTGTTGGATGGTTGGGGAGAGGATGGTGTCGGACAAGTGAAAGAGAGAGTCGCGTTCGGGGGAAGTGGATATGTCACGTGCCATACGATCCACTTGCCCTATTTACGAGTAACTATGGTCCCGGCATTATTGCATATCAGAAGTTCCCAACAATTGTCTATGATCAGATGCTATCAATTCCTATTAAGCTGGCTCATCATGCCTTTCTGCCTTGGCAAGGAGTCCAGAAGGGTTAGACCTGCATTAATACCCATAAATCGCCCGAAGAAATTCAAACATGTCATGACCCAAAGACAAGTTGGGTCTGGGTATCCGTCTACCGTCGCAGCGAGATACAGCGGGAACAGTAAAGTGAACCCGGCAGCAGGTTTGATCATTTCAGGAAATGGAAGAGAGTCTTTTCTTCTTCCAGCAATCCCAAGCTGAAAAGGAACCGATGAGCAAATCTCGATCGCAAGATGTTTCAGCAAAGATTCAATCTCAGGAAGTTGGCTCTTGTAACTGCTGTGATTGGATGAGTCGCGAGACTTTCGCTCCAAACGATGCAGCTGCATGAATATAAGCCTGTTGACAATAATGCGGGCGCATCGATATTTGTTCCAAACATCGCAAGCCTCGGTTGATGTGTAGACGTGGAACCTTCGGTCAAAGTGGGCGATATGTAGGCTCTCAAACATGTTATTTGGATGAGATTCAGTCCATTTTACCGTCTTGTAAGGAAAGCTGGCGACAAACATGTTGGCAATTTCCATGAGCTCGGAGTCGATTGCTCTAGCAATCGATAGTATGTAGGTAGCTTCTTGCGGGTACCCTTCCCTAATAGCCGCCTGTAGGTTGCATAATTTGGCGGTTATTGTTATGAGACGACTCTTATATATACTGAGAAGATCTGTTCCAATTGTTACAGCAATGAGACCAGGCGGATCTGTCATTGTTTCTGGGAATCTTTCTTCTCTTTGAAGACAATCGACAAGCTGGAGAACGTTAGCTCGTGTGTTAGCAGAGATTGAGTGTATTCCCCTTACCACTTCATTTCTCACGGCATTAAACAGATGTAAACCATCTTCGCGTCGAAACTGATCTTCTCCCCGAGTTGCAAGTACGGCGGCAGCTCCTTGTGCATGTATTGACCAAGCTTTAAGGGGTCTGGGTCTATCGAAGGTGACAATCTGCCCCGAATGAGCTTCGTGCTCTCAGAAACCGGAACTGCAACTTACTTCGTAGAATGAGATGCAGATAATAGCAGCGAGTGTTGTATCTTGTCTTGCTTGTATCGGATCACCAAGAGCTGCATTGATCTGATTCAGAGCCAGACTATATTTAATTCTCGCAGAATTGAGAAGGCCCGGTGAGCTGTATAGGTTCCCCATGTTTGCCAATCCTACTGACTCAATACTTGCCATCAAGGCCTTCTTGCCCAAAGACGTCCCTGACAAGCTTCCATTGATAGAATGTTCTCTCGCCAAGTTGGAGATAGTCAACCGAGAATAGGTGTTGAAGAAGAAGCATCTGGCCTGAAAGATTCGGTCGGTAGCAAACGCGAGGATTGGTAGTGGGTATTTGTAAGTCCATTGATCACTGCACATGCTATCATTGACCTGACGGCCAGATTTGCCTCGCGTCGGTCTCCTGTGCCGATTCTCGACAGAGTGCTCAGTGCACGGTTCCGTAGAGCTCTCACAGGACCCTAGACCGGCACCTTTCACTTTCCGGATTACAGTGGCAGTTTCATTTTGAAACAATAATGAGAGTTGATCACGGTATCCGGGGCAAGTCCGAGTGGCCGCCCGGCATTGTGAGCAGGTCGGTCGACCTTGATCGCACTTGATTTTTCTGACACGGCAGACGTCGCATCCTGCACTGGGCTTGCCACGGTAGACCATGAACAAAGCAAACCTGAAAGGGATGAAATAGATGATACTAATAAAGAGTGAGGCAGGGAACGAAAAATTCGATATGCATGTCTGTATACATAGTTGCCTAAGCTGCGCTAAACCGCTTCGGGAATCCACCGCGAAACTAGTAAAACGGAGGCTGGTGATTGGCCCATGCTTCTCCATCTGCCTGAGATGTATAGTGGCTGAGGCCAAAGGGTCCTGTAGATGAAAGAATATAAACGCCCTTCAAGATCCTAACTTTCTTTTAAACATAGATACTGAACAAACAGACTACAACACAAACGGAAACATCAACCTACCGGGCACTTACGCCATTTCTTTTTTGTTAGAGCAACTATGGTGGGACTGGACTATCGGCACGGCATCTCCGTCTTGGAGGTTATTGTGTATATTCCTAGCTTGATTATTGCTTTGTGGGTAGCATACAGGCATGGGTTCAAAAGAAGCGCGGGTTGGATCACACTGGTCATTTTCTCGCTGGTCCGCGTGATAGGCTCTTGTTGCTTTCTGGCTACCCTTGGCTATCCGACTTCAAAAGACCTCTACGTGGCATGGGCAGTATGCAGCTCAATCGGCTTGTCCCCACTGACGATCTCCTGCGTCGGTCTGCTCTCTCGAGTGTAAGAAAATTTACCCCAGATTGCTACAAAACCACAAAACTGAAAAGATTACACAGCAATGAATCAATAAAACAACAGTCTGGCAAAGAAGTCAGTCCGCGCCTATTCAGATTACTCGGTCTTGCCACTTTAGTCGCGGTGATTTTGTCTATCATCGGCCAGGTTAAAAATACCAATCTGGGACAAGAGAGCTCAATTAGTACTCTGACCAAAGTCGGCGTGGTTATATTCTTGGTCACATGGGCCGGCTTGGCTTTCTTGCTTTTCTGGATCGCATCGCGGTTCAATTATATCGAGGATGGCGAGCGCAGACTGGTTTTCGCTGTGGGCTTGTCAGTCCCATTGCTGCTCGTTCGCGTGCTCTACTCGGTTCTTGCAGCCTTCTCTCATAACCCCGAGTTCAACATGTTCTCTGGAAGTCCCACCATCATGTTGGTCATGGCTGTCTTGGAGGAGATTGCGATCTGTGCCATCTGTCTGGGAACGGGTGTTACTTTGTCTGTGCGAAAATACACAGATTACCACGAAGAGCTTGCACCCATCAGATAAGATATTTCTTGACATGAGAACCATGGTCAAGTAATACTAGCAACATGAGTCGAAAAGACTTCTCACAGTAACATTCGAGAACATTCAGTAGTCAATTCCACCAAATGGTGGTATTTACCGGCTTCCGAAAATGGGAGTGATACGGCTACAAGTACATTCTATTCAATTGAAGATCAACTGTTGCATGTGGTAAGAGTAGAGTGGCAGTGTATTCTGATGCGCCCGCAGTATAAGTACAGAAGGAGGATCAAATCAATGATGAAGAATCGGTGATATCCATTTCTCGTTCCGAATCAATCCCACCTGCAAAGCAAGTTAATGTCTGAGATACGTGCCAAAAGACAAAGAACTTACCCCGTATCCTTCTGGCGCACAATTCCCCCTTTATGACCTGTTTCCTCGCCCTGTAGAGGAACCGGTAAGTCTCATACCAATAATTATAGGTTTCCGCAAAGAACTTACTGTCTTCTGGCCTTCCACTACCAACTTATCCAACTGATAGAACTGACTGATGACCGTCTGTCTCTTCATCAAGCGCAGGTTCTGCAACCCTTCCTGGATCAGCTCCTGTATCCGGCGCTCCTCCGACTCCTTCTGGTGTGCACGAAACCCGTCAACAGTCCTCCGGTGAGCGTACTCGCGGAAGTTGTAATTTGAGAACCCCGATGACTGGCGAAGAAGCGAACGGAACTGTACAAAGGCATCAATCAGTATACTGCGATAGTCTCAATTGGAAAGCCACGGTGGACCACGGGGGACATACCAAAGACCGCACTTGAAAGGCGGTGTTCCGGTGCGAGGTTGCCACAGACATGATGGTTGTCGGAGTATATGACTAAAACAGGGTACGTGATGAAGACGGACTCAAGACGATCAAATATGGATGCGAGTGACGAACGGCGAATCGTGGTGGTCGAACCCGGATTTTCGGTCTGGTCTGGGTGACTCAATAGCGCAGACGACGCTCTTGCAGCAGGCGGCGGAAATCACAGATAGACAGCAGAACTGTGTCTTGCAAGTTTCCGGGTATGACGCGACAGGTAGTCCTGCTGGTGGTGGTTGCGCGGCGGTGGGCAAGGTAGGCGACGTCGGAGGTGGCAAGTGAGGGGATTCGACTCTCCACCGGGCGAAAGCTGGAGGGAAAGTGCCAAGCTCTATCCGACACACTGAGAAGTAGGAGAAATAGGTGCGTCGCAGCGCAATCTTCGATCAGGCGAGTTGTGGGAGAGTGTGCAGGAAGATCGAAAGGGAAGGGCGCGGGAAATTCTTGGGCGGAGTTATCGGCGCCGAGCTACGCTCCGGGCGATTAGTTATTCACCTCACCTCACCTCAACATAACACATCACAACAAAATGGCCCAGATCCCTACGCCACCAGCCTCACGGCCGGCCTCGGAGTCTCCCGATGAATCGCAGAAACCCGACACAGCCTCGTCAGAGCTGCTGCGATCCCTCGACACCCTGCTCGAGAAATACTTGCATCTGTTGGACCGACAGCAGGAGCTACAGTCGGGCCTTGCCAAACAAGTATCCTCGGTAGGTCCCGGTCAATTCTGAATGAAAGTACAATGCTGATGTCAAGGGAGTAGGGCTTTCTTGCTCTCGCCCATGCAAACTACACTTGTCCCCCCGGCCGGCGGTATGGCGCAGACTATTACGATGAGCGGATGAAGGCGACGCGAAAAATGTACGCAATCCCCAACAAGAGATTTGGAGTTAAGTTGGTCTAATCTGTCGGGATTGCTAGAGCTGTGCGAATGGGGAAATCCACCGAAGCAGAGTCTAAAGAGAACTCGACGCAAGGCTCGCCAGACAAGTCGAATTGCTCCGATTTGAACTACGATTTCTCCATAGAGCGTGCACCCAGCTCTCCGCCGGAGTTATCAACAAAAGAGAGGGAAGCCGATTCAGTCGCTGCCGAAGAGTCTGAAGATGCATCATCATCATCGCACCCCGACACGGCCACAGTTTCGAGCACAGAAGATGAACACTCGTTGAACTCCGAAACAGCGGTGCCAGCTCCCAAGTCTGCCCGCAAGAAATTCCGCTCCTCGGATCCTATCAACTGGTATGGGATTCTGGTCCCATCGTCTCTTCGCAATGCGCAGACGTCATTTACGGGTGCCGTGGATACCCAGGTCCCGGAGCTGGCGGGGGTAGTCGTCGAGATGCGCGCTGTGGAGGACGAGATTAGCCAGTTACGGAAGAAGTTGGGAGTCGAGGACCGCAGTTAGTATAGAGTATACATGGCATCAGCCGTGAATTCTGGATATATAATATAGATGACGTCTGAGTCGCACTGGGCAGCCTGATCACTCTCCCCGTTGCTCATCCTCAACCCATATATGAAATTTCAAGATATATTGAAAATGCTCTTTTCATTAACGGGTCTCAGTAAACATAAGGCTGTTTTAGCCACCACTTTCTTCGGCTTGCTTAACGTAATTCACAAGCGACCCGCCCATCCCAAAACACCAAAGTAAATGCGATAAATGACAATTCGATATTTCTATAACAATAGCTTAATATGAGGTCCTATTATATCCTACTACTATTTGGATCATATTACGTCTCCTTGTGAGGTTTAAAAAATAAATGGTCTTGTTTATAATTCGGATACTGTATATATATTTGCCGTTCACACCTGTGTATTCTTTGGTAATGCTGCCCAAATATTAATTATTCTAACTCTAAGTTAGCTTAGACTATTCCTTATACTCATCAAAAGCATCATACGAATTATCAAACAATTTTGAATTATGGTTGTTGAAATATCGAGTTATAAAAATAATGCATTTACCCGACCAGAGCGGTGAGGGCCTGACTTCTAGGGGGCGGGTACTATGGTGTTTTGGGATGGGCGGGTCGCTTGGGTGGGCAGTTCGCCTGTGAATTACTTTACCATTCTCTACTTACTCTCTCCATCGATAACTGCTTTCTCAGACCCACTATTAACTGTGTTCACTTCTTCGACCGATATCCCAAGACTGAGCAAGAAGATATTCTTATATTCCTTGATATACTTCGAAATGCCTTCTTCCGATGGGCTTCGTGGGGCCTCCCTATAGCCCTTTCAATTCACAGTGCCAGCTTCCTAACTATAACAGAACCTCCTCTCACGCCCCATGAGCGGGAAATTGTAAAGTCCTTGGGTGGTTGGACAATGTTTATGGCCAGTTTCGGGCTGAAACCCGGGAATAACGAGGATACTGATGAGGCGAAGAAGATCCTCGAAGGCTTTGTCCAGCATGGTCTCTCGTGAGAGGGGTTGAACTTGTGTATTCGTGGCTGTGTGGGAACATGTTTAACCAGAAGTTTGCGTGTTTTGGATTTAATACCGCTTTGGCACTTGACAATCTTGTGTTGTCTTCGGCTTTGTATTCTTTTGGCTGAGCATGTCAATGGTCTTGATTATAGTATCTGGGATGAGCTGTCCAAGTCATTACAAGTAGAAAGGGGCTAGGGTATGGGCTGCATGTCAAGTCCAAAAGTTCATTTCCATTAAAATCTACCTTGATTACACCTCAATTCTCGTTCCCAGTCCAAGTGAGTTCAGACCATCTTCACATCGCCATTCCCTTCCAACATCGACAGGCCCGAACGAGTCGACAACTCGTGTCACTCATTTCTTGGGGGCAGTATTGGAGGCAGGAGGGGTGTAAGTAGATTCACCCTTGCCGTTGTTGTGATACGTGCTCCCATCAGAATTGGAATAGTAGTACGAGCCATCCCTGGTCCAGCCTTGTTAGCGCGGTCTTTCTATTCAATTAGCTATCACAGGGAAGCTCACGAGTTGGAGTAGTGGTACGAGTTTGGGTTCGATACATTGGAGCCGTAGTCCCGGGCGCAGTAGTGATTGCCCTTCCAGATTGAGTCGATTTTCTCTTGACGGTGGGAGAAGTAAAGTTGTACTTACGTCGCTATTGGTGCCGGAGCTCTTGTAGGTGTAGGAGTTACCAAAGTTGTCCTGAGGCATGGTGTTTGGATTTGTTGATGACGATGTGAGTTTGCTGAAGGAAGATTTGGGAAGGTGGAGAAAGGAAAGAAGAGGAATGGGAAAACAAACTAGAAGAAGAGGAGGGGTAGAAGCTTTAAATAGGGAAGATCTTCAGTACAAACAAAGAACCATAGGCAATGCAGACGAACAAAAAATGACAACAGAAAATGTCATAGATGTACTGGCGTTGTCATTGACCTTCCGAGCATGTTTGAGGATAAAAAGCGCATGCTGCCGCTCTTATTGGCTGGTTTACCTACACTGTTGCTATACAGGAAGTAGCTGGGCTTCAATATACATCCCGAACGAGCACATTCCCTGGTGTCTATTTAAGAAACAGCTCATGCAATGCAGGCACCTTGATCTAGCTGCTCATCGATATTGAGCTTGTTTGTTCAATGAATCCTGTCCTTGATTTCGCTTATATTTTTGAACAGCTTGTCCGCGGGCAAGTCGCTTCTGTGACGTGAGTCGGTCCGGAAATGTTCATCAAGCAGCTTTTTTCCTATATTGACAACATGCTCAGATACGGATCTTGCTTGTCTACTTTCTTCGCGTCTACTACGGCAACTTCCCTTATCAGCCCGACGTCTTGTCCAGGTTGGCCATTGTTTAGATAGCTTTCGCAAGTGTATGTTGCGGTGGTCGCCCTCACTCGTCCACGTACATGTTGGTCTCGGCATTGCAATGATACCAGAAGGTGCAGACGATCTTGCGCATGGGTCTGATCAAGCCAGATACTGTGTACTTGGAGTGGGCGACTAGAGAATTGAGGCATAGCTAGTAAACTGGCTAATCAAGATACTATTCCAATACAGATCTAGCATCCCGCTAGTTTCACCACATAAGCCTCTAGATCTTGCCCGGCTCCTTCGGCAACTCGAATGCCCTGTACAAAGAGACAACTCTGCCACTCGGTTGATAAGAATAGCGCTCGTTATCTCTAGCAACTTGGGGCCGTTAAAAGCCAAGCCCACGTAGGCCATCTCACTCTCTTCTTGCGGCTATTATGGCGGGGTGTACGAACGGTGGAGATGAGTTCGTGTATAGCAGGATTGGACTAATATATATCTCAATCCTCTAGTTAGCCATGATGCAATTTGTCACCCGTGTTTACATCGTCGCTCTGAAGAAGAAGAATAATATCTATAATAACTACTATATCCTAAGTGGGCCATCGATGTAGGTACTGGGGAAATGTTAGGCGGCCGTTAGCCTGTTTCAGTTGAATCCAGACCACAGGGTGCACTTGCCACGTTGAACAAAATCTCCGACGGGCCGGCCTTCTTTAGCCGATTAACGGCTACCCCACTCACCTCACTACAAAAATCATAATAACACCCATCATCGTCAATTGCTCCTTGCCAGATGATGCATTATGATCTGGCGAATTGGGGATAATGTAATCCCGGAGACCACGCTGCTGCAAGCACAGCCTCAACCCTGCAAATTCTGCAGCCGAATCTCTTCCCGCATGGAATGGCGGCGTCGCATTGGCCGCCGCCATCTCTTAGGCGAGCCCACCCTGGCTGATTGTGAGACGTAGCGTCCGAGACTGACTCCTGGAACACCCCCCCACTGGCACAGCAGCCTCGAGATCAGCCAATGTCATTGGTGCTTGGACGCTACTGATTGTCCACGCTCTCAAGTTCTGTTGGTGTGTTGACCAGTGACTAACGGATCACGGCTTCCTCAAGAGGTCGGACTAACGTTCACTGACGAGGATCAACAGTCCACTGAGCGACCGGTCATGGCCAAGGAGCACGATGAGCTGCAGAGGACGGAGAAAGAGGAGGACATGTCGGCCTACATATCGCGTAAAGGCCGCTAGATTAATTATTTGGCATGCTACACATCCACCCCCCTGGGCAGATGATTTCTCCACCTCTTTATTTAGCTTCTAGCACGCCTCGGACACGGAAATGAAGACTTAATCTATTCTCGCCCTTGTGTCAGGCGATTCCATCCCGGCGGGCCGGCTAGTATTACTTTCTGTCTGACTGCCCTGGGAGGCTCGTTATTATTGTCGGGTGAGATAGCGCCGTCTGCCCGTTTTTCTCTCCTCTTCTTTCTTCTCTCTCTCTTTGTTGTCGAACGGACTTTCTTTCTTGCTCCAAGAGCTTGAGGCTCTTTTCCTTTCCTTGTTGCGCGTGTTGTGTAAGTGACTGACTCCTTATGCTCATTCTGTCTCCACCCAGTCCTGTTTGGAATCTGTTGTTGTTCCCCTCTAACATCCACGTCTCCAGTCTGCGTTTCTTTGAAACATCACTGGTTTGATACCACTGATTCGACTATTCGCTCTCTTTCAATCTCCGACACAGACATTGTTGACCTATGGTAAGCCTGCCTGTTGCCGCCCAGACACAGCTCATTGTCTAATCGCCTGGAGATGTGCTTATCGTTCGATTCCAGTCATTCACCCCGGCATTGAATGCCCTTCCATTCATTTGTGATCATTCCCGCAAATAGCTCAAACCAGTGGTTCTAAGCTTCTTTGTTTCGATTTCATCTTTTCTCCATTCGGCTTCGCCAGTACGGCAAGATTTCTCTCGTTATCTTTCAACTTCATTTCTATTCGACCCACAGAGTCGAGCAGTTGAGTTTTGTTTCAATACTGTTTAAGAGCAGTGATTTCTTTTTGTTCCCATCACCGCCGAAAACCGCTTCTATGCAACGGTGAAACTTACATCAAAAAACATACCAAGACCTTCTTCAAAACGTCGAAGATCGTCTTTTCAACAAGCGTATAGATGGCTCCTTCTAATCCACCAGAAGGCGCGGGGTCCCCTTCCTCCGGTACTCCAGCCGCTGACAGGAAAGGGTCCGGGTCCGTCAAGAGAGCCAGGCAGCTGCTGGAGGCCGGCGTGCGCCCAGAACGATCATCGTCGCCTGTCCCGAAACCACCTCCAATCCTAATTCGGAATGTCAATCAGCAGATGAAATGGCCTCTCCGTGAGTCTAGCCAGCAGCCATATCCGCCGAACCACCATCCTAGATACATGGTCCCACGTGGTCCTCCACCCCGTGCCCCTCCGCCGCAGCGTCCACAGCGTCCAGGCGAAGTTTCCTCTCAGGTTCCTTCACCATCAGTCTACACCGCGAGAAGCAGCCAGGACAATGCTAGAAGACCAACCCAACCCTCTTCACACCCTCATCCAAATCAGCCACCGTCTCGCCCACAGACAAGTGACGACATTCCTGCCAGCCCTGTGAGCACCACAAGTACGACTCTTGGCGGCTCAATCGCGACAGATGAACTATTCAGACGCTCGGGTTGCTCATCCACGCCCTCCGTACCGGATGTCCCTCCATTCCCGCCACCACCGCCAGAGCCTCAATATGATCCTCGCCGACGGACAGCCGGCCTTGTTCCTCCACCCAACGCTCGCCGAGGGCAGCGCGCCCGTCGATCGTCCGTGTCTCCCATCCCAGAGGAGAATCCCGACCCCCGTAACACTCTAGGTTCTCTTGCATCGAGCCGGGCTATGCCATCCAGCTGGGGATCCGGACTGGCTGAGTCGGAGATTCTAGGCGCTTATTTGGACGTTGAGTCTGACTCTGATGATGATTACGACTCTGATAATCACTCGAATCATAATGATGATAATAGCGAGAGTCTAGTAAGGAGCGCCAGTCTTGGGAAGAGAGGAAAGCCGACGATGCGCACATTCCAAAAGCCCGGCACTGCTTCGGACGCAAATGCCGAGACACAGTCAAATAATACGAAACAAGATGAAAGCGCTACCGCTGCTGGAGCCGCTGTGGGAGCTATCGTTGCAGGAGTGGCAGCTCATCCACAAACACTCCGACCCCCGACTCCTGAACGCAAGGGCTCGGCTTCTACGGCGTCGAGTGATGGTTCGACTAAGGGCGTCGACCCGGAGAAGCCGCCTATTGTGCAGGACGAGAGCGTCTACAGCGCGATGAATGAGAAAAAGGAGGACCTGCCCATGGCGGCGCCGACGATGAGTGACAATCGGCCAGGCGGCCGCAAGCCTCCTCGTCTGGACATGGGGGCTGTGCGCAATGCAGAGGCCCGAGGTAGTCTTTCCAGCTTGACAGAGCTGATCCGACGCGCTACCAAGCTAGCATCGAACCTGGACCGTGGGCGGACGGCCAGCCGAGCTGATCTTGTAGATGGAGATTTCAAGGGTGCATTTGGTGGGTTCTCCTCAGTTATGAATGTCATCAGCATATACTAACTAACTCTGTGTCTAGGGCCCCGGCACCGCAACTCTGGCTCGCTGTCGGATATTCTCGCTTCGTTCCCTCCGCCGGGACTTTCGACCCCCGATGAGACTGGCCGTCAGTCATGGCCAGTCTTCTTTGGACGCTCGAATCTGCGACACATCGAACCTCTGTCCTCCAACGAGGATGGACCCGACTCTAACCGTCGCAGGGCCCGGTGCTGCGGGATGCCGAAGTGGGTATTTATATTCTTTTGCACGATCGTCTTCATCCTAGTCGTGCTCGCCATCGTACTCCCCGTGGTACTCGTTGCAGTCCCGAACGCGGCATCCCGCGACCATCCCACTTGCGCCGAGACGGTCCCCTGCCACAATGGCGGGGTCAGCGTCTCCAGCGGGAGCGAATGCTCGTGCGTCTGTTCGAACGGGTACATGGGACCACAGTGTACGATCAACGGCGACGGTAGCTGCATCACGGCGGAAGTCAGCAACAGCTCCATGACGAGGAATGCGACGATGGGCAGTGCGCTCCCGAGCCTGTTCCAGCAGTCCGAGGATAAGTTCGGGATGGACCTCGACCCCATCACCCTCATGGCACTGTTCAGCGTCAACAATATCTCGTGCAAGACAGAGAATGCGCTCGTCTCCTTCAGCCAGGTCAATACGGGCAGCAGCAGCAACTCTCGTCGATCCCTCCTGGCGGGTGATGACGGGGAGAGTAGTGAGTTTCCCTCGCCCTCGGTCTGGTCGGAGGAGCCCACAGCTGTCTTGGAAGAGCGTGCCGTCGCGACTATGAACGGGATACTGTACGACGACGGGGGAACGCCCAAAGCATCGGAAGACAAAGATGCCAAGGCGACACAAACGACAAGCACCTCCACCATTCCGACGGCGACGCCAACCGCCAACTCCTCACCGTCGTCCAATTCATCCTCCGTCGTCCCCGTGGCCGTCGTGGAATTCTCTCAGGTGTCCGTCCTCTACATCCTGCAGCGAACGGGCTCGCTCAACGCGGCCATGAGCGCCGAGTCGCGCATCGAGTCGTACCTGACCCTGACCAGTTCAGGGGACTTGGGGACGTTGGAGGTGGACTCGTTCTCGCTGGACTTTTCCAAGAAGACGATCCACCGAAGCGGGGAGTAATCGTTAGTCTGTACCTCATTATTATTATTTAGCAAATACCATACTCTATTCTTGTTCTGCAGAATTTTAAGTTAGGGTTGGCTTCTGCGGTGTGCCAAGACCGACCTTCCCTCTTTAGGACCGTCAATCACGCAACCTCCACGAGGGATGACGTGCTGCTGACTCAGCAGTGATAGTCTTGGGGACCATGGTTGATGCCGGAGAGGGCGCGAGGAGTGAGATACGAGGATCGAGACAGCGGTGTCCTCACCCCGAGATGCGTGTGCGGTCGGTCCGTGGCAGGTTCGGGGCTCTAGATGTATGATAGTAGCATTGACATCATCGTCGGCGTGAAGAATAATGCCGCCCCCTGAAAATCGGCGGGTTTTAGCTTCAAAGGGTTAGTTCGCTCGTTCAATGGATACGGTTACGAGAGGAAGAGGGCGATCTGGCCTTCCTGTCGGCTTAGGGTTGTAGTAGGACTCCGGGATGGGCCTCAGATTAACTACTACTGCAGGTCCTGACACTCATTAAAGACTCGCCACCGGCGTGTCTCTCCGACCCTGGAACAGGCGTGCAACGGGGGCCCTCGCTCGCCTCCCCCTGGCCACGGCTGGCCGGCCAAGACTCCGCCGGGTCCACAGTTGACGACGATTGTTACCGCGCAATATGGCCCCGGGGGAGCCTTGTTCTTGATAAGGAAGGGCTCGGCACTCCACCCAAACTTTTCTCTTTTCCTGCTCTGCTGTCCTTTTTCCTTCCCCTCGTGTTGTACATTACTCTCCCACCTCCTCTCCTCAAAAGTATTTTTCACTCTTCTATATACCACCATCGCAATGGCCAACACTCCCCACGGTGGTGTCCTCAAGGACCTTCTTGCCCGCGATGCTCCCCGCCAGGAGCAGCTCGCCGTCGAGGCCGAGACCCTCCCCGCGGTCGTCTTGACCGAGCGCCAGCTGTGCGATCTCGAGCTGATCATGAACGGTGGCTTCTCGCCACTGGAGGGTAAGTCAATTGACTCGTCTCCGACTCAAAAACGACACAAATTAACTCGTCGCCAGGCTTCATGAACCAGGCCGACTATGACCGGTATGTGTCGCAACAGGATGCGAAGGATGGTGCGATTGGAATGAAGAGGAAGAACAAACTGACTCGAGCAACAGTGTCTGCCAGGACTGCCGCCTCGTCGACGGCAACGTCTTCTCCATGCCCATCACCCTTGACGTCAGCCAGCAGACCATCGACGAGAGCAAGCTCAAGGCTGGCTCTCGCATCACGCTGCGCGATTTCCGTGACGACCGCAACCTGGCCATCCTGACCATTGACGACATCTACCGCCCGGACAAGTAAGTGGAGGTTTTTTCCCCCCATCCGCGGAGTTATTTTTTTTTTTTTTTTTTCGCGAATCTGTCGATCTTTTACTCTTTTTTTCTCTTGCTCTCACACCCCTGCGACATGCCATGCGACATTGTCTCTCCTGAGGCGTATTTGGGGGCGCACTGTTATTTCTCTCGTTTTCTGCCCCGGTGTTACTTTTGGTGGGTCTGGCTGACGCGGAACCTTTTCCCCCTGATTTTAGGGAGAAGGAAGGCCAGCTCGTCTTCGGCGGTGACCCAGAGCACCCCGCCATCAAGTTCTTGAACGAGTCCGTCTCCGAGTTCTACGTGGGTGGCAAGATCGAGGCTGTCAACAAGCTGAACCACTACGACTATGTCGCTCTGCGCTGTAAGTTGTCTCTTTTTGTTTACCAATTCTTTTCTGCTCCTGCTAACGGACCTCGACAGACACCCCCGCGGAGCTGCGCATCCACTTCGACAAGCTGGGCTGGTCCCGTGTTGTCGCTTTCCAGACCCGTAACCCGATGCACCGCGCTCACCGTGAGCTGACTGTCCGCGCGGCCCGCTCGCGCCAGGCCAATGTCCTGATCCACCCCGTCGTCGGTCTCACCAAGCCCGGTGACATTGACCACTTCACCCGTGTGCGCGCCTACGAGGCCCTGCTGCCCCGCTACCCCAACGGCATGGCCGTCCTCGGTCTGCTGGGTCTGGCCATGCGTATGGGTGGTCCCCGCGAGGCCATCTGGCACGCCATCATCCGCAAGAACCACGGTGCCACCCACTTCATCGTCGGTCGTGACCACGCCGGTCCCGGTTCGAACTCCGCGGGCAAGGACTTCTACGGTCCCTACGACGCCCAGCACGCCGTCGAGAAGTACAAGGACGAGCTGGGCATCGAGGTCGTCGAGTTCCAGATGGTCACCTACCTGCCCGACACCGACGAGTACCGTCCCGTCGACCAGGTTCCCCAGGGCGTCAAGACCCTCAACATCTCCGGCACCGAGCTCCGCCGCCGCCTGCGCTCCGGCGCCCACATTCCCGAGTGGTTCTCCTACCCGGAGGTGGTCAAGATCCTGCGCGAGTCTAACCCCCCGCGCGCCACCCAGGGCTTCACTATCTTCCTGACGGGCTACATGAACTCGGGCAAGGATGCCATCGCCCGCGCTCTGCAGGTGACCCTTAACCAGCAAGGCGGCCGCTCCGTCTCGCTGCTGCTGGGTGATACTGTGCGCCACGAGCTGTCGTCCGAGCTGGGCTTCACGCGCGAGGACCGCCACACCAACATCCAGCGCATTGCCTTCGTGGCCTCTGAGCTGACGCGCTCCGGCGCGGCCGTGATCGCTGCCCCGATCGCCCCCTACGAGCACTCGCGGAAGTACGCCCGCGATGCCGTCGAGAAGGCCGGCAGCTTCTTCCTCGTCCACGTCGCCACCCCGCTCGAGCACTGCGAGCGCACCGACAAGCGCGGCATCTACGCCAGCGCCCGCCGCGGCGAGATCAAGGGCTTCACTGGTGTCGATGACCCCTACGAGACCCCCCAGAAGGTCGATCTCACCGTCGACCCCTCCACGCAGACCGTGCGTAGCATCGTTCACGAGATCATTCTCATGCTCGAGAGCTCGGGCTACTTTGAGCGTTCTCAGTAGAGTTGGGATATTCGGTTGCTTTGTTTGATTGGGGCCATCTTCGGATCGAGATGTGTGTGTACTAGGATGTGTGTTATTTAATTGCGGCTTTTTGGATTCCCCTGAACTAGATCCTTTGGCAATAGACTTGTTGGCCATTGACTGGTTTGCAATTGTAAATTCTATACTTTGAACGAAGTTGTCTTGCGATCATCAATCAAGGTGTCTGAACGGATCATGTGGTGGCCTTTTGCTCTCGAAGATAGCATTTTAGATTGTCGTAAACACCTAGGCGCTGCGTGAAGCTTGACTTGCGTACCTCCCCTCTATCTCTCGCGGTGTCAATCACGTGATATATCATCTCCTCCAAATTCATCATCACATCTTCGGTTCACCACTTCAACCACATCGCACACCCACCATGCTACCCCCAAGGAGCGCCATCGGTCGAATACCGAATTACATTCGACCGATGCATCCCCCCGGATTCCCGGTCCACATAAACACCTGCGCCTATTCACAAATCGCACCCGACTTCTACTCCTCTCCCCCGTGCCAGGCCGTCCTCAACTTCCCTTCCTTTCACCACTAGCACCGACACGTCCTCTCCCCCCTCTATCCATCCACCTACGCCAACACTTTGCTCGTCTCATCTCCACCGAAAGTCGCAACCACTACAAACGCCGACTGGCACGCGGTCTGAAGATAGGCCTCAGCTTCTACGCCATCCTGGTGCTGTTCCAAGTGATCAAGGTTGGCATGTACCAGGAAGAAATCGAGCACAAATGGCCCACGCCTCCAGAATGGACCTGGAAATCGCGCTGGTGTTTGCGCTCTGCACAGGCATTCCAGCACCCCGATCAAATCGGCAAGCTGATGACCAATTGGCCCATGGTTATCGGGTTCTTGCGCGAGTTGCTGGAGCGATTGGAGAATGTGGAGGGCGAAGGCAAGGGCATTGTCGAACAGGATGAGGGCGGGTTCCTTGTCGAGGGCGTCGGGAGCACTGGGTTCGATGTCTCGGCCAAAAGTGAGCCCTGGCGGAGAGGGTACTTTCAGGCTCTTCTGGGCGCAGCGAAGGCTGCGGAGAACCTGGAGGGTTGGTTGACGGATCGCAAGCAGAAGATCTCTGCTCCAGCCGAGTATGTGGTCGGTCCGTCGAACCCGCGCCCCAAGCCTATGCCTACTGGGCAGAAGAAGGTGCCGCAGGAAGAGAACTGTGAGGCCGCGTCGCCTTCGCCAGAGACGTTTTATATGAAGATCTTGACAACACGCGGATTTGATACGGGACAGAAACTGGAGGCCGCACTGGCTTATGCGGACTGGCTTGATTACAAGGGACTGGGCCGTACTGCAGGAGACATGTACGCCTGGGCCTTGGATATCGCTGTCGAGGGACTACCTGGTGATGCCAGTAAGGTAGTAGATCCCAAGACGGGAGTACTCAAAAACACCGGCTCCGAGTTGCCATCTGAAAACATTCTACGTGTGTCTACGGCACTCGCTGTCCACAATGCTCGCCAGGGCGATCTTCCCTCGGCTTTATCCCTCTTCACATCAGTCCTGAAGGCTCGCCGGAACCTTCCTCTCTCGCCCGAATCTACGCGGTCGCCTGTCCTTCCCCCTCTCTCCAACAGATCAAACGACATCTTCGCCTCATTCTTCAACTCCATCAAAACCATGCTTGTCCCCGTGGAATATCCAGCTGCCCCTCCATCCGGCGATGACCCTCCCCTCCGCACATCCGCCTCTGCCTGTGAGGAAGCAGGATTAATGACCTACATTGGCGAGATCCTCTACGCCTCCTCGTCACAGGACACCGGTCTCGCCTGGACCCGCGACGCAGTGGACATGGCCGAATCAACAATCCTAACCCTACGCAGCTCCGAGACTGACCGCGACGCTCGCGCTCGCTGTGCGCAATGTCTCCAGGTCGGTCTCGGAAACTGGAAGACCATGGTGTCGGAACTGGTTTCTCGCGCCAAGAAAGATGAACAAGAGAGCATCGCCAAGGCGCAGGGCGCATGGTTCGGTGGCGAGAAGAGCGTGCAGACCAAGTCTCTTAAGCGAAGGAGGTGGGAGGCCGAGAAGGCCCTCCTGGAAGACCGGATTAAGCGGCTTTTTCCTTTGCTTGAAGGCGAGTCGGATCTAGATGCCTTTGCCCCGAATAGCTCGCTGTTTGTGTAATTCCCTCACGCAAGGTTGGCAGAGTCAGGAGATAGATCTCAGTTGGGGTCCAGACTCGGGTTGGCGTGTCGGTCTTAGCGACACCGTGTGTACATATACTCTCGCCCCGGCCGTTCGATCCACCGGGGCGCACTGCAGTTTGTTATGATAACTTCGTACAATAGCTATGCAGATCTCCAACAATGGCTTGTAAATCCCTAGTGCTTACTTGTGTTGATTTGATTCCTTCATGTTAATTGCGACATAATTTTTGGCCAGAACACAGCTGGATAGCACTGCTTTTTCACTGGTGAGAAATCGCCGCGTCTTGTCCTACTCCTCGGTCCTAGTCGGTCTCTTGGGTAGTTGGAGGTAGTGCTTGGTTCGGAATATAGTACGATCGCATTATTAATGCTATACAAACATATTAACCCCGCTCTCTCTTCGGAATATCGGCTTGTCCGTGCTTCCTGGAAACATCTCGACATCCGTCGTATCTATATACCTTCCCAAGCCTACTGGATATAAACAGCCAATTACAAAGTCAACAACCAAAAACAAAAAAGATGCCAGCTCACAAACTCTACTATATCCCCGGCGCCTGCTCCCAAGCAGTGCACATAACACTCCGCGAATCCGGAGCTGAATACACCCTGTCCGCCGAAAAAGTAGGAACAGGCGACTTCTCCCCCGAGCTGCTCGCCCTGAACCCGAAAAAGAAGATCCCGGTACTGATCATCGACAACAACACTGTGATAACCGAAATCCCCGCGATAATGACCTACCTTTCGCAACTCGCGCCAGAGAAGAACCTGCTCGGCTCAACGCCCATGGAAACCGTCCGTGCGTACGAATGGATGAACTGGCTCTCGGGTACACTGCACGCGCAGGGCTGGGGGCTCTTTCTCCGTCCGCAGCGGTTTCTCGAAGATGAATCCCTGGAGACTGCAAGGAAGGCGTTGAAGGGGAAGGGGCGAGATATTATCAAGGAGTGTTATGCTACCATTGAGTCGAGACTGAAGGATGGTCAGATCCACGCCGTGGGGAACGCGTTCACAGCTGTGGATGTTTATCTGTTTGTTTTCTATCAGTGGGGATCCAGAGCGGAGTTTGATATGGAGATTTCGTATCCGAAATACGCCGCTCTGGTGAGGACGGTGAGGGAGAGGGAGGCCGTTAAGCAGGTTCTTGCTGCCGAAGGATTTTAGGAGGGTCAATAGCTTTACTGGCTAATCTTCGGAAGGAAGAGCATTGTTTAGGAAGTCAGAAGTACACCTAGCGAGATGACTTTACTTCAAAATAGCTGGGGGCTTTTAGGATTGCCAATGGGTTCACTGGTTAGGGTTTGGAAGGAAGAGTGTTGTGTAAGTGGCAGCTTAGCGACTGTCTCTGTTGCAGTCTAGTGTTGGAAATACCTAGTGAGATGATTTCATTCTTCAACAAGTGGCTGTATCTACTGAGAATAAGTGGTCTGCATAATGGGGGCCATAAGTCCACTAAGCACAACAATTTATCCCGTGGCCAGCAATAATCGACGAGTCCAACCGATTGAATTAGTTCCGTGGCTAATCTACCAAATGCTAACTAGCGCTGACATTAACCAGAATGTAGTTGATGGTAATGACGTAGACCTTGCTTCTGGTCCTTGCGTCTCCGAATATAAGTCCGAAGCCGAAATCGAAACCTTGATGTTCAAAACGGGGCCAGGTACATCAGGATCCTGTTTGAAACAATGCACCATACTAATTGGGAAGCAAATGATATCTATTTTGGTGGCGACCAGAGGTGCTTTACCAGATAAGGCGCGGGCCGGATCTCCTCAAAGTAGTGAAACAGCCTCAAAGTATCATCGATGCATTGAGAACACGCAACCATTCTATCGGTAATCCAAGACTCTGTTTTGAGAATCTAGGGGCGGATTGCATCACGAACGCCATATGGGGGCGGATTCATCTCCTTTCTCTTTCACAGTATGTAATCAGTAGCGAGTCGAGTTATGCGCATAGCACATTATTAGCAACCGGTTTGACTTCGTCAGGCACAGATCTTCAGCGAACGCCGACGCTCCCTACTACGGAATTGATGTACTCCTGATCCTCATGACCTTTGCTTGTTACTCTTGTCCAGGATTGCCACGCGTAAGCCTCTATCTCACTAGTTGGGTCATATGCGCCCAGAATGCCAGAGGAACAATTGTGATCTTCACAAATTCTCCTACGAAGGATCAACTCTAGGGATAAAAGGCCAACACTAGGCTTGAACAGGGAAGGTAGATGTTGGACGAATCCTAGACTTTCACCTGGAGGGACCCACTCATCAGTGCCATGTGTGACAGGAATGGCTAACTAGAGTAACAGATCGGATGTACATAACGGGCAATCCCTTCAACAGAGCGCTAGCCCCCATTGCCACCGTCGGCACAGACCACTATTTCCCCAAATACGTCTCTTAATTAAACCGTTGAGCCGTGACTGGCCGGAATTAGTTGATGCAGGGCAAAAGGCAACAGGCAATGGGGACCAGGTACTAAACCATCTGCAGTAAAATTTCTCCAAAATGGTGTTAGGCGATACCCACCACCATGGCATGACAGAAATGCACGATCATGACAAATTGAATTAGTTAGATAACTAAGTCTCGTAACAACATGTAGCGACGTAATATGTTAGTATTTCGAAATGTAAGAAAAACGGTCTAACGCCTCGTTCCAAGTTTAACTATCGAAGAAGCGCACGATGGTGGCTGGTTAGCACCCTGATCATCAGTCGGGGTGAATCGGCCCAGGGGTGTGCTGCACCCGGAAAGAGAGAATGGGAGCGCAGACGCTAATATGAGCCTCAGGATGCGCTTGTAGGGGTTAGCGAATCACAACGGGGTTTGGACGCGGCCTGTGCTAGGCCAGGAACCAAGTGGACCCAGTTGGCCATACTAGAAAAGTAGTGCTGTACTAGCCAGCTACGGTATGATCTGCTGCAAATCGGGTACCGGTGACTTGGATGAGTTGTTAGGCGAGCGGGCTCTCAGGGGACTGACTGCTTTTGTGTTCTAGGATTGCCGAGGGCTGGAGGAAGGCAGGAGAAGACAGGGAGCGGTATCGGAGAATTAGGATAGCGCGTGTCTGTATACCTGCGACAGATAGGAAACTGGATGCATCGGGCAAACTTCTAGCGCTCGAGCTTTAAATAGAGTGTGGGGGCCGTTGGCCAAACAAGCGATCGGATAGGCCAGTGGGACTGCTATTTGCTTTAAGGATTTGTTATTCCATCGGTGGCTGGAAAAGGGTCGTTGCTCTAATTCCAGTCGTCATCGACTCTGCAGAGTAAGAACCGTAAGTCTATGTTTAGTACCAGTCCAACGTTTAACGCTAAACGCTGAGTATGGAATCTTGTTAGTGGGGGCGGACTGCTGAACAGATCCATTTCTGGCTGGCCACCAAAGAAATAATGTATGTGTTTCGGGGATGAATTGAGTGGAATCCTTCTGACCGGGCAGTTCATCTATTCAGGAGTATACCTGGTGCAGAAACTGTGTGTAGAATCTACAAACTTGAAGAACACAAATCATAGTTGACAAAATGATGACAGTTAATAGGTCAGTCAGTTATTTTTGGAAATAACCAGTTGGATACTCGCTAAACTCGACTTTCTTATCGTAATTAGAGTGCTCGCTCGTTTCCAACGATGCAAGTACTGCGACACATTTGCAATGACCTAAATTAAGCCGCACTGGTGTTTCATGATCCCTGCCAACCCTATGTGCTCCATCCTGACCCACCGATCCCGGCAGCACGGTTCATTGTCGAGGGTAATACCCCAGAGAGCAAGAAAAAGGGCCCCCCCGTCCAGTCACTTGTGGCTAGCCCTGATCCTTCCAACACGCCATTCTCCAAACCCACCACGTGGATGCCCTTTTCGAGAGGAAAGGCGGCCTGCGCTCGGCTTGCGCTCCTTCGGAAATCCTGGACGATCCTCTTTTTCTAATTAAACTAAAGACTTTTGGAGGCTGTTGGTCTGGTCGATCATACCTTTGCAAAGGTTGATTCCAACACGCTAACTGACTCCCTGCCAGGCTTTAATAAAAGACGCTATGTATAGACTCCTGGAGAGTCTTTATAAGAGTCAATCTGTGTCCCCTTTTCTGCTCCTCTCTCTGTCCAGACTTCAACGTTTCTTCAAGACCCTTCCAGCATTCATCCTTCCACCATAACATGTCTCCGGGCAATCTCTCTTCCTACACTTCATCTTCACCTTTGCCCTCTCTATATCCTGCTCTTGAGGACAATCCCGCCATCATGAACAACATGAACAACGCCGACCAGTACCACATCACCTCTGGCGCAAGCATGTCTCTGCCCACCACCTACACCCCCACCACCCATCGCGTCAGCAAAGCCAAGAAGGGCAAGCGCGTGCACGTCTGCGAGTACCCCGGATGCCAAAAGGTATGTTTACTTCTTGTCTCGAAAAACAAAGCCACAATCTAATCTCGTGATAGGTCTTCACTCGAGCCGAGCACCGCCGGCGGCACGAGATGCGCCACTACTCCAAGAAGTCCTATCCGTGTACCTTCGAGGGCTGCAAGCGGACCTTCCACCGATCCGACTACCTAACTCGCCACCTGGAGAAGCAGTAAGTAATCCAAACCCGTTAACTCACATATCCCTAAACTAACGTTCCACCTACAGTGAATCCGGAGTTCGAATTCCCTCGCGCGCTCCATCCACCAAGTCCAACTCGTCCCGAGTCCAGCGGACTTCTCACCTGCGCTCCACTGACATCCCAGTGGAACCCATCATCCAGGCCGTGGCGGCCCCAACATCCTACCCTAACACCTGGACCAGCATGGAAACTTCTGTCCCATCAACCGCCGCATGGTTCAAGCAGATCCCAGACTCCGTCGACCACTTCTACTGCACCACCCCTGAGCTGAGCAACTCTCCTATCCCCACAACCGACTTCGCCAGCCCCGCCGCTTCTCCCCCATCCTTCCTCTACGAACAGTCTCAGATCCTGGACCCGTATCTCCAAGGCCCTGCCTCGGACGTCGATTCGGGAGTTGACTCGCCTGTCCCTTGGGAGAAGATGGAACCTTACATGCTGCCATTCCAATATGGGCCTGTTCCGATGCACGACATGGCTTACCCTCCTCCTTGCCAGTACACGTCGTGGTCTAGCCCCGACAGCTTTGCTCCTCTGCATGACTTTTCGGCTTCCCCATTGAGCTACAACCAGCACGCTATGTGCTGATTGATTGATGCGTTGACTGTTTTACGTGTTTATGTGTTTCATCGCGTTTGTTTGATACCTCAAAGACCATCGGATATCCTTTCTTCTCTCCCCCTCATGTTCAGGAACATTCGAGATTTCTTTTTGGCGTTGTATGAAGAATTCGGCGCGTGTATACAAAGGACGGCGACATCGGGTTACAGTGATTACGATTATGTATTATGAATAGATTAATTTGTCCAAACTATAATGTCTTTTCATCACCAATTAAGATATAAACATTAGAGAAGTCGGACAGCTGTCGTTGAACATAATATTGAGGGTGTTCAAATAAACTTTGCAGCCTCGTGTGACGTGCGTGTCTCCGTTCAGCCTCACAGCCTTGCGCAAGATAGAAAAAAATAAGCTTAAGCTGTGGATCAATTGATACCGCACAAGATACACAACCCTCCTTATATTCAACTACCACATCAAAACTACGTCAAAAGAAGATATTTTGGTAAATACATGCACACTCCGCTCCTCACCAGCTGTACACTTCCACATATGAACCCATCTCCTTACAGGTGAACCATACCAGCTACAAAAGCGGCCAGCACGATACCAAACAGAGAAGAGGAGTAGGAGGAAGCGGCCGAGGTGGATGTAGCGGCCGAGGAAGACGCGGAAGCACTAGCGCTAGCAGCGGCAGAGCTAGACAGTTTCGCCGACGCCAGAGCTGAAGACCTGGCCGTCGAGTTGGACGACGACGATGACGAGGCAATCAAGTTGGTGGAAGTAGTTCCATTCGACGCCTTGATGCTGGTGTACGAGCCCGTCTTGTCGGTGTAATTGTACGACTGTGCCGGGTTATAGTTGATGATGTTGACCGACTTAACGTACATGGTGAAGGGTCCGTCGGTGTAATCTGTCTCGCCACCAGCCCACTCAATGGTACCCTCCGCGTTGTTCGGGTCGCCGCCGGCCCAGATGCCGATCTTGATGCGCATCGGTGTCTGCGGAAAGTTGGTGCCGTCCACTGCGGCGGCGTAGTCCAGCGTCCGCACCACCGTGCCGTCTAGGAGCCACTCGATCTTGCTGGACGTCCAGTTCACAGCGTAGGTGTGGAAGGTTTCCTCAGGGCTAGAGACGCTGACTGTTGTATCACGGTCATAGTCGGTCGTGTTGCCTTTGCCGAAGTAGTCGGTCTGGATCGAGCTGTCATAGGTACTAATTTGTTCCTGCAATTTGTGTAAGCTGGGAGTTTAGTATATCATATGGACGGACATACCCAATCGATCTCGTCAAGGTCATCAGACTCCATCACCGTTGTGCTGATGATGCCCGTACCATTGGCCGCTCTCATACTAATCTCCACATACCCGAAGAAGATGTAGAAATCGCTCTCGATGGTAGGCGCATCACCCTCCTCAGCGATGGTGAACTTGGCTCCGAGAGAGGTGCTTTCCACGGTGCCGCCAGTAGTATTCCAGTAGTTGAAGGCGGATGAACCGGTGGTAAAATCAGTGTTGAGTCGGTACTGGTCTAGGCCGGTGTCGGCTGCGCAGGTTTCTAAGAATTGTTAGCGACAGCGTGCTGCATTGGACAGAGGGGGGGGAACATACTCTTTAGCGGGTTGCAGCTGGTATAAGTTTGGGCAGCACCCAGCTGGGCGGACGCCGCGATAACCGCAGCCCACTGCAGATAGGACTTGAAAGACATGGCACAGTTGATAAGAATATGAGAATAAACGAGCCAAGCCTGAAACGAGAGTAATCCGCGATTTAGAGAGATGAGATATGTACAGAGAACACACGGGAGGTTGGATGGGACATCCGCTGATTATAGGGCAGCCAAAGAAGTCTCGGCTACCAACCGAAAATGAATAAAGAGTACCATGTTTCTTTATTTAGATGGATACATGTTTGGGAGGATCTCGGGAACAAAAAGAGTGCGCGCGGATCATGGAGATTATTGGCTGAGGACGGTGGGGACATCGATGATGGCGGTCGCAAACTTAGTCAATGGGCAGTCACAAGCCACTAGATGTTCAACGCGGAAAAGCTTGGGTGGTTGATGACGGTAGGGCTTGCGTGTGTTGCCCCAGTTGTTTGTAGTTTACGTGTGCAAAAACGCCCCATCCGGCAGCCGAGGCGGAGCCCTATCAAGGTGGAACACTGTTTTTATGATGCAAAAGGAATCCTACCCAGAAACAAGTCAATAGAAAACAATGCATTTGGAAATTGGTCATTTGTTACGTCGTTTTAATATATGATGTGGTACATCTCAGCCCGGGCTGCTGGCTGACTTCGCTGTACCGTTGGTTGTACCCAAGAAGGGTACGTACTTTGGCGATAGCTCGAAGCTGCGGGTGATTTGTCTTAAGTCTAGACCTTCTCAGATCAAACTCCAGTTTCTCCTTACATTTTTTCCCAGATCGTCTCAGATCGACAACTCCTTTCCCCGGCCTATAATTCTTACCCACGCTCCGCAACGAGGTTGATCTGAAAATAGCATCAACGACGCCAAAGCCTGCGTCTGCCACAATGGATCAATCTCTAAACTCTTTCTGCAAGGCTAGCACGTTTCCAAGCACACCAATTACCGGAATTTCGGCTCCACACACCAGAAGAGAAGAACAGCGACTCCGCAACAGATCCCGAAATCTAGACTAGTGACAGCGCCGGACTAGATCTTTTCCACCACGATCTACTCAGCCCCTAGTTCCTTCAACAGAATCCCCTTCCACTCCTCCAGGGATTGGCCCACAAAGTTAGCATCGTGATATGCGTGATTCCACTTATAGTAACAGAGAGACCCATAACACGTCTCTCCATTCCAAGTCCAGAAATTGGAGAGAAAAAGTCGATTAATAACCTCGAGAGCAGTCCACCAATCCTCAACCTCACTTGTAATTAGTTGCTTTTTCCTTAAACTCAGCCTCAAGATAATCATTTTTCTGTCGGATCGAGCTCAACCCCGGGTGTGCCGGCGCACATAGGGGGCCTAGAGGCGTCGCGCCCAAGCTGTCCCTGGACCTTGCATATGTACTCGGCCAGAAAATTGGAACCCGCTACGTGGCTCCTCCTGTCAAAATTTGCGCTTATACCCATCTGCAAAAACGGTGGCAGTTGTGTAGAAAGTGTCCTCTCATTCTAGGTCCAGACCGAATAGGAAGGATCCCTATGTGATAGATACTAACTGCGGTGTCCGTCCGGAGTGGTAAGTATTCGCGCAATTCTATGACACTGAATCCAGAATACTTGCTGCACGTCACGGGATCACGGAGCTCGATATGGCACAGTGCTGTTTCTTCAGGGGTGCTTCGGAAATCTGCGACAGTGCGATAAAATTGTTCTAGAAAGTCGAACGGGCGATCATAGCGGATGGAGAGACTTGCTTCCTGGCATTGTAAAGACAAAATTCAAGGGTTATTGCTAGGAAAAATAACTTCTACATTCAGATGAGAAGAGCGAAATTGATTAGGAAAAGAAAATCATGTCAACTGCAGAGGCGGCATTCTTGGCCGCAGTTGAACATGAATGCGAGTTCAAGGCACAGGGAGCTGAGATAGCGAAAGAATTTTGGGTTGAGAAATTACTCTTTCTTAAGAAGGCATCTCAGCATCCCATCTCATTCGAAGGTCAAATCCAGGCCGATTCCGATTACCGAAGGATGGTTGGTTGTTGTATACAATCATCCCTGAAACTGGTGGAAATTTCTGCGCTTGAAAAAAAAAACTGACAAATGGCGGATGGTGCAATTAGAATGGGAATTGATTTGCTATAGATCCCTCATGGAGGGGAGTACTACAAATATGTAAAAAAAATTTAAACAGTTTCCGATGCGGGGAATTGAACCCCGGGCTACCGTGTGAGAGACGGTGATGTTACCACTACACCACATCGGAGTTGTATTGTTTGCTAGAAGTCGGTCAGGCTACTTAATCGAGCATAGCTTCTCACTACCAAATTGACTCTGAAAACACAAAGATTGGACCAGGAAAAAACTATTTGCCTACGAGCACGTACTATATTGAAAAAAGCGAATGGAAATGATATTAGGACTGGATTGGTTTGCTAAACATCTTCCCTTCAGAAGGTTAGGGCTATGCGTTCACGTGATCCGTTTCAAATGCTTCATTCACACTTTCTTGTTTTGAAAAATGGGGGGAAAGGGTCGGGCTGTACATTTCCAGACTACGAGAAGCTAGATACGCATATAGGAAAAGAAGTCAAGAATAGAATGCAACGATATTATTTTCGATCTCTCATGCAAAGGTCATTATTATCGTGTCTCAACAGTCCCTCTATGGGACCGAGGACGGAATCCAACTCCAGTATGTACAGAAACGACAACTTTCCACCAACCAGGATGTGGAGTTGGCATGCTTTTTATATCATCTTCACAATGACAGGATCACAGAAATTCAAACATGGGCGTGGGCGTTTTACGCCAGCCTGGATGTGGGGGGAATCGGCAAGACGCTCATAAAACATATAAAGGCCAAAGAGGTATCACAACAACGCCAGGATAATGCAATGGGGAGGGAGAGAACCATGGAAAAGAGATCACTGGGCTACCGGCGACAGCTGTGTCTGCAATGCCTGCGTCAAAGCCTCCTCCTGGCGCTTGCGCTCCATCTCCATAAGATACATGGCGTACTTGGAGCGGGGGTTGTGAATACCGCACTCGGACTTTTGCTTGCCCTTCCAGCGACCGGAACGCTCGTCCTCGGTCTCAGAGACAGGCTGGGTCGAGTGCCAGTCGCCGACGCTCTTGTAGCCGCGGTCCAGAAGCTCGTTATACGGAACGTTATGTTCAGTGACGTACTGTTTGACCTGGTCGAAGGACCAATTGGCAAAGGGATTGACCTTGATCAGGCCGGCCTCGTCGACCTCGATGATGTCAAGGTCACCACGCTTGCCACCCTGACTGCGGCGGCGGCCGGTGAGGACGGCGTGGACATTCAATTCGCGGTAGGCACGCTGGGCGGGTTCCACCTTGGCGACCCAGTCGTACAATTGGTCGTCAGTCTCCCAAAGACGAGAACCATACTTGGCCTCGAATTCAGTGGTACTCTCGACGTCGGCGGGCTTGTAGACATGCACGTTGTTGAGGGGATACCTCTTCCGCACACGGTCGACTAGTGCCAGAGTCTCAGCGAAGTGATACTGAGTGTCGAGGAAGATGAGGTCGACCATCTGTGGCCGTGGGACATCCAGCTTGGAGAGCATGTCCAGAGTGACGAGTCCAGTCAGCCCAAAGGCGGTGGTCTGGAAAAGATGAGGGAGCGAGGTGATGCACCATCGCAGGATATCTGGTGGCTCCGAGTCAGATTTTGTGCCAAGCGGGGTGGGGGAATGATCATGATACGAACCTTGGGGCTCGAGAAACTGGAGTTGGCGGTTGAGAAACTGGAGGTGAGGCTTCGTGAAGACAATCTCAGGGATATAGTCTACACTGGAAGAGCCGCTCACGTATCCCGACTCCGTGGCGGCATCTCGAGAGTCGATAATGACCTCGGAATCCGAGGGGTAACTGATGGGCATCTTGGCCGGCATTTTCGGACGTGCTCAGGGTGTGGGCGTAGGGTAGAACAATGCAATGCAAGTATAGAGCAGAGACTTGGAGCTTGAAATGGGACCAAGAACACAACTTGGGAGGCACGAGAAAGCTTGAGGATGGAGTCTGAGATGACAATGGCAGGAATATAAGGAAACGCAGGGGCAATCACGACATCATCTCGGATTTTCGTGCCTGGCATCTCTCATCCGATGCCCTCTGGCCCACTGCCGGGCCATTCTGCCGGCTCAGCAATCACGACATTGCGGATGACCGCCTGCTGCATCGAGGAGCTTGCTGAAAAATTCAATCACGCAATACCTGCGCTTTGGGTCGCTGTGGGCCCCCGGACCCGGACATCCCCAGCCAAAAACAGGCTCCAACGTGACGCAGTTATGACCGCTGAGAAATCAGGCCGAACGCCAGAAGGAATCTCGTCGAAAGCTCCGAGCTTTCCACACGGCGCTGGGAATCCGAGCTGACCAATGCATGCTCCCGGGGAAGCTGACCAATCCCACCCAGGGGCCTTTCTTGTTTGAGACCCTGGAATGCTGTTAGCGGGTTTCTAGAAGATCGATCGAAACTGGGTTTACCTCCACAGTGATCGCATCATTATGTCTAGCTACTGTAGGTTGCAGTTCAGATGCCATGGTGGACCGGGATGAGGTGCTTTTGTGCCAGCTCTGCTTTGGTTCCGATCGTGTGATCGTGTGTTGTGATCGCGGGTCATGTGACCGCTTACTCATTACACAAGTGTACGACATGGTTAGAATTGGTTGTTTACGAGAGAGCAGACTAGAATCTTCACCACCACACGAATCCATTGGCACTATGAAGGAGGGCTAGCTACCAACGGCCCATATTCCCCGGATGCCAAACGCGCTACGAGTGCACGGGACTAGGGCACAGTGGACGTGGACGAAGATCAGGAAGATCAGCACTTGCCGAGGGCGGCTGGAAATATCTGGTCAGCATTAATCGTTCTCAAGAAGTAAGAGCCTACATACCGGCAGAACACGCGCTGCTGGTGTAGTAGCCGCTGACATAGCAGTAGCCGCCGCTGTCTAGAGGAACCTGGTCCCAGGTGCTAAATTATAATTAGCAAAGCTGAAACCTATTGTAGCGAAAGCCGGATAAACGCACCAGTTGTCTTCAACGCAACTTCCGGACTCGTAGCAGTGGAATGTATAGGTGTCGCCAGGGAGGACATAGCCAACAGCCGTATATTGAGTGCCAGGTCCGCTGCGGCAGTTCACCTCCGGGGAATCGGTGTTAACGATTTTGCACGAGACGCTGGAGCGCTTGCTCAGTTCTTCAAGGCCAGTAGCGCGACGCGCAGACTGAACCTCCGCCAGGTGAATAGCCTGGCCAACCTCAGCAGCAGCCTCAGCGGCAGGAGCAGCGAGGGCGACCAGAGGCAGTAGGGTTGCAGCAAGAGTGGCTTGGAACTTCATGGTGAAGGTGTCGGTTTGGATATTAAACTATGGAGGAATTGAATCTTTTCTTTGGAAGAAACTGTGATGATGGGATATTCTCAAGGAAGGAAAGATGGTCATATTTATACCTCGAGAACTCCCGAAGCATCACGGAACAGCCGTAATTTCCGAGTTACATCTCGTAAAGGAAGCCCTCGACGAGCGTCACGAGATAGCCATCCTTCCCAACTAAAGGATATGCAGCTACTGGAGAATGTCGACTGAATAGGTAAAGATAATCTCGCATAGAAGCAAGACGATGATAAATGCTTGCCGTTGCTCACGGAATGTCGGCTGAATAGGGAAAGCGCCTCGTATAGAAGCGGAGTGCAGGACCCTGCATGTAAACGTATATGTATTTGGAGACCGTCCTCCGGCAACGGTTACGCTTTGGCGTCAGCCTGCCATGGCACAGCGCCTTGCCTTAGCTAACACAAAGCTGGCTATAGGCTGGGTATTATTCAGATGATTACATAGTTATTGTTCCTGGGAGTAATTCAGCGGTGCCTAGTGATACATAAGCATCGGGGGAACGCCATGGCGTCCTATTACGGACCGCAGGGAGCCTTCGATCAAGAGTAGTCTGATTATACTAGTAGAATATTTGGCAAGCAACGCTCTGCTTTTACTAGTTGGAACCTCTGGTCATCATTCTTTTAGTTTGCTTTAGCAAGCATGTATAACTCGTAAAATGCCAGAGGCACATCTAGGAATAGTTTGATGGAGTTGAGCATCGGCCTGGATTCAGGGTCTGGGGAGCCTCGCCGAGACGCTAATGCACATCGTATTTATGCCAAGTCAAAATAGAGCCACAGAGTTACATTCATCAAGACAAACAGACTTTTGGCGAAATTCGGGCCTTATTCTGGCCTCTAGGATTACACAATTCACCGTTCGTCCGAAATCGGATCAATACAAGCATCCCGGTTCGTTGTCGACATGTCTTGGCGGTTTATATCTGGTGGAGGAGGAATACGAGGTGACCGCATCTTATAGCTGACGGCTCGCAAGAATTGTAAATAAGCCGCAGTAGTTTCGCTCGTGCAATCCAAAGAGTCTGATTTAACCGATGGATGACTCTTTTCTATGGCGGGCAATCGTCTCCGAGGCTTCTATGCGATCCACCCATTGAAGCTGGTTCTGGGCAGCGGGTGGAGGTTCGCTCGCATATGACCACTATGATGTTGTACGACGCATTTGCATCAGTTGCAAGTAATTGGGCCTAATTGTATCCAGCTGGGGTTAGATGGGTCTGCAATATTTCAACTCAGATGGATTCCTGCTCCGTAATCCGTGCAAGAAGAGCCTGAGCACTGATCCGAAGGAGATACTAAAAAGAATAAAGAAATTGGCCAAAGGTATCTTCATATGAATTTTATTCTGTGGCAGGGAAACATTAAATTTGCAAATATCAAAATTTGTGGGGGATTCTGCCTTGTGTTCGTTCTCTCGTAAACGTCCGGGGGGTAAACAACACGAGGTTGACTACTATCACTATAATCGTATGTAGGGCCTGCTCCACCACCTCCATCATAATTAAGAGCGACTAGTTATCACACCGTCGTTCTGGAGCTCGCTCTATTCAGGAATCCGACTAGACCATATTAATATCAGCAATACACTCCTTGCTGCTTGCAAACTGTTTGTATACAATATCTTGGCAATCATGTGACCATCTGACGGAAGGCCACGTGCCTGGGTGTTTTTTTTGGGACCACCACAAGTGACCGAACGTGTTAAATCTCCTGCTGCGGGAGAATACTCGCTCTTTGAACACCTTGCACTCCTTCTACGCTCCACCCAGAACACAACATGGCTGACTCCAACTCCCCTCGCCAAACACGGCCATCGCTAGGCCAGATGCGAAGCCCGTCGTTCATCCAGGACCACCAGCAGTATAAGCCGCCGCACCCCATTAGCCAGAACATCGGCGAGGTTCTGGGCAGTCACTTGGACGAGAGCATGTCGACTCTGGCCCTAAACTCCAACCCGATTAGCCCGGATCCCGAGAAGGTCACCGACAGCGGTATCATCCACAGCATCTTCAATCACCAGTCAAACCCCCTTCCCAGCGGCACACCGCGAGTAGTGGCGACCATCTTCTACAAGTCCTCAAACCCTATCCACCCCCATTTCCACCCGGATGTATCCCCGAATCTTGTGCCCGGCGACAAACTACCCTCCCCCGAGGTTCCTGAGGGTTCCGCCCCAACAGTGGACATGGATAAGATCCCGCGCGAGCCGCCAGCCCCGGAACCGGAGCCGTTGGATCACCTCTACGGGCCATACGTCTCGCAGATGTGCTTGACCAATTTCCTTCAGATTATCGAAACACTGCCCACGCCGTACCGGCGCATGAACACTTCGCACCGCTGTCTAGATCGCGACGCACAGCCTCGTGTGGTTGAGGTCACATTCTCCCCGCCGCCAAACCCGGATTACCTCTCGTTTGCAGATCTGCGCAAGCATGAAAGTATCTGGCGGTTTGAGCGCGAGTGGAATGTCGAGGTTGTCTTGCAGATGGAGGGTGTCTTCCGTCGGCATAAGCGGCTGGCCGTGTTTGACATGGACAGCACCCTTATTCAGAATGAGGTTATTGATGAGATTGCCCGCGAGATCGGGGTGGAGAAGGAGGTTTCTGTATGTCGTTTGCTTGGATATGCATCTGACAAAAAAGCTGACTGTGATTCTAGGAAATTACCGAGCGGGCAATGAACGGCGAGCTGGACTTCGCCGCTTCCTTGAAAGAACGCGTGGCTCTTCTCAAGGGCGTCCCCGCCAGCGTCTTCGAGAAGCTGAAGGGCATTCTCACCATCTCCCCAGGCGCCCGGGAACTCTGTCTCGCTTTGAAAGCCCTTGGATACAAGATCGCCGTGCTGAGCGGCGGCTTTCAGCCTCTGGCCGAGTGGCTCGCCGGAGAGCTGGGTATCGATTATGCAGTCGCCAACCACGTAAGACACGATAAATATACCGCAAAAGGAGCTGTTCCCGCTAACCCATCCCCGATGTAGCTCGAAATCGACGAGACCTCCCAGACCCTCACAGGTAAACTGGTAGACTCATACCCGATCATCGATGCCACCCAGAAGCGCGCCTTGCTGCAGAAGATCGCAGCCGAGAACAACATTCCCATTGCTCAGACCATCGCTGTCGGCGACGGCGCCAATGATCTCCTGATGCTTCATGCTGCCGGTCTCGGTGTCGCCTGGCGAGCGAAGACCAAGGTCCAGCTTGAAGCACCGACTCGCATCAACGGCGAGAGCATGGTCGATCTACTCTACGTGCTCGGTCTGGATAATGAGGATATTGTGGAGTTGACCTCCAAGACTCACTAGACAGACAGTGTTTCCAGAGTGGATTGATTGTTGATAAAAATCCATCTCCTTCATTGGAGCCAATTATACTCTTCACCTCGAGCTCACGATCCCACTAGGTCTGGAGATCTTTGCTGAAGAAGACTGGAGTTTGGTGAGTTTCATGTCTATGACAGCACCGAGTGGGGAACAGGGGAGTACTGGGCATCTAGTTGGAATCTGCTACGTCCGGCTAGGCACGATGGTGCCAGTGTAGTCGCCGGACAGAGGGTGGTCCTTTTATTTTGGATCGATTTCGGGTTTTATTTGAGCACGGCAGAATACGCGAGGAGTACACGGAGGAGTTTGTAGCACAGATATGGTATGAACATGGATGGGCGCCCCCGGCATAAGCAGGTGTGGGAGCACATAAGAGGTTACGATTGATATGGAGCCAATAGAGAGATACCAGTATTTGGAGTCATTACTTTTTGTTGTAAAAAAGAAGGTGTGATGGCCGTGCCGAGGATTGGCGTCTCAGGGGTTGAAGCGTAGTTTCCAAAGAAGGATAGGATGGTGGTACAAAAGCACCTTCAATGTTGAACGAAAAGAAACCAGCAACCCCTGCATGAATGAGAAATAGAACAAAAAAACCAGCCCAGGACCATGCAAATTAGCGCCAATATGAAACGGTAGACAAAGCAAACATGAGGACGATATAAAGGATTTGTGGTCTATACAAGATTTTTCCGAGTCAAAAAGCAAAAATTATCGAGTAGCCTCGTCAGTCGCAGCAACAGTCTGGTCAACCGTACGCTCCGTAGCCCCCGACCCAGCGCGCCGCTTCTTGAGAACGTTCTCGATAAATGCCTCACCGGCTTTGTAGCTGCTGCGGACCAAGGGTCCCGAGGCACAGTAGAGGAAGCCCATGTCGAGAGCGCGCTGGCGCCAGAGCTCGAAGCGGTCCGGGGTGACATACTCGTGGACAGCCATGTGGCGCTTCGTCGGGCGCATGTACTGGCCGAACGTGACGACATCCACGTTCACGGCGCGGAGCTGGCGAAGCGCGTCCCACAACTGCTCGTCCGTCTCGCCAAGGCCAAGCATGAGCGAGGTCTTGGTGATAAGATCGGGTTTCGCGGCCTTCGCGGCATCGAGGACGCGGATTGATTGCTGGAATGTAGCGCGACGGTCACGGACGTAGGGCGTGAGAGCCTCTACGGTCTCGACGTTGTGCGCGTACACGTCCAGCCCGGACCGCGCAACCAGCTGCGCCATCTCCAAATCGCCCCGGTAGTCACCCGTCAGACACTCGACAAGGATACTGGGCGCTTTCTGTTTGATTTTTATAACCGTCTCGGCGAAGTGGCGTGCGCCGCCGTCGGCCAGGTCGTCGCGGTCCACGCTCGTGAGCACCACGTACCCGAGTCCCCAGCGCGAGATAGCCTCAGCCGTATTCTCAGGCTCATGCGGGTCCAACGGCGAAGGTGTGCGCGAGGTCTTCACGCTGCAGAAGCGGCATCCGCGAGTGCAGGTGTCGCCCATCAGCATAATCGTCGCCGTGGCGGCAGACTTGTCGTTGCCGCCCCAGCAGTCGGAAATATTGGGGCACCGAGCCTCTTCGCAGACGGTGTGGAGATTCAATCCGCGAAGATCCTTCTTCAGGCGCTGGTAGTTCTTCGAATCTGGGATCGGGGTCTTCAGCCACGAGGGCAGACGGGTCATTTCCTTCTTGCGCCCGGCTGGCCCGACCAGCGCGGTTTTGAGCGCGTACGCCTCAGATGGGTCGAGCGGAGCATTATCGGTGCCCCCGGATACGAAATCTGAGAATGAGGGGCCTGCATTCAGTTTATCTTGAAAGGTCGTTCGAGGTCGCCGGGTGACTCCCGGAGTATCGGAGGTGGTGGCGGAGGACGGATCGGTCGTTGCGTAGCCTCGGCATCCTACCGAGAGAGATGGACGAGAGACGGATGCTCTCACGGATGATGATAGATGCCGCAGACTTCGTGAAGGCGCTGCCATTGTGGTGTGGGTGTGTTTGTGGTGTACGGGGGAAGGGCAGAAATGAGTCGGAATAGTTTGACTCTCCTGATAACGGCAAAGTCACGTGGAGATAAAGAGTTTCCCGATAGCCCTATCAGGGCGATTGAGGAAAGTATAACTAACAAAGTAGACCTACAAGTAGATGCAAATTAATTACTGCGAATTAACGGAATAATCTCCAAATAAGTCATTATGATTATGGTTGCTAAGTTCTAGACTAATTGTACAAACACAAGCGCAAGCGCAGAGGCAACCAAGACAATTGGCAGAGTCCAGTCCAATTAAATGAATGAATCACAATGAAAGCGGGTATGAAGAGTGCAGGAATGCAGAGGGAAAATGGCTATGAATCAGAAACCGAGGAACCGAACACCAAAAGAAACCCGTTGAGAGGAAAAGGGCAGGGTCATAAGCAGAACAGAGGAGAAGGGGAAGGGAATGTGGAGGTGCGTCGAATCAATCCAGGGCGGTGGTTTCAAGGACCTGTGCTAGAACTTCGACGGCCGATTTCAGTATGGCATCCGACCGTCCACAGATAGCAAATAGTAGATTGTCGACGATCTTTTCCAGCTCTCGGCGCAGTTCTATGCTGCGAGAGCCGAGGACACGGTCTTTGATCCGGCCAGGCGAACCCGATGGGAGTTGAATTCCTAGCGTGGAGTATGCCTTGGTGGGCACAGAGTCAATGGCATAAGTGCCGCTGCGTTGGGAGAGAGATGGTTTGCGTCTGTGGATAGAGGAGAGAGTGACCAGGTAGTTGCGAGCGATGAGAGCGGCACAGAGACAGTCTAGTAGATTCTCTGCGACTTCGGGGAAGATGGTGCGGAAGGGTCGAATGAGTGCTTTCTCTTCATTCTTGCGGATATGAATGATGACCGGTGATGTCAACCGGAGCATATGGCGTGGGAAGTCTTTCACGGAATGGTCCAGCTGGTCCAGTGTCCACTCGTGATTCCATAGGTTCTCTCTTTCTTCCTTCTCTGACAGTTCGGATGACTGCGGAGATGACGGTTTGGGTGATGATGCCTTGGGGCTTACGCTACCGGAGCGTATCTCGGGCTGGGGGAAATGTTGCGCTCTCCCTGCGCGGATTCAGGCCTGTCGTTCACCACGGTGGACGTGACACTGTCTGATGTCAAGGAGCCTGGGTCTGTGTATTCATCGTCTTTGCTGTCTTCATGGAAACTATCGGCAGAGTAGCCGGAATCACGAGTGCCATATCCACTGTCGGACATGTCCAGTGGGGTGTCGGGGCTAAAGGCAGATACTTCCACTTGGCGTTGATGTGGAGTGGCAGGTACGGAATTTGTCGGTAGTAAAGATAGTGGTGGTAATGGTGGGGGTATTGGAGATTGTCGAGCAATGTCAACCAACTTTGGTTTGCTGGCGACTGCGAACCTCTGTACAAAAGAGTTAAAATGACGTGGTTTGGTAAAAGAATGGAATTTACCCACCACTGGTTCATCCAGAACTTTGGCACCGGGAATGATGTCCAGCTTGGGCATTGGAGGATCGTTCTCGACAATCCGGAACTTGCGTCGATTGAATTCAGGTGGATGCTCATCTTGATCATCCAACATATCGTGTGGCACGCACTGCAGCCAGCGCTCACAGTAGGAGAAATTGCTGGGTACCCAGCTAGCTTCACTCGACATCGTGGCCGTTCTCGGCCGATGAACTCTGGGTGAACTGCCCAGTATAGAGACTGGCTCAGTCTTCTTCGGCTCTGGAGACGCAGCAGCTAAACCCGTCTCATCTTCAATAATATCGGGGCCAGATTCATCAATCGATTCACAATGACGAACAAAATGCGAATGTGCTTCATGAACATTCTTCACGTCTGTCCTCCGCTGATCCTGCTCGGTGTCTTCCCACCCTGGAGGACGGTAGGCCTTGTATGTGACCTTTTCGTCCAAATTGATATTTTTGGTAGATTCCTCAACCCCCGGCGTTGCATCATCATCCACGGTTTCAACTTCGGTGTTGGTATCAGACTCGGGCTTGCTGTCAAAATATGATTCCTCAGCCCCCACGCTAGCAGGGCGAGAGTCTGAAATCGGCGGACTGGGGAGCAGACCAAATGCCTCCAAACTAGCAGAGGTCAAATTCTGGTCAGAACGCCAGGTTCGCAATGTGAGACCAGCCACCGGATCCCCTGATTCCAATGATTTGTCCCCGAAAGTAGGTGCACTCTCCAATGATACTGGCGACGACGGTAGCATCAACTGGAAAGGTTCCTTCATCTTTCGTACTGATCGAAATGGCGAGATGGTTAGCGGTGCTCGAGTGGCTAGACGTCGTCGGAGTGATGGCGCCTGCTCATGGGTTTCGGACTGGGGCAACGCCGGCGAAGGAATGAAAGACAGAGAGTTCGGGTACTGCCTACTCCTCCTCCGCGGCTGAAACGTTGGAGACCATCGGCGTGGAGATGGGATCCGCTCCCCGGAGGACATCACATCGTGGCTCGCCGATGACGAACTGGAGTCTTGGTTCTTGATATGAGCCTGCAGACGGGGAGGCGGGAAGTATGTATTGAAATGTAGGTTTCCGGGACCACAGTCCATGGCGGACATGGGTAGGATTGAAAGAGGGAAATGAAACCCTAGTCCAGAATAAAAGAAGCAAAATGGGGGTTGTACAAGGTGTGGCCAGATGAGAATGCAATGAAGAGATTCGCCGATGCAGCAGAAACCAACGGACCAGCCGCCTGTGAAGGGGCTCGATACACCCTTATACAAGCCGAGTGGCGCGAATCGGCCTCCCAGTCTAAGTGGGGAGGGAGGGGGTGGCAGGTTCGCCTGACAATATCCCTTGACGGGAAGAAATCCTGCCATTGAGAAAACCCGGCATGTCAAGCAGACCATTGCCCCTTCAGGCGCAGAAGACTCGCCCCCCACTGCGGCACGAACGAGCGCCATTGCACCAGACACGGGCCCTGGAGAATAGTCAGTCTGAGGCCGGGGGGGGTTGCTGTCCTTGCATTCCAACGATGTCCGAGGTTTGGCTACGCGACCCTGCAGGAGACCGGACAACGTGGATGGATATCGTCATGAGTACTCTGAGAATGAGACAACGGAGCAGCAGGGTTGCCATGGCGAATCAGAACCTTGCCCAGGGCAACTGAGACGATCCCAGCGGGTCTCATTGGATGCAGTGTCTCGTTGCAATGGGCAATCCACCCCTTCTTGCCCCTTGCATTGGGGGGTTGGTTCATTTCTGGGCCAACCCAGGAGCCAATATAACCGGAATAGTATAAATGCTTGTGCATGGCGTGAATTCCTCTGAGACACACACCCACACACCTGCGAGAATGGTGAGGCTATTCTTGCTGGAGTTCGTTGGAGCTGAGGAACGAAGCCAGTAGTTCCGATCGGTGGCGCAGTAGCCAGGGCGACAGGTCCAACCCATCGAGATGATAGATACGAGCGGGCATTGTGCTCTGTACGAAACGCGGGATCTATTCTGGTTCGCGCGTTGACGCGACGTGGATAGCTCAGATGGCACTAAGGCAGAGTGTAGAACAGACAGATGTGCGGAGACAAACAGTGCAAACCGTTATCGATAGGTGATCTATCACGGAGAAAAAATAAAATGAGCCCGCCACAACATATCTTCCTCCATCTCGCCCCATTCCTCCAATGCTGTCCGAGTCATTCGTGGCGTCGACGCTCGCCTCGGCCAAATCCACGGTCGCGGCGCTGCGCGATGTCGGGATTTGCGTGCACGAATGGCAGCCAGCGGCCACGCTGCGATCGACGTTCAAGAAGAGCTCCACGGCAACCAACTGTCTGGCCGTGAGTCCCTCGCATGTCTTTGCGGCGCAGGCAGAGAAAGCCGTGGTGCATGTGTACAGTCGCGAGAAAGGCAATCAGGAGGCCGTGGTGCCTTTCCCCGAGCGCATTCGCAGCATTGCGGTCGTCGGAGCCAAGTATGGTGACGTCGTGGTCTTGGGCACAGAGGGTGGCCGACTGATCCTGTGGGAGGTATGTTTCACCCTGACTCGCTGTTGGCAGCATTATCTGATTGCGTGTATGGTAGACCTGCACTGGACGCCAGGTGGCCACCACGGCCTCGCATCTGCAGCCGGTGACTTCGCTCGTCGTCGATCCCACCTCCAACTTCATCCTGTCCGGCGCCGCGGACGCCAGTGTCCATGTCTGGTCGCTGGTCGGCATCCTCTCCTTTGCGACCCCAGCTTCCGGTCATAACCGCCAGCCCCCGAATGCTCCGATCCGGACCTTCTCGAACCACCGCGCCGCCATCACCTCTCTCGCCCTGGGGCATAGCAATGGCCGACATAACATGGTGGTCTCGACTGCCAAGGACAATACCGCAATCGCATGGGACTACCACACCGGAAAAGCCTTGCGCACCTTCCTTCTCCCCTCCTCCGCCACCTGCACGGTTTTGGATCCCGTCGACCGAGCATTTTACGTGGGATACGAAGACGGCAGCGTCCAGTCGGTGGACTTGTACCGGAATCAATCTACCCAACATCCCCTGCACGATCCATCTCTCCAATCCACTCCAGCACAGGCCTCCGCAGAAGACCGCTGGCTACCTCCATCCAGCGACTCGGGCAAAGTAAACGCTCTAGGCGTGTCTTACGACGGCACGACATTACTATCAGGACATGACAACGGCAAGGCTCTATCATGGAACATTGCACGACACAAGTTCGCGGCCCAAGTCGCCGACTACACGCACCCCATTACAAATCTCTTCATACTCCCACCAAGCGGCCTGTCAGATACCTCTCCGACAAAGAGAATGGCGCACGCGATCGTCAAGCCACGCCACGACCATGCGCTGTCGAGTCAAACACACACCCCCGGCGCCGTACCAGCCGAATACGTGTTCCACACGCACATCCTCGCTTCGCGGTCCACCAAATCCCAATTCTCGCAAGCACTTGCCCACCCCTTCTTCCCAGACTCCATGATCACCGACGGGCTAGCGGAGCTGGCTTCACTACGCCAGTCCGGCGGCGCAGAGATCTCCACCGTCTCCACGGCTGCTCCACTTTCGGCAGCTGAGAATGCAGACCCCCCTCGTGTCTCAGAGCTGGAAAGCGAGGTGTCTACGCTAAAGAAAAAAGTCGCCGTTAACGAGGCCGCCCGCCACGCTAGCACCGATGAAGTCGTGCAGCTGCGTTCGCACCTGGCGTCCCTGCAAGACTATATCAATGAGCTGCATGAAAAGCAGGAGGTTGCCCGGCACGAGAAGGTCGCCCGCCAAGCAAGGAGGGAAGAACGTGAGAAGCGTCGGAGGGAGGCGTGGTTCGCGGCCGAGAAGAAAGGGCGCAGCGGCGATGCGTCCATGAACAAGATGGATATTGACGAGGGTGTGTTGACCAGCGACTCAGCTGAACAGAGCGATGAATAGGCTTGATCATTGTTTTGTTGTGTTTTGGGGGGTTGTCTTGTGTTGTTGCTCTGTCTTGGATGTAGGAACCAGGCGCAAGGGGGTCGATCAACTGTACTTATACCTCATGCCAGTCTATAAAATTAAATTCAACAACAATATTCAATGATCGTCCAATGATCTTCACTACCGGCCACGATATCGACGCTGATCCCGCCAAGCTTATATTATCGACAATCATTCAAATAATGCCTCCAGTCCCCATAGAAACCACCAACACGCCCCTGCGCATCTACAACGATGAAGCATGCAATATAGCCCTCAGCTCCTCGGACAACGGATACTCCCTCACAGCAGGTAAACACATAAGCGCCGTATCCAACTGCCCCCGATCAACATACCCCGATATCTCACGCATAAGATCCGTAACATCAGTCACACTCACAATCCACTCATCCACATATTTGGCCACAGCCAAGGGCCCCAGTCCAATCTGTACAGACTTATATATCAACGGATTATGCCTCAAATCGCGCTCGGGATCCCACTGGACTCGCACAGGGCTGCTATGTAGCTTCGCTTGCCATTGTTTCTTGCTTTCCTCATAATCAGGCCCAGTTCCGCTTTGCGGAATATTATTCTGGTCGCCCCAATGGCTTAGGCAGGAATGCCGAAGTGCCCATTCGAAGCCCTCGCGAGTAATCTCGATGGCGAGTACGCGTTCCTGTCCGGGTTTTGTGCCGTAGCCGCTGCGGTAGGCCATCCAGAGGAAGGATGGTTTTATCCATGTCATCCGCGTGCGGGAGAATGGGGCAACGAGGGTTTGGGCTGCTAGGGCTGGGTTGGCGATTGAGGAGGGGTAGGCCTGGTAGACGGTTATTGTGTTGGTGGTGTAGGTGGCGCGAATGGCTCTATACTGAGGTGGGCTTGTATTGGTAGCTGTAGCGTGTGGGGTTTGTGGTGTTGAATTTGTTGATGCCATTGTTGGATGGATGTGGAGATATATAGATCAGGGTTGTGTGGGATATAGTTGTGGATAAGTAGATGATAAAGTTAAGTCCTGACAGGGGAAACACATTTTATTTAAGCCAATTCTGTAACTCAACTTCAAAAGATATATCCTTGACTCATTTCTTTGGTTCAGGATTGGGGTTTGCGTGGCTGTGGAAACATCCTCGTATCTAGATGAGGCTGAGTGTCGCAAGAGACTTATCACTACTACAATAGATGAATAGTACGCGAGCAGAGCCACATAGTAAGAAAGGATTTTAGATCACGGCCTCGATGTCATTGTCATTGTCATATTCATTGAAAACCTTAAGGAAAACCGACCGGAGTATACATTCGTATACAGGACTATCTCGATTTCTCCCTGATACAACACCATGGCTGGTAGCTGCCGTAGCATTCTGCGTTATGATGGGAAGGAATACGAAGAAACAGACACGTTCATTCACTGATGACATACCCTGACATGTCCAATTCAGTACGCCGCATCCCCGGCTCCTTGCTCGAGAACTTCGCCGCCATTCAGGGCAGCCATGATACCGACCCCAGAGCTAGTGCCAATCCGATCAGCCCCGGCCTTAAGCATGCGTATACAATCCTCGGCGGTACGCAGCCCGCCACTCGCCTTGACCTTGCAATCCCTGCCGCACAAGTCCGCCACAATGCGCATAATCGTGACATTCTGAACACTGGCCCCGTCGCCATTAAAGCCCGTGCTGGTCTTGACGAAATCCGCGCCAGCCATACAGCACACGATGGTAGCGGCTATTTGCTCGTCCTTGCTCAGCTGCCCAGTCTCGATGATCGTCTTCAAGCGGATCGGCCGCGGAGCGGCCTTGCGCACCTCCGCGATGTCCTCCCAGACGGCCGTGTACTTCCCTTCCTTGATGAGCGGGTAGTTGATCACCATGTCCAGTTCGGAGGCGCCGTTCGCCACGGCCTCTGTCGCCTCGAGCACTTTCTCCGCTGTGTCGTGCGTGCCCTCAGGGAACCCCACTACGCAGGCTACCGCCGTGTCTGGTGTGTCTTTGAGGTTCTCTGCGGCGCGGGCGACGTGCTCCAGCCGCACACAGACGGTTGCGAACTTATACTCGCGGGCTTCAGCGCAGAGGGTGTCGATTTGGGAGAGCTCGATTGGGAACTTGAGTAGCGTGTGGTCGATTGTGCGGTGCACGCTTAATGGTGTAGTTGGTCGCGAGACTGGCTTGTCCGGTAGCCACTCCTTCATTTGGTTGATCTGTGCCGCCCACTCAGCATCGCTGGCTGGTGGTTCGGCCATGGCGTATGGATGAATAAGAGGTTTCTGAGTCGGTCGATCTCGCGTGAAGTGAACGTGAGAGGCCAGGAAAGAGGGGAGAGCGTCACGTGAGGGTTGTGGCTACCACCTTGATGAACGCCTGATTTAATGAAGGCGGCGAGAGAGAGAGGAAGAAAAGAGAGAAAGAGAAGGAGTAAAGCAGTGAAGAAGAAGAGTGTAGGTAATGTGGAAAGTTGGAGTGGTTCGGGACTATGAGATGTGTGTTATCCACCTTTGAATAGATAGAGATCTATATCCAGATCTAGATCTGCAACTGCCAAAAACACCAAGCAGAGATCCATCTGCATTCAACTATCAGAAAACATGCCGAGACATACCCTGTGTAGGTCTTGTCGTTCTCTCGTCTGAATCACACTCCGAACCAATATATATCACCCATCCTCCTCACCGACAACTCCCACACTCCGGTCCCCGAACATCATCCACACGCCCAATACGTCTCCCCGGCCCTGAGCCTGGGCCTGAGCCGCCACCACCGCCTCCGCCGCCTCCTCCCGGCCCCCAGGAACTCGAGCTCGAGCTCCCACCACCCCACCGGGAACGCGGTGTCGTTGAAGTTCGCGGGCGATGAATGTTGAATTGCGAGTTTTGCGCGGCGGCGTAGGGGTCGAGCTGGTTTGGGAACAGTCAGCGTATGTTCTCCGAGACATGCTGGCACGGGGGTAGAGGAAAGGCCGTCAAAGGGAAGAGAGGGGAAGGGGAGAGTAAAGGGGTAGGAGATAGGGATGGTATGATAGACGCGACAGAGCAGAACAAATAAAAGAGCCACTTACAGAGAAGAAGCTGACAACATAGAGGCCGAGGAAGGTGTATACGCTTTCTGCGAAGCGCGAGGCGCGGACGGTGAGCGGAGGACTGTGTTGCGGTGGGCGTTAGCAGTTGATATTTGACGGAAGGAGAATAATACCACACCTCTGCAGAGCCTGCCCGTTGGAAAAATAGGGGGTTTTCGGTTTGTTGGCGGACATGATGGAGATGATAGATGGTCGAGTGGTGGATGGCAAGGAAGGAAGTTGATGAGGTGGAGGTTATCGATAAGCCGATCGATCCACTCTATATTTAGGGTTACATACTCCTAGTATGGTTCATTCATTATCGTTCTTGATTATGGGTATCTTTCTATATACACGTCTAGACAATTCAAAACTCCATCGCTCAGATGCAAATCCCTTCACTCGGTCTCCCCCACAACCGTCGTCGCTGCCTCGGCCTCACCGCGCAGATCATCGAGTCCGTGAAAGCCTTCCTCAATGATCCATTTCTGGGCTTGAGGATCATGCAAAACGTGACAGCTAGCTCCAACAACCAGCAATCCAGGCGGTCGCGAGCCTGCTGCCTCGAATGCCATACAAACATGCTCCAGGGTGGACCGAATCACCCTTTGATCTGGGCACGATGCCCGCTCGACGATGGCGCAGGGTGTCTCCTTTGGCCAGAGAGTTCGTGAGCGCAAACTACTCTCATCACCAGATGAAGTGGTGAGACTTTCCACCAGAGCAGATAGCCGGTGGAGAGCCATGAGGAAGACCACTGTCTGGGTGGGAACGTAGGTTGGCGGATCCGGGGCAGCGCCTTTCCGTCCCGTTCCCGTGCAGACCAAAATCTGGTCGGATACGCCACGGTGAGTGGCGGGGATATCTGCGAATAGAGACGCGCTCATCGCGCTGGTGATCCCCGGCAGCACCGTTGGGACATATCCTTCTCCCCGAAAGAAATCAAACTCTTCTGCTCCGCGTCCATAGAGATATGGATCTCCCTGCTTGAGTCGCAGAACCTGCTTTCCTTCCTGTAGTGCTGCAAGTCCCATCTGCAGGAACTCTTCCTGCGCCTGATCCGCGTTACCTGGGAACTTGCGCGCAATATGGACCTTTGTCCTGCGAGGGATCAAGTCCAGAACCGGTGCGGGCACAAGCTTGTCTGCGAGAATAATGTCTGCGTTTTGGATTGCATAGTATGTAGCCCTGGTAAGTAGGTCTGGGTGTCCCGGCCCGGAGCCAGCGAGCACAATCTTTCCTTTTCGGGACGGTGTTTCAATGTCGTTGATGTCTTTCACGTTATTGTCCCGACCAGACGAGTAGGCCTTGAGAATGGCCTCGATATCGGCATCGGTGATGGAAACAAGTTTGCGGAGCGGCCAGTACTCGCAGATTTGCGATAACCAGCGCATGCGTCTTGTCTTCGCTGCTGCAACATCGTCTTCCGTGACTAATGTGTTGAAAGTATGTTTCTGGCCGGTTGAATCATCTTCATCTCCCTCAAAGGATACGTCGCCAAGCCCAGCCGCGCTGTCTTCTTCCCAGAGACGTCTGCGCACGGCACCAAGCCGGTCGATAGTAACGCCCAGATTCGATGGGAGAAAAGCGGCAATCTCTCGCCGTAATCGGGAGGCAAGTTTGCATCCACGGCCGGATGTTGTAATCCCGATATGAAGGGGGCCGTCGGAATATGTCGAGAGTAAAGCGAACGAGCACAGCTCTGGAGCATCTGATACATTGACTGGGATCCGCAGACGGCGGCAATGCTTGGAGATGTGCGTGCCTGGTGGGGCTTGAGTTAACAGGGTTTCTTCTTAACTTGCCTGAGATACATACTCAATGGATTGTTGCCACCCAGCGTGACAAAAACCGCGTCAACCACCTGATCGACTTCCTCTCTCCCCAAACTAGTCAAGTCGTCATCTTGAAAATTGCGACGCACCCATTGCGCAGCGCCTCGAGAGATATGCTCCGACAAGGTGAAGTGCATATCCACCGTCTCCGGCGCAATAACGATAGGTTTCGCGCCAGCCTCAAGGCTCTTCGCACACCGGGCTGCTGCAAGAGGATTGGCGCCAACGATCAGATGCACTTGATTCTCGGTGTTCCATGCTGTCATCAAGGGCGCAGACTGCGCCGTGTCGTTTAAGGCGTCTTTCATCGTGGGAGTGTCTGTCAGGACGTTTCCGGCTGTGCCGTGTAGCACAGACAGAACACGTCGGGGATCCGAAGGGCTCAAGCCAGTTTTTGTGTCTGCCGCACCGACTGACCAAGACAGAAGGAAACTTGTCCCGGCTGTGACAGGCAATTCAACTCCGCGGAAAAAAAGACAGTAATCGGTTCCTCGTGATTGGCGATAACGGATCCGTCCTGATAAGGGGTTTGACGGACCAGATGGAACAGAGAATGTCGGATGTCCAGATAGTGGTGTTAAGGACTAAATATTGCCGGTGATGTACAGCCAGGACTCCAACTGCAGTAGTTTCTCAGAATGATGAGTGTGCGATATCGAGAAATCTCTATACTTCTTCATCGCCCAAAGCAGTTTACGGCGGAATGGCGTGATTGGAGATTATGTCAGCAGCCTGGACAAGGCATTCATGAACAGGAAGAAGACGATTGGTTATTGCGTAGGGATGTCCAGCAGGATAACAACTTGGCTTTACAGAGTTTTAGATCGATAGAAGATCCAATAACGGTCAAGGGAAAAATTAGTTCGGGATGCGGAATCTCAATGGGCATAGAATATCGGATCTAGATAAATAATCTACACCGGGCTCAAATATCCCATTAAGGACCGATACTAAGATATCACCAATTTCGCTGGCCATATCAATAACTAGAAGAGTACAATAATATTTGAGGAGCACCCAGGTCTAACTAGCACGTATGTGGAAGAACTGAGTGCTGCCTGAGGCATGAATCACATGACCCGGAGCTCCAGCTCAACCAGGGCGGCCCATCACCAGAGCTCCGTCACAGACAACACTTCCATTCCATCCCCACCACCATTGAACCGTCCCCTCCGCACTTGCTATCATGTCGGACGGCACCATTTTGAAGGCCGAGAAGGACTTCACCAAGGATGCGGATAAGCTGATCCCGGAGGCAGAGGCTCTGGCAGAGGTGAGGCCATGCGCTTCATTCGACTGGGCTCGGTATACTGACTCCATGATACGTAGACCGATGTCCAGGGTGCCATAGATAAGCTATTGGCGCTGGAAAAGCAAACACGACAGGTACGAACTCTGACACCGCGCCGACGATGCAAAGCTGACCACTCGAATGATTGCAGGCCTCCGATCTGGCCACGACCTCGCGACTCTTGATTGCCATCGTCACCATCAGCAAGAAATCCGGCGATTGGAATCTCCTCAACGATCAAGTGCTGCTCCTCTCCAAGAAACATGCTCAACTCAAGCAGGCAACAACGAAGATGGTGCAGGCGGTGATGGGATTCCTGGATGAGACGCCGAACATAGACGTGAAGTTGACTGTGATCGAGACCCTGCGGACTGTGACGGAGGGGAAGGTTGGTTTTGGTCGTGTCAGTCTAACATGGATGATGCTAACTCTGTCCAGATCTTTGTCGAGGTAGAGCGAGCCCGCGTCACACGCATCCTTTCGAATATCAAAAAGACTCAAGGCGACCTCAACTCAGCGGCAGACATCCTGTGTGAGTTGCAGGTGGAGACTTTCGGGTCGATGTCGAGGCGGGAGAAGACAGAGTTCATCCTGGAGCAAGTCGCTTTGTGCATCGAGCGTGGGGATTGGACGCAGGCCCAGATTCTCAGCCGCAAGATCAACAAGCGGTATTTCTCCCGTAAACAGAAGAAGACCCCCGAGCAGATTGAGAAGCTCAAGAAGGAGGCGGAGGAGCGAGAGAAGACTCGCGGACCGGACGAACCGCCCATGGAGGTGGATGACGACGTCACGGATCTCAAGCTCCGCTACTACGACCAACAGATTACTCTGGCCAACCATGACTACAAGTACCTCGAGGTCTGCAAGAACTACCGAGAAGTTCTGGACACGGAGGCGGTCGAGAACAACCCCGAGCAGCTGCGTGCGGTAAGTTTTGATTTCCAGACCATTGGAAAGCCCTGGCTAATTCGGTAAATAAGGCTTTGGCCCGCATCGTGTATTATATCGTGCTGTCTCCGTACGACAACGAACAGTCAGACCTCCTGCACCGGATCCAGCAAGACTCGCGCCTTTCCCAGGTACCCATGGAAGCGCGACTGGTGAAGCTGTTCACCGTCCCCGAACTGATGCGCTGGCCCATGGTTGCAGAGCAGTTCGGTCCGCACCTGTGCGGCACGGACGTTTTCGATGCTGAAGCGAAGCAGTCCACCGAGAATGACGCGCATCGGAGATGGCAGGATCTGCGGAAGCGCGTGATTGAACATAACGTCCGCGTAGTGGCCAAATACTACACCCGCATCCAGATGGGCCGGTTGACCCAACTGCTGGACCTGACCGAAGAGGAGACGGAGAAGTACATCAGCGACCTGGTGACCTCGAAGACCATCTACGCGAAGATCGACCGGCCTGCGCGGCTAGTCAACTTTGCCAAACCGCGCGATGCGGACGATGTTCTGAACGAGTGGAGCAGTGACATGAAGAGCCTGCTGGGTCTTCTGGAGCGGATTGATCATTTGATCACCAAGGAGGAGATGATGGCTCGCATCCTGCCGACTCGTGAGAAGACCAAGGCCCGTTGATTTGGCGGAGATTGTGGAGGATGCCACTACGTGTAATATAATTCACTGGTAGATCCCATGAGATGAATTGATTGTCTGATTAATGTATTTCTCATCATAGTGATTATTATTTGCACAATATTCATAGAGACTCGGGGAAACTGGGAAAAGAAGTCACACTTTGTATTCCACCACGACTTAAAAGCTGAGAGCCCGTATCCTACGAAGACGATATGGAGCTAGCGGATTGTAGTATCATCATAATTGGGCATAGATCTAGTATATACTGGCCAGTCTCTATCTAGTCTAAAACGGCACGTCCATATCATTCACATCCTCCTCCTCATTCTTCTTGCCCGCACTACCCTTACTCCGCTCCAGCTCCTCCCGAATAAACCGCACCGCCGCATCCAGATACGGCCGCTGACTGGGCAAGAAATGGCCACCAGGATGCCACACAACGCGCCCATCCTTCTCCGGATCCCCGGAACAGGCATCAACCAACGCGCGACTGCGACTCTCCTCGACAACAGCATCCAACGAACCCAGCACATGCAGAACCGGGGTTTGGATATGCGGACGCTCATAGAACCCACGATACCGATCGCCCGGGGCTCGGAAACCACTATAGCAAATCGCGAACTTGACCGGCGGGTGTTGCAGTGTGTTGGGGTCAAAGGCTTCGGGAAAAGCCATCCCCAGCTTCCGGTCCGTCGCAAAATGCGCAAAGGCCTCCTGCCGCCCTGGCTCCAGTAACGCGGCCACCATGCCCGCCATCGCCGCGCCCTGCGAGAACCCAATCACGCCGTCGAAGGGGCCTTCTTCTGATAGGACTTTCGCCACGGCTGCGAGACCCTCCTCCATCCCCTGGTACAGTGGGGGATCGGCCGTGTTCGACCGGCGCCACCAGCCGTACGCCTCGATCTTGCCTTCTTCCTCTTTGTTGCTAGATGGCTCGTGGCCGGGAATATCGGTTGGGTCGAGATGCAGGGGTCCAGTTGGGTAGACGGCATTGACGTCGTGCGTGGGGAAGGCTTTCTGGATGTGCTTGATCAGGGCGCGGGATTTGGCGTGAAAGAGCGGGCCGGACTGCGTGTAGCCATGTAGCATCAGTAGCTTCAGTGGCTGCCGTGTTGAGGAGGGTTGAGGATTGGGAGCCATTGTTTGCAAATGGCTGGCGACGGAGAATAATCGGGCGGCGCACATCGAGATGCGCCAGGGAGGTGTTAGAAGGAGAAGGAGGAGGAGGAAGGGGAAGAATGAGTGCCTGGCGATAAGCGATAACGACTGGCGGATCATACATATTACATAGTTGCGCGGCGCCACTACTTATTCCTGTCTCTGACAACAAACAGCCGGACTTGGAAACATCCACGCAGCCATGAGCACCGAGCAACTGAATGTCAACATCGAGAAGATCGACGGCCAGATGAAGGAGCTGATCGAGTATGTTCTTCGTTCGCATGTCGCAACCACTAGTTACGTCCGAGTGTTGCTTGGCGAGCAATACCGCCCTTCTTTATCTTGGACTTGAGACTCTTTGACTCGCTTCGCAAATGCCATTCGGGGAAAAAAGACCTGCATAGCTAACATGATCCTCCAACAACGACAGTGCCTTCGAAGCCCACCCCCAAATCCAACCCCCGGACACCCACCCAACGCTCTTCTTCCTGCTAGACTTCATTCGCAACACCCACCGCATGCTGCAGGAGATTGACGCCGACAAATTCGCCTCGGGCGACAAGGCTGCGCGTGAGGCCGCGCAGGAGGTCGTTGGCCGCAATCAGTTTGCTAACGTGTTGATCAACGATTCCACCGGCAAGCTGGCCCTCATGACGGGGAGTGACCCGAGCAATCCCGTTGACATTGGGTCGGATATTAAGAGCAAGGCGAGGGCTTTGACGGAGACCTGAGAGTCGGTTTCTTTCGGATCTGATAGCGATACGGTGTAATGCGGTGCGGTACGTCCTCGGAATAAACATGCGCGCTGTGCATGAGCAAGCACTTAGTCTTGTCTCTCTGCTATGTTTGAGGCAAGAGACGTCTTTATTCTTTTTGATTTTCTTTCTAATACCTTCTTTTTGGATCCATATTGATTCTTCTGAAATACGAAGAGGGAACTAGGACTGGCTTTGAATGTGCTATCCATTTGATGGAACCAACAGTCTTTCGTTTTGTACGATAACATGAAACTAAGTATCAATCAAGCGCATAATCTGTCTCTCTTTCCTCCAATTCTGTCTTCTCTATGTACTTCATGCACCATTTATTCAAAACAATCTTCAATAAACACCACAAATCCACTAAGACCCTAAAAAGAGCCCACTCTCACAGCAGTCAAGAATACTAGAGTGACCGGCCTACCAGGAGGGGGAACCCTTCCAACCCTGACCATGCCAACCCGTCCAAACCTTTACATCATTCCACCCCTCAACCCTACGACAGCAGATCTATAGAGAACACGATCGAAAGAAAAATGATGTCACATACCTCGGACGGTACCTGCAAATCGACTGGGTCTTCAGGTGGGGAATGATGACCGTGCGTGTGGTGGGGCGGGGTGCGAGAGGAGGATCACCTTCGCATGGCTGCATTGGGGTGAATGGTTGTGCTTAGGATACTTGTATTATTTTGTTTCTTTGTGGCAGGTGGGCAAGATAGGTCCTAGGTACGACCTGGGTATACTGACGTCGAACTATCCACATAAGAACTACTAGGTACCAGCGCTACGCAAGAGAAGAAGATTACACCCCTGGGTGCGAATAGTGACACCACCCATTGCACGATACCATCATGTAGTTGGCAAAACATAGTTCAATATCAGAATGTATAGACATCAAAAGCACAACGCAAGAACCAGACAAACAAGATAACTTTTGAGCCAGGTATCCGGAACTCCGTGGGACAGACGGTGCACAGCATCCTTTTTAGGGGATGTTTTTGTTGTGTCAGTCATTCCATTCCATCTTCTACCCGTCCACTTTTTAAACAGAAGCATAATCAGAGAGGGCAAAATTGGAAAGCATAAGCAAGAGCATGAAAGAGTGTCAGCGAGGAGACAACATCAGTCATCTTGTAACCAGACGACTGGAGCCATCAATACATCACTACAACTCCCATCATCCCTGCCAATACCACCAAGCTTGAAATGCATGGAAAAGATTAAGAGAGATAATCCCGTGGTTGGAATTGGTAGGTAGAGAGATATATGGTATGTAACATTTTGAGGGCTTCCGCGATCGAAAACCCCCGCTGCTGAACCGCAGGACTGTTTCCTCGAAATCGAAAAAAAGTAGTAGTAGTAGGCTGACTCCCTTCCTCCCGCCTTCAATTCAAAAAAAAGGAAACACCCGGTTGGTTTTTGCTGGCTGGTATTTTCATCATCACCATCCATCCTTCAAACAAGCGAACTTCTCCATCTCATCCATGCCTTTAAAAAAACGAGAAAAAAACAAGTTTTTCTTAAACGTCAATCATAGTAAAAACGCAACGAGCGAGGCGAGGCGTCTACTTCCGGCGGAACGAGCAGCCCTCGGTCAGACGGGCCTTGCCACCGGTGGGCTGGCAAAGCACGGTCGAGCAGCCGGCGCAGATAACGACGGTCTGGGCGTGGGAGAAGACGGTGGTGATGGTGAAGCAGCCGGGGCACTTGACGTCCATGAAGAAGGAGCGGGGAGCGGGCACGAGAGCCTGGAGGGAGAAGATGTTAGTGTCGGTTCTTTTCTTTTGTTGCAATGTGTTCCAAAGAGGTGACAGGCGTTGCCAGAGGTGGTAGGAGGTTGGTGGTTGGTGGTATGGGGAAGGCTCATACCTTCAGCTTGTGCTTACGGGCCTCGGCCTGAGGAGTAGGGTTGAGGAGATCGACCGCGAGAACCTGTCGAGCAAAGAAAACGAGTTAGAATCTTGTAACTGAACCTCAAAAAATCTGCGTGATGGGCGATGGGTATCCCGAAACAGTGTCTCCTCCATCCCGCCCGAGGATGAAAATTTCGAGAACCGTCGAAAATCGTCGAAAACCCGGTGTGTTCCATCACAAAAAATCACACAGACTGCAGGGACTTACCATCTTGGCGAGTGAGATCAGCGAAAGAGTTGATGAATGGCGCTGATGGCGATGGCCTTGGTGTTGAGAGAGGGATGGTCGGGGAAGAGAATTGAAGGGATGGAGTGGTTGATTTGGCTCTTGGCCCGTTTGGGGTTTGTGCCCTCGCTTGCGTGACCGCTTTGGTGCGCTTAGTCAGTGTTACCACGTGACCAGATTGATCTAAGGGGCAATTAGCGGTGGAGATACCCATGTAATAAAGTCTTGTATTGTTCAATTATCTGGTTCGTGTTGAAATAAAAGTGCTACTATGTACTTGAAATCTCCAGGAGCCAACACATCTCTCGCTCTCACACAGTCGTGGATGATCGAGGTTGAACTTCCTCACCCACTTATAACTACCACCTTCTCACTTCATCTTCTTGGACGCAATCTCCGCATCGCCATTCCGTGACTGCGTCTCCTCGACGTATGGATACTTGATAGTCAGGCACCAGATGTCGAGGTAGTCGCAGATCGTGGTGATGACATCAAACTAGAGAAACTAGATCAGTATCGTTCTGCCAGAAAAGGACAGACGGAACAGTACAGAACATACCACGAAGCTCCCATAAACACCAACCGCCAAACCCAAACACCCAGCTACAAAGTAAACCTGCCCGATGCCATCCCCGAGCACGGGAGTAGACCATAGCCCCAACCGGGGTCCCGCGCTGTCCACCACCCCGAGAGCCAGCGGGTACAGCAGCACGTTATGATACGGGAAGCCCGACTGCACGAGATGGCCCACAATCATCCTCCCGACGGAGTAGGCATTCACCAGGCCCACATACAGCCCAAAGGGCACGAGCTGCGTCTCTAGGATAGTAGGCTGCAGGTACAAGTACACAGGGACAAGCGTCCAGATGACGACCATCGGGAGCAGACCATACAGCGGCTCAACTGGATCGAGACCGCGCTGGCGACGCACCTGCACGACATTCCAGATGCTCGACCCCGTGGCGAAGAAGAGCACGAATGCGCCGTACACGACGTACCACTGTGTGAAGGGTAGGTCGTAGACCTGGTCGGTCATGAATGTCGGCTTGGAGAAACCCATCGTCTTCAGCGCGGGCTGGTGCCAGAAGCTGCCGGCGCCCATGTATGCCGTGATAGAGTAGACGGCGCAGAGGGTTAGCACGCCCTCGACGGGGCCGGAGATGATCCCCAGTGTTAGGACTTGGGTGTAGTATTCATCCCAGGTTTGGACGTAGAAGGTCATCGTTGCTAGGGCTGTTAGTTCGGACATCAAGCAGAGATATTGTGGGGACATGGACATACATCCAAACAGGGACAACAGAGTTGCCCAAGACTGGCCAAAGTTCATGGCAGCCGCAAAGATGAGCACTCCCAGACCGGTGTTGCATGCATCGACACCTAACCAAACCAGTCAATTCAAGCCCAGGGAATGAATGGCATAGGAGCAAACGTACTGTGATCAAAGAGCTCGCCCAGCGGACCACTCTGCCTCGTCCTCCGCCTGCACAATACAGCTTCAGCACCCTTCTCAGCAACACAACGGGGGAATACCTACGCCTGCATGCCATCTACGGCATCAAAAGTCTGATACAGAAACAAGCCGATGGCACAGCTGGCATAGACCCAGGGTGGACAATCCTGGTCTAGAGTCGGGTTGTACCACAGCACTGTGAGGAAATTAAGGACCACGAATAAGAAGCCGGTCAGGGTGATCTAGGATTGCGTATTAACATCATGGGTGTATTCCTTTTGGAAAAGTAGGTCCAGAGGAGTAAAAGGGAAAAGGACTTACGGCATTAGGTCTTTTTCAGCGCCGAGTAGACGCAGAGAAAGTCAGCTATCTTCATTCATTCACAACCCCCCCAACAAAACGGGTGGCAGACTCGGACCAGGCATTGGATAGGTAATACTCACGCCATCCCCATGGGGAAACAGCCAATGACGCATTTATTGTAGAACGGCTTCAGGATGTACCGACTGATGAGCGAGTGGTCGACGCCTGCATAGCGATAGTTGCGCAGATTGGGGAGGTGATGTTGGCGGATATACACCATTTTCCTTTTCCCGGGAGAGGAGAGGAGAACGAGAGCAAAGAAGAACCAACACCAGCAATCTGTAAAAAGGATTGGATTGGATGCGTCCTAAGGCATATAATCTCCCCGGCGAGCTTTTCGCAAGTACCGAACTGAAGCAAGGAACGCGGGCGCAGGCGCGGGCGCAGGCGCGGGCGCGAAGCGAAAGGTGGGATGGGTATACTGCTGGAGAAGACCAGGAACAAGGAAGGGAAGGGAAAAAAAAGTTGGAGATGGGAGGTGGAGACGGAGAAAAGAGAAAAGGGAAGTGGCCCCGCAGGTGTTGGGGAGGGTTGAGTGAAATCGGTGGATACGGAGGAAGAAGAAGAAATAATAGGATCAACAGGAACCGAGAGGACACTTGTTGATCGTCGGTGGTTGTGGTGGTGGTGGTGCCTGTTGAGCTTGTACCCCTTGGGAGTATTTTCTGCCGGCGGAAAACTTCCAGCAGGAGGGAACACCGTCGCTTTTAAGACCCTGGGCGGCACCACGTGCGGCGCTCAGATGGGTTGAATTTATCCTGATCGTCGCTGAAAGTGGGGTTACCCGAGGCCGGCAGTGAGTAGGCAGTGATGATATGTGGTGGTGATTCAGAGTATGCTTCACATGTAGGTACACGATACAGGGCTATGGATGATGTGAGTCTAAGCTACCGGGCTCCACGGCATCGGGACCAGGATCCGGCTCTTCATCTCTTGGATCAGAGGCACCGTCTTGTGCACCGTCTCCGCCCATCCCTCGACTCCCCACGACTGCTCACGCCGGAGCCGGCGCTCCTCCAGATTCGCAAACTGCCACAGGTGGTGCACCGTGTTCAGGTCGCCGATCTGCACAAACCACGCGCCCACACCTTCCATCACCTCCCGCCGCGCCGTCAGTCCGCGGCGCCAATGCGACTCCCACTCCAGCAGGTTGCCCGGGTGCAGCGTGTACGATCGCAACTCGAACAGTCCACCCAGACGGCGGGGCGGCGTGGTGGGCCAGAACGAGAACTCCTGCATCAGGGATGTCTTCTTGCTCTTGATCAGGGACTTGAGCTTTCGGTCGAATTCGGGGAACTCGGGTTGCTGCGAGATGTTGTGCAGGGACGCGTGGTAGCCTTCGTAGCGCTGGTACTCCCAGATGTGGACTGTAGGAGAGAGATGGGGGATTAGTTTCCCGAGTTTGTGGAAGTGTTGGAACGGGGTTTACCAAAGGTGTCGTTGTCGCCGACTTGCGTGCGCCAGCTGCCCACCAGGTGGACGCGATTCTCCTCCAGGGCGGCCATGCGGGGGTACCACTCGCCGACCAGCTTCACGTATTCATCGACCTTGTCGGGCTTGACCTCGTGGAAAACGATCGAGTGGACATATTTGCCGCGAGCCAGCACCTGAGAGAAGGAACGTTCGATGTCCTGGTCGAAGTGCTGACCTTCCTTCGTACCGTAGATGAGCGAGGACAAGGCACCACGCTTGGATGCCTGATCCGCATGCTGTTCGTCCCCTATAGAGCGGTGGAGGGAGAGTGAGCCGATTGCTTTATGATCCAGAGTCCCGGCGGCATCGAAAGCAGGGCGGACACGGTCAACGCCACTCGCATTGCTCACTCGCGGAGCAGTGGGAGTGTACTCACGGGGCTGGTCCTGGGTAGGGGAAGAAGAAGAAGTAACCGAAGAGACAGACTGACTCTCTTGCTGTTCCTTTCTCTTGCGAGCCTCTTCGAGGTTCTCGCGAAACTCCTTCTGCCGCTGGGCAAACGCCTCGGCCGAGTCGGCGGTGAGGTCTCTGATGGAAGGGGCGCGGTAGGCTACCGCGGACGAGGTGAAGGGCCGCACCAGCGAGGTCGCTGAGCGGACGACACGCGGAGCCAGCATTGTGGTGGGGAAGAGAGGGAGCGGATGTAACACAGATGGGGGGTAGGGAGTAACAAGCCGACAGGAGGATCGGAGCAAGTTGAGGATGGGATGGAAGTGACAAAGGGAAGGGAGTGAGTGGGATGAGATGGAGAGAGGGAGAGACAGTTTGTGAGTTGAGGAGAGGGGAATAATGGAAGGTGGTAAGAGAGTAAGAGAGAGGAGGGGGAGGATGGACAGGGGTGTGAAGAAGAGAGAGAGAGAGTGAGAGAAAGAGAGTGAGGTTGCGGGGAAAGGTTGGAGCTGCTCCGTCTGGGGGCGGGTACCAGTGGCGCAGGTACTGGTACTTGCTGAGTGCTACGTCACAGGCTGACGATGCAGGTACGAGTACCTGGGATAAGGTTACTCTCGGAAGCTGGACAGGACTGAGTATCTATAGCAGGGAGAAGTAGCTACTCGTAGGAAACCCTTTGAAGCAACTGACGGACTGGTATTGGTTTCCCGACCAGCGGATGACTACTCGAGCAGGAATGCCCTTGTCGCCATCATGACGAAACCGTCTCCCATGCTAGACTCCACCTGACTGAGACACGACACAGCACTCAATTGTCCTCGTACCACACGGCATACCATGTAGCCACGACCCAAAATAATGCTTTCTCTATCCCATAGTCTCCGTTGTCAAAGTGATGACGTCGGCCCATGGTTGGACAATGGGGTGGGCCACACCGCCCGGCAGAACCCACTAGCAACTCACCTTGTCTTTCTTTCCTCCTCGCTCTCTCTGTCTCTGTCTCATCAAGTCACCGCACACCGTTCGGCATGACCGATTCAGTCAACCCCCCGCTCTCATACGAGGCATCGGCCACCACAACCCACCCTCATGTCGCGACCTCCCTGCCATCTGAGGTGATCTCGTGCCTCAAAAACTCCCGCTTCGTATGCACCGCGGACCCTTCCGGACTCGACAATCTCACTAACCTCCTCTCTTTCTCTCTGCACAGCTCCACCTAGCAACATGCGACAATCTCACTCCCCACATCTCCCTCATGTCCTACACCTATCTCCCCTCAACCCCCTTCGACCCACACCCCACCATAATCATGACCACGAACCCCGCCTCACGCAAGACCAACCACCTCCTCTCCAATCCACGCGTTTCTCTGCTTGTGCACGACTGGGTCTCGCACCGCCCGCCAACCCGAGCCCCCAATCCCAATGCTGATGCCTCCGGCGGCCGCGACGGGTCTCCGCCGCCGGCCGCCACCCGCTCTTCGCTGGCGAGTCTCCTGCTCAACTTGAATACCAGCGCGCTGTCTAGCATTTCCACCACCATCACGGGCGAGGCTCGGTTCCTGGCGTCGGGGTCTGCGGAGGAGGCGTGGTGCAAGGAGCGCCACTTGGAGAATAATACCTTTGAAGAAGAGGAGATTAATACCTTTGGTCAGCAGCAGCAACAGCAGGGCCAGGATCCAAGTCTGCGCCGCCCGAGTTTGTCCATTGACAGTGATGTAAGAGTTGTTACGGTTAGAGTGCGCGAGGGCCGCATTGCGGACTGGAAGGGTGGTGTCCGGGATTGGGTGTTGCTTCCGGCGGAGGAACGTGATACTGCTGGGTTGGTGAATGGTGTCCCTTCCTCGTAGCGTGATCAATTGGGCAGACTGGAAGGTCCGGTATAGCTTGATGATGGCTTTGAACGAGCAACCAATGTACAAGGAAATAAAACTTCTGTTAACCGACCTGCAACGAATTCTTAATCAAGCTTATCAGCTTCTCCGCACCTCCGAGGGAAACGTAGATCTCCCACCGACCGACCACCTCATCTTCCTCACCACTCTCTAGCTACTTAGAATCAACAAAATGCGCCTCGCCCACCTCCACCTCCCAAACCTAACGCCCTTCACCCGCGTCTCCGACCTCCAACAAACCCTCACCACCCGCCTGCTCACACACAAGAAGCTCTCCTCGCCTGGCTCCATACCCTCGCAAGAACACGTCCACCCACCAACACCACCACCTCCAGCCCCAGACCCAACAATCATAACCTTCACCCCGAACCCGGTCTACACAACTGGCCGCCGTGACCTGCCCCCGTCAAACACAAGCCCTTCCTCCTCCGCAACACCGCGCCCAGCAACAAGCACAAAACTCTCTCTCCCCCCATCCCTCGAACCAATCCGCTCCCTCCTCACTCCTCCAGCTTCAAACAATACAAACAACCGCAATAGCCAGGACCATGGCTCCCCAAGGGCAGAGTACCACCCCACCCTCCGCGGCGGCCAAACAACATACCACGGACCAGGCCAAATGGTCGCGTACACGATCCTCGATCTGAAACGCCTGGGTCTCACGCCGCGGTGCCATATCCGCGTGCTGGAGAATAGCGTCATTGACCTGCTAGCGGAGTATGGGGTGAAGGGGTTTGTCACGGAGGATCCCGGGGTTTGGGTGCATGATTCAGCGTCAGCTGGAGATCAGGATCAGGAGCAGGCGAAGAAGATTACGGCTGTGGGGGTACATCTCCGACGGAATATTAGTAGCTTTGGCGTTGGGTTGAATGTTACCAATGAGCCCATGTGGTTCTTTAGGCAGATTGTTGCGTGTGGGCTTGAGGGGCGCGAGGTTACAAGTTTGGCCGGCTTGGGGGTCAAGGGTGTTGGGGTTGATGAGGTTGCGAGTGCGTTTGTGAGGTGTTTTGTCGATAGGGTCAATCGTGATTTTTCATGTTCGCTTAGTGGTGGTTTGGGGGAGAAGATTGACGAGGTTTATCAGGTTACCGAGGAGGATTTGTTTGGTTCTTGACGTGTGACAAATGTACTTATAGTTACACGTCTATGTAGATTGATGCCGAGATGAAGATCTCTTCATCAATTATCATAGCCAGGGATACACACCGACAGCACAATTGCAAAAGCCACGATCAAGTTATAGATCCGCCCAGCCAATGGCCGAAACGAAGCAGCATGAGAATAGGCCAAGAAATTAGATTGGTATATATTAGGATATGAGAAGAGCCAACCTCGCTGAAATGCAAAATGCACAATGTGCTCAGCACCAGCGTAAGACCAGGCCGAGAGAGAAAGAGGGCAAAGCGTCAACATCGAAGGAGGAAAATGCATGGGGGAATCAATGGGCTGAATCAGGTGAAAGGAAAGGACAGGGCAGAAGCGCAAAATCAAAGAATGATGCACCCTCCGCTGGAGGCGGAGCCCCCGGCGGGCTTAACCTCGAGAGCAACCTTGGCCGCTTCGTAGAAACTCTCCCGAATACCACGGTTCTGAACAGCGGAGCATTCTTTGGTCACTCATTAGCACTAGGTATGACAACAGTAGGGGAAGAAGTACAACATACCCAGGTACTTGACGGCACCGATCTCCTTCGCCTTGGCCAGTCCCTGGTCAAATGTAATCGCGTCGGGGTTATCGTTCATCTCCTCGTCCTTGCGCAAATCGCACTTGAGCGCTGTGAGCACCACGCGCACCCCGGGACAGTTCTCGTGGATCTCCGCAATCCATTTCGACCCGACGTTCTCGAACGAGTCGCGGCTGTCGACCTGTCCCACAAATTCCGATCAGTTCATGTGACGACTCAATCGAGCACGAGGTGGGCGAGGGAGTTTGTTGCTCACACTAAAACAGAGCATAAGCACGTGCGTGTCCTCGTATGACAGCGCGCGCAACCGATCGAATTCCTCCTGTCCGGCTGTATCCCATAACGAGAGTTCCATATGTACATTATCGACGAAGATATCTACGCGCATGAGTATGAGTATGGGTTCGATTCGAAGACGAGACCGGGAAGGCAATTCTACCGTGAACATAATTCTCTGTGCAAAGGCAATTGTCAGCACACTCGGGTCCAATGCAGAGAAATACGACGCTGCGCGTACCAAACACCGTAGGTTCACTGTCCGCCACGTAAGGATCAGATGTTAATACTCCGCCACCGTTTGAGTGAGTTCCGGTATGGGTATTCTCTTACTAGACAGTCGGGAAAAACCTGGGTCCGGTTAGCATTGGGTGACCCGTCTCGACTCGGAGAGCCCGAGGAGAGAAGGGGACAGGAAGGGAGGGAGTTGCGCACCCTCTTGTGAACACGTTCAACGCGGAAGTCTTGCCACAGGCACCGTCGCCTCTGTCAGATCGATTGCTGTCAGCATTGTAGGGATTATGGGGAGCAGGGCGGGGTGGGTTGCTGACAGCAGCACCATCTTGCGCTGGACGACCTTCTGGCGGCCGCACAGCTCCATTGCGCAGGTGGTTGGGGAGGGGACTCGAGAGGAGAGAGAGGATGGAGGGAAGAAAGAGAAACGGGGTGTAAGAATAGAGCCAGTCGAGACGGAGGAGGAGGGTTGTGGCGGAACACGTTGCAGTGAGAAAGAGTTCGGGGGGGAAGGAAGTCGATGACATGCATCGCCCTGATCGGCATCCAGGGCCCAAAGAATCCCTTTGCCGGTCCACTTTCTAAGCCTCGTTTATTTTGGGGACCATGTGGTTTTGGGTGACTAGGTTTATTTTTTGATGAACCATAGCGAGGCAGCCTCTGTTTATTATTACCTGCATCGAGGCAATGATAGATCTAGTGCTGAACTAATGCACCCCCAGTGTATCTACCGTAGTGGCGGGGGCTCACGCCGGACATTGTAGACTGGTTGGTTAAATTACATGGACGACATAATATACCGAGAGTAGTCCTTGTCGCATATTATGTCCGGGGGTATGATTGTTGTGGCAACGTTGAACCCTTTCGGTCTTCCAGTCGGCGAGAGCTCAAGGCGGGGAGCCAAGGCGGAAGCTCCATCACTCCTTCAACTCCCCAACACAGCTCTATTTGGCCTCCCACCACCCTCGTTCCTCCTTGCCAATACCCTTTCTTGTGTCTTTTTGAGCGTCTTGATTGCGTTTCTCACTGCCAACATGTCTGACGACGATGATTTCATGCAAGACTCCGATGAGGAGTAGGTGGCCGCTCTCTCTCTGTCTCTCTCTCTCTTGCTAAGCTGACTATCGGAATCGCCCAGATATGACTTTGAATACGAGGACGCCGATGAGGATGAGTCAGGGGATATTGGCATCGAGAACAAATACTACAACGCTAAGCAGATGAAGGTGGATAACCCGGACGAGGCTGTTGACGAGTTCCTTGGTATCCCGCCCCTGGAACAAGACAAGAGCGAATGGTACGGACCCCGAGGACGGACGCCGTGCCCAATATTGATCTATGTACAGGGGGTTTAAAGGGATAAAACAAGCGATCAAGCTGGAATTCAAGCTCGGGCGATATGGCGATGTAAACCGCATTTCACTGGGACCTCCAGAACTGTCATCAACTAACCACTTTCTAGGCTGTCGAACACTACCGCGAGCTCCTCACATATGTCAAATCTGCCGTCACGCGCAACTATTCCGAAAAGTCCATTAACAATATGCTCGACTACATCGAGAAAGGGTCCGACGATGCAGAGGCATTTCAGTGCATGGAGCAATTCTACTCCCTCACCCTCGACTCGTTCCAAAACACCAACAACGAGCGGCTATGGCTGAAGACCAATATTAAACTGTCTCGCCTGTGGTTGGAGCGCAAGGAATACAGCCAGCTGAGTAAGAAAGTGCGCGAGTTGCACCGGGCGTGCCAGCGGGAGGACGGGTCGGACGATCTCAGCAAAGGCACCTATCTCCTGGAGCTCTATGCACTGGAAATCCAGATGTACGCCGAGACCAAAAACAACAAGCGACTCAAAGCACTGTACCAACGAGCGTTGCGGGTGCGGTCGGCTGTGCCACATCCCAAGATTATGGGCATTATCCGGGAGTGCGGGGGAAAGATGCACATGAGCGAAGAGAACTGGGAGGAGGCCCAGAGTGACTTTTTCGAGTCCTTCCGAAACTATGACGAGGCCGGGTCCATGCAGCGCATCCAGGTCCTCAAATATCTGGTGTTGACGACCATGCTCATGAAGTCGGATATCAATCCCTTCGACTCGCAAGAGACCAAGCCCTACAAGAACGACCCGCGCATCTCGGCCATGACCGATCTGGTGGACGCCTTCCAGCGGGATGATATCCACGCCTACGAGGCGGTGCTGAGCAAGCACCCGGACGTGCTGGCCGACCCCTTTATTGCCGAGAACATCGACGAGGTCAGCCGCAACATGCGCACGAAAGCCGTGCTCAAACTGATCGCGCCCTATACCCGCTTCTCGCTGCATTTCATCTCCAAACACATCAAGATCTCCGTCCCGGAAGTGTTGGACATTCTCAGCTTCCTGATTCTCGACAAGAAGCTCAATGCCAAGATCGACCAGGAGAAGGGCACCGTCGTGGTCGAGAGTGCCAGCGACGTGGAGCGGCTCCGCGCGCTGGAGGAGTGGTCGTCCTCACTGCGCGGGCTGTGGCAAACGGCTCTCCATGGCGAGGGATTCCGGGCCGACGAAGCGTCTCATGGGGCCATGTTCCAGGCCGGCCTGGGAGATGAGTCTCCGATGGGCACGCGAACGCACAACCCGCGGGCCCGCCGGGAATACAGAGGCAAGACCGGGAAGATGGGCGGGATGATATGAAAAGCTCCTGGAGGGATCTTTTTTCAACGGCCGGTCCACTCCACCGCATGTGTCCGGGTACCTGGGGTTCAACGTGTTCCCGGCTGGGGGGGTTTTGTTCTTGCTTGGCGGCCCTATTTCATCATACCTGCCTCCCCCGACTCCTCAGCACTACCCTAAACCCCTCTCCCTCCCCAGAGTCGCTCGGAATTTGGAGTTCCCTGCGAACAGACCCGCTATTTAGAGTTGCTCTGACATAAGACGCTAAAATCATGATAAGATGGGCCCATTCATCATTATTCGTTCGTGATTCCTCGCTCGGCCGTAAGCTGAGATGGTTCGCAAATTGTAAGCCCGGGCTGAGAAAGGCAACTGCTCCGAGCATGTGAAGCGAGCATATCACGATCGATCTGAGGATTAGATGTTCTCCTCGATGCTGTCTGGATCGCTAATTAGCTAGGGATTGGTACCGTGCGGTCTCGGCCTGATGCCCGAAGACCCCCGTGATTGAATAATTCGACCTGTCACCTAACTTCGTATGTAATCATCCCACAGCGTCGGGATCGCACGCCCCCCTGTGGCTCGTGGCCAGTGGGCGCCGTTCACACAATCACAACTCTCTTTCCGCAGAGCGGAGTCGGGTGATGGTTTAGTTTCCCTTTCGAGCTCGATCAGAACAGCCGGGCGCTTGGGGCCCGCTCAGCCGCGAATATTATAATATTAATAATAATCATCATCATAATCAGCATCATCATCATCATCATCAGACGGGACGGAACCAACCCCGCTTCGGGGAACGAAAACAAAAGCAATATGATTCTGATTTGACTGGTAAGCCGATCCGGGACTATCATCGTCGTAGCCAGGGTCGCCCTACGATCGTAGAGGAGGAATAAATAATGTTGGGTTGTTTGCTACCGATGTGTTGTCACGGATCATCCTTTGGCTCATACTTAATTCGCCTCGTTTCCTTTTTCTTTCTCTCTCTCTTCCTTCCTTCCTTCTTTCTTTTCCCTCGATCTGCTCCACCGATCTCAATTTTGTTTGGGGCTGCTAATCGTAAATCACCCACCTGAATGCTCTGCCAGTGATTGATTCCAGGTCGGTCGGCAATATTATCCCCCCCCCCCCTCCCAATCCTTCCCAGCGTCATTAGACACCCTCCATCGTTGCCCGGCCCCAAACTGAAAGATCCTCTCTTCCCCTCCCCCCTCCATCCGCACTCGGAATCTATCTCCGCGTGTTCTGTGGGATGGTTCGTGCCCCCTCCACCATTGACATCGCCCTCCCTTTCCCTCCTGTGTCACTCCCTCAGCCCCCAATCACTGTCTCCGGCCACACCCTCCACGGTGATACGCCGGCGTGATACCCTCCCTTATTGGTCCTGTTCTTCCGGCAATCTTGATTTAATTCTTCAGTCCATGATCCATGACCACATGCCCTGCGCGACCCTCATCTCTGGAATCTCACTGACACGATCAGCTCTAGGTCGCCCAGTGCACCGGGTCACTTGCAGCATAACTCCCCGGGGCTCACGTCCCACAGGCTTCCAGATGTTCATCGGCCGTGTGCGTATGTCAGATGTATATATAAAGATATACAGACTTGCGCGAAACTCGGTCTAATATCGCTCTCTCTCTCTCACAAGACGTCAACCACATCCTCGTCATAAATCTTTCTCCATCCCGCCCTGTGCGCTGCCACCATTTTGTATGCCATGTCCTTGTCGGAATTGCCCTGGTCTCCTATTGGTCCTCACCATCCCTTCGTGGATAAACAGAAGGTCGCCAGTCTTTACCGGAACTCTTTCTTTGCGTCCCAACTCTCTGTTCCTCCTTTTGTTGCTCCGCCTTTCGTCAACATGAATCCCCTCTCACCGGAGGAGATGGAGCGCTTCCAGAAGCTGTCCAATGAGTTTGAGCCGGATGTTCAGGTAGGGCATGTTTGCACGAAGCGGAAGCTCTCCATCTGACATACCCGCAGGGCCCCCTGGTATCAACCAAGCAGTCCAGCCATGCTATTGCGGTGGAGTATGCCAATGCAGATCCCACGCTGGCAACAAAGACGGGTGTATGCCTCCCTGTCTCATCGAAGCGCATGTCACTAACACTCTAGACCCTTGTTGTTACGCACCCGATGACTCGGATTATGAAAGGAGATGGCAACTGCGGCTGGAGAGGTTTGTGCGTGAAACTCTGATATGAAAACGACTAACGCCCCATCCAGCGGTTGCGTTCGGCTATTTCGAAATGCTTTTCGCTCTGCGTGATCTATCGCGCGTACAACGTGAGCTGGCCCGGATCAAGTCGCTCAACACTCTCATGGACCAGGTCGGGCAGGAGGAACATCTTTATGAGATCTTTGTCGATGCCACGGAGGATATCTTCGCCCAGATCTCTGCCGCCATCCAGAACGGCACCCCGGATGAGTCTTTCCTTGTTGATGCGTTTAACGAGGAGTACAGCTCGAATTCTGTGATCACGCACTTCAGAGTGAGTACCGTTGCTGTCTAATTACTCTTTCAGTTTTGATGATCTCTTTAGCTCTTGACCAGCGCTTGGATGAAACTCAACCCGCATCGGTATCAGGCTTTCCTGCCTCTACCGCTGGATCAGTACTGCGCAACGCAGGTCGAGACGGTGCGGACTGAGATCGACGAAGTCGGATTGCAAGCCCTGGTGGATGGTATCATTGAAGGAGCGGGATTCGGCGTTGAGATCCTCTACCTGGATCGGAGTGAGGGCGAGGCTGTAACGCCACATCAGCTATCCCCCAACAGGCCCAACGTAGCGACGATTCGTCTGCTATATCGACCGTAAGCATCCTATTGAAATCAGATGGCAGAAGCTAACTCCAACATCAGAGGCCACTATGACCTTCTCTACAGAGCCGAACCTACTGTGAATATGGCACCCGTGGTCAACTACCAATACGCAATGACTTCTAACTACTCCCCCTGGGAACAAGGTGCTCTCTCCTTCGACGTCAACCCCCACTTGATGTCCATCCCCAATCTAATGGCGGACCCGTCCTACGGGATGGCCCCGTCACCCATCATGTCCCCGGTGTCTCCAGCATCTGCACAACCAACCAGTCCCTTTCGAGTCTCTTCGCCACAGGATATGTTTCACTCCCCGGTGTCCAGCCATGCTCCCGTTCCATCAACCATCCCGATCTCCTCGCCGCCGCCACCGATGACATCCCTCCCGAGTCGGTCGTCGGACGGTCCGCAGATTCGCTTGAATCCGTTGGTTATGAAGCCCAATCTGAGCCGTTCGTTGCCCATTACCACGCCTTTTAAAAAGTGAGTCGCCTCCCTTATTCTTGTTGATTAGTCTTGTTGACCCGTGCTACGTACAGTTCGCCGTACAATCAAGCGCATTTCCAGAATTCGGACTTTGAACCTATTCACTGGGAACCGAGCGACTCTCGAAGATGATTTCTACTATGACATGTCATTGACGACAACGAAACGACAACCTCTTAAGTAAAGGAGGAAAGAAAGAAAGACGACTCTCGGTACGGGTTTACTGTTGTCCGTTTGAAGATGTCTTCTCCATGTCTCTCTCTCTCTTTTGACTTTTTTCCTCTTTTCTTCCCGTGATTCTCTCTTTCACTTCTTCCAGCTATAGTACATCATGATTCTTAGCGTGGTGCAGCGCGTTGCATGGCCCGAGCGTTTGCCTTTTTCCTCGAGTGAGACAGATTGTGCCTTTTTATGTTCTTATCCTCCGGATCTATTCAATTTCGTTCTTCAGTGCCTGGATGGTGGGCGAGGTGGAGGGATGAATGGGTGAGTGGAGGAAACCAGTGGATTAAAAGCGAGATTCTTTTCTACTACTTTCTCCAACTGCGTAGGTCTTTCGTTGTCAGCGAATTACTTGAAACAGTTTAACGCTCCTGTTTAGATTGAGCGTCCGTCCTCTTGCTACTTAAAGCTTCATATGCGTGTTCCATAAGGTCCGCCCGTCGGCGCTTCAACATCTTACTATGCAGGTGATTTTCGGGCGGAACGCACTTGGGAAATAATCGGTCAAGAGGTAGCCACTACCCGAGAATCTTTTGAAACCAAGTCACCGGGAGAAAGGGAGTGTGAGAGAGAGTTCCATTATATCCTGTTTCATCCCCGAACAGCAGGCACTATATCGGAAGTAGAAAGATATTAAAATTCCAGGATAATGAAACAGAGGCCATTAGTCGATCCCATCACATTGCGGATTTTCTCTTGAGTTTTCCAAAAATTCCTCGGTGGGTGCACTAGATAGACTTCCGCCGTGCTCACCTCGCGATTTGAACACCGCGTTACGACCACGATCGCTTAACATCGGAACTGAAGCCACAGGGCTGTTTTCGCTTGGGGAGGACGAAGCCGCATGCGATATGATTCGAAGAAGAGGTCGAACCGTCATGAGGCATCCGGCCGTGATGCCGAGACTGGCTTCTAGGTTCGACCATATGGAAATCTGGTAGGTTGCATCTGAGTCTAAGTTAGAACCAGTATAGCGGAAATGGCGCTGGTATAAACTCACGGAGGAAATCTGGACTACTGGCGTAATGTAGAAATGGGATTCGAATGATGACAGCAGTGCTCGCACTTGAGAAGAACCTGTGTTAGAAGATGGTCCAAAAGTGAGAAAATCGGCATGGAGAACGAACATGCATGCAATACCCAGAATGCCTGACACGGCAAATTTTGTTTGACGATCCATTTGAAGCTTCCAGATCATATAGATAGGGAGCAAACCAAGTGTGAAATCACACACGGTCGCCACGCCACTATACATATAGACAATGCCGAGGAGGGTAGCCTTGCTGAGGCAGTGGCATCCTGTTGGCAAGCGATTCCAGAAGCAGGACACCGCATGGCATTGAAAAATGGTGAAGAAAAGAAATACAATTCCCACGGCAGTAGAGAATCCCATTACTCCGTAGAGAATCCATGAATGGATGCGCTCAACCGCCAGACGAAGAAGGGTCATGGCAATGGACAGCCTAGCAATCGTGCATGTGAATATGTAGAAGATCTGTCCTAGCCACCAGCACTATCGATCATAGAAGTAAATAACCCCGTGTCATAGGCGAGCAACGATGGAATATGGACACATACCAACAAGCCCCGTCGAGCAACATTCGGTCGATGAGCTAGATATGCCTGCGTTTTCCCCATACCATTTGTAGCGCCCACAATGCCACACGTGGCGAATGCGATATTGAAGATCTATATCAAGATGAGTGCTGTGCATAACAGACTGCGTATGGCGGCTTACCATTGCTATCACCATTAAAGCATCGTCACGTCCAAACGCTTTCACAACTTTCAACCGAACGAAGCATCGAAGAGAAACAGCGACCAGGGAAAAGAACAAAAACACGACTGTGATAATGATGATGGCATCGCTATCCACATCATCCATGCTCTAAGACCGCGAATGAGTTCGAACGCATAGGATGGCGTTTGCAAAGAGTAACGGAGCAGCATGACCTAAGCTGGATGGAACTGTCGTTATATAAGCATCTGGATCGTTCTTTGCCGCGAGATATCGGTGGATGAACCATTCCACAATCCGTATCCACCACGATCCACGACGAACCAATGAATCTCGCGTGCAGAGCTTCCCCGCACAGGTAACCTTGGAAGAGTTTGAGTTTGTCTGCGGCTTAGGAGTTAATAGAGCACAGGGAGTAGCGACCGTTAGTGCCTTCCATGTTTGGAAATCTTGAGATGCTCTTTCAAACCCTAATCAAATGATATAATTATACCGACGATGCTTGTGCCGGAGCTGAATGGTATGCTGCTACACACGTAAGACAAGCGAGGAAGGTGTATGGCCGTGTATTTCTACAGGTCCAAGATAACTTGCCCTACGATGGCACGAAAGATCATGACGTCATTATCCACCTTGTACTGTAGTAGAGACAGATTCATCTGTGGGGGTGGAATCCACCTCAGCGATCGCCCGGGCTTCAGAATAATCTGAACCAGAGCAGCAGCTCCACAAAGAGCTACAGCCGACGCCAACGGGAGAAGATGATTCAGAAGGCACCACGCATCGACTGAGACGAGGATGGATATCTCCGCGGGACCCGCAAAAGAAAAGGTAGAAGAAGACCCCTATTACGCCAACTACCACGTTTCAAGTATTCCAGAAGAGTCATAAGCTTTACGAGTTACTTTTGCGATTGGTCTATACGCCCGGCGGCCAGAGGTAAGTTCCCACCGCGATGGCCTACCACCAGAGCCTCAACATTGGAAAGAGGGTCCACAACACCCACACAGAGATGCCTTCCATACAGCACCTAAGAAAAAGGCTTGATACTATTGAAGAAAAAATGCGTTTTTGACGTGGTTCGGAGTCCGAATAATATTAGCAAGCAGATCCTCCCGCTGACAGGTTTTTTCCTATAAATTCAACGCGGAGGGCTTCTAGTGTCACTCAGTATGCTCAGAACAGACAGTCAGGGGCGGCGGGTAAGGGATAATTCTATTTCTTATCCACATGTAGCCACTCAAGTTAAAAAATTTAACGGTCATTTGTCGAGTGCGGCCCTCAAAATCATTTCCCCTAATAGTTTAAGACTATTTCACTCTTTGCCAACTCGCAGCCTTGTGCAGTATAATCCTTCTAAACGGCTATATCCGTCTCTCCAGGATTCTTCTAGGTGACTGTCATTACTGACCTTTATATTCAATTCTGCCCTTTGGTCTCCTGTTTAAACCGGATATGGCCGTAAACAATACTATCTAAGCTATAGATAGAAAACTATGATCCATCAACAACTGGATCAATACTAATCAGTTAATCGCTGTTCGCATATGAAATATCAATCAGGATGGCCAGCATAATCAAGAAATAGTTAGAGGTGAAATAGTCTACAGATTGCTAGTCTTCTGGTTTTTTCATTCTCGAGGGTATTGGTGAACGTCCATACTTGCCACTAAGTGTTATATTGGTAGTTCTAGATATTCCTACTCATGATTAGCTTAGTAGTAGTGATCATTTTAATTAGTAGAGCGGGACGGGTGCGCAAGGAGAAGCCTAATCGAAACAAGCAGGATGACCAGAGACATGGGAGAACTCAGCTCTTAGCCAGGACGGAGCCCACACAACAGTAGAAAACGAATAAGCCGTTCAATGAATTAATACCATCAACTAACTGAGAGAGGTAATTAGATGCTATGGAAGATGGTTACAGGAGCGCTCGTCCTCCTAACGAGCGGCGAGCTTGGATAATCAGATGAAAACGAATCACGTGTGCGACTAGGGCCCTATCTGGCTACACTAGTTAATGCAGGCCGTGAATGCCTAGCTTGTTCTGCTTGCACTATTGTATTTCTGCCATACCATACTTCTTCCGTGTGGTTTCTTCTCTCTCTTTTCCTCTTTTTCCTCTTTATCGAGTTCTTTGTCGATAGGTGCGCTAGCAATTGATTTTGGGAGATTAACTACCGTTTATTAGTCAAGTTTACTATTCAGGGGCCATTTCTATTATATATCCTATTCGCTATCTTTTAACTTTGACTCACGCAGTAGTTTGATTCCCTAACTAATACTTGCATCTTGGCGAGCGACCCAACTGACGGTTAGTGCTATAGCTCAATGCAACCATGTTCGTCAAGAACTAAGTATTTCCATACATTGAGAAATTTGTTAGTTAGTCGTTATTTGTCATTCATATTTTAGATCAGCCACAGAGCTTTCATTAAGCCATGAGCATATGGTCAAATACTGCATAGGTGCCGAAGATTTTCTTAGATTTTTGTACTTGTCGTTGTGATTTGTTTTCTTCTTTCATAGTGTAAATAACTGTTGATCCTTTGTTTGGGCTTTTTGTAAAACATGTTTACAGTGAAGTGGAAGTTTAGCTACAAAGGGCGAACAAGCTTTGCAGCGGTCCAAAAACAATAGGTCCGAGCGAGTCGGCAAATCGCAGAGTGTTAGCTAGTCCCAACCACCAGTTGACTATTTTCGTTAGTACATAAGTTAGCCGATCGGCTAACAAGAATTTCGATAGACCCTGAGAAGAGAATCCTTCGGTTAACGCTTTGACATAGAAGACTATATCGGGTTTGGCCACTGTGAGAATAGACTTAATCTACATAGCTTAAGGACTAGCTAAACTATCAATAGTACGGTCATCAGCCCTCCACTATCGTAAAGAAGTTACTTAATATTATAACGATCTTCGCGCTGTGGAGTGTCCTCGTATTCGAACCGAAGTAAGATCCATAAGATCGACAAACATTCAAGAAAAGACAGGAGGGTTTTCTTCGGGGCATTATCTAGTGCCCCACAATTGCAAGGCTAACTGATCCACCTGGAGAACAGCGGCCCGTAGTGGCTGTCACAAACCCCTATTCCTTGACCTATAGCTAGACAAGACTAAAGAGCTAAGCGGGGAATTATGATTTAACATACAAAGTCTCGATTACTCCGACATTACGAGGTTCAAGGAGGGACTTCTCATCCTCTATTGCGTTTCAATATAAGAGACCTTTCCATATACTCCGCAGGCGTCTTATAACGCTGGATCAGCCATGGATTCTTCGTTACATACAACACTCTCGCCTGAGTATCTGGCGGCGAATATAGGTGGCCGACTAATCGGTGTTGCGAGTGCTTTCATTCCTATCATCATCCTGTTTCTATCCTTACGTTTCTTCTCACGCTATTTGACCAAAACTCCATGGGGTCTTGATGATACGCTGGCAATCATATCTGGTTTTATATTGATTGGTTTATCTGCCCTTGCCATATGTAAGTCATGTCAGCCGACAGTTCCCATTCTCTCTCTAACTAAAGCTTTCCATAGGTTTTGTGAAATTTGGCGGCGTGGGTCGTCACCTCGATGCTTTGGAAGTACTAGAACCCGAGTTGGTTACGCAGTACTTCAAGTACCTTTTGGTGGTATCAACCTATTACTATAGCATGGTTGCTCTGCCAAAACTCACAGTTTTGGCACTATATGGACGCCTTTGGACTGTGAATCCATATCGCACCATCATCTTAATACTGGCGGCAATTGTCATTCTCACGGCTGTTGTGACAGGTGTCATGTGCTTAAATTTGTGCCATCCATTTGAGTACAATTGGGACCAATCTATCCCTGGAGGCCACTGTATAAATAAGCAGGCCTTTTTCACATTTGCATCGCTGCCGAACATTTTGACCGATCTTGTTATGATTGCCCTGCCTTTGCCTGTTGTGTGGAAACTTCACACCTCTACGAAAGTCAAGGTTGGTCTTATGCTGACTTTCATGACTGGAACTTTGTGAGTAAATCCCTAGATTATCTTTCGCAAGCTAACTGATATGTGTCTACTAGGGGTCTAGTGACTTCGATAATGCGATTCGTCATATTCTACCAAGGCAATGCTGTTACGGATGGAACTTGGTCTTCGACGGATCTCATGAGCTGGAGTGTCGCGGAACCGGATATCTACCTCATCAGCGCGTGTCTGCCCACATTACGCCCGTTATTAAATCGGCTTTTCGGCCAGAACGGGTCTACGACGAATTCATCATCACGGTACGGCAAGAGTTTTAAAGGGACAAATAATTCGATTGCGAATCCCAAAACGAACTTATCTACACAGCCTCAGGACATGGACAAGTATTCTGATTCTGCGTTGTATGGGGACGAAGTTCAGCTTGTGTCCATAGTGGGGAAGGAGAGAGATCCGAATAGGGATGAGGCCTTTTCACAAGATCACATCTATGTACAAAGGGAGGTGAATGTGTTAGTCAGTGAAGAATAGAAGAAACACAGAAGAGACCAACAGCAAAATCCTGTCTTTTATTTGAGATGTCCATCACTCGATAAATGGCCATAACCAAAAGTAGTCTCATGAGCATCCACTGTCGTTTTAGTGCGGATTCCCTGTATTAGTAGGCATCATTTTCGGATGATCAGACAGCTCTCCCGTTTTTTTTTCACCGACGTTGACCCACTCTTGGATCCGTTCAGGGGTCGCATTGAGGGTATTCTTCTAAGCTGTCCGAATCGCTGGCAACATGCCTCACATCTCTTCATGGAGGGGTGCAGTAAGTGAGGCTTTTTATGCGCTTTGCTGGCATCCTGTGTCTCTCGGGAGTCGCCGGATTAGGAAATTCGGGACGGCTTATTCAAGTGGCGGCGCCTACCGAGTTCTGTTTTTAGTGTTCCGACTTGGACATTAGTTGACAGATAAGACCTCGGGAATATCCTCCCGTCCCCCCTCCCCATAAATATCACGGTGTCTCCAAGAGCCTTTGCAGGGTATTTTCACCATTACCCTGAGATTCCACATTGTTTGTGAGAGCTCCGCAATATTACATTCCTTACTTTGTGGAGGCCGTTACTCGTGTCCTGCTTTCTCTTATTGGCTGCTCGTACGTTTCCATTTCCCCACGATGCTCGTGACTCTGGAAAACACCCCCTTCATTGTCCTCGGGCTGTTGGCCGCCTACTACTTGGTGCCCTATCTACAGCGATGGCGGCTGCACGACATCCCTAGCCCGGGTCTTGCGGCGTTTACCAATTTGTGGCTACTACTGCAGGCCCGACAGGGTAAGCGCTATTTGGTGGTTGATGAAATGCACAAAAAGTACGGCACACTAGTGCGAATTGCGCCTAAGCACGTCTCCATTGCCGACGATGCTGCCATACAGACCATCTATGGACACGGGAATGGATTTTTGAAGTCGTATGTTTCTTAGCTATCTTAGACCTTCACAAGTGCTAACATAGCGTGACTAGCGACTTCTACGATGCTTTTGTCTCTATCCGCCGGGGTCTATTCAACACGAGGGATCGGGCAGAGCACACTCGCAAACGCAAGACTATCTCGCATACATTTAGTGCGAAGTCTATTAGCCAATTCGAGCAGTACATCCACGCCAACATTGAGATGCTTGTTAAGCAGTGGAATAAACTGTCTGAACCCCTAGCCAACTCTCAGGCTAGCTATGCTAGTATTGATGCGCTCAACTGGTTTAACTACCTAGCCTTTGACATTATCGGTGACCTAGCCTTCGGTGCTCCCTTCGGTATGCTCGAGAGGGGCAAGGATATTGCTGAGATGCGGAAGACCCCAACCGACCCACCTAAGTACGTGGCCGCCGTTCAGGTGTTAAACCGCCGCGGTGAGGTCTCCGCTACCTTGGGCTGCCTATCGGCTCTAAAACCCTATGCCAAGTACCTCCCCGATCGCTTCTTCACACAGGGCATCGAGGCAGTTGAGAATTTAGCTGGCATTGCTATCGCCCGAGTCAATGAGCGCATTAAGCCTGAGGTTATCGCGAATAATACTCGTGTTGACCTGCTCACCCGCCTAATGGAGGGCGTTGACGAGCATGGCAATAAACTTGGTCGGGAAGAACTTACCGCTGAAGCGCTAACCCAGCTGATTGCTGGCTCGGACACAACTTCTAATACCACTTGTGCTATCTTATATTGGTGTCTATGTACACCCGGGGTAATCCCCAGGCTACAGAAGGTCCTAGACGATGCTGTCCCGAAGGATATCGAAGTCCCTACTTTCGCAATGGTTAAGGATATCCCCTAGTAAGTAATAACTCGCTTTGGTTTTGATTCTTGCACTGACTATCACTAGCCTCCAATGGGTTATCTGGGAAACGATGAGGATCCATAGCACATCTGCTCTTGGTCTTCCGCGTGAGATTCCTAGCGGCGCTGACCCTATCGATATCGCCGGCCATACCTTTATGCCCGGTGACGTTCTCTCCGTCCCTAGCTACACTATCCACCGGTCTAAGGAGATCTGGGGGCCAGATGCTGAGGAATTCGTCCCGGAGCGCTGGGAACACCCTACCGCTCGCCAGAAGGGCGCGTTCATACCTTTTAGCCACGGGCCGCGCGCTTGTGTCGGCCGTAACGTCGCCGAGATGGAGCTTCTCGTAATATGTGCCACCGTATTCCGTCTCTTCGACTTCCGGATGGAGCAGGATGGTCCCATGGAGACCCGCGAGGGTTTCCTGCGCAAGCCGCTTGGTCTACGGGTTGGTCTGCGTCGCCGAACCCCAGCATAGGTTTCTGCCACGTGCAGGCGAAAATGGATATCTTGCCGGCCGCAAGGGTTCTCCGAAAATAGAAACGAACATGGTTTTTGGTATCAAAAATGGTACAGGTAGTTGAGCATAGCGCACCTCAGGAAGAGAATTCCTTTATTTGTTTATGAAGGATCACTAAGGTGGAGCTAGCATTTCTTTCAAGCAGGTTAAGAATTGAGTCGATTTCTGGAAAGTTGGAGGGATAAGACGAGTCATTATAGCGACATAAGAAGAAGTCATCTTGACCAAGCTTCAGGGAAGAGTAATAGGCAGTAGAGCGGTTAGCATAGGAGCAGGCGAAGGGTTAGGAGCACAATAAGAATTGAAGAGCTGCTTAGGGCGAGCAACGGTGTGAGCGATCGGGTTGCTCAGTGCGCAACTCAGATCGCTAACCGAGCGACTCACCCGGTGATCTGGGAGCAGTTCGCAACCCGATGCGGCAGTTTTAGCATCTCTTCGCACAAAAGTATCTAGAAGTATCGCGCGAAGCGACTATAGAACCCGTATTTAGAGATATCGACAATCAGTCAATCATTAGAATATATTCTGTCTTCAAGAGTCAATACAATGGATGATACATAATTTGTTGTTCCAACTCGTCAAGCAATCTCCTCATCTTTGGCCTCAAGAATAGCATCAACCATCCCATCAAGCCCGCGGTTCCGCTCCGCCGAATCCAAATATTCCGCCGCCACCAACCTCGCCAGAACATCACCAACCCAGTTCTGGCAGTTCCAGTCCTGCTCGCCGTCCGCGGGTATCGGGGTGCTTGCTACCGTTGCGCGGAGTTTGGGGATTTCGGGAATCGTTGCTTTCTGTGGGAGGAGGGAGAGAGGGATTATTCGGGCGAGCTCTTTTTGTTTAAAAGTTTTAGTGTTTTGAAAGAGTACGTGAGAGGGAGATGAGGGAAGGAAGGAAAGATAAAGGAGCGACGAACCAGTTGAGTTGATGGGAATATCCCAATTCACCCTCTCCGAGAAAGTAAAGAAACCATGCGACCCAACGATCTCCATAAGCGAGGACTTGAGGTCTGGTTCTGATCCTGTCTCTTTCTCTGGGAACTGGAAGAACAGCGCCGTATGCCGGTACCGCGCAAAGTCGAGCGGCGATGCGACGTAGACGAGGATGGAGAGTGTGATGGGCATTTCTCCTGCCGCTACCACATATCTCGTTGGTGGATGGCTTATTTGCTTATTTATTCGTTTGTTCGCGTGGTTGGGAAAGAAGAGAAGATGTGAAATAAAATCGAATGAATGATGGTGAGAGTGAGTGCCGAGGGTTTGTTTGATTTGGGATTGGGGTGTGTCGGAATGACGTCGTTTTCGTTCTTTGGTTCTTCTAGAAGGATGTTCCGGAAGGATTTTGATTTTGGTACTAGTACTAATGTAGAACTTGAGTAGGGAAGAATGGCAGAGAGGACTTGAAGGCGGAATTTTAATAGAAAATCGTCCATCAGGAGTGAAATTGTTTGATCGCATCGGCGTGTTTGTAGTTTGCGTCGAGTGGCAGATGCCATTGGACCAGTGTTGCCGCCGTGATAATTACCACCTTTAGGTAGGAAACGAAAATAGACATAAAAAGCACACCGCTACTAATTACTTCTTTTGTTAGTCGGGTCGAGTGTTGTCATTTTCGGTAAAAAATTCACAACCCCGGACCAGCCGAAGAAGCATACCCGACACAGCTCGGGTGTAACCTTCGCTCAAATGCCAGCATGCAAAATGGTTCTATATCATGTTGTCTATGGATTTCGGTATCCCTTACGGCCGGCATTGAAGAATCTCGGAGACCATTCAGGTTCATTAGAATTCTCGAGGTGATAAGAGTTTAATGATCCAGGAGATAAAGCGTTCAATCAGATTGACTGATCTAGTGGAGTAGAAAACCTTTCCTACCAGTCCCCTGTGGGAGCAGCTGACAATCTACCTTGCACAACTACATAGGTGTTCCCAGCACGACGAACTAGAGAGATTCGTCGTAGGGATCCTTATCTCACATCAGAATCTATATCTTCCTAGGCGGCAGTATAAGGTACTTTCCACCGTGGCTCACAAGTGGAAGGATTAACAGAATGACGAAAAATCGTCCCCGCCGGGACGAGGCTCTCCCTCGCAGGACTGGAAGCATATTTCATCGGTTGCGGATCCATATCCCCCATGACGAGAACGAAGTTCACCAGCGGCGCAGGATAAGTTCCTCGCATGTACGCCGCCACCAAGTCATGGCCATTCGATTCCGCCGCTTATCCACAGATTCCCATCTATAGCCACATGCATGGTATCGTCGCCTTCTTTCGTGTTGCGGAACTGCTTGAACAGCTTTAAACACCTCTCACACTGGACTTTGATATTGAAATCATTATCAGGAAATAAGAACGCGATCGGAGCATCGCCGGTATCTATTGTAATTATCCCCACAGCCCAGCTCGACTCCACAACCTCGGCTTCCGCCCGAGTCTTTCATCTGGAATTGTTACTGTCACAAGGAATATGTTTTATGTTCAACAAGAAACCACCCCACCTCCCCGGAAAGAAATCATCGGCGTCGCCACAGTGACACTGACACTGACAGTAACAGAAATAATAATAAAGTAACCAACGGCTGTCCAATCTTAACTAACCACATTCGGTCCTGAGCCGACTTCTCCCCCGTATTATTCCCCGCATTATCTATCCTTCGGCCCATCTAGCAAATAATCGGGGAACGATCTTCCCCAGATTTAATTATTATTGGCCGGAGCAGCCCACCCCGCAAAGTTTATAGACAAAGAATCCCATGTGCTTAGACTTTCGATAAACAGGCTCCGGATCAGGGTTCTCCGGTCGTCATAGCGTGGGGGTCAAGGAACAAGCATATATAGAGTGATTTTCTGCATGATCGGGATCCCGTCGGCAGGATAGAAGAACTGTCGGTGCAGAATACCAAGATCATTCGTTGGCACCTCATCTCATCATGGGTTCAGTCGCGGATTCTCCGCGAAAAGGTGGCTTTGGGCTTGTTTTGCAGAACCCTTATCTTTGTGGTGTTGCTACAGTAAGTAATTACATCGGAAACTTTTGCTAAGAATACTTGCTGACGGGGACGGACTAGTTTTCTACCCTCGGAGGACTGCTCTTCGGATATGACCAGGGCGTCATCAGCGGTGTGATCACCATGGAATCCTTCGGGGCTCGCTTCCCACATGTCTTCATGGATAGCGGTACCAAAGGCTGGTTTGTGTCGACGCTTTTGCTTGGTGAGTCTCTTTTCTTGCATACTCGTGGATTCTATATCGCCTCTCTGACTCTCGTGGCTAGCTGCCTGGTTTGGATCTTTGGCCAATGGTCCTATTGCTGATCGCATTGGACGGAAATTTTCGATCAACCTCGCGGTGGTTATATTTGTTATTGGATCAGCAATCCAGTGCTCCGCTATGGATATCCCCATGTTGTTTGTTGGTGAGTACCATACCCATCTAGGGTGACTTGATGCCAATATTTTACCTCTAGGAAGAGCAATTGCTGGTCTGGGCATTGGCATGCTGACCATGGTTGTGCCGCTCTACATCTCAGAGGTAGACACTATCTGAATTGAGGTCGTAGAACCAGCACTGACTCAAGCACAGGTTTCCATTCCTGAGATTCGTGGTGGCCTGGTCGTGGTCCAGCAACGTAAGTCTCATCCAGGCCAGCTCTATGCATTTATTAATAATTTCTCAGTATCCATCACCATCGGCATCCTTATCAGCTATTGGATCGACTACGGAACAAATTATATAGGCGGCTCCCGCTGTGCCCCCAACATCCCCTACACCGGCGGGACACCCTCGGCACGCACATTCAATGCCTACCAAGATGTCCCACCGGGAGGCTGCACCGGCCAATCTGAAGCCTCCTGGCGTCTTCCCTTGGCTATCCAAATTGTCCCAGCCATCATCTTGGGAGTTGGCATGCTGTTCTTCCCAGATACGCCTCGTTGGCTCCTGATGAAGGAGCGCGATGATGAGTCGCTGAATGCGCTCTCGAAGCTTCGGCGGCAGTCTCGCGATAGTCCGCTGGTTTTGAACGAGTATCTGGAGATCAAGGCGTCTATAATGCTGGAGAATACGTTTGCTAAAGACCATTTCCCTAATATGTCTGGCTTCAGGCTGCATCTTGCGCAGGTTCGTGATACATTGGGCTTTGGGATGTTTCTTGTGCTAACATGTCTGGTAGTACATGACCTTCTTAACGACATGGTCACGTTTCAAGAGGCTGGCTATTGGCTGCTGCGTGATGTTCTTCCAGCAATTCATGGGTTGCAATGGTAAGTGCAACTCGTCACATACCATAAAGCAGAATCTAAGATTCCTCCAGCTATGATTTACTACGCCCCTACAATCTTCGGCCAACTTGGCCTGGATGGCAACACCGTATGTCTTCCCGTCACAATCCTAATTGAAATACCCAACTAACCACCTTATGCAGACATCCCTCCTGGCAACAGGAGTTTACGGCGTCGTCAACTGCCTCAGCACCCTCCCAGCTCTCTTTTGGATCGACAAAGTCGGCCGCCGACCTCTACTCATGGCTGGCGCCACGGGCACTTGCATCTCTCTAGTGATCGTTGGTGGTATTCTCGGCGGATATGGCTCGCATCTGATGGACCATAAATCAGCTGGATGGGCGGGTATTGCCTTCATCTACATCTACGATATCAATTTCTCGTATTCGTTCGGTGAGTATCTTACATTATATGGCCGTGAGCAGAAAGAATTGACAAATGTAAAAGCTCCTATCGGTTGGGTTCTCCCGTCAGAGATCTTCAATCTCTCCATTCGGTCCAAGGCTATCTCGATTACCACTTCAGCTACGTGGATGTGCAACTTGTGAGTTGATATCTATTTTGCATTGCTGTGTTTCCACGCTGACATCTATTTTCCCCTACTAGCGTCATCGGCCTCGTCACACCGGATATGCTTGACTCCATCACATGGGGCACATACATCTTCTTCGCGGCCTTTTGTCTGCTCGCGCTTGCATTTACATTCTTCTGCATCCCAGAGACGAGAGGAAAGGTAGGACCTTGTACCCTCTTTTTGGCTATACAATTTTCTATTTTGCTTACCTTCTTGTCTTTCAGACCCTCGAAGATATGGATCTCATATTCGGAGATACAGCTGCGCATGAGGAGAAGAAACGCATCAAGCATATAGAGGCTGAGTTGCGTGGGGCACCTATCGAGGAGGACGATTTGAAGGAGCCGTTGGATCAGCATAGGGAGGCTGTTTGAGATTCGCCTTTATTTTTTTAATACGTAATGAGTGGAACTGAAAATAGCTATTGGATAATCCTCTCTTTCATTCACAGTTAATATCATGGCATACAAATGCAGTAGTCATTGGATGGATATAGGGGAATCAAATTAGCCTTCACTAATCTCTACACTGACCTTCATTCCTCCATAAAGCGTAGACAATCAAACATACAAGAGGAAAAATCATTCAGTAGGCGGGAAATTAACCCACTCCGAAAAGTCCATTCCACCGGGAGGAGGCATCGGCATCTGCTGCTCGACGGGGAACAAAGACCCCGGGAAACCGGGGTCACTGAAGAGCTGCTGCGGGAATGAAGGCATGTAGCTCTGCTGGGCTTGTTGGGGAAGAGGCTCTTGGTGCGGGTGTTGTTGCTGGTGTGGGCCTCCAGGGCTGGGCAGACTTGAGAAGGCCTGTGCAGGCGAGCCTATAAGTCTGTTCACAACTTCTAGACAGCGTGTGGCGAAGCGATTGTTTCCTATTGAGGGATGGGAGAGGAGGGCTTTTGTGGTTTCAATGTCATGGAGCCAACTCGGGGCGTCTGGGTTTGAGGGGTCGGTCATTAAGAAGACGATGGGGATGAGGCCGGCTTGGAAGAGGAAGTATCTTGTTCAAAGTTAGCACTGGTCGATAAGAAACAAAGAAGAAAGCGTACAGCATATACCACGCCCCGATTCTCATGCACACGTAGTTGTCCATATACTCCGCGATAGATGAAATGGTCAATCGCGCAGTCTGCAGGCATCTAACCCGGCACTCTGTCTCGCACGGGTCTTCGGTTCCTGAATCAGGAGTGCCTGGGGGACCACCGATACTGCCACTAGGCGCCCATCGTCTCGCGGCCCAGCGGAGTAAGATAGGTCGGTAGATCAGAATAGTCAAGTTCCAGTTCCTCCACAAGAGACGGTTGCGCACTAAGGCGAGGTTTTCGGGGACTATATTCGTTGGCTGGACAGACAGCGATTGCTGAGGATGCTGGATATAGGATGGCAAGCCGTTGTACCATTCTTCCATTGGTTTCTGCAGATTCAGCGTCTCCTCGGGTGTTGGACTGGGGCTCGAGATCAGACGCTGGTAGACACTGTTGGTAAGAAGGTGAAAACGGGCTTGAGCGATCAAGCCCGAGTAGAGAGTTGGGCCGGGTTCTTCGGGAGGGAGAGTTGTTGTTGCAGGGGTGAGGGCATCGTCATGGATGTTGAGAACATGCTTTGCGTCCATGACACTATCCTCTGGGAGAAGGATCGGTCGACCAAAGGTTTTGGCGGCACCGCTATCAAAGATGAAGACGCCCCACCACAGTCTCCGGCGGATCTCCCGCTGTAGCAGGCTGATTTTCCAACCGGGAAACTCTTTGTGGAGGCCCAGACTCATGGCCATGCGCACTGCCAATCCCAGGTAGTTCCAGCCGGTGTTTGGCTTGTTCCGTTTCTGGGCATAGTTGCTCAGCAACAGCAGAGCCTGCACCAGTGTGAGGTTCCCTGTTTCGAATACAGATGCCTGCTGCAGATAACCTCTCGCCTCCTGATAGAAAGTGATGTCAAGATCCGAGCTGTCATCCCCAATGCTCCATGCTCCGAGCGCCAGCACAGTATTTAGCAGAATCTGCCAGGATGTACCATGAGCCCGCAAGGATGGGTCGTGGAACTGCGCTCGGAAAGTTGCTTCATGGACGAATGGGTAACTGGTGTGATAGTTGAGGAAGTACGCATCGATAAAAGCCTGCTCAATCAATCCGGATGGAGCGGTTTCTAGAAGCTGTGCTTTTAGAGGCACCCCTCCAGAGCTGGCCGAGCGCACTGGCATGTTGAGATCAAATCCATGGTCAAATAGTGCTCGTAGTGGTACAACACTTGAGGATGCTCCGAAGTAGCCAGCTCCTTCGGGTTTGATGGACAATGCCGCCATGCCATCTGTTAAATCTCCCAGCGTAATCTCCTTTTCGGCCCAGTCAAATCCATCGGCTTGCTGTGGTAAGGCTTCTGGCGCTGGTTCGGCCCTTTCCGCTTCCGGCTTGGCTGGTGTCGAGTGTCTTGAGGATGACTTGGATGAAGAAGCTTTAGGCGGAGCGTCCGGATTTTGCAGAAGAGAACGCAGGGTGGCATCCAAGTCGCCTCCGGGAAATAGCCTACTCAAGGCTGTTTCAAAGGCGTGCAAACGGTCTTCAACGTATGTGAGGTGTCTGGAATGTGATCAGCTTTTGTCTACTAAGGAATTCATTTTGCCTGCTAAGACGTACTGCCGAGTGAGAGGACTTCTGCTGACTTTGGGGCTGTATTTGCACTCCTTATTCAACTGCCGGCATTGCAAGCAGATGGGCTTCTCTTTCGAGCACTAGAGCAGGAATGAGACGTTGAAGCATGAGCGTTTATTGAAGTTGCCACTTACTCTTGACTTCCTGAGCCGGCATTCATCGCACTGAAATAGCCATTAGTATTTGCGTCTCTCCGTGATCCTTTTCCACATACAGCAAATGAATGCGAATCGCGCGTGCTAGCCATCATTATCGCGGTCGATCGCAACAGTTACATCGGGTGTCTAACGCGCTGTGATCATGCCAGACGGCAGTCATCTTCTCACCGTTAGATCCGGCCGTCAATCCAATATGGCCAACTCACGATCGGCGCCCATGCAATCATTGGTCTGTTCTCAGCTCGAAGGCAAAGTGGCATGAACATCTCCCCTCGCTCTGGTGGGGGAGGTCATGTGATGCGCGGAAAAACCTTCGTAGTGGCCTCAGGCATGGAAATTTTTTCCAGAGAGATGATACTAATATGGTTGCATCCGATTCTGAGAGGATCGGCGTTGCGGGTGATTTACGTGTTACTGTATACGAGGACTTTGCATGACCTTGTCCTACTTCACAAACCGAAGGCAAAATCCGCCCGACCGGAGGGAGAGAGCGCAGTGTATGAATGAACTACGAAGCAATGGATTGGCTATTTATGAAGTGGAATGGAATAAATAGTAATCGGTTTACTCCTGATCATCAACAGATGGATATTGTGCAGGTCAGGAAGTGTACTGGCAGACGCAGATATATATATGTCAGCCCGACACCCCTTCTGCAGACACTGTCATTACCTTGGCATACTTTTTACACAAGATTGAAACGTTCCTAAAAGACATAGTTCACAAATGAATAAATACACATAACAGGATGATCAGTCCCTGCCGTCGGCGAGGTGGCTTCAATATATCTTCTCTGCTGCTTTTCTATGGTTTGTCTTGGCATCCCGGATCACCGCCTGCATTTTTCAACATCATCTCCGGCTATCTCCAACCGCCAGAAAAAGCGGCGCCAACCGGACCAAAAAATGCCCTCCCAGCCAGCTTTACCACCGCTCCTCGCGCCCTATCTCTCCCCTGTCCCTCAATCATCACTGACCCTGGTTTCTTCCATCCTTGGCGCAACAAGCAACTGGCTAGTCCTCAGATTTCTTCATGCGGCACTAAGCACCTCATCAAGTCAGAATGCCGCATCTGAGCCAGAGGGGGTTCAGAATGGCGCGAAGCGGAAAGTAGTCTTTGTGAGCTTCATGCGGAGTTTTGAATTTTGGAAGTCAGAGGCGAAGCGATTGGTATGTATTTGGAGAAGATGTTATTTTGCAATTTTACAAATACCTCTTCGAGTCTAACGCGTCTTCAGGGTCTGGACCTTGTACGCTTGGCAGACAAGCAGCAATTCGCCTTCATTGATGGCCTCTCAGGGCTATTTTATACACCACCAATCTCTCGCACCACTTCTTCTGCTGCCTCCGCCGCTGGCCGGGGAGTAGCACTCCTCGAACAACTTTGCCACTGCGATCTCAACCCGGACCTCTACCAGGGAGATCACCACAGCCACCGGCGATACCACCAGGCGGAAGTGGCATTGCACCGCGAAGTCAGACAGAGCTGGGCGTGGCCAAGAAGCTCCATTTTTCCGGCCGCGGCACTGCAGCCCTCGATGCGCTGGAAAGCGACATCATCTCTGTGATGCAGCAGCTTAAGACTTCCGCAGAAGACGGCGATGAATTGCTTCTCATCGTCGATCAGCCGGACTTACTACTCGCCACCACGGGGCCGAGTCTGGGAATCGGAGCGACCGAGATGGCGGAGTGGGTGACGGGGTTACAGCAGCATGCACACGCTACGATCTTGACTATAGCAGCGGACTCGCCGCTGATACATAATGTTTCCGTATCGAGGGCTGGAGGCCACATGCCTGCTCCGATTGAGACGGAGCATGCGGGGTTTGCGATTGGGCTGGCGCATCGGGCACGCTCCGTTATGCAACTGCGTACTCTGGAGACTGGGGTTGCGAGGGATGTTAGTGGGGTGCTGAGGATAAGTGCAGGCGGCGGATGGACTGCGGGCAAGGATGATAGCCCGGAGAAGGAGGTGTTGTATTACATCCAGCGGGATGGTGGCGTCCGGGTGTTTGGCCGGGGCGAATCTTAGACTGTACTGGATGAGATGTTCTCGAGTACCATCCGAGAGAAGGGTGGGAAGAGAGATATCTTCACATTGTATGTATCACGACATAGAAAGAGAAACAAGGAAATTCATGCATGCTTTCCTCTCCGACTTTATTTCACATCTCCATCAAAACACCACCATCGCTCGAATCCTCTCCATCACTGTCATCCAGATCGTGCAGCGAACAGACGAAAGAATCGACAGGTCTGCCACAACACACACCACTTGAGGAAAGAAAAGAAACGTTCATATTCCGGAAACGGCCAAATTGCATTGCGAGCAAGCTATGAGAGTCGTAATGCTAGGACCATTGTTCATGCCAGGATATATCCCCATCCTCTTTTTTCTTTGCCTTATTTTCCAGCCATCTCCGAGAACGAAAACGCGACGCCGACCGAGCGGATGATATCATTCAAAAAGAACATTTAGTGGTTCTCGGGACCACGGGCGCCCTTGGGGGTGCCGACCTGGAAACCGTTCTTGAAGCGGCGGTGCACGTCACGCAGAGACCTGAGGCGGCCGCTGCCGGTGGTCTTGCGGCGCATGGCCTTCTCGCCCCAGTTGTCTGTATTTTCGGTAAGCCAGTGTTCAGTTCAACGACCGTGCATTTCCGACACAAATTTTGTATCCGAATCATCGGGGTTGTAGGGAGGGATTGCATACACTTGCGGGTCTTAGCAGAGGGGTAGCCACAGTTGGAGCAGGTGTGCTTCTGAACGTGGAGGGAGCGGCGGCCTATACGCAGTCGCAAGAAAAAATCGTCAGTTCCAGGGTCCTCTTCATAGCAAGTTTTGTGTCCAATCCCAATCCCATTCGTCGTCGCCATCGTTCAACTCATTCCAGGGGCTGTTGTAGAGATTTGCGATTTCGGTTCGAACGGGACTGGATGGTGGACAGAGACTGGTAGGATGGAGATACTAACCACACCGACGGCACAGAACGTGCGTCTTGTTGTGGCGCTTTCCGAAGCTCGAGGTACCCTTCGCTGTAATCGTTGTCAGTATGCTGCTGCTGCACTGTCTCGTCGACGCGGCGGATGATCGCGGTGGTCGGTGGGTTCGTGGTAGGACGTACTCATTTTGGATTAGGGAACTGGGCGAAGAAATTGATGTTAGTGTGATGGAAGAGCGCAAGAGCGAGGGTGAGTTGAAGTACCTGGCGATTCCGTGGAAGGGGCTGGTTGTCGGGATGTCGTCGTCGGGCGGATCGAAATTGGCGAAATTGATGGCAGGAGAATCGTCGTGGGCTGGGTCAGGTGATAGGGTTTGCCCTGTCCCGTGATAACGAGTCACATGATATTATACGCATCACGTGATATTTCTCAGTATAGCCGGAGCATCGATAGTGATTAAATAGTAATTTCGAGGGTATTCTGTTCAACCCAAACGCCAAAAATGTTATAATTACAGGTCCTGATCAATGAACTTCGCCATGGGATCGTCCGCCGTCAGCCGGCTTCGTTTGTACGACTCGATCTCTTCCTCCGTGATGCCTGACTTCACTTCCGCCAACGTGCGCTTTCTTGCATTGGCCTTCTCCTCTGTCCTTGTGTCCACGGGTTCCGACTCAAGAGGTTCATCCACCTGATTGGGTGATTCCTCGCCATTCTCGGGCAACATCAACATGTTGCCCGCTTCCTCGAACGCCTTCTTTCCCTCCTCTCCCGTGCAGTAGCTGTTCTTCACGGTAGAGAAGCAGCATGTGTAGCCCCACTGGAACTCATGCCACCAGCTACCCCAAACAGAAGTATGGTTGTTGACCATGACATCTTCGGCGTATTTGGATTTGGTCGCCCTTTTAGGTGCGCCCTTGATGGCACCTGATTCGTCGTACTCGACAAATCGCTCGTTCTCGACAACCATCGTGTCGCGGAGAGGAGTTGGTTGGAGATGTTCGAAGCCACCGTATTTGTCCAACAGAGCCTTGCGCTGCGCCTGACGCTTGGCCTCGCTTTCAGATTTCTCTTTCTTTCGAAGAACCTCGCCAGAGGTCGGGTTCGCCTGAAGATGAATCTGCGCACGACCGCTTTCCTGAGATTCCCATGCATAAGTCTGTGCTTTCTCAAATTCAGCAGCGTCGCCTGAAGCGCGAATGAAATTCTCCTCCGCGACTAGTGCCGCCGCTTGATCTTCCTGTGCACCCATATCGACCATTCGTCGCGTTTTCGGATCGTATTTGGCAGAATCGAGGTCGAGGTTGAGTAAATATTTTGCGGTGTCTTCTCGGATACGTAGGTTGCGGGTTGCCGTACTTTGTTGTCGACCCATGTCGGACTCCTCAGCGTAGCGAAGCTCGTCCGCAGGTCGGCTATCATCATCATCATCCTCCTCCCCGTCCTTGACCATTTTGAGACCTTCCCCGTCCTTCGCCGCCCGCTTCATGGCCTCCAGCTCTTCATATTCGTTGACAACCTTGCGGTACTCGCTGGCATCGTATCCGTTCCACCGATCGCGTTTGGCGTCCCATCCCATGTCAACTGTTTGGATGACTTCGTCTGCTTGAATATCCTTGCCAGTCCACTTGGCACCCTGCTTTCGAGGTCGGCTGAGGCATTCTTTCGTCTTATGTGTCATCGCACCGCAATTCTCGCATGCGCCTTTTCGGTACTTGGTCACAGCTGGACCCGCGCGCTTTCCCCGATCGTACCATTTGGACTGTTCCTGTGTTGCTTTTTGCAGACGCTGGTGCTCAAGGTAGTCATTTCCAGAGTCATCATCGACGTAGAAGGGCTTCTTCGAGATGAACGACGGAATGTATTCGTTGCGCTCCTTCGACGCCACATCGGCGGGTTTGCGCGACATGGTGGAAGAGGCCTGCCGAAAGGCAGGAAACCACAGAGAATGAGAAGAATAAAAAGAGGCCAAGTCCCACGAGAGTAGTGAGAAGTGCAGTGAAGTGATGAATGTCGTCGGATCGTTTTCCCAAGGGCCGAGACTTGGCGGATCGAGACCACGTGACCTGGCGTTTCTCCCGCGTGGCGCGTGCCTGTTATGCCTCTTTGCCCTTACACAACAGGTGATCAACTGAGGACAGAATCCGTCGAGGCTTTTGCGCAATGTCGGTGATCTGCCGGGTTAACTCACGCCAGACCGATGGAGCCGTTTCGAGTGCGCCTCAACTGCATCGATCACTACCAAGCATCCGCGTCGGCATTGGACCCTCCACTGCCTCGCTGTGATGGAGCGCCTGAGAATACTTTCAGGCCCAAGGTGCCGGTGATTCGAATATTTGGGTCGACCGAAACCGGACAGAGAGTCTGCGTGCATGTCCATGGCGCATTTCCTTATCTCTATATCCAATACGACGGTCCCTTGACACCGGAAGAAGGTTGGCCCAGACTGGACCCTGACATTTAACAATCGACTAAATTTAGCTGCTAGTGAACTCAGCCAGTCGGACCCTGCACCTCTCTATTGACCATGCGCTGGCGATCAGCTATCGGCGCAATGCGTACGATAGGAAGACCGCCTTTGTCGCGCACATCACCTTGGTCAAAGGCATTCCCTTCTATGGATACCACGTGGGGTATCGGTTCTTCTTCAAGATCTATCTCCTCAATCCCTATTATATCACTCGCCTGGCCGACCTTTTACATCAAGGAGCCGTGATGAAGCGTCCATTACAGCCTTATGAGAGCCATCTGCAGTACGTTCCCCAATGGATGTGCGACTACAACTTGTACGGCTGTGCATACATGAACTGCAGCAAAGTCACCTTTCGTGCTCCTGTACCAGAGTATCTCGAGCTCAGTAACCTGAGTCACCGTTGGCATGACCGGTTAATTGCTCCTGAAAGCATTTCGGATGACCCGGCCCTTCAAAAACAGAGTCATTGTTCACTGGAGGTGGATGTCTGCGTACAGGATATTTTGAATCGCTCAGATATCAAGGAGCGGCCCTTGCACCATGACTTTTCGGAGTTTTTACGGCCGGTTGCCTTCAACGAGCGGCTCGTGCCTAGCATGGAGGGCCTGTGGCAAGACGAAACCCGACGACGCAAGAAACGGATGGGAATCAGTGATCCCGGAAGCAGTCCATTTGGCCCTGACGAGCTGGTTTCAATGTCTGCCGGCCCAAGAAACCAATCGGCTGGGGGCTGGGTCCACGAAGAAGAATATCGTGAGATGGCCTTTGAAATTGCTGCCAAGGAAAAGGAAGAAAGTGACGCGAAAGAGTCAACATTTGAAAACTTCCTTGAGCCAAATGAACTCGTGGGCAATGTGAAGACAGCTCTGGACAGTGTCGAGGATTTCTATCCTAATAATTTGGATCTCAGTACCCACCAACAACAGGCTCCCGGCGAGCAAGCCGTGCCTGAAGTGTCGGTTGATGAACGCGTGGCCCTGTCTTCTCAAACCCGGGAAGACCCTTACTATTCTGATTCCGGTGACTTCGACGACTCCTTCATGGAGGCTGCTGAAGAGGAACCCCGAGATGGCGCGGCAAATCCTCTGCAGGAGAGCTTTGATGATGGGATATTTGATGATCTGTTTCAACTGGATGCTGCAACACCCAACAAGGATGTACAAACAAAGTCGACAACTGAATCATCAAGTACTATTGATCCCGACCAGGTGCATGTCCTGTCAAGGGCCAGGAGCATTCCCACTAAACGGCCACACTTTAAACTCACCGATCACGACCAGCGTTCAAGCAAAAAGTCAAAGTCTTCCAATGAGTCTGCACCTCCTGCTGCCCAAAGGGACTTGGTAGATTCGGCCAAGCGGGGCGAGGATACAAGGACTCGCGAAGCTTCCTTCAATGCTGATTTCATGCCACTGTCCTCGACATCAACGCCTTCCTCCTCTCAGAAGACAATTCGCCCAAAGAAACACCCGTCAAACAGCAGACTAAACTATCCAGTTGTCAAGGACCCCAATGATCCCCTCACAATTCTACGATTTAGTCAAGATGATGGCCATTCGTCCAAGGACTCGCAGCCATTTCAAACTGCGTTTCCGCCTGGTCCCACTACGAGCGCATCAGGAAATACTGGCGAATCAGGAAGCACCTCGCAGCAACAATCTTCGTCAACGGTGACGGGGACATCCTCTCTAGATCCGCATGTGGCGGGAGTAATTGGAAAGCTCCATGACAGCTTTGGAATACCGCCTGACTCGTCCTTGTATTGCTTTCGACTCGTCAGTCCTGGATTCACTGAGGTTGTGTCCACTATGAATGACTATGGCCGGCCATCTGTTGTCTATCAGAAAGCCCATTACAGTGAACCGATTGACGTGCCCGAACGACCACGCGAGTATGGTGGCCGAGAGTTCCGCCTAGAAAGCAACACGATTCATTATCTACCGGAATTTGAACCATCAGGGGAAATGCCTGGAGTCTTTGGTGAACAGCCTTCGATTCTCTACGACCGGGACCAGCAGGAGAAAGACGACCAACGACTACGAGAGTCGTGTGCTGCCAGGGTGTGGGAGTTTGCAGCAGTTCCACCCAGTCGATCAGAAGTGATTGAGTGGTTTGAGAATGGCCAAGCCTCCAAGCAAAACAAGCAAACCACGAAAAGTCCATCCAAGCCAGAAATGAAGCCCAATGTTCTTTCCCAGATTGAGGGCCCAACACAGAACAATGCTTATGGATTTAAATACTCCCAGAAGAGAAAGTCTACTAGCGTGGAGCACCAAACCCAATATATGAGCACGATGAGCTTAGAGGTGCATGTGAATACTCGCGGGTCTCTTTCAGCCAACCCGGAGGAAGATGAGATCACCTGTGTTTTCTGGGGTATCCAGTCCGATGATGAGGATCTTGAAGTCAACAGCCATCTTCCTGGTGTTCATGTCGGCATGATCTATCAGGGTGAAGGTGAACGCCCCGAAGCCAAGATCTCAAAATCCTTGACAATTGAAGTTGACCATGAGACATCGGAATTGGATTTGATTAATCGTGTGGTTGATATTGTCCGCCATCACGACCCCGATATAATCACTGGTTATGAGGTCCACAATGGGTCCTGGGGATACCTGATCGAGCGAGCTAGGAGGAAATATGATTTCGATCTATGCCATGAACTGTCGAGAGTGAAATTTGACTCGCGCGGAAAGTTCGGCAAGGAGTCTGACCGATGGGGCTTTGAGCACACCTCGTCAGTTCAAGTAACTGGTCGACACATGGTGAACATCTGGCGTGCCATGAGAGGCGAACTGAATCTTTTACAGTACACGATGGAGAACGTGGTTTTTCATCTCCTGCATCGCCGAATCCCTCACTATTCACCCCAAGTCCTCACACAGTGGCACCAGAGCGGCAAGCCTCGGCACCTGGTCAAGGTCGTAGATCACTACATCTCTCGCGTGCAAATGAACCTGGAGATAATAGAAGCAAATGAACTGATCCCACGGACGAGCGAGCAAGCGAGGCTGCTCGGGATTGACTTCTACTCAGTCACCTCTCGCGGCTCCCAATTCAAAGTCGAATCACTGATGTTCCGAATCGCCAAACCCGAGAATTTCATTCTCGTGTCTCCCAGCAGGAAGCAGGTCGGGCAGCAGAACGCTCTCGAGTGCCTGCCCTTGGTCATGGAGCCGCAAAGCGACTTCTACACAAGCCCACTTCTTGTCCTTGATTTCCAATCCCTTTATCCTAGTGTGATGATCGCATACAACTACTGCTACTCGACGTTCCTGGGCAGGGCCCTTCATTGGCGCGGCCAAGACAAGATGGGGTTCATGGGTTACAGACGCCAACCGCAGATGTTGGATTTATTGAAAGATGAGATCAATATCGCACCGAACGGCATGATGTATGCGAAACGAGAGGTTCGCCAGTCGCTCCTTGCCAAGATGCTCACAGAGATCCTGGAGACTCGGGTCATGGTCAAGAATGGCATGAAAGTCGATAAAGACGACAGGGTCTTGCAGCGACTCTTGAATAACCGACAGCTCGCCCTCAAACTGATTGCGAACGTCACGTACGGATACACATCGGCCTCTTTTTCTGGACGCATGCCCTGCTCCGAGATCGCAGACAGCATTGTTCAGTCCGGGCGAGAGACCCTCGAGAAAGCCATTGCATTCATTCACTCTGTCGAACGGTGGGGCGCCGAGGTAGTCTACGGAGACACAGACAGTCTGTTTGTCTACCTCAAGGGCCGCACGCGGGACCAAGCCTTTGATATCGGCGAGGAGATCGCCAAGGCAGTCACAGAAATAAACCCACGGCCTGTGAAACTCAAGTTCGAAAAGGTATACCACCCGTGCGTGCTACTGGCCAAGAAACGCTACGTCGGCTTCAAATACGAGCACCGAACCCAGGCAGAACCCGAGTTCGACGCCAAGGGCATCGAAACTGTCCGCCGCGACGGCACTCCCGCCGAGCAGAAGATCGAAGAGAAAGCACTGAAACTCCTCTTCCGCACCGCGGATCTTAGCCAAGTCAAGACCTACTTCCAGCGCCAGTGCGCAAAGATCATGCAGGGCCGGGTCTCGATCCAGGACTTCTGTTTCGCGCGCGAGGTGCGTCTCGGCACTTACAGCGAGAAGGGCACCTTGCCCGCCGGTGCGCTGATTAGCACGCGCAAAATGCTCGACGACCCCCGTCTGGAGCCGCAGTATGGCGAGCGCGTGCCCTACGTGGTCGTGACCGGCGCTCCCGGGTCCCGACTCATCGACCGCTGCGTTGCACCCGAGGAACTTCTGCACGACGTACAGCTCGATCTCGACGCCGAATACTATATCACCAAGAACATCGTCCCGCCTCTCGAGCGGATCTTCAATCTCGTCGGCGCAAACGTTCGTCAGTGGTACGACGAAATGCCCAAGGTGCAGCGTATTCGTCGCATTGACAATTCTGCTTCTCGCCCCGGAAATCCAAAAGGCAAAGATGTTGGCTTCTCCAAAAAGACCCTCGAATCCTACATGCGCTCCTCCTCTTGCATTGTCTGCCGAGCCAGACTATTAGACTCCTCCATCCCTGTCTGTGGAGCCTGTCTCCAGCAGCCGCACATAGCGCTCCTGGATCTAACGCAGCGTCTACGGCGTGCTGAGAAGCGAGCTGTTGATCTCGAGACGGTGTGTCGGGCATGCATGGGTGTTTCGGCTGGCGATGAGGTCAGTTGTGATAGTATGGACTGTCCTGTTTACTATTCGCGCACGAGAGACGTGGCGTCGTGGAGGCATTCACGGGCGGTGCTTCAGCCTGTCGTGGAGATGTTGGAGAAGAAGGGAGATGAGGAGCTTGATTGGTGATTGTTTTTGTTTCTTTGGAGTTGTTGCATTTTACGGCTCGTTTTGGCCTGGAAGGCTGGCGTTGAAGATTATATCTTGGTAATACCCCTTGAACTAATATTGGATGGCGGGCGCATGACTTTTGGGAATGGAAGAGCTCGTTCCGGCTTCGATACAAACGTTCGCAATATGGACACAAACAAAATAACATTGGGAGCATTACGACGTTTATAGGGTAATGAAGCTCGCAATTCAAATTTGGTTGATACATTTTCCCTCTCCCCAGACTATGAAATAAGGACCATTGCTATGCTGAAACTTCAACTCTGCGCTTCATGTCCATGAACTCCGGCGAAAAGATTCTGCTGAAAATATTCATAGCAAACTTCTCAGTGCCCTGGCATAAAAAAAAAATCATTCCCCATCCCAGGACATCCCAGAGATGACACCGAACCAAACCGAATTCTCGGTGGTAGGCCGTCAAGACGAAAAGAGAACCCATCATCACATTTGTCGATATTCTAATCAACTTCCCCCAAGACGGCGCAGCTTGTCCATCACCCAGGACTTGACATCGCCCTCCTCCTCCACAATGTCCACAACCTCGTCGCTGTCTTGATAGTCATTGCCCAAAGACACTCCACCTTCATGCGCGTCCTCGAATGTGTCTTTCCCGGTCTCAAGTCCAGCATCATCTAACGGAACATGCTTCTCAACCAAAGACGGATTAATCTTCTCGTCCATCTCAAGATCACGCAGCATGTCCACCACTTGGATGGTAGGCTCGTCGATGGGAGGCCGGCTATCTGTGTTTTTCTCGGAATCCGGTATCTCAAATCGACCCAAGGCAATTTTTCCGAGGTAGTCAGAGAAAATCCAAGGAAAGCTGATAAGTGGTAGGGTTTCTGCACTTGTATCAAGATTGTCATCCAGAGGTTCGATGTCCACGAGTAGCTCAGGACGGCGCGGCGCAAGTGTGGCCTCCATTTCCTCCTGCGTGACGCGGTACATGGCGACCACCAAGGGAGCAAGAGCCTCAAACTTTCGTGCTCCCACTTTATCATAGCATTGCTGGCGGAAACCGCTGCGAAGGGTGTGTACAATTCTACCCAGCTCTTCGTGGAGTTTGTAATCCTTGTGGGCATGGCCGTGGCTAAGCACAAAGGTGGACCAAACCTCGAATTCGGTCTGGATCTCGTACTGTGCCATGATCCTGCGCATGGCCGAGTCGTAACCCTCTTTGAGATCTCTGGCATATTCCATGAACTGCTCACTGAAGGGAACCAGGGAACATTTCAGAATGCGAGAGTCAAAGGGCATTTCGAGACTGGGAACGAACTGAACGAGCTTGACTTTATCATAGAGTTGACCGAGGATCTTCTTCGAGTGATAAATCTGCTCCTTCCGCTTGAACCTCTTCTCCATGAAATGTGGCCACATACGGGGACTAAGATCGCGCGTCATATGGGCAGGCCTGCCGCTCTTGTTGTAGTCGACTGCGTCTGAGTGAAGCTGAGCGAGCTGGAGGCATTTCTCTTCACACACACCGTCATCGAGCTGATCAGCCCAGGCCATGTGGGCATGCGCAATCATAGGAAGGTAGTCATGCTTCATGTAAGTGACGAAGAAAGACGTGACCTCGTCAACCGTAACGTCGTGGTCCAGATCAGGGGCCCGGCGACGCGTGTAGTCCATGGGTGGAGTAAACCATGTCTCCGGCATCATATCCGGATCCCAGATTACAAGGTAGTCATCTCCATCGAGATCCCCTCCAGAGCACATGCTTGCAACATCCCGGTCGCCAGTCTGCGGTAGTATAACTACGTCACGGAACTCATGTAGTTCAGATTTGTCCACAGCTAGGACAAGCCGAATATCACCAGGGTGAAGTGAGGGGTTCCGAGCCAAGAGGCAAATGCCTGTGATAATCTGGGGAGCGCCATCTGGTGGGCAGATCTGGACAAAGATCTCAGGGAGTGCTGTCACTTTCTCACCGTAAGGAGCAGACTCTGCAGGCAAAGACTTGTCATAATAGCCTCTCAAACATGCAGTTTCATCCATTATGCCGAGCAGGTTCGCTCCCCGATCAATGACAATCTTGGCCTTCTCCTTAAGAGATTTCAAATGCCATGCTTTCCACAATACCAGAAGCGATGAAATGAAGGGGTCTCGGGCCTTTTTAAAGCCATCGGAAACCATCTGTGCCAAGGTGAGAGTAGTTTGATTGGGATCAATGTACTTCTGGAGCAAAGAAACAGTAGAAACATCGTTGTTCAGGGCATTACTGAAACTCTCCACCATGGCATCTTGCCTAGCATGGAACGCACTGTCAGGAACCCCAAGAGCCGAAAGTACCAGGATCAGTTGCCGGTTGAGCGTTGCGGTAGAGAGTTGAGAAAATCGAATAATCTCAAGCCCGCCATGACCCGTATCAAATTTGTACTGACTAGGCCGAATATGCACTTCATGGGGTAAAGCATCAGAAGAAATGGCAAGCATTCCCTTGGATCCACCGAGACGGAATTGAAATGCAGAAGGTGGATCGCCTGATGGTGTTTTGATTTTCAGTTCTGTCATTATCATCTGTGCAAGGAACTTGGATATTTTGCCAACTCCATCTGAGAAGTTGTATCCATGACGGACTATATCCTGACATTTTCGAACCGTCACAGGGCACCCCGAAATTGGTCGGGTGGTGGAAAAGCATTGTCCGAGTCTGGCAGCATACTTGGCAATGTTTCTGATGGCGTGGAACTCGCCCATCCAAGCTCGAATGGTGGCTGCCGTCAAGTCAGATAAGGGGGCAAAGAAGTAAGCCCCATGTTCACGAAATTGAGAGTTGCCAAATGCCAAGAACTCATAATGGCGATCACCGATTTTGATGCCCTGGGACATAGTCCTCTTGACGCGAGTGAAGATTTCATCATTATTATCGAACACGGTTGAGTTGATGCGGCCTTCTGTCTTCTCATCTGTGAAACGGATACGCAGGAATCGATCCGCATGCTCAATGTAGTGACGAACCACTCTGTTTGAAATATCCACAGTGGGGGTGTTGTAGTAGATGGTGCTCGGCGTCACTCTGGCAGTGCGCATATAGCAGCAGTAGGCAGCTATCTTCGAATCAGTCTTTCCCTTGAAGCGCAGGCTGAAGATCTCCATCGGATTGTAGTAGGTGGTCTTCTGTGTTGCGACATGCTCTAGGAGGCTCTTAGCTGCAGACTCCTCGAGGTTTGCCAGCTTCACAACGAAATCTTGAGTCATGGTATACTCATTGAGATTTCTATTTGATAAACAAACCTCGAGCTGGTACCGCACGGGAAAGGGAAGGTGGACGTAGGTTTGGTCGGTCAGAGCCTGCAACATGTCTGAGAACACCCCAGTGGGCTGAGACTCAGGGTGATCAATCCACTGCCAGACTGACACAGGTCGCTTAGTGCTTTCAGTAAACTGGTGACCCTTCACTATGGAGACATTGTAGTCTTTCAAGATCTCACGAGCAGTAAGAAGCTGACCTTCCTTGTCAACGTCAAAGGCATACGTGATCTTGAAAACGTTCCAGCGACCTGATTTCAGTCATTAGTGATAAGAAACAAAGCGGATCTAAACGAAGACTTACCAATGTCAATCAACTGCCCCGATCTCCGCAGGTTTGTAGGAACAGAAGTTCGACCGTAAGGATTGTGCACCACCGCAGTCTGACGGTACCAGGTGTCAGCCTCCTTCCAGCTGGTCTCACCGATGAACGTGGGCCGAAAGTCTTTGAGCTGCCGATGATAGATGGGAGGACTGTTGAGGATTGTCAGGAAGGCGATCTGTTGAGTGTCAGACTCACAAAGCTCGTGGATTGTAGACAGCTGGAGGAATGCGAGCTTGATGCGGAAGTCGTGAACTTCGTCAACAATGATTGTCCCTTTAATACCCGGGCGTGTATTCCGAATGGAGACTTTGAAAAAGATTTGGAGGTCTCGCCGTCTCGGATTCACAAGGAGTCTGAGCCCCTGTGCTTCACCAAATGTGCGCATCCACGATGGAGTAGTCTCGCCGATCAGCACGCCGATATCAAGCCTCGCAACATGGAGCTCCTAGATCAGAAGTCAGAGTCTAATATCACAAAGCGGCTAGACAATCTACTTACCAGCTCCGCGGGGTAGGTGATACCCTTGCAGACGGGGCTGGGGACAAAAGCGTTGAGCGCCCTCACGTTGAGCGCAAGCGCGATCATCCCAATGTGACCACTAGGCAGTCTGACCATGTACGGCCCATGGCTCCAGAAGTCTACCTTGGGCGGGGGCCTGTAGTAAAGCCGGCGCGGTTAGCGCTGGCGCAAGCACGCCATGAGGCGTAGCGTGCGGCGGAAGTGAAGTCAATATCAAAAGAATACGAACCTAAAACGAACCCGCCCCCTTGTGCCCTGGCGGCCATGGGAATCCTCAAAAATGTCAATCGATGAGATCGACCCCTCTCGGCGGAAAGCATCCCAGAGCACGAAAGTATTCGCTTCTTTTGGGACGTTCGAAAGATCAACGGCAACTGACTCCCAGCTCTGCCATGCCACTGTTAAGTGTGGCATGTCAAATCGCTTAGCCGCCAGTTTTGGCGGCATTGTTGATAGTCGGTGGGGGGTGAACAAATGAAGAAAGATGAAAAAAAAAAATAAAAAGAACCAGACGGAGGTAAGAGAGGAGAAGGGGGAGAGGTGAGAACGAAAACAAAACAGGAGCAGAGAGAGGGAAGCGTTTAGATAAGTGCCACCCTGGTTCATTCACTGTTTCATTCGCTATAATGCGTAGTACCAAAGTTTATTGGCCTATGCAACAGTGTAAACGTGAGAACCAGCTCATGGCGAACGAAGCGAATATAAATGGTGCATTGGTTGGTAATACCATCTAGCACAGATGAATTGGTAGGCTTCGTTAGTGTTGATTAAGGAAGATGCTTCTAGTTGTTTGATATAGATATACGAGCACCACTACCGCAGTGCATGAATAGATGCTCTAGTTATCTAACTCTTGGCCAGCCCATCAAGTGATCTAGTTAGAAAGTCTCTCGTATTCATATCAACAAAAAAGCTGTTGTGATATCAGCTAGATTCGTGCGCTGCCATCCTTCTCCAATCTTGGCATATCCATCCGTATGGTGCTCGTTGGTCGATGAAAACGGTGGTCACGATGCGGACGAGCTATTTACTAGTTAGTAGACTACAGTCTTTTTCCATCAGACTTGTTGCTCCTATTCACGCTTCCATTATCCTAGCGTAACACTGTCTTATGGAACTAGCGACGCAAGTACACAGGGTTCAACAACAGTAAACAGCAAGTAGTAATAAGAAGGAAAACCATGGCTTCTTGTAGCAGCGACTCCATTCCATCATGGAGCCAAGGGCTCATGATTCGACCCAGAAAAAGTAGTGCTTGTGAAAACAAAGTCCCTCGAAAACTCTAGATCCATGCCTAAACTGAGATCGTGAAGCTGATGTTCTTCCAGATTATCTTCTTCAACCTGTGTCTCTTCATAGACCGTAGATACATCCTCTTCATCTTGCTGGCTATGTTTTAGTACATAGCCTGCTAGTGTCTTGGTTGGACTGTTGCAGTCTACTTCCCTAAGAGGTCCCCGTATTGCTTGGTGTGGACCTGGCGCATCGGGGTTCTTTGATTTGGGTTCTTTGGGTGTAAATTGGTGAGCAGGCAGAGGAGCTTGAGAGTGAGGTGGATGCATTGAGCGACGGTTGCTTTTCGGTCGTTTCGGATTGGGGGCGCCGAGGTTTGATGCCAGGGATTCAAAGGATTGAGCTAGCTGTGTGTCCTCATCATCATGACTAGTTTCTTGTTGGGTGGGTGTTGTGTTGGAGGTATTAGTTACAGACTTCACATGTTGGTGTTTGCTGTGACCTTTGGGCTCTGTGGATTTGGTGGCAAAACCCATGACGCCCATCAAACGACTGATGTGCTGCTGAGCCTCTGAAAACTCTCGGGCCTTGGCAGCTCTTTCGTCACGAAGGGATTGAATCTGAAGAGGAATGGTTAGAGTCACAACAAAAAGGGACGGCTTTGCTTGGTTTACCTTCTTCTCCAAATACTGGATGCGTTTGCTCTGCAACTGTGCTCCCTTTGCGGAATCGGCTACGGTAGCCTGCAGGCGCTGATTCTCCTCTTTGTGTCGGGTAATCTCAGACATAGCCTGGGAAATTTCAACCTCGTGGTTCTGCTTCAGCATGTCGATTTCCGCTCCCAACTTCTCCTCGGCTTCTTGCATTGCACAATAAAACCTTTCAACCTCCACACTTTGCTCGTCCACCTACACCACGCGTCAGCAAAGCATTGCCTGTCCGAAAGACAACAAAACTCACAGTTGTTTTCAGAGCCCCCATCTCCATCAGCATATCCTCCCTGTCTGTCAAGAGACGCTTCACCTCGTCTTCCTTCTGCACAGAAAGAAGCCTGCTAGACTCGATAAGGGCTTTGGCATTTACAAGATCCTGCCGTAGAGAAGCCGAAGCTTCCAAAGCAAAAGCCTTCTCTTGTGACAGAGTATCCAAGGTCTGGAGCATCTGTTGCTTTTTGCCTTGCAGAGAGTCCAGCTCCTCACGAATCTCATCAACCCGATCGTCTTTCTCAGTCGACGTAGCAATCAGATCCAGCTCTCTGCTGCGCGCTTTATCCATTTCTGCCCGCATTTTTTCCTCAAAGGCCTGATGTTGCTCCTGGAGGTCATGCCGTGCGGAGTCAAGAGATGCAGATAACTCTTCGGCTCGAGCAGAGGCATTTCCAGCGTGTTCTTCAAGACAGGATAGGTCGTGCCGAAGAGCAGAGACAGTGTTTGACGACTCGTGTAAGCGAATTTCCAATTCTTCATTATGCTGTTTCAGTTGCTCAGCTTCGTGGATGGCGCTGTTTCGTTCTTCTTCAATGGCCCTCAGAGGGGCTTCGACGTTGTAACATCGCTGCTCAAGGTCGCTGCAGATGTCTTCAACTTTCTTTATCATGCAGTCATGGGATGCTTGTGCATTTTGCATCAAAACCTCAGTGATGCCAGAACGCCAGTTGCGATTTGAACCATGGTCGATTGAGAAATCATGTCTATCTTGAACTGCGAAGGTGACGCGGAAATCTTTTGGACTCGCTATAGAGAATCCACACTTGCTTCCAGGCAGCGATCTAGCCACTCGGTCCACAAAGCTCATCATGGTCTTAATGATCGTGCTATCACCACCATTCTGTGCAAGAGCGGCCGCGGAGTGGAGGTCGAACAAGTCGAGAACCAACTGATCATGCGACATGTTGAGAACACTGGAGCAGGTGCCTGAACCGGTACAGTCTGTTTGGTTTGATTGTGCAGGAAAATTTTCGAAGAGGCCACCTATAGAATTTTTGCCAAAGGCGGATATCAAGGTCTGGATAGACGAAAGAGCTGACTGTGACTGCATTTCCTGCAACCCACACAGAATCAAACGCGCCACCTTAAGGGATGATAGATCGTCTTGTACTGGCGAGCCAGTATGTTTCAATGCGGAAAGGATGTAGTTTACAAGCTCGCGAACAACAGTTTCCCCAGAGTCCTACCAAGTCAGCAATTTGACCTAAATAGACACAGCATGTACTTACTGCCAATGTCCTCGCAAGTCGTCGAACAAGACACTCAGGCATGCTCTTCAAGATCTGCGAGCTGTCCGTAGAAATCAAAGTCTCCAGGGCTATATCGTGAATCTGAGACGGCAGCTCGGATGGAGGAAGCAGGGACAACAAGAATGTAGCACCCTATGATAAATTATCAGTCAGCTTGGCCAGACAAAGTAACCGAGCGACCATACCATGATCTGAATCTCTCGATCAATCCCATTCCTAATAACCTTATCACACAACTTCACTATCTTCGACCGATTCCCCGAAACCCAAGCACTCTTCTGCTCTGGTTCCACAACATCAACAATACAGATCGCTAACCTAACACTCTCGGTAGCTTTAGCCGGAGTCAAGTTATTGCAACTAGCCGACGATGCAAGGATCACGCGCAAGACCACTAGATCGAGAGTCTTCAGTCCGCGCTTAGGGCCAAAGAAGTGCTTGATGTTAAGCAGCCACGAAGGCGGCTCTGGTCCGTGTTGAGAGTGGTGGTTTGTTTGCCAGGCTGATGCGATGCGGGCGAAGGTTGCGAGACACAAGAGATTGCCCATGTGGTCGTCGAGATTGCGGAGGGTCTTGGTGAATTCTGTTTGAAGACTGGACATTGTTTCTGATGGGATGTCATCTAGGACTTTGGGGGAGCCTTGTAATCCGCTCATGATCTTGTAAAGCGGTGTTATTGTGTCTGCACATGGGTTGTCCGCCATAGTGGATATCAAGTCGCTGATGAATGTGCCCAGGCGAGCTGGTGGGACCACATTCTGCGGGAGAGGGATCGAGAGCAGCGCAATGGATGCCGCGAGATACTGATTTTGTCAGGTGTACGATCCTGCAGTCGGAATATCAAGTCCATATCCATACCTCCGATCCGCTCTCACCGACTGCCTTCTCCAGGAACGTGTCTAAAACGACCGGGTGGCGCTCGAGCAAAGCATCGCGAAATACCGGCGTCGATGCTATCGCAGTTTAGTACATTCATTTATATGAAAGTAACTCCAACCATCTTACCAAAGACCGTAACAAGAGGCAGAGCCACGCGCGACCGCGACAGGCCATCCACCAAAACATCAGCCAGCAGACCCACCTGGCAGGTCTTGTGAGAGGCCCAGAGATCAATCACAGAAGGAGAAGAATTTTGGACTGCCTCGTGAAGATCCTAGAGATTTGTTTTGTCAGAACTACCCCGTGTCGCGTCTCTGGTGTCGCCTCACATACCTGCAGCGAGGGCACATAGGGCGCGGTCACCAGGCGCTCCACCTTGCGCACAAAGTGGGAGAGCTCGCCGGCCATAGTTCCGAGCTGCATGTAAGCTTCCAAAATGATTGCGATGCATTAATTGTCGTGTTGGCGAAGTGAGGTCGCGGATGAGGTCTGGTTGCCCTGTCAACGGGCCATGTCACTAGAACGCCATTTCGCGGAATCTCCGAAGTGACTATTCTCTGGGTGAGTAGATTAACAAGCAAACCTATGCCCATCATATATGGTGTCAAATAATAACCACAAACTATGAATAACTATAAAATTGTTGTGACCTCTCCGTTGCGTATATAACTACCGCTTTAGGCAGACCTTAAGCCCCCCACGCTCCCCCACGGAACCAATAAACCCCGCGTCCTCAATCCACCTGTGTTGGCGGAACCTAAGTCAAAAAAGGGCAAGAGAGGCGCGGAATTAACCTGTTCCTAGCCTTGTCCGGCTCTAGTTAAATTATCGGTCGAATTCCGGCCGGCCTACGTACAAGTATCCGACACCATCACACCATCGGAGCGCTGGTGTCGCAAGAGCGTAGACACTTTCCCCTCCTCTTACAAGTGACAGCGATGCCATAGGAATCTATCGATCGTTTCTGTCTGTCACATCCTCCGCCATGCGTGCATCACTCCTGGCCCCCCGGCGATTCTCCGCACGCGCCCTCCGCTCCCGAACTGCGCAACTTCGGACATGTGGGAGTCGCTGGAACAGCTCCAGCGCTGCAACGGAGAGCAAGGAACACAAGTCGTCTGGCTCACAATCCTCAGCGGGAGCTTCTTCGCCTTTCTGGACACCTGGCAAGGCGCTCCTTGTCTCCGCATTCGCTGCGGGGCTCGGGTACAGCTATGCCTCTTTGCAGGCACCAGCGAAGAAGCAGTCTAAACCGCAGTATGGCTCCGCGCAAGACTTTGAAAAAGTACGAAATGAACATTCTGTTACATGGTGGACGATTAGAACTGACAACAGTCAATTAGGCCGTTTCCGAGCTGAGAGCCAAACTAAGCGAAGACAGCATCAGCACCGACGAGGATGACCTGCACCGACACGGTTTCTCAGAGTGGTCCAGCATCAACGCAGACCGTCTCCCCGTCGCTATTGCCTACCCAACTACGACAGAAGAAGTGTCCGAGATCGCTAAGGTCTGCCACAAGTACAAGATGCCCATGATCCCCTACTCGGGAGGATCGAGTCTCGAAGCCAATTTCTCTGCGCCGTACGGCGGGATGACCATCGACTTTGCGATGATGAATCAGATATTAGAGATGCACGAGGCGGACATGGATGTCGTGGTGCAGCCATCGATCCAGTGGATGGAGCTGAATGACAAGATCAAAGACTCTGGTCTCTTCTTCCCCGTGGACCCTGGTCCGTCGGCAATGGTTGGCGGTATGGTTGGCACAAACTGCAGTGGTACAAATGCGGTGCGGTATGGAACTATGAAGGATTGGGTTATCAATCTCACGGTTGTGTTGGCCGATGGCCAGATCATCCAAACCCGTCGCCGGCCACGGAAGACCTCCGCGGGGTACAATTTGACTGGAATGTTTGTCGGCTCGGAAGGGACGCTGGGTATTGTCACGGAGGCGACCCTAAAACTCACCAATATCCCAGAGGAGACCCGTGTGGGTGTGGTGGCTTTCCCTACGATTCGCGACGCGGCATCTACGGCGATGCAGCTGATCCGGAAGGGCATCCCCGTTCAATGCATGGAACTCATGGATGATGTCCAGATGGATGTGATTAACCGGGCCGGTGGAACGGGGCGGCAATGGAAGGTCTCGCCCACGTTGTTCTTCAAGTTCTCGGGCACGAAAGCAGGCGTCGCGGACAGTGTTGATCTGACTACTAAGCTGGCCAAAAACAACAAGGCCCAATCCTTCGAGTTTGCTCGAGATGAGAAGGAGGCTCATGATCTATGGTCGGCAAGAAAACAAGCGCTTTGGGCCATGCTGGCTCTGTGCAAGGAGGGCTCGGATGTATGGTCGACCGATGTGGCCGTGCCCTTGTCTCGTCTGCCTGATATTATTGGTATGCTCTTCGCTTCATGATCTCTCTATATAATGCTGACGAATTGTGGTAGAAATTTCTAAGAACGAACTTTCCGATCTTGGACTGTTCACCAGTATTCTGGGACATATTGGCGATGGCAATTTCCACGCGAGCATCATGTATGATCGACAGAAACCAGAGGAGAGAGCCAAGGTTGAGAAAGTGGTATATGACATGGTCGACCGGGCTCTTGATATGGAGGGATCTTGCACGGTAGGTACTCTGCACTTTTAAAGGAACATGACTAACATGGATTTTTAGGGTGAGCATGGAGTCGGACTGGGCAAAAAGTCATCGTTGAAGAAGGAACTGGGGCCGGGGACGATCGATGTGATGCGCAGCATCAAGCGGTCTCTGGATCCGCACTGGTTGTTGAATCCTGGCAAAATCTTCGATGCGGAAGATTAGTAGATCCAGTGTATAGTTACCATTCAAGCCTACAAAAACGTGGGACAAATACAATCCACGCCCTATACATTTTGATGCACTTCGGCCAAATGTTTTGCCGTGGATGAGTCAGCCCGCAGTCCGCGCGGGGGTTGGGAGCGATATCGCAGGGCAACTTTTTGAAGCCATCGCCACATTCGTTCCAGTTAACCATCCGGGCCCAACACACAGGTAAGTGCCATTGGTGCTACTAGCGTGCCTTTCCATACTGCCCATTGCGTTTTGAATCTCCATTTACCCCCAAAACTCGAGCTGCGACTGCTATACCCGTTTGCGGGGCTCGTCGCATGCTAATGACTCAATCCATACTGTTTGAACCAGTTTTAATCCGGGGAAATCAAGTCCTAATTGGAAAAAGATAGATATCCACCTTTGCACTTACGCGTATAGAGTGTACAAGCACCATGGCTCCTTCATACCCCAAGAAGAAGTGCGGTATGCTACACTCCGAGCTCCGCCCCAATATCTCATGCCATATACTAATCGCCGACTTACAGGTATCCTGGGCGCCACAGGCTCCGTCGGCCAGCGGTTTATTCTCCTCCTCGCAGACCACCCGTTCCTCGAACTCGAGGCCATTGGCGCCTCTGAGCGCTCCGCCGGCAAGAAATACAAAGATGCCGTGAAATGGAAGCAGGCAATGCCCATGTCCGAGAAGCTCAGCAACCTTGTCCTGCGTGACTGCAAGGCAGAGCATTTCAAGGACTGCGACCTGGTTTTCTCGGGTCTGAACAGCGATGTCGCTGGCGACACCGGTTCGTGACTCACCCTGTCCCCAGACTTTAGTACAGTGCTTACGCTCGGCAGAGATGGAATTTATCAAGGCGGAGATCCCTGTCTTCTCAAATGCAAAGAACTACCGCAAGCACCCCATCGTGCCCCTTGTCGTCCCGACCGTGAACCCGCAACACCTGGACCTCATCCCCCACCAGCGCAAGCACTTCGGACTGAAGAAAGGATTCCTGGTCTGCAACTCGAACTGTGCCGTTATTGGAATCGTCATCCCCTTCGCCGCCCTGCAGGCTAAATTCGGCCCCGTCGAGGAAGTTGAGGTGTTCACCGAGCAAGCCGTTTCGGGTGCTGGCTACCCCGGGGTGCCCAGCCTGGACATTATGGACAACGTGATCCCATTTATCAGCGGCGAGGAAGACAAGCTGGAGAACGAAGCACAGAAGATTCTGGGCTCGTTGAACGCCGACGCGACTGCCTTCGACGAGCAGTCCGGTCTTCGCATCGGGGCTACGTGCACCCGTGTTGGTGTGACCGACGGCCATATGGCGTTTGTGTCGTTGCGCTTCAAGAACCGACCGGCCCCAAGCGCAGAACAGGTCGTGCAGGCCATGCGCGAGTACCAGTCTGAGGCTCAGAAGTTGGGTGCCCCGTCGGCACCGGAGCCGGCCATCAAGGTCTTTGATGAGCCTGACCGTCCCCAGCCCCGTCTGGACCGTAACCTCTCCGGTGGATACACAGTCAGCGTGGGCCGAGTGCGCGAAGGCAATGAGGGCGGCTACTTTGACATCCGCTTTGCGGCCCTGTCCCACAACACGGTCATTGGCGCTGCTGGGTCGTCCATCCTCAACGCGGAGGTGGCGGTCATCAAGGGATATATTTAAACACTGTAGATAAAAGTCGATTACTAGCGAAGAACATATTACATCAAAGATTTCCCAGAGTTTACTAAATACGTACTGGTGTTCTATACTTGCCCTACAATGTCCCAAACAGGAAACTTTATTACGTAACATAGACTAACCACATTCAGACAGGGCTAGGGCTCATCCGGGTCACCTGCGCACCACACGAAAATCCCCGTTTCCTTCTTGGTTCTCTTTCTTGCATCACGACACTTCGACAATTCACCAACCGTCGATAATCCGTCAAAATGGGCCGTGGACCGTAAGTACCTCGAATACTCCCACACTCACAGTCATTCCCTTGATTCCTCTTTCCCAATTCCCCCTCGCTTTCAGTATTCTGGATGTCAAAACTGACTGAAATGCCTCGATAGTAAGAAGCACCAAAAGCGCCTTAGTGCGCCCTCGCACTGGCTCCTGGACAAGATGTCCGGGACCTACGCGCCCAAGGCCTCTCCCGGTCCTCACAAGCTCCGGGACTGCCTGCCCCTGATCGTCTTCATTCGCAACCGGTACGCCGACCGACAACCCTTTTTGTGGTGAAGCCAGAGACTGATGGAATTTTTTTGTATAGTCTGAAGTACGCTCTCAACGGTCGCGAGGTCAAGGCCATCATGATGCAGCGCCTGGTCAAGGTTGACGGCAAGGTCCGCACCGACACCACCTACCCGGCTGGCTTCATGGACGTCATCTCCCTCGAGAAGACTGGCGAGCACTTCCGCCTGATCTACGACACCAAGGGCCGTTTCACCGTCCACCGCATCCAGGCTGAGGAGGCTGAGTTCAAGCTGTGCAAGGTCAAGCGCGTTCAGCTTGGCAAGGGCGGGATCCCATTCTTGGTTACGCACGATGCGCGAACGTGAGTTGCATGCTCTCCACAAGTTCCGCGTCATTCAGTCGTTGGACCAAGCTTTGGTTGATCGGCGTGGAGGACGAACAGAACTTTTCGTGAGATCCCCAATTGTCCGAACAAGCCATACTAATTTTTTGGTTTCTAGCATCCGCTACCCGGATCCTGCCATCAAGGTCAACGACACCGTCAAGGTTGACATTGCCACTGGCAAGATCTCCGACTTCGTCCGCTTCGACAGCGGTGTTGTCTGCATGGTCACTGGTGGTCGTAACATGGGTCGTGTTGGTGTCGTCACTCACCGTGAGCGCCACGATGGTGGTTTCAACGTCGTCCACGTCAAGGACGCCATTGACAACACCTTCGCTACCCGGGAGTCCAACGTCTTCGTCATCGGACAGGAGAAGCCCTGGATCTCCCTGCCCAAGGGCAAGGGTGTCAAGGTATGTTTATACTGTTGATTCACTCTACATTCAGCTACTAACTCTCCCTATAGCTCTCCATCTCTGAGGAGCGTGACCGCCGCCGTGCCCAGACTATTGCCCAGTAAATGTCTTCTGACATGGTATGGGTAGTAGGAGTAGGTGTGCCGGCCATTTCCAGTCTGGGAATGACCCTCAAAAAAGTGAAACCAAAAAACAGTAGCTGGGAAACGGCGTCTTGTCTTGCTTGATGGGCTTGGACGATGTTTTCGTTCCGTAGATTCGATCCATAGCAAACAATTTGGGACGGGCTAACCGTCTCGTTTCCGAGTGATATGATACCTATTTTAACGTTGTTCGAATGATTTGATGAGCGTATTGGTCCTGGTTCTTCTGCCTCTGCCCTTGAAGTTCTCTTAGCTCTCACTTGTGTGAAGATGGTGCTGTCCATGCCCTATTCGCCGAGAACCAGGATGCGTAGTAAGAGGTCGGACAGTCCTGACTCTGCATTGGCAGCGCCTGTACTCCGCCAATAAGCAATCTCCAGACACTTATTCTATCTCGTGCTATCCGGATGCCTGCTGAAGCCCAACAGAATTAATGACCCCGGCCTTCAGCTTCCCAGTGACTTCGGTACCATTTATTTCCCGTTCCCCGCCCCGGACCTTACGCGGAACGGAGTACGCGGAGTACATACAACATGGGTTGTAGACCGACATATAACCCATTATTGCCTTTCACTCAGAAACGAGCAGGCAACTGCAAACTGACATAGTTCGCTTTAGATTCGATTCTCTGGGGAATAACTCACGGTCGATCAGAAGCTCATTATCTCCGACAACCAATCTACGCGGCCGATGGCTGCTCACATGGACACTGTGCTGCTACGAGCATGCACAGAAGCCAAACTAATGCAATGCACCATCACAAGATTTGACCAAGTGGGGAGCTCATTAGCACCTCTTGCAGGGGATGGCTCGTGTTCCTCCGAGGCAGTCGCTACGCCTAGGCGAAGGAGAAGAGCTCGTACGCGGGGGAAAAAAAGTGCGAATCTGCATATCAGAATGGGAAAAAACACAAATACCTTCTCAGGCACGCAATGCAAACCGCCAATAACCCGCGGCAAGAGTTGGTCGAAGGATATCTGCGGCACGGAGCTCGATCCCCGATCTCGCGAATCAGACCTGTCCGCCTAGTTACTCCCCGATCTGCGATAACCAAAGTTGATTCAGTTCCAATAGGAGCCCCTTCATCTGGGCGCCCACCCCCTGCTTTGCTCGTACAGATGACATAGACGGGGGTTTTTTGCCGTTATTATTGATCCGATGGTCGACGGGATGGTTTTCTACTGGGTAGATCCGATCAATCAACGAACTTGCTGCCTCGCACGTCCGGGCTGGGCCGTCCCACGGTCCAGGCCCCCCATCAGGAAAATCCAAGCGCCATTCTGCTGGGTTGGCGCTATGCACAACGCAGCGGTACCGCCACTACTGTGGTGCACGTGCATTTCGCTTAAATCGGAGATGCAACCTGCAACTGCACCGCTTCATGTTCATAGTGCCGAGGGGCATTTTTTATTATTATCTGATCAGGAGCTGGAGAGGCGGGGTGGGCTAAATGTGCAAAAGCCGGGCTCTCTGTCGGGACTTGTGGCTGCAGAGAAGCTAGGCAGCGCGACGCATCACCCTGCAGCTAGTATGGAGTATCCTTATCCTGGTTCTGCAGCAGGCGCGCTCGCGGGATATCTTCAGATCGAGTCAATGGTCAAATATCCAGTGGTTCATCCGAATTGGATATCTGAATTACATTGTAACGTGCAATTACCAGTCCTGCATTCAACTCTCTCTTTCATAGCCGAGGTTCATGGGCAGGGGGTATAAGACTTCCTATGAACCCACCAAGAACACTACAGTGCCGGTAGACTGGAATGACTTCCATTCTATAGTTAGGCCCCGGAATGCGTCGATCATAGTTTAGATCTGGCTTTCCATTCCCCTGGATCCGGCGCTTGCAACTTTTCTCTCTGATATTTTGAAGCTGGCATTTTTCGACATAAGCTCAAATGTCGATATAATAGTTAACATTCTGAGAGACCACCTTACTATGCAAATGTCGCTTCAGATTGTCGCTCATATACATAATGCCAACGCTCTAGCCAACCTCAGATAGTCCTATTAAGAACATATCATAGCTTGCCTCGAATATTCTAATGGCAAGGCTGATCTGGAGATCTCTAGATACACACAGGACATATGGAGTATGTCTACGCTACTGGAGATCTCCGTCGGATTGCGATTTTTATTATTATTAACTCCGGTTCAGAACTGTGGTAGTCTCTTGCTTCGTATTATAGGCCATTCGATTCGGCGAGTTTGTGGGTCAGAGTTCAGGCATAGAGTTTAGTTGGATAATGGACTTTTTTCTCCATGATCTGATTTGATTAGTCTTCAGCGGTCAAGGATTTCAGTATTTCCATCTCCTTTGCTTTAACAGACCGCAAGATCTTCCTCCCGATACTGCCATCACAATTGGTTCATCAAAATGAACGGACTTCTACCCCGGCCATCACCGCCAATTCCTAAGAGATCAGCATCCCCCGGCCCCGATGAAACCAAAGGAATAAGCCCTCCGCTGTTACGTGGAGCCTTTCAAACCAAGATTTCTTTGTCAGTCCAACCTATGATAAATCTTCATCAGCGCTGGCTAGGTTTAAATTCCATCATGATCGCCCGGCCCCCCGCCTCCTCCCGACTCGTTCCTAGTGAGCGCGCTAACGGAGTGGGCGCTGTGGATACAACGATGAGCTTTCTTCGGCTTGTAACTATCGGGGTTACTTGAAGGATAAGAGATCTGGCAGAGCCACATGGGTCGGGCTTCACAGCTGGCACTTATCCAGTAGATTTGTAGCTTGCTGCTAAACATGCCCTGCTATTTCCCCAGGAAGCTCTCAACAAGCCACGTCCGAAGAATTGCTTGGGTTGACCGACTTCTTCGGAGCGCAGACCCGAGCAGTGCCACGGAGCTTCCAATATTCCTTCAGATCGAACTAGGGTTATTTTGTTTGACCGCTCCTCCTCCGGATTGACGGGTCGACCGTCACCCGTAGAAACTGTCATGTTAGCAGCCGGCCAGAAGGATGCAGCCCAGCCGGTATTGTGTAGTGGCCAGGCCGAATCGCGAACTTTCCATAGGCATTCTCTACTACGATGGAGCCGAGCAGCCTTGCTCTCTCTTTCGCTCCCTCCCCGATTTGGAGGGCAATCATTGCCCCCTTTTCTCCAGCGACTTGGCCAGGGTGCCGGGCGGAAACTGAGGATTGGCGCTCTGTCCCGTTTTCCATGCGCCCAGTCCATCTGGCGGCGAAGGCTATTCCCCTCGTGATGTGTCCAACGTGGCGCCGCAACTACACTAAAAGGGGCCTTGCCTCTCTTTTCTGCTACTCTCAGTCTCCAATCATTCCCTTCCGGAATTTCCGATGGGCTTGCTCCTTTTTCTATTGCTCTTGTCTTCTTCCAAACACTCATCCACACATTCTGCACATAGTGGGACCTCATAGCTACCCTGACACTTCCTCCCCCCGGTCTATAGTAATTTCTATTGAAAAGCGCCGCGTCACATGAGCGTTAGCGTGGGTTCTTGCAGCCACATCTATGATCCCACGGGATTCCGTGGTGGTTGTGGCTGTCGTTATAAATGCAATCGATCGATCCCAACGAGGAATCGGTCTTCGAGCCGCCGCCCAAGTACAAGTTCGTGATGCAGCAGCAAAATTCGTCGTCTGAAATGTCCACCGCCGCCCGTTCCGATTACCTGTCGATCTTCACGTCCGTCGCGGAGATCCCTCGCTTCTTCGTCTCGTACCGCTGGTGGGAAGACGAGGCAACCACCGTTCTGTGGGCATTCAATATCCAAGAGATCAGCCATGTGATTCGCTACGGCCTCTTTCGCGATGAGAGCCTTCCGCGAAGCTCGTTGTTAAGCCGCAATGCAGACACAATCGACAACTTCCTCATCGCATTGTCGCAGCCACGAGAACACGAGCTTCTCGCCAATCTCTCGCACTTGCAGCGCGTTGAGGAAATTTTGCGTCGTTCGAGTATTACGCCTTCTAAGTTAGTCCCTTGGTCCTGGTCGCCGCCGTCTCCTGGCCAGTCACTTGACGCGCGCGCAGTCGCGGCGGCTATTGAAGCCGAGAGTCATCTTCATTTTACGCAGATTGCCTTCGAGGAGATTGTGCGTGCCTCACTTGGGTACGAAGCAGTTTCTATTGAATGGTTCTTGTTACAGCATACGGCTCTTCATATTCACCTTTTGGATCATCTGCGCGTCTACCCGGAAGAAATTCCTCTTTATCTAGAAGTAGAGAAGGTTGGTTTTGTTTTGTTGTAAAACCGGATTATCTGAGCGCTGACACCATTTCTTTCTTAGCAACTGCGCACCCGGAGTCCATTTGCCCATCGGGCTGTGATTCAAAGTATAATAACGATTCAACCAAAGAGGGACCGCGAGGTGCTTCGCTCGAGCGACCCCGGGTTTGAATTCATTTCAGGGCCTATCCAGACTCTATTTAGAGATCAGCCCCCAAGTTTAACGACTATCCTCAAGATGTTCACAGTTCTAGCAGTCCGGTTCCAGCGGCAATACATCCATAGTAGGGACATGAACTGGAAACTCCCATTCGATACTTCGATTGCCTTTTTGGAATACTGTCTCACTTCTATGACGGCAGTCGATCTAGCTCACACTCTAACAAGCACAGACGAGGTCGATTTTGCGGGTCTATCGCGAACAAATCTAGTTGCAGAGGATGCAGTGGTAAAGCGCATTCTAGCAGATTGGCGTACTCTGAGTACCTCGGTGTGGGAATGCTGCTCCGCACTGCCTGATTTGATTCCACATTTGCAAGATTGTGCACAGGTGAGCTTTGTTGTTTTTTCTCAGATCCTCACCCACCATATTTGAAAATGGCAATTGCTCAAACTTAGCGTGCGTCCGCACCCTCTTTACAGAATCTCTATACTACACGAAACTATCATTCCCTGACGGCCCTCCTCGATGGACTACACAAATATAGCATCTCTACGGCACGAGCTCGGAATACCGGTTCGATGGTCGCCCTGGACTCTAGTCTTCCATCCACCTTGCTTTTTATCTTCAATCCGTCCCAAAACTATTCGGGGTACCGACAGCATTACAGCGAATACCCGGGCATTCCATTCCTCCTCCCGCATATTCGCGACTACAAGCAGAATGGCGGGTCCGTCCTACAGCCACTTCTCCAATATCTACAACGCTCTCTTTCTTTCAAACAGTGATCTGATTCCTTGATTATACTTCTTGAAATAAGCTACAAACCTCGTATTGGGCTTGCGTGGCTGCTGGACACACTTCACTTTACCGGTGTGTATTACGGCTCGATTGCTTCTATTGTCTTGGGTTTCTTTGAGGGCCGTCAGTGCATCAAGTCCTGTGTTGCATTGCATGAAAAGCAATGTCTGGTTTATACCCTATTTCTCCTTCGGTACTACCCACTTGTATGTCTACTCTGCATTCTTTAGCATTGACAACGCGGGTTGGAGGGTGGAGGAGTTCGGCGTTGGGGACCCACAAGTTATAGGATTGTCTGTTATATCCAAGGATCTCGAAAATACAATTCAAAAAGAACAATCATCCAGGAAGTGTAATCGGGCAGCAACCGGTGGTTGATAGATCACTCGCAAATGAGATCAATTCCCAGCTCCGGCTGGACTCACTTATATGTCATACAATAAGGGCCAAAACAAGATGCAAAAAGCAAGGGTAAACACGCAGAGAGCCAGTCCGGCCAGTACAGACATAAATTGGCCACCAATCAGACAACCATCTCAGGCCTTCTTCCCAACCGCCTTAGGCGCCCTCGTAGGACCAAACAAACCGCATAGATAGGCGACCCTATTGACAAAGAGAAACCCGGTGACTCCGATATTACCCCACGTCAGCGCATTCCACGCAGCAACATCCACAAACGCCTCCCAGCCCATCGCCAGATATGTAGCGTAGACATGTCCAATGTCCGCGATAGCCAGCGCGACTGCATAATTCCGCAACACGCGGGGCTCGTTGGTACTGTACATCACAGCCACGCCAACCAGGAAGAGCAGCGAGTACAAGTTGCCGAGTTGGTAGGCCAGCGCCATGCTGCTGGGATGGAAGACTGGCGCTGTTGCGGCTTTCGGGGTTTGGCCCGCGATGAACCCCTCAAGGTCGTGGAGGGGATACAGGCTGCCGAGGGCTCTGCATTTTGGGTGTTAGAAACGTTCGGTTACATGCGTTTTCAGGAGAGGGTTGCGTACAGTGAGATGGGCTCGAGCACCCCGAATAGAATGTTTGGCCATGGCGGAAAGAGTGTGCCCATTGTGAGACGTGTATAGAGGAGAGCTTAGATGCTTTTGTGTGATTGTTCGGGTTATTCGTGTCTAGTCTGAGATGGATTTTGAAGGCTGGGGTTTTGTCGGGGACTTGGCGGACAAGCTTGAGCCTCGGAGGCGATTCTTATGTCACAGCAACGACCGAGTATCACAATAAAATAAGGAAATATGTTACATTAAGGGTATACAATGATCGTAGTGAAGTTCTAGTATCTATTAGTCCAAATCCAAACGTCCCATCGTTAAGCAGTCCCTGGGTGACGTAGAGTACAACGCAAGTGGTCGCTCTCCCCGCCCGTAGTTATCGATGTTATCGCAGCTTCGACTTTCATTCTTTCCCATCGACAGCGATGAACGCGATGCCCTGGCGTCTCTGCGATTCATCTGTCCACGATTTCCCCGATGTCCAGTGATGGATGCTGGCGGTGTCTTTCGACCCCTGGAGGAGTCGCTGCTGCGCGACCTCCCACAACTCCAGTCGTTACGGATCGCACCGCTGCGTGAGCCAGTATCTTCACGAACCCTAAGCGCTCCATCGCCTCTGGAACCCAATGCCAGTGGGGCCCGAGATTCGAAGATCTCCAATACCAGCACGTCTCCCAACAATGCTCCTGCGAAAGCCAAGCCCAATGCAAGTCTTCCTACGGTCACGGAGTTCCTCAATGCTGCTCGATCTAACAAGGCGGACTCTGCGGACTCGCAATCGAACGTGGAGCCGCCCCCGAGACCGATTCTGCCGGCTTTTGTAAACCTTCGAGCTCTGGAAAGGGTTCCATTTTCTTCTTCGTTTGACGATGATGCTCTCCATGGACCTCGCAAGCGCCGCCGCCTAGATATCCAGGCAGAATCATTTAGCGAACACCTGCAACTGCCGATACCTCAGGCACAAAAAGAGCAACGGCCGCCACCCTTTGGACCCTTTGCTATTCTTAATGGCCTCAATGAACCCCCGCCCAACGCTGCTCTTCTACCGCCTATCGAGGCAGGGTCTATCACTCAGCTCCTTACGAAACCCTCGCGGGTAGATGAAACTCTTGAGTCTGGGACCTTGCAGACTTCTAATGCAGGCCTTGTCAATAGTCAACCTTCAGAACGGAGAGAAGCGAGACTCGAGGAGATCCTCGGTGTCACTCTCGACGACAAAGATCTTCTCGGAAGTACTGAAGACGACGGCCAGGGCGACGATGACGTAGAGCGTTCCAAGGCAGTGGAGCATGTGAACGACCCAACTCCAACGATACATGAGAAAGGTCAGTTCGGAGATGGCAAGGAGTCACCGGTGTCCACAAAGGAAGGAAACGAGCCCGTATCACCCAAGACCCGAGGCCGGTCCCGCTTGAATGTGCGGCGATGGACGGAAGAAGAAACGACTGCGCTCCTTCGCGGCGTCGTCAAGTGCGGCATTGGAAATTGGAAGACAATACTCGCGCAGCCTGAACTCAAGTTCAACAAGCGAACCGCTTCCAATCTGAAGGATCGTTTCCGCGTTTGCTATCCTTGGGCATACCGGGCTGCCAATCCAAATGAAGCAATCAAGCAGCTCCACACCGTGCTCTCCAACTCCCTGTTGAAAGCGGATGGGGAGGGCCATGAAAATACACCTGTCAAGCTTCGCCCTCTACAACCGCGACGAACCGCCACCACAGAGTCAGAGTCCACGAACTCCGGTGCGGGAAGCCCACCTGCCTTATCTCTCAGGCCATCAGCGTCTAGTGTGCCCTCCACACCCGACACGGACATACCGAGTAGCAGTGGCAGCATTCAACCGCAAACACCACCCTCAGCTAGATCCACCACTACATTCTCAAACCAGTCACGATCTAACCTCGCATCTCTCGGCATCCCTGAACCTCATGTTACCACGAAACCCAAGCGTCGCTCTCGCCGGCCCTTCACGCCCGCCGAAGATGAGGCCCTTCTGAAAGGCTACGCTGTTCATGGCTTCCAGTGGACTCTCATCCAGCGGGACTCCCGCCTGAACCTTGGCCATCGCAGACCGGCAGATCTCCGTGACCGATTCCGCACAAAGTTTCCGCATGCCTACAAAGACGGTGGATCTGTCAGCGGCAACGCGTTACACACCCAAGCTTCTGGCCAGAACTTATCTACCTCTGCGAAGCCCACTTCCGCGCCGCAAGATCAAGCAGCTAATAATAGCGAACAGAGTCCTCCCAGGGCTCCAGCAACCTCTCACTCGCGTGCTGCTCGACCGAAACCTCGTCATAGTCCCAGCGGTTCGCTGTCCAACCCCGGCCCTCTTGATTCATCTCTTTTACTGCCTGTACCGGCACAGGGCTTTCTTGAACCTTCTGCCTCGTCCGTCCCGGCGTCGGCAGGTATTATTTCATTCTCTCTGGATGAGAATCCTACTGCGGGTGCTTCCTCAGGAGTCGACACCCCGTGGGGGCATAATACGCTTGCCCCAATGGTTTGGGATGATCTGAACTGATCCAAAAATGGGCATTTACTGTCTGGATTTACTCCTCAGAAACGAAAAAGCGATCATCTGCAGTTCATTCTCTTATTGCATTCCAGGTGTTGGGTTTTCGGTTGACTGATTGTTTACTTTCGGGTTTTTTGTTTATTGTCTTGCTAAATGCTCCCTTTTTCACCTTGATCGATATCCCGCAGTACACGATGGCTTTTGAATCTTTTTCAATTTCATTCCTATACCTTCCTTCCAAAGATCGTAGATGGATCAGTAACTCTGCAATCTACCGCCCAATGACACGCGCAGATTACAATGTCAATTCCAACACTCGGGCGATGATAAGACGAAAAAAGGGTTAAATGAGATTCAGCAACAGACCGAGTTGCACCCACTATGCACTAGGACGGAGGAAAGACACAATAGAGCAAGGTAAATTACTTCAGCTTGCAAGAAAAGGATATAAAACAACAAGAAACGCCTATTCATAGAAAAAGAGGATATCGACGGAAGCTGCGGAAGCAGATGGGAGGAGCAGTAACGTACAGGTTCTGGCCACCGCCAGAGAAGACCGAGAAAGTGCGGGAAAGAGAGAGAGAGAGAGAGAGAGAGAGAGAGAGAGAGAAAGAGAAGGAAGTGAGGAAGACAGCAATTGGAAAAAAACACAGTAGACTTTTAGCATGCCATGCCATGTTGACTGTGAAGAACGAATGATTATAAAGCCCAGAGCTCTACCACGCATTCCGATCCCAGTTCGGATCTGCAGGAGTGGTCAGCGGTGTTCCAGTACAGGGCGTCAAAGATATAACAGAGATGCGGGCTAAGAAGAAAAAAAGAATAGAGAATATCGCACCTTGTATGAAACTCGCCAAAACTTTACTCCCCGTCTGCAAAAGCGGGTGTCCGGCAACAATCTGCAAGAAGCGCTGCAAACCCTCCCGGCGGTGCTCAATGACATCGTCGCTGAACCGATTGGTGAACACCTTCCCGGGCAGCGGCGGGATGGTGACGCGCGTGCTCTCGCGCTCCAGGATGTCGCGGAAGTACTCAAAGTCCGAGTAGCGGCGGCGCACGATGGAATGTTTCAGCTTGAAGGCTGGGATGTTGGTTTTGCAGACGATCTCGTAGGAGGTGTACATATTGCGGGATGTGCCGTGTGTTTGCGGATTGAGGACCTATTTGTGATTGGCATGCTGATTAGGCTTGGTCCAAATTATTTCTGGGGAGTGAGCATGTGGGCAGGCATGGTGGGGTGATGAGGGGTCGAGACGGTGGGTGTGGGATATCGATGTTGGGGATGTCAGAGTTGGTTGGTATTTTGGCTGGGGTGTAACAATCAATAGATCACTGCCGTGACTCACTTCGATCTCGAGGAAGTTCTCCGGGGGCCCGTAGATCTCCTCAAAGGTCTGCTGGCGGGACTCCGGGACGTGCTGCATGGTTGAGGGGAGACGGGCTTGCGCCGGTGTACAGAAAGAGCGAGGAGCAATGTGGACAGTGCAGAATACGAGCTAGAAGTAGTCGAGCGGAAAAGGACTCTGGGGAGAACGTAACGATAGAGGTGAGGAGCGACTGAGCTAGCGTGGAGAAGAAGTGGTTAGACTTGGGCTGCTATCGGAGGGACTGCGGGGGATCGTTGATCCGGGCCGGGGCTTATCGTTATCAAGTTTAAGTTGGCCTACAAGAGGATTGCACGGCGAATGCGGCACGTATTAATATCTTGATTGAGAGTGGTCCCTGATTGAATGACCGGGGCAGATGCCGTTTTGCTTGTCTGGCCGACAGGAGTTGAGCTGCTTGATTCCGTAGAGTAGCTTCACGCTGGCGTATTGGTGCTCGAATGTGTACACTTTTTGTCCCGACTTGTCCCCGGGAACAAATAATTCTAAGCTTCTCTCAGAAAGCACAAGCTAGACCTGTAAGAATGTGAACGCACAGTCCCCGCGGAGCATGCTTTCCCGCTGATGAATTGGATGCGGGGAACATCAGGTACTTGTTTGAGTCAGATAGTGCATGCCGATATATACCCGAAAGTAACACTTAAAAAAGGACAGCTCCCAAGAAAATGGTCATTATGTAAGACTTCCTTCCGAGATCTTTGAGCCATCATGTTAGCCGTTGCAGCTCTCTGGCAAAATACTTCTCTGCCATATTACCTATCAGGGTTACTGCTATGGGTATGTCCAATAAGTCCCCGCTAGACGGTGAATGAGTGTTGAGCCGCGTCGCTTTCTACAATCCAGGTACTCGTCACAATCATCTACAGTGTGTGGTTTGGCCCATTAGCACCATTTCCAGGTCCATTTTGCGCCAAATTTTCGTCCTTGTGGATTATTCTTCAATGTCGACAAACCAAGCGTTCCGACTCTGTTCTGAGGCAGCATCAACGACATGGTGACTTTGTGCGCATTGCACCCAACCATATCTCCATCTCGAACCCCGCAGCACTGGAAACAATATACGGCCACAAGTCGGGATTTACCAAAGGCCCCTTCTACGAAGATAAGCTCCACCTTCCGTATCAATATCACTGTTTCCGGCCAATTGACTCGTATAGACTGCACCCTTTCATCAGGTTGAGCCTGTCCTTTTCAATACTAGAAGCACCGAAACCCACCAGCGGAAACGTAGATATTTGAGTCCAGCATTTTCGGCAAAGAACCTGAATGAATATGAGCCTTACATGACCGTGCAAATCCAGAAATTAATGGAGTGTTTTCGCCGCATGAATACTCCTCAAGAGACGCAGCTAGATTTCAACGAGTATGGTAAGTTTGATAGACATATTCCAAGAACTAGTCCGAATTGACCCTGTAGTAGCAAATTACCTAGCTTTCGATGTGATCAGTTAGTCTTCCCAGCACGTCCTTCTTACCTCCCAGCTGATAAACATGAATGCAGGTGATTATGCCTTTGGAAGATCATTCGGATTCCTCTCCCAGCAGCGTGATCACCTCAACCTTATAGCAACAATTGATGCTCGTGGAGAAGTCCTCAATGCACTGGGCCACGTCCCACAATTCCTGCGCCCTCTCATGAAATACTTCTTCCTCGACCCTTTCTGGCCTAGCGGCCTGCGTGCAACATCAAACCTGGCAACAATAGGCACAGACGCTTACTATCTCCGCAAAGACCAGCAGGACTCGCGACGAGATCTCCTCAGTTTCCTGTTCAGTGCCAAAGATCCAGGGAACGGAAAGCCTCTCTCCGAGAAAGAGATTATTGCCGAGTCTATCTCGTTTATCGTGGGTGGCAGTGATACCACCAGCTCAACAATGACGAATGTCGTTGATATTGTCTCCCGCTTGCCGGGGGTCCGGAGACAGCTTCAGGCGGAGTTGGATGCGGCGTTCCCCGGACAGATGCCAGCCAGCTGGGTAGCTGATTTTGCGACCGTTAATAAGCTTCCCATCTTAAATGCCGTTCTGCGTGAGACGATGAGATTCAAGCCCACGAGTTCTACGGGCTTGGAGCGAGTGACGCCGGCGGGAGGGAAGATGATCGCAGGGAAATATATCCCAGAAGGTGTAAGCATTGGCCTTGCTCAGGAACTCACTGATGGATGCTGAACATCATGGCAGACCTTGGTTAGTGTGCCTACATTGAATATCCACCATAACTCGACCATTTTCCCGAAGCCGGACGAATTTGATATATCACGTTGGCTTGACAGCACATCTTCAACATTATTGGATTCCTTTTATCCCTTCTCTCTAGGACCACGCGCCTGCATAGGGCGAAAGTATGTTCCGCTCTCTTCTCTGTCTGATATATTTTGAAGCTGACTCCCGCGAAGCTTTGCATGGATGGAGATGCTGAAAACACTGGCAACAACCCTGAAGCTATTCGAACTGGAAAGAGTGGAAGTAGCGGGCAGTGGCATTCGGGAAGGGTTCTTTGTGAAAAACAAGGAGTGCCATGTAAAGATCTCCTCTAGATAAATAAATCTCTATACTTATTGTCGGGCTTAACGGAGATTGATTGGGGAGCGATGACATAACTCGGTTATCGATAAGCCCCCTCACTTGCTTCAACTCACCATTGTCAACGCCCCCGTAATGGCCTCGCCCGGATCCTCTGACAATCAGGCGCCTTCAAACCCATCTACTGTGTGGCATCCAGCGCAGGAGTGGTTGGAAGACGATGAGCAAGATATGGATTACCACCCGGCACAAGATACGGATGACGACGATGAGTGGGAGGACCACATGGATGATGGATCGGAAGACGACGGCGCGGGGATAGATGTTTCAGACGGTAGGAAGCCATTGTGCTCAGCCTTGCAGATGTTCTGACTGTTCAGCGTAGAGAACCCGCATGTCACTCTTGGCAACATTCATATCGAACTTGCAACAGGTGATGAAGACGAGCAGGATCAGGATGGAGATCACCCACGAAGTATGTTCATGAGAAAATACAAGGGAATAATTTCTAATGCTTGGTTGTAGTTCCGGCTGCACGGTTATTTGAATTACTCGCGTCGAGCGGTCTCCAACACATACTTCAGTCCAACGGATGGCCCGGCCTAGCACAGGATGAGGAAGACGAGGACGACGATGAAGATGATTATTACTTTAGTGCTTTTAGGAATCGGCCCAGAACCAGGCGGAGGAGCGGGCCGGTTGAATACCCTAAAGTGCCTAGCGATGAGGGCACGGAGTTGATGGGTGAAGGCCACTTTGGATCCGATCAGTATTACGTGGATCGCCTGAAACAGCGGAAAAAAGCCCTTGCAATGAACTTGATGTGGCGAGAACTCGGAATTGATGTACATGGAGTGCAGAAGAGAGCGGATCAGGATATTTCCCAGGTATGTTGTTTTGAAATGACGAAAAGCATAGTGCACATAGCTAATATACAACCGTGTAGAAACTGATACCGGGCTCCGCCGCAGATCGGATCATCCATTACGACGCACGAAGTTACTCTGGACAGTTCTCGGACGACGGAAACTTCTTTTTTTGCTGTGCCCAAGATTTCCGAGTTCGGATGTACGATACATCAAATCCATACGAGTGGAAATACTACAAGACTGTCGACTATCCTTTCGGCAGATGGACCATCACAGACTCTACGTTGAGCCCTGATAATCGTTTTCTCGTGTACAGTTCAATACGAAGCAAAGCCTACCTTGCCACAACAGATCCGGAGGATGATTCGGACCCGAGTGTGCTGGACTTTTCCGCAGTACCAGGTCGGAGACGACAGCGGCAGGGCTGGGGTGGTCCTGACTTTGGGGTATGTCCTGCAACAGATTGCCTGAGCGCGACTGGCTGACTTTACTGTCCGTAGATTTGGTCTCTGCGGTTCTCTGGAGACGGCCGGGAGGTCGTCGCGGGAACAGATGAGGATTCGGTGATTGTGTTTGATCTCGAAACGAAACAGACAGTCCTGAATCTCCGAGGTCGCCACCAGCACCATGTCAACGCGGTCTGTTTCGGTGACTCTTCTTCTCCACATATCCTCTACTCTGGCTCAGATGACACGACACTTCGGGTCTGGGACCGACGGTCCATGGGCGATGGGCGAGAAGCAGGAGTATTCATGGGCCATACCGAGGGGCTGACCTACGTCGACAGCAAAGGCGATGGCCGGTACGTTCTTTCGAACGGCAAAGACCAAACCATGAAGTTGTGGGATTTGCGAAAGATGATGACCACCGCCAAATTTGATACTATTGATCCCAATATCTATACAACTGATTTTGACTACCGCCATGGCCCATACCCCGACGACTGTTACCAGCCACACCCGCACGACTGCTCAGTGGTCACGTTCCGTGGCCATCGCGTTCTCAAGACTCTGATCCGCTGCCACTTCTCCCCTCCCGGAAGTACCAACTCTCGGTATGTTTACAGCGGCAGCGAAGACGGCAAAGTATACGTGTACAACCTGGACGCCACCCTGGCAGGTACGATCGACGTGAGATCTGCAACGCAAAACTCGCGGCCCCGTGAGCCAGATCCCTTCTCCGCGGCGTATGGGATGGGCGGCGAGATGATGTGGCGGACCTGTGTCCGAGACGTTAGCTGGCACCCGAATGCGCCAGTCCTGGCAGGTAAGTGACTGTCAATGCGGTTGGTTCAGGGGACATAGCTGACCCAAACTAGCATCATCCTGGAATGGATGGGGCGGGTCAACGGGTACCTGTACTGTGCATTCCTGGAACGATGGTGCCGCAGATGACGAGGGCGACCCTCCCATTGGTAGAAACTACGACGGCAAACTGCGGCCGATCCCCGAGTTCAACGAGTTCCGTGACATTGCCCCGACGACTCAATCGCGCCGCCCACTGCGAAGTCGGCCTGTCCGGCAACTGTTTGTCGGCAGTGAACCTGATTCTCCGGAGTGGTAGCGAAGAAAATATTGGGATCGCGAAATAGAATTGGAGATTTGGGGTGTTCAGCAGGCAGCGAGATCTCCTTGGGAATTGATATAGTGCATCTTAACCGTTGCCTACACATATGCTCTGGTTGCATCGCAGCGTGTAGGAATAACGAGTGATATGACATGCAAATACGAAACTCTTTCTCTCTGTCTCTCCATGTTGTGATCAGAAAGGAACCCCTGTTGTGGATTGCTCAACGATGCTAGGGTATCTCATGGATCGCACCGCCCCCGGTGCGTCCAGATTATGCGCCCGTAAAGATAAAAGTACACAGAAAAGAAAAAGTTAAGAATAGAGACCATCATCTGCAGAACAAAGGGGGTTTCAAATGCGCAAATCGAAATCGAAATCGAAATCCGGGGTCCTTCCTCTTGTAGTTGTCTCCGCTCATCTCCGGACGCGTACGACTGACCGACCGAGGCCATTGACCATGCGAATCGAGTTTAAGCACCGCCGACGAGAACCTGGTTGACGGGGATGTGGACTGCGGGGAAAAGGAGCGACATTAGCAGGGAGGTTCTAGAGCTCGCCAGGACACGACGCTGGGGTAACGCATCGCCACGGCTGCGGCACACTTACTCAGCTTGACGAAGTAACCGATCGCGCCCTGAAAGAAAGACAAGGTCAGCAACAGCTCGAGATTATTTCTGGCGGAGAGGAGGGAGGAGGGAGATGGTCGAGAACATACCATCACGAGGAAGCCACAGCCCACGGCGTAGGAGATCTTGTAGAACTCATCCTTGTCGGCTGTCGACAGGAGGTCAGCATTGGTCCCAGCAGCAAGAAAGCCACCTCATCGACTCACGCTTGGTGCAGCGACGGATGAACTGCGAGCCATCACGCAGGAAATCCTTGGGGATATCAGCCAGCTCCTGGAGAGTCTCAGACATCTTGGCACGGGTTGAGAGACGAGTCTCGTAGATAAACTCAAGGTAGTAGAGAGAGCTGAGCAGGAGGGCACGAAGGAACTGCGTGTCGTGGTCGAAGTCAATGGGCTGCGGGAGTCTCGCGCGGTCGGGCCAAATGGCCTCTCGGGGGCGGATCATCTCGCCCTCCGTCACCGCCTCCAGCAGGGCAGAATCCGCGACCAGCTGATCTTCAACCGCATCAAACCAGCGCTGTGGCCTCTGCTTCTGCTTGCGCTTCTGCTTTTGAGGACGACGACGACGAGACATTTGTTCAACAGAAAAAGGGTCTTGTTTCTGTGATAGTGGTGTTTTCTGGTGCACAGGGGAAAACTGTGTGGTGACAGCGTTGCAAGGTTCACGTTCTGGGAGAGTTGTGCCTGCCCCCTTTCATCATCGTCTTGTGCGCGCCATTGTGTTGTGCGCACACCCAATCCACTGCCTGTCTGTGGCTGCTGGTCTTGTCTCTCTATCATCCTTCTCCAGGCATCGCGCTTTTCCTTCTTCTGGACCTGTACCCGCGCGTCGAGCTCGAGCGCTCTCCTGTCTATCTCATCGCGCACCAGGTGCGGCTTCTCTCATCACCAGAGAACCAGGGTTCTGTCTCTTTCGGATTGTACGTATTACGGAGCACGTTGTGTCTGTGTATTCTTGTCTTCTTGTTTTCTTTGTCCAGCAGGCACTGGGAGCGTGCCGGGACTTGCTGCCTATGGCCTATTCTCTGGGAAATGACTCCTCCATGCTAATTGATGGCCTGTCTCTGCAGACATGTATTACTGAAACAACCAGAAGAGAGAAAAAAAAACAAAGAAGAAGTTTATTCACAAGAATCTCAAGTTCACTTACCTGCTCTGAGCTTGGCCCTCGGCTGATCTAGTGCGCGCAATGGCGACCGAGGACGATAATTTCGACATTGACATCTACGGGGACGGCGGCGGCTTCAATGCTAACGAACCGGATTTCAAGCCGGACGACTCGTCGGAGCTTGTGCTAGACGCGCCCGAGAACCCGCCTCTGGAGAACAACGTGAAGGTCGAACAACCAGAAATAAAACCGGAGCCGTCGCAGCCGTCGGCAACGCCCAATGGAGAGATTCAGCCTCAGATCCAACAGCAACAACAGCAACAGCAGCAACAGCAGCAACAGCAGCAACAGCAGCAACAGCAGCCGCAAGAGCCAGCCGCACCGCACGGGGTGAAGCGCAAGGAGTATGACGACCAATCAACAGACCCGGACGCCACACCGGCGCTACTCATCTCAGATCTGTTCTGGTGGACAACTGATGACGATATTCGGGGCTGGGTCAACCAGGCTGAGTGCGAGGACGGGCTGAAGGATGTCACATTCAGCGAGCACAAGGTGAACGGGAAGAGCAAAGGGTGAGTACCTGCTCAAACCAAACCCTCCCCCCAATCATTGAAAATGAAGCTCATCATCGGGATGTACGAAACAGCCAAGCATTCGTGGAATTTACCACTCCGCAAGCCGCTACAGCCGCGAAACACAAAATCGAATCCCTGGGACTGACAGGTTCCTCCGGCCGCAAGCACGTGGTCATCTACACCAATCCACACGCTAACCCATTCAAAACTCTCCCCAAGGACGCGCCAATGCGCAAAGATAACAACCGGTCCGTCGGCAGCGGCGGCGGATTCAACGCCGGCGGCAACCAGAACTTCGGCATGAACAATATGGGTGGCGGCGGAGGTTTCCGAGGTGGCCGTGGCGGATACAACCGTGGCATGGGCGGCAACATGGGAGGAGGCTTCAACAACCGCAACAACTTCAACGCCATGGGCGGCGGCGGTGGTGGCTTTCAGGGCGGATCCGGGCCTAACAATATGATGGGTGGCTTCCAGGGCCAGCCGATGGGTGGTGGCATGCAGAACTACGGCTTCAATAACCGCGGCAACATGATGGGTGGCATGCGCGGTGGTCCGGCGGGAATGCGTGGTGGTCGTGGTGGGAATAACATGGGTGGACCGAACATGATGGGCGGCATGCCTGGTATGAACCCAATGGGAGGGATGGGGATGAATCCGATGGCCGGGGGCATGGGCCCAATGATGGGTGGGATGGGCGGCAACATGGGCATGCAAGGTGAGCTCAGATCTTCTTTTCTTCCAGCAATTAGCTGCTGATTGACGTTCTGCAGGACAAGGCTTCCAGGGCCCCAACCAAGGCTTCAATCAGGGCTTCTACAACCCGAACCAAGGCGGTGGTGCCGATGCGTCGTGGAACCCGCACGGTGCGAAACGCAGCCGGCAGGAGTGAAAAAGTTATCGAAAAGACATACCTCCAAAAAGGATCCTCGCCTCTCCTCGCACCTCGTTGCTTTCGATAAGATGCGGAAAGCATTACTGACCACTACGTACATCTTTTCCCCTCCCAAAATTCAACTCAAGGCCAAAGACTCTCTTCACGCCATTACTACTACTCACCCTCGCCAACAAATTGGCCGTCTTCTCGCTATTTCTTTTATTGTCATTATGCTTTTCCCCGTCATGGCTGCAAGGGAAGGAAACAAACGGAAAGGAAGGGAAAAGGAAAGGGCTGCAAAACTAGGGCTCGTTCTGGATTTCGAGATCTCTGGGTGTTTTTTTAGTTTCTTTCTTTACTGGTTTCTTTCTCTCTTTCGATTCAACTGATGTATTAGATGCAAGTCAATGGAGTCTGCTGCTTTTGTTTTTGTCTTGGTGAATGCTCATACATAGCATTATGTGTACATGACGCGAAGCCTATGTAGCATAAATCATAGAAGGCGACAGAGGCCCTGGGCCATTATTCCCCCAGCCCAGGCATGCGGATACAGGATAGATATATGTGGCTGAATTCTGATCTAAGAAGTAAGCTTCCAGGTTTGAGAAGCGAGCAAGTAACTATGAAAAGGACTGCGAATAGATAGATCATTATGCGACGTTAAATTCCAGATATGCTAGCGTCGTCTACCTACTGAGCGGCAGTAAGTAATGTAACTGTGCCAAACCATAATAACATCCATAGTACCCTGAAATGCCTGGCATCAAATCCATAAAAATCATAACTTGCGTGGGAACCAAAGATCCTATAAAAAACCAAGGACCTCGACTCAAAGGCAGCCATAACCGACCCTTGTAGTATACACGACTTGTACAGTATGTACACAATTCCTAGATCAAGATCAAAATGGGCCACGTATACCATTTAGAGTGAAAGAATACTTACCAGAAAGCAGATGTTCAACCTGGGTTATCGGGAAACAAGAGGAAGGTGGTATGGTGTACAGAAGGAAAAGGATATCGGCATTGCAATGCATACAATACATCCAAAAAAGAGAAGACAAGACGAAAAAAGCAGGCAGAAAAAGAGAGAGACCTTCCAAGTCAGTGCCAGGAATCATTCAGTCAGCAGCATACCGCCCCCATGACGGCCCATGTTCAAGAAGAAGAGAACAAGATGCATGATGAGCACATAAACTGACTTCAACTCATCGTCGGCGTCATGCGGAACCAGTTTCGAAGACGTATCACCTCCAGCATCATTTATCAAGGCCAGCAACTTCTGGAGCAGCCACTGAAAATCGGTAGTAAAAGCCCATTCGGCTTCCAGTTCTTCTTCGGAGCTCGAAATGGCAGTGACAGACTGAGAAGAAGAGATTTCAAGGGACGAGGAGTCTGCGTTCTCGTCCGTGTCGCCTTCTTTGGTCGTCTTCTTCTGCTTTCTGTCTGGGGACTCGGCGGCCACGGATGACCGGAGCTTAAGCAACCGCACTACTACCTGGACTCTTGTCCGCAGGGTATGGCTGTGGCCAGGCTCTCGAGACTGCGTGTCGCCAGCCGCAACCTTGAATGTCACTTCGACACGTCTGTCAGGAGACACAGCTTTGTGGGTACGTGCTATGTACTGCGGACGAGGCATGGCGCGGCATGGGCAGTTGCATTCCGGGGCAGGCTCGAGGCTTGCGATAGTACTCGGGAGCGGGAGTGAGTTGCTCCGCGGTGGGACGAAGGACAAGTCTGGTAAGAGATGTGAGCATGGACGACTAGCTAATTTATTGGAGGTGGATGGTCAGAACATACAGTCCCAGGTGCCAGGAAGCACGCTTGAAAGAAGCTCTGTGGGGATCCTGTTGACTTGAGACTTGGTGGCCTGAGGATTGATCAATTTGCCGAGTCTGCGCAGTATGGAACGCGGGCCCATCACAGACGGGCCTTTGAGATGACTCTCATAGAGCAAGGGAAAGTTGGGCTCTGATACCGCAGCGATCATCATCGTGGGGGAGTCTCCAAAGCCCATGTTACCGCGGCTGTGGCGGGCGTTCCCGGTGCCGGTTCCATAGCCCTGCGTCCCTGCCCATGGAAACCCCGCTCCGGTATATGTATATGGGTCCGCGGGGAAAGAAGCAGCACCAGCCTGCATGTCTTGGCCAAACCCTTGATTTGGGATATATCGAGGAGTTGTCAAATCAAGCGGGTTGACATATAAAGAGCTCTCGAATGAAACGGATCGAGTGGCCGAAGCCGGGTGTCCACCAGAGGACTGCACCGCAAGCTGGTCAGCGGCACACATGTGGCATCGGCCTGTCTGGAAACACAGATCGCATTTGTTGACGATATGAGGACACCGGGAGCACTTTTGCTCAGGCTCCGGCTGTGGCTCTGGTGGCGGTGGAGGCCTCAAGGAGGAAGAATAATCTGTTCTCTTGCGCTTATACCGGCTGTCAGGGACCGGTTCGCTAGATTGATTGGCGTTCTGCTCACGCTGAGACTGTTTGGATCTTTGGCCAGCCTTGGGGTTGGGCTGTAAGGTCTCCCCGTCGTGTATCGAGTCCTTGATCTCACAATGGCTGGCGAGGCAATTGTAGAACTCATCCCAACTTTTAACACTCAAGGGGCAAAGAAGACAATTGATAGGGCAAGCCAATTCTTCACGGAAATCGTTGATTTCTGTGCGTTCGAAGTTGAGCAGGTGATGGTATTTCTCAGCGTGCTGTTTGACCTTGTCACGTCTAGCCTCGTGACTGGGGCAACCCCGTGGACACCAGTATTTATACTGGGCCTGATGATAAGTCTCAACATGGCGCTTAAAGGTTCCGGTTTTGTTGAAGGTACGGGTACGTTTGACTTCAGGGCATAGAAGACAACGATACGTAGGCTCCTTCGTCGGCTCTTTCTTCGGCTCTTTCTTCGGCTCTTTCTTCGGCTCTTTCCTCGGCTCTTTCCGAGTTCTTGTTCCCAGATCGGTCTCCTGAGTCTTGGTGTCAGGTAAACCAATCCTAGGGTGATCCACGACCATTGAGCGGGCATCATCGAGCATTGAGAGGACCTCATCGAACTGATTTGAATTCCAAGCCTCAACAGCTTGTTGGAGATATCGTATGAATTCGGATTCCTGGGGTTGTCTATAGGCAGGCGTGTCAAACTTCGGGGGATCCTTTTGTTTCAAGCCAAAAGCCTGTTGGGTTTGCTCCAGATCCAATGGACACCACATTTCCTCCATATTCAGAACATCGCCCCCTCCGATTCCACGAAGATCGGTTTGGAAATCCCTGGAGGCGGGGGGTATGGCTGCTTCGGGCTCGTAGGGGTCTAGCTGCCCGGCTTGGCTAGTCGTGCAGCTTGTAGTTCCGAGAGAGGGATCCCAAAGGCCGGATGGTTCCTGATGTCCGGAAGATCAGCTGTGGCCATGAGCTCTTGATCACGAATGACACTTACTGAACCCGAGTCTTGCGACGACGGTGTTGCCATCTCTGTCTTCGGTAGACATATTGTGTCCAGCGAGGCTACCGAATCTGCCAAATTATCGGACGGCTCTGGGCCATACCCAAATCGATAATATGGGAAGGCCATAGCAGCGGCTGCGTGTAGCTTCCCCGGGACAAGAACACTAGCGGTAGGCAGGGTCTCGTCCAACTAGAAAGAAGAAAAACAAAACAGGATAGATTGATTCGACGAAAAGGACTACACAAGAAGTCCTGCGAAAGGAGGGAACCAAAGGTTGGCACGAGGGGGCGGGGGGAGGGTGTGTTTTTGTCCTCGAGTATTTCACCAGGGTTTTGAAATCGCGACGGCCGGATTCGCTTCATTGAGGCCTCGCCGGGGATGGGGAATCATGGGCCTTCTGCGTTGGCTCCGCCATGGCCCAAGGTGGAAAAGGATCTTCAGGCCGCCGCTATCCGCCGGGCTTGACAACCATCTGTTCTTCCTCGTGTCTGCCGGCACTGAAGCCTTCTGATCTCGAACCGGGATCGCAATATGAGGCGCAGGCGGTGTCCTCTATAGCACAGCCCCCTGCTTCTTCCGTGACAATCTAGGTTCGTCAACCGCAATCCTTCCGACGTCACCTTGACCGGATGGATGGGAGACACTACCGAGTTCCCCCGGTGGGCGCGGTCTCTGGAGCGAGCCAGATCGAGCATGCTGTTGTTTGCCCCCGGCTGCATTAGTACCTGCTGTCGGGCACCAAAGTCACGCGGTGGCAAACAGGCCACCCCGCATTTTAAGCCGCATTCGCATCAGAGAGTTGAAACCGATCTGCTCACCGGGAAATTAGCATTGACTTTGGGCTTCTGGCACGGGACCGACTGCCCTGACATCGATGATAACCGTCCTTCCATGTGCTTGGACAATTGTACAACCGACGGGAAAGCCACGACCGGATGACGCTTGAATGCCTTCCGGCGCCAAGAAGAACCCACCTCGATTTGATTCGTGTTTGACCAAGTCAGCTGGGACAAAACCGGGCGTCACGTTTCATGCTAATCCAGTCTGCCTCACTGCGGGTTGACAGGTACACCTTCGGATGTTAGAGTGAGGGATTTTCCGCTTCAGCTGAATGATTGTGGGCCCCCCTTTACATGGGGCAAATACCTGATCCCCAGTGCATATTGTTACGCAGCAAGCTCCTTCTTGCGCCTTCTAGCGTTTCTTAGCGTGCTGTCCGTGGGTCCTCTCGACGGGATCTTCGTGGAACCGTGGGCACGATTGCGGGTTCCACAAAGTTAGTTTGGTTCCGCTGTAAACAACCTGCAGGGCCGACTGCTTCAATGATAATGCCAGCACCATCCAAGCGATGTCAAGTGCCCGGCCGAACGAGGACATGATAACCGAATCGGACGGAAAGGAGGGGGCAGCGACGCGGCCAGAGCGGATGCTTTTTCCTGATCCCAATAGACAACAATCCGGGGAGCGGTGGAGTGGAGTCCGATAAAGCGTTTCCACATGCAAGATCCGCCGGATTGCGGAGAAAAGGATTACGATGAGCAAATGGGTAAATATCCGGATCCATATCTCTATCTATAACTAGACGCCACGATCTATATACCCAATGTCAAGAACAAATACCTAAAACAATGAGATAACACAAAAAGAAGCCCAACCGGTAAACCAGGGTGCCAACGCCCCCGCCATTCGTCCCCTCCCATCCCAAACCAATCCATCCCATGCTACCCCATGCCGATCAAATGAGAGCTAAATGTCGACGAAAATGCCGTTGTGCATCACCATTTGCCCCGATGCAATTGTTTCAAGAGGCAAAACAAAGGAGACACAGTCCAACAAGGATGACTAGGTCCGTCTGTGGATACTGGACCACGGGGATGAATTGGTGGACTTCAGAAACGTCGAGGAACCCTTGCTTGTTGGATAAGACTTGGACGAAGAGCCGGTGGACTTGCCTCCAATATTAAGCTGAGTGTCCTTGGGGATGCTGATATTGGCTTGCCAGGCGCCGATGCCGCGAAGGTCTTGGTTGGAGGAAGGCATTGGGCTGCTCAGGAACACAGTTTGATCAGCTCGTAGTCCTGCACTATGTATCACTGAGCTCGGTAGGACTCACCTGGAATATGCGATAGAGGGTAGTTTCTTAGGATGTCTTGGTTGTGTGGTGATAGCAGCACTTCCTGCAGAGATTTCATGGTCTTTTTATAACAAGTCAGTTCCTACCTGTCTGAACACCCAGGAGAAGAGCAGTCGCTGCCTACCGGTGACAGTACCTGGGTGAGGGAAGTGAAGGTTGGGAGAGTCGGGTGCGTGGTGGCCGTGTATGCCGATCACCACCGCCATTTGGAAAACTCGATTGCAAGAATAAACCCCCAGAACGCGGGTTTATGGGTGTTTGGCGGTGGAGGGCGAGCAGACGAAGTAGCGGTGGTGATCGTTCGTGACTCAAGGTCAATGTGAGATAATGTACCTGCATAGTTAAGCCCGAAGATACATGTACGGCGTAATTTGGGTGACGATTACACGTAACTGAAATGGACGCATCACCTTGGCAGATGTCTGGAATGGATGCGGAAATTCTGTATACTTGACGGGTGGGACGGTGCTTTTCTGATCATTGGGCTGTGGATGTCTACGTTTGGTGTGCGGGCCGAGTGAGTATTTTACATCGGCTTTCCAATGCCGGGTACTATACAACTGATTCATCTCCTCCTGCGTGGCTCAAGACCAGACAAAGTTCCGTGATTGGATTGCCAGTCTGCAGCGGGTGAAAGTGTGTCAGCCGACTCTCCGGCGAGCTCGACCTGTTGAACCAATATGTACTGTAATGACTACTCCTGCTAGTATTCTCGTTTATGTCGACAAGGCGCAGCGCGATGAAAAAGTCCACCCGGGGTCACGATGGGATGGAACAGGGGTTTTGGGTGAACTATTGCGTCAGCATGTAGGTAGAGCCCGGGGAAGAAGCAGAAAAAGGGTGTCAACCATTTTCGATAACGCTGTAACTGTACGGAAACACTTAGTCGTAACATTACTTACAAACTTTAGGCCAATCCCAGAGACAGCGGTAGCGCCTAACCTGTCTGGGTAGCATGATAGATTGGAACGAATCACCTAATCCAATCTTCTAATCACACGGCAAGGAGAGAGCGTTTGTTGGTTGACCGTTCCTGCATCCGAAAGCATGTTTATTTCCATCTCCCCCGGAGACCGCCGTGCGTTTAGGCCCTGTCTTGCGCGGAGAAGTCCAGCCGGCCCCCGCTATGGAGATTGTATGGCTGCTATCTTTACTTCCGTTGGTTCGGAGTTGTACATAATAGTATGCACGCCCGACTTGATCGGTTCAGTCCCTTTTTTATCCTTCTTCGAATAGAATAATGCACGGCGATATATCTAGAGATATACCCTTGACCGAGCACGCACTCCTCTTGGGAACTGATCATCCTACACGGTATTATACAACATTATTTGGTAGCACCGTTTATACGTTACATACTAGCGCACCCAGCGTGGTGCATGCTAGGGTGGACTATGACCTCACACTGGGTAAAATGACAAGGCTGAACGCCTGAAGCGGCTTAGACCCGTGAAATGGACATACTGTTACCATAATCGTCCCAGTCCAAGATTCCCCGAGTGACTGCACCAAGGCAAATCGAGTATCTTCGAACGAAGCCATCGTATTTTCCATGCTGCGTTGGTCCAATCAGGGCTGCCCCAGAGGCCAAATAATTGTGTTTTCAGTACAGTTTCCCACTTCTCTTTGGGTAAATAGGCCCGAGAGCCGGGATAAACCCACCACGGGTTCCACTGGAGAGACAGACTTGGCCTGGGGGTTGCTCTCCTCCTATGCAACTAGACTACCTCGGTCAAAAGGACACCCTCGGAGGGATGGACAGTACTTTTCGACCATTTGGGAGCACCCCGTGTGACACGCATTAGGCAGACCCACCAATTCTAAGGCAGAACAATTTGCGGGGCATCACGGTGCCATTACTGCTCCCCAAGGCAGCGAGCATTTCCAGTCTAAGATAATAATATCGTGATTGGACAAAGAACCTGCCTGTAGAGGTTTCTTCGAGATAGAAGAAAGGCGGCATGTTGTAAGCGAGTGGTAAGCGCGCGACCAAACCTGGCAAAAAAGGAGGGAGAGGCAGTGGAATAAGGTCATCCTTTGTGATGTTTGAAGGGAAGTTTTACGAGGTGCTCCAAAATGGCTGAAAAGTGTCCCGTAAGCACAAATCCTACATATGATGAGATCTCAAAATACGCCCTTCTTTGCGTTGCACTCCACCTTATCATACGTTATAGAAGCGTGTGGTGGACTTGCCATGTCGTGATGATCAATATGATCACTAAAGGAACAGCTACGACCCAGGGTATCCAGAAGTCTTTTGAGCCAGGCGAGTAGTCACCGCCCATCGAGAAAATCGCGGCGACAAGAGTGATGGGAAAGAAAACCGCACCGACAATCGATAGCTGCAAGCCAAAACGCGCGCTATGCAGGCTGCGCAAGGCACTGCTCAGATTGATCGAATCGGTCACGATGCCGACCAGATTATCGACTCGAGACTCATGTCGATCCAATTCAGATAGTATGGCCTGAAGATCTCGCCCGGCGATGCGAAGGCTTGATGGCGTCGCGATGCTCGTATGGTCGCCTGCAACATACGGTGCGAAACCTAAGCGCTCCAGATTAAGGACCATCTCTCGCTTGTACCACATCAAGCGCCGCTGGAGTATGCCGAGAAGAGACAGTCTCTCATTGTAATAGTTCAGCTCCTCCCTCCACTCCGCTGTGCTGACGGCTTTTCCAGGCGAGTTGTGGCGCTTCGATTTCGAAGTCAAGTCCACGGTTGAGAGGGTTTTAAACTGCAGATCAAGAAACTCATTCCAGTGGCATGCCACGATCTGGTGTACAAATAATGTCGTGTTGACGCAGCTATCAAAGACAGCGTCAATCTCCCGTCTCTCTGCGCGTAGCCAGTAGAAGATGATATCGTCGAACATGGACTGCCGGCTAGGCGCTAAAACAGAGCGACTTGACAGCCAGGGGCGAAGGTCGCTATATCCCGCGCGATAGGGCTTGCTCCACTGAATTTGTGGACTCCAAGGGGCATTGTCTTCTTCCTTGTCGAGGACGTAGTAATAACCTTTCCTTGCTGCAGGCTGAGAAGCAACTGGAGGGTCAACGAGAAGAATCGCTGTTGTATGTCAGGAAGAACAAGGAGACTTTTGACTAGAATACTAGAAAGACATACCATTCCAGGCACCTGGTGTTGGTTTATCTTCACCTGGCAATCCTTCACCGCACCAGAAAGATACATTGTGCCTCACTACATCCACGTGGGTCTCACGGCGAGTAGCCAAATCTCGCCACCGCTCAATCTGGCGAGAAGCATGCGCAAAGGTTCGTCGGCGGCGCGTCTGGTTTTCGGCGAGGCGGTCATCGGTTTCTCGAAGCTCATAATACCTCAGGGTAAACGATCTTGATGCATCCGTCAATGACGGCAAGGTACGATGCGGTATCGTGTGGTTTTCCGAGAAGTGATATGTGAATAGTTGATCAGCCAACACGACAGGATCGATGTGTAGCGCAGAACCAAGCATTTCTAGGCTAGACTCGTCAAGGTCCTCGAGTAGGAACAGCCGGTTGTGGCACGGCGCCTCTGCATTTATCCTGTCGAGGTAGTCGCGGAGGTCTGCAGAGTCGCTCAGATCAACAAACTCGGGCTGTTTATCAGGCACGAACTCAAGAGCACCGCACCGAGAGGTGAACTGCCTTGATGACAATGGTTCAGGTAACCTTCTTGGGGCAAATCGGTCCCAGTCGGAGAAGAACTGGGCCATGCATGGGTATCTAGCGCTTAGTTTTCTCGCATGGTCGAGGTAAGATTCCATACTGTGCAGTGTGAAGCCGTAATTGGTTGTCTTTAAATATAAAGGGACAAGTATAAGAAAATTATTACCAAAAAAAATGATCTCCGTCGGGTTGTAAACCCCGCCCCTTTTTGCGTCACGTCTAACTCCTTTCGTGCGGCTTAGCGGTCTCCCTTGGGATAAAGTCACCTGATCATCTCAAGGTCGAGACTCCTGCTGAATGTAGATCGTTAGGAATTACTAGTTCTAAAGTTGGCATATCATCTTTTAAAGCGCCACATATGCATTCCATGCACGATTTTTTTTAAAAAAAGGATGACGTGCCGACGGGCTCAGGCTATGGGGCTGATTTGCTATACTCGATCGAGTACCAGTTCTAACGGGTACCTGATTGGGTGATATACCAATCATGTACACGAGCAGCCTAGGCGGTTTGGGATGTTATGTTGTTTTGGTTTTTCCTAGAGGTTTGATCACAGGGCAGCGAATCCGATGGAGAAAATGAACTAGAAATTAACGTGGTCTAGATACATCTCTATAATCATTCATTTAGTCAATTCAGTGTCGAAAGCCACCAAACTCTTTACCGCATCTACTATACACTCTTTCAGCGAGCGAAACTTGACACCCAGAATGTTCTTTGCCCGACTATTATCGAAGCCATATACTCCATCTGCCGGATAGTCCCCAGGGATCAAAGCATCGCCGGTGGGCAATCGATCACGGAACTCAGGGAACTCCTCGCCGATAATCCTTACAATTTCCTTATTCGAGAAATGGCCTGATACAGTGAAAAAGCGCTTCCCACCCGCATCCTCCTTCTCCGCAGCGAGAACATGCGCCAGAGCCAGATCGCGAACATCGACAAAGCCATAATTTCCCGTTGGCGGACAGCGGTCTTTGGCCGCCCCCGAAATTAGATCACGGATTCTTTGGTTAGATGTATTCAGGGCGCTTAGAGAGGCGAGGTCGTGTGCAATAGGGCCCAGAACGAGCGGCGGGTTTATGACGGAGAGGCTGAACCCCGGCTTCTCTCTTTCGACAAATTCCCAGGCGGCGCGTTCCTGAGAAGAAATTAATTTCCGCTATGCCAGACTCCGGGGAGGTGTTTTGAGAGTTACTCACTGCAAAGGTCTTACTAGCGCGGTAGGCATTGGCGGGACTTTCATAGGCTTGAGCTTCGGTGATGGGGCTCCAATCGGCCTTTTGTCATTTGTTTAGTGATTGGAGGGTAATAACTTATGCAGAAGATACCGACATACCTCTGAGTAAACTTTGCCAGCAGCCTTTGCATAAACGTCATTAATCGCCGCAAAAGAGGATGTCACTACTACCCGTTTGACCGTCGGGGCGTATTTCTGTATTGACTTCAAGATACCAGTAGTCCCGATGATAGCTGCGGCCCTATTAGCAACCTTGAATATCAGCTAAAAGAGATTAAATCTTACCTGGATCCAACAGTTCCGTCTTTGCATCTTTAGCATTGAAGTGATACGGACTTGCCGTGTGCAGGACAGCCTCAAAAGGTGGATCTGAGACAACCGCTTGGTCGAATGCTATAGAATAGGTGTTAGTTTCCTTTCCTCGGGGATAAAAGCAAGACAAATACCATTCATATGCGCAATATCTTCCACAATAGCACAGTCCAGACGATCTCTTCCTAGTTCCGGATGCGCCTGGAGAATGGCATTGGCCTTTTGTTGGGAGCGAACGGTTGTCACGACCGAATGGCCACGAGCGAGTAGAGTCTCAAGAACATGAGCGGCAATGAAGCCACTTCCACCAGTGAGTAGAATACGAGTCATGATTATTGTGGTCGAATTGAAATACGAAATTTGGTCTCAAGAATAGGTCAGTGAGTCGGTGGATAAAAAATACTGAGATTGTTATGATGAATAGTTCCAATGACATCGATGGGTGTGAATGCTCTTATATACATACCCTTGTCAATCCGAGTACTATCACCGCTATTTCCGCTACTTGTGAATACAACAGTTTTGTCCGGCTATCGGACGTTAAACTCCAGCCCTGTTGGGGGCCAGTCGGAGTTACGGGAGCGCCTGTTTGCGAACCCGAAAAAGAAAATAGCCAATCTCCGGTATATTTATAACATCCACAACGGTTGGGTAAGCACTACTATCCCGGCAGGAAATCATTGAGACTGACTCTGATTACTTTCAAACAGCCGAGGTGCGCGCAATAATTTCCCATACAATAATTAGCTAGCACTTTCGGCTTACGAACACCTCATAATGGTTAAGTTAGCGGACTTGCAAATTGCCCGGACCAGGCCGAAATTCCCAATTCTGACGTTAATGACCCAGAAGAATTAAGCCAATTATGGATTATCGTGAACTAGGCTACACTGACAGGACAGGAGACACATAGCGATGACAATCTCTAGTCCAGAACCCGTCCATGAATTTCGTGGCAATGGGCATAAACAGAGAAGACAGGGTCAAGGCCAGTAAGGCGACATCGCATAGACAGAGAAAAGGAAAGAGGAAACATGGAGGAAAAGAGGACGATATAGACACAGCGCTGGGCACGATGGAAGAAACAAGACAGGTTGAACAATCATGCGAAAAACCAAAAGCTTTCGCGCTTGGAATCATGAGAGACACAAGGCGAAAAGGGAGAGAACAAAAAGCACAGAGAGAAATAATCATGAGTGAAAGGCATGATCAAAGGAGGCATATGTGAGGATGATATGTGCAAGAGATAAGAGAGGGAGAATCAAGTCTTGGAGGTCAAGTAATCGGCCGCCTGAGGTCCACGTTAGTTTAATTGCCATGAGCATCATAATGCAAAGGAGGCACATACCTTGTCAAGATTGTAATCGAACTTTTCTAACGCGATCAACGACTCATTGCGCGGGAAACCCATTCCAGTCAGACGCTGGAGGATCAGATCATCTTCGCCGGAGTCGTTGTTGAGAGCCCAACCGGGCTGCTTCTCCTTGGATCCATTGGTCTCCTCGCCGGCGTGAGCTTTGGCGCCATCGAGGGGCGCAAAGAGAGCGTCCCAGTCGTGACCACCAGCCTTGGATCTATCTTCGCTCGAGGTGACAGCTTGAGCGGGAGGAGCTTGGACATTGTTTTCGAACGAGAAGAAATCAGACGACCCCGCCTGATCCGCGTCGCTGGGCGAAGCCCTGTGCTGCTTCTGAGACGGCGAGTCGAAGGAGAAGTCAAAGTCAGCGGCATTCTTAGTATCGTGGTTCTCCCGGTCGGACTCTTCATCGTCTTCGGCATCCTGCGCAGGGGCGAGGTTGTGCCCGGCAAAGGCGGCGGCAAAATCTGGAGCTCCCGTCTTGGCTGTGGTGGTCGGCTCCGGGAAGCCCTCTCGTTGTGGCTCATTGCCCACCACGGGCGCTCCAGTGGCCGATTCTACCGAGTGGGGGGCATCGGGAGGAGCAGTAGGATCAGAGCGCTCGGGGAGCAGCCCGTTGAACTCGGGCGGAATGCGGCTAATGTCTTCTTTGGAGACAGTCTCATCGTACTTGGGAGGACTGACTTGCGCCTCGGCCGCAGGAGGCTGGCTCGAAGAAAGGCCGGCTCCAGGGGTAGGGAAAGCCGCCAGCTGAGCGGTGTCAAGAGACTGTGCGGGTTTCTCTGCCGTGGGCGACACAGGTGTGAAGTTGTCATCAAATCCCAGGGCCCCTTCATCATCAGAGCTTTCGTCATCTTCGTCGTCGTCATGATGGACTTCCTGGATGGGAGGGAATTCCGATGGAGCTGCGGCAGAGGTCCCGTTCGTTTTCTCCGTCGCGGAACCTTGTTTCATGCTTGCAAAAGCCTCCTCGAAATCATTTGCATTTTGGGACACAGATCGCTTGTGAGCCTTGCTGCCAAAGAGCTCGTCAAAAGTGAGGTCTTCCTTGCCTTCCGCCTGTTTCTCGCTTGGGGAGACTGTCGAGGCATCAGAGGGAGAAAGCTCCCGAGATTGGCTCAGCATCCCCGGGACTTCATCGAATGGAGACCGAGCAGGGAAATCCTCTACAGTCGAAGGTGGAGCACGGCTGTAGTCGCTGGATTCGGCAACTGAAGGGGGACCAACATCGCTTTGAGATGGAGTTGCTCTCCCCGAGGCTTCAGCAGCCCCAAATCGACTGCCGGGAGGGGACACCATAGTTGATGATGTTACTGACTGGTTCTCATGGAAAGGAAGAAAATTTGGGGTCATCTGCCGCGACTGGCTTGGAGCCGGAGGCTCAATAGGCGAGCCGGATGGGAAAGCTCCAGGCAAAGACCCAGGCAAAAATGCAGGAGGGGGAGAAGCAGACGGAGTGGGCACAGAAGAATCAGTAGACTGAACAGTGGATGGCCGGGCTGAAGGCGACTCAGAACGGAACGAGGTTGGCGGCGCGCCTGCGGAAGGTGAAGGAGCAAATGACTGGCCGAAGAGACTGTCAAATACCTTCTGCTGGTCACTCGAGACTTCGGGTGAGCGAGCACGCTCGCTTGAGCTGCCCGTCATAGTTCTCCGGAAGAAAGGATTCGTGTTCTGGCTAACAGAAGAAACAGCGGGGCTGGTGACCTCAGGCACACTGCTGGCCTGCGTGGCAGATTCATCCGTATACTGTGGATTCTCCTTCGAAACGCTATCAATCTCCTCCTGCATTTTGTCCCGCTCACCCTCAACAGTGGCCAGTTGCTTTTTATTGATTGCCACTAGACCTTTCTGCTGCCGAGCGCTAGAGCGCGCCTTCTCCAGCGCCGGCTTCAGTTGGGCAACTTCAGCATTGGCCTGACGAATCTTTTCCTTGAGGCTGGCATTTTCCTGTTGGTCGGCAGCCAAGGCCGTAGAGACTTGGTTGTACTGGTTCTGCAAATCCTGACGGCTGCCGTCTAGCAGTGCATATTGCTGGCTGAGCTTCTCAGTCTCGGCCTTGGAAGCGTTCAGCCGTTCCTCGAGGGTTTTAAAGTTCGCCACCTCCTGCTCATACATGGCCCGCGCTTGGGCCAGTCGCGCCTCAAAGTCTCGCTTCTGTTGTGATGTTTGCGAAAGACTCTGTTCGGCCGAATTTCGTTTTTCCTGCACAGAGTGCATCTCCTTCGCCAATGAGCCGATCTGATTGGAAAGGTTTGCCAGCTCAGTGGTCTCTTGGGTAAGCTTCTTCGACTCCTCTGGGTCGTTGTCGCCAAGAAGATCATCCGACGGAGGAGGCGATCGAGGAGTAATGGAAGCGCCAGCTGATGCTCCTGTCGATTGGGGCTGCAAGCTTTGGCCAAAGGTCGAGGTAGGAACAAAGGGCTTGAAAGTCGTTGACGCCGCTAGAGGCGAGGCTCTAGAGGACGGCGACCCAGGAGTTTGAAACACGTTGTTGGACCCGCCAGTGGACTGAGGCATCTGCGGCTGGGGAGCTGGTGGACTATCCAGGCCGAAGAGATCGTCGGCAGCGGAACGAACCGAAGGAGGAGCTTGAGGGGGAGGGGCCGGCGCAGCCGCTGGGGAGGCGGGTTGGCGGCGCATATTGGGAGGGATTAGGGCAGGCGGCAGGACCTGAGGCAGTTGGTCCTTGCCACTCCGCTGCATGCGAACCAGGTACATGGCAACCGCGAATTCCTCTCGAGTCAACTGGCCGTCGGCATCGATATCTGCAAGGTCCCAGATTTGCGCCAGCATCTCCTCCGGTAGTTGTGCCTTCATAAAGAAAGCAACGGCCTGGTCACCCGTGATCATTCCCACCCTGCCAGTGTCAACTGTTTCGAAGATGCTATCAAAGTGTGCCTTCTCCTGCGGTGTGATAAGCCAGTCTCCGGTAGGCTGGGATGAGATCGGGCTTCCGAAGGTAGGTCGACCGCCTGTGTTCATAGGGCTGGTAGTCCGATGAGGACCACCAGAAAACTGTTTTGGAATGGCGGGCACAGGCGGAACATCCGGTCGGGAGCCGAAGGAGGACCGCGCGGAACCGCGACGAGCGGCCGCGTCATATAGCCCGGGAGGCAGTGTCTGCGGAATACCTCGCAAAGCGCCAGACTTGTACGAGGTCAGAAGGTGCATAGCAATGATGAACTCAGTGGCATCGAGGGCGCCACGCTGTCTGGTGTCCGACAAGCCCCATATCCGGCCGAGGACCTCGTTTGGCAATCTTGCCCGTTCAAAGATTTGCCTCGCCGCTTCGCCTGTAGTGACAAATCCCAATGTTAGAATACCGAAATCCTGGTGGGCTTAGATTGACTACTTGCCTGAGAGAACACCACTGGCAGTATCTGACTTCTCGAAAAGGGAGACAAATTTATTGGCATCTTCTGCAGTCAAGGGGGGCACGCGAATTGGCCCACTAGAACTCGAGGGAGGACTCGTGGTGCCAGATTCCGGTGTAGTATCAACGGTAACCCCTTCGAATCGGGGCAGGGGACCAGCTAGAGCGAGAGCAGAATCAGTAACTTATCGGGTTGCAACTTAAAATAACGACACTCACGTTGCAATGCCAGCTCCTCGGAAGGAGAGCGACCAGCCTGTGCATGTCCAATCAATCGCAGGACAATGCCAAAGCCAGAGGGAGTCAAAAGACCCCTGTTTTCTCTATCCGCGATCTGCCATATCTGCGAAAGGCGGAAGGACAGTCAGTCACAGCCCTCACATTTGGCGTCTCATATTCACATACCAAACCAAGAGTATCAGGCGCTAGCTTTGTCTTCTCGAAGAACGGGACGGCGATCTCGCCGGTGATGACGCCGAGGTTGGTGGTATCGGCCGCCTGGAAGAACTGGTAGAATACACGCTTCTCCTCAGGCGTGAGGTTGAGATTGGGATGTCGCTGAGCTGTGCGATTGACGACCACGTGTAATTGTCAGCTTCAGTGCTTTGCGCATGGGGATGGATGCGAGGTGGAAGAGGCAGGGTAGAGGGGAGTCGAGTCGATCTCCTGATCTGCGCCCAGAGTTGCTTTGGGGGTTGTCAAAACAAAATAGAGATATCCCTTACCACTGTCAGCCATGGCTGGGACCTACGAAGAGGCTAATTCCCCTCCTGCGAGATGAGTTCACAAAAGTCGGGGTTCCCGGAGGGACAGGTTGGAGGAACACGCAATGCCGTCAGCAGAGTGCGGCAGAGACCACGAGCATGAATGGGGAATCCAAGCGCAGCTGCAGAAGACGGTGGAGAGGAAAAGGGACTCGGGGGAAGTGAATGGCAATGGCCAGGCGCAAGGACATGCAAATGGTGCCTGGAATGAAGATCCAGAGAGGCTGGAGTCGATGTCGTAACGGGGGAAGCTGGGGCGGAAGGCGGTCAGCCGGGTTAGCGCCCATTCCCCCCATTAGTATTGCGCTAAGTGCACACCATTTTATGCCATGATAGTGTTTTTGTACAACTATGTATATAGGCTGGGAATATCCAGTTAGTTTTTATCAACCCCATGGAACGAGAGGGAGTGTTGGTGTGCCCAGATCCAAAGAAGCGCAAAGAAGTAGGGCTAGTCCATACCGTACATACGCCGAGATCTATGTAGGCAGAAACACAAGCAGCCAATCACAAAGCACCGCGATATTGAAGAGTGTTCTGGGTGTAGCAAAGGTGGCTAGCTAGTCATATTTAGGGCTGGTTATGGGCAATCGATACTTCAGTAGAACAAAGACCGTAAATTCCAACATCATAGAGCTACGATATTCGTGTCCCAGCAAGCCTCTTACTAAACGATCCTAGCAGACCTCTATGAACAAAGATTTAACTTAGTACGTCGGATATCAGTCATCCATCATGCACCCTTTAATTAACCATTAATCGATGCTACTTTTCGCGCAAGTTTAGTCAAAATGCAAAATGCAAAATGCACCAATCTCAATGTCCTTTTTTCGCCTCTCGTTTCATGCCTTTTCGTCTCATCATTTCAGGGTCGATACGCGCGACGCGCGTGTCTTCTAGGATATCACTACCGGATTTTAAGCCAAGTCCTGCGATTAACAGTGCTCTTATAAAAAGTGGATTTCATTGTAGAATAGCAAGGGAGAAGGAAAAAGAGACATGGAAATCAATAGGAATCAGTCCCAGTGAGGCAAGGCGCGTCACAAAGGGGCCTCGACCTCGACAGAAAGAAGAACGAAAAGCGCAAGCATAGCGTACAACAAGAGCACTGGGAAGACGCGCTAAGCAGGGCTGGGGTTGATCATCCCATGTCCGAGCGCAGCCCGACCCCGACCTTCCCTAAGTGGTAGTGTGATCAGGGCAGGACTGTACGAAGGGGTAATCGGACTTTTCAAATCCATCGAATACCATGTTTGCCGCCTTAAAGAACTCCAATGTCGTGTCATCATCATTGTCGCAGATGGGCCCACACCACTCCACACTGCGTGATCCATACGGCTGTAGGATATTCGACTTTCCAGGGTAGTTCTGATCAACAGCAGCGCTGATATTGCAGACGGGGATCGTCCACAAGCCTTCTATCGCGTTGCCGTCAAACAACGGGTTATGTCCGCCGCTTATGATTCCCTTCATTCGCTCCTCCCATGTTTGGGTAGTATAGTTGTTACCAGCAACTTGCCAGGATTTGACCGAGGAGATGACCGCGTTCTGTGTTGACCATGTCAGTTATCAAGATTAGATCAAAACGGCAGGTGATACCTACATAGGGATTGAGCCAAGTGTAAAAATTTCCAGTCCCTCCTCCTGCCTGGAGCGAAGGGTTGTTGCCCATTCTGTCTGATCCCCAGGGGTGGGCAATCCAGGCATCAGTGTTTTGTGAGCCCTTACCGGGTACCCCGTTGTTGTTAAATTGGTAAAAGTAGAGATACCAGGCCTTGTTGTTCTCGTCGCACCACCAGATAATGCCATTGTCGTCTTTGGGTCCGGTGTTTCCGATGCCCTGGTCTTCCGCGCAGTCGGACCCGCCGAGGATGAATACCATTTGCTCGCGCCACACGTAGTTGATGATTGAGGACTCGAATACATCCGTGATGTTTTGGGTTATATCAGCCGAGTGTTCCAGCAGAAAGGTTCCATCACTAAAGACGCTGGCGATATCATCGTTATTTCCACTCGTGATGTTGTTGTACAGATTCTGGATTGCCTGGTCGAGAGCCTGGTAAATCTGGCTCATCTGCACGCCTGCATTACCAGCCTGGACCATGTAAGGATCCTCACTATCAAAATCAGCATGTATACTCATTGATTAATTGAAGAATCTCTTACGATGGCAAGACACTCAATGCCTCAGTCACACCGCCGGCGAACAGGGTTGATAGAGCAGCAGCCGGCGCTGCTGCCCCGCCAGTTGCAAAAGAAGCTACCAGACCAAGAACGATCCCCAGAGCATGCAGACCGTTCGCCAGATCGAGGCTCGAGGTATCTGCCTCAAACCAGAAGTCACCGATGATGCCGTCGAGAGCGGAATTGGTTTCTCCAACAGCACTGTTAAACAGTGTTTGCATTTCGTTAAACGCCTCGTTTAGATTGACGAGGGAACTACCCACATTGGCAGCCTGCTGGGTGGCGCTTCCCTGGGAAGTATCGCGAGCTTGTAGGTGGGCATGCTTGATAGTCGATGGAGTACGTTTCAAGCATGGCAATGTGCAATTTTCGCCGAGCTCGCAGGTCCACCCTGTTTGGCCCAGCACCAATTCACCAAACGCGCTGATAAATCCGCTCTTGCTGATTGCATCCGCATTGGTCTTCAGCCAATTGCTCAGCCATGAATTCGTGTTGGCATCCTGCCAATCCTGTTGGGTGGCATCGGTGAGAGGTATGCAGCTGGTGGAGTTCTGTCCATGCGGAAGGGTACTGTTGTTGGAAGTTCCACGATGAATGAGCCCATCATGAATGAGCCCGGCTTCGCCGAGAGCAGCCAGCGAAAGGACGGCTACTGTGGCTACCGATTTTATAGCAGAAGGCATGGCGAAGGACCTCTCCCAAAAGGATATGTAAGGTCAGATGGTTCAGTTGGGTAGTCAATGAGTAGATAGACTATGAAGTGTCCAATATCATCTCTGCTTGCCCGCTTTTATATGTCCTCCTCTCATTTGGCCCCTTTCCCCTTCACCATGATGATCTTGATGAAATATCGTTTCTAGTCTACGCGAAATGCGTGGCGTGTTGCCGGTATGGATTCCTGTCCGGTCCGGTCATTCGCCCCCCGTATGCAAGACCTCGTCGATAATTGAGAAGATCGTCAAGAATAATGGCTGAGCAGTCTTGCATCGAGGGAGTTTCAAGTTGAACTGGATATCTATAGTGGGGGCCATATCAGCTCTGTCAGTTAGCCAAAGAACTTGGAACATCAAATTCACGTTAAATTTACGTTCTGCCATCTACAATTTCCATAGAACTACGGACTTATATGCGGGAATCAGCTAAACAGCTATGTGCAGATACAGCTTGTAGACTTGAGCTCGCAAGTCCTTGACCCTAGAACGTCTACCAGTAAGTCCGCAGATCAAAGAACGTCGGATTACCGGATTTTTGCGGTTTACGAAAATCTCTGCTGATCAAAATCCTTTCCCCTAGTATTCGCAAGGAAACATTTTCCATACAAGTCGTTAAATCTCGGGGGCAATAAACCCGTAGATCATAGCCTTAATGGTGCTCTAAATTGTTGAAGAAGATATGAGCTATTCCTGACTAGGATGATATTCATTAAAGATACTCTTTGGAATAACCAAATGGGGGTCTTCTATTTAGAATTCAGTAATGATCTGGAGAATTACCGGAAGCTGTTGGCCGGCCCGGCGAGGGTATCATCTCGTATAACTACCGTCGGCTACATCCTGCAGAAGTTTTTCCCACACTCAGTCGCGCTAAGACGTTAGCGCGCTGTCAGTAACCCATAGCGGCCCTCGCTCATAATGAGAGGGTACTTTCCCTCAACGGACAAATGCTTGAAAGCAAGGTTAATGCAAGTTTACAATTGTTGCGACAAATGCTCAATAAAATAAGAACATCGGCGCCGCTCTCATAATCCCTATGCCGTTGATTCTTGCTAGTTTCCGCTACAGCATACAGCATACAGAGTTTCCCAAGGCGTATAATTACCCGCCCCCAAGTCGCCGCCCCCGCAACCGCTCCGCCACAGTCCGCCTTGAGCGCGCGGGTACCTCTTAACTATACCCCTATGCTTAATGCTTACATGAGTCATGAGTATGTTCGCCAAATCGCTTTCGGGTAGGATCTTCCGGACGAGTTCCTGGTTTCACATTGATCGGTTGTTTCACCGGTCGGTCCTACTCTTCGCCGGTCTATGACGCGCCACCGGTTCGTATAGCAGAGTATCTCAAAAGAGGACATTTGCACTGCCACAATGCGTATGAAACCTGCACGCTTTCAAGCAGAGATCCCTAGGGATGGGGGACGGGGAGGGGAACGCTCCCCCAGTTTCAAGCCGGTGAGCGAAGCGAGGGCCATGAGTTGACGTAGGGAGCTCATATACCACATACTAAGTAATATTGGTTAGGAGTTGGCATTTGATCAGTGTTCGATGTTCGATCAGTATTTGACTTTTATTTAAGGGTTGATATATTAGAATTAATTAAGAATTAGCTTGATTGAATCAAATAAGGTTCCTGTCAAAAATTCAGTTCTGAATGCGTGCTTACCTGAGCGACTAAGAGTAGAGGGTGTAAAGTTCCTACTAAGTAGCGAATAAGAGGACCTAGGTAAGCATGCATTCGAGAAGACTCCTTTGACTTGATTCGTTGATTTGATTGATTTTATTCAATAATTCCGTAGGCCCTTTGCGGGAAAAGGGACGAGCTCATCACAATAGTTAGCTAACAAGCTTAGGAGCTTCAAACTCTAATTTCTCTATATATTCCTGCCAATTTCCAAATTTTGAACGTAAAATTAAATAGAGCAATATTATCCAGGATGTTTCACAACTTATTAAGGAAATGGCAGGCAGTCTGGCATGCACGCCCATCTTCAAACTCATTCTTAAAGATTATACATGAGACTCGAGTACATATGATATCAATGCATTTCTCACGTTTTAGAGGAACTAGTTACATATTATTTACTTTGTCGGGGTACTAGTAAGCATCCGATTAGGTTAGAAACCTATTCCTAAACACTGGCGATGAGGAGGGAGCAACAAGGTAAATTAAATTGCAACGGAAATGATTCTTGGGGGAAAAAAGGAGAGAGGAGTGGAGTGGGATAGTAATTAGCGCCGCGCGAAAATAATAACGCCATTTTCAGGGCCAGTTGTAGTCATTTTTGAAGTCGATTCCACAGGTATATATATACATGCAATCTAGGGTGAGGTCTACCTAGACGCAAAACAAGAACAGTAAGTCTTAAATTGCCCCGAGATCGAAGAAGAGTGTTCTAGGTGTGCAGATGGTGACAATATATAGTTAAGGACTGATCATTAGCAGTTGTTACTTAAATAGAAACATTGATCGTAAGATGTCTACCTCTATATCGCTTAGAATTCCGAAGACGAATGCATTTGATAACATCCAATCTCCAGCTAGACTGTCATGCAACCTACGCCGAGGTCTATCGAGGCAGAAACAAAAGACAGCAAGTCAGAAAAGAGAATTGTTTTTGTGGTTTTGTAATTACATCGTACTCGCCCAAAGTCAGAAGATGGAACGTACGGGGGTAGGGGGGAGAAATTCATCGCCTTTGGGGATATTAAAGATATATCAAACAAGAGCCAGACAACAAAGCACAACATCATCTGCTTCCAAGGTTTCCCTTCTATTTGCAAGACAGACAGACGGGACAGCGGGGGCTTACGCCGTAGCTGGGAGGTGACGACGTAAACTATCACCACCACAACACAACATCAAGCCCCGGGACCGGTCACACAACATCTTCAACAATCTAGTACTCGGGCTCCAGCTCCTCCTCCTCGAGCGAGTCGCTAGCGACCTCCTCGTAGTCACGCTCCAGAGCAGCCAGATCCTCACGAGCCTCGGAGAACTCACCCTCCTCCATACCCTCACCGACATACCAGTGGACGAAGGCACGCTTGGAGTACATAAGGTCGAACTTGTGGTCGAGAGCGGACCAGGCCTCGGCGATAGCGGTGGTGTTGGACAGCATGCAGCTGGAATGGTATTAGGATATTTTCAGTCAAGTTCAGGGGGAGAAGGAGAAACTTACACAGCGCGGTTGAGGTTGGCCAGGTCGCCGTTGGGCACCTGCTGCGGGGGCTGGTAGCAGATACCGAGCTTGAAGCCAGTGGGGCACCAGTCGACGAACTGGATGGTGCGCTTGGTCTTGAGGGTGGCCACGGCACCGTGGGCGTCCTTGGGGACAACATCACCACGGTACAGCAGGCAGGTAGCCATGTACTTGCCGGTGCGGGGGTCACACTTGACCATCTGGTTGTGGGGCTCGAAGCAGTTGGAAGTGATCTCGGTGACCGAGTGGGCCTCGTGGGCGGCCTTGTCGGCAGAGATGATGGGCGAGTAGGCAACCAGAGGGAAGTGGATACGGGGGTAGGGCACCAGGTTGGTCTGGAACTCGTTCAGGTCGACGTTGAGCGAGCCATCGAAGCGCAGGGAGGCAGTGATGGACGAGACAACCTGAGCGATCAGACGGTTCAGGTTCTCGTAGCTGGGCAGCTCAATGCCGAGGTTGCGACGGCAGATGTCGTAGATGGCCTCGTTGTCAACCATGAAGGAGCAGTCGGAGTGCTCCAGGGTGGTGTGGGTGGTCAGGATCGAGTTGTAGGGCTCCACAACCGAGGTCGCGTTCTGGGGGGCCGGGTAGACGCAGAACTCCAGCTTGGACTTCTTGCCGTAGTCGACCGACAGACGTTCCATCAGGAGAGCACCGAAACCGGAACCAGTGCCACCACCGAAGGAGTGGAAGACCAGGAAACCCTGGAGACCAGCGCAGGAGTCGGCGACGCGGCGAACCTTGTCGAGGACCTGGTCAATCATCTCCTTGCCGACGGTGTAGTGGCCACGGGCGTAGTTGTTCGAGGCATCCTCCTTGCCAGTGATCATCTGGTCGGGGTGGAACAGCGACCGGTAGGTACCGGTGCGGACCTCATCGACGACATTGGGCTCGAGATCGCAGTAGATGGTACGGGGCACATACTTGCCCTGGCCTGTGGAGGTGGGGGAAGAATGTTAGCCACGCCGGCATTTCTCGAGCGGGGGTGGAAGAACACGAGGGGCGGAAAATTAAAATTTGAAGTGTAGCATACCAGTCTCGGAGAAGAAAGTGCTGAATCCGTGGTCGGGGTCGGCCTTCTTGCGCTCGTCGGTGAGGAATCCATCGGGCTGGACAACAGTCAGTCGATGTCGCGGGTATTGGGCATCGCGGGAAGAAAAAGGGGTACGCATCCCGCGTCCACCCCCCGACCACCACCACGAGTGAATTGCAATCTCAACGTACCTGAATACCGTGCTCCAGGCAGTACAGCTAGAAAGAGGCATGTTAGTCTACTCCCGTTCCTGGCCCAGCATCATTGCCCAATGGGGGATATTTACCTCCCAGCAGGAGTTGGCGATCTGGCAACCGGCCTGACCGACTGTTGAGGCACCACCGATGTCAGTCCAGTCATTCATCAAAATGAATAGCATCAAAAGATGCACGACACGTCGGAAGGCATCACTCACCGTTCAAACTGATGATCTCTCTCATTTTGTCGAGTCCACCGAGTGTGGTTGTCTGAAAACTAGGGGAGGGGAAACACGGGAAAGGAGACCCAACAACAAACACGGGGTGTCTGCGGATGAGGGACGATGACAGGTCAGCGCGAGGGGGATCGAAACAAGGGGGAGGGGCAGGGAAGGGTTACCAGAAGCGGGTGGAATGGAAGATGGAGACGAAGTAAGTCCAGGAGGAAAAAAACACACAGAAATGTTGTTTGTGGAGGAGGAGCGTCTGTGCTAAACAAGGGGGGGGAATACAGATGTTGTTGGGTCGCGTTGCGCGC